TTCTATTAATAAAAATATTATAACAAATACAAACTACTCTATTAGCTGCCTGTTTAATTAATTTTATTGACGTTAATTTAATGAGGTTATAAGTTAGGTAATAACATATTGTTATTAAAGAATATTGTTTATTCAAATATAAAATTAGAAATTAATATAAATCCTCTTTTTTTCAGAATATGTTTTCATTTTTATCATTCATTAAAAATGCTCAAAATTTTTCTATTCTTTAGAATTATAAAAAAAAGTATTGAGAATATTGATATTATAGAGTAGGTTTTGGTTTTTTTATACTAAGCTTTTTTTCAAGTATATGAACAATTCTTTGTTATTTACAATTTATAAAATTAATAACAAACTGACATAAAGAAATTCTACATTAAAAGCGTTATTTGTATTGAATGATTTATCAGAAAACTTTTTCTTAATTATTTACCAATATAATATAAATAATATTTTTGTAAAATGAAATGGTCTCATTAAATTGCATCAAAAGCAGTACCTTAAAAAATATTAACTTTTAAATATAATTTTTAAATAAATTTTATATAATCAATAAAGTTCTTTGTGAAGGTTGTGTTTATTTTAAGAATTAGCTCTTTTTAAAATAAATAATTTTATGTAAGAAAACTGAATATATCGACTTCACCTTTTTTAAAAATAAGCCTTAGCTACTTGATTTTTGAAAATTCTTTTTTAAAGGAAAATATGTGGTTTTTATTTTAAAGAATATGCGTGCACATGAATTTTATATATTTCTTACTGTCTTTGTTTTTAAATTTTTTTGTTTGAGTTGTGGTTATGAATTTGTTAATTTTAAAATATACACTTAATTTATAATTTAGGTTCTACTAACTTATTAAGCATCTATAAAACAAATAAAATTAGGTTATATAGAAAATAGATTTTTACAAAAGACAGTCTCTATGTAAATTAGCTTTTCATAATTAGTCTTATTCAACCTAGTATTATTATATTGGATGGCATTAATGTTATTTGTTACTTAGATTAACTTTAATTGCTTAACTGATTTATTTACTAGATCTAAGTTTTTCATGTAGGATTTGTTAAAAAGCTGATCTTTTTTTAAATAATTATTTAATGTGATTCTAATATAGAAAGTAAAGTTATTTCCTTAAAGATATTTCACATCAGGGTTTGACATATATTTATTTCTTATTAAGGCAAATAAACAGAAATCTTTTAAATTTGGTATATTTTCATCTATAGCATTGGAAAAAATTTGTAATAGAAGTTATGAATCAAATTAATTTAGTTTCTACTTTAAGTAAATATAAACACAAAAAAGAATAGATGTAATGTAAAATAAAAGCAGATGATTTAAAGGCTGTAAATAAATAATTAAAAAATACAAATAAAATTAATTCATCTCTTAATTATGACAGTATGTTACATTAAATTAAAAATACGAATATTGTTAGAGCTATCAATTGTTTACCGATTTTACATATTTAATTTTATCTTTTCTTTATTTTTTATTATAGCGATTAATTTTTAAGCAAAAAATACTAAATATTATTTTACTTTTTAAAAAAGGGTTACTTACTTATCTTTTTTTGAATATTATCTCATTTTTGTTTTATTAAAGTCTTTAATATCATATGAATTTGTATATTAATTATTTTAAATACCTCGCTGCCCATATAATTATTTTATACTTATTATCTTATTATAATTTTTATGTTAGATAATTAATCTAGTTAAACAAATAATATATATATATACATTTTTTAATAATAGTTTTTTAATTATTTTCCTTTTTTTATCACAAAAAAGCTCTCAATCAAGAGAATTTTGGATTTAAAACATCTTAATGCCTTTTTAAATCTAATACTTTGCCTACTGTAAGACATATTTAATTTATATTTTTAATGTAATATTTAAAAAGACAGCTAGTATAAGATTTTTCAATCATGAGGGCAGCCTTCATATTCAATCTCTTACAGTTAGCTTTTAGAACTCAATTTATTATCTTTTTTAGCTAAAGTATTCATAAGTTATAACTTTCGAAATTTTAACTGTATTTAAAGATTTTTTTATCACCATTATGCTTCAGCACAGATTTGAGAGTTATTTTTCGTTATATTAAATATTTTTAACTTAGAAATTAAAATTTAGTTTCATTATTTAAATTTTTTTTTTGCATCTAAATGGTATCAAAATATTGTTTATATTCTTCTGTTTTAAATAGATTTCTGAGATTGTAATTCTTCCACCAAATATAATTATTGTTATAAATGTTTTTTTATGCTTAATTAGATGTCTTTACATTATTTCGATTGTTATTGGTTAGTAATATTACTTTAATGCCTTTTAAATCCCTATTTATATTTATATTATTTACAAAATTTATTTAATAGCCTAAAGTACAAGAGAAGATTAGAAATTGTAATAAATAAATTGTTTTTTTATTCGACCATTTTTATTGTTAAATATTATTTTTTTTTTTAAATTTTGACCATTTACTTATTTGTTTGATTTTTATTTTCTCATCTACTATACCATACTAAATATTATTAAAATTAATTCTGGTTTCAAAACAAAGAAAATCGTAAAGCTTAATTATTCATGAATAATTACCCTGAATTAATTATTTTAATACTAAAAGCAACAAGATTACCTAAAAAATCAAACAAATTTATAGTTAGGAATATTTTAACTTAATATTTTTAAAATAAAACTCAATCAGAAATATTAATTTTCCATTATTTTAAATAGTGTTATAGTAATATATAAGTATTCTCTTAATCATCTCTTTTTTAAAAAATAATATTTAAGTTAAAGAACTTTAATACTCTAAATATAAATTTTAAATAAAAAATTAGTTCATCTAAATGCATTGCTTTAAAATAAAAATTTCTAAATTACTTTGATATTTACATATGTGCTTGAAATTATAAAAAGACTTAATTTTTGTTTAGAAAATTCACTTACTATTTACATAAATATTTAAATAGAGCTTACTCAACATTCTGGTAAATACTAATTTTTTAAAATCCTTTTTCATAACTTAATAAAAGAGACACATTATTAAAGATAGAAACTTAAAAAACTGAGAATATTTTATTATATCTATTATTTCAAAAACTATTTTTTTATAGGAAAAAAATAATTTAAAGTTTTATTTTTATTATACATAATACTTACTGTGATAATATTAACAAAAATTAAAAGAAATTTTATAAAGACCATCAAAATTTATTTAATTTTAATTTTGATTTATTGAGAAATTTCCTTTTATTTGAAAAAAAAAGATAAGAAAATATTTATTTTTATCAACAATTTTTTTTAAATTTACGATTAAGATGAGTACAATATGTATTAATTTAATTTCTATATATGAAAATGATCAGTGTTAGGTTTTATTTTTTAAATAGAAAGTGTTACATTTTCTTAGAATTTAGAGCAGTCTATTTATATACTTTTATATTTAAATAGATGATAGAGCCGATTATTTAATATTCTTGCGTTAAGTAACATACATCATCTCTAATTAATACGATAATAAAAAATCAATAATTTTAAAAAAATCGTATAGACCTTTGTAAGGTAATTTATTAAATCTGTAAAGATATCAAAATTTACCTACATTTGATATTTACAATTAAAAAGAAGTAATTTGTAAGTCGAAATTTTAATTACTTAAACATTTCTATTTTTAGAAAATTTTTAATTTTACTATAAAAATGCTTATAAAATTTCAAAGAAAACAAATATAGTAACATAAAAGACATTGTGGAGGTTATGCGTATTTAAAAAAAAAATGGAATTTAAGTATCCCTTAAATCAATAATACTGAACAAGAAATGAAAAAGAATCAATATGAATTAAAGCAGAATTTTAGGTTATTTTTTTTTTATATAACCCATGAATTTATAATTTATGTTAAAGTAGAATTCAATACTATTCTATAATTTACTTACTGGACGATAGTTTCTTTTATACTGATCAAATAATTTAAAAAATAAATATAGATCGATTCAAGCAATCTTATCAAAAATGTATGTATATTAATTTTATATTTAAGAAAGAAATATAGTTAGTACTTTGATAAATGAAATCTCTATTCAGATTGAAAAAAATATTTTATTTTTTTATTAAAGAAAGCTAATTTGAAGCTTTCTACTATTTTCAGGGAAAAGAGAATTAGTATACTTGATATCAAATAAAAAATTAATATTCATACTCACTTCATCAATAAATTAAAAATTCACTTTTTGCATGAAAGGTATTACTTTTATAAATAGTAAACTTAATTTAATTGCTTTTGTTCTAAATATTAATTTAAGTTTAACCAGTAACTTGACCATCGCTAACTGTATAAGCCATTTTTAAAATTTTTTAGATAAATAATATCAAGGTCACATTTTTTTACTAAAAGTTACACTTAGTAAATCCAACAATCTTTCTTAATTATTAAATTGCAAAAATAAATTTATATCATCAAAATAATTTTATTTTGGTTTACATAATAAGAAATATAAAAATTATAATTTTCATTTCAATTATTTAAAAATTTTATTAATATGGAAAACAAGAAATTAATTAGATCGGGTAAGCATTTAAATTGAAATCTATTTTTAAATAAGAATATATATGATCCCAACCAGTGCATATCAAAAAAAAAATAAAGTACTAAAAATTAACAAAAGGTGAATAAATACATCAATATAAACATATAAATCCAAATAGAAATAGTTTATCTTAAATCGAAACTTATAAAAAGCAAATTTCTATTCTTCATTGTAAAATATAATAAAAAATCTTAACGTCTCCTCTTTGAAACTATTTATTAAAAATAAAAATAATTTAACTTCAATCAACTTATTTAACTTACATTTTGATTAATTCAATTAATTATTAATAAAATAAAGAAGTTAATTAATTTGACAGTAATAACAGCAAAATTTTTTTGGTTAAACATAAAAAAATACAATTCATTATTTTATTTTAAAAATATATTTTATTTTCTTTTAATTTCAATTGAGAACTTTTTTTGGTCTACCTCTTTTCTAAGCTGGTTCTAATGCAAAATCTTATATATTATAAGATTTGTGATATGTTCTGACATGATTGTATAATCCACTTAAATTTTTACAAGCTATGTCACATTTTTTGCAAGTATTTTTTTTTGGATAATTTAAATTATTTTATAATTAGATAGGCTTAATATAATGATTTTCAAGCTATCCTTAAATTTTATTTTAATTAGAAATTGAATTCGAATGAATTTAATTACTTTAATTGTTATGAGGCTATTGTTAATAGTTTAATAAAATACCATTTTCTAGTTATCTTTAGCTAAGTGTTTAGTTTTCAATTTATTGATTTTGTTACTAATTATTTACTTCAATCTATTAATATGAAGGAGACTAGTAGAGTTTCTGCTAATCTTCGCTTAATATTGTTTAGTTTATATGTAAAGACTATTATATTGGCATTATTCATGTTATTTATAATTACTTGAAAATATATCCTCATCATCCTAATCAAGGTATTCATTTTGTTAAAATTAGTTTTCAGTTTATTGATTTTGGTACTAATTATTTTATTCAATCGATTAATATGAAGGAGACTAGTTGAAATTCAAAATTCAATTAATTATTAATAAAATAAAGAAGTTAATTAATTTGACAGTAATAACACCAAAATTTTTTTGGTTAAACATAAAAAAATACAATTCATTATTTTATTTTCTTTTAATTTCAATTGAGAACTTTTTTTGGTCTACCTCTTTTTTAAGCTGGTTCTAATGCAAAATCTTATATATTTTTAGATTCGTGATATGTTCTGACATGATTGTATAATCCACTTAAATTTTTATAAGCTATGTCACATTTTTTGCAAGTATTTTTTTTAGGATAATTTAGATTAATTTATAATTAGATAGGCTTAATATGATGATTTTCAAGCTATCCTTAAATTTCATTTTAATTAGAAATTTAATTCGAATGAATTTAATTAATTTAATAGTTATGAGGCTATTGTTAATAGTTTAATAAAATACCATTTACTTGTTATCTTTCGCTAAGTGTTTTGTTTTCAGTTTATTGATTTTGTTACTAATTATTTACTTCAATCTATTAATATGTAGGAGATTAGTAGAGTTTCTGCTAATCTTCACATAATATTGTTTAGTTTATATGTAAAAAACTATTAAATTGGCATTATACATGTTATTTATAATTACTTGAAAATATATCCTCATCATCCTAATCAAGGTTTTCATTTTGTTAAAATTAGTTTTCAGTTTATTGATTTTGGTAATAATTATTTAATTCAATCAATTAATATTAAGGAGACTATTTGAAGTTCTACTACTCAATATTTATAAATAAGTCTTTAAAACCATCTTCGCATTATTTATTTTATTACTAATTATTTGAAAATAATTCCTAAAATTCCTTATTACTCCTATCAAAGTCTTCTTCATTTTATTAAAATAAGTAATTTTCATCTATGAAAAAGTTCTACTAATTATTTGCTTAATCAAAACTTTATTCTTATTCTTATTAATTAGAAATATTTCTATTGTCTTTTTAATTGAAGCTATGCGTTTGATTTTATATATCTTACACATAAATATCTTGATTAAAAGAATTATCTTCAATAATCTATAGAGCATTTTATATATTTTATATGTGATTTTCAGAATAGATTTTTTCAGTGCTATAATTTATGTTTTAAGTTATTTTTATATCTTCTACTTCTTGTTTAGTTTAATATTTAAAGATTTCATTAAAATTCATTTAAGATTGAATATCTTATAAATTTTATTAACCATAGAAATTTTCAGAATTTCTATTAAAAATTTTTTACTTATTTATTTTTTAGAAGGTCAAATATTCACAATTTTATTCATTATTATTATGATATTAGACTTATTTGTTATTGGTATCAAAATAAATTTTATTGCTATCAGGACCAATGTTATTGCTATCAGAAATTGTATACATTTTTTTAGATTTTACAAAAACTTTTGCAATTTCAATTGTACTAATTTATAAATTTAATATAAAAATCAGTTTGTTCCTATTTACGCTATGTATCCATCTTATAAATAAAACAATAAAATACTTTTGTATAAAATGAATTATAAAATAAAGTTAATATACGATAAATACTATGAGCCAATTTTGCTGATTTTTAAATTAATTAAAATTTGATGAATTAAAAAGATAGACAAAATCATCTTTTTAATAAAAAATAAAAGCATTTTAATTAATATTTTAATAAGATGAATAATAATCATAATAATTTATTCTATTATAAAAAAACTCTAATTTTACAAAAATTAACTAAAATAATTCAACCAAAATACTATTTAGAGTATTTTATTTATTAAAATTATTATTGGGGAAAGTAAAAAATTATTATTATTTATTAATTACATTAATAATAAATCATAATTTTCTTTATATTTACAGCTAATAATATCCTCTAAAAGTAAAAAGATTATCTTAAGTGAGATTAAAAAAAAATACTAGATTTTACTAAAAATGAAAAATAATTGTTTAATTAATTTTAAATACTTGAAATTTTTAATCAATTATTTTATATTAATTTATCTAATTTTATTCAAAAATTATCTAATTTTATAAATATCTTATCTTATTTTTAAAAATTAATAATAAAAAATCTATTAATATATTTTTAAAATTTCATTCTAAAATATCCTTTTAAGATTTTAAGGGTTAATTTAGCAACATATAAATCAAGTTTGCATTTTATATTGATTGATTCCTTTTAATCAAACTAAAATACTTAAAATTTTGTATTTCAATATGATGAATAATAACAATATTATGTTTTAATTTAATAAAACATTAAATTTATATAAAAATCAATTAATTCAACTAATTAATATTATTTAGGATACAGTTATTTAAAATTATATTAAAACAATATTTCATATTTCATTGAGGATAAGAAAAAATATTTTTTATATTTACTTTTCTTAGCTTATTTTAATAGTTAAGCAGGAAAAACATATACTTTAAACAAGTATTATTAAAAGATTAGAAAAGATATTTCGGAAAAAAGATTAAAAAATTAATTCTTAAATTTATAAGAGTAAACGATTTTTTTTGAATGGTAGAAAAAGTTAAATTTATATTAACTTATACCTTTACAAATAAAGTAAAAAATATACCTTCATATATGTGATATAATTTTTGAGAAAAGAGCTAAAAAGTTAACTCTTACTTTTATTAATTATTATTACTATCAAATTGCTATCAATATAAATATTCATTCATTTTATTTTATTTTTTTTAAATGTGAGTTGAATAAGAAATTATGTGATTAAAATATTTAATTTTTACTCATTTATATTCTTACGATATAGTTATTTAAGATTTATTCAAAAAATTACATATCTATGTGAAAGCGCTTAAGGCAATAATTGAATTAATAAATGTATGTTTATAAATACTCATAATTTTCTAATATTAAGCAACCTTAAATAACTTAAATAAGTAGCTAACTAAGTTTAACAAGAATATTTGAAAACAAATTTTTAAAGTATAACAATTAAAAATATTATCTAGATATGTTGTTATGTATCCTAAAAAATTATTCTGCTATTTTGCTTTATGATTACATTCTTTAATAAAATCAATAAGTTAATCAAAAACTTGTATTACACTAAAAAATAGCCTAGATACTTTATGATGCTTAATAAGCTCAATAAACTTTTTTAATATAATTCTATAATTTAACTTTTTATATTAATCGAATAAGAAAGTAGATAGAAGTGTTACTCTATTAAGTAAACCATTAGAGTTTTAATAAATTATATATAATCATAGTTTTAGAAGTATTTTTATTTTAATTTTTTTATTTTAACTGTAAGCAAATATAAAAAAATAATTAAAAAATATTAAGTAATATATACAAATAAATCCTGTAATTAATATGAAATTTCTTTCATTCTATTTAATATACTTTTTATCCTCATTATTTAAGACAAATCTGTATTAATGTAAAATTTTTTCCAAAAATTTGATTATTTCTAATTAATTTGAGAAAATTAGGGTAGTGGATTACCTTAATTAATGAGGATTAATAGTAATACATTCTATTTTTTATCTTTCATTAATTTATTATTATCTGAGCTTTAAAAATTTTCAACTTAAACAAAATATTTACTGTTAATTTTACATGAACTACTTTAAAAATTAGTTATAAATTTTTAAAATAATTGTTTATTTTTATGTTTTACAAAAGATAAAAATATTTTAAATAAAGTAAGCATCCTTTTTACTTTTTAAAAGAGCTATATTTTTCAAAAAATAATTAATATTTTATCATTTCTAGATTTACTCTTGATATTTTTTTCACCTATTTTGCAGCTCTAGCGTATTGGGTCATGAATTTAGTTCAAATTAAAAAAAAATGTTTCTTGTAATTTCTTGGCAAATAATACATAATATGATTATATTATTTAAATTTGATATTTTTGAGTTGGTAATCAGTTTTAAAATTAAAATTAAAATAAATATTTTGATGTTAAGGACAAAATATTTAAAGGTTAATTAGCTAAACTATAATAATTTATTAATGTGTTATAAATTTGATTAGATTTTATAGCTATTTTTAGATTTGAAAATCTAACTTTCTTAAAATCAAATTCCCTTTTAGAAAAGTAATGCTAATCCATCCATATATGATTTAACCTACCCTCAAATTCCAAAACTAATTTTTAATTATTTATTCTATGAGTTTTTAATTTCACAAGTAAGTGTTGATTTGTATTTTTTATAAATCAAAACAAACTTCTCCTACCCTACCCGTAGAGTTTATTTTTTTGAAATCAAATTATGTTTTTATTACATTTAATTAATTTTTTAAAAATCATACAAAGACATTTAGATAATGAATATTAATTATTTAATTAAGAATTTTTAATGAAAAAAATATTGAATAGAGTTAAAATATATTTTAAAATTAATGTAACAAAATTTTATCTAAAATAAATAATATCGTAACAAGTTTAAGAATAGAATAGAATTTTATCAAAGTGAATTTAATATAAATATATGATTAGTTTGTATAATTTAGAAGTAGGAATGACAACTTTTTAGATTTATATTTATTCATAAAAGCGAAAAAATAAGAATCGAATAATATTCTTATCAATGTAAATTCAATATAATGATAATTATTAGTGTGAATAATTTAGAAGTAAGAATGGCAACAATATATATATATTTATTTATAGAAGTGTATAAAGTTACATCAATAGAATTTTTTTCTTCTAATTGATGAATGACATAATTGATTAAATATTATTTATTTATTCGATTTATTGGATTTCTCCATTCATTTGAATTTAGTTATTCTTTTGTTAAATTTATATTATTTTTTTGTACAAAAAGAGTTCTATTAAAGTTATCTGGTTTTTCTCATTTATTTTGTTATGTTGTTTCTTACCAAAGAGAAAGAAATAGAGAAAGATCATTCATGTTTGTTTTCAAAGGGCTTGCATTTTTCTTCTTTTTTGGTAGAATTTTAACTTTTGTGATTAGCTTGGATTATCAATGGCTTATACCAAAATTCTCACAACTCGTAAGTGAACTTCTTTATTCTAAACCTTACTGTTCTCGAGCCAAATGAATTCGATATTTTAAAGAAAGTACCTGAGAAGCATCTTGAAGGAATCTTTCTCAATCATATTCATAGCTTTCATGTTCCATCTTTTTCCATAAACTTTCAAGTTTTTCTTCAATAATTTGACTAATTAAGAATAGTTTTTTTTATTTGCCAGTTTACAGAATTAGTTCTATTTATCATAGTCTTTTTCATTCTCAATATATCTCTAGAAGGATTTTAAAATATTTTTCATAATATTTGAGTTTTTAATAGCAAAGACATTTTCTTCAAGGTCAAATTCATTTGAGTTGTCAGTACTACTTTACTTGTTATCTTATGTGCTAATTATTTCAGAATCTTCTTAATATTCAATGATCTCTATATCAGGCATTGAGCTGGTGTCAATGTTATCAAATAAATCTTCAGAATTGTTTTTGTTACTAGAAAAGTGTTATTATTCTTCAAGATGTTACTTTTGATTGTCATTAACACAAGTCATTTTCTCAACTTTTTATTATGAAATCCATACATCTTAGTTAGCAACTTTTTCAGCAATTTCAATCAAAAGGGCGATGGAGAAACTCTAGTTAAAAGCGCTCTTGAGGTTTTCACTCTTTTTTTCAGAGATTTAGAGAGGGGAGTGTTAATTGGTATTCATTGAGAGATATTTTGTAGAAATAGTGTTAATTGGTTTTTATAATTATAATTATTATTTTTATTTAAATTTTATTATGAAACTTTATAAGGTTCAACCACAACTGTTTAAATTTATAAAAATGATGGTGAGATTTCATGATCAAATTATGGAATAGCAATTAATTTAAAAAATTAAAAACTGCAGGCTGATATATTTTTCAATAAAAACTTAATTATTTATAGTGGTAATACAATTAATTAAGCTAAAAAACTTTTGTCTATTCTCAGATATTTAGTATTCTAATTATTATTTTTTCATTTAAAATTTATGGAATATAGTAAAATATTTAGATAGCTTACATCATAATCTGTTCTAATCATGTTTACTGAAATTAATTCGAAAAGAATAGAAGCAGTGATAGATATTAAATTTAATTAATGATGGTTTTAAATTAAGTTTCATAGGATTTTCAATCAATAAAATAATAAACCAGTAAATTTTATTTTCAAGCTTTTCCATCAAAATTTTAGCAAAAATAACTTTTATTTTGATTGTAGTACATACACAACTTTTCAAAACTAGATTAAAGTATAAATAAATAGAACTCCTTATTCTAAATTATAAAAAGTTATAATTGAAAGCGTGCATATGATATATAATTAATTATCATTTTTAAAGTTATTTCAAAACATCCTTAAAGACTTTGAGGCACTTTATTCAACCTAAAATATTTATTTAATTTTTCTAAGACTGACTTGTGGTTGAATATTCTTTTTCGAATAATTTTTCAAACATTTTTAACAAAAATTATGCTTTCTAATTACTGAATAAAAATAGAAACATTAATTTTTTCAAGATCTTTACTTATGATTTCTAAAATAGCTTAATTTCTTAAAAATTATAATACATATTCAGTTATGAATTGTAATAATAGCTTCTTTTTTTAACTGAAAAAATCATACTTTTTTTAATATTTTGTGCATCCACTTGAAAATATTTATTTACTCTCGCACATATCTGATTTTTTAAGTAATTTATGGATTTTATTTATCATGTTATTTACTTATATCATTTATGGTAATAGCTTTGGTATTGAGTTTATTTAATTTATTGCGACAAATTTTATGATACTTACCCAGTCCAGCTTAAAACTGAATCTTACCTAAGATTAAATTTATAGCCGCGATTCCTGGCTTTTCCCCTTTTCTAAATTAATTAAAGACAGGAGTAAGATTATTAGGAAATTCTGCATTTTCAAATAAAAACTTTTTATTTCAATATAAATATCACAAAAATTTGAATATCATTGATTTTTCTAAAATATTTTTTTATGGTCATATACTTCATTAATAAAAACCACTCCTTTAATTATAAAAATTACTTTACACTAAAGGAATTTTTTTATATCATACTTTTTAGTTTTTAACATTTTTTATAAAATAAACTAGTTTTAAATATAAAAATATATTATCAATTATTTTATTTTAATTAATATAAAGCAGGTTACTAGATAAAAAAAAATACCTATTTACTTTATTATGATGCTTAAAATATTAAGCTTACTTATTGGTAAATAAATTAATTCATCAAATAATCCTTATGCTTTCAATTAAAGCTTAACTCTAATATAAAATAAATATTTACTTAGTTAAGAAAGAAAGAAATTTCTGTCATGTTTAGTAAGTTACTACAAAAAAATTTCCATTAAATGGAAAAAATAAAAAAATTGATAATAATCTAATTCATTTAAATTTTAATACAGTATTATTTTCTTAATAATAACTAATTAGTCTAAAATTTATACCAGTAACTTATTTTTAAATAATAAATTCCCTTTCTCCGCTCATTTAATATATAAGAATAGCTTATCATAAAAGAATAGCAATGAATTGACTCAAGATATTTATCAGTCTCTAACTATTGATAGTTTATGTGACTATCTTCTAATTGGTTGATAAAATTTTTAAAGATTTATGTAGCCACTTTATATAATATATAATAATTTTGTATTGTAAAGAAATTTTAATTATTAATATTTTAGTTAAAAATTATTAAGAATAAATCTCATGTAAAAATTAATTTTTCTATATTAAAACTCTCATACAATTAACAAATAATTTACGTCATATACTTACTAACCAATTTATAGATACTAGAAGAATTAGAGTAATTCAAACTTTCATTAATTCAACTATACTTAGTTTGTGAACTATAAATTTGAGGAAAACTACAATAATATAAAGAGAAAACAATATATTTTGATTTAAAAATATTTTAAATCTTTTATTAATTAAGTATTTCAGAAATTTTTTTTTGTTTGTATTTATTGATAATAAAGCTTTGTGCTTTATTAAATGTTTATAATTCCTCTTCTTAAAAAAATCTTTTGAAAGCTACCATAAATAATTTATTATTTATATTTAGTACACTTATATTCTTAGAATTGCTAAATACTATCAGTAAATTATTATCTTTGTTGAAACCTATTTTACTAACTATCCAAAACAAATTTAAAAAATTTATTTAATAAATCGTTTTTAAAATAAAGTAAAACATAATAATTTAGATAGTAATTCATAAAATTAACATATATATAACATTAGATTAATAAATTACTGATATTTTTTTTTATTTAAAACAAATCTTAGAATTCTAAGTGAGTAAATAACTTCTATCATATTTAATTTTTAAGGAAAATAAACGAATGACCTATGGATTTATAATCAATTTAGTTATTATAAAAATTTTAAAATAAAATTTGTAATACCATTAAATAGAACTAATTCTTTCTATAAAATAATATAAAAATTTTATAACTAATATAAACTCCTCTATTTGCTGCCAGTTTAATTAATTTTATTGTCATTAATTTAATAATGTTATAAGTTAGTTTTAAAATAAATACAAGATTATTATTAATTAAAAAACACGGTTTATTCAGATATAAAATTATTTAATAATCTAAATCCTCATATATTCACAAAATATTTTCATTTTTATCATAAAAAAAGGCATTAGTTTTGTCAAAATTTTTCTATTCTTTAGAATTATAACAAAATTATTGAAAAAATATAATAATAGAGTAGGTTTTGATTTTTTATAGTAAATATAAGAACAATTATTTGTTATTTACAATTTATAAAATTAATAAAAAACTGACACAAAGAAATGCTACATTAAAAGCGTTATTTGAAGAGAAAGATTTATCAGAAAACTTTTTCTTAATTATTTACCTAAATAATATAAATAATATTTTTGAAAAATGAAATGATCAAAAAATATTGACTTTTAAATATAATTCATAAATAAATTTTATATAATCAATAACGTTCTTTGTGAACGTTGTGTTTATTATAAGCATTTGTTCTTTTCGAAATAAATAATATTATGTAAGAAAAAATTGAATATATCAAATTCACCTTTTTTAAATATAAACCTTAGCTACTTGATTTTGAAAATTCTTTTTTTAAAGGAAAATATGTGGTTTTTATTTTAAAGAATATGTGTGCACATGAATTTCATATTTTTATTACTGTCTTTGTTTTTAAATTTTTTTTGTTTTGAGTTGTGGTTATGAATTTAATAATTTTAAAATATACACTTAATTTATAATAGGTTCTACTAAATTATTAAGCATCTATAACACAAATAAAATTATGTTATAAAGAAAATAGACTTTTATAAAAGACACTCTCTCTGTAAATTAGCTTTTCATAATTAATCCTATTCAACCTAGTATTAATTATTTTGAATGGCATTAATGTTATTTGTTACGTAGATTGACATTAATTGCTTACTAATTTATTTACTAGATCTAAGTTTTGCATGTAGGATTAGTTAAAAAGCTGGTCTTTTTTTAAATCATTATTCAATGTGATCCTAATATAGAAAGTAAAGTTATTTCCTTAAAGATATTTCACATCAGAGTTTGCATGCATTTTTTTCTTATATAGACAAAAATATGGAAATCTTTTATATTTGGTTTATTTTCATCTATAGCGTTAGAAAAAATGTGCAATAGAAGTTATGAATAAAATTAATTTAGTTTCTACTTTAGATAAATATAAGCACAAAAATAATAGATATAATGTAAAATAAAAACAGATGACTAAAGGCAAAAAGTAAATAACTAATTAATTAAAAAATACAAATAAAATTAATTGATCCCTTTATTATGACAGTATGTTACATTGAATTAAAAATACGAATATTAATACAGCTATCTATTGTTTACTTGTTTACCGATTTTACAACATTTTATTTTTTTCATTATTTTTTATTATAGCGATTAATTTTTAAAAATGATATTAAATATTATTATACCCATAAAAAAAGGGTTACTTACTTATATTTTTTTGAATATTATTTCATTTTTGTTTTTTAAAGTGATTAATACCATAAGAATTTTTATATTAATTATTTTAAATACCTCGTTGCCCATACATAGAGTATTTTATACCTATTATCATAATATAATTTTAATGGTAAATAATTAATCTAGTTAAACAAATAATACATTTAAACATTTTTGATTATAGTTTTTTAATTATTTTCCTTTTATCATCACAAAGAAGCTCTCAAGGGAATTTATGATTTACAACATTTTAATGTCTTTTTTAATCTAGAACTTTGCTTTCTTCAAGACAGATTTACTTTATATTTTCAATGTGATATTTAAAAAGACAATATAGCAGAAGATTTTTTTATCATAAGTGTAGTCTTCATATATAATCTCTTACAGTTAGAACTCAGTTTATCATCTTTTAACTAATAGTATCCATAAGTTATAACTTTCAAAATGTTATCTGTCTTTAAAGTTTTTTTGATCGCCATTAAATTTATGCATAGATTTGGGAGTTTTTTTCGTTATATTAAATCTTTTTATAGCCTAATTACTTAGCAATTAAAATTTAGTTTCATTATTTAAATTATTTTGTTTGCATCTAAATGGCATCAAAATATTGTTAATATTCTTCTATTTTTAATAGATTTCTGAGATTTTCATTCTTCCGCCTAATACTATTATAGTTATAAATATTTTTTTGTGCTTAATTAGCTATCGTCACGTTACTTCGATTGCTGTTGGTTAATAATATTACTTTAATGCCTTTTAAAATCCCTATTTATATTCTTTACAAAATTTATTTAATAGCCTAAAGTACAAGAGAAATTTAGATATTGTAATTATTAAATTGTTTTTTTATTCGACCATTTTTATAATTAAAAATTATTTTTGTGCAAATTTTTGATCATTTATTTGTTTGTTTGATAGTTATTTTCTCATCTACTATATCATACTAAATATTATTAAAATTAATTATTGTTTCAAATCAAAGAAAATTTTAAAGCTTAATAATTCATGAATAATTACCCTGAATTAATTATTTTAATACTAAATAACATTTATATTACCTAAAAAATCAAATAAATTTATAGTTAGGAATATTTTAACTTAATATTTTTATAATATAGCTCAATCGCAAATATTCATTTTTCATTATTTTAAATAGTTCGATAGTAATAAAGAAGTATTCTCTTAATCATCTCTTTTTTAAAAAGTAATACATAAGTTAAAGAAATTTAAGACTTCAGATATAATTTTTAAATAAAAAATTATTTCATATAAATGCATTGTGCTTGAAATTATAAAAAGAATTCATTTTTGTTTAGAAAATTCATTACTGTTTACACAAGTATTTGATTTTGGGCTTAATCAATATTCTGATAAATACTAATTTGTTATAATCCTTTTTCGTAACTTCTTAAAAGAGACGCATTATTAAAAATGGAAACTTAAAAAACAGAGATTTTTATTATATCTATTATTTCATATAATATTTTTTTAGAGGAAAAAAATATTTTTAAGTTTTATTTCATTATGCATAATAGTTACTGTGATAATATTAACTTAAATAAAAAAATTTTTTATAAATACAATATAAATTTGATTGTTTAATTTTAATTTATAGAAAGATTGATTTCCTTTTATTTGAAAAAAAATGACAAGAAAATATCCATTTTTTATCAAAAATTTTTTGTAAAAATTACAATGAAGATGAGTACAACATATATTAGTTAAATTTCTATATATGAAAATGATCAGTGTTAGGTTTTATTTTTAAAATAGAAAGTGTTACAATTTTCTTAGAATTTAAATCAGTATATTTATTTACTTTTAGATTAAATTAGATGGCAGAGCTAACAATTTAATATTTGCAAAAACATGCAATAAATAACATAATCTCTACTTAATAAGAAAATATAAGATCAATAATTAAAAAATAATCATTAAGAATTTTGTAAGGTGATTTATTAAATCTGTAAAGCTATCACAATTTAGCTATTTACAATTAAAAAGAAGTAATTAGTTAGTCGAAATCTTAATTACTTAAACAACTCTATTTTTAGAAAAATTTTAATTTTTACCATAAAAATTTCAAAGAAAACAAATATAGTAACATAAAATATTATTGTGGAATGCGTATTTAAAAAAAATGGAATATTAGTATCCATTGAATAAATAATACTTAACAAGAAATGAAATATAACCAATATGAATTGAAGTAGAATTTTAGGTTATTTTTTTTAAAAACTCATGAATTTATAATTTATGTTAAAGTTGAATTCATTCTATAATATTACTGGAAGATAGTTTCTTTTTATTGATCAAATAAATATCGATCAATTCAAGAAATCTTATCAAAAATTGTGTATATTAAAGAAAGAAAAAATGCACTTTGATAAATCAAATTTCTAACCAAATTGAAAACATTATTTTATTTTTTCATTAAAGAAAACTAATTTGAAGCTTTCTACTATTTTTAGGAAAAGATCATTACTATATTTGGTATCTATATAAAAAATTAATATTCATACTCACTTAATCTATAAATTTGAAAGTTAACTTTTTGCTTGAAAGGCATTTTTAGTTATAAATAGTAAAATATTTACTTTTGTTCTAAATATTAATTGAAGTTTAGTCAGTAAATCGATTGACCATCGCTAAATGTTTAAGCTATTTTAAAAGTTTTTTAGATAAATAATATCAAGTTCATATTTATTTACTAACAATTACACTTTGTAAATCCAACAATCTTTCTTAAATATTAAATTACAAAAGTAAATTTATATCATCAAAGTAATTTTTTTATTGGTTTACATAATAATTAAATATAAAAATTATAATTTTCATGTCAAATACTTAAAAACTCTGATTTGTAAAACAAGAAATTAATTAGATGGGGTAAAAATTTAATCATTTTTTTATTGGTTTACATAATAGGTAAATATCAAAATTATAATTTTGTCAATTACTTAAAAACTCTGATTGATATGGAAATATATAAATATATCAATATAAAAATATAAATCCAAATAGAAATAGCTTATTTAAAATCAAAACTTATAAAAATCAAACAAATTTCTATTTTTCATTGTAAAATTTAATAAAAGATCTTAAAGTTTCCTTTTTGAAACTATTTTATTAAAAATAAAAATAAGTCAACTTCAATAAAATTATTTAACTTATTTACATTTTTATTAATTCAATTAATTATTAATAAAATAAAGAAGTTAATTAATTTAATAGTAATAACATCAAAATTTTTCTGGTTAAAGATAAAAAAATGAAATTCATTATTTTATTTTCTAATAATTTTTATTGATAACTTTTTTGGGTCTACCTCTTTTTTAAGCTGGTTCTAATGCAAAATCTTAAACTTTTTAAGATCTGTGAACATCTTTGACATGGTTGTGTAATCCACTTAAATTTTTATAAGCTATGTCACATTTTTTGCAAGTATTTTTTTTTGGATAATTTAGATTAATTTATAATTATTGATTTTGATAGAATTATTGATAATCTACACTTAATATTGCTTAGATTTAATTAAAAAAACTATCATCTTGTTATTATTCATTTTATCTATAATCACTTGAAAATATATCATCATAATTCTAATCAGAAGATTCATTTTGTTAAAATTAGTTTTCAGTTTATTGATTTTGGTTAATCTAATCAACGTCTTCTTCATTTGAAAAGTTCTACTAATTATTTGCTTGATCAAAACTCGATTGTTATTCTTATTAATTAGAAATGTTACTATTGTCTTCTTAATTGAAGCTATGAAGAGAATTATCTTCAATATTTTATATATTTTTTATGTGATTTTCAGATTAGATTTTTTCAGTGCTATAACTTATGTTTGAAGTTTTTTTTGCATCTTCTACTTCTTATTGAGTTTAATATTTGTAAATTTCATTAAAATTCATTTAAGACTGAAAATTTTAAAAAGTTTATTAATCCTAGAAATATTATTATTTTTTTAGAATGTGAAATATTCACAATTTTAGTTATTTTTAATTTTATATAAAAAACTGCTTATTCCTATTTATACATTACTTATATCATATTAATAAAACAATAAAATAGTTTTTTTTATTAATGTGAATTATAAAATAAACTTAATATACAATAAATACTATCAGCCAATAGCGCTGATTTTTAAATTAATTTAAATTTGATGAATTAAGATAGATTAGATAAAATTATCTTATTAATCAAAAATAAAAGGGTTTTAATTTTTTTATTTTATTCTTTTTTTTAGAAACTCTAAATTTAAAAAATTAACTGAAATAATTCAACCATTAATTACTATTTAGAGTAATCTACTTATTAAAGTTATTAATTGGGGTAACTAAAAAATTATTATTTTTTTTTTATTACATAATAATAAATCAGGATTTTCTTTATATTTACAGCAAATAATATCCACTAATAATAAAATGATTATCTTATATGATATTAAAAAAATAAATATTAGATTTTGCTAAAAATGAAAAATAATTGTTAATTAATTTGAAATACTTGAAATAAGATATTTCGAAAAAAAGATTAAAAAATTAATTATTTGATTTTTTTTTAAAAATGAGCAATTAATTTATTAATTTTACATGAAATTTTTTTGAATTTTTTTCCTTTCAAAATTTTCAAAATAAAAATATACAGTTTAAAAACCTCAATTAATTTAAATTAATAATTTTTTTTACCAAAATATTTAAAATACACAAGAAAAGAAAGCTCTAATTACTTTTTTGTTAAAACTATTATATTTTTAATAATTCAAATAAAAATAATTAAAAATCATTTTAATTTTTTATTTTACTTTTAGCTACTCGAATTTATCATTAAATCTTATAAAAATGGAACTTATAAATTTTATTTTATAACTTATTAAAATTAAAATAGAAAGTCACATTAAATATCTTTTAAATATTTGAAATTTAATTTTTATTACAGAATTTATCAGTTTATGAGTTAGAAATAAGCTTAAATGATCTTAATAATCCAAATTACTTTAATTAATTTAATTCGAAATCTGGAAAATAAAATGATTATTTTTTACTTATTTGTTCTCTTTTTGTTAGCTTAAATACATATAATAAATAAATAAAAATTCAGATAACAATTAATAGCAAATACAATTATTAATAATATAAAAAATGATCTCATTGAAGAAATAGTAAAAAGTATCTCTATGTTGTTATTATGACTCTCAAATAGTGAAAGAAGTTGATGCTAAATATAATTTCTAAGTTAGAGGATCTATTGCTAGTCATGAGCTTTATCTTAGATATGAAAATACAACATCAAAGAATTAAACATTTATGCTCAATTTTGGCTTATCAGAAGACACTTACTTTGAGCATTTATCTGTTAATATTAATGAAAAAATCACCAATTTCAATGTCGAAGATAAAAAATATGAAAATTAAACAGTTTTTTTCAAAGGTAAAATAATTTTCTGCTTAATTTATTAAAACTATAATAGTTATTTACATTTGTTGAAAGAAGCTTTTTTAATACTCTTAGTAACATAGAAGATTAAACAAATATTTTAATTAAATATTCATATGTAATGTTTTGTTATAAAAATTAAATTATTAAAAATATCATATCAAATCAACAAAATAAATATCCACTTATTTTATTTGACCTTGTTATTAAAGTAAATATTTTTAATTTTAAAATCTTTAATATAATAAAGAAGGTTCACTCTTGCAATTACAAGGTAATATCTCAGTTTAGATTGGTAAAATTGATAAAGGCAAAGAATTTGTTGTCTGCTTTAAATATAATGAGCTACTTCTTGAAAAAGAATAACAATATTTAATGACTTTACCTTTTTGCTAAGCGTGAATATTATTTTTTAGTATTTTACATTTTTTAAATTATTTTCTTTTAAATATGATTTAGGAAGCTATTTCAAAAAGTTGAAATAAACGGTGATGTTTATTCACAAAATAGTTAAGATCAAATTATTTTTGCTGAATTTATGGATATTAATCTAAATAAACTAGTAAAAATTTAGCAAGTTAATAATAACCACTTTAAAGTAAAGGGTGAGCTATCTAAAATTAATGAAGGGTATTTTTCCCAAGAAAAAGCTTATCTGAAGGTTAAGTATACGAAAAATAATCTAAGTATGCTCTCATTTGATTAAAAAAATTCAGAAATTTCCCCTTACTGTGCACTAATCAACTTTATTCCCCCTTAAATTTCTACTTAGGAGAACTTATTGACAAAAACTACTGATTGTAAGCCCAAAATTAGTTTAGATATTTTTATAGCTTATTATTTTAACAATAAAAAAAGAATTGATTAAATCTGAATTTGTTCTTATCATTGACAGAAGCGGTTCAATGTATGGCCCTAAAATGGAACTGGCTAAAGAATCATTAATATTTTTCTTAAAATCATTACCAGTTGGTTCTATCTACAACATTATTTCTTTTGGTTCTACTTGTGAGATTATGTTTGATTAATCTGTGTAGTTTAATGATTAGAATGTGCAAAATTCTATTCAGCAAATAGATTAGTTCTCTGCAAATTTGGGAGGAACCAATGTATCTAAAGCTTTAGAGCATGTTTATTTAAATCTCTTCGACTAGTATGGTTTAAGAAAGAAAATTTTCATTATAACAGATGGAGAGTTTACTGACAGAAATGAAAGTATTGTTTATTAACTCCTCTAATTAGAATAAATAAATAAATTCTTTTTATTTAGCATAAGAACTTGTCAACGCATATTAAAATAGATGTGATATCAATGTACTTTGCATTGGAAAAGATAGCTAATTTTAATAGGCTATAGAAATTGCAAATAAAACTGGAGGGTTCACTTAACACGTCAAAGATCATATCGATATAATTTCAAAAGTAAGTTTACCAATAATGAATGATTTTATAGGCAATAAAATATATTAATCAATCTATCTATTACATAAAATAGGTAATACTTTTGCTTTCTTAATCATGCTAAGACTTAAGGAATAGCGTTTAGATGGACTCTTCTTCTGATCATGACGAGTGTATTGACTGTATTGTTCCAAACCCTAAATAGATTAGTTTTATTGACAGATCTAAAACTTTGAGATTTTATATTTTCTTGAATAAGAAATTCGAAGATGTTAAAAAAATTAACTTTAAGCTAACTACAAAATTCTAAAATGATGTAAAATTTGAAGATAATTATGTTATTGATATCAAAGACCAAGCAAAATAAGAACACGCAAACATTCATAAATTGGGGCTATATTAGTTAATAAAATAGATTATTATCAATTAGTGGAGAAAATGTGAAGATATTTTCGAAGATATCACTCATTCCTTCAAATTTACTCAAAACAATATAATAAATTTGCTAAAAAAAGAAGCAATAAAGTAATTTTTAAATTTAATTTATAATTTATTCATTTCCTAATTATTAATTTAGATTTTAAATTCTTTGTGATTATACTGCTTTCGCAGGTTAAATATAAGTAAGAGATAATAATAAATAAATGTCGTAGCCACAATAATAACCAAAAAATTAACTTTTTGGTTTATGATAAAATGAATAATGTGATTTCATCTTAAATTGATGATATTGTTAACAAGAGTGGTATAGATGTATTGAAAATTATCAATTTTATGAAATAAAATCCTTACTTGAAAGTAATTCGATTATAAAAAATTAATGGGCTTTGGGAATTCTCAAACGACCTTTTATCTACTCTGAACTTAAGTGTAGAAAAATTTGATAAGATCAACCCTTTAAGTAATGCAATATCAAACTTTAGAGATATTTGGATTTCAATGATAATCGCTTTCTGGCTATAAGTATTTTGTTATTAATTTGCTAATCAGCATAAGTTTATTCTCAAAAAGTCTCTTGAGTAAATAGAAAAAATAAAAAAAGAATAATTCATCTAAGATACTACTGCTATACTTAAGTAATTCTTTGAAAATTATAAATCAGTAGCGATTTAACTTTTTTAATGATTATAAAAATAAAAAGAAAATTGGTAATATTTAAAAACAGGCTTTATTTTTTATTTAATAAATTAATGTTTTGTTGTTTTTTTAAATTAAATTTTAATCTCTAATAAAATCTAAAAAATTAATTTTAAAAAAACAATATTTTAGTTCAAATTAATCAAAAAATTAATTTACGAAAATAGACAAAAATATCTTTCTTAGCTGAACTCAACATTTAATTACAAAAATTATTTTTTTAATAAGTAATTTTTATAATTCAATTTTATTAATATTTGTTGTTTTTCTTTTTTTTTTCAAATTGTGAATCAAATAATAAAAGAAATATTATAATAATAAGAAGCTTTTATTTTTGAGAGCAAGTGCGATTAAAATAATTTGGTATTTTATGCATTAAAAATAATTTCATGATATCCTAAGTTACATATTATACTTAAGTAATGAGGTAATTTAAGAAGAATACTTGCGTGCAAAATCTCAAGTCAATTGACCCTATTAACGATTATCGATTACTTGGTTCAAGTCGAGTTAGGCTATTAAAAACAGTAAAAAAATTTAATAGAATTAGCTGGCTTTAGAAATATAAAATATCTCAAAATCGCGTGCTTATGTACCTTATTTCCTTGATCATATTTTTAATCAAACATAAATAAAAAATATTCTTTAAAATATTAAGATGAAAAAAAATTCACAAAAAATATTTAAAATTTTAATTTTATTAAATGAAAAAACACGGTATATAAAACTCGCTTTTTGTAAATTTTTATGGCAATTTACTCTAATTAAAAAAAGAGAAAGATAAAGAAAAAATCACAAAATATTAATAACCAACCTAACCTTAACATTTAAAGTGAAATGAAAGAAACAATAGAAATAAAACAAAAACAAAATAATAGCTAAATGGTTATTAAATCTACACAAATAACAAAAAGGGGTCAACAACACATAATAGAGATAGGTTATCTAAAAAGAGTTATGAAATGTAAGACTCACATTATTAATGGTAGATTATAATAACGCAGACTTAGAGAAACCTTCGAAAACACTTTTACTAGCAATGATATTGTAGGAAGCACAAATTATCTCAGAGATAGATATGTCATAAATTCACTGATATAATAAAAGCTATTAAATCAAAGAATAGGAGATTATTTTTATACTATGATTATAATTACTTGCTAATACAGTAAAGACCTGGCGATAATTATTTGAGAGCCAAACCTGGGGCATGAGAAGAAATTATAGAAATAAAAGATAATTATGCTAAATTTACAATTATTTATGATAAAATATAAGAGGAAACTGAAATTCAAATACGAAACAACTAAAACATAGAAGAAAAAATGAAATGTGGTTAAATGTAAATTTAAAAATAGAAGAAATTGAAAGAAATGAATTAGAATTAAATGAAAATGAATAAGAATCACTAGTTGAAGAAAAAGAAAAAAATCTTAATTATAATTATAATTGAAAAAAAGAACTAATAAATAGTTGAATAAATGGAAAGCTGTAAAGCAATTTATGAGGAAATCAAATAAATAATAGAAAAAGACTTTAATAAAAACTTATAGAGCTTTAAAAGTGGTGAAAACAGTTATGTAAGATAAAAATATTAATTAAAAAAAATTAAAAGAATACTAAAGAGCAGGATTAAAGACATGGCTAACAAAACTAGGATGGTAAAACCTTATAGATTGGGAAGTGGATAAAGAAAACAAACTATTACAGATAGATAGATAGATAGATAGATAGATAGATAGATATAGATAGAAAAAAGATTAGAAGGATAAGAAATAACACAAATAAAACTTCAAAAAAGATATCAAAATATGGAAGGAGAAATACAAGAAACCAACTAAGAAAGTTACTTAAAAATGGAAGAAGAGGAGTCAAAAGTAGTTAAAAGAAAGAGAGGAAGATAAAGAAAAAATGTTATTAATTGAATAGAAAAAATAAGCCTAAAAGGCATAATATAAATAAAAATCTAAAAATATTGTGTAAAACAATTTATAAGTTTAAAATTTGTATGTAAAATTATGAATAAAATAGTTATTAATTTTTTTAACCATTTAAATTACGTATAAAATTTTATAGGCATTTACTTTAATATAATTTGAGTTTTTATTAATAAAGATAACGCTAAATAAGGTACACTGTTTTTTTTTTCAATAATTTTATGTATAAGGTAAAATTTATTTGAAAATAGATTTTATCAAACTTAAATTATCAAAAAAAATTTTTTTTTGTCTAAAATGTTTACCAATATTTTTTCTTAAAATATTTATAAAATAACTAAAATAAATAATGAATTTAACAAAAACTTTCAAAATAAAAAATTTTATAAATCATTGAGTTTATGTATTATTAAAATGGAAATAAAAAATATGTTAGGATGTTTAAATAAAATAATAATTTTTTATTCATTTTGATATCATAAGATAAAATTTTTTGAAAAAAATAGAATTGATGGATGGGTTAACTTAATTGATGAGAATTAGTAGTAAAGTTTGAATTAAAAATAAATTGAAACTCAAGTCTATTATAATCAAGAAATTACAGCAATTTAAAATTTATACTTTATGATGATTTGTTAAATTAGCTTAGTTGTATTAAGCAAGAGATTATAAATAGTTTTAGTTATTAAATAGGGATATTTATTGCTATTAATTACAGTTTTCGTACTTTGTATTTTCAAGCAAATTAAATTATAACATTTTTAATAAATAATTTTTAATTAAAATGTTTCAATTATATATTTTGATTTTTAACATAAATGCAAGTAATATAAATACACAAGAACATTTCTTTGTACTTTGATTTTGTTAGAATAATAACATTTATATATTCTTTTGAATAATTTAATTAAGGAAGAAAAAGTAAAAAAAATGAGCAAGATAAAAGGCTAGAGAAGCTCGCTTTTATTAACAATCAATTTTTTTACAAGATTAAGGTGCCTTATGATAAAATATTAGGATGATGATAAGGCAAGATGCTTTTCGAGCTGTTATAATCAAAAATAAAAATTATAATATAAGAATGAAAAATATTCATTCTTACTTTATAATTGATTTAATAAAGAAACAAGAGAAGATTTTTGCATAATATAAGAAGAAGAAAGAGATGAATCAAATTTAATAAAATCAGAAAGTAATTTTATGTATTGTCTATTCATGTTTAATTAAAAGAAAGTATCCACATTCACAGAATTTTTAGTTTGAAAGAATACTAAATAAAAAACAAATAAAAAAATAGGTTGAATTGAAGTTTTTCTATTTTACAGCTTCATACTTTAATTAATGAGAATATAGCTTATATTTATATTTTATGCTGTTAATTCTCTGTTTATTACATATATTTATTTCAAATAAAAAGCAAAATAAATTTATCTATTATAAAAAAACAAAAAAATAGAACACAAATTTATTGGCTACTAAATTTATTCATGTTTAGTTATCAAATTTATTACAAATTATCCTAAACATCTATTTTTCTAAGTCTTCTTTTTTTTCTTATTATAAAAAAAAAGCTTTTAATTTTTTCCTTATCTTCAATTCTAGGCTTTTTTATATATGTGTACGAAGTGATCCGTTTTGATTGAATTAATCACCACATTTACATTTGTATATATATGGTTTTTTTTCTCATTTATTTGATTGTTTACCTTTTGGTCTTCCTATTTAAATACGACGGTATAGTTAATTTTTATAAATTTTTGAACTATTATGTATGCTTATGCAATGTTTAGTGAAAGAAGCTTGATTGGCATATTGATTTTCACACTATTTGCAATACCAATTTCTATTTTATCTGAGGAGCATATGTTCGTATGAGTCTAAATTTTATGAACTCTCTTCAAAAAATCTTTAAAGGGGGTATGAAAGTTGAGATTGATTAGAATCTTACTCGAACTGATCCTAGTCTAAATATTAGTTTGACATTTTTTTTATTATTGCTATTTTGTTTTCTTTATTATTGTTTCTTTTTTTAATTAATTAATTATAAAAAAATGATAAATTCTTTTTTGTGTTTTCAATCTATTTACAACTCTGAAACAAAAGAATTTTTTTATTACTTAAATTAAAGAATATATTGAAGGAAAGGTCTGATCTTAAATTTCAATGTAAATGTGATAGGATGTACGTAGTTCATGTATAAATTTGGGCTGCTTGCCTATCATTATAATTTCTGCTTTTATAATTTTTTTTACCTATCACTCCTTTATCAGTTAGTATTGACTAAAAAAAAAACAAAAATAAAAATATTTTAATACAATTCCAATCACTATTTTATAAGTTAATTTATCAATAAAAAAATACTTACAAAGTTAAAGTCTGATAATATTTTTGAATCTGGTTAGAGAAGTCTTTTCTTTCAGTTTTTTAAAAGCAAAGGATAATTTAAATGGACTATTTGTTAAAAGAAAATGATCATGCATATTTATAAAATGGAGTAATTCAAAATATTAGCATTAACTGATTATTCAATTACAATAATATTAATTAATTGCTCTCTCATTTAACTTTCAATTTTATTAAAAATGATCTAAGAAATTTAGAACTTATGTAATAGATTGATGTTTAATAGTAATAAAAAAAGACTGTGCGGTGAAGATTCTATTTATATATATATATTATTTCTCTTTAAATATCAATAACAATTATGGAGTTAATTATTTTCCTGTTTTAATTTTGAATGATTGATATCTCAAATAATTTACTCCAGCTTTTTCCTGTCAAGCGATACATATTAATTTTTTTGTCAATTTGTTCATTTTCAAAAATTGGAAAATATAAAAGCTTTCAAAGTGCTACTGTAACATTAGTAAATAATTTTTTCAAAGCTATTTTTCTTAGAAAGTTTCAAGTACTAAAGGCCATTTGGCATATATGCTATTAAGGATAATCGGAGGTATTCAATTATTAATTGCAACTATAAAAAATGGAAGACAGTTAGCATGTACTTATCATTCAAAAAATATAGATATAACCTCCGAATTGGATTACTGAATTATTTATTGAAAATATATGTAATTATTAGTAATAGAAATATTGATTAAATTACTTAAAGAAACAGCGTCTCCAACAAAAAAATACATAAGAATAAAACTTTCAATTACATTCTCAAGAGTAATATAAAAAAGAAAATATCTCTCATTTAAATTAGATTAACATTTTTTATATCAAAGTTGACATAAAAAATACATGCATGCATACGTACATACTTCACTCTGGTTAAACATATAAGTAAAAAATTGTATAGCATTATTCTTTTGTTTGCTTAAAAGTTCCAAATACTATAATAGCCAAAATGTTTTTGATTTTTACTTTATTTTTCTATTATTTGATTACATTCTATTTCATTTCTTGGTTTGATGTTAAAATTTTTGATTTCAACTCGAAATTTTATCTTTTCTTTTTTATTCACACTATTTTGTCATTTGTCGTCTCGCTTATGTATAATTTACCTTTGTGTTAATTAATTTTTGCTGCCAGCATGACCAGGATATCAAGCGATCAGAATTTGTCAAAGAAATAAAGCCAAAAATTTTTAATTTAGAATTTAATTAAAATAGAAATTATTATATAAATTTCTAATATAAAATTTATTGAGTTTGTTCATATGTTTACAATTACTAAGCAAACTATTAAAAAAAGTATATTTTTTACTAAACAACTATTTTGTAGATTAAAAAGAGCCTATCAAAAGGTATTCCTATTTTTAAATAATGATACCTTTATGCTTAAATAAAGTATCCATTTTTATATTATTAAAATCTAATCAAATATCCATAAAAAAATATAAAAATTGCTTTTATAACTAACAATAATAACATTTTTAGATTATTATAAACTTAAATTATATTCTATTTTACTATTACTTATTAACTTGAATTTAAAACTATATTTTTAGATAATATATAATAGATATTGGTAACGTGGCATCAGTGGAATAAAATAAATTTCTTCACTTGTTTTATGTATGTTATGTTTTTGATTGATTTTTAATTGTAATAAAAAAAGACTGTGTGGTGTAACATCTACTTTACAATATATATTATTTCCCTTTAAATTTCCAATAATAATTATGGGGTTAATTTTTTTTTGTTTTAATTTTGAATGAGTAATAGAAAAATTTAAATTGATTAAAATACTCGAAGAAGTAGCGTCTCCAACAAAAAAAACATAAGAAAAAGACTCTCATATATTTGCTTATGAGAAATATATTTCATTTAAATTAGATTAATATTTTTTATTTAAAACTTGACATACATACATACTTCATTCTACTTAAACATAAAAGTAAAAATTTTTATAGCATTATTTTCTTATTTGCTTAGAAGCTCCAAATATTATAATAGTCAAAATGTCAAAGATTTTTACTTCATTTTTCTACTACTTTGATTAAAATCTATTTCACTACACACTCACTCGACGAAACATGCCAATTTTTTCATTTCCCCCCACTTATCTATTCCCTTTAATTAATCTTAGGATAATGCACAAGCGGAACGGTGCTTATGTATTATTACCAAAATTATTTTTTGCTAAGTTAAATGAATATCTTTATTTGTTTTCTTGTTTTATAGCTAAGATAATTATGAAATATAGTAAAATATTTTAAGTTATCACTTGATTTCCTTATATTTATTTATATTTGCCTTTCTTAATTATTCTTTCTAGAAATTATTTTTTTTTTCTATCACATATATTTGTTATGTATGAAGTGAGCTTTTCCATAAGACTATGTATTAATTTACGTTTTTGTTAATTTTTGCTACCTACATGATCAGGATATCAAGAGATCAGTATTAGAAAAGAAAAATTTTTAATTAAGAAATTAATTAAAATAAAAATTATTATATAAATTTCTAATATAAAATTTATTGAGTTCGTTCATATATTAACAATTACTATGCAGACTAAAATAAAAAAATACATTTTTAACTAAACAACTATTTTGTAAATTAAAAAGAGCCCATCTAAAGGCATTCATATTTTTAAATAAATGATACCTTTGTGTGTAAAGTAAGCAACACTTGACCTAACAAAAAAAACATCCATTTTAATTTAGATATTATTATTAAAATCTAATCGAATTTCCATAATAAAAATATAAAAATTGATTTTATAACTAATAACATTAACAAATTAAATTTCATTCTATTTTACTATTACTTAATAACTTGAATTTAAAACTATTTTTAGTTAATAAAAAAAAGATATTGGAAAAGTGGTATCAGTGGAATAAAAAAATTCCTTGACCTGTTTTACATATGATTTTATCTAACTCAAAAACTACAAAATCATTAAAACATATTTTATTTTTTATACAATTGCCCTCCTTTTTTAAATCTTAAAATATTCCATTGTGAACTCATCATTTTAAAAATTTAATTTGATCATAAATACAAGAAAAAAAACAAAGAAAGATACTTTTTATTTTACATTAAAAAGTTAATGGCTATATGCTATTTAGCAGTAATAGCCTTTTTTTTTATTGCAAAGTGCTAAAATACTTTGTGATTTAGATAGTTACTCTTGAAATTTTTTACCAATATTGCAGCTCGCATATTGAATATTAATTTATTAGTTCAAATTAAAAAAGAATTGTTTCTTGTAATTTATGCCAAATCAAATAATTTAACTTATATTATTAAAATTTGATATTAATAAGCTTTGAAGCAGCTTTGAGTTGGTAATCAGTTGTCTAAGAAAAATTAAAACTAAATATTTTGATGTTAAGGACAAACTATTTAAATGTTAGCTAAAATATTATATTTATTGTATTAATGCTTTATAAATTTGATTTGATTTTAAAGTCATTTTTCAATTTGAAAATCTAACTTTCTTATAATCAAACTACCTTTTAGAAAAGTAACTCGATTAACCTACCTTCAAATCTAATAAATTTTACAAGGAAGTGGTTCTTTTAATAAATTTCACCTACCCATAGAATTAATTCTTTTTAAGTCAAGATAAGTTTTTATTAAATTTAATTTATTTTTTAAAAATCATATAAAGACAGGCAGTAAGATATAGAAATATTAATTAAGAATTTCTATTGAACAAAATATTGAGGAGAGTTGAAACATATTTTAAAATTAACTTAACAAAATCCGATCTAAAATAAATAAATAAGATTGATGAAAACAAGTAAAAGAATGTAATAATATTTTTTTCAAAGTGAATTGAATATAATGATAATGATTAGTTTGAATAATTTAGAAGTAGGAATGACAACAATTTATAAATATCTTATTAATAGAAATGTGTAATATTATATCAATATAATTCTTTTCTTTTAATTGATGAGTGATATAATTTATTAAAGATTATTTATTTATTCGATATATTGGATAACTCCAATTATTTGAATATAGTTATTAAATTCATATAATTTTTTTGTATAAAAAGAGTTATATTAAAGTTATCTGGTTTTTCTGATTTATCTTTAAAATTGTGACTTATCAGAGGAAGAATGAAAGAAATAGAGAAACATCCATCACACATATTTGTTTTCAAGAGGATAGCATTTTTCTTCTTTTTTAGTAGTATTTTAACTTTTGTGATTAGCTTGGATTATCAATAGATTATAACAAAAATCTCACAACTTGTAAGTGAACTTCTTTATTCTAAACTTTACTATTCTCAAGCCAAATAGATTCGATATTTTAAAGAAAGTACCTGAGAAGCATCTTGAAGGAATCTTTCTCAATCATATGCTTAGCTTTCATGTTCCATCTTTTTCCAGAAATTTTCAAGTTTCTCTTCAATAATTTGACTAATTAAGAATAGCTTTTTTTATTTGCCAGTTTACAAAATTCGTTCTATTTATCGCAGTCTTTTTCATTCTCAATATATCTCTAGAAAGATTTTAAGATATTTTTCATAGTATTTGAGTGTTTAATAGCAGAGACATTTTCTTCAAGGTCAAATTCATTTGAATTGCTAATACTACTTTATTTATTATCTTATGTGTTGATTATCTCAGAATCTTCTTAATATTCCATGATCTCTATATCAGGCATTGAGCTGGTGTTAATGTTATTAAATAAATATTCAGAATTGTTTTTGCTACTAGAAAAGTGTTATTATTCTTCTTTTTCAACATGTTACTTTTGACTGTAATTAGCACAAGTCATTTTCTCATCTTTTTATTATGAAATCCAGGCATCTTAATTAGCAACTTTTTCAGCAATTTCAATCAAAAGGGCAATAGAGAAACTCTAGTTAAAAGCGCTCTTGAAATTTTCATTTCTTTTTACAGAGATTTAAAGAGAGGAACTTTAATTGGTTTTCATTTAGAAATAGTTTATAGAATGTATAATAATAATTATTATTTTTATATAAATTTTATCATAAAATTTTAAAAGGTTCACCACAACTATTATATTTAAATTTATTAAAATAAAAGTGATTATTTCATGAGTTTTTTATTGCTTCAAATTATGTAATAGCAGTTAAATTAAAAACTCCAGCTGATATATTTTTAATATAAACTTATTTATTTATAATGTAAATACAATTAATTAAACCATAAAATATTTCCTCTATTCTCAACTATTTAGTATTCTAATTATTATTTGTTCATTTAAAATTCGTGGGATCTAGGAACATTTAAACAGCTTACACCAAATCTGATTATTATTTATAATATCTTTACTGAAACTAATTACAAAAGAATAGAAGCACTGATAGATGTAAAATTTGATTAACAATAGTTTGAAGTTATATAGGTTTTTTTTAATCCACACAATAATAAACCAGTAAATTTTATTTTCAAGCTTTTCTTAGATTTTAAAAAAATAATTTGTAAAACATAAATGACATTTCAAACTAGATTAAAGTTTTAATAAATAGACCTCATTTTTCTAAATTATAAAAGTTAAAATGGAAAGCGTGCATATGATATTAAATTAATTATCACTTTTAATGTTATTTCAAAACGCCCTTTAAGACTTTGAGACATTTTATTCAATTTTTTTTTTTCTTCTAAGAATTGTTGTTGAATATTTTTTTGAATAATTTTTTCAAACATTTTTAATCAAAATTATGATTTCTATTTACTCGAAAAAAATACAAACATTACTTCTTTCAAAAACTATAAGTATGATTTCTAATATAATTTAATTATATAACAATTATAATATATATTCAGTAATGAGTTGTAAGAGCCACTCTTTTTAACTTAAAAAATCATATTTTGTTCAACATTTTGTGAAAATACTTGAAAAATATTTATTTACTCTCATAAATATTTGATTTTTAAATAGTTTATGGATTTTATTTATCATACTATTTATTGAATATTTTATGGCAATTGTTTTATTTTCCAATTTATTTAAATTATTGTGACAAATTTTATAATACTTACCTAATCTAGCTAAAAACTGAATCTCACCTTAGATTAAATTAATAGCCACTATTCTTACTATTCTTGGCTATTCCCTTTCTAAATTATTAAAGATAGGGATAAGATTATTCGTTAATTCTGCATTTTTAAATCAAAATTTTATTTCAATATATATATTGCGAAAATTTTCATTTGATTGATTTTTCTAAAATACTATTTTATAGTCAAAAGCTTGATAAAAAAAACCGTTTCTTTGCTTAAAAAATTTCTTTAAACTAAAGGAATTTATTTTATATCATACTTTTTAGTTATAAACATTGTTTGTAAAATAAACTAACTATAAATATAGAAATATATTATCAATAATTTTTTTTTAATTTAAATAAAGTAGGTTACTAGAAGAAGAAAAATACACCTTTACTTTATGATAATACTTAAAATATTAAACATATTTATCCACAAATAAATAAATTAATGCATCAAATAATCCTTATACTTTCAATTAAAGCTTAATTCTAATATAAAATAAATTTACTTAATGAAAGAAAGAAACATCTATCATATTAAGTAAGTTACTACAAAAAATTTCCTTAAATGGGGAAAAAAAATTGATTATCACATAATTTATTTAAATTTAATACAGTATTATTTTCATAGTAATAGCTAATTAGTCTAATTCCTTTTCTTTGCTCATTTAATATAAAAAGAATAGTTTATCATAAAAGAAAAACAAAGAATTGATTTAACATGTTTATCAGTTTAACTATTGATAGAATATGTAACTATCACAAATTGGTTGAATAAAATCTAAACTTTTTATGTAGAAGTTTTATATATAACTTGTATCATTCATAAATTTTAATTTTTATTATTGTCTTTAAAAATAATTAAGAATACTCATGTAAAAATAAATTTTTCTATTATAAACTCTTTTACACTCAACATCATATACGTACTAACAAGTTTATTGATAATATAAGAATTAGCGTAATTTAAAGATTCGATTAATTAAGATATACTTAGTTTTTTGAAGTATGTATTTGAGGAAAACTACAATAATATTATTATCAAACTAAAGAGAAAAGAATGTATTTAGATTTAAAAATATTTTAAATTTTTATTAGTTAAGTAATTCAGAGATTTTTTAGAAGACTTATATTCTTAGATTTGATCAGCTATAATTATCGTTAATTATTGCTATTTGAGGATTTTTTTATAATAGAGAGATATAAAGTAGTAGGTTACACCTATATCTATTTATCTCTCTAATAAAAATTAATATATCGTAATACTTCATTAAATAGTAATTAAAAAACCATTAAAATGGCTTAAGAGAGTGAGGTTTTGATTTCTTTCCGAAATAAATAATGTTTTCTCAAGAAAAAACTGAATAAATAAACTTCATCTTATATAAAAATAAACCTTGTTTACTTGATTTTTGAAAATTCTTTTTTTAAGATGAATAACTGGTTTTTATTTAAAGAATAAGTATGAACATGAATTAATATATTTATTACTGTCTTTGTTTTTTAATTTTTTTTGTTTTGAGTTGTGGTTATGAATTTATTAATTTTAAAATATACAATTTATTTACAATTTAGGTTCTACTAACTAATTAAGCATCTATAACAAAAAAAAATTATGTTAAACAGAAAATAAATTTTTATAAAAGACACTATCTCTGTAAATTAGCTTTTTATAGTTATTCCTATTCAACCTAGTTTTAATTATATTGGATTGTATTAATATTATTTGTTACTTAGATTGACTTTAATTTCTTAACTAATTTATTTACTATTTTTGTATGTAGGATTTGTTAAAAAGCTGATCTCTTTTTAAATTATTATTAAATATGATATTAAAATGGAAAGTAAAGTTATTTCCTTAAAGCTATTTCACATCAAGATTTGGCATGCATTTTTTTATTAAAAAGACAAATAAAAGGAAATCTTTTATATTTGGTTTATTTTCATCTATAAAATTAGAAAAAATGTGTGATATAAGTTATGAATCAAATTAATTTAGTTTCTACTTTAGGTAAAAAATAGCACAAAAAGAATAGATGTAATGTAAAAATAAAAACAGATGATTTGAGGCAATAAATAAATAATTAAAAAATATAAATAATATGAATTCATCGATTTATTATGGCTATATGTTATATTGAATTAAAAATACGAATATTGATGCGCTATCAATTTTTTACCCATTTTACAGGTTTAATTTTATCTTTTCATTATTTTTTATAAAAGCCATTAATTTTTAAGCAAACAGTACTAAATATTATTTTATGTATAAAAAAGGGTTATTTACTTTTCTTTTTTTGAATAGTTTTTCATTAATGTTTAGATTTTTTTAAAATCATTAAAAATTTGTTTATTAGCATTTTAAAAATTTGCCTCCAGCTAAATAGTTGGAGGTCAGAAAATTAGCCTTTATAGGTAGAGTATTTTTTTTTCTACTAATTATTAATTTAGATTTTAAATTGTTTGTGATTACACAGCTAATGCCAGTTAAAAAAAGTAAAAGATAATAAATAAATGCAATAGCCACAATAATAACCAATAAATTAATTAACATTTTTGTTTCTTTTAAAAGTAAGAAAAAAATATGATAAAATGAATAATGTGATTTCAGCTTAAATTGATGATATTGTTAACAAGACTGGTATAGGTGTATTGGAAATTATCAATTTTATGAAATAAAATCCTTACTTGAAAGTAATTCGATTATAAAAGATTAATAGGCTTTTGGAATTCTCAAACAATATTTTATCTACTCTGAATTTAAGTGTAGAAAAATTTGATAAGATCAACCCTTTAAGTAATGCAATATCAAACTTTAGAGATATTTGATTTCAATGATAATCTCTTTCTGGTTATTAGTATTTTGTTATTAATATACTGATCAGCATAAGTTTATTCTCAAAAAGGCTCTTGAGTAAATAGAAAAAATAAAAAAGAATAATTCATCTAACATGCTACTGCTATAATTAAGTAATTCTTCGAAAACTATAAATCAGTTGCCATTTAACTGTTTTAAAGATTATGAAAATAAAAAGAAAATTGGTGATATTTAAAATCTTTATTGTATTTTTTATTTAATAAAATGTTTGTCTTTTTTTTAAATTAAGTTTTAATCACAAATAAAATCTAAATAATTAATTTTAAAAGAACAATATTCATTCAACTAACTTTATGAAAAAACTATTTATTAAAATGATACAAATATTTTTTAGCTAATACCAACATTTGATTAAAAAAATTATTTTTATTTTTAGTAATTTTTATTATTCAATTTTTTTAATATTGGTTGTTTGCTTTTCTTTTTTTAACTGATTTATTGTGAGCTAAATAATAAAAGAAATATTATAATAATAAGAAGCTTTTGTTTTCATAGCAAGCGCGATTAAAATAATTAAGTATTTTATGGGTAAAAATTAATTTCATGATATCGTTAGTTAAATATTATGCTTAAGTAATAAGGTAATTTATAATTAGTAGCTGAGAAGAATGCTCTCTTGCAAGATACCATGCTAATTGGCTCTAATAACGTTTATCGATTATTTGGCTCGATGTAAGTTTGTTATGCTTAAAATCGATAAAAAATTTATTAAAATTATCTTACTGTTAAAAATTTAAACCTAACTCAATCTTCGAGAATAAAATCTCTAGAAATCGAGTACTTATATACCTTATTTTCTTGATTATCATCACTAATTTTTAGCTAAATTTTGTAAAAAATTATCCATTTATTGATATTTGATTTTGATTAGTATAAACAAACTCAAGTGAATGATAATCAAGAAATTAAGGTAATTTAAAATTAATATTTTATTATCATATTTAAATTAGTTTAGTTGTATTTTGTGAGAGAAGATAAATCACTTTAGTGACTAAATGGGCACATTTATTTCTATTAATTATTTTTCATACTTAGTTTTTTCGAGTGAATTGAATTATAAAATTTTAAAAAGTAAAATGCTTCAATTTTATATTTTTGATACTTAATATGAAAGCGAGTAATATAAATGGCACAAAATCATTCCTTTTTACTTATGTTTAATACGAATAAAGATATTTATTTATACAGTCTTTTCAAGATTTAATTAAAGAAAAGAAAGTAAAAATAAAGGAGAGAGACGAGAATTGAGAGAAGCTCGCTTTTATTAATCAATTTTTTTACAAAATTAATTTATTTTATGATTAAATATTTGGATGATATAAGGCAAGATGCTATTCGCATTATTATGAATGAAAATAAGAAATGTAGTATCTGAAAAATATTCATTGCTACTTTGGATTTAATTAAGATTTTTGTGTCATATAAGAAGAAAATAGTAGAACTTATATTCAATAAAAACGGGTAGAAATTAATTATTTCATGCAATATTTTAATACTAAATATATCATATTTATTGAAATTTAATTTTTTATGGACGGCCTCTTTTTCTTTTTATGGTCTCAACAATTTTATTGTCATTTTTTGGGGGTCTTCCTACTCCTCTTGATATAGTAAAATATCTTTTAATTTCTTTTTATTCAACGATTTTATGGACGATTTGAATATGTGATTTTAATCCTCCATACTAAGTGAATGATTAAAAACATGAACTACATTTGTAATTTGATTTTTTTTTTTCAGATTGTTTTATTGTTTTACTCCCTTTTACTCTTCCTCTTGGAGAACGACGGTTGAGTATATAGTCATAAATATTAAACAGAAATTTGTCAGATTTTTTTAAATTAAAATGAATGACTTTTAAATGATTAGTTATAGCACCTTGACTGGAACACCTTTTTTGACATAATTTGCAAACCCACTTACTTTTTGACGGATCTTCTCCTTCTAAGGCCTGGCAAAGTGATTATGTATATTGATCTTTAATATGATAGGTTGAATTTGTGTCAATAAATAGATTTTCCTACTCATGAGCATTTTTTTGTTAACCTTCAACAAGAATTTGTGAAGAATCGTTACAAGCAATAGGTCTCTGTGAACAGGCATCATTAATGAAATGAAAAGAATTCTAGGAGGGGGATTGATTTTCTTCTTCTAGATTTTCAAAGCACATGGAGTTTAATTATAATTCGTAGAGCACTTTTTTTTTATGAAGAGTATATGGGCTGTTTATATTAGGATTTTAGTCATAACATAATCTAATCATAGATTTTTCAGTCCACCCATACTCATCATAGTCATACTAGTAATTGCGCTCTGGAGGTGAGTCTTATTGTTAATACTCGTGCTATGACAGGTTTAAGTCATCAAACGATTAGAACATTTCTTATTGTTTTTTTAGATTTTTTTTTTTTGATTTTTTTTTTTTAATTAAAAATTATACAAAATATGATAATCTTTTGATTTTTTAAATTGATATATTAAAGGATTTTTTTAAATATCTCAACTGATTAAATGAATTGGCTATTCACAAATTGCTAAATGCAAATTCTATAAAAGGCTCTATACATACATACATACATACATACATCAAGCCTTCTTTCTAAATAGTGGTTGAATGATATATTGCTATCCTTGCTCCCTTAATAGTTTTTTATTAAGATATACTGCTTGTTGAATATATACGCAAAAAAATTAAAATTATACATAAGGATATGTTAAGGTTCGCGCTCGTGCGTTGAATTATAAAAAAATAAAACACTTCAACTTTTAACTCAAATACAAATTAATTTTGCTTACCCGCTAAAATTACTTAATATGTAAATAATAATTAAAAATTTATGGGTGGGTAAACTTGATTTCTATTAATTCATATATACTAAACATCAAACATGTGAAAAAAAATGAACCGCTATCACCATTATATAGTTATTTAGCAAGCATTCGACTATGAAAACTTTAAAGTTGTTTAAATAATATGCATTCTAAATTTAAATTAAATAGTATTTTTTTAATTTAAAATCAATGAAATTTAATATTAGTCTATCAATTTTAATTAAAAAAAACATTGATTATGAGGAATTGATGTACGGGTAGTGTATTTTTTAATTAATAAAATAGTTTAAAATTTTAAATAGTTTATTTTTTTACCTAGGAAATTGGTTGCAATTCTTATCTTACAGTTCAGAATAGCGAATGAATACCTCTTATCATTATTTATTTATATTAATATCTATTCTATTTTTAGGTATTAAACAATTCTTTCTATCTAATGATAATATTAAGGTGAAAATATAGAAAGAAATCAACTTTATATAATTACAATACTATTTGAAATACAAAAAATATTTAAACATCCATGTTTTTTTGAATTATAAGAATAATTTGTTTATCGACTATATTACATATGTGTAGAGAGGGAAAATCAAGCCTGCTCGAATTTTTTTATTGATTAGTATAATGGTATATTTTAATTAAATTTTGGCATGCAGTATCTATCTTACAAACTATTGAATTTTATTAAACAAATTGATATGATATTTTTTAGATACTTAGTTTCTATTTTCAGATAAATAGAACTAAGTATTTATTACACTTGATTCTTATCAAATTTGATTCAAAAATTTTGATGATTTTTATATTAAAAATCAATTTTTTTCCTTTCATTAAAAAAACAAATTGTAACCAAATACAAGAATTTATGAATGTTGAGTGGGGAAAGAAAACTCTTTTGGCCTTCATTAAAATTTTTTTTAGTTTACAGTCTTTGGCCATAAGTTAGAGGATTTAGAGTAAATTTATATTATAGGCTTTCAATTTGCTTGTTTATTACATATTTTATTTCAAGAAAAAGCAAATTGCTACATCTTTTATATATAACACAAATTCAATTGATAGTGACAATAATAATACTAACTTTTACATATATCTATATAAATATTTATAATTTGACGTTTAGTTATCATCTTTCTTACAATTTCACCTTTGTTTTGAGGGTCTACCTATCGTTTTTTATTCAGCAAAATACTTTTTAATTTCTTCGTTGTCTTCTATTTTGTGGATATTTCTTACATGGGTGTACAATCCTCCGATTTGGCAGAATGATTTTTTACAAATACAATGGTATTATTTTCTTTTCTCAGGTTTCTTTATTGATTTACTGCCTTTTGCTCTTCCTCTTGGAAGACGAGGACTTAGTAAATATTAATAAATATTTACTTAAACTTTGTCAGATTTTTTTAATCCCATGTGGATGACTTTGATATGATTAAGGAAAGCACCTTGATTGGAACATCTTTACCTACATTATATGCAGAACCATTTTTCTATTGCTGGCACATTATTTTCCTCTACGAGCTGGTTGAGATTTTGTGTGTACTCGTCAACAACATCTGAATTTGCTTCCAAAAATTATCTTTCCTATTCGCTCAAGTTTTAGCTACTGAACTAAATCAATAGTTAGTTATGAGGATAAATATTTTATTGATTATCATCGGCTAGAATATTTTGTGCTGCATCTTCTTGAATGAAGGAACCATTAGAATTGGTCAAGTTTTAAAGCTAGTATGAATCATATTGAGTTTATTCTATGTTTAGGAGCATTAAATGATCAGATATATCGTAATTCGCAGATTATTCTGACTACCCGTACTGAGAATCTAGCTAGGATGAGTACTCAAAAGTTGAGTATTGTTCAAAATGTGACTGTAAAAGGTTAAAGTGTTAATCAAAGTCTGACATTTCTTGTTATCTTTTTGTTTTCTTCTTTATTGATTGTTTTTTTAATTAATTAATTATAAAACAAAATTTTGCTTTGCTTTTTCAATCTTAATTTTTGAGATAAAAGTATTTTTTTTTTTTTTTTACTTTAAATTAAATAAAAACTTTGAATGAATCGCCTTTATGCTTGAATCTGCTTTGATTCTTTGAGAAGGCTTTTCTTTGAGTCTCTTTAAAAGTAAAGGTGGGGAGGAAAATTTTGTTTACTATTAATGAAGACGCTATTACTTTTTACATATCTAATCTATTGCAAAAATTATTTAAAATGTGTAATTGAAATTAACTTTTTGTTTATTTGAAAAATTTTTTGCATACATCAGAAAAAAATTGTTTATATTTAATGTGTGTGTAACTTAAGGTATGTACTATTCATTCATTTACAATAATCAATTTTTCTTTCTTACAAATTGATTTTATATTGTAAAATAAAAAACTGCGTTGTGTTGTAAGCTTTATAACTTACAGTATATTAATTATTTCTATCTAAATTTACAATAAAAATTGAGGAGTTAATTATTGTTTTGAAGAAAAATTCAATACTAGAACCATCAAATTGCACACTACCGCTTTTTCCTCTCAAAAAGCAAATTAATTGTTTATCTATTTACTCATTTTCAATAATTAGACAATATAAAAGCACTCAAAGGGCTATCATAAGCATTAGAGAATGCTTTTTTCAAAGCTATTTTTTTTAGATAATTTCAAGTACAAAAGTCTATTTGGCATATTGGTTACAAAAAATGATAAGAAGTATCCAACTTAATTATATTACAAAGATATTCAAATGGGGTAGAAGCAAAACAAAATATTTAATTAAAATCTACTAAAATGATATTGAATATAAGTGCGAAGATGCTCAGATCTTCGGAGCTTACATAATTTCTAATTGGTTAAAGATATTTTAAAAAGAAATTTCCCTCAAAAGAAGTAGGGGAAGAAAACTTTGATTTAATTTGTATATGAAACTATGTAATATTTTGTATAATTTACATGACTTCCATACTTTATTCTACATTAATATTAAACAAACATGTATATATTTATATATCTTTATTTTTATATTTACCTTATAGCTCCAAATACTATATATTATATTTAAAATATTATTAGTTATCACTTTCTACTATAATAGTAAAACAAACATTTTTATATTTCTTTATTGTTATATTTACTTTGTTTGGAGGAGCTCCAAATACTAATTATTAAAGTCAAAATATTATAATTTTACACATAATTTTCCATTCTTTGATTAAATCAATTTTCTTTATAGAATTCTATATTGATTCTTAATAAATTCCCCAACATTGGAATTAGGCTAATTTTTGATTGCTCTGCACTCGTTGGAGGATGTATTAAGATATCTTATCATTAATTTTCTTTATATATTAATTCTTTGATATGATTTGACAATGATATGAATGAATTCACTAACATTGAAATTAGACTAATTTTTGATTGCGTGCATAAGATGTATTTAGATACCTTATTTATTTTCTTTATATATTAATTCTTTGATATGATTTCACAATGATATGAATGAACTCATTAACATTGAAATTAGACTAATTTTTGATTGCGCGCATAGGATATATTAAGATACCTTATCATTAATTTTCTTTATATATTAATTCTTTTATATGATTTCACAATGATATGAATTCACTAACGTTGGAATTAGACTAACTATTGATTGCATAGGACTTATTAAGATATCTTATAATTTTTTTTTTTCATATTCCCCACTTAATCAATTTTATTAATTTGAAATGAACTCACTAGCGACACTATAGCGATATCATTACCAAAATATCTTTTGCTAAATAAGAATAATATGATTTTATATTTACAATTATTTTATAGGGAAGATAATTAATTTGAAAATATTATTTTATTAAAATATTTAAAGTTTATCACTTGATTTGGTTGTTATATTTACATTGAGAAAACTATTATTTTCTAGAAAATTCTCATTTTTTTCTTTTATTTGATTTACAAAAGAAGTCAGATGATTACTGTTAACCGTAAACTAGTTGTTAATTTAAAGATTGACCACGTATGTATAGTTGTTAATTAATTAATTTTTGCCTTCCCCACATCATATCGATGATGGGAATATCAAGTGATCAGAATTAATCAAAGATAATGAGCCAAACAAAGTGGGCGGGGGGAGTAGCTTAGAATAGAAACATTTTTAATATAGAAAGAAATTAATTAAAATAAAAATAATAATACATATTTCTAATATAAAATTTATTGAGTTCATTTATATGTAAACAATTATTTTGCAGATGCCTAAAATAAAAAAGAACATTTTTATTATGCAACTATTTTGTAGATTAAAAGCCCATTAATAGACATTTCTACTTTTGAATAAGTGTTAAATCTTCACATAATACAACAAGCAGCGCTTGACCTAACAAATAAAGTATCCATTTTTGTTTAGACATTATTATTAAAATCTAATCAAATTAATTTATTTAACTTCAGGCATTTTCGAAAAATTAGACATTTAAAGTGTTTCCATAATAAAAATATAAAAAAGTAATTTATAACTAACAATTTTAATGTTTAGAGATGATTATAAAATGAAATTCTATTATATTTTACTATTACTTGATAACTTAATTGAATTTAAATCTACATTTTTAGATAAAATTTTAAAAGAGTTTAAAGAAAACATTAAGATAAAAATAAATTGTTATATATGTAATATACTCTATTTTAAATTAAATATAGTTAATTTTGCGTGTCAAATAATTAAGTATAAACATAAGTAGTTTGGCTTTTTTTTGCTGGAAGAAATATCAACTCATTGCATATTATTCTTAGTCTAATAATATTAAAATATAATGAAATTATAAAGCTTTTCTAAAAAATGTCATTTTACTTTCACAATCTTTATCAGAGAAAAAAATTATTTCGAAAAAATAGATGAAAATTTAAAAAAAAACAAAAATGTGTAAAAAAAAAGCAATAAAATAAAAAATAAAATTTCTTTTATTTTTCTTATTTTCTTTTTTTAATTTGATAACACAAAAATTAATTAATTAATTAATTGATAAACTAATTATCAATATAAATTAATAAGAATATTGGTATGAATCTCCAAACAATTTCATTTTGAATTTAGCAAGTATTTCCAATTTTCCCCACCTATCTTAGTTTATCAATAAATTACTAGGTTGAATACAAATTGCACGTTTATAATTTATGTTTGTTTTACCAAATAATGATATTTTTTCATCTTTAAATTATAAAATGAGAGCTATTTTTTATCTTAATAAAATGTATAAAAATTAAATGATATGTTTTTATTTTAACTTTATTTATAAGCTCCATACTTCTCTTCTTGTGCTTAAAGTAAAACAACCACCTTATTATTTAATCTAATTTATGAATCTTCCAAAATAAATAAAAATTACACTTTTATTATTAATTAATTTGTGTTTTATATAATTATGATAGCTTTTCTATTTTCATATTTAAATCAAAAATATGAGAGCGATATTTTATCATAATAAAATGAATAATAAATGAAATTATATTTTAACTTTATTCATAAATTCATTCTTCTCTCCTTATGTTTAAAATCAAAAGATCATCTAATTTATAAATCTTGCAAATAAATACACTTTTTCATATTATAATATGGATAGTATTTGTGTATCAATCAATATACAAATATACAGATCAAGCTAAATATTAATTTAAATAAATTACATAAAATAATTAATATATTTATTGATTTATTTGTTTAGTTACTTAGTTTTCTAAAGAAAGTATATTTTACTTATTTGTTTCTAGTAATATTAATATTATATTTTAGTAATTAATAAATGGGAAATAGCCAAGATAAAAATTAAGTAATTAATTGAATAAAAACAAAGGATATGTTAATAGATTTTTTTAGGATTATTAGAATGTGAGCTAAAGACCGGATTCGTAGAGAAATAACAACTCTTAAAATAAGAACGCTTTAATGAGAAAAATATAGTCTTTATACCCATAGATTAGTAACAAAGAACTTGAGATCTTCGCTAATTAAAACAAGGATATGATATTTTGGTCTGTTTAAGACCACGATTTTGAGAAAAAATTATAAAAAAGTCTAGAAAAGCACTTCAGAGCTCAAGAGAGCAAATATAATTAGCTTATAGAAAGATTATATGCCCATAGGTAGGCTTAAATGAAAGATGTTAGCTTAGTAAATAATTAATTTATCTAATCAGATTAGCTGAATGATTAAGATATGCGAATTATCTTTGAAAATGCTTCTTTGTTAGAAAAAATTGATAAGATGAAAGACTTCTTTTTAATAAAGCATAACAATCCTCTTTAGCTAAGTTTGCATGTTACTTTTTTGGCAAACACATTTAAGCAAATCATAGATTTAGGGGAGAAAGATGAAGATTTTTATGTCACTATTGTAAAGGGGTATACTTAATTTCCATCAAATTTAAGTAAATTGATGTGCCTATGTGGTTTTATTGAATTTAACGAAGATGGACAAACAATAGGTCTTTACTATTAAAAGAGAAATCCAAATTTAATAAAAACACTTTACAGATATTTAAAACAGAAATATCATACAAATATAAAGTAAATTGACACTATTATTAAAGAGATATCAGAACAGCAATCCTTCAAGCATCAGTCAACCGGATTTAGTTTAGAAAATTATCAGAAACAATAATTTAATAATCTATAAATATCTTAAAATTAAGCTTAAAATTTGAAAGAGCAAGTGTAGCAACAAAACCAAATCAATTAAAATTATAATATTGATGCTTAATAGCAATCAAGATCTAATAACTCCTCAAATAGTTAATAAAAATCAGAAGATTATTAAAAATATAAGGAGCAATACGAGAAGTAGTATTAAAAAAAAGAACTTGCTGGTAAAATTACTTTGAGTTAAAATCCAATTTACTAGTAAATTTCTACAGTGGTACAGAGTAAATAAATATAAGAAAGAGTGAAAGCCTAAATAGAGGCGAGGTAAAGAAGAGAAGAAAAAAATAAAAGTGGATAAGGGAAATAGAATTAAACTAAAAGTAAAGCGGAAGATTTATTATTTGATGAAAGTAACTTGACTGTTTAAACATCTCAGTAAAGTGCTGAAGTGTCATAATTCGAGTTATAAGACTTAAATCCAAAAGAAACACCTGAAATGAGAATGAGCAGAGCTATAATAGATTTAATTAATTAATATAGGAAATAGAATAATATGTTATAACTATAATTTAGCCAAAATATTATGCCTACTTGTGAGTATCACTCGAGAAACATTGCTAACAATGAAGCTCCTTTCGGACATGATGGATTCGAAGGCAGAGTCAGAGAAATTAGTTTGTATGCTGACTTCGTTCTAGTTTGTGAGTCTGTGGTATAATCAACAACTCCAGTTGACTGCCAAGTATTATCATTTTTTATAAAAATAAAATTAGTTTACAAATAAAATTTACAAAAAAATAGAAACTTGTTACTGAGTTAATTAATAATGAAAGGCATAAAAAAAATTTACTTTCTCCGACTACTCATGCATGTGCTGGTGTGTATAGGTAATTAATTAATTATACTAAACTAAAATATTAGTTTAATATATTTAAATTATTTAAATTTAATAGCAAATAGAACTCAGCGTTTATCACTATTATTTTTTATAAGTCTAGATGAATTAAATTTTATAAGAAATAAATAAATAAACAATTTAATATCTTGGTTATATTTATTTAAATTACGTAATTGGTTTGCTAATATTTTAATTGGATTATCTTTTCAAATAAAAATAATTTAATTATGAACTAAAGCATTTTTTAGCATACAAAAAAAGTTATGGTTTTGATAAGCATACATGTATCCTTGTTTCCTAATTTACTTATTTTGTTTTTTTTTTATATGAAGAGCTTTTTTATATTTTTGAACCCAAATACTTTAAAATAAATTCATCATAAGCTATGATGAATCTATCTAGTTGGATATTTTTTATATAAACTTAATATTTCGAAAATTTTTTAAATAATGCTAATTATGCTTATTTTTTTGAAAAATAAATCTAATCATCCAATTAATTTCTTTTATTTATTTGGTTCTATTTTTTTAGATTGGTAGCAATTTTGAATATTTTTTTGGATAATATTCACTTTAGAGGAATCCAAAAACCTTGAATGAAAAACAAGAGAAAATATTTTAATTATTTTGTATTTTACAGTTATTAAGTAAATTCTAATAATAATAATCCAGCATGTACATTTTTTAAATATTAAATTTAATAATAAAATTATTATAATCAAAAATTTTGACATACTTGTATGTGCGAGTGTTTTTAATAATAATAATAGTTATTTTACTGCTTTAAAAAGTATTCCAATAACCTAGAATCAAAAAAAAAAATTCCTCTAATTATATTGTGTTTTATAATGTACATTTTTCTAGAGCCGAACTCGAGCGTAGAGCAGAGCGCGATGTTTTTTTTTTTTGTAACATAAAATAAATATCGTCTACCTCGCCTACCTTTGGCCTAGTACCTCGCCTGTCTGCAGCCTAGGAATGAGTAAGCGAGCAATTAATGTAGTAAATTTGGTATCATAATGAACATAAAATTCCATATGTTTTGTAAAGAATATTAATAATAATACAATAACTATTATTCTTATTATTAATTTTTGGTTATTTTAGACACTTTAAATACCTATCAATCTTTAATAATTATTTAATTAATACTCAAAAAGAAATTTTTTGTTTATTTTTTCTCATCCAATAAATTATCTTAATTAATTATAAAGATTAAAGTTTTGTTACTTATTTACTCACTCACTCACTAGATAGACACAATAAAGAAATATAATTACTGATTTATTAATTAAAATAAATGAAAAATAAATACATTTTTTTTAGATATTTAGGAGATAATATAAAATTCATTTTATTTGAGTTATTTTAAAATCAAAATATTTTTAAATAATAATTAAAATAATTTTTTTAAATCTATCTACAAAATTTATAAAATTTTATTAATCTATAATAATAAATTATTAGAATAATTATTACTATAATTAATTTAAAATAATCTAATATTTCTTAATTCTATGAGGTTATTAATTTTATATTCTTTTCTTTGATAATTATCAACTTGATTTATTAATGTTAAACATAGTATTTTTTAAATGGCTGAGTTAGAGTTGAATATTTTAGTTCATTTTTTAATATTAATTTTTTAGAAAATACTTTTGGTTTATAAATTTTATTTCTTCTCTTCGATAGGATGAACTGTAGAAATAATATTATTAAGTTCTTTGATGTTATCTTAGAGGTTACTCATTCTTTCATCAAAGCTGATATTATTTTCTGAGTCTGAATCTGAATCAGATAGTTCTTTAAATTTAATCTTTAGGGGTTTAGAAAATGTAGTTATATTTTTTTGTATAATCTTCTTTTTCGCCTTTTAGAATTTTTTATTTACAATATCAAATAAATAATTAGATTATTGTATGTTTAACTTGATATTCAATTTTTGCTATATTTATTGTGTAAATGCTTCCATCATAGCTCTTCGAGTAAATTTATATGTGCTAAATGCGTTCAAAACAATATCTTGCCTTACATCTGTATACTATTAAAAAAATATTATGAAAATGAATGACTTCAAATAAAAATAATTACTTTGTTAAAGATATTATGAAAGGCATCTTTTTTTATGACATAAAGCGTTACAGGAGAAGTTGCTTGGTAAGTAAAATTACTAACACTGTTACTTAGAATTTACACACAGCCAAATTAGAAACCAGAAGAAAAGTATTTTTAAATTTTTATATCGTCTACCATAAAGCTGGCTTCAATTTCTCCATCAATCAAGAAGTAAATTTCTTCTACATGTTCTCCCTATTGCAAAATAAGTTCTTTTTCTTAGCATTTTCTTGGCTGAAGAGCAAAGGCTATATCAATATAGAAATTATAGTCAGAAAACTCAGTCTTTCCTTCCTTTAAAAAGAAAGTCCTAAAAAGACCACTAAAAATATCTTGAAACAAGTGTCTAATCATCTAAATAAATTATAATTTATTCAATTTAACATTGGCAATAAATTTGGTTTACTTATCTCCTTTCGCTATCTGTCATTAATTGATAATATTTGTCTTCTTTTGTTAAGGTAACTAACCTATAATTCTTATAATAGTAATTAAAGTGGTCATAAATTTTTTTCACAAATTTTTCGTCCATCGACTTTTCAGAAACTTTGTCTATTTAATAAATTTTAATAAAATTATTTATTTTTTATTTAGAAAAACTTAATTTTTATTTAATCTAAAAAAAATAAAATTATTGCTAAAAAAGGGCTGATTATCAAATAAGATACATTTATTTTAATTTAGCACAAAAAACCTAAGTAGCATTAATTTATTGCTTTCTGAAAATGGTTTATTTCAAATAAGGCATTATTTCTTCTTAAATAAATATTTATTCAATAAAAAGAAATTTAGATTTATTTAAAAAATTAAATAAATGCTCTTAATTTTATAACAAAAATGATATTTTTTAAATATATTTTATAATTTAAATAGGTTTTGATTTGGAATTAATTTTCATAGAAAAGTAAATTTTTAATGAAAATTTAATATTTTAAAGAAATAAATTACTTAAACTTAAAAGCCAATCTTCCAATTCTGGAGTTTTATCAATATAACCAAGTTTAGTTCTATAATTTTTCATAATATCATTGAAGTTATTGATAATATATGAGAAGAAACCTACTCCACAAATCATAATTATGATAGCTATTATTCTATCCTAAGTGGTAATAGGAACAAAGTCTCCATATCCAACAGTAGCAAGAGTGCTGAGTATGAAATAATAGGATAAAATAACTTTTTTAAGCACATTAGTATGCTAAAGATATTAATCTTCAAATTCAAAATTAGACCAGGTAGATGTGCAGTATATATACCATGCACAGGCTAAGAAAAATGCTATTGAGAATCCAATCAGAATAAATCTAAATATCCTATATAAATATCTAGACGTGTATGATATTCTCACTTTATCTCTTGGGTTGATATTATCAATCAAAATATTCAGTTTTTCGCAGATTGAATTTTCGTCAGTAACTCTGAAAAATCTTAAAATACGAATCATCTAAAGAACTTTTAGATTTGCTTGCTTTTTTAGTTTTAATTATACCAAAAAAAGTTTTTGATTAAAATAAATATGAAAATCAATACAAAATATATCAAAATACTAAAAACTTAAAGTATATTTATAAAGAAGACTAGATAGAGATGGGAATCGAAAGAAAGAAATAACTTAACCAAAATGAATAAAAAAGAATATTGAATATAGATTTGTTTCAATCTTTCACTTGTATTTTAAAAATAAATAGTTATTTTCTATTCCCATCTTTGAATATAAATAAGCTCTTACTTACAGGAAATATTAGGTTAAATGGGAATATGGCAAGAGCATCAAAGATGAATCCCCTATTTAATTGATTAAATTAAATTATAAAAATTGAGTTAATTAAATTAAAATGATAATAAATTGAGAATATATATATTATATTTGCATAAAAAGACACAAACAAATTAATTAATTAATTAGAGTTACTTACTTTTTGATATAATTTAATGATGTATCTACCACTGAATAAGTTATCTCTTTTGTTTCATAACTAATTAAGTATGAAGTTAAGAAGTTGACAACCATATCTACCAAAAAGAAAATTTCTATCATGATTTCGATATAGTAGTATTCCTCAAATCCTTGAGGCCAGAAAGATGCCCTAATTAATATTTATAACAAACAGTTAATTGATTAGACAATTAATGAATCAATAATTGTAAATAATTCTAAATGAACTTAATAAGTAGAACCATATTACCACAAATACGATGTGTAGCAACTATAAAACACCATAAAAATTACAATCACATCCCATATTGATTTCTTAGCCGAAAATGGATTAATTATTATACATTTCTATAATTTCTACCATTTATTACTTTTATCTAAATTTTTTAAATCTTAGAATTGGTTTGGAGATATTTTTTTCACTTCTGACTAATATTATTCATTTTAAAAATACTACTTGCCATATAATTTATCATAGTAACTTTAATCGAGTTCCTCTAGAGTTTGCTGAGCAATTTAAGTTGGATTTAAATTCATAGAATAAATATTTATTTCAAAAACAGTCTTTGTCTTTTATCTTCTATTTAGAAAATAATAAAAAAGCAAAGTTCAATCAAACTTTTATTAATTTTTGTTATTTTATAGATTTTTAATGAATGAATGGATAATTGATCTATTTATTGATAGTTTTTTTCAATATTATTTACCTTTCAGTTTAGTTATTAAAATTTAACTACTTTGGTAATAAACGTTATTTAGATTTTTTTGATAAATATTTTCATTTGGCATTAAAAAATTGATTGATTGCTATAATATTTTTATTATCTTCAACAAAAACACATATCTAATTACAATATTTAGAATTCCTAATGTATTTAGATTTTAATAAATAACTAAATAGCTGTTTAAAAGTAGAATCTAGATAGAAACATGTTTATTATTTTTTGATTAATTTAAATTGTAACCATAAGATTTTTACAATATTGCAATCTTAGAATCCTTACAAATTTTAAGATCAAAAAGATCTAAATGACAAAATAAAAAAGAAAAGGAGCTATTTAGAAGATCAAACAGAGTTTTCAAGCATTTTATCTTAATTACTTTATCAGTACTCTCTAATTCAATGAAAGAAACTTATATGTTTCAGCCTTATATTAAACATCTATTACTGCTAAGTTTATGCATTATATTTTCCTTCATCTTTGAAATAAAGCTTGCTTAATAACCAAGAAAATTATACTTACTATGTTTTTGAAGTTCTAAGATGTCGTTTATTTAAGATAGGTAGTTTTTAATATAAATTAATTAGTAATTAATCTTAATTTATTTTTAATTATTTTAATTGCTAATTCTGTTTGGTTTGTAGGATTAAAAATTATAATTACCTAATATTTTTAATCACAAGAGAAAATAAATGAGTCTACTATGTATGAAGTGCTAAAAATATTTTTTATAACTCTTTTCTCAAATTTTTTTTATTCCCTTTATGAAAATATCTATAAATTTGTTTAAGCAAAGCAATAACTATTATTTTTAGTTGTCTGTCTAAATTTATTAGCATTCTAATTAATAACCATGTTTACATAGCTAATTTATGGTTTTAACTAGCATAATTTTTCATTCCAAATCACAGATTTTCTCTCATTTTTTTATTCAACTGCAAATGTTTCAACAAATATTATTAATATTATCTTAATTATCTTATACTTAGTTGATTAGGGTTAAGCTGTTTGTTCTATGGGTAATCTAATTACCTAATTGCTTGCTTGCTTGCTTACTTACTTACTTACTTAATTACACATATTTTATTTTTTAACATTTGAATTTTTAAAATATTTCAAAGTAATATTTATATTTTAGAAATTAATTAGTAGATGTTGAATATAAATTAGTAATATTTATAAAAAAAATACATTAAATAATATATTTTAAGAAGTAATAATAGTTAATAGTTTTTTGATGGTGATTAACTTTGTAATATAAATGCCTTACTATGGTAAGAAATCAGTGAATTAAATTGATATTTAATAGTTGTTGCCTATTTAAAAACCTTACTATTACCCGTCCAAAACAAACGGAAACAACAATTATTTATGAAAAATTGAAATAAATAATTTTTTTAGTAGACATATTCTGATAGAACTCGAAAAGCTCTACAAGAATATATACTTAAAATATTTTTTATGATGATAGCAGTTAGATATTTTTAATCAAGAAAAAACTTAAAAATTTTGAAAATATTATAATATATAATAAAATAATTGACTTAAAATAAATTTTAAAAAAATAATTATTTCAATATATATAATCACCATTATTATCAACTATTTATTATAATTTATTAAATGTGTGATAAATACAATTATATGGTTATATGGCAGAATGATAAAAATGGTCATACGGTCGATCCCTAATATTTACTATTATATACATTTCCTAAGATCAAGTATATTTATTTAATTTTTCTAACATATTACTTTAAAAAAAATGTTTTACTTAAAAAAATATTATACTCTCTTAATATTTTTAAAATGTTTAAATTTATTTTTTTTAAACAAACAAAGACTGTAAATAAAATATTTATTTAATATAAAATAATATTAAATTAAATTAGATTTTTATAACCATAAATCATATTTATTTTGCTCAAAAAAAATTTATTGAAGTTATGGTTCTAATGAGTGAAGTAAAATATTATGAGTCCAAAAATTAGATATTAAAAGAAGAGATTATTATAAAATTTAATTTTGCTGAAAGTAGAAAGAATTAAATATTCTTATTTTTTATTTCCTAAACAAATTAAATTATTTCTGATACAAGAATATTTAAATTAATGATTATTACTTAATATTTGTAGATAGATAAATAATTTATGAAAAATAAATAAAAATATTACAATTTAAGTGATATTTATTTATTCATAGCTTTTTAGTAAGTTTATTATTAATTATTCATTAAACATAATTTTATTAATTTTTTAGTTATTGTCTGAAATGAAATGAAGAATATAGATAGATACTTTTTAATTTTTGCTTTGCTCAAAAAAAATTTATTGAAGTTATGGTTCTAATGAGTGAAGTAAAATATTATGAGTCCAAAAATTAGATCTTAAAAAAAGAGATTATTATAAAATTTAATTTTGCTGAAAGTAGAAAGAATTAAATATTCTTATTTTTTATTTCCTAAACAAATTAAATTATTTCTGATACAAGAATATTTAAATTAATGATTATTACTTAATATTTGTAGATAGATAGATAATTTATGAAAAATAAATAAAAATATTACAATTTAAGTGATATTTATTTATTCATAGCTTTTTAGTAAGTTTATGATTGATTGTTCATTAAACATAATTTTATTAATTTTTTAGTTATTGTCTGAAATGAAGAAGATAGATAGATAGATACTTTTTAATTTTTGCTAGATGTTTTTATTAACTATTAATTAGAATATATTTAATAAAGTTGAGATTAAAAGATACTTTAATTATCCAAATTGTGTTGATTTGATATAGTGTCAACCAACCAATCAACCTTTTGTATTTTTTAATCAGGTTTATTAAAATTATTTCTTCTTTTCTTTCTTCTCAAAATTATTTTCATAATTCTCAAATCTTCTTCCATTCTACATTCAATTTAATGGGAATTATATGCTGCCCTCAAATACTTTTGCGGCAGGGCCTATGACTTGCAATGAGTAATCTTCTTAATTAACATTAATTTGAAGTTCTCCTCCTCTCAATAAAACTTTAGATGAAGGGCTATTCTTTTTATTTAAAATTCCTGCAAAAACTGAAGCACATGCACCTGTTCCACATGCCATAGTTTCTCCACATCCTCTTTCGTATACTCTCATTTTGAGTGTGTTTTCATCTAAAATTTGTATGAATTCTACATTAACGCTTTAAGGGAATATATCTTTTCTACTTTAAAGAGTTTTTCCTATTCTCTCTACTTCAGCTGTTTCAACATCATCTACATAGATAACACAATGAGGGTTGCCTACGTTAACGAATGTGACATAATGAGTTTCTTCGCTTAAATGGGATAAGTTTTATTAATGTAGATTTTGGTTTATCTTTAATGGCTAGTTTATAACAACACTCTCAGCATCACTATTAAATGGATTTGCAGGTATTTTAGATATTTCTGCAGTCGCCTTTCCTATATTCGTTCTATATAATCCTAAACTGAGCTCTTCACACTCCAACACTCCTATATTTGTTCTAATTTACACTATTTTTTTATTTTAGATAATCTTTTTTTCTAATATGTATCTTGTAAAGCATCTTAATCCGTTTCCACAAATTTGAGATTCATATCCATCTGCATTGAAAATTTTATATCTTATATCTGCTTAAATTCCATCTTATTTGTCCTTTTCACTTTCATTTTCAACAAACATCACTCCATCAGCTCCTATGCCAAGGTGTCTATCACAAAGTTTTGCAATAATCTTAGAAAACTCATCAGGGTTGCCACACGTATTTAAAAGATTTTGTCTATTATCAATAATGATGAAATCGTTTCCTAAGCCATGAAATTTATCAAAATGAAGAATCATTTTTCTGAATTCTAAGAACCTTCTAAAAATAATAATAAAATTTATTTTGTTTATCTATTTTGTAAATTTATTGTTTCTAATTTAGAAATGTCTATTTGACGATTGGCAATTAAAAATTTTAATAAAGTAATAGATATAAATGTGTTAATATTTAACAAAATTTAAGGAATATTATCAAAGAATATTTAACTAATTTATTTATATACTTATTTATTTTTGGAATTTTTTAAATATTTTCCAAAAATATCAAACATACATATTGTGATTTAAAATGTTTTGTAGCTATTTTAATAATACATAAAAGATATTTAAGTTGCTTAACGAATGTAAGGATATTTAATGATAGAAATTATCAAAATAAATACTTTGAAAAAAAATGCTTAATATTTTTGACAGTTTAGAATTTAAATTTCTAAAAATTAAATTTTGATTAAATAGCCACAACACAAAATTCATTATTAATGTTAGTTTTAAATGAATTATACTTACAATAATGGGGGTATTATATGAATTAATAAAAATTAAAAAAATTTACTATTCATATTCAAGATTATATTTTATATTTATTTTACCTACAATTACAAACAAATACCCCCAAAATATTCAAATTGATTTTATAAAAATAAAAATAAGTGGTTGAAACAACCATAAAAGATATAGACACTTTTAATAAATTGTTATAATTAACTATTAAAAATAGACAAAAAAAAGATATTAAAATACTTATAAGGTCATACTTTTTATCATAAATTGTTTACAAAATAAAACAATTTATACCTCATATTATAGACATTTAAGATAATATTGAAGTTAAATAAACTAATATATTTTAAAAAAAAGGTTTTATGTTTCAAACTTTTATTGATATAAAATGTTTTTATAGCATCATATCTCATATATATCTTCCTCCCTTTGAATATTTTAAAATTATAATTAAAGTTGATATAGAAAATATAAATTCCCAGTATTCATCAGTTTAGCCTAAGTTTTCTTTTTAAATTTATTATTTATTAGTATGAAAATATATTTTTACTCTCCTTAAAGGTAAAATATTTATTGAAAAATAGAAAAATCAAACATGAATTTGAAAGGTAGCAAAAATCTCTTTATTTTTTGAGATAAAATGAATATTAAGGTATTATTTTTATTAAAAAATTAAATATTCTTATTGATTTTTCATCCTCAGTTTGTTTGTAAAATAAAATAGATGCTACAACTTCTTTTCAGAAATATCAAGAAAAATCTTTTTAATTAAGAAAATAAAAATTTTTTCAAAGATAGACTAATAAATTGATTGTTGTTATTAATCAATAATTATTTAGAATAATTAATTGCAATTATTTAGAATAATTAAATAAGAGGAATTTTTTATATTTTAGAAAATAATTTCTAAGAGAAATTCTAATTCTACTGATAAATATTAACTTATAAATTATAAATGTGGCTAGCAGACAGAATCAACACTATCTTTATGGTAAGCTTAAATTTTATTTTAATCTACCTTTGTTATTAAAAAAAATTTGTCTTTTCTATTGGTATAGTGGCTATCAATTTTTTTGTGATAAAGGCAATAAAATTAAGAAGAATTTATTTTTCAAATATTTAAAAATTAATTATTAATGGAAATTAAATATTTTCAATTAAGTTGCTCACAAAACTATAAAGGATAAGCATTAAATATTATTTTTCAGAATACTTTTTATTATAAAAATATTAATTTTTTAACTATTTTTTCATATTAAATTTATTTAAGCAATTAACCATTTTGTTTTGTTAGTTTTTTAGAATGAGGATCAGTTCTTCAGAGGTAAATTATTTATTGCCAGATTTCTAAGTCCATCCATCCCAAGAACTATGAATAAAGGGAGTAATATGACCACCATAATTGTTTTATTTATTATTATTTATTTCTCATTAACAACTTTCTCCAAGAATTTGTAGTTGTAGGAGGGTGTTATTTTTTAATAATTATAAAATCCTTTCCTATATAAATAATTACTAATCAAGCCCCTTCTTACTTTTTTCCCTCAAAAAAAGGTTTTATTACAGTGCTAATAGATAGGAGTGAGATTATTTTAGATTCCAAATTAACAAAAACTCGAATGAGACTTTTTGTTTTTCTCATATTTAACTTCTAATTTTTAGTGTCATTTATTTTCTTTTTAATTTATCTGATTTTTAATTAGAATAAATAATAAATTTTTAAAAACTAAAATCCAAGAGCTCAGAATGAAAAGAAAAGGAGGAAAAACGAATAGCACTTCAATCCAATTTAAATAAGTAAGTTTTACTCAAAAATAAAATTCATTGTTAATAAAAAAATGATGAAATTTAGGTTATCAAAAGTGAGGAAAGAGTAGTTTTTTTATTATATATTTACAAATTGTCATATTTATTAAATCAATCTTTTTTAACAATTTTTTTATAGTAAAATCCACCACCGCATCTCTTCTTAACTGTGGTGAACTCAGGTCCCTTGTCTTTATCTAGAACCATCGAAGTACTCTTTGACCCAGAGTTTTGCTTTTACTCTTCTTATTCGGAAGATGGGATTTCGTTCTCTGACTACGGTAGCTTATCAAAATTCCAAGTATCTCCAATCATGATAATCCCATCAATGATTTATAAATCTGATGACATGCACCAACATTCTACAATATCTGGTCGTTGAGAGTATGGCAAGAAAAATCTCTCCAGAAATAGCCTATAGCCTTAGTATTTTTCCTCAACAAGATCAAGTAATTACTTCAATTTTTTACTCTAGAGCAAGCTGCTTCCGATGCTGTTCACATTACTAATATCTTCTAATGTAGCTGCCTCCAATAATATCATTCCTATGTATATCATTATCATTTAGTTATTTAAATTACAAAATATGAGTTCTAAATTAATATCAATTTTCTTCTATTTTTCAGATGAGTTAGATGGAGCATTCAATCAATATCCATCCATCCATCTAATCTGCAAAAAAGAATGCTTTTAAATCCCATTTTTTTAAATTTTAATTTAATTAGTTTTACAATATTTGCAAACACGCAAATTATTAAAAAACCGGACTTTTATTAAGTTTTAATCAAGCATATTTAACAAAAGCATTCAAAAAAATTAATTTTTACCTAGCGTATAAACAGCTGCCTTCTTTTTGGAGTAGTTTTTATTCAGATGATGAGGCAATTTACTTGGATTTTTTTCAAAATCTTCTTTAAGCTCGGGAGAGAGGTATTCTGAATTCAGCCATATATTGTTATCACTCCTAGCTAAACCTCCTACTTTATAGGTGATTTCCTCGTTAGTGAATATGTTTGTAGGCTTGAGGTTGAGCAAGATAACTCCATTCTCCTCTAAGTGAGTAAGAACTTTCAGAATTTAGGCAGTAAAATCTAGTAATTCTTGTTTTTTGAAATCATTTTTACGGGCTCTGCGAGACTGCAAGGCAAAATCTAAAGTTTTTCTAGAGTATTCTCTCAAAACCAGAAGCTCCTTCTTCACATCATCAAAGTGATAGTCGTAATATTTGATAATATTTTTCATTTTGAACAATTAGCCATTTACAACTGCATTATATTCGTTAAACAAATAAAACAATTCTTCTTCACTCTCAATAAAAATCCTTTCCAGGATAACTTCTGGATTGTCAGGACTTTAATAATATTAACTCATGGCATCCTCAAAGCTTGGTTTAGCTTTTAAATCAAATTTTAATTCATTTATTTTGAATTTTAATCTACTATTCATTTAAAGTCTTAGAATTTATTTAATTTACTTGTGTTTTCTTAATTTTTTTTGAATCCAACACAAACAAAAAGCAAGCAAGCCACTAAAAGAAACTTAGAATAAATATAAAGCAAAATTTAATTAGAAGATAATTTCAAATAATTGACCAAACAAACTCTATTTGTTTATTTATTTAAATGTGTGCAATAAAACTAACAACAAATTTAATAAAAATAATCAAGTACTTTATAAGATTTAATTAGTTGATTTATTTTTAATTTAAGCATCAAGTTCTCCCTCCTTTTTTAATGAGAATAAAATATTATTTTAATAGGTAATTATTTATTTTTAATATAAATCATAAAAAAATAAGAAAAATATAAAATTTTTTAATTAATTCCAATAAGTCTCATAAGTGCTTTTAACTTATGATTTTATCTTTAATATTTCCTTCATTTTTTCACTAATTAAAACGATGAAAATTTATTTTATTTTATTTTCCAAAAATAAAAAACATTTGTTAGAATTAACATAAAAATTTGTCTAAATTTTACAAAAAACAGTAATTTCATAATAAACATCTCACTCAATCAATATCTTTTTGCAAAAACACATATTAAAATATAGGGTTAAGAGTGCAAGATGTAAATTGTGCAAAGCTTAATTAAGCAAATTACAAGTGATATATATATAGGAGAAAGTGTGTATACAGAGTAATATTTAAGAAGCCATGGTGCTAGTTTTGTACTTGCGCCCATGGACTTTTTGTGAAAAGGATTCGAATTTTTAGGTTAATTGGTTAATTGATTGAAATAATCTTTTTTGTGTATTATTATAATTTAGTAGCATTTAAATAGTTAGGAATGATGTACATCGCAAAGCATTTTAAGCAAATTTAAGTTAGATTTGAAATAGTACAATTAATTATTAAATGACAAAATTACCTATATGTCATACTAGTGCATTTGGTAGCAGCAGAATTTCAAAATAGGTAGTAATTTTGTCCAGACAATGCCCATCATCTTTTAATATATTGATTGATAATATTATAGATCAGATCATAGCAAGTTGCATATAATTTTGTAGTAAGGACTGATTATATTTGAATAATCGCAGACAGCGCAGGAGAAGAGGATGTAAATGAAGTCATTTTTAGCAATGTTATTTTTGATAAGGAGTGCTTTTTCAATGTCTTAATACTCTATTTACTTTTCCTCATTATTTTACTCTTTTTCTTTTTAATAATTCATAGGATCAAAGCATTACTGAGTAAAAAAGAAATACGAAGGATCTTTTAGAATTAGTGATAAGTCTTCATAAGAATTAAAGAGAGTTTGCAGACTCTCTATATTTGAAAGCTTATCTTAAAGATACTAATCAAATTAAAAGTAAATTTCTCCATTTTATTAACTCAACTCATCACGCAACTATGATTCAAGATGTCTCAGAAATTTTTCAAACGTTTCCCATAGTTTTCTCACTAATATCTTAGAATTTGCATTCAATATTTTGGAGATTTTATAGAAATTCAACCACATTCTTTTACTCTCCAAAGCTTGATGCTACTCAATTTTCTGAGATAAATCCAAATATTTTTCTCCGTCTGAGCTTTTTTTAACAATATATTGATTGGCATTGCTGTTATCTTGGCCGAAAACGATGAAGGCTGTTACCAAAAGCTAGAAATTTTCACTTGAAAAGGCACTCCCATAATCATTTTCTACCTCATATTCCTTCATCAGTTTCTACTTCTCTGCAATGGCAAAATTTCTCTTGAGAGGTCTACCAGATTTCTTTTTCGAAGCTTTTTTAATGTGATGATTTTTTGAAGGAGTTTAACTTTACTTCTCAGAGTCACTTACCTAAACTTCTATCTCAGATTCGAACTTATTACTATTATTTGATGACATTATATTATTATAAGGGCTTTCATAATTATTCTACTAATCCGAAATTAATGCTCGAGTTTCTTCAAATTTTACTGAGCTGTGAATGGAAGCACTATTTGAAGGCTATTCGAGATGTGAACTTTGATTAGCAAACTGTGGTTCTATCTTAATATTTGTTATTTATTAATATAAGTCCTATTTAGGATTAAGAATATGAGATTATCCTTGTTATTCTTCCTACTTTAAATTTAGAGTAGATGAATTATGACTATCTGTTCCGAAGCCTTGATAACTTAAGAAGTATGGTTACTCTCTGATATCAATATTATTCCCATAAAATTTGAGCATTTCTCTTTCATTTTATCTACTAGAAAAGATCTTTTCCATCTTTATATAAGTAATTGTTTAAGTTTAAAGTATACTTTTAAACAGAAAAATATATAACAACAAAAATTTGTCAATTAAGTTAATATTATAAAGAATATACAAGCACTTACTTACTTTTACATTAAGACTATTAATTAAATCAAAACAATTAGTAAATAAAATAATAAACTTTTTAAAATATTCATACAATCAATTATTTCTTATAGCAGCAAAGCAAGAAAAAATTAATTTCTCAGTTTTCCTTAATAGAACAAACATCAAAAAACACCACAAAAAATAAAATGTTATTACATCTTAGCAAGAAGAAAATAGTCAAGATGTTTACCTCAAGGTATAAAGTCTTTATTAAATTTCCTAAATGAGAATGTACTAAAATATAATTGTAGCAAAAGCATTAAAGATTGAAGATATAAGAATTAATTATGTCGAATTGTAAATTTTAATTATAAGTAGAATTTTTAGCTTAATTTTTAAACAGACTTCACAAATAATAAATATGAAACAATCGGCATATGATTTTTTATGTTAATTATTTAGGTTGAACATAGATTAAAATAGCTAAAAAATTACAATCAAGAAAAGATTTTTAACTTATTTTTTTTATCGAGATTGATAAAATTTTGCCCTTGCGAAACTATTTTTTTACAAATTTTCTTTTTTGTTTTTTGGCTTGAACAATCACCACACAATATCAAAAAAGAAAAAGAGTCTCAATTAATCGTAAAAGAATCAAACATTGTCTTATAACTAACTATTTTTTCTTCTATCATCTGATAATTATCAAGTTATATCTGAATAAAAATAGTGTAATTTTTTTAATAAGAAACCTTTTTTCAAATTCAACTAAAAAGGATCATTTTTATTAGTTATCCGAAAATCTTTGATCCTAAAATTCTAAAAAGAAAAAACCTCATTAATCAAAATTTAGATTTACCTCAACTCTTTACTAATTTAGTACTATTAATCTCAAAATTTTAAAACTATTTACCAATTTATTATTAAATTTAGACCCTAATACTTGCTTGTTAAGATCATGAATTAATGAGGTTATACAGTATTTGTATTCATAAGATGAAAATATAAATTGTAAATATCCTTACAATTTAATTTTTTGATTTAGCCTTTTCATTCATCATAATTTACTTTATAATTTTGAGATTTATTTTAATGTAAGAAATTTGAAGTTTCTATTATACACTTGATGAGCGGTGTTTGAATTATTTGCTATTCTATGAATGAAAGTAATATTTTTTATTTATTCTCATTTAAAGATACTATCTAATTTCAAATAGACAAACAAACAAACAAAAAAACATTACACATGTTTTTGAAAGCTTCCTTTCTTAAGAAAAATATATCTCCAAATAAATACAATAAAGGTTAAAAATAGATTTATATATTATTCTCAGAATTAATATTCTCTCAAAAAAATTATTTTTTTCATTCATATTATTAAAATTATTAAGGGAATTATCTATTTTCAAATATTAAGCAGCTAAAAAAATAGTAAAAAAAATTAAAAATACTAAGAATTACAGAAATATTTTTTTGTTATTGGTATTTGCTTCTAACCTTAACAGGTTACATTCTTACTATTGCTTTTTAGTAATGGTTATATTCTTTTTATTTTTAATTTAAACTCTACAAATATTTGAATTATACTGTAATAATCTACAAAATAAACTTTTATGAATTCAAAATAAAAATTATTTTTTTATTATGCCAAATAGATTTTATGCATAACTAATTAAAAGTTCTCAAACAAATTAGTATTTGATTTTAAAAATAATTTTTTATTTTTGAAAGTACAGAAGAAAATTTAAAGTTTCTCAAATGGAAATTATTTTTTGGTGTGAAATAAATTAATTATTTCTTTTTTTCGATTCTGTATTTTTTATTGATAAAATAGAATGAATTCTTTTATTGAGTAATAATTGAAGATTATAAATGAAATAAGAATAGTATGATATTTTTAAAGAATTAAATTTAATGTTAGGATATTTATGATTTAAGTATATGCATGTATCATTTTTTTTGAATAACACAAAATAAATTTTTTGAAAAATAAAAATTGGATTAAGTTAAAAAAGAGTTTTTTCAAATAAAAATGATGTTTTAGTGGAAATATTTATTAATGATAAATAGCATTTTAAAAAATATTAAAATGATTTATATCTATAATATAATATAATTTCTTTATTTCATTCCAATTTTTTTATTGATTCAATAGAATTAATTATTTTATTGAGCTTTTAAAATTCAAAAAAAATATTTCTTTTTCGATTCATTAATTTTAATTGATAAAATAGGATGAATTATTTTTATTGAGTAATAGTTGAAGATTATAAATGATAGTAAAATAGTATGATTTTTTTGAAAAAATTAAATTTAATCTTAGGGTATTTATTTATGTGTGATTTAAATATATGCATGCACCATTTTTGACTGATTGACTGACACAAAATAAATTTTTTTTATATGAAAAGATTTCATGATTGATTTATTTTTATGATGCCAGATTTACTCTTTTATTCGAAATAATTAATTAGTTAATCATAAGTTTTAAAAATTTGATATGAAAAAATCTGTATTCAGTTGATTAAAGCTTTTTCTTAAATAAAAATTATGTCTAAGTAAGTAAAATAATTTTTAATAAAATTTCACAAATATTAAAATGATTTATTCTATATCAATATTATAAAACTAATTTCTTTAAATCATTAAAAATTTTTGATCAATTAGAATTAATTATTTTATTGAACTTTACTAAACTTAATACAATAAAAGAATAAAAATATCTTAATATTTTTATTAAAAGTGTTGAAAATTTTGTCTTACATTAATTACAGTACGATTGATTACAAATTGAATATGTGATCTACATTAAAATTTAAATGAGAAAGAAATATTAGAATTATTTAATCTGTCTATTAATCCAATCAATTAGTCTTTTTTTCTTCGTGCTCTTTTAGTTTTAAAAGCTAATTTCTATGAATAGTATCCATGGCTATCATTATAAGTATTTTAATAATTGCAGCACACGATATTATATACTAAGCTCTATGATAAGTATATAGTAAATAGACTGTTGATTCAATTATTCCTATGAAATAGACATATCTGCTTAAATATCTATAGTCTTTTGTTCTTACGGCTTAATATAAGTGGAATGCAGGTATAAGCATCAATAGGAAAGATACTATATTACAACCTAAAGTGAGATCATCCAAAGTAGTTTGACGCATGTACCAAGAAGTATTAATTATTACTGTAAATTAGTAGACGATATAATCCCATTATTTAATTAGAATTAAATATAATAAAAGCTGGAAAAGAGCTATGCCTACATAAATAGGAAGAGTATATGTGTAATTCTTACCCATAATTCCATAAATCATCCAAACGCTAAAGTAAAGTCCTTTAAACAACAATTGTAAGCCGTTAAGCAATCTGCTGTCGTTATATTTTATTAATTTATAAAACCCATAAGCTGTTTCCAATATCTATAATGATGCATGAATATGATACATCAATTCCCAAGCTATGCTTTCTTACTCTGAATTCAGCACCGTTTCCATTTTACCTGTTTAATTGAATTATATTTTACTTCCAATTATTTAATTTTATTCCCTATCTATTTTCTTTTACTAAAGTTTCTAACTTTTCAGCCAAGCCAACTTGTATTATTTATTTATTTATTTTTGAGCTTTTACTAAATCACCTTAAGTTGATTTTAATATTAAATTTTCATTTAAATTAATAAACTAATTGTATTTTTTCTATATATCCATCCATCCATCAATTAATTGAAATAAATAATATCTTTTAAATAAATTTTATTTTTACAAAACTCTAAAAACTATTTTTTATTTTCAATTTTATTTTAATCATATTTTAAAAATATTTTTATTTTCAAATTATATTTATTGAATAAATTTAAGTCAATCAAGCATTTAAATACAAATAAGATATTTTATTTCTCATTATTTCTAATTTCATATAAAATTACAAAGCTTAATAGTATATTTTGTAATCAAATTAGCCTAAATAATTTTCTTTCTTTTAAAAATATTTTTAAGTTTTTAAAAATTTGTTTTGGCATAATTATTTAAGCTATTTCAAATTTATGTTTTTATTTAAATGCTTACCTTCCTTTTAAGTATTGATTTCAATAAAACGTAAGCTCTCTAACTAATCATTATATTTTTTCTAAATATTTTCTCAACTCTTAACAATCAGCATTTTAATTATGATTTTAGTTTGATATAAATATTATTAAATAAAAATAGTTTGTTTTAAAAGAATTTTAAAACTTTAATTTAATAAGTTATTTTAAATTTATGTTTTCAATAAAATGTTAACTTTTTAATGATTAGCTTCTATAAAATGTCCATTTCTTTTGATAATTATCTAAATTGTTATATGTTTCTTAAATATTTTCTCAACTCTTAACAATCATCAACCTAAGTTTATTTTTGTTTGATTTAAAATAAATATTTTTTTAAATTTGGTTTTTATCCAATTAATTAAATTATTTCAAATTTATTTTTTGAATAAAATTTTAACCTTTTCAGTATTGATTTTTATAAAACGTCCAGCTCTTTAATAATTTTATCTAAATTGTTATATCTTTTCTAGATATTTTCTCAACTGTTAACAATCAGCTATCTAAGTTTGTATTTAATATGATTTAAAATAATTATTTTCTCAAAATAAATAAAAAAAATAAAAATATTTTGAGAAAGAGCTTATATATGACACAACCATTTTTTTAAAAATGTTAGATTTATTTGTTTGTTAAAAATTTTGAAGAAATTAGCTTGTTTTTAACAAAAATGTATTCATTCATTTTGCATCGATTTACTATCAAAAAATTTATATCTATTTGTCAATTAATTGTTATTTATTGAATTTTAATACTTCGAAATAAATTAAAAACTTGAATTAGTTATTTATCGATCTTAAGTAAAAAAAGATAGTAAAGTTATTTTTATAAGGTCAATAAATAAATACATAATAAGAGTAACATCAAACACTTTTTAAATAGGATTTAAGCAGAACAAGGAGTATTTATTTAAGTCTGATTTACAGAAGTAGCTGTAGGATTTTATATTATGTAGACAAATAACTAAGAAATTCAAAAATAAAGCTCTTAATCTCACCAAAGTGGTATTGATGCGAATTTTAATAATAATTAATTCAATTTTTAAGATATGAAAGATAATTTTTTTGATATGGACTTTAATCATAATTAACCAGCAGCTCTCGGTTAAAATTAAAATCAGAATTAAAACACCTAGCAAATAGATTTATTAGGAGATGATGATCTTTTTTGGGGTAATAGCGGCAATAACAACAATTAATAAAATAACAATTAGCTCTAACAGTAATAATAAAATTAAAATTAGGTTCAGCCACAAGCCTTGAAAAATGAATTTTAAGACTTTGATTTTGATTTTATGGAAAAAAGCATGAATAATAGCTAATAAAAAAACAGTTTAAATGAATAAAATGCTTATCAGTCATAGCATCCACCGCTACCTCCCAAAAAGTAAAACTCTAATATGAATTCGTAAAGTAACAGCTAGAATATTTCAAGAAACAATAGTATGCATAATAGTTAGTCAAGTTAAAAAGGAAATAATCTATATAATAGCTAAAATTAAGGTAATAAATAGCCTATTAATAATTAAATTTCTTAGAGTAGCAATGCATTTCAACGTAAAGACAGTCTTGGAATATAAAAACAAAATAGTTATGAGTATCACAATTAGTTCAATAGCAACAACAACAATAACAATAATCAAGCTTAATTTGTAGGATTTGATATGAATTTTTAGAGTAATCAAGCTAATAATTCGTTTACAAACAATAATTAAATGAAAAAGAGTGGTTCAATAAGCAATTAATAAAATTAAAATAACTTTGATGGATTTGATTTTGGATTTGGAGGTTTTGGAGACATAAACCCTATGGCAAACTCTTAAACTTCTTCTTAAAATAAAGGGTAGAATAATTAAAATCAATAGCAACAGTAATAGCAATACAACTTGAATTAATTTGATTTTGGAGAGTTTAATATGAATGCTTAGGCCTAACAAAGTTAACAAGGAGGAAATAATGCAGGTGCTTAGAATTATAATGATTTTTATTTTGGTAATGACAATAATCAATAAATTAATCAAGTATAAGGTCAAAATATTGCTGAATCCTAGTTTTAATACAACAACCCTGATGCATTTAATAGCTACAACAGTTACAATAATAATAATTTAAATCATGGAAGTCTTCATAAAGATAAATCTTAAAATAAAGCTTCTTTGGATAATTCTTAAATTTAAGAAAAAGATGAGAAACCTTTGACGATTAGCTAGAAGTTAGAATTAGGAGGAAGTGAATTTAATTAGCATTAACTAAAAATTAGCTAAGAGCAACAATATAAATAATAGTATTAGAATGTTGATTTTGATGATAATTTTAACAACAACAAGTTGCAAACTTCATAACCTAACATCTAAATTCAATCTGGAAATAATTCCAAACAATTATCCCACAAATCCAGTGGAAGTAGTCAGCATTAGCAAGAATAGCAGTAAAAATAGAAATAATAATTTGATCTTGGAAGTAATTTTTTTGGGTCAGGAATAAATAATCCTATGATTTCAAGTGTTGGAAGTGAGTAGAGCAACAAGAAAAACTAATAATAAGATTGGAATTTTTAAGCCAATAAAAATAACAACGCAAATTTTTTTGACACAAACTTTGATTTTACATAAAATAATAATAACAATAGAGATGAAGCAGCTTAGCTCTCAAAAAAACATTCTTAACACAGCAATTCCAATTTCTAAGATGTTCATAACAATTAATTTAATAATAGCAATAATTTTGGATAAAATAATGATTTTGCAAACAACAACTGGTCTGGAAACAATTAAACTCAAAATAAGCAAAATTTGCTTGATGAAAATTTCAATTTTAACACAGCAAATTCTTAGAAAAATCACTAAGAAGAAGATAACAAAGTTTAATTTTGGATGCAGTAAAAAGTTCAGCAATAGATTTTTGGAAATTAGAATGAACCCAATCTAAACTCGGTAACTAAGAATAGTAGTATTGATAAATCTCACAATATGTCTACAAGTAAAAAAAATAATAACAACAAAGATGCCTTTGGATTAGATGATTTTGGAGAAATTTCTGAAGCAACTGGTGGAGAAGATTCAAAAATAGAAGCTCAAAAATATGGTTTTGATTACGACTAAAAAACAAATGAAAAAGATCAACAAATAGCTAACGATAGTAGAAGATCTGATGATTTCGATGATCTCTTGCCTTCCGAAATAGACTTAGTTAAACAAAATAAAAGGAAACTTCAAATGGAATAGAATTTAAGAGACTAACAATAAGATTATCATGAATAGTAGCAATTTTAAAATATTTAAGAAAACAAAAATCAAAATTTAGAAAACAAACAAGTGCAGGATGGTAACTAAGAATTGGCCATACATAAATAGGTCTTGAAAGCGAAATAGTAGGCGTTAGCTGAATAAATTAATTATGCCCAAATATAACATGACAATTCTAAAATTAATCATATGCCTGGAATAAGACCTTTTTCACCTCTATAACATACTTAGAGCACAAATTTAAGTAATAAAAGGAGATCAAGTATAGAAGAGTATGCTTTAAAAAAATAAATGGAAAACTAAATCAATATTTTAAAACCATTTGACTTTGAAGCTTAAAAGCAGAAAAATGATCAAAGGCGTCATTCTGAAGGTTAGGCCATTTTATCGTAATAAATTTAGAGGTTACAATAAAATTTAAACTTAGGAACAATAAATGAAGTAATTTTTCTTAACAAATAATTTGATCCTAAAGAAATATATTTTTATTTTTTTTAATTAGGAAGAACTTCAAGCTGGCGATAATCAACTTTAAAAGAAAGGCATCCCTCTCTATTAAGGAAAAGGAGATCACATACCAAACGTCAACCTAATTCTTCCAAGCATTAAAGGGTAAAAAGAATAAGTTGCTGCTTTTTAAGAGGAACAAATTGGAAATCCCTTACATTCTAAGTCATCTGTGTCTTAAGATGACGAAGATGACTACCTTGATAGTCCGGAACTCAAGTAGAAATCTCAAAAAAATCAATCTAACAATTTGCAAACTTAAAATAATGAACATACTAATCCCTCCAATCCATAGATAATTCTTGCAGAAAGTGACATAATTCCATATCCTGACGAGAATGGGCAAGACAATAATTAAAATAATGATTTTCTTGGCATTCACAAAAATTAGAATATCCTCGAAAGTGAAGTGATTAAACCCCAACATAAAAATTCACTTTCGCCGAGAAGCAATGTAAAATTTTGAATAAATAAAAGCTAAAAATAAATAAAATTAGTACATTAAAATTATAAATTAGAAAAATCTTTTATATTATTAATTAGATAGGAAATAATAGATAAATTTTACAGTCAGAGTATTTAATTGATAAACAAGTTGCTAATTAATAATTAAATACTAATTTCAAGCCTACCTTAACTGAGAGTTATGTAGAAATTGATCATACTAAAGATGACAACAGGTTTGTTAATATGTAAAATTATACAATATAGAATTTTGTGAAAAGTGAAAATGTGTTACCAAGCAGTGATGATGAAGCTTAACAAACTTAACAAAAAGTTGGGACTACGGTATCAAATAGAGAGAGTTTGGAGAAATCAGTTGAGTAGACAATTGAGGAAATTAAATTTGACATAGATGATTTCCCAATGCTTGAAAATTAACTGAATACTAAAGGCTAATTTACATCTAAAGAATAATAAAATTTAATTAAAAGATAGCTTTCAATCATTAATGAGGAGTTTGAGTAAGTAGAAGATCCTGATCAAAACATGTCTCAAGCCAACCAAGAAAAACTTTATGTAAATATATAGTTAAATAATATAAAGATTAAACTAAAAATATTATTAAACAGGAACAAAGATTAGAATAAATTAAATCTGATTAAATAGCAATCCACAATCAGCTAGCAGAAATTAAGAATTAAACTATTTTATATGAAGAGGAATTTAAAAAGAATACTAATGCCAAAGAAGATGACCTTGAAAGGATTAAAAACTAGTTAAAAGCAATGCAATAAAATTAATAAAAAATAAAGAGCTTAAAGGACAGATATAAGTAGAATCTTCAATTTATTATGCTTATTGAGTATAAAAAAGCAGCCTTATCTGTGGAAAAAATGTAAGCAGAAATATCTAAGTTGTAAGAAAATTCAAATAAATCAAGCTCACTCCAAGGCAGCTAAAAGTAGATGGGTTCCTCTTCAGAAGCAGTATCATTTTTTATATTAATTTAAAATTTAAATTTAAAATCTTGTAAAAGTAAAATTCAAGTTTGATCGAGAGTCTAAAAAAAGAAATCTAAGATTTAAAATAGCAAATGAATTCTTAATACTACCCAAAATCTTAAATATCTCGCTAAGATTCTCAGGATCAAAAAAGGAAATATTCTGAGAATGAAATTGCTATAATTGAAGATTTAAGAATATAAATGAATAAACTAAAATCCGATTTCGAAAGTAAATACAACGAGTAGTCCAGTAATCTGTCAGCAGAAAATAAAAGCACAATGATAGAATTCATGGAAAAGTTATCATAAATAGAAAAAAATATTATAGACCAAAAGGAGGAAATTCAAAGGCTAGCTTCTAGTTAAAATGATATCCAAAAGTAATTTATGAGCATAAGTCGCACGAGCAACTAATATTTCTCCCCTTTAAGCTAAGATCGTCAATTCAGTAATAACTTTATATAATAAAATTATTTTTAAAATAAATAATTATATTAAGAAAAGTTTAGATATTTTCGAAAATTTATTATTAAATGAAATTATTTTAAAATAAAATTAAATTTAACTCTTAATCAAATATCTACTTAATTTATAACAAAAAATATAATCAAAATGCTCCTAAATTATGTTTGATATAACAGTAAGAGATAAATAAAGGACTAATTTAATTTTCATTTATAAAAGCTTTAAATAAATAAATGTTGTGAATAATAAAATAGTGATTGTAGAATAATTATTTTAGATAAGTAAATAATTATTCAATTTAGATTAATAAGGCTAAATAGTAAAATTATTAGAAATTTAATTTTTTTATATCAATCGATAATGATATTTTTAAAACGCAATATTGAGGTTCAATTTTTCGAGAATTTTGATACTATTAAAAAGAATGAGAAAAAAATTAAAATAAATATAGAAAATTAATATTTCAAAAATATATTATATAAGTTTGATTCATCGAAAAACCAATTTTTTAGAACACTTCAAGTAAATAGGGATGAACTAAGGTTTTGCAACAGCAATCATATTTAAAAATAGGAAAATAATCAAGAAATAAATTAACGATGTCTTTGGAAATATATTATTTAGCTCAAAATATATTTTTAAATTATTGAATTTTATTATTTTAATTTGGTTATTATTATATAATAAATGAAATAGGATAAATATTTAAGATAAGTAAATAAAGATTGATAGTAGAGTTTGTTTTTCCATATTTAATTTTATTATATCGATAGACCGATAACGATATTTGATAAATTTTTTGAAAAAATCAATATTACTAATTATGAATGAGAAAAAAATAAAAATAAATATTATAAAAATCTATTTATTATCTAAGTTCGATATATCGAAAACCAATTTTTTAGAACAACTCTAATAAATAGAAGTTAACAAAGCAAAGATATTTAAAAATAGGAAAATAATTAAGAAATGAATTTGGAAATATATTATTTGGTTCAAGATATGCTTTTTTAATTATAAAATTTTATAAATATAATTTGATTATTGATTGTATAATAAATGAAATAGAATAAATATTTCATAGGGATGATTGATTACCTTTCCTTTATTTTTAGCATAATAAATATATATTTTTATAGAAATAAATGCTTAAAAACAATTTTATAAACAAATTAGACTAAAATAACGAAGATAGAAAGTATGGTCAAGAAACTCATTATTAAGAAAATCCATAAATAAGCCTAATAAAAAATGATAGCTAGAGTGAGCAAGGAGAAGCTGAATTATTCCCTAGGAACGAATTTATAGATAAAACTGAATAGGAACAATCTTAGAATTTTAAGTAAAACCCTATATTTGACGAGAACGAATATAAATCAGTAAGAGGAAGATATAATAATCAGGAAGATGGAGTCAATTTTTTGACCCCTTCTAAATCTTCTCCTGGCATGATGGAGTATTCTCCTATTATTTCTTAAGACTAATAAATAAATCATCATGATTATCGCTCCACTGTAGGTCCAAGATAATAATTTTATTCTCAGTAATAATATTAAACAAATGAAAATACTGCTAAATATTTTTACTAAGGAGACAAAAATAATTAACTGAATTATAGCACAAATAATAGAGAATAAAATCAATACAATCCTGACTAAGTTAACCCATAATAAATTAATTAAGATGAAAATCAAATGAATAACTCTATGCTTAAAAACTTATATGAAAGGACAGCTTCTCATACTTTACTTTATGAATAGAACTAACATTTAAAAAGTATTTATTAAGATCCTTATGTGCTCATGAAAGCTTTTGAAGCTTAAAAGGTATCTTAATTATAATTTTCAAAAGTATAGACTCCTTACGATGTCTATGGGTCTTTCCAAAATAATAGGATATAACAAAGACTGAGGGATTCTGTTTACAGTGGTACGTCTTAAATTTTCAATGAAGCTATAAACTTCTCTATAAACTCGTATAAAGTTAACTATGTTGCTTCTAATTACAACATGGGAGTAAAAAATATAGAAAAATCTTAATTTACAAATTAAATGCTTTCAGAACATGATAGGTAAATAAATATTTTCATTTTTTATACGAGAAACAAAGAAATTAATTATTTGATTTTTTATTTCAAGCTTACAAATTTTATTAAAACAGAACTCTTTTTTCAATTAAATAAATAAATCTATTTATGCTTAAAATTTCAGCCAGACTTTACAATTTTATTTTCACGGTATGACCCTTTTCAAACTTTTGATAAGATAAAATAACGGAAAAATATAAAAGAAAGAAAGTATTTTTTAGATTTTTAAAAGATGCTTTCATGAAATTAAAAAATAAAAATGGAAATAAATTAAAAAATATTGATTAAATATTTTAAATTGATAAACAAATTAAATAATAAAAAAATAACCAATAAAATATTCAAATTAGTCTAAATTCTAATTATCTTATTGAAGAAAAAAATAGTAAATTGCGTTTAAATTTTGATGGCCAAAATAAACCTAAATTTTAAATTTATATGAATCCAATTAGATCATTTTCTTTTAAAAAAAATATCAATTTAGATTATTCTTTTCGCATATATTTTTATTGGAGTTAGCAAAATATTTGTTGATTATTCTAAAATTAATAAAATTAAGAGGTCAAATGAATTATTTTTCTGATTAAAATATTTTGAAATAAATTAGATAATAAAAATATAATTTATTAACAAGCAACATTAAATATTATCAATTAATTAATATCGTTTTTTAATTAAAAAGATATTATGATCCTTTGATCGAACTCGCATAAAAGTAACTAGGAAAGGAATACTTCCCAAATAATGAATGGTTTGAGAAAAATATTAAATAGTTTGTCAATAGAGTAAATATAGAGAAAAGAGTGCTCAAAGATTCAATTGTAAACTAGAATTGTGTTATCCTTGAAACATTTGATTTGCAAGTTTCTGCTAAATATTCTATTGTTAAAACAACAAATAGCTCTGGTAAACCAGATCCTCGCTACCCATCTTAGATTCTGAAAATCTAGCTCACCTATACGAATAAACTAGGAATGAACATAAATAATCTTTTAATAGTTTTAGCATCTGCGAAAGGTAGATTTATTTTCTTAAAATAAAAATAAATACTCTAATAATTTGTATTTTACTGATTAATTAATTAATTTAAATCTTAAAAAAGGCTATGAAACAGTTTTAGCAGACCCTCCTAAAATCATCCAAAATTAATTAAAAGCTTACGAAACAATATACTAAGACGTCTATCTTCCTAATTACAGACCTAATTCCTAAATGTTGATTTCTTAGTTTTCTTATAGGTAATTATTATCAAAATGGATTATTAAATGCTTTAAGCTTAACTTTATTTAACTGACGTACTTTATTAATTTATTTTTTTTTTAATGTATTATAAAAGCACGGGTTTTAAACAATCTAGGGTGAGCGCTTTAATACCAAGCACTCCAAACAAATTCATGGATTTTATTTTTATCAACAAAGAATAATTTAACCAAATGTGGGCTGAAAGTAAAGATACCATGATCTATTGTTCACCAGTTTACTTGAATACCCACATAATCCAATCATGTGAAGATTTCAAAACAATTTATCCTCTTTTAATAGAAATTGTAGAAGCCTTCGAATAATATAAATAGTCTTGGAGAGAATTTGGAGGTTCATTTACCATACTAAATGACCCTTACCCGAATACTACTTATCTTCTTAAAATTTGTTTCTCATAAGATTAAAGAGTTTACTTCTAATTTAGTAGTGTTGGGCAAGACCAAGTCTAATCTTTCAACATTAAAAAAGTACTCTAAAGCATACTTGATTTATTTTACTTCTTATATTGTGAGTGAGTGAGTGAATGAGTGATGAAATCACTGATTTTATAAAATTTAAAACATTTTTCTTCATACTTGTATCTAAATTTATATGTAAATAATTTTATTTTCTAAATCAACTAAACTAAAAAAGTAAACTCTATTTTTTCACTGTTAAATGAATAAAAAATAAATAAAACAGTTCTAATTATTATTAAGAATTTCATGTTTGTTTTTTTAATATTTTGTAAAAATGTAAATTTGTGGTTTGAAAGTAAATAATGTTTTTCATAAGAAAAAGAGTAAAATTAGTTTGAAATGTAAGCACGAACATAATATTTTTAATTAAATAATAATCTGAGCTAATAATTTTATATATTTATTTTTCTTATATTAATAAAATTATTACTGTAATCTAAGTATCCCCATTTATTTATTTATTTATTATTAATTGCTATTTAACTCATTTTTAATTAATTCTGATAAAAAAGATACTTTAATTTTTTTAAAATATGAATAATCATTAACACATTGAAAGAATAATTATCCGTTCTTTTACAATCAGATATTATTTTTTCCAGTTTTCACTAATTATTAGTAAAATTTAAAGAATTTTTAAAATTTTTCAGTGTTTAAATAAAAAATTGACTTTAAAAAGTTAATAAATCAAATAAAAAAAAAACCCTTTTTTTATAAAATTTTTATTAGTGAGAAAAATAATTAACTAGGAATAATTGTCATTGACAAAATTGTTATTGTTAAAAAAATACTCTTATAAACAATACATTAAATACCATTGAAATTATTAATTTGTTTTCTTTTAAACACTTATAGGTATTTTACTCTTGTTAAATTCGATCTTCTACTATACTATTAAATAATCCCTCATTATATGTTTTCATTTAAGTTAAAAGTTTAAAGATAATAAATGCTGATGATTAGTATAATAAATTTTATACATTTCTCTTTATTTAATTTATAGAATTGAAAAGAGATTATTTTGGGTTTAAAAGCCAATAAATTTTATGCTTAATCAAAAATATGTGATTTAGGATTTATAGCAGGTATTTTTATTTAATGTTTTGTGGAAAATAGATAGATGATCAAATATCCAAATTAATCTTTTTTTTAAAAGAATAAAAGGAGTGTGTGGCAATTAATAATAAATAATAAAATAATAACCTTCTATAATAAAGCTATACCTTAAATAAATAGATAGATCAAATTCTCATATAAATAAATATATTTTTAAGATTATAAAAAAGAAAATTTTTCTATTTAAAAAAAGTTTTTCTATTCTGTCAAATAATTAAATGACTACTTGAAATAAGAAGATGAATGAAACATTTAAAATTAGTGTGATTAAATAAATAAATATCTAGTAGACTTGTGAAATTTTATATTTAGATATGATAATATGTTATTAAATTAAGTCTTTCCTAATTTTTTATTGATAAGAGTTTTATAATTAAAGATTTTATATTCAAGAAGATTCTTATTAGAGATTCATAATAAATCTAATTACATAAATTTAAAGGTGGGTGGACAACCAATCATTCGTTTTTTGGATTTAATCTTCAAATTAATCTGTTTTAAATTAAATATTAATATTGGTTAACTTATATCAGAGAATATAAATATAATCTGATTTACATAAATTATTGCTTATTTTTATTGAAATAAAACACTTCTTAAATCTTATAACATCATCAAAAACAAAAAAATTTAAATTAAATAAAATATTCATAAAAAATAAGTTCTTGAACCATTATTGCAGAAGCCCTCCACGGATAGAATTCCTGAAAATTTTCTTGTTTTAAAATAAGAATTTTAATGAAAAAATGAATATTCTCAATGTTCAGAAAAAAAAAATATTTAAACTAAAATATTTACCTAAATAATAAAAAAAATGTGGTTTACTTGAAGATTAATGCTATTTTAATCATAGTCATCAATTACATATCAAATCTTAAAACTCTTTCTTGTAATTAACAAACAATGATTAAATTACAAAATGTAACATAGAGCCATTTAATTCTGTCGAAATTCAGTTGATCAATCATTCTTAAAAACAAATTATTAAAGTGGAAAATTTTCAAGACAATTAAATAGAGCTATTTGCTGAATCTCCTAACATGAGTTCATCTATTTCTAATAAAGACACAATGCTACCTGAAGTTGAGCTAACGCAGAATGATTCTGAAAATTTAGATGATTAATTTGAATAAATATTTGAAGAAGAAGAAAGTAGTTCCTTTTAGAATTCATCTCCAAAATTAAAAGAATAATCGCTATCAAATAATAGTCAATTGGATTTTGTAACTAATCATTAAAATAATAATTATTAAAATTGTATCGATGATTCGCAAAAAGTAAAATATTGTTGCAAGCAAATTAAATCTGGTTACTTAGAAGATTCTTAACAAACTAAAAATCTGATAAAAACATATTTTAGTGAAAATAAAAATCATTTTAAAAATTAAAATACTCCTTCATATAAAATCCTTCCAATAGATTATGATGATCTGCCAAGCAATAAATTTCACTTATATGGAGACATCTTTATTGAGTTAATGAATTCTAAAAAATCTTCAAACTAAGCTTAAGATTACAGTCAAGAAGTCATTCTGAAATGCAACAAATAGATTAATCCTATTTTTGAGTGGAAACACATAAGTCAAATCAAAACTAGTAAAAAAGAATTAATTTTCGATTTAAATAGCAAAACAGAAACGAACAAAGATTTCAATTCTATCATAAAAATTTTAAAAGCTCTTAATTAGCAACAAGAATTAACAAAGCTACTTATAGAAGCTGAGAGCAATTTACCTAGAATATAAAATTCTATAAAAGATAGTTTTAATTTATTGAAATAGAATTAATTGATTGAATTATTTTACTAACGCAGACAGTTGTTTCAAAGTAAATGCCAATTTTTCTTGAAAGAAATATCTGGTTAGAAGAAATACATATTTTTGAAGTTAAACTACAACGAAGATAAACTGGAAATTGAATATTCTTAAATGGGAATTTCTACAAACCTAGTTGAAATTTTATCTGGCTAGCAAATCAATTAAGTTGCATATAAAATAATGAGAGGAAATTATCCAGAGATTTTAGGAAATAAACTTAAAGAAATATGGTCTCAATAAAGTATAATCAGACTTCTTAACTTTGAACAAAATAATTATAAAGAATTAAAATTTGAAAACATCGAGTTAAATACTCTTGATGGGCTATCATTTAAAACTACTATGACAATTAAAAGGGTTTAGTTTAGGTATGATTCTATTTATGAAAACCTTCCTTTAAAAGACTAATTTGTTTATATAGAATTTAATATTAGTCCTAGAGTATTACAGCAGATAAATAAAATGAGAAAAGATATATCTGCTCCTAAATTAGAGTATATTTAATCATAGTCAAGTAGCTTATTTTAAGATTAATAGATTTTATCTCCACCTTCTATTTATGAGTAAGTAGAAGTGAAAAAATCCCAGTCTTAAACAACTATAGATTTTAACACTGAGGATTTACTTAATCAAAGATTTTGCCTGGCTGAATAGATAAAAAATGAAAATGCTTAAACCACCAAATAAGAAAATGATGAATCAGATCTAGAAAAACATAGCTAATTTATATACCAAGCAATTATGTAGTCTTTAAATAAAAATAAAAAATACATCTTAAGTTAAAAAAAATTGTAATCAAAGGCATTTAATTCTCTTAAAAATAAAAAAAGAAGGCAACTTGGGTTTATTGAAGAAAATAATAAAGATTTTTACTATGAGATGCAAACTCAATTACTATTGGATAAGTTTTATAACTATGAGGAAATCAAGGAGCTCATTAAATAATCTTATTAAATTAATAAATAAGGCTCTCCCGAACAAAAACAAACAAATAACTAGTTTTAAATTTAGAATAATTTTTTACAATGAAAAAATTGTTTGCTTGCTTGCTTAAGACTGGTAAGCTAAGCATGATTTTACTTTTAAAATTGATTAGTGATAAAAACCATATAATATTAGCTCAAAAAAAAAAGCTTAACTTAATAACATTTCAATGATAAATAAAGAATAATAATAATCACTTATTTTCTACAATCATCATAACAAATTATATTTTAATCATATATATATCATAATAAACTCTTATTTTTCTTTATATTTAAATAATTATAAAATACTGTAATTTATCCTATAGCTAAATTTAAAATATCACCAACTCTATTGGTACAGATAACAATATATATTTGGAAGAATAATATTCCTGAGTTGGTTTGTTTTTATTTATGAAAAATTATAGTATCTGAATTTATATTTTTGTAACAAATTTCTATGGTATTTATTATTTATTGGAGTTATTAAACAACATATTAAGTAATTAATTTTAACAACAATTAAAAAAATTTTATTATTTTAGTAAATGAACATATTTTAATTACTTTAGACCTGATTGAGTATGTATGTAAAAATTATTATGTCCATATTAAAAATATATCTTGTATGTTTAATGTTAGTTTTTATTTTGCCATTTAAAAATAATGTAATAATATACTTTTTAAGGTGTAAATATGTATTAAAGATACTTTATTTTTAGCTTCTAGATAATTCAATTATTTTTTTAAGCTTAACTTTTTAGATTACAATTTACAGAAGTTTATATTTATTTAGGCAATCAAAACTATTTTTGATTATATTGTTACATCCTTTATTTGCATTTAATTAAATCTATTTTCAAAATTATGAATTAATTTTGTATTTATTAAATTTTTAAGAAAGTAATTAATTATCAATTTATATTATTTTCATTAATATTTGGTCATTTATTAATTACAAACTATACTTTTATAAATAAATAAATATTTATTTATTCTTTTTTATTAGGTTGAACTTATTTATTCTTTTTTATTTAAGAAACTAATAGATTACAAATTACAGATATTTCTATTTTAATTTAAGACCTGCTTAAATATTGATAACTATTTAATATTTTAATATGGGTTGAATTATACTGACAACTATTTTAATCTATAAAGTTATGATCGTTTTTTATATAGTAAAAAAATAAGTGAGTGAGTGGCTGAGCTTTTATAATCAAAAGTAAATCTTACTATGAATATTTAATAGCCATACTTATACTTCAACTATATTATATTTGCAAAATCATAATCATCAAAAACAAAAAAATAATTTAAGTGTTTTTGTAAAAGGAAATCTTCCAAAAATTTAATTTAATAAATAGGTAACAAAAATAGTACTATTTTAATTTCGATATTAATCCAAAATCATACATTTTGTTAATGAACACTTGCAGTGCTTAAAAGAAAAAAATATGTAAGCCTAAAAAGTCATCAACCTCATAGCTCAAAAGTAAAAAATCATTGCTAACAAAAGATGATAAATTTAAGTCTACTGATAAATAGGATGCTAAAGAAGTTGAGTGGCCTTTTTAGGTTAGGTACCTTCAAAATCATGATTAAGAATTATTTAATCAAAATTAAAGTGAGGATTCTCTAAATTCTTCTTTAAAATTGCCATATTATTAATAAATTAAAACAAATTTAATTCAAAAAAATCAACAAATCACTGGATATCATAATATTTGCTCTTTTTCTTCCAAGGAAGAAGACAAATTAACTTGTTAACTTTAGTATGATTCAAATAAAATTGATAAATTAGATTTAGAGAATGAATCCCCTGTTGAGCAAGAGGAAGAAGAAGTATAAATAGAAGGCGGTGGCTCATCATAAAGTTCTTCACCTTTATTAATTTACTAATTTTAAAATGGAAAATTAGTAGAAAATGACAGGAATTTGTTAATCGAAAGTTATTAAAATTCTTAAATAAATGATGATAGAAATCTATAATAACCCTGTTAGCAATAGGAGCCTTTATTTTCTGAAAAATATTATTAAACTGATTCTTAGACAGTAGCAAAATCATTTAAAAATAAATCTAAAAAAAGTATGATCTTAGATAAACTAAAATAAATTCCTTCATACAAAATTCTTCCTATTGACTTTGATGACTTACCAATAAATGAATTTCACTTATATGGAGATATTTTTATTAGCTTGGAGAACACGAAATAACTCATTCAAAATTAAAATCACACTTAGTAAGTAGTACCTAACAATAATAAATAGATTAATGCTATTTTTTAATGGAAACACATACAAGAAATGAAAAATAGTAAGAGAGAATTAATATTCAACTTTAGCAACAAGACAGAAACTAAAAAAGATTTTAATACAATTATAAAAATTATAAAGGCTCGTAACTAAAATCGTAACTTAGGAATGCTCTTATTAGAAGCAGAAAATAGAGTAAATAATATCTAAAATTATATAAAAGAAGGATTTACTCTAATGAGATAGAATGGATTAATCGATTTATTCTTTTAGCGTAGATAGTTGTTTGAAACCAAGTGCGAATTCTTCTTGAGAGAACTTTCTGGCTAAAAGAAATATATTTATTTGAAGTCTTATTATAATGAAGATAAGCTAGAAATAGAAGATTCTTAAATGGGAATTTCAGCTAATTTTGTTGAAATTCTATCAGGTCAATAAGTAAATTAAGTTGTTTATAAAATAATGAGAGGCAATTATCCTGAAATATTTGGTAGTAAATTAAAAGAGTTATTCTCTCATTAGAGCATTATTAGGCTTCTTAATTTAGAATACAATGATTACTAAGAGTTGACATTTGAAAATATGGAATTAAATTCACTCGATGGCTTAACATTTCCAGCAACAATGACAGTTAAAAGAGTATAATTCAAATTTGATCCTGTGTTTGAGAATCTTCCTTTACAAGATAAATTTGTTTTCATAGAATTTAACATTAGTCCTAAAGTCTAATAACAATTAAACAAAATAAGAAAAGAAGCATAAACTCCTAAATTAGAAAGCTTATTTTGTGAATCTACTCCTTTATAAAAATAATTTTCTCTATAATCTAAAGACATAGAGGAGTTGAAAAAATGTTAACCCTTATCTAATAAAGAAATTTAAGGGTAAAATAATTATGAGGAATCTGAAAAAGTAAAAGAAAACCTCCTCTTAAACTTAAATTAAAAAGAGTAAAGCAGTAAATAAGCAGAGGATCTTATCAAATAAGACACATAAAAATTGAATGAATAAAAATTGAAGTTAAATGCATTTAATTCTATCAAAAACAAAAGAAGAAAACAAAGAGGAATAATAGAAGAAGATGAAAAAGATTTTTATTATGAGATGTAAACTCAAATACTCTTGGATAAATTTTATGACTACGAGGAGATCAAAGAATTGATCAAGCAATCAGATTAAATTATTGATTAAAGTTCACAATTACAATAACCAAATGATAGTTCGTGCTAAGACAAAAACTTCTTTCAAATATGAAATAAAATTTTCATTCAAAGAGTAACAAACGTAATTCAATTTAAAGCAATAAAAATCAAAATTTATTCAAAACAAATAAATAAATAATTAAAGCTAATTTATAAAAATACCACTTATCTATCATTCATTATATTAAATTAATGATGTAATTTATTTATTTCATCGTTATTTATACTAATTATAATCTAAAAAATCTATAAATTAATTAATTTTATTACTGCACAAAATCCATTATTTTTTTTCTTTGAAGACTTTTTTCCTATTCTATTTTAGTACTTTTTTTAATTGTTGCTTGAAATAATATGTTAATCTGTTTTTAGATTAAGATAGGTAGCATTATATTATTAAATTATTTATATTAAGTAAGCATATGAAAATAAATAAATAAGTAGTTTATAAGTAAGTGTATATATGTATGTATACTTTTAGTAACTTTAAATCCTCATCAAATATATTTTATGAGTAAATTTCTAGTAAAAATTAACATAAGAGTTTTTATTTGTTTGAAGAAAAATATACATTTACATATTATCTAAATTGCTTACTAACCTTAGAATACTATTTTTTCGATTTAAGCTTGCTTGGTGATGTATTATTTTAGTTAGATATTGCAATTTTAAATATTTAGAAATAATTATTAAAAATAGATTGAAATTAAAAATATTAAGTTAATTAATTTAGGTCCACTCAATTTGCAATAATTTATAGACTTTTTTTTGCTAACTATCTATATTGATTTTTAAATCTTTACAAAGATAAATTAAAAATTATGCTTCTCATTTTCTGGTACACCAAATATATCATTCTTAAAAAAGTTTCAAAGCCATTTTATTTAAAATTTAAATCAGATAAAATGATGGATAAAGTAATATTTTTAAATATATATTTTAGTGAAATTAATTTTTAAGTTTTGGAAAGCAAATTAATTAAATATGTAAATTATAAATTCAGCATAAAATATAAATATTATCTTTTTAAGTTTTTCAAAATAATTTATTCAAGAGTTATTAAATAGAAAGCTTGAGGTGAGAGATTGGTTTATTCATTTTTTAATTTAAATAGAAATATGAATAATAACTATAAATTCAAATTAAATTAAAAATACTCTTTTGATAAAGGGAAAAAAGAGGTATTAAAGTTAATTTAAAAATAATTATTTTCTAATTTATTTTATAAATAATTTCATATTTAATACTAATTGATGATTATGAAAATTTTCCTGAGAACTGCTTCAATATTTTTAAAACATTTCTTATCAATTTCTACATTTTTTAATAAATAAATTATAAATATAAAATTTTGCTCTGAGAATTGATGAACCAAAAAAAAAAATAGATTATTTTTTTCATTAATAATCTATTTTTTTTCATTATAAATATGATAAATTGCTTTATTTTTTTATCAATTTTATATTTGATTTCATTCTGATGCTCATTCATCAAAGTAAATATAGAGAAGAAATGATTCAATATTATTAAACATTTCTTATCAGTTTTTTTATTTTTGAACAAATAAATATCAAATCTAGCATTTTTTTTTGTTTTTTGAGGATAATCAACTCAAATAAATAAATAAAAATAATGATTTAAAGATTGATTTTTGATAAATGTGACAATTAATTAAGAAGATATATATAATTTTAAGAGTATTCATAAAAAATGATTAAATCATTAAAAATCGAGCTTATACAATAGATATTTGTTTGGTGTTATTTATTTATGTTTGTTTGTTTGTTTTTATAAATTATTTCAATATTTCAGTTAAAATTTTGAAAAATGTTAAATATTATATGATTAACAAATAATTTGTTAAAATAAGAAAGTAACTAAGTCAATAAATAAATAATATTTTAGCACTACAAATTTTTCTCAAAGATCAAAATTTATAATCATATTTAAATAGGTTGATATTATTTAGTATAATTAAGATCATTTAATATTTTATTTAAATCTACTAAAATCATATTCTTAATTCAAGATATTCATAGCTAGCTGTTGCGAAATATGAAAAAGCAGTCATCATGTAATTTGCTATTAAAAAATCATGTTTTTACTTTCTTTTATACATCATTTTATATTAAATAGCATCAGAAAAATTCTAAAAAGATAGAGAATTATGGCTGACAAACAATGCTTAAGAGGATATTACTCTAAGCAGTTTTAGTAAAAATGTAGATAAAGTAAAATAAAATAATTATAGATAAAACGGCTTAGTTACTGGGACTATATTCTTTAATGAGACTTCAGCATAGAAATAATTACAAAATTAGATCAATTAAAACATGGTTAAGAATTGCTAATTGAATTAGAATGCTTCGCCATCAAGCTACGTATTTTAAAAGAAATAAAATAAATTAGAAGAAGAAATCATAAAAAATGGAGTAAGAACATCAATTAGTAGTTCTGAAAATTAGCAGGATTAAGATGATACTATTAGGAATATAGTTCATAAAGTTGAAATCGACTCTGAAGGTATCATACAAGAAAAAACATATAAGCAAGTGATTGATTAGCAGATTTAAAGAGAAAATCATCTCAAGAATTTATAAAATAAATACAGATAAAATCATATTAAGGTAGAAGATAATGAAGATGAAAAAAGCTCACTTAAGTTGCTAAAGTCAGCACAATTTAATAAAATCACAGAAAGCGATAATTGCAAAACTTAAAATAAAATGTAAGTCAAAAGTAAAGCTCAATAAGATTTGCAGTTAAACTATAGTTATGTTTCCTTTGATGATAATGGAGAAAATTTTATGACCAATCAGACAGAAGAATAGAGTGAATTTAATACCAAGTAGAGTTGTAACAATAAAAATAAGTTTTCTTCGATTTCATCATCTTCTACAGGCATTTATCAGAAGAAAATAGAGGAGGTTCAATAAGAGTTAAAAGAAAAGATAAGTTTTTTGATTGCCTTAGAAGAGGAGCTGCTTGAAACAAAAACTTAGCTAAATATGCAAAAATTAGAAAATTCATCTCACAAAGAAAGAATTAACAAATTATAAAAAGACAATCATTTAATGCAAAAATAGATAACCCAAATGGGTGAAACAATAAAGAACCTTGAGAAAGCCAGCAATTCGTTAGTTAATTAAATTTTGCTGATCAAAAATAATAACGAATTTAATGTCAGCAAAGAACATTAGAGTAGTGTCAATAATTTAAATGATAGTTGTGTTAACTCTTTAGCTAATTATCAAGAATATCTAAACGATATAGTAAAAAGTAATATAAATTTAAGAATAAGTCTAGAAGAATTAAACTAAAAGTACGGTTAGCTTAAAAGTTAAATCAATTCAACAGTCTTTACTCACAGTTCTCCCGTTTCAACTAGAACTTAAAATCTTTAGCTTGAATCAACTCTCAGCACTGTAATAGATTTATTATTTTTTTAAATAATTTTGGTATTTTTATTTCTATTTTAGAATAATTATTTTGGAGCAGTAGTTTTATATTTAATAGAATAATAAATATTATATAGTGAATTATTTTAAATTTTATTAAATAATATTTATTTCCTATTATATTTCTATTTCTGAATCGAGAAATGATTATTCACAAATATTCTAACAAAATTGTGTTATTTTAACTAAAAAGAAATTTAAAAAGAAGTTTTATTTTTATATTTTTAATATTTTAAATAAAAAAAAGAATAAATACAGAAGTAGCTTTTTAAAGGATATGTAAGATAGTCTTGAATGCAGAAGAAGTGTATCACCCTCAAATATCTCTAGTAAGAGTAGAACTAGTATGAGTCCTATTCAAGGAGGAATGAATATTGAGGAATTTGAAAAAAATTTGAGCTACAGTAAGTAGCAAGCATAGTTTAGTTTGCAAGGAAGGGTTAGAGAAATAAAGGATTCGTGTGATAAGTTTGTGAATAAATATCTCAAGAATAAAAGAAGAAACTGCTCTGATGAAAAAGAAAGATAGTTTTTTGTTGAATTAGATAACGAATTTTAATTGATTAATAACAATATCTAGAAAATGGAATCTTATTTGGAGGAGGTTAAATTTGAAAATGAATCAAGAGTAAAAAATGCTAGATAATAATTTGAAACAACTTTAAAAGAAATAGAATAAATTAAGAAGATTGCTGAGGAAAGAAATAAAATATTAATAGATCAAGTTAAATAGATTGAGCAACAGAATATCAGTCTGAATAAAACAGTTGAGAATTATAAAGGTTCGTTAATGGAGAATGAGAAGGGATTAGATGAATCACGTCTTAAATTAGAGACTTATTAAAAGAGTACTGAAGATTACTAAATAATGCTAAAACAAGTTAATGAGACTTTGGCACTTAAAAATGAAGAACTAGTTTAAATGAAGGTGTATAGAGATAATCTGGAGTAAGATTTAAACTAGAAGGTTTTAAATATTAAAGAACTAAAATTAGAAAACAATGAGAACAGCTAGTTTATTAGAAAACTTCAAGAACAAATTATAGCATTATAAAAGGAGATATAAGATAAGCAGGAAGCTCTCTCTAAATCTTAGGAGTTTGCTTAGCAGCTTAGAGAAGAGACTGAACGAAAAGCGAGCTCAATTTAAAGAGACAATTACTAAATTCAAAATAAAGAGAAAGAGTTTCTTGAAAAGGAAATCAAATTTAAGGAAAGAGAAAATTAACTTCTAAATGAGTTATCTCAAAGGGATTAAATTATTTCTAATCTACAGGATTAAATAAATGAATTAAATCAATCTCACTTAATTAATAAAATAGAATCTGAAAATTAATGCCTTAAAACTGAATTAGATAACCTCAAATAAATAAAATCTGAATTCGAGAACAATTTTAACATTTTATAAACACAAATCACAGCATTAAAATCAGAAAACAAGGAATTAAAAAATGTAAATTTTTTATTACTTACAAATTAAATTTTCTTTTTAGATTTAAAAATTGACATTAATTTTTTGATTTTTATTTCAATATTAAGGATGAAGTAGAAAGAAAACTATTGCAATATGAAAAATATATTTAGCTTGAGGTAAATAATAATTCTGATATAATTTATCTTAAGTTGTCTTTTATTAAAGCAAAAGCTAGGTTTACAGTAAACTGATATTTTACTTTTGGTAGAGAAGTTGCCTTTGGCTGAACAAGAACTTCAAAATATTGTTGCCTTAAATGAAAAACTATAAAACGAGATAAGTAAATTAAAATAAGAAAAAACAGATAGTGAAAAGGGATAAAAAGATTGGAAAAGTAAATATGAAAAGAGTAATTAAGAAGTTAAACATATCCAAGAACAATTTAATCAAGAAAGAGATTTGCTGAAGGAAAATATAAAGCAGCAGGTACAAATGAATTAACAGTTATAGAAGTAGAATTAGACAATTATGAAAAACTGTGAAATCACTAAGTAAGGCTAAATTAATTTAGAGACTTAAATTAAGAATCTAACTGAAGAAAATGAGCTGCTTTCTTAAAAGTGCATTAAACTTGAAGATTGTTTACAGTTATTAGTTAAGGAAAGGGAGCTAATTAAGAAATAATAGAATGAAAATAAATTAAAAGAACTTTCATCTTCTGAACAAAATGTAATTTAGAGTATTGGCAGTGCTTCTTAAAAATAAGTTCTTTAAAAAAATCCATAAAAAAATGATAAAAAAGACTAATTAAGAATCAGCACATCAAAAGATTAAGTTAATCATGTTGAAAGATTGTAAACAAGTGTTTCACCATCTAATTCAAGAAGCTCTAAGCAATCAACGAAAGTGATTAAAAATTTAAATTAAAACTCTTCAAATGGGAGTGCAAATAATAATTTAAACTAGGCTAACAATACTAAACAAATAAACTAGCAACCTGTTAGCAGCAGCATTACCAAATAGAAACAATCCCAAAATAGTTAAATTTTATCCAATAGCATTCAAAGCTAATCTTCAGCTAAAAGTTTTATCAATACTAACAGAAGCTAATAACAATTGACATCTTCTTAACAAATTAAGTAAATGCAATAGTTTCATGCTATGCAAGGTATATAGCAGCATTAGCTTGCCTCTTTAAGCCCTATGTCTTAATAAAAATATTAATAAGCTAACAATTAATCAATTTAATCTAACTCTAGTGGTAAAAACAGTAATCTTGCCTTATAATCAATTTCGCCTAAAAATATTTTAAGAAGTCAAGAATTGAAATCAAAACAATTTACTGAAAAAGAAAATAATTCCTGTTTGTAATAGGAATAAAGTATTAAAATTTCTTAACTGATATAAAGCAATTAATTCAATAACAATAGCAACAGTTTAATTCAGTCTCTTTCTGGAAATTCGTTCACTCCTAACAATAAGAATTCAAATAATTTCAATGGACCTTAAAATTTATTAAATAGTTAACATTTTAGGTAAACTAATTAAAACAGTAACTGTGAATACGCCAAAGAAAATTCTAATAGAATTCTTAATACTAATTAATTAAGTAATTACCAATAAGATGATGAAAATTAGGAAAATTAAAAATATTTTGCTTAAGAAAATGAAAATACCTATAATGTTGAAGAGAGTGGAACTATTTACACTAATAGAATCCAAGAAAAGCCATCTTACTCACATAATGAAGACTGTAAGATAACATCAGATGAAGGATATTCAAATACTATGCATACAATAAACTTTTATGAAGACTCAAATAATTAACAATGGAAAATTAAATCTCTGAGAGATCACCCATATGAGATAGTAAAAAAGAATGATAAAAATATGAACCAAACATTTGCAGAGGCTGACTAATATGAAGATTTTGAGGAGAGAAAAGATTTTGATCCTATTTAATAACAACAATAGGAGAGGTTTGAGAGAGAGATTAATCTAAGAGAACAAGAGCAAAGAGAGCTTTTCTAAAACAAATTGAATGATTAAAAATATACCCAGCATCATCAAAATAATAATTAAATTTAGGATATTGAATAAAATTAAATTTGGAATGAGTAATAAATTAGATAAGATTTATAATAAAAAGATACGTTCGAAAATTAATCAGAAAACGACAGCTATTAATAGTAATTGCTCGAATAAGGTTAATAGTAAATAAGATAGATCCATGAAGGTTTCAGTTTTAATAACGAAATGTAACGTGGCAAATTCATGTTCTAGCAATAACTTAATAATATCAATTTTAGTGATGAAGCATTCTAAACAGAACAGTATTCTTTTAATTGATACCATGTTTCTTTATAAGTCTAAATATAGCAAGCACATATAATTCACTCAAAGCTGTCAGAATATTTAGAAATTGCAATTAATTTTCTATCAATAACTTAATAATATCAATTTTAGTGATGAAGCATTCTAAACAGAACAGTATTCTTAAATTGATAGCATGTTTCTTTATAAGTCTAAATATAGCAAGCACATATAAAGAGTTCACTTAAAGCTGTCGAATATTTAGAAAGTGCATTAACAAAATTTAATTAAATTTATATTAAAAATAATCAATTTACTCTAAATACTGCTTTATACTTACATTTATTTGTATTTAGTAATTAAAGTAAAATAAACAAAATAAATTTTTAAAATCTAAATATTTATTTTTCTATTTTTTTTAATTTTATTATAAAAATTTAAAAACTTTTTGAAAATCTGATAAAACTAATTATGTTTATTGCTATTTTTAACCATTATCATCAGTAAAAAATGAGGATATAAAAAAATTATCAAAATGAAAAACAAAAATTATTATTTAGGAATTTTGTTAGAAACAAATTTAAAATTTTATTTTTCTTTTATTTTTAATGAATTCAATAATAAAAACCATTTTCTATTTTGAAATAATTGGCATTAACTTTAGTTAAATAAAATAATATTAGCAATAAAGTAAAATTCAAAAAAGATTTATTTTAGATAAATATCAAAATCAAAGCTAGTAAAAAAAAAACAAATAAGTATTTCTAGCTTATATTACATTTAGCCATGCTAAATTATGCTGTCTAGTATATTATTTTAAAGAAATATTGTATATTTATTATTTTATTTAAGTAATCTATTTAGAAAAGCATAGCAAATGCAGTAGTTTTACCATAATAAAAAAATCTATTTATAGTATAGAAAAATACAAGCAAGCATCTAGGCAATAAGGAATAAAAAATGATATCGCTAAAATGAATGCATAAATAAAAAGAATAGAGATAAACCCTAAGCTATTTATAAAAGATAAATAAATTAACTATGTGCTAAAGATTTGCTTGATATTGGGACATCTAAATAAGAAGAAAGAGTTAATCCATATTAATCATTCTATGAATCATTGTAATTAAATTGTATTCTGACTCCAAAAGCTGAAAAGTATGTCATCAATTTGTAAAATGAAAATAAATGCAATTATCTATCCATTGTTTTTATAATTATTTGATGATTTATAATGCTTATTAGCAGTATCTATTTAAATATATTATTTCTAATTAATAAAAAATATTTATTGTTTCATCCATATAACATTTAAGCAAGTAAAACAAAACAAAAAATAACAATAAGAAGATCAGACACAAATTAACTAGCAAAAAAACAAACAAACAAACATAATCCTATTATACAAATTTAAAGGCTTAATAAATATTTGAAATCCCTATAAAAGAGCTTTAAATATTAAAAACAAGAACACAATCATCAACCTAAATTATACAAAAAATAGATAAATAGTAAGTTATGAGTACAACAAACGGCGTTCATTAGCAGCATCGCACTGGCTAATAGTTCATAGTTTATCTAGACTAGAATGGTTCATTCCCAAATTCTCACGAAAAGTAGTATATAGTACACGCAAATGACTCAGTTACAATTACTTTAGATTCTAGCTGGCTTGAGCAGAAGACTCCTATCCTGTTAACCAACTACCCAGAGTTTGATAAGACCAAAAACTCATATATTCATCCTATAGCCCCTGAGATCACAGAAAGTTCAAGCATGACTATTTAAGAATCTGAATTGCTTAAAAAATATAAAATATTTACTGGATTTTATAATTCAGAAGGTTCTTGGCAAGTAGACTTGCAAATACAAGATTTTGATGGATCTTTGTTTCTCCAGGTCATTTTTATTCAAGGTGATTATTTACCTGGCTAAAGAGAGCCTCTTACCATTAAGAATTTCGGAGCTCCTGAATGGCTTATGATCTAGCCCAGGTTAACAGTTAATAAAAATCAGATAGGAATGGATTAAATAATTATTCAAACTGTTTTACCTTTTAGCTTAGGACATTCAAGCAAATGGTTAGAAATACTTAGAACCCAGACTAATTTAGGCTATAATGGTTTCCACTTCCCTCCCATCTAAAAGCTTGGTTTCTCTGGCTCTTATTATTCAATTAATGACTAGCTCAAGCCCAATCCTGATTTATTTGATTAAAATGAAAAGGAGCCCTTCGCAGCCATGAAACAAATTGTAAATACAATAGAAACAGAAATGAACGCTCTCTCGTTCGTAGATATTTTACTTAACCACACATCATTCGATAGTGAATGGCTGCTTTAACTCCCTGAAGCAGTGTATAATCCTGAGAATACTCCATAATTGGCTGTAGCTTTATAACTTGATGAAGCTATCTAAAATTTTAGTGATAAACTAGCAACCCATCAAGTAAAGGAGTACTACAATGGTTCAAATAGGATAGAAAATGAAGAACAGCTTAGCGTGTTGATCGAAATCATGAAAACTAAAATCTTCTATGGCATGAAGCTTGAAGAGTACTTCCTTTTGGATAAACAAGCCATTTCTACCAAGTTTTAGGAAGCAGTCAAAGGAAAAGGCCTAAAGTTAATCTAAAAAGAGCAAGATGTAGATGACGATGAAAATATCTTCTCAAGATCTGGATTCGATATCCTGAATGCTTTCATCAAGTAAAACACAAGTAGTTTAGGTAAATTATAAAATAATTTTTGAAAAAACATAAAATAAAAACAAACTGCACCTTTATTTTTATTGACTATTTTTAACAATGAAAAGAAAATCAAGCTCTTACTTCTAATTCTACCAATTTATTAAATCCAAATAAAAACCAAGTTTATTAAACCAAAATAAAATTTGATTAAAAAAGATAAGCCATCTATAAAATTTATTTAATTTCCCCAATTAGATAGATAAATTTTCATTTCAAATAGATATTGTAAGTAAATCTTTGTCGCAATAAATATTGCTAGAACTTAATGAATGAAATAAATCGATCAATAAATAAATAAATAAATATCCATTCTAAAATTATTTACGCTCTAATAATTTAAACACTGAATCTAAAAACGAATTTCTCAAACTTACTTTTATGAATTTTACTTAAATGAATAAACAAACAATGATTAAATTATGATATTATATAGGTTCTAAAAGATATGGAGCAACTCTTGACATAAACAAGCTAATAGAAACAGAGATCTCCAAACAACCTACCCTCTTTTCATTGGAGGCTTTCGAAAGAGCATTAACCCATTTTAATTAAACATGGATGGATCGTTTTTACGAATATACCAATTAAGCTGTAGAGTCAACTAGAGGTTAAATTCGCTATTGGCATATAGATCTAGGAAGATTTGAAGTTACAAATTAATACTCACTTGTTCCTAGATACTTTACTAAAATGAGTAATGGTAGATACGCTGCTAACAATGGTTGGATTATGGTAAAAATTTTATTTTAAAAAAAATAATTTCAAAAGCTGTTTAAAGAAAGATAAAGCAAATAAAAGCCATTCATTCATTTAGGATAAATAAACATATAGCAAAGTTAGCTATTTAAAACAATTAAAAAATAAATCAAATAAAAAAGTTTAAATGTGAATGAAAATTATTTTATTTATTTATTTGATAACTAACTGTATAAATTCATGCAAATATTGCTATATTAAAAAAGAATTATGACCCATTGAAGAACTTTGCAGATGATTAAGAATTTCACTACTATAGACGTACTATTTGCATTTGGGGAGATTTGATTAAGTTAAGGTATGGTTCAAGCAAAAAGGATTCACCAGGCTTATGGAAACGCATGAAAAAATATATCTAAGAAATGGCTAAAGTTTTCCATGGTTTCCGTTTAGATAACGCACATAGCACTCCCCTTCATGTTGGTGAATATTTTATGAGAAAAGCTCGTAATGTAAATAAGAATTTAATGATTTTTGCAGAATTATTCACTGGTAATGGTGAGAAAGATGCCATTTTTTGTAAAAGAATGGGTATTAATGCTCTTGTCCGTGAACTAAATCATAATAGAAACCCATTAGATCTTTACCATAACCTCCATTGGTTATCCAGATCTTAGGAGTCTAGTGTTGGTTCATTACCTCGTCTCTTTTAATTTGACTTTAACTCAAATCAAAAGAAAACCCATTTAGTTCCAACATAGACTAAGAGCATTGTTTACGACTAAACTCATGATAATGAGTCTACATTATCAATTTTTTCCCATTAGCAAACAGTTCCATTAATTGCATTAACCTCATTTAGTCATTTCGTTCAAGGTAATTAAATTAATAAATGTCATTCTTCTTCTTAAATTAATTTTAATTATTTCTTTGAAAAAAATTCCTTATCACAAATCAATAGGGTCTAAAATTTCATTTATTTATTTTTTAAAATCAGAAAATTTATTTTATAATTAAAATTTACTGATTTTTAAAAAAAAAATTTATTTTTTAAATCCCTATTTCTATTTTTATAATTTTTTGATAAAAATTTTTCAAGTTTAATAACAATTTATTTAATTTGGTATTTAAAATTGCATGACCAAGTTAATTGCATTACTTATATTCTTTTTAAACTAATTCCTTTCAAATATAAAGGTACTGTGAGAGGTTTTGACGAATTATATCCTGAAAAGCTCAGTGTAGTTTCGGAAAGAAGAAAGTACTAGTCATAATTAGATTGCACATAGACAGAATTAGACAATATTCCTATAGAAGTAGGTATAGTGGCAACTCTTAAATTTTCTACTGAAAGCATAGAAATTAAAGGTAGTTGGGACAATTGGACAACAGGAATTAAAATGAATCATCACTCTGGTAATCATGAAACAGGAGTTTTCTAGTATTTAGCTAAATTCTAAGTTCCATCTGCTAACACAAGCTACGAATATAAATATATTATTGACGGAAAATGGATAGCTGATGAGACCAAGCCAATTAAAAATGAAAATAACTACTTTGATGTTCCTGAAAATGCTAATAATCTAACTTACTATAATAACTTATGTTTGCTCCGTAAAACATTTATTGAAATTAACTAAACCCTAAACAAGCATTATCCTTTTATTTTCTACTCTCATTATGACTATGGATTCTTATCTGTTATGAGAGAGACTTACTAGAAAGACTAATACTATTTCCTTATCAGCAGAACTGCCTTATGTGAAAACGATTCTAAGGTAATAAATTAATTAGAAAGGTTTTAAATTATTTTAAAATATTTTTATGAAAAAATAAATAGGTCAATGTAGAAATAGAGTGTCCTGGAATTATTTAATCAATTGAAGGAATATATAGTGTAAATTTGATGCTAAATTAAAAGATAGTTTATATAAATAAATACATATAATATAGGCTAGTGATTCAATAGATGTAGATGGTAATAGAGTTAAGAACCATGAAATATTAACTGGCCTGAAAACCAAAATATATAAAGAGTTCAATCTTTTTAAGTATGGTGAATTGAAGTTTAATTAGCAAACTATGAAACATACAATTCACTTCTTCAATGCTCCTCCATCATTATCAATTGTTATTAAATGTACTTTGCATGCAACTTAAAAGCAAGGAATTGAGAGATTAAATTATATGCTTCACCATATTCAAGATGACGAAATTTTAGCATTGTATAGGCCATTAAAAACAGAAGATATAAATTACCTCTTCTTCTCATCTGAGCAAGAAGAGCATGAGAGAAGTGGCTATGGAATGTTTAACATTCCAAATAAAGGAAATTTATTATTTGGAGGTTTAGCAGGTAAAAAGATTGATTGATTGATTGATTGATTCATTATGAAAATAAAAATATTTGTATGTATGTTTAATAGGTAAAATAACTGTATTCAATTTTTATTAAAAGGTGTATTCAAAGATGTCAATGAAGCATGTTTATACAACGATTTAGGCAAGCCTCTTTTTGTAAACTTGAGAGAAGGCTATTGGTACTTAGACTATATCATTAATAGATTGAATAAATATGAGGGAAATTTGACTTAAATTACTGGATACATTTAATCTTATTTCGATTTATTAAAAGTAATTCCTAAGTATTTAATTCCTCACTATTTCAGTTAGTTCATTTTGCAAATTCAATTGCATGCTCATAAAATTACTGCCTCCAAATTGAAAGGAGAAGCCCTCAAATTAAGCTCTTCATTCCACAAAAACCTACTATTTGCAAATTACTAATTCTTGTCTGTACTTCCTTCAACTCATTTCGATGAATATTCGCTTTCAATGGCTGCTGGTCTACCACACTTCACTACTGGATGGGCTAGATGCTGGGGAAGAGATACATTCATTTCCTTGAGAGGTAAATTTAATTAATTTTTGTTTGTTTTTGAATTTTATATATTAACAAAAAAATAAAATAAAAGGTACTCTTTTGATTCCAGGTTTGTACGAAGAGGCAAAGTCTATAATATGTATGTTTGCTTCGACTCTCAGACATGGCTTAATCCCTAACTTATTAGATAACGGAAAAAGCCCAAGATATAACTGTAGAGATGCTTGCTGGTGGTTTGTAAAAGGTGTCAAAGACTATATTTAGTTTACAAATGACACCTAAATTTTAAAGAAAGAAATTAAGATGCGTTTCTTGAGTGATGATTTTATGGAACATTATGATAAGGAGAGCAAAGGATAAGTTAAAAAAATGCTATTACAAGATATCATCTTTGAAATCTTCTAAAAGCATGCCAAGGGAATACATTTTAGAGAGTGGAAAGCTGGTTGGGAAATAGACTCAAATATGGATACTGAAGGTTTCAACATTCACTTAAAGCTTGATGAAGTAACTGGTTTTATTTTTGGTGGTAACATGAGAAACTGTCTAACCTGGATGGATAAGATGGGTTCTTCTACAAAGGCAGGCAATAAAGGTATTCCAGCAACTAGCAGGTAAAAAAATTAAGTTTTTAAATTAGACAAATTGTTAAATTTTATTTTAAAAATAAAAGAGATGGAGCTCCTATCGAAATGACCGCAATTTTAAAATGTTGTTTAGATTTTGTGAACAGCTGTCCTGATTTCCCATACAAAGAGGTGGAAACAGCTTCAGGAAAGAAATTAACTTTTAGATAATGGGGATCACTAATATCTGCAAACTTTGAAAAGTGCTATTGGATACCAAACAAGTTACCTAGCATGGATAATATGTCTGATAAATTATTCAAATACATAACTAGAAAAGGTATTTACAAAGACCTCTACAACTCATCTATTCCTCGTTGTGATTTCTAGCTTAGACCAAATGCATGTATCGCTATTGCCTTGGCTCCAGAATTATTTACACCTCAAAATGCTCTCTTCCATCTTGCAACTGTCGAAGGTGTTCTTATTGATTAAAACAGCTTAGGTGTTAAAACTCTTGATAAGCTTGCATAAGAGTATGTCCCATATTATGACAATTCTGATGATGGTATTTAGCCAAAAACAGCTCATGGATTCTGCTACCATAATGGACCTGTAAGATAGATAAATAAAATCAAATAAATTAAAATCTTTTAATTATTTTTTTTCTAATTAAATAGGAATGGGTATGGATGTATGGTTATTTCTTGAAGGCATTACTAGAAATCAATAGAAAAGTTCCATAATTCACAAAAGAAAAATTGATGAGCTACTTAGCAAACCACAAGCGTCATATTATTAAGAGCGAATGGCTGTCTCTCCCTGAAATGACTAATCAAAATGGTGAATACAATAATTTCTCCTGCCAAAGTTAGGCATGGTCAATTGCAACTTTAGTAGAAGTTTGCTATGACAGTATTTAGCTTCCTGTTAAAACTCTTGCCAAGTGATTTTTTTATATCTCATTTATTTTAATCTAATTTCGTTATAAAATTAATTATAATATTTATTTTATCAAAATCGTAAAAACATTTCTGTTATTTTTAAACTTTAATGCGATAGTATTTTTAACTCAATTATAAATTTCAACATTCTAATAAAAGTTATTTTACATTTTTCGTTTATTTGTTTAATTTTATTTATATTTAATGTGTTTAATTTTCCTAAAATTAGAATTATTTTTGAAAAATTCTTTAGTAAAATTGGGATTTATTTATTTTAAGTTTTGTAAGAGATTTATTCTATAAAATAAACAAAAACTTAACTAAGAATGCTTCTTAAATTATTTTAAATAAATATTAAATTTGACTTAGAAAATATTTTAAATTCTTTAAAATAAATTATTACTTCAGTGGTAAATTTAAATTTAAAAAATAATAAATAATCTTTGTTATTTGAGCTACTTTTAGAATTTTTTTTATTTAAAAATGAATATTTTTATTTAAGTTTTGTAAATTTCACTTTAATTTTTTTTAATTAAAAACAAAAATTTCATAAAAGTTAAGTAATTTATTAGGTTATTCATTTAATTTTAAAGTAACCTGAAAAAAGTGTATCGATTTTTACTAAAACAGCTTTTAAATTAAAATGTAAGTAAACATGTAATTCAAGCTAACAATAAAAGAAAAAGAAATTTTATTTTTAAGGAGATTTGTTTATTTTATTAAAAATGGTGATTTTACAAACAAAAATTAAATGGATTTAATTAATAAGCTTGTAAGTTTGTTTATTATAATAAATATAGATCAAACAGATCAGTCGTGCTTGGCAAGAGCAAAACCGACTCTCTTGTTGGCCATATCGAAGTGAGTGTAGAACTTGTGAATGAAAGAGTCACCCAAAATGAAGGCGTTGTCAATGGGGGAAGGTAAGTCCATACCTTGGATACCCAAAACACATTCAGTTTGACCTTAGGCGGTAACCTAGAGGATGTAGTCAGTGGGGGCTAAGACGTAGTCATCACCACCAATAGTGAAGGTCAAGTTGGGGAACTTGCTGATGGTAGAGCAGTCAACAGCTTGAGCACCCTTGTTGGGGAGACTCTTGACCATGTCAGAAACGATAGCCTTGGGACCAACTAAGACGGAGGTACCAGTGTCGACGATGGAGTTGGTAAGTTAGTAAGTCTTGTTGCCCAAAGTAACCTTGGAAACAGCAATAACCCACCAGGCTTCAAGGGTGACGGGGTAGTACTTGAAGTCAGAAGCAGCGAATTAGGGATCAACACCACCCAAAACCAAAGCGGAACCTTCTTCACCAGCCTTGTCGGTTAAGAAGAAAGAGAAAGAACCATCAGAAACCTTTCCTTCAGTCATGAGGACTTAGAAGACAGGGGGGATGTGGTCGATGGAGATAGCAGAGAAGGCCATACCCAAAATACCGTCGAACTTGGAAGCAAGGAAGGAGACACCGTTCAATGTAGTGGCTTCACCGAAGAGAACACCAGTGGCTTCAAGACCTATTTAATTATTAAAATTTAATTAGATTAGTACACAAAAAATGAATATTCTAAATTAATCCTCTCTATTTTTACTGGTTGCTTTTTGAAAATATAATAAATAAAAGCCGAGCCTTTAAGCAATGCATGCTAAATAATTAGCTCTATTTAAATTGATTGAATTGGAATTAGTTTATCTTTGTTTGTTTGTTTGTTTGTTTGTTTTTGAGTCTTTGATTATCTTTATTTATTTTTTTTACAAACAATTAAAATTCAATTTTAATGTATCTTTCTTTATTTTCTGATGATTTTCCTTTGATTATTTCTATTAAAGTCTTATTTTGAATGAAGTCATTTTAAATCTGGAAAGAGATTTAATAATCGTTTAAAATTTCAGATCATCAAATTCTTTTATTTGATTTCTACTTAATTAAGTTATAAAGAGACTTTCAAACAAGAGTGAATCAGATTATTTTAATTGGTCTTTGAAGGATATTTATTGTTAGGAATGTTGATAATTGAGAGCAGAGGATTAAAAATAGAATGCATGCGAAAAAAAGAGAGAAAGATTTCTTACCAGCAAGGGAGACAGTATCTTCAGACCAGTGACCAGCAACGCTACCAGAACCGTATTTGATGGAGAATTCGGTACCATTCTTTTAGTAGGTTTTGGACTTCTTGGCGTTGTACTTCTTGTGTAATTGGCAAGCAACGGACAAGAGACCACATTCAGAAGAGGGAACCCAAAGGTTGGAAGAACCAGTATCGAAAATAACAGTGAAAGTTTAAGCGGGGGTACCAATGGAGACTTCACCAAAGTATTAAGCATCCATATAGTTGTTAATCTTAACTTCGGGCCATGAGGAAACCATGTTGGAGGGGAAAAGCTTGTTGAGTAAAGCTTGGATGTTACCCTTCAAAGAGTTAACTCTCAATAATTTTTAGAGAGTGTTTTCTTGAGGCTTTCTGATTGGTACAGTGATCAAAGCAGAAGACAAAGCGAGGACTAAAGCCAAAACAACTAAGTATTTCATTTGTATGTTTTACTTATCTTTTAATTAATTTTTGATTTGAATTTGTTTATTTCAATAAATCAAGTCTATTTAGCTTCTTTTTAAATCGTCTTTTAATGTATTTGATTTGTCTAATTATATAATAAATGACGAAATGCGCTTCATTATGTTAGTTTTTAATTACCATTTCCTTCTCTATTTATAACTATCAACGAATTTGTATAAAAGAAATTTGTTTCTTAATATCTTTTTCTTATATTTTCTCTTTCACTCCTCATACTAAAAGATTAATCAACCATAAATAAATAAATAATCAAAGGTAATTCATTCATTCATAGTATACCAAAATAACTTTCTTTCTTTCTTTTTGTTAATTGATTATTTTCTTTCAAGAATTTAAAAGCTTTTCTCTCTTTTATAAATTCTTTTTTAATTTACATCTGAAATTTTAACTAATTTCCATGTAAACATCTATGAATTTCTATTTTTATTTTTTTGCTATATTTCACATTTTTGAAAAACGAAATTGCAATAAGATGGATAGATAGATATTTGTTTAAAGCAAATATTAAATAGCTTAGCTTACTTTTAGATTGAAATTAAACAAATAAACGAATTTTCGGATACTTTTTTAAAATAAAATATATTTGCTTGATTAAAGAATAAACTGATTCATATTTAATCAGGAGAAGTGTTAGAAATTATTCTTTAATATTTTTATGAATTAGGTGATTTGTAGGTGAATAATAATCCTTCAAACAAAGATATTTTTTAATTAATCATTTCACCTTATTTTTTTCTTCTAATATTCCATCAAGTTTGTTAATTAATTCTTTTATAATCCTTACTTGAGAATACATTGTAAATTTTGCAACAATATTAGCATGAGTTAAATAAATGTAAATTTTATCTTACAGGTGCTTAACCGCTTATTAGTTTTTCTATGTTATTTAATCATACTTAATCTTTAAAACATTTAAACCTCATGCATATAAACGAATAAATCTATTTTTTTTGAGTACTTTAAATGGTAAAATTTCATCAAATTAAATTTAATCTTTTACATATTTAAACCTTGAATAATAAAGCTAAATGGGATTATTTATTGAGCCACAAATCTATTAAATTGGTTTTGAAATTAAATAAATAAATGATTGGATAATTCACCTATAAATATGTAAAAGAATTACTTTTATTAATAAACATTTTGCCAAAACATTCATACTTTCCTTCCTTTTCAAATTAACTGGGAATGATATTTATTTTTGTAAAGATATGCAATGCATTTGATTACACTGCTTCTTTATTTTTTATTTATTTGAAATTAGTATTTTTTCAACAGCTGCTCAGTAATTAAAATACAATTTTTTAAATTTCCAACTTACTTTGTAAGACTCTAATTTCCCATAAATTTTCTTATTTAAAAAAATATTCTCTCATTAAAATAAACTAAAAATTGTCAATTTATATAATTTTTTCTTGATCCGAAGCTACAACTATCTATTTTTTTAACAAACCAATTCTTCAGTCTTTTGTATTCTAATTATACTTTTCAAAGTCTAATAATTTGATTAAATTAAGGATAGCTTTTTTGATCAATAAGTAAAATATTTGATAATTCATCAGATTAAAAGCTATGTGTTTGTTGGTTGTTATGTTGGAATTTTTTCTCATCAAAATACAATAATAAAAGATTTTAAATTAAATAAATAACAAGCCATACAACTTTAATTATCATTTTTATTTTATAATTAAAAAGCAAATTGATTTATCCTTTAGAATATTTTCAATTTTAATCAAAGCATTTCAACTTAATATCAAATGATATTTGGTGCTGCTTAACTTAACATGTAAACTAAGAGCTGTTTTTAAATTAAATTAATAATTCAATAATAGATTATTCTTTGAATCATTTTTCCTAGAATAAATAAAAATATTATGCCATATTCATTTATAAAAGAATAGGTTTAAATTCTTGGTTTCTAATAGATACTTTTTACCTTTACTTTTTTTCTAAATTCATAAATTTCTAATCATAAAATATATTTATTAATTGATTTCATTATCTTATTTATTCAAAAAAAATTATTTTTTTAGTTTAAGATTTAGATTTTTAATTTATTCAAAGTAAAAATTAGGTATTTTTCCACTTTTTCTATTTGATAATATTTACTTACTATTTTTAACAATTTAATAAATAAATAAGTAAATAAATAATCATATGAAAATTTATAAATAGTTTTTTTAAAAATGAAACATAAAAATAGTTTAGATGCTCTATTTACTAAAAAGCTCAACATTTTAATTATTTATGTTTTTATTTAAATAAATAAAGTAGTATATTTGTTTTTTATTTTTATTTTATTTTTCATATAAAATTAACTATTATAATATATTTTTTTTTAATAAATTGAAAAGCAGTAGATTTTCGTAAATTAATCATTTTTAAAAATACAATTTTTTATAATTTAAAATAAAAAAGGGTTACTTTATATGAAACATATTTTTAATAAAACCTTTTAATTATCAATTTAATCAACCAACAAAATTAATATGTAGCTTTAAAATATTCAAAAATCTTTTATGATTATTTCCAAAGTGTTTTTATAAAAGTTATTTTCAAGCATCCATTTTGGCATACTTCAGCTATTGTATGAGGAAATCATCTTCTGAATGTAATTATTATTAAAGTTTTTTAAACACCTTTAAAGCCTTATCAGGTCTTAATATTTGAGTTCTATAGATATATGCAAGTGTATAATAAGGATTGATGATATTTGGTTTAATTTAAATTGTCTTCTTATAATATTAAATTGCTGAAAGAAATTTTTAATCAAAATTTAATTCATTTCCTATTTATTCAAAAGCTTCATAGTAATTAGGATCTATCAAACATGCTTTTTTGAAGTAAGAAATATATTAAGATCTATTAGGCTCCAAAAAACCTTTGTAATAATATGGTTCAGCTTAGTCAGGGTTTATGGTAAGAGACAAATTAAAATCATTAATAGCTTAATCTTTATTTTAAAGCACGTAATTTATTTTTCCTATTAAATTTTAACACTCAAAGTCAAACGGATTAAGAGCGATGGCTTTTTTAAATTAATTTAAAGCTTTTTACTCTTTTTTTTAAGTTGCATAAATCATACCAAGCTTTTTTAATCCCATATTACTTTATGGATACTTTTTACTAAATGTTTCTAAATAGTAAATAGATTCTTCAAGAGGTATTTATTAGATGCTACCAAGATTGTAATATAATTCACCATATTCAGGATGATTTTTGATGCATCTTTCATAATGATTTATTTAATCAAGTGTTTCTTACTAATTTCCATTCATAACATCTCCTAGCAACTTAAGAGAAAGAGCATTTTCTGGATTTATTTTTAATGCCTAATTTAATATAATTTCTGCCTATTCAAATTGATTTTTTTATAAATAAATTTGTGCAATCAAATTAAGGACTTCATAATCTTCAGAGTTTTTTTCAATAACTTAATTGAATTTTTAAAGAGCTTCTTCGTATTGTTTATTGTGTAAGCATTTTTTCCCTTCTTATATTTAAGTTATTAATTCTTGATTAAGAATTTTATTTAATTAAATTTGATATTTTCTTTCATTAATTTGATTTAGATTTATATTAGAAAGTCTTTCAATTAATTAACTAGCTTGCGGTCTTTAATTAGTATTAAAGCATAAAATATTCATCACAAATTTTCTTAGTTCTAAATCTACTTTATTTAAGTTATATTGAAAAAAGTCCTTTCCTTAAGTAAATTATTGTATTTGAAATAAATCAGCCCCAGCAAGAGCATAAAGACAAATACCTAACATCCATATATCTGCACACTGTGTCCATTTTACTTATTCGTTTTTTTAATCATGTTTTTTAGAATAGTCAAAAAACTCAGGAGGTAAGTAAATATATTCGTTGCCAGGTTATTAAGCTAAAAATTTCTTAGTTTCAATAGAAGGTATTATTGACTATCCTTCTCCAAAATCCAAAATTTTAAGTTTCATGTTTTTATCAATATAAATATTTTATAGAGTTAGGTTTTGAAGTAAATAGTTTTTTGAATGAATGTACTCAACTATGCTAAATAATTCTTGTGAAAATTTAATAAATAAGTCATTTTTAATGTAGTAGAAATTCTCCACTTATTAAGACCAATTGAATAGAGTTGTATCAAATGATTCCATTAAAATCAAGTAAAATTATTTAATTTAAAATTAGTCGATATATTTAGGAATGTTTTCATGGTTGCATTCTTATAATAATTTTGCAAAATTTTAAGCTTAGTTTAATTTCTAGTCACATATCTTGCTTTAATCATCATCAGACTACAAATTGAAAATTCTCATAACATATTCTTCCTAATTTTCATTTTGAACAAATAAAATATCCTCTCTATTTATTCTATCTGCTTTTTCTTGAAGAACTATAAGGCCTAAATTCTGTTTCAAACAACTAAACAACTCTTACATTTTAATTCTTATTATTTTGAAATACAAATAGTTTTTATATTTATTTTACCTCTTTAGTCTTCCTAATTATTTGTAGAAATTTTAATTTCAATTAAATTTGAGATTTAGAAAGATGATAAATATAAATCGAAATATTAAATTTACATGTATACAAATACATCAAACAGAAAATTGAGATCCATATATGAATATAATTAATAGATAACCATTAATTCGATTTTTTATTTTTGTTAAAAGCCAAAATTTTAACAAATAATAAAAAGAAAATTTTAGATAGTTTTTATTGATATAAATTTTAGTTAAATTCCATTATTAAAAATACATTTGATTTCTTTAATAAAGATAAAAATATAACAAATTTTATAAAAATATACTCTAAATTATCTAATATTAAGACCCAATTATATTATCACTGTTACTTAGTAATTTTATTAAAAATTTGAGAAAAGGAATCAATCAAATATTATCAAAAATTTATTAAAATTTGATAATAACTGAATGATAAAAACAATTAAATAAATTACAAAAAGAACAAAATAAATGAGCTTAAAATGATTTAATATACTTTAAATACCTTCTAAAATCATTATTTAAAATTTACGGTTTAGCATAGAGTTAAAAAAAAAATATAGCTTAAATTATGTTAATTGGTCATTATATTTGATTTTTTTTTCAAATTTATCTTTGGATAGACGATTACAAAACAAACAAAAACCAATAATATAATCTATAATTAATAAATTAATAATAAAATCTCTACAAAATGCCTTTTTTATTCATTTTCTTTTTTAAATTTTATTAAACACTCAAAACTAAAAACTCACTTTAAAGTGGTTTTTTTGAAGCATATTTTATATTTATTTTTGAAAACAAAAATAATTAAAATATAAAAGTTAATAAAATAAATACTCTTAAAAAGTATGAGGGTGAAATTCTGATAAATAATTCTTACAAATACAAAATTAATTACATGAATTATTAGAATTTTGCTAATCAGCTTTTATAAGTTAATTATATGATCTTTCTTCTTTTAATTTCTGAATATTTATTCTTCCTTCAGTCTGAGAAAAGTAATTTTTAAAAATTTTATTATTCAAATAAAAAATAGGATTTTAAAGTCTTTTAAAAAAGAGTTTAAAAATAAATCTAATTTAAATTATTCTAATTGATAATTAGTTTAGATTTTTTATTAAATATGTCTCGGAATAGACCATTACAAAACAAAAACCAATAATATTTATTACTCTATTAAAACTAAATTAATAATTATTTTATCATTAATTATAAAATACCTTATTTGTTCTTTTTATTTTTTAAATTTTAATAAACACTCAAAAATAAATACTCACTTTAAAGTAGTTGTTTGTTTTGAAGCAAATCTTAGATTTAAATTAAGGTTGATTTATTTTATTTTTCAAAAAAAATAAATAAATTAAACTAAAAAAAATTCATAAAATAAATTCTCTAGAAAAAAAATGATTAAAGAAAACTAAAAGGAAGAGACTATTAATTTGATAGATTGCAAGACATTAAACTAATTTGAAATAAATGTAGACGATTACAATTAAACATCTGAAGTTTTACAAAGAGATTCAGATATTTACTATTCAAAGCTCTAAAATTTGTAGTTCTAATTATAAGATAAGCTGAATTAATTTTCAGACTTGGATCTTTGTATCCTTTTTGACTGTAATAGCCCTCTCAAACAAGGCACTTTAATTGAGATCTCAAAAATATTAGAATTTCTTCCTCAGTTGAAATATCTCTCTCTAAAATTCATATATTCTAATATAGATGATACTTCTATTTAAATACTATTTAAATCTCTTTCTTAGCTTAAATTCTTGTATGATCTTAATTTAGAAGTAAGAAAAAGCAAATACTTTGGTCTCAACTCATTTTTATGCCTTTCATAGTCTCTATCCTAAATGTAGAATTTATATAAGCTTAATATTACAATAGAAGAACCTAATTATGAGCTAAATAATGAAATTACAGCACTATTATCAAGCTTGACTGATTTAAAAAATTTAAAAGAATTGTAATTATATCTGAATGTCTTTAACTTTAGCTCAATTACTAGTAAACAAATTGGTACTTTATTTTCAAGTCTTCATAATTTGGAATCTTTAATATTAGTTTTGGACAGTCTGTACGGAGATTAGATAGAAAATACTTTTGCTGAGAGCTTAGCTTAGCTAAAATCACTTAAAAAGCTACAATTTAAAATTCTCAGGACTTTTTTTAAGATAGAAAAGAATGTCGTGCATTAATTTATATAAAGCATATTATACCTATCTCAATTGTAGGAGTTGATTGTAGAAGGATTAATTAGTGAAGATGACTACTAAAATTAAATGAAATTTTTTAATATTTTAAAAAGCCTAACTTAAATTAAAAAATTACGACTTGAGCTTAATACAAGTCACATAGATGAAGACTTGTCAAATAATCTAAGAAATTTAAAAGATTTAGAACATCTTTAAATAGAACTAAAAGGCAGTATTGAAGATTTTGATGCTTTCGGATTTATTCATTTTCTTGAATCTGTAGAGAGTTTATAAGATAAAATAAAATACTTTAGTATGAAATCTAATTTCGATATGATTAAAAAAAAGAATTAATTTATAAATTAAGATGTTTAATATAAATTAGTGTAAACTTTAAAAGCTCTAAATAATTTAAATAAGGTGTCGTTAGACCTTTAAAAATTAGATTTTGAAACATAAATTTAAATAATAGATACAATTTAAAGAGTTAAATCTATAGAACATTTATCTATTTATTTTTATTATACTCTTGTTAAAGAATTAAAAGAAAGTTAAAAAAAAATCGAAAATGAAAATGAATAAAAATAGCAGACATTAATTTAAAAATTACTTAAGCTTTAACAAATGAAAAGCCTTAGTTTTTACTATTTTGATTACACAGACAGTTATGAAATTAAAGATGGAGCACACTTAAACAAATCAATGCAACTCTTTAATGAAAGCTCAACAGAGCTAACTTAATTAAAAAGATTAACTGTAAATTATAATTATGGCAATAATTATAGAAAATATTATTTGCCTATATAAAAAAATGTATAGGTTTTTGAAGCTTTCATTCCATTAAGTTATATTCCAAATATTTTAGAATATTTGAAATAGCTTAAGTAACTTATAATAAAGTCTTATTATAAATTAGACTAAAATTAATTAGATAAACTCTCATAATTACAATCCCTAAGAGAAATAACTGTTAATAATGATTATTTTTATAGAACATAATAATATTCTTAATTTATAAAATATGAGATTGATGTTTTGTCTGTTATTTAAAATTAAATAAATAGCATACAAAAATAAAATTAATAAATAAATCTTGAAGAAAAACTAAATTAGTTTATTGATGATAATTCAATTTAGTCTGTTTTAAAAATTTTAAATGTATTGAAAGAAATTTAACCATCACAAATTAATTGTAAAAAAAATATTGATTTGCAAATCAATGTTTAAGAAAGTTTTTATAACCATTTTATAAAACTTCATTTAAAAGATATAAATGCTCTAAAATAAATAAATCTATCATCAAATTTAGGTTATTTTAAAAATCTTTAAGACATGAATCTGGATATTAATGAAGATGTAGATTCTCAGCTTGAAATAGATTTGTTAAATTCTATTAAAAAACTTGAAAGACTCTAAATTTTAGTGCTATATTTAAATAAGAATTACAAAATACATAATAATAGATTCAAATCAAAATTTACTTCAAATGATGAGAAATAAAAATAAAAAGAATTCTTTTACAAATCTTATAAAGATATGAATTAAAATAAAGTTTTAAGCTCGATTATAAATTTAAATTTTCTTTAAAATCCTTAATTTTTATTTTCACTATCTTAAGTTTCAGAAGATTTCTTAAATGGTTTAAACAATTTTGCTTAGTAAGCGAAATTCAATTATTAAATAACCCTACAATCATAATATTAATTTGAGAGATCTTGGTAAAACGAAGAATATAAAAACCCTAATGCAATAAGTTTGGGATATTTGAAATAAATTGTAAATATCGTAAGGTTTTATAAAAAAGTTAAAACAATAAAAACAAATCTCAGAATTAGGTTTTTTTTTAAAAAAAGTAGTGTAGATTAAAAATCAAGAGAGTAATTTAGCATTTAGAAAAGTTAAAATGAGTTTAAATTAAACTCTTACTTAAAAATATATCCAAACTTAGATTTTGATTATTTCTATAAATAATTTGAAGATAACTTTATTTAATTAGGAAGTGTTTCTTAAATTAGAATAATTTATTACAGCGATCCAGACTTTTCTTTTACTTTTTTAAAGGTTTTTTAAAATATTTAAACTATTGAAATATTAGAAATAAAATTTCATTATTCAAACGAATATTTAACATATGAACAATATAGCTAGTTTATTTAAATTTTATTCAACATAAAAAGAATACTTTTTATCATATTTGAATATCCTTTTCGTATTTAATATACTAAGAAGATAAGATAATAAATATTAAAAATACCTGCTTTAGTAAAGATTAGTATCAAAAATAATGCAATTGATAGTGAAATGGAAGATTTTTTTTATAGTCAAAAAATTCATTGGTCAGATTCTTCATTTTGAACCAAAAAGAGGACTTAGAAAATGAACAGAACAGATGAGTGAATGAATTTTTTCTTTCTTATTTATGTATTCATTTTAAGAAAATAAATTGAATGCATGCTAATATATTTTACTCGATTAAATTATATTAAAAAAATTACTAAAATCTTGAACAAATTTAGTTTGTATATTTATTTGGGAAAAGTAACATTATGAATATCTAGAAATCGGGCAATATTAAATATTTCTATCTACTTACATCTAATATAAAATTTTATGAAAAATTATTAATTAATTTATTAAATCAATCATTTATTTATTTAGAAAAATTTTTCAGTTTTAAATAATTATTTTACAATTGCTAAATATATATTTATTTATTGTACTGTATTGTTTATTTTAGGCCTCAAATATAAAACATAGATCGTTTTTCACAAATTTTTTTTAGCCAATTTAATTAAAAATGTTTCTATCTTTACAAATTTAAATATAAAATATAAACTACAATAAAAAAATTTATTTGAAATATATTTAAATTGTAAGTTAATTTATTTTTTCTGTATTAATTATCAATTTATCTAATTAATTAAGATAGTTAAATATTTTAATAATGTACATAATAAATTATAAATCAATCATTATTCTTATTAAGATCTGAAAAGAGTATAATTTAAAGTATTTTGATCATTCAATAAATTCAAAATTTCTAAGAATTCATTTAATCTTTCTTCATCTGGATAATAATTATTATCATAAATATAACCTAAGAAACTTCCTAATTAATTAATATCGTTTGTATGGTAATATTCTCCAAAATTAAAAATTAAATATTTCCAAATTTATACTAATGTAAATGTTGACTCAATAAACTCTTTGGAAATTGTATTTTCTACTTTTTCTTATTTTTAGAGAAAATCTATTAAACACCTTGATTAAAGGATGGCATAAATAATATCATATATTTCTGTTTTGTTAATTTCAATACTTTGATATAAAATATTCATTATTTTTATAATAATTTAAAATGAGTCTTCTGACAAAATTCTTATTTTAAGTTTTTCTTTATGAAAAAGTTTGTGAACAAATGGTAAAATTTTTTAAAATTCATATTGCTCAAAAATAATTTATAAAATATTTAGCCTTATTTCATCTTCATCCTACTTTTAATAATATAATATTAAAATTTATTTTAAATATAATTAAAATTCAATTTACATTTGGTCTTCCTTATTCATTTTATCTGTTAACTGAATTATTTAAAATTTTAAGGTTAATATTAAAGAATTATTCAGGTTCAATTACTGAAAATAAGCACTTATGTTTAATTTTATATATTTCTTATTATTAATTTAAATTCTAAATAACAAAAGGAATATTTTAATTTTTTTCATTTTAATTAAAATTATTATCATTGGAATCACCTCTCTTATTATTTACTTGTTACTATTTATTATTCAAAACTTAAATTTATTAAAGGTTTTATTGTTGATTATTTTAGTTAAAACCATATATTTTGTTAGAGTTAAAATAATGTTAACCCGTTAAGGCTAATTGTTATTATTGTTATTGTACTTCTTGAATATGTTAATCATTTTAATTAATTTGTTGATTCTATGCAAATTTTAATTTATTTTAGTTATAGTCTTACTCTTAGTTATTTTGATAGATATGCTATTGTTAATTTAAACCATTATTCATTTGGTTATTAAATCCTATTTACTAGTTGGTATTCTTCCCATAGTTATTAGATGGCTCAAATTTGTTCGAATTAATATTAGGCATATTGACATTTTAGTTTAGATTCATATTGTTAAAATTAAAATCCTATTAATTATCACAGGCTAATTGCTATTTATATTATTGTTGTTATTATTAAGGATTTTAAAATGATTCAAAATTGTCATATTATTAGGTTAAATATCTTGGTCTTTGATGATAAATTTATTAATTATTAATTAATTAATTCTATGCAAATTTCAAATTATTTTAGTTATTGTTTTACTGTTAGTTGTTTTGATATATATGCTATTGTTAATTAACACCTTTATTTATTTGATTATCAAATCCAACTTACTAGTTCATATTTTTGTCATAGTTATTATATGGCTCAAATTTGTTCAAATTCATATCAGGTAAATTGGCATTTTAGTTAACATTCATATTGTTTTAATTAAAATTCTATTAATTATCACAGACTAATTGCTATTAAAATTATTGTTCTTATTAAAGATTTTAAAATGATTCACAATTTTAAAAATTGCCATACTATTAGGTAAAGTATCTTGGTTTTTATTGATAAATTTATTAATTATTAATTAATTGATTCTATTAAAATTTCAAATTATTTTATTTATTATTTTACTCTTAGTTATTTTGATAGATATGCTATTGTTAATTTAAACCATTATTCATTTGGCTATTAAATCCGACTAACTAGTTGGTATTTTTGCTATAGTTATTAGATGGCTCAACTTTGTTCAAATTTATATTAGGCATATTGACATTTTAGTTAAGATTCATATTGTTTAAATTAAAATTCTATTAATTATCACATGCTAATTGCTATTAATATTATTGTTCTTATTATTAAAATTATTCACAATTTTATAAATTATCTTATTATTAGGTAAAATATTTTGGTCTTTGATAATAAATTTATTAATTATTAATTAGTTGATTCTATACAAATTTCTAATTATTTTAGTTATTGTTTTACTCTTAGTTATTTTGAAAGAAATACTATTGTTAATTTACACCATTATTCATCTAGTTATTATTTCCGACTTGCTAGTTGATATTTTTGCCATAGTTATTAGATGTCTCGAATTTGTTCTAATTAGATATATTGACGTTTTAGTTAATATTCATGTTGTTTAAATTAAAATTCTATTAATTATCACCTGCTAATTGTTATTAAAATTATTGTTCTTATTATTAAAAATTTTAAAATTATTCACAATTTTTATAATCTTCATAATTTTAGGTAAAATATCTTGGTCGTTGATGATAAATTTATTAATTATTAATTAGTTGATTCTATGCAAATTTCAAATTATTCTAATTGATGTACTACTACTATTCTTAATCACTTTAATATTCTTAATTAGCATTGTTAATCACTTTCTAGTTAGCTACGAGTTATTACTATGTATTGTTATTATAGTTGTTAGGTTATTCAAATGTATTAGAATTAAAATTAAGATTTTAGTTAAGATTCATATTTTATGAATTAGAATTGTATTAATTACCAAAGGCTAACTGTTATTGTTATGAATAAACTTGTTAATCATTTTTTAAATTTTCTAAATTATTGTATTATTAGGTAAAATATCTTGGCCTATGATTTTAAATTTATTAATTATTAAAATATTTCAAATTATTTTAATTATTTTTTTATTCTTCATTCTATTGATATTCATGTTATTGCTAATTAATATTATTATTATTCATTTAGTTATTAAATGTAGCCTGCTAATCGGTTTATTTAATATAGATTTTAGGTAATTGTAATTTAATTTTTAACAATTCATTGCATTAATTTTAGATATTTTTTTAACTCAATTAATTAATTTTTTGTTGATTACTTTAATTATCCCTGCAAGTTAATGTTGGTTGCTAAGTACTCCAATTATTCTTTGTTAAAATTTATTTATTTGATGGCTGTTAAGCTTAGAATTATTATTTTGTCAAATTTAATTATTTTTTATTGTTTTATTATTATTCTAAATCAATTAATTCTTCATTATCTTAAAATTAATTATTTTAAATTTGTTAGTCTTAATCAGGTTATGGCGTAACTTCAAATATTTTAGTTTATTTTTTTAATTATTAATCATTTTATGATTGTATTTAAATATTTTCAAATTGTTGCTAAATTTCACCATTAATATCCTAATTATTATTTTAAGTAATTTATATTTTACAATCCTAATTAAATTTCTGCTCAGATTATTTTTGAAAATGATCTTATTATTGCTATTATTTTTAATCTATTTGTAAATCTTGATTTTTTATCAGATTTACATTCTAATTATTTTGAATTAATTCTTGATTTTGATTGAATTACAAATTATTATTTTACACAAACTCAAATTAACAAGATAAAAATGCTGGTTTTTAAATCTACTTTTAAAATTGCTTTTATGAATTCATTTAAAATTGGCTCTAACTTTAGCTACCAATATTGTTATTATTATATCCAAAATAATTTATTTATTCTTAATTTCGCTATATCTAAGTATTTTGTTAGCCTAATTTATTTAGATCATTTAAATGATCATCATTGTTAGGTAAATATATTCCTTCCTAGTTTTAAAAATTTTATTATTTCAAACCAAAGAAATTCTTTTAGCTTTAACTCATGCTGATCCTGATTAAATGTTTTCTTATGATAACTAATTTAGATAATCTAATGATGAAATTTAATGGCACAAAATAGAATTCTTCAGGTTAATTTTTAATGAAAAAATCTTTCTAATTTTATAAATTTGCAAAAAGTTTTTAATATTTTGGTTATCTTTGCTAATGATTTACTAAGTATTTTTGTTTTGGTTGAATGCTTATGACCTATTTAAATGAAAATAAATTGCGAAGCGACTCTTTTGTAATATGTCTTAAAAATAATCAACTAAAAGGATTGTTTTTGTTTTTTATATATTTCTAGATTTAAAGTTAAATAAACTATTTTTGTAAGTAAATATTTATTATTACTAATTAAATTCACTAGATAACTTAACTCTACTTATAAAAAATTGTATTTAGAGTGTCAATAATCAAATAGAAATTAAATATTCATAGTAATAAAATACTTTTATTAATATACTTAATTATTTTTACCTAAATATGAAGTAAAGTTTTATAAAAATAAAAATATAACAAACATTCCTAATATTTTTATGTAAAAATATTAAAAAAATGGAAGAAAAAAGTAAATTGTTTATAAAAAAAGAGAAATAGATGAACTGAAACCTGACAGAATAAAATTTTAAATAAATTAAAAATCAAGATTTTAAATAATTTTTTAAAATTAAATTTTGAAAATATTTTTTTGTTTGTTAAATATTTATGTGCTGAAATAACTTTTAATTGTTAAAATAATAAAAATTTATTTATCAAATAATCATTTTTTTGAAAGAAATTTTCGCTATTGCAATGGATAATAAAAATAATTAAATCATGAGCTGACCCAAATATGTTAATTCGTTTGACACCAATGTTAGATATGGAAATAAATTTTATTGTGAGATGTTTTTGTGAAATAAAATACCTATTAAAAATAAATAAGAAAGAAGATGAAGGATGGTAAAGATATATTTCGTTATAATAATTACAAACAAACTTATTAATAAATTAATAAAAGAAACATTTTCAAATCACTGAATATTATTAACTATAATATAAAAGCAATCAATCAATCAATAACTTTTAGAAGAAATGTCAAACTACAAAGTAAAAAATGTTAAAAATGAATTTAATGCTAATAAATAAAATTATATTTTTATACTCATTTATTTTCTATAAAAATAATTAGAATCAATCATCTTACTCTCCAATTTCTAGATAGGAAGGATATGAAAAGGATATCATCATTTCTTAATTGAAATCAGAAATATGGGAACTTAAGTAGCAAGAGCGTGAATATTCTGAAATCATCGCACATAACAAGAATCTTGAAGGTTAGTACTAACTTTTGAAGGATGAGAAGGTATTTAAAATTAAATAAAATCTTTATCTTGAACTATTAGAATCAATAGAGAGCTTTAAAAAATAACATTTGTTTTTTAGTTTGTTTTGCTAATACAAAATAAAAAGCATTATTAAATAGCATATTGAAACTTATTTTAATTTTTTAGTTCAGAATAGAAAATGAATTGAAGCAAAAGAATCATGAATAAATCAAGCAATTAGCTAACTACAGATAGCGCGTTGATTAGCTAGAATAAGCTTTAACTGAAAGAAAGATAGAAATTTAAGAATTAAGAGCTGAAAATATTGCCTAAAGGGAGCATTGCGATCACAAGTAGCTTGAAATTTCTAGACTTAAAACTGAATAAATCCACTTAGAGGATACTATAACTAGATTGTAGAATGAGAATATCTCAATTAAAAATGAATTAGATGATTTAAGAGATTACAAAAGAAAAGTCAACAGCGATATGGAATTACTTATCAACACAAACGATAATCTCCAAAGCAAGACCTTAGATTAAGACAAGATTATTAGATCATTAGATTATGAAAAGATTTAACAATAGAGATATGTTGATTCTTTGAAGAGTTAAATTACTTAGGTAACTATTTTTTTTAAAGCTATTTAGAAGATATTTTTATAAAAATAATCAACATAGATAATTTTAAAATAAAATATGCTAATCTTTAAATGGAAATAAATGGTTATTTTGTTAAAAACAGTTAGAAAATGAATTGATTAACAAGAGTGACAACATTAAAGACGTTTAAAATCAAGTAATTGATTACAAATAATAGTTGGTATCCTTAGAAAGAGCTTTAGAAGATGTTGAAAAGCTTAGAGAAAAATATAAATAAGAGAGCCTTCATCACTAGACTTGTCTTAAGGAAGAAATTAGCAAGAACTTTGATTTGAATTAGCAAATTCTTAACTTAGACAGCAATCTTAGGTAAAATTATAAATCACATTTATTAATTTTTCATCAAAAAATATATTTTTATAGGAGCAAAGTCAACTTTATTGATGAATTGAAGCGTCAGTTAGACGAAGTAAAGAGAGACGTCACAGAAACCCTTGAATAAAACGATTTCATTTCCAATGAATTAGAAAGATATAAGAGAAACTTTGATATTGCCTCAGCCTAAAATGCTGAAGTAATTAATTAATTAAATTTAATTTGAATTTTTAAATAATATCATTTTAACTGAATAGTTATTGAGATAATTAGAGCAATTCAATGAATAAGATGAAGAAATAAGACATATTTTAGATAGAAAGGGATAAGTTAGAGAAATTAAAACAAGAGTTGATAACTACTTGAGATAATCTTAAAATGACTTCAGAATGGTATCTCCAAACAACAGGAGTTATCTTGCTGCCTCTGGTAAACATAACAGAAGAAATTCTTAAAACTCAGCTTCCAAGTATGAATGAATGAATAAATTTATATAAAATTGAATATAAATGATTGATGTTGAGAAACTTTAATTTGTATTTCAGCTAAAAAATAAATATAAAACATTAATTAGATTTATTTATATTTATATGCTATTTGCATTATGTTTATCTCCAAATTTATTTTTTTAATTAATCAACATGTATGTTTTATTTTATTTTATTATTTTTATTCTTCAAAATTAATAATTATTTTTTAACTTGTAATTTTGAAAGTAAAATAATAATTAATCACAATTTCAAATAAACAATAAACAAAAAATATAAAAGGAATTTTATATAATAATAATATTTATTAATTAATTAAAATTGATTGTTTGTTTGTTAGTAAGTTTGTTTTTGAAAATTTTCATTTGAAAATGTAAACTTAATATATTACAGTTACATATGTATTTTTATATGCAATACAGTTAATATATTAGGATAAACTGCATTATTAATAAGTTATTTAAAAATTTATTTATTTTTGGATCATACGAAAGTCTATTTTATAATTAAAAAATTTAATAATTATTTGAATATGTTTGATAAATATTTACATCTTCCCAAGAGTTGTTACCAGCACCACCAAAGTTATCGACAGTAGTTTGATCGAAAAGACCTACCTTATCAGCTAACATAAGAGTTAAGAACATACCAGGGGAGGCCTTCCAGAAGTATTTAGTGAAGAAACCAGCGAAGTAATTACCAGAGAATTCATGATACCAGATCCAGACAGCAGCCTTTCTGTAATTACCATTAAAAGTGCAAGGAGCACCAGGAACCTTGGGCCAGAAATCAACCATTTCTCTAGTAACCATCCAGGGGTAAGAGAAGACGGCAGCAAGGTAGGTACTAATACCAGCAATAATCATCTAATTTTTAATATTAGTAGATTAATTAATACATTTTATATTTAAATTTAAAATAGAGATTAACAATCAAACACTAATTGTTTTTTTTAACAAATTTTATCGTTTATTTCTCAGGTTAAATATTTTTAAAAAGCTTGCTTAAGTATTTATATGTGGACTATATTGATAACTCCCATTTTTAAATATATTCAAATGCTATTATAAAAATTGTTCTATGAGATCTTTTTTTTTTTTTGCTTAAATAATTATTCTATTGCAGTTTTGGCTAGTTATTATTAATTCTTTATATTCAAAGGCTATCTAAAAACAAACTTACTTAATAATATCTATTTTTTATAGTTATGTTTTAAAAATAATAGAGACTTTCATGGTAATTGGTAGAGGCAACAAACATGCTTTCTTTCTTTCTATATTTGTTTATTTATTTATTTCCCCACATATTGCTGTGTTTATAATTTAATAATTTTCATTTTTCTTGCTGATTTATCATAGAAAACATCATAATTGCTTATTCTTTTACTTTAGCTATGCTTAGTAATTCTAATTTAAGTATTTTGTGTTACCCTCATTTATAAGAGTAACCTTTAGTGTGACTGATACTTTTAACTCAAAATTTGTATAATGTCAGAGAATAAATATTTACCTTGCAAGCATATTCGTTTTATTCACCAACTCTCCAAGCAAAGGAAGCCTTGTCCTTAAGGAAATCATATGTGTAAAAGAGAGTGAAAGTTTGGAAGAAGTTTCTGATGATTAAGGGGAAGGAATTTTTAAATAAGAAATAAGGACCTTCTTCGAAGGGGATTCTTGCTAAAGCAGATAAGTAGCTGGAATAACCTCTTTAGAGTTCCTTGGGGAAAGTCTTGTCTCCGTAGTAGGCCATACGAGCAAGTTCGAATGGAACAGAGAAAGGAGCAGTGAACAAAGCAGCGAGCATAGTGGTAGGAATTTTTCTAACAAAGTTAAATTCGAAACCGGCGAAGACTCTCTACCAACCATTGTTAAGCCATCTGAAAGTAGCTAATCTGGCACCAATATCAAAAGTACCGATGCATAAGGCGTATTGAGATCTATTCCAAACAGCCTTTCTGTAATTTTCAAGCTTGAAAACTTCCTTCATGAAAGTTGCAGCTTGACGTAAATTTTAAGGCTTTTCATATTTAGTAGCAAGTAATTTGCAGTTTTCAACGAGTGCAGTGATATTTTCTTAAACTAAGGAAGCAACAACACCTGCAGTAACACCTCTCTTGACATTGTTGTATAAGGTGGAATCGGGTCTATATATTAAATTAAAATCAGATAAAAACAATTTAAATAGAATGTGTGAAAATCATTTTAATTTATTAATTTAAATGTATTTATTTATTTATATATTTCTTTGCTTGTTTCTTTATTTATTTATGTCTTTTAATATGAATGAATATCTTTCCCCTTTCAAATCTTTTTTTGAGTATTTTATTTATTTCTCTTGCTTTCTCTTAATTTTAATTTTTTTGCTTATTAAAGAGGAGGAAAGGAGCAGGATAGATATATATATGAAAAACAAATAAAGAGGATAGATATCTGAACTAAAAAATGGAATCTAGCACTTATTTCAGTTACACCCTGACTAGCTATTTCTCTATAACTATTATGCTTACAATAGATCATATCAGCGCCTACTCAGACAAATATGTCCTATCAATCGCTTCTTTTGATTTGAATAACAAGATTTTATTCTGAGTTTGCTCTGCTGATATCGTTGAGATATATAAACAAATAAGGTGTAAAATCCTCTCTAATATCCCAAAATAAAATGCTAAATTGCTTGTAGTTCATCATATCCTTTATTTAATCATATCTATAATAATCGCACCTTCTAACCCAACCTTGAACGTTGTAAATATCCCAATAGAGGGAGTGTCTTCTTTTGATATCTTCTAATTCGAAAAACATTCTTGCTAACTATACTTAGTTTTTCCTAAAGTATCTCTTCTTCTTATTTTTTGTTTCTTTATTTTTTTTATTAATAATTGCCTTCTCTTTTATTTTAATGCATACATAACAATTAAAGAGAGATCATTACTTAAATAAATTAAATAACTAAATAAATCATTTCCAATTTCATTTTATTTTCAATATACATTCATTCATAGTGGCTCCTTCATTTATGTGAATAAACATGCAAAATATTAAATTCACTCATTCATTATTTTAATAAGGATAAATACAATTAATCAGTCAATCCTCTTATTATATTTATAAATATCAAATTTGATTTAATGGATTATTCCATTCTTAATATTATGATCATTTTATTCTTCTTTTCTTTGTACGAACAAAAGAATCAAGAAAATATTTATTGCATCTTTATTTGTGATAATTGGATCTTTACACCTCACTATAAATTTAAATAAAACTTAAATATTGATTTATCTCTATTATATAAAAAGTTTTAATAAAAAATTTAATATGTCTTTCATCCAAAATTTATCTTTTATTTAAAAATAAAATATAAAATTTTATATTAAAATTAAAAATATCATTTACAAAAATATATATTCACTTGCAGCAGTAAATTATATCTGAAATATAAACAAAATTATTGATACTAATCAAAATAGTGGTTTTTTAGAGAAATTTTTTTTTCAAAAAATAAATTTATTTTTCATAAGATGGATTTTTATATTTTTTGATTATTTAGGGTTTGTTTTTAGACAGATTCATTCTTTAGTAAAATTTAAATTTAATTTATATTTAAATTTAATATTAAAAGTTCAGGATTTAGTTTTTAATTAAAATCTTAAAAGCAAAAATTAATTTAGTTTAATTCAAAATAAGATTTACAAGCAAAAGAGTAATGAATGAGAAATAAAGATCATTTTTTAATTTATCTATCTATGATTTAATTTGATTATTAAAGCTTTTTAAATGATATTTAATAAAATAACTAATAAAAATACGTTTAGTTGCTAATTTACTTATTATATTTACCTTTAAAATTTCTGTAATTTTTTAATTTAAATAGAGTTTTATATAAAATTTATTATAATTAATTAGATTGATTATAGATTTTTTTGTACTTAAAAAAAATCAACTAATTTATATCTAAAAAAATATTTAAAGTATTTTTAATTTATTATTTTTTATAAAGAATTTTGATTGAAAGGATTAAAATTTTTTAATTTTACAGGTTTTAAATTTGATATTATTCATTTTTGAGTGGTTTATAAATTTTTTGAGAATATTTCTATAAAAATATTTTAGATTTCTAAATAATTATATAATAATACTAATATCTCATATTTTATTATTGACATTTTTAAAGAACTTTAAAACTAATTAACATTTATGGTTTTAATTAATCTAAGTAAATATCTTTAAACTTATGAGTTAAAACATAATAAGTTTTCAAACAATATCTGTAAAATATTGATAAATTAATTTTGACTTAACATTTATTTTAATGGGATGTTTATTTTGTTTAATATTAAAGTTAAAATGAATTAATATTTTTTAGTTTCAGTCAAAGGAAATAATTTAGAATATTTAATTTTTTAGAATTTTATTTAAAAGCTAATTATTTTTTTAGATCACTCATTCATTCATTAATAAATAAATAAATTATTTTGGTATTTTAAGTTGAGAAATTATCATATATCCTGTTTGTAAATAAAGTTAAATAAATAATAATAGTTTCTAGTCAGAAAGTGATAGAAGATAATCTTGGCAAAATATATCAGCGAAATTATAATTATTTAAACAAGAGAATAGAAATTCTTCCAAACCATTACAACTCATATGCTTTAATTGCTTAGGAAATATTTTTAAATAAACATAATAAAAATAACAAATAACATTCTTTTTTGAATTATTTTAAATACTTTTACTTACTTTTTGCTATATGTTTAAATTTTCCTAATAAAAAAGTCTATTTTTTGGTTAGTTTATTATATGGGTATATACAACTATCTCCTTAATAAATTAAGTTTTTATATTTCAATATATAGTTTTTAGGGTATTCATTCATTTCGAGTAATATCTATCGCTAGCAGACCTTCTATGTATGATTAATTTTTTATAATATAATTTTTTAAATAAAACAAGCCAATAATAATCCTAACAAGAAAACTAGCAAGCAAGCAAGAAAGCAAATATACAAACTAATAATCAATCAATAAAATAAACAAAAATTTCAGATCAAAATTCATTCAAAAGCTTAAGAAAAAGAAAAAAAGTAATATAAATAATCATTTCAAGAAACTTAAACAAAATATCAAGAAACTCAGTAAAGAAAAAAAAGAATAGAAGACTTTACTCAGTCAATCAATCACTTTTTTCTTTCTGCAAATTTGATACAAATATTAAGTGATCAGTTGATTAATTCATTCAATCAATCAATAAAAGTTAGCAGATAAACAAATAAAGAATCAAAAAAACATAGAAAAAAAAAATCAAATAAGCAAGCAAGAATCTTAGCAGATAGGCATCTCATCTCATAGTCACTTTGCTTAAATATTTTTGTATAGATTTAATAAATCTTGTTTAGAGATAAAAAATTCAGTTCATAAATTATAGTTCATAAGTAGTCTTAAGATGGATTTTTCAAAATCATATTAAGAAGGAGTAAAAAGTAAAGTTTATTAAAAAGAAGCAGATTTATTAGAGTAAGACGACATCGATCATATATTTTCGTAAAGTGCTTATGCTTCTATAGGAAACTCTTTTGTTTAAGTGAATTCTGTTCAAAATAGTGCAATACAACACTAATTTGATGCTGAGATTATATAAAACCCAAAACTATCATTTGATAAAGAATAATTAAATAATTCAGATCAAGTCTAGTAGGAAAAAAATGACAATATTTAAATAGAAGAAAAAGCAAGAGAGTCCATTCATTCCAACATAATTAATTTACTTGATTCAGGAGAAGAAGTTTAGATCAATCAAAATATGGATTTGTATTCGTTTGAAAACTATGGCGAAAATGAGATAGATAAAAAGTTTTTAGAAAACAAAAGAATCGAAAATGCTAATAAAGAGATAATTGAAAATAATATCAATAACTTACTAGAATATGTTCCTGATAATGCTGAAGACCAGCAAAATTCTTAGTTTTTTGATATTTAAGCTCAAACAACTGCGTTATCAGCTAAAATGCTTCTCGAATCTTCTATTTAATCCAATAATTAGTTATAGATAGCCTCTAATAACTAACCAGAAATATAGAAAGGTTCATAATAAATTCAATTGTAAAAACAAGGAAGTAGTAACTCTCAAAAAAACTTAATTTCTAGCTTGCATTAAAACATAATTTTTGAAGATGATGAAGAATAAGAGAGCGAAAGAGACAATAAATCAATGCAGCTATACAAAGAAAGAGATTAGATCATAGCTATTGATAAATCGCTAATGACTAATAGGATCATTATTGTTTGTGAGCCAGAGCTTATTACTGAAGGGTTTTTATTTAATTCACATCAAATTTTAAGATTAATTTTCCTACTTTTCTTACACTTGAAAGAATATTAAACAATCACTTATTTTGACCATATAATCAAATCAATAAATAAGTAAATGATCGTCGTATTTATAATTTAAATATTCATTTACTAATCAAAAAGAACTCTTCCTGACAGATCTACTTTTTAATTTCATTTTCAAATTTTTAAATTAGAAAGAATTAATTACAAAATATTAGGTGTTTCAAAACATTTTTGCATTAAAATGAACTTATAAAACAAACAATATCAAGTTAGAATGATAAGAAAAATTCATTATAAAATTATTTTATGAGTAAGAAACGAAAGAAAATTAATCTAAATAGCAAAATTTATTTAAAATAAAAACTTATTTTATTATTTTAAAATAAATAGGTATATAACTACTTATAAATTGTACAGAGTCAAAAGTAAAATTCAGTAGTATTCAGGGTTTGATTCAGAAGTTTTGAGGAGGTAAAATATTTTTTTAAAGCTCAGTTTTAAAATAACAACAAGACTTGGATATTTTTTTAAATCTTCTTTGAACTTTTAATGATAATTTATATTTATTCAAATATAAAAAGGTTTAGCGATTTTGAATGGCTATATAACGAGCTTGTGAATAAATACGGAGGATATCTTATTCCTTTATTACCAGAAAAAAATATTTTAACTAAATTCAATATTGAGACAGCAGACTTCACTAAAGATAGGCAAAAGAATTTAGAATTTTTCCTATAAAAACTTCTTGACCATTAAAAACTTCAAACAGTTCCAGAACTTAAGTTATTTTTGTTTGCTAAGAACGAAGTAAAAATCTATTTTAAATCATATTTAAGATTAAATATAATCTAATAATTCTCATAGGTTTTTTCGTTAGTGAAAGGAGAAGCAGAATCATAAAAGACAATCGAATAAAAATACCAAAATGTTATAGGCTCAGTTAAAAATTACTTTTAACAAAGTATAGTGCCTTTTTTTGGGTAAGAAAAATAAATAATACTTACTTACATACATACATTCTTAGTAGCATTAAAGAGAACAATAATTTTTTATAAAAAAAAAGATATTCTCAAGAAAAAGGTTAGGAGATAGTGAGAGAGTAAACAGAATTAGATAAAGATCTAAATAATTATGAAGCATATATTCAAAATTTGGCATAAAAAATGCACAATTTTTTGAAAGTTTACGAATGCCATTTTAGTGTAATGGATGAAGAGCTTAAGTACTTAAATGAACTTAATACTCATTATTCTAAATATATAGAATCCACTTAAAAAGAAATTAAAATATCAAATAGACATTAACAACTAAATTTATAAAGTGAAGCATACAATTAATAGGAAAAAAGTAATTTGATAAACTAAAAACTTATCAATTTAAAAGAAGACTACATTTTCAAATGGAGGAATTAGTTTCAGCCTTAGTTAGAAGTAATTAATTAAATAATTATTTGTTTTTTCTTTAATAATAATAAAATGATTTGAATTTAGGTTTGGTATAAAAATTGCATTGCAGCTTAGGAAGCATTAAATAGAAGAAAAGAAATTATAATTACTATAGTCAACCATAGTAAAAGAATTTAAGAATTAAATCTCTAAAATAAAAAGAATAACAATCAAGTAAATTATTCTGAATAAGAAATTAAGTTTAAAATTCTTATTTACTAACTGTATATTTATTTTTTAGAGAGACACAGAGATGGACATTTTATATAATAATCTTGTAAAAAATTAACAGAAGCTAGAAAATATAAACAAGATTCTAGTCACAGAGATCAAAGAATACGATGAAAACTAGCAATAATAATTTGAGCAAATGATTAATTTATTTATTGAAATAGAGAAAGATTTTCATTATAAGGTAAAATTAATTAAATCAATATAAAAGTAAATCTATTCATTTTAATATTTTAGTAAAATGAAATCTATCATGGAAGAGAGCCTAATATAATTTGAAATAAATAAAGTTGAGCCTATTTTTTACAAGATACTTACTTACTAATTAAATTTACTATATATAAATCAATATTAAAAAGTAAATCAATAAATAAATAACTACTATCTAAATTTTTAAATATAGAGTAAAAACTACCTACCTAAATAAATAAATATAACAGAAGACTGACTGACTATCGTTTAAAACTTTTAAAACTAATTAAATCAAGCTACCCTTTCAAAAATATACATAAATAAATAAATACCAGGCTGCTTCGATGCCTTTTATTACATTCAATATAAATATTTTATAATCACAAAACTATTTATTGCTTAAACTAATAATCAATAATAAATAATCTTTACTTTACCCATGTAAAAATAGTTTCAAACATATCATCAAGAAAGCTATTAATTAATTCTTGATTAACATAAGAAGAGAAATTTATATAAATATTTAGTATTAAATTGTTACTCACTTTATAATATAAAACTTGTATTTATTAAAAAATTGAATTATTATTTGTTTGCATGTACTCCTTCCTTCCTTCCTTCCTTCCTTCTATTAAATAAACTATTTTTATCATCAAAAATATTTTAACTAATTTTCATTTATTTTATTATCATAATTTATTCATTTATTTAGTCAATAAATAATTTATTATATATATTTAAAATATATCTAAAAAGCATACTTTTTAATTATCTTAAAAGTTTTACAAAATTAGAGTAATATTTATTATTCAATAAATTATTTTAAATTTAGAAAATATTAAGGTAAATAATATTTTTTCACACAAAAACATAAAAACTTATTTAAATAAATGACTCATATATTTATTTATATCATCAATCATTTTAGTTATCATCAAAGATCTTTTCGCCTTTATTTTGTATAACTTAATACAGCTTATACCTCAAACAATTTATATAGTCATTGATATGTATTGATATATGTTGATTTCAATGATATCCATATTTCATTAATTATTATATTATTTCAACTTGTTTGTTAATTAATTTATTCAATTACCTTTTTCTATTTGCTTTTGAAAAAAAGCATGTTTTTTATTTTGTCGTCATATCCTTTTAATTAAAAATTTTTTCAAATTTTTAAAAGTAAATTTTTAATTAGAAAAAATCAAATTTTTTTTAAGGTAATGTGAATATAATAAATACTTAAATTCTAGTTGTGAAGATTAAAATAATATTAATCAAAAAAATAATTCATTTTTATTAGATGTATTTATTTTGACTAAATAAAAGAATTTTCTAAATTTTTTAGATATTTTTTGAAAGTCTTATAAATTTTTTTTTTGCTTTAACAATAGTGACAAAATAATATGTTTAGATTTTTTTTCACTCATATATAAAATGTTAAAATAAATAAATAAACAATAATTAATTTTATAATTTATATTTAAATTTTAGGTCTTAAAATTTATGAAATACTCAAATTTAAATTTATTTATTGAGTAGTTAATTTTTTTTAGCAAATTAAATAATTATTTAGATTGGTAAAATAATTTTTAAAATAAATAAAAAATTGATGGTCAAGCATTTAATTTAGAATAGTATAAGTAAGTAATAACTAGAGGATTTAATTATTGTTAATGAAAAATATTTGTTAAAAATGCAAAAATGAAAGATTGAAGAGATAAATACTATGAATTTACAAATAAAAAAGATACCCTTAATTATAATTGTCAAAATTTAGGATAAAAATTAACATTTAAATGTGATATTAAATGAATTATTTATTATTAGTTAAATTCTTTAAAAGATAGGAAACATTAAATGAATCAATCAACGAAACATTCATTATGTGAATAAATTAATAAATAAATAAATCAAAGGAGCAACATACATACATATATACATATATACATGCATACAATAAAGAAGGAAATATATATGAGCCGCAACATAATAAATGAAGAAGAAAGAAGAAGTGAGAGAAAGAGAAGGAAAATGCTTGGGAAATGAAATAAATAAAAAAATAAAAAAGAAAAAATCTTATTTTGATTTAATTCTTTTTGTATATTTGTATTTACTTATATAAAATAAAGAAAATAAAGAAGAGAAATTTTAAGAGAAGCAAAGAGAAAATAAGAGATAAAAAGGATGCACTCTACTTTACGTGTTTTCACTAAGAATAACTGTTTGAGTTTCACCAACATGAACAGATTTTCTACTGCTGCTCAAGTCGCTCAAGCTAACTACTCCAAGTTCAGAGCTGACTACAGTGCTTCAGTAGCTGCTTTCTAATAAAGAATGTAATTCACTAGATACTTAACTTTTTTTATCATGGATAGTAAGTAACATTCGCTCTTAGCAAAACGACTGAATAATGACTGCATGATTTGGATTTTGTCCCTAAAAAACATAGCATCATAAGCATAACATACAAGCAGATCATAAAACGAATAAATAATAAAATAATTAGTCATTTTAAGTTATAAGATTAAGGAAATTACAAGCGGTTTTCATTTATTTTTTCAACAATCAAAATTATTCATTATCAAAAGAGCAATTAGATAGAGTTAAAATATTTGAAATGCGAAGGAATTAATTAGATCAAGTATCTTTTTAAATGCTTATAAAAGCAATTAAAATAGGAATAAAATAGCAAAGTACTTTACTCTAAGCTAATTAATAAGTATTCAATAGGTTAAATAGATAGTTTTTGGACAAAATAAATAAATAAATAATTAGTTATTGATTGTTTTTATCATTAAAGATATTTCTAACAATGCATTTATTTAGTTGAAATTTGTTAAAAATGCCAGTGGTTCATTAGCAAAGCACTGAACAAAGCAATTTAAATGAATGTTACTAACTATAATAAAAACAGAATAATATTATAACCAACAAATTAAACGCTTTTTTAACCTTCTTTTCTTATAGTAAGACTATCGAAAAGGAAAATACAGGTTCCATGAAGAAGCCTATGGCTAAGGCTTACGAACACCCCTACAACAGCGAACACCACCCTTTGAACTTCTCCGCTGTTAAAATCGCTGAAACTTTCCACGACTTCATTGGTCCCGAATAGGTTTCTCCTCACTACGAAAGTTTTGCCATGTCAAGAAAGTTTTTGTTGAGTAATCTCATTCTACAATTTGCATCCTTAGCGTTTTGATGAATATCATTAATTTTTTAAGCAAATAATATCCTTTTTCTTCTTTGGAAAAAAATTTGTATCAATTATTTGCAAAGCAATATCTTTGAATAACTTTTGAAAAAATCTTTTATTCGATTAAACAAACATATATACATAATAAATGAATCAATCAATCAATAAATGAATCAATCAATGATATTCTTTAGAAATTAGAATTCACTTCAGCGTTAAATCTAAAATTTATTAATAAACTTTTTTTTAATTTTAAAAAGCTTTCTGGGGTGGTTTCTTCGTTTTGAACTTCGGTATGGCCACTGTTGACCTTAACTGGATCATGAAATCTACTTACATTCCTTGGATTTTCTGGTTCTAATTAATGTACTTCTACGTTGAAGGTAAAAACTCCATGTTCATGTAAGCAATTATTCATTTCTTAATACATTAAAATATTTTATTGTCTGAATATCCGTAAATTATTTTATTTATTGTTATATAGGCCCTTACTCCAAAGATTCTACAGAAGAGCTGCTGCCAACGAAATCTTCACCATGGAAGCTTTCTATCACGAAAATATTGAAAATAAGTTAAGAAACCTTATGAGAAGTAATCAATTAACTAAAATTAGGAATTTTATCCAATTATTAAATCCTTTAACGAGATATATTAAAACAACAAAAATATGTTTTAATGAGAAATGAAAAAATAATTTTATTCATTTAGCATTAAAAAAATAAAACTAATATTGATTTTTAATTAACTAATTATCTTAGTCACTAAGGGACAACTCGAATACTGGGACATCCACACCAGCTATGGTGAAATTAGAGCTGACTCTATTAACAATGTATTTATTTATTTATAATTTAATTATGATTTCTATATTAATTATTGTTTACATAAAAAAGTTCTTAGCTAATGAATATTTAAGATTATAATCCCACATCACTAGCAGAGCCTTAAACATCTTGAAATAAGCTTAAGCTTACGAAACCATGAACTAAGCTGCTTTACTTCAAAAGTTGATTGATGATGCTACCTCTGCTATTGACAACGCCCTTAAGGGTGATAAGAAGGCTGAAGTCTTAGCAAGATCCCTCGATTCTGCCATCGATGGTCTCTCCAAGGGTTACATGGATTACCAAAATGATCCTCTTCTTCCTTTGATTCTTTCTTCTATTGAAGCTAACGTCAAGAAGATCACCACTCTTTCTGCTCAAGAGTATGAATTTTTATAATAATATTTAAAATTTTAATTTGTCATATTTAAAAAATAGACAAGCTAACTTAATCGGTTTAACCGCAGAACAACTCAAGAGCATCAAGGAAAACGATGTTAGGTAAATTGAATTGACTCTTTAGATAAATAATTTTAACTAATAAATTATTTTCATAAAAATAAAATAGAGCCAGAAAGGAATTCTTAGAATCTCAACCCAAATTAGATAACAATCTTAAAAATATCGAATCTGTTAAGAAGATTTTAGCCACCTGGGGTAAGTGAACAAAAAATACTTAGGTATTTTGATCACTTGCATAAATTCAGTGATAACTTAATAAATCAATTTATTAAATAATTCCACACACTCTATAAAGCTTTTAAGAAGTACTATATGTGCCTTTTTGCTTAGTATAAATTATTATTCAATAAGCTTAACTTAAAGAAAATAAAAATCATCTTATAAGTTTATTTGTTTGTTTGTGGAATTCCCATTCATTAAATTGAACTTCCTAAATTCTTTTGCTTTACTTACAAAATCCATAAAAATAAATTAAAAATTTTAATGTCAATTTGTACAAAAAATTTATTAAAATGAATGATAAAATTTTGTAATTTAATTAATTACATATCAAATAAAAAATGAATTATTAATTTTGCTTGTTTAAATTAAAAGTAAAAGAAATAAAAAAGGTAGTAAAAATAAATATAATTTTATTATTTTTAATTATTGCATTTAATAAATAATTGATTAAAAATTTTTTGATTTTTTTTTCTATAAAAAAATTAATAGAAATAATTATGTTTTAATTTTAAAATAAAATTACCTATTTTATGCTTTAAAATATAATTGATTATCCCTTTATAATATCTGTATCTTTCTTACAGATCAATTTTAATACCTTTTAATCCTCAAAAAAATATTGGAAAATCTTTAGAGAAAATATTTATTAAAAATTAATCTAAAATAAATAAAATTTTTTAGTCTTAATATTTTCTACTATCAAATTGTATTCAAAATGAATTTGTAAAATTGATATCACAAAAGGATGATTTGATTAAGTAGTGAATTCTAATTGGGTGATATTATTCTAATATATTTTTATTGCTTGGATAAGGTAAGAAATTTTAAATAAAAAATAGCATATTTTAATCTCCTTCTCAATAAATCATTAAGAGATAAGATTTTCAGTTTTATAATTTTTTTAGTCCTTAAAATTAATTGTTAAAATTAAGAATTAAATAAATAAATTTTGAATTTATATTTTGAATCTATCTATTCACCTAAATAGATAATAAATACAGAAAATTATCAAAAAATTTGTTGATTGTGTTTAACTTGAATTAACAAAAATTATTTATAAATTTTATACTTTTTATTTTTGAATTTATGAAAATTGATTGTTTTATAATTAATTATCTCTTTACTAATTATTTATATGAGTTTTTATTTATGAGAAAAATAAAGAAATTTTAATTTAAAATAATATTTTTTAATAAAAAATTTAAATATTAATTCAGATTTAGAATAATATATTAATGATTTTATTTTATTATTTTTAATGTTTAAATCTAAAAATAGATTTTACAATTATATTTCAATTTTACTAACTTTAAAAGAGAAAAATTTAAATTAAAACAAAACAAATCAATTTTTTAAGAGTTTTTTAAAGACATTTAGATTTTTAAAATAAAATGATAAAAAATATTTCTAATTTTTTAAAGATTCTTTTTTAAAAGAACATAAAATGAGTATTCGATATAAATTTTAATTTTCTTTTGCATTAGCTTTTTTCTTGATCAATTTTTTTATTTTAATAATAATTGAATTAGTATTCTAATTGTTTAAATGTTATAATTGTTATGAGTATAAAAATAGTTTCAAAAGGCTAGTATAAGTAATATTTAACTATAATGGAGCTAAAAATAAAGGTACTTTAAAATATTTGTTAATTTTTTTGTCGAGTTTATTTTTAATTAAAATTAAGTGAAGAATGTTGTGTTTGTTTACCTTTAAATTAAAACCCACAAACAAACAAAATCAGAAAAAAAGAAAATTCTAAGAATTCTTAATAATTTTCAGCAAACTCAAAACATTAGAATCCTTATAAAAAATACAAACAAATTAAAAACACTTCATAAAAATAAAGAAAAGTAGCAGAAAGAGCTGACAAGTAAATGAAAAAAAGTAGAATTTTGTCTGTTAAACAATCATGAAACATAAAAATTCACTTTTTTTCTGATTTTAGGATGTCTTGAGAAATCAAGGATGAGCTAGTGGTTAAATATGTTGGTTAACTTGTGAGCTAAGCCTCGCATACATTTTTATTAGTCAGCTCGCAAAATGTTAACTCTCATCAAATTCTTTGAATGCTAAAGTAAACCTCAAAAAAGAAATAGAATTAAATAAATCTTAAATAAATTGAGTTAATCAAATAATAAGTAAAAACTAAGCATAAGTTGAGAAAACAATCAAAAATAAAATGGAATTCAGAAAAAGCTTAAAAAATGTTTACAAAAAATCTCATTTTTAAAATTTTTTCTATGCTTTGTTTTTGATAATTGATGAAATTTCAATTAATCAACCAAAAACTCTAGGCTTAATTAGAAATTTCTTTGACTGTCAGAGAAAACCAAAATCAAGTACTAATAGATTTATCAGGCTATGAAAAATAATAAATAATAAATTTTTAATTTTAAATTAAAATATTTTAATTGTTAAGAAAAATTTAATAAAAAATGCCAACAAACATAGTAAAAAATAAATAATGAATGAACTTAGAAAAGAAAACAAATTACTCTATTATAATTTTTTATAATAGATTAAGGTCTTTTATAATAAATATAAATAAATGTCTTTGAAAGGAATTAATAAAGTAAATAGCAGCAACTAAAAATAATTAATTTTAACAAAATAATGTAAACTTTAAAGCAATTCAAAACATGTAAGAAAAGTATTGTAAATAAATATATTCTTTAGCTAGTAATTAGATAGAGCAATTGATAGACATATGTAACTAGAATTTAATGCGCTTCTGTAGAACTGAACTAATTTATTAATTTCTTTTTTAATAGGATAAATTAAAGGAAAGGATCTTATTAAATTTTATTTGAGGCCAATTTTTGCACTTTTTCCTTAATCAAAGTTATAGGGAAAAATAGTAAAATACATACTATTATGTCAAGCTTAAACTGTCTGAAGATATAAGTCAAAAGCTTGTTAAATAACCAAATTATTCTTAAATTCGATTAAAAAGCAACTAGAAAAATCATTTTAAATAGGAATTTGCTTAAATTTTATAAATAAAAGTTGAAATAGTAAATAATATTTCTAGGTACATTTTTAAGAGTATTAATTTCATCTCCTCTCTGTAACAAGGCCTTTTTGAAAAAATGAGAAAGTAAAAAGCTAAAATTAAAATATTTTTGGTATTTAAAATAAAAAACTTTTACTTCAAAAAATGCATTTAACTCTGCTATCAACAATTTAGGAAGTATTTTCGAAATATTTCTACCATTATGCAGTGACTAACTAAATATGAATTAGATAGTAATAAATTTGTATTCAGACAATTTCATCTGTTAATAATTGAGCAGCCTATATCCTTGTACTATTGTATATTATATTAGACAGGAAGAATTTCTAGACTCCAGCAATTATCCCTAACAGATTCAAAAGAAAATCAAAATAAGATATTAACATTTTCTCTAATCTAGCTATTTAAATATTGAGGACGATGAATATGAATGAAGGAAATCTATCTAAATATTATAAAAAGTTAAGCTAATTTATAAAAAGAATCATCAGATAGATATATAGATACTTATTTGTTTTAGGAAAATTAATAAAAACGTCACCAAATAATGTATTTATAATAAAAATGATGCTTTTTATCCTTAAAAATATAAAAAATTGGATATTTGTAGAGAAGGCGATTAAATATTAGGACAATTTCATATTGACTGAAATATGAAGAAAAGTCAGCGATTTAAGTCTAAATTAAATTAAAAAATATGGAAATTAACAGCAATTATTGATTCCGAATAAATTAAAAACCTATTTAAAACAGAAAGAGTAGAATTAAAGTGTTATAAAATCAGTGAATAATGAACGAATAAGTTAAATTATACAATTATGGCAAATTTTGGTTTTGAAGATCATAACAATGATACGCGTGAATATTGTGATGCACTATCAATTTAAAAAGACAGTTAATCTGGTTATATCTATCTGTAATTTTCAATATTTAAATTTTGTGAAAAAATACGAGAAAGTCATACTAATTTTCCTTGATAATTATCTTGACAAAAAATAATAATTTATATACTTACTTATGCTAATATCAAAGCAAAATCTAATTAATTACTAAAATAATGAGTATTAGACAAGAGTAAAGTCAATTGATTTATTAATCCTTTATTTATTTATTTATTTGTTTGTTTTATTAATTGATTGCTTGCTTGCTTCTCTTTAATTACAAATTATTATGAAGAAAAACACATCAGTTTAAATTAAAAATTAATAATAATATTTTCCCCTCCCTATACATAAATTCATAAGAACAAAGGGCTTTTTACAATGAAATTATAGGATTTAATCGCAAGGAGTAAAGAAATACAATATCGAAAGTCCAATATATTTGTAATATGAATAAAAATTATATATCGCTGGTGCTTTTTTTTATATTATTTCTTTTTAGATGAGCTCAACTATATATTCTTTCATTCATTCATTATCTATTTTCTTACTATTTTTTATTCGCTTTTATATTATTTTTTCTTCTTTTATTACAAGATTTAATTTTTTCAATTTGACAATGCATAAAAATACAATTCAATCCAACCCAATTTACATGCTTTAAAAAATTATAAAGTAATATTTATTAAAGTATTAAAAAAAGACCGAAGCATAAAAGGGTTTGATTTAATATGATTAATTTAGTTTTTGATTAATCTTATAATTAATTAATTATTTAAAAGAAGAAGAAAATTAATTCAAGAAAAATACGAATAACAAGAACTCAATAACACATCTTATATTTATTAAAATACATTTTCACCATTTCTTCGTATTTTAAAAGTAGTTCTTCATTTTTAAAGCAAACTCTTGAATTAACACCTTATCTACAATTAACTAAACCATTTAATCTATTTATAAATGAGCTGCGCTGGATACAGAAACTTTTAAAGCTTTGGTAAGAGCCAATATTTCAAGGTTGGTACTCGCTTATGGATGATCAAAGTGTTAGGAAAAAATACTTTTTATAAAATCTTCACAAACTTCTTAAAGCCCTTCTCAACTTTGAGCAAATCCCAATACACTTACCAAATATAAGAAAATGAAGATGAAAAAGACAAGATGTTAGGATTTGAATTTGTTTCAATCCCTACCAAATAATTTTTTACTAAATAAATTCGTGAAATTCAGTTGACTCAAATGATTAACAAGAAACTCAATAAATCTACTAACCCCTTCATATACCAAGAAGGACTTGATGGATTAAGTAATTATTTTATTTATTTGACACAAAATTTCTTTATTTGAGCTATTCCCAAAGCGAAAAACTCGATAAAATGAAAAATTTATTTTCTCAATCTAAAATTTGAAAGCATTTTACTTACATAAATACATACAATATTGCTTTTTAATTTATTACCAGCTAATTAATTAATTATAATAATATAAGATATTTTGAAAAGAAAGGACAAAAAATATCTATTAATAAAAAAAAACTTTACAAGCATTTATTGAATGAATTCTAATCTAATTATTTTAATTAAATAGGCGAAACAAAGAAAGAAGACTCTGGAGTTTTTAACTGCATCAATGACAAAAAATCATTCGTCCACTCTTTATAACTCATCAATAATCCCATGGCTATGGACTAGTTCTGTCTCGATGAAGTAGAGACTGTTGTAAGTGAATACGATTTGGAAGAATGCAACAGCTTATTATAAGAAAGTATGGTCATAAGCTCAATGGATTCTCTTTATGATTCAACCACTGACACCGAAGTCTATTGAAAGAACTTAAAATCGCAAAAATAAATCACTAATCTAATCAATATACTTGGATAAATTTACTCTATCAATTTACTAGTGAGAGTCAGTCAGTCAGTCACACAATTTAGAGCTAATCGTCTGAATCAAACTGCCAATTAATTCACTGAGTCTTTGAAAATACTCGAAAGGAGAATGAATGAATAAATAAATAGGGCTTTAGAATTCTTACTTTCAAGATTGAAATTGCTAAGCTGGAGAGAGTTTTTGTAAATAGGATGGATGAGCTGAAGAGAGAAAGAGAAAGAAACCAAAAAGTGAAGGATGAAATACATTTTGCTGCATTAACAAACAGATTTAAGTAACAATGAAATTTAAATTAGTAAAACACAAATCACAAAGGAATCAATCATTGTTATCCTTTTATGATTTAAGCTGCACAACACGAAAGAAAAAATTAATAAACAAAATACAAAAAATATGGAAAAACTTAAAACCAAAGCAGACAGACTTTGTAGATATTCTTACTTACTTATTACTTCATGATTTTCTTGACTGAATATGAAAGAAATAAATGAAGTTTCATTATATTTTAGTAAATTTTTTAAATGAAAATAAGCTAAAATATAATGTAGTTATATCTTGAACGGCTGCTGCTGGTCTTATATTTTAAATTATTTACTGCTTGCTACCTACTGCTTTTCTTTCTTTAAAAGAGAATCTAAAAGAAAACTTCTTTCTTACAAAACTAATTTAATCTTTCAATCAATCAATAAATACAAACAAACAATTCTTTGTACAGTAAGTAATAAGAAACATTTCTCAATCAATAATTACATGTAAATCTGAATAGTCTTATTCAATAAACACTACTCTGTTCTCACCTTATCTTTTAAGAATAATAATATACTAAAAGTCTAGATGAAGTCTACCATAATAATTGTAGCACATTTTAAATTTAACTTAGTAATGGCACAATCTCACATATTTTTAAAACCAGTATTATATGAATGAAAAAACAAAACAAAGATTAAATAGTAATCATTTATATTGATAGACCTGCATAAAACGAACAAACAAAAAAACAAACAAACATTCATATATTTAATAATATATATAATTTATATAAAAACAAACATCAAACATTAAACAAAATCTTAATTTATTCTTTACTTTTACTGTTTCCATATAAGTATCTTTTTAGTTAAATCCTCTTCAATTACTTCAAACATCAATTATTTCAATTCTTCATTCCTTTATTCATTCATTTTCAATATCTTTTAATTTATCTATTTGATTTTTAATTTTCCCTTCTCTTCTTTTCTTACAATCAGTTCAATATACTTTTCATTCAAATACATCAATCAATTCAATTCACATACCTTAATTATAATCACTTTTAACAATAACGATTTTTATCCTCTCCCTTACAAGTATAATTTACTTAAGTAAGTAAGACTTTTGAATTTTTTCAAAGGGTAAATAAAATCCAAGTCAAAACAAATATTTTTTACTCAGTAACTAACTAACTAAATTTATGCATGCTCTATGTTTTTAAAATAGCCTTCTCGTTTTTAATTTTTGAATGAAGAAGAGATGCGCTTTTCATTTTTTACTTCCAAATTCATCCTTTAAACAAAATATGCTCTAGGTATCACTAATAAAAGATTAAATTCTTTTATCTTTAAAAAATAGTTGAATTTAAAATCTACTTTTTTTCTATCTCATAGAATTATCCATCTATCTAATTACTTTTAAAATGCATGAATCAAAAAGAAATTTATATAAAATTCATAAAATTGATTTGTTGCTAAATTTAAAATTTGTATGCATTTTTTTTGGATCAATAAATTTAAAATTGCATAACATAAAAAATAAAAAATGAGTTCAAATGAATCCTTAAAAAAAGTAAAATTATCTAATTTAAATAAAAAATAATTTTATTTTATTAAATAAACTTGCGATATACTTTCAATAAATCAATTATTTCAGGTTTATATAAAAGTATATTATGAGATCGTATAGAATATCAAAGAATTTTCCAATCTTATTATTACTCTAATCTAAAAATATACAAAGTCATTATTATCACAAAAACATTATCCTGATCTGAATTTTAGAATAACTTTGAAAAATTAAATAATTTATTTATAATAATAACTTAACATTTTTTTAAATAAATTAGAATTATAAATTAAATATTTATTCTAATCTAAATAAATTTTTTTATTTAAACTTTTTTATACTTTAATATTAACTTCCAAAAATATTTCTTTTTTACAACTTATGAATACAAAATCTTCTTTTGTTTTATATAAATTAGAATTTTAGCTTTTTTAATGTTGAGAAATTAAAATATTTAAAGAAATGAGAGATATTAAAAAAAGACAAAATGCTATTAAAAAATAACAAAATCAATAAAAAATAAATAAATCAATCAATCAATCAAACAAAATAAGAAGGATAAGATTTATAAATTGATTGTAAAATAAAACAGTTTTTAAAATTCCTCAAAAACTAATTTAAATTGAATTGATAATAAATAATAATAACTTAATTTTGTAGTGTATATTTAATATTATATCAAAATAAGCAAATCTATTTTGGAAACAAAGTAGATTAAGATTAAATTAATCCTTTTAGCAGATACTAACTTAAATATTAACCCCAAAAAAAAAATTTTTTTAACTATTAATGAATACAAAATCTTATTTTATTTTACATAAATTTAGAATTTTATTTTTAAAATATTGATGAATTAAAATTTTTAATAAAATGAGAAATAAAATTCAAAAAAATAAGAAATAGTATTAAAAAATAACCAAATCAATCCAAAATAATAGAATAAGAAGGATAATATAAATAAATTGATTGAGAAATAAAACAGTTTTTAAAATTCCTCAAAAAATGATTTAAATTAAATTGTTAAATAATAAATAATAATAACTTAATTTTGTAGTGTATACTTAATATTACATCAAAATAAGCAAATCAATTTTGCAAGCAAAGTTGATTAAGATTAAATTAATTCTTTATTAAATATTAACTCCAGAAAATATTTCTTTTTTTACTGCTAACTAATACAAAATCTTATATCATTATATCATTCATTTTACATAAATAAATTTAGAGCTTTAGCTTTTTTCAATATTGAGAAATTAAAATAATTAATAAAATGAGAAATAAAATTCAAAAAAATAGGAAATGCTATTAAAAAATAACAAATCAATCAAAAAAAGTAAGAAAAATAAGATTAATTGAGAAATAAAACAGTTTTTGAGATTTGTTAAAAATTAATTTAGATTTATTTGTTAATAAAAATATTAAATAATAATAACCTAATTTTGTTGTGTATGTTTAATATTATATCAAGATAAGCAAATCTAATTTGCAAACCAAGTAGATTAAGATTAAATTAATTCTTTTAGCCGCTACCAATTCATTAAGAAAATAAATGTAGCTAAACTGTTTTAAGCTAGAGACACTTCGCTTACAATGAGTTAAAAATGCTTTAGATGGTCCCTAAATAATGTTTTTTCAACGCAAGTTTTTCAATGATAAATCTTAAAGATGTGGAAAAACTTATCTCTTAGTAAAAATTTGATGAAGCAATTTAACTTTGTAATAAGGCACTAGGACTGCTTCCTCATAATAATGAGCCTCAAAAGTAGTGGGAAACAGATCTTATTTATAAATTAAATTTTCATACTGGAGTAGCTTATCAAAATAGCTAGAGATATTAATAAGCCATAGAAGCTTATTAAAAAGCTTTAAAGTACTAACCATAGGATATATGCATTCATTTGAACATAGCAATATGCTACTATGGATTAAATTAATTATAAAATTCACTTTAATTTGTCGATTCTGGTTTATAGATTCATGATGATAATTATCAAATTCGTGAATAATTACAAATTTTGAAGTATAGCATATTCAAAAATAATAAATAGTTTTAGGAATGTTAAGAATTACTTAAAACTTTATTTGAAAATAATTAGCTTACTTAAGAAAGTTTATTAAACGAGTATCTTGAATATCTTTATAATGCAAAGGATTATAATTAATTATTACTTGTCCTAGATGCTAAGGCTAAACTATTTCCTAAATCTATTTAGTAATGTATGAAAAACAAACTTATCGTATATTTATAATCATAGGACTATAATCGAGCATTACTAAAAACTGAGGAATATATATAGAAATATCCAAATGATTCCAGTGTTTTAACTGTTAAGATATAGAGTCTTTTAATGCTTGGAAGAAGGCCAGAAGCAAAACAATTTTATCAAGAATCTTTAGTAAAATTTCCAAATGAAAGAGTATTGCTTAATACTAAAATTGCTTGAAAAATGAATAGAAATATAATTGATAAATATTATTATTTTAAATTTTTTATGTAACTTTATATTTTAGTAAGTAAAAATTATTTCTATTACATTAGATAAAATATTCTTTTTTATTTATATGTTCTTTGATTTCAAAAATTAAATGAAAAATATTAATTCAGTAAATTATCTACACGTTTAAATATTTCAAAAGTGTTTTAATTCTTTTAAAAACAACATTTTAAAGCCAATTTTTTTATAAAATAAAATGTTTTCTTAATTATTTAATAACGAAGTAATTCAAAAATAAAGTTAGTTATTCATTAAAATATTGAAGATTTAACACTAAAAGAATTAGTTAAGTATAAATTAATTTAATTCATCATTTAGTTCATACTTGATTAATACAGTGAATTTAAAGATTAAATAAATATTTTAAGGAAATTAAGAATGCAAAAAAATTTCTTAGAATTAAGAACTAATGTAAATATTGATTGAATGATTTTTAAGTTTACATTCAACTCTAGAATCGATATAGAATAGACAAAAAAGAAGAGTCTATAAGTAAATCTAAGAAATAAAATGTCATATTAGCCAAACTTACCTTTATAATGTAAATAAAATAAGATATAGGAGAATGAAATTATTAAATTAATAATATATATTTTATATTATTCTTAAGTATTAATAAAATATTATATATTGTTTATTATATGCTCTAAGTATTAATTGATTTTCATTATAATTAGCTCTTATAATCAAGACAACGTGATTATTTTATTTATGTTTATTTTTTATCAAAAATGAAATGCTAAATTACTTCTTTTTATTATCATTATAGCTTTAAATTTTTACACAAAATGAAAAGTTATTTAGGGATTTAAAAAAATGATGAGTGGTAAATTATAAAATGTAGAATTTAATTCTTTTTAAAATTACATTTTTGTATTTAAAAATAAAAATTATTGTTATTATTAATTTTTAGTAAAATTTTGTAATTGAGTTAGTTAGTTGCTTTATCTTTGTTTTTATACTCTAATATTTCTATATTAATTTATTCAAAATACTGGAAAGTATTACTAGTATAACTAACTATCTGTCAAAGGGTAAAATTAATTGAATAATAATTCAAATGCTATTTTTGAAAAATAATAAAAAAAAAACAATATATATACTGAAAATCAGCAAAAAATGGATATAAATATACTTTTATTGGATTATTTCAAGGGTTAAATACTTTTTTAAAAGTTTAAGCATTTTAATAATTTACTAATATTATGTCTTTATGAAAATAAAGTTCAAATTGAATAATTATTTTGTTATATCTAAGATATATTAAGACTAGAACCAACTAATAAAAATTAATTTCAATGAGGTCATTTATACTTTTTAACTATAACACAAATAGAATTTTTTAGAGTAAAAGTTATACTTGAATAATAAATAACTTGTATGGATTTTGCTTATCTATCTATAATAAAAAAAGCCAAAGTTAGTTACTGTCCACATACTTTTGATACCTGTGTGCTTTTAAATTAAAATTTTATCTGAGCTAATTTAGCTCTATTTTCATAATACATTTCTAAATAATCTTATATTAAATATTATCGCTTTCTGCTAATTAATTTTCATCCATTAAAAGGAGTGCTAAAATTTACAAATATTTATAAAAAATTAATTTAATAAAATCTCTATAAAAAAAAATACTTATGAATAACAAAAAACTATTTTTGATTTTTGCCCTTGCAATAATTCAATTAGCTTGCTTTTACGCCCACTAAGAAGATGTGTTCGATGAATCTCTATTTCCTACTATCGACACCACTGACTTTAGTGAAGAAGGTAGAAACCTATAACAAGCCTAAGAAAGACCTTTCAAAATAACTTATGATATTAGTTATTTCAACTCATTGAAAGATAATCCAAGTGATGTACTTTTCAAATAAAAAGTAGAACAAGTCATGAAAATTTCTGTTGATTACTTCTCTAACTTGTTGAAGTTTATTCCTCGTGGTAAAGGATAAATGAAGTGGACACTTGAAAGACTCATTTGTGGTGGTGGAAATTTGCTTGCTAGAATTCCTGAATAAGACAAAACCGAGGACAAAGATTCTGATTTACACATCTACCTAGTTTATGTCAATGAACCTCTTTAAGAATATGTTGCTTATGCTGGCATATGCAGAGAACTTCCTGGATCAGGCACAACCCATGCTTAGATCACTTTTAATCAAGCTTGGTTTAACAAATAAGATCTATCTAATCATAAGATTTTTTTGAATATGTAAGGATCAGTTTTTCATGAAATAATTCATGTTTTAGGATTCACAGAAAAATCATACTCTAACTGGATTGACAGTACTACTAAATAAAATCATAAAAAAGTCACTATCTAATAAATAGTAAGAGGCTACAAAGTTAAGTTTATTCAAACCCCTTACGTAAAGAAGGCTGCTTAAGAATTCTTTGGATGCCCAACTCTTCCTGGTATGCCTTTAGAAAATCAAGGTTCAGCTGGCTCTGCTGGTTCTCACTGGGAATCTACTGTAGTAAGTGATGAAATTATGAAATCTACAGTTATTAAAACTAACTTCTACTTAAGTGTTTTCACTATAGCCCTCCTTAAAGATACTGGCTTTTACAGCTAAGTAAATGATAGCATGGCTGACCAATATTTCTATGGTAAAGATGCTGGCTGCGATTTTGTTTTATAAGAATGCAATTCAACTAATAACAAAAATGAATTTTGTAGTAAAGAATCTGAAAAACCTGAAAACTAGTGCGATTTTTATGGTAATGGAGTCTCTAACTGTGAATCTGGAAAATTTTTAGATAATAATTGTATGCAACGTGTTGTTGATGACAGAGGCTATTGCTTTGATCCTGTTAAAAATTCTAAAAGCTCTACATTATATACTAATTACTATGGTCAATATTTTGGTGAAAACTCCAAGTGTTTTATGTCTACATTAGTACAAAAGATTGTTGGATCAACATATGAATTATAAGGATCTTGTTACAAGTATGAATGCATAGAATAAAGTAATATGCTAAAAGTGTGGGTAGGAAACGAATCTGCAATTTGCAGTAAAAACGGAGAAAAGCTAACATTTAATAAATATAATGGATATCTTTTGTGTCCTGAAAAGATAGATTAATTTTGTCAATTTAAAAAGTTTTGCCCAAATTACTGTTCTAGCAATGGTTATTGCCTAAATGGTAATTGCGTATGCTTAAAAGGATATTCAGGCAAATCTTGCGAAAAATAAAATTGATAGAAATTTTAAATTAAAATATCTACTTATCTGTTGTTTTTTTTGAAAGGATTTTATTTGTTTTAATTTTAATTGTTGTTTGTTTTCTATTAAAATAATTCTTAAAATAAATTTTATATATTTTATTCTTCAAATTTGTATCATCAAAAGAAGGGTTTAATATAAATTATAAAAATTTGATAATGTGTACTGTATGTCATCCATCTTTATTATAAAATTTTTTGAAAAATCGACTTTGACTCAACTTAGAAAACAAATCTTAATTCAAATAATTTTATAAAATGAGTTTTTAGATTTTAATTAAATAGACAATAAATAGTTAATGATAATGCAATTTAAATAAAAAAACAATTTAAAATATTTATTTTATAGATAAATATTAACATTTTTAAACCTCTTAAATTACTTCTAATTTATCTTAATTTTTTTTGATCTATTAAAAAATAAATAAATATTTTTTGATTGATACAAAATTATAAAAAATAAATAAATATTTTTTGATTGATACAAAATTATAAAAAATAAATAAATATTTTTTGATTGATACAAAATTATAAAAAATAAATAAATATTTTTTGATTGATACAAAATTATAAAAAATAAATAAATTAATATTCGTTTCAATTATTATTGTTTTAAAAAAAAAAACTAGATAATTAAAAACCTTCATGAAATTTAAATCTAGATTATTGATTTTAATTTAAGACATAAGACTATGTTACTTAAATAAAACTTAATTTATTCTCAATTTTTTATCGTCTAAAAACTATAATGTAAATAAATAACATGATAATTTTTTTGAAAAACTACACAATTGCAAGTAAGATATTAAAAAAGTTATTTTTTTATTCATAAGATTTACTTTCAAATAAGCAATTTTTAAGTTTATTGTGAACTTTGTTAATAATTCAATACATACTTTAAGCGTTTTTTATTTTTAATCCTTACTTTTATTCTACAAAAATTTTTTAATAATTTACAAGGTCAAAAATTTGAAGAAGATCTCAAAAATAGACGAAGATATGACGAATTGGAAATCTTTCTTGCTTTTAATTATCCACTTAATTCATAATTTATTTTAATTAAAAATTGGCTAGTAAGTTTTATTAGACTAATAACTTTTTTATCAATTCATTTCAATTTAAGTAAACTTCTGAAATAAATGGTGTTAAATCTAAAGATCTCAGGAGTATTTTATTACTTTAATCAACAAAATATTATTGTTACCAATACCAAAGAGTATTTAAGATGGTGGAATAGGCATTATAGTTTTAGATAATTTATTTGATAAATATTAATAAATGTAGATAGATTCCAATTAAAAAAAATAAAGATATAATTATTCATAATATAAAATTGATGTGATTTTATCTAACTTACAAGTAAAATAAAATTTTGGTTTTTAACTTGTAAATTAATTACCTGTTTGTTTCAAAAATTAATTTCAAATTACAATTTTTAAATTACTTCCAAAAAGTTAAAATAGTTTTCATTTCTTTTTTTATTATTCTTTTAATCACATTTTACATATCCAAAGTCATTTATAAAATAGCAAATACCTTACTTAATTCAAGTCTAAAAATTTTTCTAAAGTCTCGAATCATCAAAATTTACATATATATTTTTAGTCAATTTAATTTAGGAATTAATTTTATAATCTGAAAAATAGCATAATATTAATAATGACCTCACCCATTCTCTGATGATTAAAAAAAGAAAAGCCATATTTCGAGTATTGAAAAAAATGAACACCTTTCTTAAACCCATTAATAGCCTCTATAAACAACGTTTTAAGATATTTATCTTTAGATATTATATATAGATCATAACACTTTAAATGTTTATCAAATTAGATATCCAAAGGTTTAAATAAATCCTTCTGTTACTGATTGTTATATACTTAAAAAGAATTATTAAAATTTTAAACTATTATTATTAGTTATTTGATTTGGGTGATATTTTTAATATTGTTATGCAAATATTTATGTCAATTTAAAGAGTTTGTTTTCTATAAATTATAACATTTCATTATAGAATAGCAATATATATTTATGATATGAATCAACAGTATAAATTTGTTTTTTTTTTAAACAAATGAATATCTAATGAAATACGCTGGCTTTATTTTAGTTGTTTATTTCTTTACTTACTTACTAGCACTGAAAATATTTGAAATTTTTGTTTGAATAAATGGGGGAAATTATAAAGATTCCTCGAGTTTAAATGCAGGAAAATTTGGATAAATTATGGAAATAACTTCAAAAATATTGTTTAATTCAAATTGTAAAGAGATAATTTTAATTTTTAAATAACTTCCTAAAAATTTGGTGTTTAATAATTTGGTTTTGAGATTAGATAGATAGATATATTATCATTAATATAGATAGTTAATTAGATAAATAGATAGATAGACAGATACAATTTTAGATGATAGACTGTAGTCAATGCTAGCATCTAGAAAAATATATAAGCTCAATATTACTTTTTGAGAATGTTTCACCATTAGTAAACAAACAAAATAATAGGTAATGTGCTATCACTTATAAATTTAGCTTTGAAACACAACAATTAAACAGAGAGTATTCATTTTTATAAATAAATTATTATACTTACTACATTTTTAGAGACAAATGTCAATTATTTCAAAAAATTAATCTTCTTATTTGTAGTATTTATGTTTGCATCCAAGTTACTAATATCATTTTATTTTATCTGAAACTAGGTATTATCTCACTTAAAAAAGTTCTTTTACAGATACTTAAGTGTTTACAACGATATATATTCATGTTTCTAGTTTACAAAATGAAAGAATGTAAATAGAATTTATAAGAATTAAGAGCTATACTAAATGCAATAATTTAATTATTTTGTATTACATTGAAATTGATTAATCTGAATTAAGGTAAGGGAATCAATTTCTCTCTAGTTCATCTTAAATAATTCAAAATCATACAATAAGACATAGAAGAATCGAATTAATATTTGACTCAAAGAGTGATTACATTAATTAGATATCTTTTATTAACAAGAGTCGAAGTATATTTTTTGAAATATTTAAAAATCTATTAAATGTCTAAAATATGAGATTCTCTTTTCTTACTTTTTTGTTCTACAAATTAAATGCATATTCAGAAGGTTGGTACATTAGCCTTAAAAGCACAGAAAAAACACAAAAATATGTTTTTTTTTAAATGCTAAGCCAGGGAATTAAATAATTTTATTTGAACATTCATTAATTTTATTAAGGAGCATATATATTTCTACATACATGCAAATATATATATATACCTTCATTTTAATAGTTAGTTAGTTAGTAAGTTATCTTTATAACCTAACTAAAATCTGTAATAATATGCTAAAAAATATAAATTTGTGATTCATTCCCTAATCGACTATGTAGCACTGGTTGAAACAGTTAAATCAGCACCAGTTCTGCTAGTCCAAATAATGATTTTGATAGTTTAATTTTTAGTTATTTCATTTTTCATTTTTGTAAGTCAAGGATAAGATAAGTAATTACTAGTTAAATATTGAAATTACCTGAGTAAAATAATAATAAAATCATTGAAATAAAAAGGAGTAATAAGACTCTTTGCCGCTTAAATTGTTAAAGACAGCTCCTTAAAAAAATACTGGAGTAATTGAATAAAGAAAATAATTTAAATTTAACCAAATAAAATTAATTAACTCAATAAACAAAAAAAAAAAACAAATATTAATTAATGATTTCAACTTAATCACTATCTCCCATACCCACTTAATATAATCTCTTGGATATGTTTTTGGAAATTGTTAACAGCAGCTAAGACTCTCTTTCCATGAGCTAAGAATCAGAAGATTACCCTTAAAACGAAATAAAGATTGAGGCTGTAGAAAACTATTCTAAAGTTAAAAAATCTAATATAATAAAGAATATACTAAAATCCTTTCAAAGATATATAGAAAATACTAGTTCTATTGAGCAAGAAGAGTTGTGCTTGGCTTTTAAAAAAAGATATGACTTCTCCCAACTCAAGAAACTTGTTACAAGAAACTTTAAAACCTTTGGAAAGAGATGGAATATGAAATTGAAACACTTAATTGACTAATGCTCGTACAAAGAGCTCTTTTAGTATTACTTGGAGTATAAGTCTTGTGAGTGGCTGAATTCAAGCAAAGTCTAAAATAAAGAAGACCATAAAGTAGTTATTAATTTTATCGTTCAAGCTCTTAAAAATCCAGAATACAGAAATGAAATCAAGTTCTACAAAAAAATAAAATCAATTACTTCAGATTTATGATTTTTATCATTAAAATAAAAGTAAGAATATTAAATAAAACAAAATAATATTTTAAAAAGACTCATTTACTAATCAAATCAAATCAAATAAAATACACTCTCTAATCTTAGATTAAATTTTGAAATAATCAAACAAACAAACAAACAATCAAAGAAAGAAATATTTATTACTCATTATATTCAATAAATTACTTGAATTTTCTATCTATAAAAATAAAAAAATGCAAATAAAATATAAATTATATATAAATATATACAATAAACAGTATGAATGTATTATATAGAATCAATACTATTGCTTAAGTTATTTATTAAATTCACAAAAATTTAAATCTATCATACTATTTCATATGGTTTTTCAATTAATTATTATTTCATTTAAATTTGTTTGTTTGTAAGTAAATTCATTCAGAAATTAAGAATCGATCAGTAGTTAATTGATTTTAACTACCTTGAAATTTGTATATTATTTTAATTGGTTCTGAATAATTCTGCTCTCAAACTCTAATAAAATTTGTTAATTAAAAATAATAGAAAATATATATTTATTTATTAGTAAGTAATCTATTTAATAAAATTTATCACAGTAACTTGCAGGGCAGGCGGGCCTCATTCATAGCTAAACAAATAACTCATTAAATTGTTACTTACCATATTGTAAATTATAATAGCTTTATACACAAATAATTTAATAATACATATGGCAACTTCATTATTAACTTATTACCAACCAAATCCCTAAGCCATATTTTATACTAAGGAAAAATATATTGGATATTATTTATAATTTACCTGCTGAATCCCATTAAATTATTTTGCTCTGCATTCTATAGTGTAAAATAAATAGATATTTATGGAATAATAAATTGTCTTTATGAATTAAATTATCATGATTCAAATTAGTAAAGGCAATAAAAATACTAAATTTTTTAGGATAAAGATTCTACTCTATTTAATTTTTTTAATTAAAATAACTTACATTTAAAATAATGTAAACAAAATTATTATTTAATCTATACTTGCTTTCTTGCTTGCTTCCCTGATTTATTGATTGATTAATTGTTTATAAAGCTTGAATTGTATTTTACTATATTTCGAATATCAACTAGAAAAAACAAGTAATATATTTTTAAATCATAGAAAGATTAAAGCTAGTAAAACAGTTGAAACAAAAACTTTATTTTAAACATTACAAAAAATTTTCCTTTGTTTTTTATATAAAATTTTGTTTAAAGAACTTTAGCTTAGGCAAATATTTTTAAATTGTAGTAATGTCCAAAAAAGCTGTCCTTTGAAATAAAGTATTAATAAAAAAGTAATATATTGCTCTTTGGTTTTGAAATTGAAGCTCGAAGAAGAATTATGTGTTCTTATATTTATTAATTGATATTGGAACGGATTTTAGAATTTAAATTTGATTACAAAAATCAACTTGGATATGTTTACATTTTATTTAATAAAATTTATAAGTTTTTTGATAATAAAATTTGAAAAATTTGTTGTTTGCTTGCTAAAAAATACTTCTAAATTATATTTTCGTTTATAATCTTTTAATCAAAAGCAAAATATTTCTATATGTATCATTAATTAATTTATTTAATCGTCTTTATGAATAAAAAGCATTGATTTTATTTATAAGTGCAAACTTTTAGTTTTATAAAATATTTAAGCGAATAATTCAGAAAGTAAAAAAAAGAATAAACATTTTATTGTTAAATTTTATTTTGTTTAATAAAAAAATGTATTTGTTTCATTCAATTTTTTATTTTAAAATTCTTTACCTCAATTATGTTATGATTTTAAATTCTTGTTTGTAAAGTACTAAATTTTTAAAAAGTTTTCAAATTTTTATAGAAATTTGCAAATAATATTCAGTTAATAAAAAATAAAGGGGGTAAAAATTGATTGTTGTTGTTGTTGTTGACACATACATATTTCTCGAACAGAAATAAATTAATTAATTAATCAATTTATCTACTCTTTATTAACTAAAGATTTAAAAAAATTAATTAATATCCCCATTTTTAAATTTAAATTTAAACTTAGAAGTAATAATGCTTTAAAGAATTTATTAAAAACTGCAACTTGCTTTCATACTTAGAAAATAATTTTTAAAAATAAAAAATTTTTCAACTTGTATGAATAATAGTAGTAAAATAAATGATTAAGGATATACTTTAATTTAATTTTATGCTTTTTAATTAAAATAATAAGTTAAAAGATTATCTATATATGTATTTATTTATGATGTTATTTTTTAGAATATAATTTAGAAGATTGACAAATATCTTTCTTTACTAGATGTTTTTTTGATTCTAGCTTGTTAAGAATATGTTTCTATAAATAAATTTAAGCTTATAAAATAAGTTCTAGCTTGCTTCTTTACTTATTTATAAAACAAAACTAACACAATTATACTTTAAAAGTAAGACATTTTATTTTAAAAATAAGAAAAATATTTTATGATAATTAATCTTTAATTTACAGAAATAAATATCTTTTAATAAAATTTATTTATCTGAATATTAAGAGTAAAAAAATAAATAAATGCTAATGATATATAATTAATCTTAAAACTGTTGAAAATGTTTTCAAGTATGTCTTTTATTAGTTAAAAAATAAAATATTAATGCTAAAATCATGTAATTATACAAAATGAATCATGGAGTATGCACTATTAATTGACTATACGAATATCATTGTAAGATATTGTACTTTTTGTAATTTATTGTAAAATTAATTACTCTATTATTTATAATTTAATTACTTACTTTTTTCTTGAAATATGTAACTAAATATTAGAAATTTTTAATGTTTTTCATTTTCAAAATTTATATGGATTAAATGATTAAGATAACTAATTGTTAGAGTAGCTTAGGCAATAAATTTTAATTGATTAATTCTTACTTTCATGCTTATAAAAGTGAAAGTTTTTATCAATTTATTTAATCAAATTATATTTTATTTTAGTTTACTTTGTAAATTTAAAATCTGGGGTTTTATAGCCTCAACTAATCAATATAAAACAATAGTTAAAAGTGCTTTTTGAAAAAAGTTTAAAATACATTACTAGCTATCTGTTTGGATCTATAAATATTTTCCCAATTTTCTCCTCTAAATAGGTTAGTGATAAAAAATTTTGATATATTTTATGATTAGCAAATCCTTTACTTAAGAATTAAAAAAATTTTTAATTTTTGGAATTGGAAATAATATCTTAGTCTATAAAAATAAGTTAAAACTCTTTTTTTAAATAATACTTAAGAATTTTAATTAAAATAATCTAATAGCAGCACAATATAGAATTTTTTATTTTCTATATCTTAAAATAGAACATGATTAATTTAATATCAGTTTGTAATTTGGAATTCTTCTAAGTTAAGCAATTAAAGAATTTTATAAAAAGGAATAAGTAAGTAAGAAAGTATTCTGTTTGTAGTTTACTTGTATCTAAAAAATGCTTAACATTAATATTAGATTATTAAATACTCTTTATGTATAAATTAAGCTATTTGCTATTTGCTTTTTTAATATTTTTAACAAATTATACAATCAATATTTTCTTAAAATGTAACATTTTGAAACATCTTAAATTAGCTATATAGTACTACCTGCCCAGTTTGGGTAAATTTTTCTAGTTATCACCTCTCTATGTTGAGCTAAATTTTTTAGTTCAAAATATTCATTTTTGTTTTAATTTGAATATTTGTATCATTGAAAAACCTATCTCTTTTGAGGAAAAAATGTTTATACTAAATCTGCTAAAAAAATAAACACATGTGGCATTGTATTTTATCAAATATAAATATTTGATTATAATATTCGTAGCTGTCTGTGACTATACCCAAATTTTTGAATAATTTCTTTCTAAGCTATTAGAATTTTAATTTAAAGTATATTTTTTGAAGTTAATAATGATAATTTAAAAAAACATATTTCATGTTAAATAACTTAAAACATAAATATTTATAAATAACAAAAATAATTTATTTATATTAAGATGCTAAATGACATATTAAGTACAAATAGCTTTAAAAAATATCATTTAAAACTATAAATTTATAATTAATGTAAGCAATTTATATTGGAAATTAAAATCTATATTTAATTTTGATGGTTAATTAATTAAGGAAATAAATAGTAGATTAAAATTTATCAAAGGTTTAAAAATGTTTTTTTTAATTGATAATATTAATTTTTTAGGAAATTAGCTATAATACATATATATAATACATGATATATATAACTTTAAATAAGCATTTAAAACTGCTCTAGATATTTAGTAAAAAGCTTGCAGTTTTTAGTTAATAAAAAGTTAATACAAAAAATTATTATGAATAAATGTAGATGAATTATTAAACAAAACAAATGGAAAATATAATTTTTTAAATATCTTTAAAAAATGTTTATTTATAATTTATATAAATGTTTTATTCTGGCTGGAAGTAAATATATATTTTAAGTAAATTATTTTATAATTTTTTAAGGGATAAATGAATTATTAATAACTTCAAATGATAGTAAATATGTAATATTAATAAAAAACATATTTTATGTAAAAGCTTTAAAACATAAATATTTATAACTAACAAAAATAATTTATTTATTTATATTAAGATGCTTATGGCATATTAAGTACAAATAGATATAAATAATCTTAAAACTATAAATTTATTAGTAAATAATTAAGGAAATAAATAGAGATTAAAATTTATCAGGTTTAAAAAAGAATATATTTTTAATTGATTATATTAATTTTTTAGGAAATTAGCTATAATACATAAATATAATTCATGATGTATATAACTTTAAATAAGCATTTATAAATACTCTTGATATTTAGTAAAAAGCTTGCAGTTTTTAGTTAATAAAAAGTTAATACAAAAATTATTAAGAAAAAAAATAGATGAATTTATAAAAAAAAATAAATGGAAAATCTAATTTAAATATCTTTAAAAAATGTTTATTTATAATTAATATAAATTTTTTATATTGGCTGGAAGTAAATATTTATTTTATGTAATTTATTTTAAATCAACAAATTTAGATAATTTCATATTTTATTAATCGAAATAATTTATACATGAATAAATATCGATCTTTAAAATTAATTATTTACATGAAAAAAATACCATATTTTGTTTGTGAAATTGATTTGATTAATAACTATCTATTTATTTATTTATTTATTTATTTATTTATTTATTTATTTATTTATTTATTTGTAGTATCCGAAGAGTTAGATGAAATATTGTTAGCAAATTCTTTTTTTTATATTTTTATGTAAATTGCAGGTGTGCATCCTCAATCAAATTAAACATTTTCAATTTGAGTAAGGCGAACTTTATGGCAAAAAAGTTTACTGTCCTTATTTTCTATGTTTTCAATTTTGAAAATGCATCCAGGTGGTAAAAGGTATTCATCTTCCGTTTTATATTTGCTTTGTTAAAATATGGCTTTTGGCCTCTTATCAAAGTTAGCAGAGTTACAAGAAAATTCAAACTCAAAAAGAACTGGTTCTGTTTATTCATTTTAAGCAAAGAAATCACTTTTTTTTATAAAATCATATGCGACTTCCTTTGTTGATGAGAAAGAACTGAAAGATACCAGGCAAATTTCTGTCCCAGTTTCAATAATTTTTTAGTAATATTCTTATGATAAAGTAATTCCTCTATATAATCTCAAAGGTGAAGTATTACCTTATTTAATGGCTGTTTCAGACAAATCATCATGCTTGTACAGAGCTACTCTAACCATTAAAACTAAATTCCATACTAGATTTATTATATCTTAATTCAAAGTATAGAGACATCCATTAACAAATCTATGCAAGTAACAATTTTCCATTGTATAAAGCTTTAATATTCTTTTACAAAGATTTTATTCATCTTTTCTAGCTTCTAAAAATTGTATCTCAATATCCTTAGATAATCTTTTATGTGAATTAGGAATTAAAATTAATGAGTCAACTTTCAGATTTCTGTTCTCCATAATAATTACAGCTTATTTCAGATTTTCTTCCAAGTTAATTTTACTAGGCTAAAAATCAAATAAATTATACTAAGAAAAATCATCTGTGTGCAGTTATAAATATTTTTATTTCAATTCTTTACACTGAAAGAATAAATTGATATCTTTTATAGGAATCACTCTTCTGAATTCCTGAGGAGTTATAAACAGAGAAATCTCATTTGAAATTTCCTAATATGAAATTACTTTACATTCTATATCAATTTTTTTAGTGTATTCTTTTAACTTTAAAGAGGATTCCTCGTCTTAAACTTGAAAATTAATTTTCTATAATTTAATATTTTGATTTTCATTTTTAATCTTCTTTATTTGATTGATTAGCATTTCTAAGCTTTAAAAACTTTAGTTTTTGCAAGAAATAATTAAATAAATAGGATTTTTTATGAATCCATGTATATTTATTTCATCTAAAAATTAATCTTCTTCAAAATAAGGCTTAAAAAAAGCTATTTTTTCATATTCTTTTTATAAATCTTTTATCAGCTTATTCATGTTGTTTAATTCCTCCTCGCTAGGTTAAATAAAATACCAGAATATATGTATTTAATTTTCTTTAATAATTCCATTCCACATTTAACTTATATATTAAGCCGCTCTCTTCTTTTGTTTGTTATTATCATCTAGTAAATAATTCTATTATTAAATAGAACTAAGGCAGACACCAATCTCATCATATAATTATTAAAACTTTAAATAAACTTATGGATTATTTTATTTTAAGTGTTCCATTTGACTTTTTTCAACTAATTTATGTATGTTTTCTTCTTCTTTTCGGTATTCTCTATTTTAATTATCACTATTTTCATTTTCCGAATGATAAATACTCTGTTCATATTTCAAATTATAAATACTGTTTTCATTTTTCGAATGCGAAATATTATTTTGCAAATGAAAACGATTTTTTTGAAATTATTCTGATTTATCGTCTCCCCATCTGTTTTCTGCTTCACCATCTTAATCTTGCTCATTTTTATCTGAAGAGGTTTAAAAATATAAAGCTAATTCTCTTTCTGCATTATCTTTATTACTATTTTAAAGTGATTTCATTTTTACTTTTTAAATTGTATCAAAATAGAAAGTTTTTTTATTAAATTAATACTTTTAATTAAAAAAATTGAAAAATTGTTTGCAAAAAATTAAAAAAACTAATCAATTTCTTTATATCAGAAATTACATAATTAATTAAAGAAAGATCCTAAATATCAAAAATCAATTGATGATATAAATTTGTTTAAAAATTTTTTTTAATTTTATTTATTTCAAATTATTATTAGGTAATATTTCTAAATTATAAAATATTTAAATAATTATTTTAAATCATAATAGAATCTTAAAGTTGAATGAATATATCTTTATATTTCATTATCATGTTTGCTTGTATTAAGCTTGAATATTTTCCTCATCAAACTTTAAAAGAGCTTATCAAGTGTTGTTAGTATATTACAAAATTAGAAAGTTATATCGCTTATATAGTTCAATCACAGATAAAAACAAAATGCTAAAAACTTTTCAATTTAATAAATAATTTAAAAATACATTTTAGTAATAAAAATTAAACGTTATTCAAAAAAAAAAAGACTAGATTTTGTAAATAAAATTTGCTGCTTTTATCAAATAAATTAAAAGATTTTTATTTATTTATTGTTGTATGTTTGCATTTTATTTTAATTAGGAAACAATCACTTAAAGTTGATTTAAAGATATAATATTAATTTACAATTCACTTAAAGTTAAATTTGTTTAAATAAAAAATAAATAATGCATAGAAAGTATCTTAGAACTTTGTGGGATATGACAGCTTTCCACAAGGAGTACAACAAAGAATGGTTATCTGTTATTAACAAGTTGAAAAAGAAAGGTTATCAAGGTTTAGAAATTGCTGTCTAGTTTTCTTCAGAAAGCTAGTTAGATGCCTTCAAAGTTATTAAAGATAAAAAAGAATTGAGTTATGTTGCATAAATTCACACTTGCGGCTATCCAATTATTTCAAGCGATGTAAATGCACACTTGGATTCTCTTAAAAAAGGTATTGAAACTGCTCTTAAAATTAATCCAGATGCTATCAACATCCATTCTGGTCGTGATTGTTGGACTTAAGACTAAACTTTAGAGTTTTTTAACAAAGCTTAGGAAATTTAATAACATGTGAATGTCCCTATTTAGCATGAAACCCATAGATAAAGAGCCCTCTTTAATCCTTATATTACTAAAGTAATGCTAAAAAATAAATAAATCTAATTAACCTCTATATTCATTTTTTGCTTTAAATAATTTTAATTATAAAAAATAATACTATTTCTTTTATTAACCGCTTTATTTAAATCAACCATTTTTAGTTAGTTATTGAAAATTGTCCTGCAATTTATTTAAATGCAGATTTATCACATTGGGTTTTGGTTGGTGAAAGGTTCTATGATCAACAACACGATAAAGAGTTCTTTGATGCATTTAATATAATAAAAGGAAATACAAGATAAATCCATGCAAGAATAGGTATTAAAAATTTATTTTAAATTGAAATTAGAAAAAACTTTTAAAACATAAAAAAAGGTTCTCCTAATCAAATATAAGTAATACATCCAGAATTTGAAGTAGAGTCCTTAAAATGGTATGATTAATAATGGAAAGATATAGCACAAACTTAAGAAAAGAAAGGGACACACAAATTCTATTACACTTGCGAATTTGGTCCTCAGCCTTATTCTATTTTCAACCCAAAAACTAAAAAATAGTTAAATAATACAGCAAAAAATAACGATTTTATGCTTTAGCACCTTCTCAATAATCACAAATGAATAAAAATAAATTTATAGCAAAATATTTTTATGTAAAAAAAATAAATAAATTGAATAAAATTCATTAAAATAATTTTAAATTACAATCAAATTTATGAAAAATCTTTACATTTTAATTTATTCTTTCAATGATAGATTTTTATTCAAACTTAAATAGAAAACATTTGTTAAATATTTTAGCATTATTTGATCATTCAAAACAAATCAAATCAAATCAAATTAGATTATTTCTGTTTAATTAAAAAAATTTATTTAATAAATTAATTTTAATCAAAATTATAAACCTTTTTTTAATTAGCATCCAATGAATTTTTTGGAAGGATTTTAGGATAATTATGTAGAAATTAATACCAAATATGGATCAGATATATCTAATTATTATGAAGATATTACTCATTCATTAGTTATGATATTTTTATTTGTTTGAATATTTCACTTTTGTAATAAAAGAAATATTGATAGTAATAAATAATCAAAGCTTTATTAGAAATATATATTGGCATATTTATTTAGAAAAATACTAAGTAAGTTGAAGTAAATATACAAAGATACTTTTTAAGATAAGCAAACAAAGTTATAACACTAGGAAACAACAAAAAATGACAAATACTTTAATTTTTGAATAGCTCAAGTAGCATGAAAACTGTATTAAATTTAATGGATTAATAAATTGCATAATATTTTCATAGTTCCTCACTTTTGAAAATTGATATTAATCATAATTAATCTTAATATAAATAGGGTCTTCAATATTAGATATTTGTTTACAAGTCATCTTAAAGGAGAAAAATAACCAAACAGATTTCTCATAAGTTAAAACTAACTTGTAAAGATAAGACAAAGTCCTTGCCACAAAGCTTATAAAATGTTTAAAAGAATTAGCTGTTTGCAGTAAATCAGCACTCAAAGAAAATTTAGAAAATATTGGGTCAATAAGCGCTGACATAAAAAATTACCTATACGAGCATATCCTTTCAAATATATATATGTCAAGACAATTAAATAACTACTAATTGATTAAATATCATTTTGACCCAAAGAAATCCCTTGCATCTGATAGTTAGGTCGTTGAAACAAGAAAATCTAATTGTCATGATATTAATTCATTTATTTTTGATCTTGCAAAAATAGAGTGGAAAGTAGAGGTCACTTTATCTTCAATCAAGATGAAAAAAGTAATTTGAATCGAATAAATCTATTTTAATATTTATTTTCTTTTAGAAATTTGTATAACAATTTTTTAAAAATCTAAAAATAGATATTAAGACCTGCTGTTCTGCTTACTTTTCATACTAAATAAGGAACTACAAAGACTTTTTACTTAGATATATATTAGTTTTAAGAGCTAAGAAAAAACCTTGCTTTAGTTATGCGTTAAATACATCAAATTGAATTAAAGTGATTACATTTAAAATAGATTTTAAATATTTTTTTTGTAAAATGTATAAAATAATAAATTTAGTTTTATTAATTCTATTTTTCTAAATTTTTATCATTCATAGTAATAATAAAACTTAGTAAATGTAAATAAAACAGCTTTAAAAATAATTGTTTAATCATGATTAATTATTTGTGAATATTATTTTAATTTAAATTATTTTTGATTTTTACCAACTTAACTCCAGATAAACATAATCCTGATCTGCTGATTTAGAAAAAATATATATGGGATTTAAGCTTATTTTTATATCATTTTTTATATTTAATAATCAACAAATTATGACTAAGCTACTAATCATTTATTCGTTTATCTGAGAACTAGCTAAATTTAAAACATTAATTTTGTTTGATTATTACTGATAGAATTAAGAAATATAAAATTTATCTTTCTTATAATTATATTTTTGAATAAAATATGGACTTAAAATAATAAGTATCTTGTCAACTTTTAAAAATCATTCATAGATTTAAAGAAATTATTTTCTTTTTTGCATGATTTTTTATCATTTTAAAAAAATAAGATTTAGAGAAATTTCATTTTATCATTTTTAAAAGATTTATTTAAAAATTAAACAAATAAAAATAAAACTTAATTTTGAAATGAAAATAAAAAAATACTTTTTGAGAAACTTTGAATTGAATAGAATAAAATGATTTAAAGTGGTTTTAAAAAATGATGATGAGAAAGATGTATTAAACATAAATAAAATATGTAAAAATAGTAAAATAAAATAAATATAAATATATGTTTTTTTGTTTATTTTTGAAAGATTATTAAAGAAATAAATATATTATAAATATTTAATTAGAGAAATAAATTGAGGAATTTAACTTTTTGATTTATTTATTTATTGATTATTGGTATGTATTTTGAGAGATGAGTATTATTTTATTTTTACTTAAATCATCATTCTTGCTTGATGTTTATTTTAATGTAAAGGTAAATACTAATTTATTTTGATTTGGCTACTAATTTTGATTGTTTTATGGGAATTTTTTTTGGCTACTTACTCACTAAGGATTTTTTGAATAAATGTATTCTGCATTTTTAATTATTTCGTTTACATTTATTATATTCTCTATTCTGTATATGGAGGTTGAGTTTTGTGTTATCAAACCCTTGTTCAGTTTTAGGTATAACTCGTTTTGCTTGCTGTTAGGATCCTCATAGATGGTCACATGTTTTAGGATCAATGGGGCAACTACTTCTTCAAAAATATGAGAAATTAAAAATTAGCTCAAGGGGAGACCCTCTAAATACATGTGATGAGAATTTTTTATTAAAATTTTATTTTCAAAGAACCAAAAGTTATCTTCTGCAGAGAGGAAAAAGCCGTTTTCTTTGCCAGTACTTAAGTTGTAGATGGATACTCTTATACCAAAGAATTTATTATTGGCTCCGATTGCTTCTAGAGTGATTGGATACATGTATTCTTATTTTTGAGTGTTGGCAGGGGAATATTTGTACAAAAGACGAGTATATGCACCAGAGAGATGAAGGTTTTTAACAATAGGGTTCTCAGATTATCTTGTGCTCTTCGCATTCATAAGTGATTCATCCATTTTTTCATGCACGTTTAATGTAAAGTATTCAGGTAGATGACTAAGAATGCATACCTTTTCTGATAAATGGAGATTTTAGTATCTTACATTGTACATAGCTTATACTTGATAGTATGAATAACTTGAAACGCCCTGTGCTTTTAATTTTTCACCTCCAGGTCCGAAGGTAATGTAAATATTTTTAAGAATTATTTTTATTTCTCCAAAATCAGAGGCTTTGTAAACTTGACCTGCTGCGGGCTTCAGCTGAGGAATAAAGTTAGGATTATCTATGCATAGATGAATTTAACGTTTTAAAGCTAGCGACCAAATTCTAACTCTGAGGAAATAAGGAGATGATAGTAAAGTATTCATGTCATTAATTTAATGGGTTATAAATAGCTCTTAGATTTAATCTATTATTTCATCTAGTTCTTTCACTAATAAAGCTTAATTTATTATTTTATAGGATTTTAATTTAGTATCAGAATTAGTTTTCGGTTCATGCTTTTTAACAGCTTCCATGTATAGGTTACGTTACTACATTTCCTTAATAAGCTCATGTCTCTAATTCTAAGACTCCTTTGTAAATCCTAAGATCTGTGTTATTTCTTCCTTTGGGAATTCATTTTCATTTATCCATTCCATCCATTTTTTTTAGCTACCAGAATCTAAATCTAAATCAATTTTTATGCAATCACCTTTAGATATGCGAGTCAATACGATACGGAAAATATTTCCTTCGATGTGATGGAAAAATGTTACCATTTTCTCTCCTAAAAATGTTTTTTCATGAATTTGGCTCAGCAATCCTGGTGCGTTAGACAGGAATTTAATTTCCTATAAAATATTATTAAAAAAAAATTATTAAAAAAAGATGACAACTTTTATTAAAATAAATGAATGCTTTTTCTGCTTGAAAGTTTGTTAAAATAATTAAAGAAATGATTTACATTTTGTTCTGGGTCGAAAGAAGTGAAGGGCAATATAAAGCATTTATTAAATAAATAAATATTTTGGCACATGTTCAATGATAAATTGATAGGAAGTATTGGGGAGTAATTCAAACTTTAGAGAAGTTATTTTAGTTAATCTTTGAAAATTTATTCAGTTGCAACAACTTGATTATTTTTATTTTCTGCTTTGATTTCTAACTAGCCTGATTTAAAAAGATTACAAGTAATAGTGTATGGGTTTACTCCATCTGGAAACACTTACTTTGAAAGACTAAAGGACTCAAAAGGACAGTCGTTTAGAATATTAAGAAGCTGCAGTATAGGGAGTTGAGGCTATATAGGCGATTGATTGCTATAAAAGGGCGATTTTGGTTAGCTTTCGTAAGCATCTTGCAGTTTTTTACTATCATTTACGTTTCCATTTCCCTTTTTGTTGTTATTGCCATTTCCACTGTTATTATCAGAATTATTTTAATTCTTATTGCTAATTTCTGAGTCTGTCCTCTCTTTTTCTAACTTTTACAATTGCTTCATTTAATTTTCTATAAGTTATTACTGCTATTGCTGCAATTAGGATGTGTTTTATTTTTACTATTCAATTAAACTATTGATGAGCTACTTCAACTGAGTTATTTCAACTGCACTACTCTACTTTTCTTTTTTAATTTATTCATTCTAATTGATAACTTCTATTATCATATTCTTAATATTATCATCTAAACTCTATTATTTTAAATAAATTTTACTTTTATTCAATAAAAAAACTAAAAATATTTACCGATAATTTGTCTGAAGGAACTTTTACATCATTATTTTGACCTTCCTTTGCTCCATCTTTCTCATGTTCTTTTTTTAGCAAGTACTCTGATTGAACACGCTTAGAATTAATCTTTTTAGAGAGATTGTCCTATTGATTATTTTGACCATTTTAGTTATTTTTGCTTTGAGTGTCTTCTTTAATTTATTTATTTTTAGAGTTTTCCTCGTTTCTTTATAGCTTTCTTTGAGTGGGACCTCCAAAATCTTCCTCTATTTCTTCGTCCACCTATTCTTGATCTTCAGATTCATAATATTCTCCAAATTAATCAATAGGATCCTAAAGAGATTCGCTAGTAGTTATTCTATTATGCTTTTTTATAGATGATGCTGGTCTACTTAAACTTTTCTTTGAACCATCGTTATTTTATCTGTATTGCTATTTGTCTCCTTACTAATTTGAGTGGTAATATTATCTATGCTATAAATGCGATTAACTTGAGTTGGTCATAGCACTCTAGTTCTATTAGTGATTATTTTAAGATTGACCTGTTGTCTTTTTTCTTGATGATTATCTGCCTTGTTGTTGCTACAGATGATGGCCAGAAATAAAGTACATATTTGTTCCATTTTGGGAAATATTATTTTGAAGAGAAGAGTTGCTTTAAGGACGCTTTTCAAAAATATTTTAATTTTTATCATCTCTTTTAGCATTCTGCAGGTCTATTTATGAAAACTAGTTAGTCTAAGAGTTAGCTTAGAAAATCTTCTTGGCTGCTAATTGCTATGAAGAAGCTTCTGTGGTTATTCGAGTAGAAGATTAATTCATACCTAGATAATAATTATTTTGTGAATTAAAATCCAAAATTGATTATTTCCAGAGACTTAGCTCTTTGTCAAAATAAGATCTTCTGAATTTAATGTATCTCCTATATTCTAAAATTTGATTGTAGTTTAATTCGTATTCACATTCTTTTAGGATCAAAAAAACGCATGGAAGCAGCTGCTAATTTGCAGATGGGTTGACTCCAAATAAGTTATTATTACTTGTTGTTGTCATATTATTTATTCCCATATTAGACTATCCCAATGTTTACGAGTCAAATAAATCTGCGTCATCTGCTTGCTGCAACGAATAAGGAGTAATTTACTAATGCTGCTAGTTTTGAGAAGAGCACAAAATACTTGAATCTAAAATTTTAGAAATAGCTTGAATTTTACGATTGAATGCGTGCTCTATTCCAAAGTATTTTCTTGTGATAGACATTGCATTTTTAATAAAAAAAGTATCTGCAGGAGTAATTAAAGGTAGTTTTAATTATTGTTTGGCTCTTTTAACTAATTCAGCATATACATATCCAAATACTAACACAGAGACATCAGATAAAAATTGTTAGTCTTCTTAAAGATATCTCATTTCTATATTTTTCATGTTAGGAAAGACCTTGACTTCTTGTAAACCAATGCTTTTTTGCAGTAAAACTTCAGCTTGGTTCCAATCTTCAAGTAGAATACAAGCTAGAGCTACATTATTGAGAATACTTGGTTAGATAATAAGATTCTTGATTTACTCATTTTTCTATGAATTTGAACTACTGAGTCGTGAATATTTTTCAATCAAATTAAATTGATCAAATGAAAGTGCATAATTATCTTTCTTCATATTAAAAACAGCTAAGTTATTTAGATATGTAACTTTCTAAGTAAAAACAATTTAGTTTGTTTGAGGATACTTAAATGCATATTATTGCTTATAATTTTCATTTTCTTCAATAATCTTTTCCATGCAAACTTGAAATGCTTCCATCATTTATGTGACATCATATTAATTCTTGCTAGATTTTTGATTGCCATAAGTATTCTCAAATCCGTTTGAGCTGTAATAATTCTTATGAAAAGAGTTAGTCTCCATAAAATTTAAGTTTCCTTGATAAAAAGTTGAAGCGTTTGTTCCTAAGTTAAATTAATGAGTAGACTAGCTGGGTGAAAACTAAGGAGTAGGAAAATTTTGCATGGTAAAACCGCCTTATGTGGAGTAAGTATTAGTTTGACCTTAAGACAAGTAACTATAAAAGCGTGATGCGTAAACAAATAACTTATTACGTTCTTAGAATACCTCAGAAAAACCACTTACCAGTTAGTTAATTACTATTGCGTTTTTTAAGTATTCCCAAAAAATCTTTAATGCTTCTTCAAATTGATTTTTCTACATTAAAAAATCTAATAGTTTCAGAATTTTAGTTACATTTTGTAATGGAGGAATAGGATTATTTGAAATAGAAAAACTTTAAGTGCTAACTTATTGTTAAGTTATTTGTGGTTTAGATGAATTAGCTCCTGAAGTTGGTTTAAAAATATCTTAGGTTTATGCTATTGTACTTTGAAAAGGTTGCTGATTTTATTAATATTGAGTCATTTAATAAGTAGAAATGTCAGACCCTTCTGTATTTAAATTTCCTTAGAGATTTTAATTATGAAGAGATTAATAGCTCGTGTATTTAGTGGGAGTAAAAGTATTTCCTTACTATGAAGGTTATCTCTAATGGAATTCCTAATAAACATTCTAATCATATTATTGATCTCCTTATTTTTGCTGTTGCTATTATTAAAACTACATCTGATCTATATACTGATAATTAGAATACGTTTCAGGATCTTGCTAAGTATTTTTAATAGATATATGAGTTGTTGCAGTATGAGGACGCATTTTTAAACCTTAATTAGCTTGGAAAGGACTGCTTTAAATAGCCACTCCATTACTAGATGGTAAATTTGTTTGCGTTTTAATATTTTTACTGCTGCCTGATTTTTGATGTTACAGAATAGTATGCTAATTATTAAGAATAATTGGCTGAGACTTTGGTGTGTTTACCTTCATAGGTGCTTAAGAAATCAACTACCTATGAGTCTAACTAGAATTTCTTGTTGAAGGTTACTAGGTGCTAAAATACTCTGGACGGTTGGTCCCATTATTTGAGTTGACCAAATTATTCTACTAAAACTACTACTATGATGCATTGAAATTTTTATTTACTAATTAGTAATTTTAAGTTGTCGATTTGAGCTACTGCTATCCTTGAGAAAACTATTAAAATTACTGAAATGGTTGTTACATTTCCTCTCTCGAAAGCAGCTAGTATGGCTATTGATTAAATTAAACTTGATAATGCTATTAGTCTGTTAATGGTTGTGCAAAGTTCCCTTTCTTTCGCGTTAAGTTCATCTAAATACCGCTAATTGGGTTTTTTGTAAATCAGATTAATTATCAATTAATTTTTAGTAAAAGACTATAATCTTTTTACTTTGTTTCATAATTTTCTCAAAAATTTATGATAAAGAGTATTATTGTTTTTATGTGATGAATATAATAATCACAAAGTTATTTTTCTTCTTTAATGTAAATCATAGAAGCCAAGCCAATATTTAATAATGATAATAATAAAGTTATCAAAGTATTGCGCAAACAAAAAGCTGCATGTCTATAATACTTATCTATTTATTTATTTATTTGACTGACTCTTTTTATTTTATCTTTAATCAGTAGTTAACCCAATATTTTTAATAAAAGTTTGAATAAACAAATTTGCATGCATTAATTTTGAAAAAATAAATTAAGATTCAATTTTATTTATTCCACAATAAAGTCTTTATTTATTTAATTACTTAATGAACTCTTTTTATATAGCATTTTTATTGCGCAAATAAATATTAACTATACTTAATTGCATCATTTGCATTTAGATTATAAATACATTAAATTTGAATAGAAAAAAAGAATAAAGATTATTAGCAGATTCCAAGGATTTAGAAGTAACTCTTTGGGAAATGAATGAAATTAATTCTAAGATTGATAGTAAATAATTCATTTCTTATCCTTAAGATAAATGAAAACTAACTAATAAGAATATAAGTTATATAATTATTTGGATTGTTATTAATTTTAAAGCTAGATCATCAAGTATTTTTTCATATATAGTTTTAGAGATAGATAAATAGAGAGAATCTGAATATTAATAAAGATTTAATAGTAGTAACAACTAGAAAAAATTTAAAAATAAAATACGCAAAAAAAATAAAATTGTTATGAATAATTTCAATAAATATTTAAAAATGAGCTTTTTCTACTTTAAATTAAAAATTCTAAAAAAAGTAAAATTATGATAACAAAAATAGTGAAATAAATTAACAAAAAAAAATCATAAGACAATTTCATATATTATATGATGAATGCTAATTTTGTAACTTAGATTTTGTTTTCTTATTTTGTTATTTTATAAGATATTATTTGTTTATTTTTAGGTTGTATAAATTTATTTTTAATATATTCAATTAAATATAAATTATTCATTTTAAATATTATTTAAATTATTATTTTTTTTTAAATTAAAATATTTTTTATCAATTTAATGTGATTGATTATTCTTCATTATTTTACTTCTTATATTGAAATTTAATTTTGAGACCTAAATAGTTCTAAGTACATTTCAATGATGAAGTACAAATTCAAAATACCTCCATAAACCTTTTTTTATTTATTAAATAATGATAAGGATAAAATAATTTTAGAGAAATTATTTAAGATACTGAATGGATCATAAGAGGTAGGTATTCAAACTTGTTTCTGTTTATAAATTTAATTTAGAATTAATATTAGTTCTATTCTAAAAACAAATGGTTACTCTGATTTCAAAAAAAGAATGTAATGAAGAACATTTCCATAGATTGCAATTATTGTCCCAGAGAATATAATAAACTTTGCAAAAAAATTCATTCCAAATTTTTTGTAATCATCTAAATTCTGAGCTTCTCTGTAGCAATCTCTTCTTAGGTAAGCCCAATATGCTAGATGATAAATGAATAGTCCAATGATTTTAAGTCCAGTTTCTTAATTTTTAATATATTTGCATTATTAAATAATCAAAATTATTTATTTTTATTACAAAGGAAATATTAAAAAAAAATATTTAAAATTATTTTCTTACCAGAATGCTCTGGAAGTAGTGGAAGTAAGCCTACGCCGCTTACGAATGAGAAAAGCAATACAAATCTATTAATTTTAATTAAGATAAATAAATATTTTATTTTTTATAAATAATAATAAATTATTTTAATTAACTTAATTATTTTATAAAACAATTAAATGATAAAATTTTCTAAAGAAATTATTTTCTTTTTTTTCAAAAGCTTTAATTTTAACTTCAATTTTTAACTGTAAAGGAAAGAAGGAAGGAATGTTGATAACTTTATATGATAATTTGAAATTAAATAGAAATTATTGACCTGCTTCTACTTTATTTTCCTATCGCCCATAACTGATAGATTCCTAGAGGGAGTAATATTGCTTTCTCATGGACATGATAGCCTAGCATGTAAAATATAAACATTTAGATGCTGCTATAAAGCAAGATGTTTTATGCTTTTGGGTTTCTGACTATCTTATACCAAAGAGGCTTGAGTATAATAAATTAAAATATTCTTTTATTTATTGATGTTAATGATTAAAAAAATATCTTTACTAATGATATAATAATTATAGCCATTATTGTGTATATTGGCTTTATCTCTGGTAGAATATCAAATTAAGTCACTTGAACGACGCCACTTGTCAAAGTACTCTTAGAACTTATGGGTATTTTAAGCAATTTTCTTGCTTTTAAAGAATGTTATTTTATTACAAAATAGCTTAATTTATAATATCTCACCTAATGTTGAAAGCACCTTATCAGCGAAGCAATAAAGAGCCCAAAAATTAGGTGCCCAGTAAGCATGAACTAGTCCTCTCTAGAAGGGAAACATTCTGCTTAAAATTTACTTGATTGCATCTAAACAATTTATAATTGACAAAAAATTAATTAAAGTAGCAACTAATTCTCTTTTTAAAATTTATTTAAAGAATTAGGATCTAATTTATAAAAATAAATATATATTTTGCTAGTAGCTAATTATGAAATTTAATTTTTACCCAAGCTTAAAAAGGGGAGAAACGAAATCAAGAATACTGTAACGACGCTCATCCCTAACTTAGAGAAATTTCTAATGTTTAATTTATTGCCATTATCAAAGCAATAAAACTTTAGTAAGAAGAAAAATATCGCAGGTGCCTAATTTTAATTAAGTTTTATTCAATTTTTTAATTAACTTTTCGTTTCTTTTTGTTACAGAATAGAGAAATATGTGTTTGAAACAAAGAACCAATGCAAAGAGAATTCCTCCGAATATGTTTCTTCCCTTTATTTTTGATGAAATTAGCTTAAATAAATTGAGTATAAGTGTTATTTTTGAATTTTAATAATAATAAAGTAAATTAAGCCTAACACTAATAAGATTAAATTTTATAAAGCCCCTTAATGTACTTTTCATTCGTTTTGAATTAGCTTATGTATTAAGAGCGGAATAAATGTCTTCAAATTGAGTAATACAGTTAGTAATTATTTTTAGTTAATTTACCTCGATAAATTTAGTTAAGGAAAGTATAAAAATACCCTATAAGAATTAATTGTATTGGAAATGGATATTATCAACAAGCAAGAAACCGAACTAAAGGAAAGTGAACAGGACTGCATAAGCATAATTTTACTTATTTTTACCAAAGCTGACTTTTATGAAGTTACAGATTGCATATAAAAATAGAAGATCGCTAATCATCACAGTCGCTCTTTAATATATTACAGTATTTTCACTTTTATATTCTTGATTGGTCTATTCAGTATTAAATTAAGATATTAATCAAATACATAGAAAAGATATTAAACTTCTAAGTACTTCTAGCATCTTCATATCAAAGAAACGAGCAGGAAATGTCAAAATGTATTCAAAATATGCAAACAGAGGAGGGTAGTCAAGAGTCCATATCGATACATCCTTTTAATTTTTATGTTATTTTGTAGAAAATAATCGATTTGTTGCATAATTTTGAAATTAATCTAATTACATCATAATACCACTCTCTTAAAGGCAAGTTATAGGTAATACGGAGCCAGTTTCGATGAACTTCAAAGTCAGTACTATGACTATAATTAAAAATGAAGTTAATTTAGAGTAGTTTTTATGCGTTGGAGTTTATCTATAAATAGGGTTTATGAATCTCGATAAGCGTTAAATTTATGTTGAGGGTTTAATTGTTTGTTTAAAAAAATCTAAAGGTCAAATTTTTACTAAGCAAATACCAACAAGAGCTTTATTAAAAAGCAAATAGCAACTAAATCAAACATCGATTTTTTTTTCCAAGACTTTACCTTTTTTCTACTAAATAAAAATTTGATAAAGAATTCTTTTTATTAAGAAAAAACTTAAAAAAAATAGGTGAAAAAAAAGAATAGATCGATCTTTCACATTAGCATCTTATCAAAAAATTATTGGGCAAAAATCTAGCATATTGAAGTTACTAATCACAAAATATTGGATTTATTTTGAATTAAAATAATATTAAAGATTAAAATTAGATTGAATTAAGAGACGCATAGTTCGATTGATCGATTGAAGTAAAAAATGATTGACACCATTAAAGAGAATTATTTAAAAAATTCTATAGAAATTTAAGAGGAACTTTCTACTAAAGCTCATTATGGAAAGAATTTGGAGGTAAATCAAGAAAAGATGGTTTAGGAAAGCTATTTACAGGCAAATGATTAGTCTATTACATAAGGTCATTTTTAATATGACAAATAAATAGAATTAGCAGTGCCTTTGTCAAAAAAAGAATTTGACATCTAAAAGATTAATACAGCTATACCTGATATATAGAATCATAAAATTTCTTAATAAAAAATTTAAAATTCCTCTATTCTTAACCCTAATTATTATAATTAATCTTCAATTAATCCTTCTAGAATACTGGGCTACCATAACAAAATTATACCAAATAAATAGTAATATAATAAAATCTATGAAAATCATTAACCTGAAGAACATCTCAAGCCAGAGGAAATTAATAATAGGTATTCTAGGTATTAATTTTAACCACCTCTATAGCAATTTCAGCTTGATCAATAATAAATTATTCCCGAGCTAAGCGAAGATAAAAGCGAAGTAAATGCTTAGATGATTTTTTTACCAAATTAAAATTTAAAGACTATGAAAATATCAAATGATATATCAAATTATAATTACACCCCACAATAATTAGAATATAAAGGATAAATTTCCAAAAATATTAATTAAAATATCTAAAATCCAAATTAATTAAATTAGAATTGCTTTAGTGGTAATAGAGAGAATTTTGTATAAAGACAATATTTCAATAGATATAATAACTAATATGAAAGAATAGGAGTTGATACATCGAATGATAGATATAATTAAAATTACATGCTCCATGCTTAAATGAATTAATAAAAAAATTTAATTCACCCAGGTCATGAGCCCGAAGAGGATGATAACCTTGAATAGAAATTAATTTTGACTAATCAGGAATTTGAAAATCTAAAAAATACATTATAACAAAAAAAAGTATTACTTGAAATGAAGTAAAAAATCAGATAAGAACTTGTTAGGCTTATCTAGAAAGAAAGTAACAATTTGTAAGATTAGAAAGAATTTTGTCAATAGCTATTGCAAGCCATATAAGATTGTTTAGACCTCGAGCAAAGAAAACGTGAAATCTAATCTTAGCTATTTGTCAATCTGGAAGAATAAGAGGATATTTAAAAAAAAATATAATAGCAAAAATAGAAGTCAGCAACATATAAAGCAAATAAATAAGGAGAAAACAAAACAAATTCTGCAGACCATAGTACCTAACTTTAGTTAAGTTCTTAAGCCAGTTTAATTAAGCCCCTTTAGGATGATAATATCAAGTTAGAATATGATGCATCAGAGAAATAGGACAAGAACATAGCCATTTCATTAGCTGAAAATGGTTAAACTAATTCTGATTAGAATTCTAGTTAATTTGTAAAATTAAGCGATAAATAATAAAATCAAAACTTTGACGATAATTAGTTAAAAAGTACAGAAATTATTAATTAAATTGGAGAAAGTCAAAGCAATCATGAATTATAATAAAATGGAATATTAATAAAAAAAGAAAGCGAGAATGCTGACCATCCAATTATCCTGAACAACCATTAGTATTAGTTTAATCAAGCTTAATATGAAAATGCATTGTAAAGAAAAATTAATTATTGCTAATAGTTTGAAAATAAATTACAATAGAATTATCTTGAAAAAATTATTAATCCTTGTTAAGCTTTTCCCCATTCAGCTTTATCTATTATTTGTCAAAAATAAAATTAGATTCATCCACCTCCTCCCCCTTATTAGTTTGAAACAAAAGAATATTTATATTCTAACTATTAGTCATAATAGATTCGAAATCACGAGTCTCTACTTTAGGGTTAGCAATAATTAAATTAGAATTTAGATCCTTTGCAAATTGTTATCAAAGAAGAGCATAATGCTGCATGTTTAAATCTAATAGGTAATAGAGGAGAAGGTTTTGGTTCAAAACAAGTTAGTAGCATGATTGAGGAAAACCAAAACAATTCAAATACTGCATATAATAAAAACGAATCTAGAATTTTAGATATATCATAGTAAAGCTTTTAGGTTGTAGAGAATCAAATCAAGATAGAATAAGCAAATAATGATTACAATTTAGATTAGCAAACCAGTGGTAAACAAACCTAACTCCAAAGAATCATTGATGCTTATAATAAAACATAAAAGTTTAAAGAAACTCATGGACATCTCAGTAAACTTAAAAAACAGATAGAGAAAAAGCCGAAAAAATATTCAGATACGAAAGATTTGATTAGATTCAGAAAAGGTTAAGAAAAAGATATTCAAATAGCAAGTTTCTAGAAATTATCTGAATCAGAACTTTAAAAGAAATTGCAATTTCATAACTAGCTTAAAATTTTTATGCTTTAGTCAAGCAAATATATAAAAGAGTAGATTTCATTGTAAATTAAAATCGTTGATAACGAAGCTAATAGGGTAATTAATGAGTAGCACATTAGGTATCTAGATGCTTTCAAGAATAGGTTTACGAAAAGTGATCTTTCTCACTTTTTGAAAGAAATTGATGAAATAAGCTTTGATGAAATAGATGAGAATATGAAAGAGCTTGATTCAAAGCTAAAGCTGATAAAGTAACGTAAAATAACTTACATCATCACCATCATTAAAAGCTTTACAAACTTAGAATAATTCAAATAAATTTTCCCTGAAGAAAATAGTCAAATATTTGAGTAAAATTCTACTTATTTGAGTTAGTACTTGCTCGATAATCCAATAAAAATTTAAGAAATCAACCAATACATTGGTAAAATTAATTATTTTAATAAAACGAATCGTATGTACCTCCAAAGGTATTGTCTCTTCCAGCTTGGCATAACTGCTTGCAAAAAGAAAGCAAGTAAGCTTGACCAACTCTACATTAAAAACTATGTACTTTAGATGTTATCAAACCCAAGTAATATTGAATGATTTTCAATTAAAAAAGAATAACTAATAAATAAATGAATCAATAAATCAATAAAAAAATAAATAAATCAATGAATAAATAAATGAATCAATAAAATTAGAATGGATAAAAAAATAATCAAAATGAGTTGTCCTCTTAAGCAATATTTAAATAAAACACAATAAAAAAGTTTCTAAAATATGTTTGAGAATGTTTGAAAACTAATTTTATTTAAATATCAATATATTCTTAATTGCTTGTAAGCTAACTTATTCTCTTTGTTATCTTTCTAATGAAAATTTTATTCATCCATCATTAAGAAAATACTACTAAAATTTGTAATTATTGTTTAAAAAATTGAAAAACTATAAAAAAAGTACCAAATAAAATTAATAAATAAATATTTTGAATTGTTTTTAATTAAGTTTAAAAGTGATAAATTGATAGTAAAAAAACAAAAAACAAAGAGATTACAGATAGAGAGAGAGAGAGAGTAAAAATTAATATATCCAATTTCAAAGATTTCAATAATATTTTTTATTTACTGATGTATCTCTAATATTTGTTATATTTAAACTTGTCCTCAAAGGACTTACATTAGTTTTTGCACATATAACCTGAAGGCGTTTACTATCAAATGAGTCTTTTTCATTTTTATTAGTGCATGATTCTACTTTTTAATTTTAAAAGCTAATTCTTTATTTATTTGCTAGGCTTTCTCTATCTTTCATGTCACTCTAATAATGTTAAAATAATATAATATATATTAAAAATTATATTTTTCTATTACTTATATTTGTATTTTGCTTATAGGACTTGCTGATTATTGACAATTCTTTCTTTTTGACATTTGATTATTGCTTTAATTTATGTTTTATTCATTTCTTTCATTTTATCTTTAATGAGGAGAATAAGGCTCTCTTTACACCTATTTTACTTTCTTGCTTATACTTTGATATGATCTTTTTGTTGGTAAAATTAAAATTCATTAGTTATAAATAAATAAATTTTGTTTGTAATACATATTTTCTTTTTAAGAAGCATAATGCTTAAAGATGTTGCAAGCTGATTTAAGGGAAGAAGATACATTATTACTGCTACTATTTTTATGGTATACTTCTAGCTCTTATTGGAGAGCATTTATTTAAACAGCTTTCTATTCTTCTAGCTATTTCAAACTAATTTCATATTCTTGTTAACTTTATGATAAATGCGATTCTAGCGAGTCACAATACTTTTATAGATCTTCTTTACCTTAATTTTTAATAAAAAATTATTAAATAAAGTACTACAATTTTTTGAGGAAAATTTTACAATTTCATCAAAATTAACTAAAAATAATAATTACTTACTTATATTTAAAAGACGGATTTGATTTTTTAGATTCTAAATTGTGTCTAATAAATCTTGCTATTTTGATATCAAATTTTCGTTTTCAGAGAGCAAGCTTTTGTAATCATTTTATATTTAAATTAATTTTAATTCCATCTTTTCTGATGATTATTTGGTTAATTAAGAGCACTTGCACTCTTATTTTGCTTAATAAATTGATTAATTTTGTTAATTAACCAAATTTTGAGTGCTGTTATCGAATAAACTTAAAGATTCTTACAATTAAAAGTGGTTTGCTTTTTTTGACTGTAAAATGCTATTATCACATAAATCACTTACTTCATTCTAGTTGTTCTTCAAATGAGTAATTTCAGAAAGCTATATTTACAGTTATTCTATTTTCAGTTAATATTCAAAATTGTTTTTTGTAATTTACTAAACTTTATTCGTTTGTTATGATAAATTTTATTTTAATGTATTTATTTCTTCTTATATTTTTTCATTTTTTTGAATCTCTTTTTAAAGATTTTCATATTAGCTTAGCTCGAGTTATTGCTTTTATTTTTTTAGCTCAATTATTTCTTCTTAAAGAAATGAATTTAATTTGTGATCCTTTTAAGATAACTCATGTTCAATTTTCATTTAGCTATTTGCCTTCGAAAGTAATTCAATTTATTATTTTAATTCATTTATTTATTTTTACTATTCTTATCTTAAATCTTCATATTAAATTAATTTTATTTCATTTTCTTTATTTTAAAGAAATGTTTAATTTATTTCTTCTTCTTTTGTTTAAGCTTTCAGTTAAAATTATTATAATTTCTACTCTAAAATTTATATTCTTTGATTAGCCTAGTTATTTTACTTACTTTATTCCTCTAACTTGTTTTAATCAATTTAATTTTCGTCCTAGCTTTTTTAAACCTTCTAATTTAAATCTTAAATATTTTATTATTAATTTAGTATAATCTCATTTAATTTCTCTATTTGTTATTTAAGCAGTATTTCATCAAATTAATTCTAACTTTATTCAATTAATTCTTTTTCTATTTTATTTTATTCTTGATAAAACTATTTTTTTTATTATTCAAATTATTATCTATCAGCTTGAAGGCTTTCAATCATTTATTCAATATGCTCTTTATCTTACTATATTTTATCTTTCTCATTTTTAATCTCAGTTTTTTCATTTTCTAATAATAATTTATCATTTTCAAGTAGCTTTTTTTCAGCTGCAATTTATAATTTCAAAAAATCTACAGATTAAAAATTTCCAGAACTAATAATCTTAGAAGAGCTATCATAAGCACAAATACTCTTAGAATTAACCATTTATAACTCTCTTTATAATTAGTCAATTTAATTATTTAAATTGTCTATCGCTTTGTCTTTTTCATTTATCAAAGACTGTGTTTCCTCCAATTGTAAATATTTATCTCTGTAATGTCTTTCATTTTCTTCTTTAAATATTTATTCTGATCTTTCTAAAGCAGTAGCTTTAACTTTGATTTCTTCAACTAATTTCACATTATCAGATTCTAATACCTTTAAAATAATTTAATAAAGAATAAAAATAAAATAAATAATATTTTACAGAAACACTTTATTCTAAAACAGATTTTATTTTTTCTAAATCTTAAATCTTTTGTTCCTATTATAGAAGAGATTCTTAAAGCTTTAAGTTACTATCTGTTAAAATTTTAACCTTCTAAGATAAATTATCAAGTTATTTAACAGCAATATCTTTTACAATACAATAAATAATTTCAATTAAAGGTTATTTTCATTAAAAAAAATAAATTATGTAATAAATTTTAACAATCAATAATGAAAATATTCAAGCTGATAATTAAAATTTAGCATATTTAATGAATTATCTTTATTTTATGATGATTAACAATTAATTTACTTAGCCTATCCTCCATAGAGTTTATTTTGACAAAATCCCTATTTAAAGTTATTTATTTTTTAATATACTTTATATAAATGTATTCTAAAAATATACTGGTTTTGTTATTGCTTGAGTAATATTTTATCTTCCCCTAAAGTTTCTTATGTGAGATTAAAAATTGAAGAACATCCCTTTATTATAAATATATCAATAATATTTAAAATCAAAATATTAACAAAAGATATTTTACAGATTTATTGCTATTTCTAGGTATTATTTGTGATATTTCATTATTATTAAAAATTGATCTTTATTCTGGATTATTAACACTAGCTCCTATTGATAATGCAATCAATGATTTTTTTTAGAAATAAATCTCATTTAAACAAAATTGTCTTTGAATTTTACCTTCTTAAAATGATAATTAATCATAGCGATGACTATCTATTACAACTTTTTAGTATTGATAGCTTTGAACCATTTTTTATCCCTTGACATCTTCTAATTATTCACAAAGATTAGCTTATGAATTTATTTTATTTAATATGCGTGAAGACTATGACCCGTTAATCACTTAGGATAATTCTAGGTTACATGGTCCTAAGTAGCTACTGTTTTCATTAAAATTATCAATCTAGCTTTTCACTTTAACTTCTTGTGAATTTTAAAATAGTTGCTTCTTTTTTTGACTTAATATTAAAGGCTTTTTAGGTTCTAAACTTGAATCCATATTATTATTAAATATTTCAAATTAGCTTATAAATCGTATAACACACTAATAATTAATTAATTAAATAATTAAATAATTTTGTTTATTTTAATTAGAATCAATAATTCATAAAATTTTTAACTGAAAAATGAATTTCGATGATACTAATATAAAAATCAACCAAATACTAAAAATCTTAAGTAATCTAAATATAGCAAATGTAAATTTACACAATAATAAAAAGGATTCTTACTTAAAACTTTCCTTTGTCAAAAGGAACTTTTTGTGTTAAGAAAACTTAGAAAAATCTAAAATATTTTGAATAATTGAAACAAAGATTTTATCAATAAGATCAAAATTAATTAATTAAGTTAATGAGAGTGTGACATGACTAAATAAATAATTTTTAGTATACATTCTTACATAAATAGGCTCATTCATTCATTAAAATTTTTAATAGTATTTATAATTATAATTAAACTTTTTATTTTATACATCATATTCATTTTTTAATTGATTCATTCATAACTTTCCAATGAATTTATTATTTTACCAAAAACCTACTTCTATTTCTCCATTTGATCTATAGAAAGTACCTTCACCATGAACTTTACCACCAGCAAAAGATCCTAAGAATTTTTCACCATTTGATAGGATGAGGGTTCCCAAACCATGTAATGAATGATTTTTGAATTCTCCTGAGTAACTGCTCCAATAGTTCCTCAAGTTTTCGAAGTTTCTAAAATCAAATTCTTTATTTAAAGGCTCGCAGAATTTATTTCTTAGTCTTCCTTATCCGTGATAAAGATCGAATTCCCAATCTCCATTATAAATTTCTCCATTTTAATCTCTCAATATGCCATATCCATGACGCTTTTTTAAAATAATAAAATAATTTATTTTATCTTAAATAAAACTTTCAAAAATTAAAATAAATAAAATTCTTTTTTTAAAGAGAAACTAAATTTTATCCTGTGAATTTAAAATGAATTAAAAAAATTTTTATTATTAAATTAAATTACCTTGTCACTCTTCCATTCTCCTTCATAGAGTTCTCCGTTAGGATAGTAGCATCTTCCTCTTCCGTGTCTTAGATTTCCTAAACGCTCACCTTCATATTTAGGCATAACTTAACTTTAAACTGTATTACCAGTAGTAGGTTAAGTATTCTACTTTTTGATTAAATTTTATTATTACTATTGCTAGAGAAGTTACTATTGTTGTTATTGCTATTATAATTAAGGATAATTATTTTAATTAGAAGACTTGCTGCGATTTTAGTTGTTGATGAGATCTTATTATTGTTGCAATTGTTGTTGTTATTATTAAATAGATTGCATTTACTATTGCTATTATAAGTATAAATTATTTTAACTCTAATCGATTGAGGAGGTTCTATTTCTCTATTGCTTTTTTATAAAGATAATATTATAAATTTTAGTTTCAAATTATATAAAAAAATAATACTTCAATAATAGGAGGACGTTTAGGCTATTGGGTTGTTGAATTGCTAATCGTTCTTATTTAAGAGAAGTTTTATACAGAGGATTATTATTAATGAACTGGCTATTATTATTATTATTATCCTTGTATTTATTATTACTGCAATTATTATTGCCCTGCTGGAAGTTAAAGGAATGGTGGACGGTTATCAAGCTTTTTGATGTACTGAGGTCCTTTAGGGGTTGAATGAGATGAACTTTGATTTACAAGGGAAGAGTTTCTTTGTTACTGAGCAGGAGGATAGTTGTTGCTACCAACCTAGCTGGCAGGGATACCATTTGAAGGTAAATTATTTAAATTGCTTGAGTTGTGCAAGTTAGTGAAACTATTATTGTTATTCATTTATTAAGAAGGAGAATATTAGTATTTAAGTGGTCTTTCAACGGAATTTGTTGCTTTCAAGTTATTTAAGATAGTTTCATTCTTACTAAGGAGATTCTTTGAACGTTCAATGCACTTCATATAAGCTTGATCCAAAATAACATTGCTATGATGGTTAAAAGCTGTACTAGAAACAGCTTGATGAGGCTATTGAGGAGAATTCTAGCTATATCTATTCATTAAAAATATTTATTATAAGCTATTTTTAAACATAATTTTAATATACCTAGACTTTTAGTCTTCTTATGAGTTTAATCTCATAGAAACAGGAGATGTGTAAGCAGGTTGTTAATTTGTTCCGCTAATCGAGCCTGGGGCAGCTGTAAGATCTTTTGATTATCTAACTCCGTATTATTAAGAAGTACCTGTAATTGTACCACTAGGCAAGAGTTATCTAGGTGGTAAATCTGAGACTCTCTTGTTAGGAGTTCCAAGCTGTTTAAAATTTAAATTAATTATAAATTTTTAATTATGTTAAATTGAAAATTGATATTGAATTTATTACTTTGTTATTTGCATCAAAAGAATTGTTAAAGGAACTGTTTTGGATATTCTTGTGGTCTTCTTTTAGTCTCTCGTATTTATTTTCCATATCTCTATTTTAAAGACGGAGCTCTTCTTGCAATTTCATTAATTTTTTAATTTCAGTTTTATGATCGAGCTCAATAGATTGGATTCTGTTATTGGCTTGGGCGAGCTAGTATTCGTAGTCTTCTCTCTATCTGATAAGCTTATCATTTAGTTCTTCGATTTCTATTTGCTATTTATCTAGAATATTTTCTAACTCTTTCTTTTGCATTTCAAATTCTCTTTGTAACTTTTCTAAGCTGCCACCATTTTCTTCTTATTCAAGGAGTCTTAATTCAAGTTCTTTCTTTTGATTCTATAAATCTTGCTATTTAAGCTCAAAATCTCTTAGCTTTTGTTAATATTATCTCTCAATTTTATCAAGCTAATCATATTTGCTTTCAAGTTCTTTATTCTTAGATAATATTTCTGCATTTCTTTGTTCTAACTGAAGAGTTTTTCTCTCTAATTCCATTCTTAAACTATTGTTCTCTTCTTGCTATCTTGAAGTATCAAACAAATCTTGATCCATTCTACCAATCATTTCTTATTGCTAATCGATGATTTTCTACAATTCAGAAATATGGAAATTGCTCTTTTATTCAGACTCTTCAAATTTTCCTATTATCTCATTATTTTAGTTTTGCAATTCCTTAAGTTTAGACTCTGTTTCATTGAGTTTATCTTGGTATTATCTCTCTACCTCTTGCATTTGTTGGAACATATCTTCTAATTCCTTTTCTTTTTAATTAATTTCATTGCTCTTTTCATCCAATTCATTTTACTATTTCTCAATCTCAGATCTTAAATTATTTATTTCGTCCTAAGATCCGTTGTTTTCGTATAAGCATTGCTCCATTTTATTTAAGTCTTCCTATTATTACTCTATGATTTTCTACAACTCTGTGATATATTAGTTATTCTTTTCTTCTTATTCCATTAATTTCAGATCAAATTCTTTCTTTTAGTTTTGTAAATCCTACAATTTAAGTTCTTAATCTCTAAGCTTTTATTGATTTTATTTTTCAATCTTATTTATCTACTCATGCAATTAATCCAACTCTTTATTTTTTTAAATGAGGTCACTGTTAAGTTGAATATTCTTTCTTTCCAATTCAAATCTTAAGTTATTGTTCTCTTCTTAATGTTTAGTGTTCTCAAATAAATCTTTTTGCATATTATTCAAATCCTCTTATTACTACTCAATAATATTCTTTAAATCGGCAATGTCTTAGCTATTTTTATTATCTAACTCTAACAATTACTAATCATACTCTTTTTTTAGTTTTTAGAGATCTTGTATTTTGATTTCTTGCTCTCTAAGCTTTTGTTGATACTATCTCTCGATTTTATCAATTTATTCATACATGCTATCTAGCTCTTTGTTCTTTATTAATATTTCACTGTTCCTTTCATCTAATTAAATAGAAACCTTTTCTAACTCAACTCTAAGATTACTAGTCTCTTCGTTTTGACTACCTTGATTGTATAATTCTTATTCCAAATTATTCAAGTCTTATTATTATTATTCAATAACTTTTTAAAGTTCTGAAACATCTTTATTATATTTATCTTCTAGCTCAATTAACTTTCCTTCTAAATGATTGTTATTATTTGCAAGTTCTTACTATTTAGATTCATATTCATTAAGCTTATGTTGATACTATATATCAATTTTATCAATTTAAGCATAAGCACTTTCCAAATCACTATCTTTTGCTTGAATTTCAATATTTTTAACATCTAAATCTTTGACCTTTCTGTCTAAATCATTTTTCAGCTTTGTCATATTTTACTCCATTAAGTTAATCTCTTGCTATTAAGTCTCAATAATATTCTGAAGCTCTTCAATATCTTTACTATATTTTTCTTACTCAATTTATATAGATTCTTATAAATCTTTGTATTTAGCCTCTAAATCCTGCAATTTAACTTCTGCGGACTTTAATTTTTGTTAATTTTGCTTTTCGCTATCATCAAATTACTAGTAAGCCTTTTCTAAATCTTTGTGTTAAGCCTATAATTAATGATTCATTTTTTCAATCTCTTGCTTAGCCTATTATAATTCATTAGTTAAAGCTTTGTTTTTATCTTCTTAGATTTTTGAGCTTCCTAACAAATTCTATTACAAGCCTTAAAGATCTTCTTATTATTAATCAATTATGTTTTACAATTAAGTTATTTCTTGGCTATATCTTTCCTCTTATTCCTATAGCATTTCTTCTAATTATTTTTTTTGATCTTGTAAGTCATTTTGCTTAACTTGTAATTAATTAATATTCATTTAATATTCTTTCTCAGTTAATTTAAGTTATTCATCTTTAAACTGTAATTCTTTATCCATTTCATTCAGTTATTCATTTGCATTATTCAATTCAGAAACTAAATTGTCTAATTTGATCTTTAAAATCTTTAAGTCTTCTTAAGATCTCAAACTGCTATCTTATTAATTTTATTATAATAAACTAATTTCTTCTTGTTTTTCATCAATTATCTTTTACAATTAGTCAACATGTTAGTTATTGCTATCTTCTTATTTTTAAATTTACAAATCAAATTCATGCTTTTGTTATTTTAAATCATTTTCAATTTTTTGTAACATATCTTCAAGATTCAACAACTCTTCTTGTTTAGAAACAATTTCTGCATTTTTTTAATCTAATTATTATTTGAGATGTTCCATTTATTCTTTTAAGTTTAAGTTTTCTTTCTATTAATTCTAACTTGATTCTTACAATTGTTATTAAATTTGAGTAAATTCTTCCTATTATTAATCCATTACCTTTTGTAATTCCTAAACATCTTAATTATATTTATCAACCAACTATTCAAGTTCTGTTTATATTTCTTTTCTCTAATTTTGCTCTTCTTGAATGACAAGATTGAGATCCTCTAATTTCTATAAATTTGATTTTTCAATCAATGAGATTTTTTCATACAAACTTTAAATTTCTTAATTTTTAGCTTGCACATCTTTATTTTTTTATTCTAGCAATATGTTGTTTTTTTCTAATTCATATTAAAGAGTGCTAGATTCTTCTTAAGATTTGTTAGACAAATCTTTCAACTAATCCTCTAACTTCTTTGCCATTTGCTTATATTGATTAACACTCTTTTATAATTCAAACATATCTTAAGATTACTTTTAGATAAATTCCTCTTTGTTATCTAGCTCTTCTTACTAATTATTATTAAATTATTTAAGTAAATAAATAAATATTTAATTCATTATTCTTATTAAGTTAAATTATCATTTGAAATATCTTTAAAAATATAAATGAATATTTAATTCTAAGTTAAAATTAATTACGTAAGAGGTTAAGTTTGACTTGATTTCTTTAAACGAATTAACAAGAACATTGTTTTGCTTTGTTAAATTTTGTATCTATTAAATAATAATATTTTAATTTTGAATATATTCAATAAGTAAATTTATATTAGTATTAAATAAATTTAGTAAAATTAAAGTTTACTTGAGTTTCGTAATCCTCACACTTATTGCTGAGCATGTTGATAGTATCCTTATAATCACCAACAATTGATTCAAAAGCAATACTTTCACTTTCCATTAATTTACTTTGACTTCTGCTCATTTTTTCAATATCATTTTCTTACTTTAGTCTTTTTATTTCTTCTTCCTTTTCATATTTTAAAGCTTCGATTTTGTCATTAAGTAATCGTTTATCTTCTATATATTTTTATAGATCTGCATCAGCCTAAACAAGCTAGGAATGCAATTTAGCAATAGTTTATTCCTAATGCTCTAGCTAATTCTTTCTAGCTGAATATTCCATTTCATATGATTTAATTTTATCTTCAAGTTTTTTGTTTTACCTAAAGATTTCTTCAAAATTTTTTTCATCTCTTTCAATCATTTAGTAATTTTATACAGCCTTTTCAAGGTCTATGATTTTCTTAGCAGATTCTTGGTTTTTCTAAGCACTTATCTAAAGTTATTGTTAAAGATCCTCAACCTCTTTTTTTAAACGTAATTCTAATTCCTCTTCATTTTCATCATTTCCTTCAGTAAAGTCTTCATTTCTACCTTCTTAAACAGTTCTTTCTTGTCTTTCTTCTTTCTTTGGTGTGGTTAATACGATTTCTTATTCTTCTGTAAAAGTTGCTTGGTTTCTAGACTAAGCTTCATTAATTAACTAATCAAGTTCTTATTCTTTTTCTATTTATTAAGCTAATTATTACTCAAGTTGATGCTTGATCTTAGATTATTCACTGAATAGTTATTCAAGCTCCTATTCTTTTTATTTTTATTCATTAACAATTTGCTCGAATTCATATTCTCTCTACTTCTATTACTCCATCAATTATTATAAGACCTACTCTTTCTCTGCTTACTAACTTATAAGCAAATCTAGCTCCTTTTATTTACCATCATTTTCTTTTAGCAATTACTCCAAAGCCTTTTCTTTTGCTTAATGTTCATCTAATTGTTGCTCTAAAAGTTTCAACTTTTCATTTTATTCATTAACTAATTTTTCTTCTAAATTTTTCAATTTTTCATTTTATTCATTAATTAATTGTTGCTCTAAAAGTTTCAATTTTTCATTTTATTCATTAATAAATTGTTGCTCTAAAAGTTTCAAATCTTCGCTTTATTGATTAATTGATTGTTGCTCTAAAAGTTTTAATTTTTGATTTTATTCATTAATTAAATTCTCTAAATATTTCTCCTTCTCTTTTTATTCTTCAAACAATGACTCTAATTCCCTTTCTTTATCCTAATATAAAATAAATATTTAAGTTTCATCAAATTTTTACAAAATATATTTAAATCTAATAAGTAAATTCAAACAAAAAAAAGTATTTACTAATAATTCTTATTCTCTGTCATTTACATAAATGTCTTTTTCTTTAAGGAATTCAATTTATTAAGCTAAAGTTTCTTCTCTTTCTTTAACATGCTGCTCTTTTTACTCTAACAACTCTAATTTATCTTAAATTTGTTCGTATTATTTGCGCTTTTAGCTTAACTCTTCTTATTACTATTATAACGTGTTTTATACTTCTTCGAGCTCCTTTTCTCTTTCTTCAAATTACATTGAAATTAAATTTAAATTTTCTGCCTTCAATTCTAATTCACTCTTTTATTTTTCAACCTCTTATTTTTATTTGTTGAAATCTTCTTTCTACTTTCTGAGATCTTCTTTTAACTGAATTAATTCTTCCTTTTCTTTTGTGATAATTTCTTTTTCTTTTTGAAATTCTTCCTTATCAATTTTATCTTCTTGATTGAACTCAGTGACCTCATCCTTTTAAGCTTCAGAATTCTACTTTTCTTCTTTCTTAAGGCTCTCTTTTTAAAGACTGGCTTAAATCTTTTACTCAAAATCTTTTTCTATTTAAGAATCGTTAGGAATTTAGTTTTAAGAAAGCTTTAAAGAATTATTTAAGTTTTAGACCTCTAATTCTTACAATAAAGTGCTAAGTCTCATTACTATTTCCTCAGGGTCTTTTTGTTACTTCTCTTGTTTGAATGTTTTTATTTCATTTAAAATATCCTTTAATGCGCTATCTCCCAAACTCATAATTTATTATTTTTTCTCAATAGGATTTAACAAATTGTTTTCAAGATTATTTTCGTCAACTGCCTATTCAGGTGCTAATGATTTCTAATATAAAAATATTTTAAATATAAAAAATAACTCAAAGTGAATTTTATTATTTTACTTCAATGTGGACTTGAATTCCATATTTATGAGAAGATTGATCATTTTAATCATTAGCATTCATTTTAAGAGTATCGAATCCATCTGATTCAAGATCGTCATAGTCTTCTTTTTGAGGAGAAGGCTAATACTCACTTTTATATTCTTACTAATTATGTAATTCTTAAATATGATCCTTGTAATACAAGTCTTATTCATAGTTATCAGATTATTTCCTAGAATCCCCAGCTGCAGCAGGTCTTGAAGGAGAGTCTTCAAGTTTATAATTATTCAAAACACTTGATGATCCTATCTTAGGAGATTGCTGCTCTTCCTCTTAATTATGTAAATTATCTTTTTGATACTAGTTAAATTAAGAGTTTTCAAAGCTGCTATTTCTATATAATTCGCTATCATTCATAGATTATTTTAATTCGCTAGGATATTCTTCCTGCTTCAAACTTTCTTATTCTTCTTCTTCTTCTTATTAATATTGCTAAGCTTCATTTTATTAATGATTATCTCTATCTTACTTGAATACCTCTGATTAGATATTTTCTTCTCTGCTTTATTAATCTTAATCAAATTACTTTTATTCACTGTGCTTATCATCTTCTAGCTAATTTATCTCATCATTTATTTGCTACTCTCTTAAACTTTACTCTTCTTAATTAGAAACTTCTTCTAAATTTGAATTTTCATTCTTATTATCAACTTCTACTTGTTATTGTCCTTGTTTTTCCATGTGATTTTCTTATTCAACTTAAATTTCTGTTTAAATATCTTGCTAACTTTCTTCTTCTTATTATTTGATTGGAGTTTTAATTTCTTCTTAGTCTTGCTTTATACTTTTATTTTCTTAAATATTTGAATCATTTTCTAATTAATCATTTGCTTCTTCCTAATTTTAATCTTGGTTACTCATTTCTTCTTCATTTCCTTGATAGATATCTTCTCCCTTAACCTACTAATCTTTTTAATCACTTTACTATAAATTTTCTTCATGCAAGTTTGAGTTGTTTTTGATTGAGGCTTCTACTTCTTCAGAAGGATTGAGCAGCTTAATCAAATGCTAATCATCTCCTTGATCAACTTATTATTATATTTATGCTTCAAAATTTGTTTTTTCATTGTTATTTGAAAGACTGTCTCCTTCTTCACTCTCTTTTACTTTTTCATTATCAGCATCTTATTCTTTGTTTTGATTATCTACATTTTCTTCTTAGTTAAAAGCAATAATTTCATCTTATTGCTTTTATTCTTGCTCCTAACTCTACTAATCATCTGGTTGATTTCTTTACTTATAAAATATACTTTCATTCTCTTATTGATGCTTTTAAGTATTTTGTTAAACAAAATCTTCGTCTCCTTAAGAATAAAGTCTCTCGCTATTTTAAGTATCTTTTCTTGATGAACTTTAATTGATATCAAAGTCTGCTTCTCCTTGCAAATCATCAAAAAGACTATTCTTTTGCTAGTATTGTAAAGCTTCTTCTCTTACTTGTTCTCCTTATGAACTTTCATTCTATCTTTCTTCTTCCTCTTCTTCTTGCTACTCTTCAAAATATTTATAATTTTCATTTTCATCGTTATTGAGATACTTTTTGAAATCACTGCTTTCGAAGTTATCATTTTTTTCTACAGACTTTTCTTGGACTTGATTAACTTCATCTAATTCTTATTGGTCACTATATTGATCCTTGTTAGGACTTATTTGCTCTTGAGTAGGTCCTTAGGGTGAGTCTTCTAAGTCGTAGTTTTTCTATGCGCTTTTAGATTCATTGTGAGAGTCTAAATCAAAATCTGCAGCATCGCCATCTGCTTAGATTTCATCAAAAAGTGGATTTTTATGATTTTGATCTTCCTTTCTTGATGAACCTTCTTAGCTGCTATCTTAGTATAGGTCGCTATCGTTCATAATTTTAAACTATAATTACTATAAGGTAAATGTATTTATTTATTTATTTTGTTTCGATTAAAATGTTTGATTAATTGATCCCTTTTTAGTTGAGAACAATAAATAAAATGCTTATTAATTTTTTGATTTTTTAATTTTTTGAATGAGTGAATATTTAATAAATTTGTGACTTGTTTTTATTTGTATTTATCACTATATCTTATTCACTTTTTTTCTCTATAATTGGCTTTCACTCAAACAAAATTTCAAATTTTAAAGAATCCCTAATATTTATAATAAATATTGAATTGAATTTATAAAAGTATAATAAAAATCCAAACCAAATTACACTCAATTTAGTTGAATTGATATCACTCATTATGTATTAAATTATTTATTAATCATAGTTTGATACAAATCAAATGATTATTCTTTTTCCCCTTTCATTGTTTCATTTTACCTTTTATTATTTTTTTGAATTTTCAATAGAAAAAACTAAGATTGACTCAAACAAACAAACAAACCAATATAGAATTCAAAATTTTATTAAATTTTATTAATGCTTTGCTTTGTGTGTTCAATAAATTAATATATAATTCAATGAATGGTAAATTTCAAATTTAACAGTTAAAATAAACTAATCAAATATTTCCCGCTTTTTTTAATTCATATATTAATTCTTTAAATATAACTCTAAATTTTATATTAAATTTATTTTTAAATTATTTTAAATGTTAATTAAAATTATTATTTCAGCTCAATTATCATTTTACTTTCTAGATGACTAAAATTATTTATTATCAATCAAATTTTCTTTTTGGTGTATAGAAATATTTAAATTAAATTAAATTTCCTTTTTAGTAATGTTGAAATATTTTAATTAAACAACAAGTGTTATCAATTTTCAAATAACCTTTACCTTAAAAAATGAATAAAATATTTATTATTAACATGATTTTACTTTACTCTACTAAATTATTAAATCTTATTTTTCCTTATAAATCTAGCTATTTCATAAATAGATAAAATTCATTTAATTTAATTATTATTTTTTTCTCAAAAATGTTTTGTTAGTTTCTTATCATATATTTGATTTCTCCTTTTTTATTTACTAATGTTTTATATTTTTTATAATACTCATGGAATAGTTTTTCTCTAATAACTAACTTCTACCTTTTTCTTAATATCAGAAATTACTTTATAAACTATATAAATTTTTAAGAAAATATACCTTTATATTTTGTTTTATTTTTTTTATATAAGCTATTTTTTAAATATGATTTTTATTTGTCAAAAATTTTATTATGAGATATACGAAGTCATTTTTATTTATTCTGAAAAAATAATTTAGTTTTAATAACTATGGAAGTAAAAAATAATACTTTAAAAATAAAACCTAGAAAGTTAATAATTAATTAATTAATTAATAAAACAGTTGCCTCCATATTTACACCAAATTATTAATCTTTAAAATTAATATTTATAGACTTAAGTGATTTAGTATAGCCAAAAAATAATATTAAATTACATATTCATTTTTTATTTTTGATGAAATTTGTATGTTCAATTTTTAAATTAGAATTCAAACAACTGATGATTGTTAATCATTTATATAATAAAAAATCTAGCTCAATAGATTAATTCCTTATATTTTAATGCTTTAATCTTAAAAAATATTATGTTTTTTATTTATTGAAACTAACTTTTTCGACTTAAAATAATCAAATCAATTTTCGATGATTTAAAGTTGAGAATCTAATTGTATTATATTATTACCTTTTATTTGAAAGAAATACATTTTTAAATTATACTAATTTGTAAAATAATTTTATATTTATTATGAATATTAGAGTATTTTATTTATATTAGGGTTAATTAGCATGCATTATAATAAATATTAGATAAGAAGTGTAGGAAGAGATGAATAACAAATTTAAAATTTACATTTAGAAAAAAACAAATTGATCTATTTATCATAATTGAGTAAGATTTAGGAAGTACAAAGAAAGGTTTAAAAAGAATGATAGAATTTCTAAAAGATTGATAAAATCTTACACATTCTAGATTAACAAAAAAATATCTTTTAATAGAGGTAGTTTTCACTTTTAAAAATAGAAGATTATTAGATTTTTAATATTAACTTAATTTCTGAAAGAAATTAATTAGTTTTGCTTGATATCCTCAATAAATAAACAAACATCTTCAACTTTTTCAAATATTAAAATTAGGCAAAATGAAAGCTCTTAATTTATTAGTTCCTAGAATCTTGATGTAGTCTTCAGCAACTCTTTTCATGAAGCCTTCTTTCAATATTTCCTTTTTAAAGAAAGGTTTAGAAAAGATGAAAGAAGAATAGGAATAAAAACTAAAGGATCTTTAATAGTAGCAATAAGCCCAATCATTGTAGTTAAAAGAAAACGAAATCTTATAGTAAAAACAAAGTACATAGTAGGCTTAAAGTGCAGATCCTTATTAAAATGCTTCAAGCGATAAAATTTCAGATGAGCTAGCTGAATAAATGAGAGATTAATAGCTTCAAGATGAAATGGAGTTCGAAGAACTTAGCAAGCAACATAAGTTACTACAGGCAAATGTTAACAAAGAATGTGATATCCCTTACAGATTATATGGTATGCTTAAAATGCCAAAAACCAAAGCCGCATACATGCCTGAAAGAGTTTTCGCAGAATAGAGAATTCCCAAGTACATGGTCATTGACCACTTAAAGAAAATTTACTTGGGTACTCTTCATTCTATTGTAGATTTGGATGAAGAATTCTTGAATGAATACTTAGAGGCAGGATTTGCTAAAAAGTTGATTGAAAGAATTAAAGAGTTAAAAAATTAAGGATATAAGCTAGAACTTTATCAAGATAATAATGGTATCCGTGGAGAACCCATCACACAAGGTAATTAAATGTTATGTTATGATGAGTTTGAATGTTTTAAATATGTTTCAAATTAAAAGCTAGTGTTTGAAATTTTATATTTTATTGTTATTTTTTAGAATTTTCTGAGCGATAATCTTTTACTCATTAAATTTAACATATTTTAATTAAAATTAGAAACTTATTTAGGAGATATGGTTATGGTTAGAGGATTAAGTATTGACAGAAGTAAGAACTTAAGTTAAAATGATTATCACATGTGGAAGGATATTGATGATATGGGTTTAGTTGTTTACACTCCAAGATATTTAAGCAACCCTGATGAATTTATAAATCCTGAAAAGAATAAAACTATTTATGACGATTACAAAAAAGTTATCATGAGAGTATTAGTTTATTTAAAAAATCCCTATAGAATCAGAATTATTCGTCCTGATGGAACTCCAATTGAAGTAATTAACCATTTTAAACTTAGTTTTTTTAGAAAGCAATTATTTTTATTTTATTTTAGCATACTTTTTTGTTTGATTTTAATAGATAGAATTTTTCTCTCTCTATAAAATATCATAATTATTGTACAATCTTATTAATAAACACCCATTTTTTTATTATCAAAATTATTTTGAAAATTTATTTTTAAAAATTATAACAAAAAATTTGTAAGATTGGAGGGTTTTAATAAAGAGAATATACAATAAATTGTACTAAATTATGTCCATAAATATTGTTATGGTTTTTATAGATTTGTTTTTAAAAGCTTTTTATTTTTGAAAATCATGAATGAATGATTGATTATTCAAGTTTAAAATTATAGTTTAGAAAACCAAAACATCATTCAATGGTTAATGTTTTTATTAATATAATATAAATAGGTTGATGATAATTTATATACTTGGGAACACATCGCTCTATTCGAAACCTAAATGAGGGTACCTCCTTAATTTAAGAGTGATTATAAATTAGAAAACTATATGGAATGGCTTGGTAAATTTAATTTTGGAGTTTGGAGAATGGCTGATTTGGATAACTGGAATCTTGGTAATCCTTTAATTGTTAAAGACAGTGATAGAGATAAATTCAAAGACGAAGTCTTTAAAGACAGTAAATACGATCCTGAATATAATATCGATATCAAAAACGTTTGATTAAAGGACCTTTTTATTTAATATGTATACTGCATGCATTTTTATTCAATAAGGCCACATAATCTCATTCATTAAAATAAAAACGAAAGACTAATTACTAATTTCAATTTTCTCAGTTTATTTATTTATTTACTTTTTATTTCCGTTTCAGTTGTTTTCTATTTATCTATCTATCTACCTAATTATCTTTAGAAATTTCTACGATTTCTATTATTCGAATCTAAAAATTTTTTATCATAGACATCAAAGATTTTTATTTTTTTTATTAGAAGAATTGAGCATTTTTATTTTAGAAATTAGAATAAAATGTCCATAAATTATAAAATCTATTACAAAATTGAGCTTTTATTTGTATTTATTATTATTATTTATGATGAATAATAGCATTTATTGATTTTTTAAACTTTTAAAATTTTATTGGAATCATATGAAATAAATTTTTAGTTGTAACTCAGTCATCCAAGTAGAACTTCAAATAAATGTTCTCCTAATAGAAAAGGATAAAAATTAATATGGATGAAGAGATTTTGGCTCAGTTTTGTTTTTATATTTGATACATTATGATCAAATATTTAGAAACTTCAAGACGTATCTTAACAATAAATTTGATACAAAAATATTAATTGATTGCCAATCTTTTAGATTTGAAGTTTCTAGAAATTTTTTAATAAGAATATCCTTTTTTCTCTTAATGCTAATAATTATTATAACAAACTTTTTAAAATGTTCATTTTATGTCTGTCTCCAAATTGTAAATAAAAGCGAAGTATATGCTTACAAACTTATTCTCCATGAAAATATTTTTTTTAAATTAGAATCGCTAGTTAAAAAAACGAATTTTTTAGTAAGAACTGTTTACATATCAGCTACTAAACTAGAGTAAATATAAATTTTAATATCATGAAATGAAATGTATTTCTCTTTTTACGCAAAAAAAATGCTGATAAAGTATATAAAAATAATGAAAACCCCTTCAAAGTATACATGAAATTTCAATTTATTTGAGCTGCATAAAGCTACAATGGGATTTTATCTTAAAATGTTTTTTAGATTGAAAATAAACAAACATTTTTGATTGTAAATAGAAATATCCTACTTAGAATTTGATTATAACTAAGCTTTTTATATTAGATAAGGATATATCAGAATAACTTGTATTACACATTAATTCTAACTTAGCTTGTTTTTATTAAGATAGATTTAGGTCTTTCTTAAAAATAGAAAATTCTTGCTTCTTGCTTTTATGAAATGTCTTATAAAGTAGATAAAGAGTGGAAATTGATTTGTTTGACATTTACATGCAAGGATAAAAAATATAAAATTTTTATGTCTAAAAAAATATTCATATTTTTATAGTTATTTTTGAGTTTTAGAAATTTCTTAAAAATCACTTTCGAAACAAAAATACTTACTTAGGTGAAAAATCGAATAAAGTAAAGCTGCAAAATGCAAAACTCAATTTTTAAGCTTAAAAGTCCAAGCTGGTTTAATAAAATCTCTAAGATAATATGAATTAGTGGCTTAAGATGGCTCTAGAAAAATTTTAAGAAATAAATTTGAACTTTTATTTGATTTTCAGATCTATAAATAGACAGTCAGTTTGAAAGAGTAATGGGAATTTTTTCATTAAAAACAAAGATTGAAATATTCTACACTTACATTACAGATGATAGCGTAAAAATTAGGGTAAATTAATAGATTAGATTTTATAATTCAGATAAGATGCACTCCAAGTTAAAATTAAGGATTTGCAAAAGCTAAATTACTATGTAATTTTACAGGTTAAAAGTGAGTTTTTAAATGGCGAAATTTTGCAGTAACTAAATATGTTTCGGCGAAAAAAAAAAGCAATTATGGAGATTAATGTGTGGAAGAAGAGTGAATTAGGATAATTATTAATAAATTAGATAAATGAAAAAGTAATAATTGAACAAATATTAAGAATAAACAAACATTGGTGTATTTGTGAGATAATTCTAAATGAAAGAAAATTTGAGGAAAAGTCGTAGAAAAAGAAAGATAATAATGACGAAAGAAATAATTGGTATAATGATGGTGAAAAAAGTAATTCAAATTAAGAAAGTGGTTTTTTTGAATTTGAAAATAGTGTTTGGTTGTAAAATAGTAAATTTTTTGGTAAAATAGAAGAGGTTATTATTAAAAATGAATTAGAAGTTATTTACTTGCTTTTTTCTTAGTTTACTATTAATAGATCTACTTGTAAGATTATTTTGAAAGTAAATCGTCAGAGATGAGAAGGTTTAAAATAAATAAACAAATTAAGGAAAACCAAGCCAAGAAGCAGATGAAATAGAAAAACAAAAAACAAATACTAACTTTCTTTATAGATAGAAATTTCTATTTAGATCTTGCAAACAAATAAACATAGTATCAAAATAACCTAGGATAGATACTTGCAAAATTTAATTGATCAGGAGTAAATTAGTTTATTTGACTTTAAAGAGTTTTGATCGAAGGGCTTAGAATTTTCTACCTCAACTTGGTAAGAAAATAAAGGACAAAAAATTTTAGGAGATGCCAAAAATTAGCTATGTTAAATATCATCAGCTCAAACACCAAATGATAACTAAAACAGCAAACAATTTCAAGTTAGTTAATTAATACGCAAATTTCAAAATTGTCTGATGAGAGAATGTCATTCTTTCAATAATTTGTATTTTTTTTGGGGGCTGCTTTCAAATATTATTTAAGAAGTTTCGTAAAACATAAATTTGCATTTCCCACTAATTTTTTGATTGTTTGTTTGTTTGATCAAATTTTCAATGCTTTGATTAATTTATTTATATATCAATCTAAATAACAATATCAAATCAAATAACCTAAATTATTTCTAAGATCTTGCTTAATTCATATTTCAATCATTTAGATTCTTGAAATCAAATCTATTTGCAAATTTTGATAATGCTTTGCCTCTTATTTATTTTTACTCCTAACAAAAGCTTAAGAAAAATCACACAATTAACAATTATTAATTAATTAATTAATTCATCCTTCCTTCCTTCCTGTTTCTTTCTAAATTCTTAGGCTGAGGGTGCTTCAGTCAAAAAAAAAGCTAAGCGAATTGATATAAATTAGAAAGAAAAAATAATTAATAAATTAATAAATAAAAAAATTAAATCAAGGATTACAAATAAAGTCTTTCATCTTCATCAAGAAGATTTACTCATATCACTTTACAATTTTTTCTCCATCTGGATTAATCAACAAAATCACAATATTAGAAGAATAAAATTTCATCTAAATTAATCAAAACAAAAGAGTTCATATTTCTAAACAGTGTTTTCAAGCTAAAAAATAAGCTTAGACTGACAGACGATTAAAAAATATAAATTCTGAAGGGCTTTTCTCCATCTTCTCCTAAGTAGAAATTAAGAAAAAGCAATATCGAAATATATATATATATATAATATTGATATTTGTATTGATAATTGTTTCTTTGAAAATAGAAAAAAGAATAAACAAAAAATAATTCATAGATTAATTATTTGATTAATTTCACCAACTTAAGTAGCAAGTAATAATAATAGCATAGAACGCAATTAAACAAGAAGAAATTAGTAAGCCAATCTTTTATAAATAATAAAAAAAAATATAATTTATTGCTAAAAAACATAAAAAGTAAACAAATCCTTCCAAAATTTAAAATTCTAGACAACCCCAAATTCTTTCTTGAATAAACTACCCCCCATCTTTCCTTTTATTAGCAAGTATTAGGTGTATTAGATTACAAAAGCCTTTAATCACTGACTCAAAAAAAACATTAGAAAGACATTTAAAAAAGAAAATATTTGTTTTGTTATAGCAAACATTAAAATATTTAAAATAAAGAATACTCTAACTAAAAAATCAATCAAGTTTATAAATATAAATCTAAATTTAATACTGAATCTAACATAAAATGCATCAACACATTCTTCCCATGTTCTTGATGCCTGACATGCCTATGTTCTGCGTCAGAAATTGTGGCTGTCGTCATCCTGATCGTGCTCATTGCTTCTCATGCCACAAAACAAGTGAAAAATATAAGATTAAGCACAAGGATGACATGTGCTGTGAAAGCGAAGTTTCTCTCGAATACCTTTTTGTAATCGATTTTGAATGCACTTGCGATGAAGAAAAGCGTCTTAAAATACAAGAAATCATTGAATTTCCTATTGTTGTTATCGACCTTCGTAAAAAGGAAATCATAGATCGTTTCCATTCATTTGTTCGTCCTACTCAGTACCCTATTCTAACTCCTTTCTGCACTAAGCTTACTGGAATCACACAAGAATAAGTTGACTCAGCTCCTACTCTCCCTGAAGTATTGAAAGAAGTCGATCGCTTCTTGGAAAAGTACATCAAGGATGGATTACAAAAAGTTTCAGTCTTAAACGACTGCGACTCTGATATTCGTAATTTCCTTCGTAAAGAAACCACATTCAAAGGTATTCCAGTCAAACCTGTTTTTAAAGAATTCATCGATCTTCGTCGTATATTTCCTGTTAAGATATCAGAAAAACCTACAAACATCGACCACATGCTTTCTTGTGTGGGGTTAACCTTTGAAGGAGTGAAACATTGTGGTTTAGATGATGCAACAAATATTGCCAGAGTTGCTTTAGAAATTGCTAAAAGAGATTACATCTACACTGAACATCTTAAGGAACACATGTATCCCTATGATAACCCTCACTACTATGAGCATTTGGTAATCATAGCAACCTAACCTAAAATGAAAAATAACGTAGAAATTGCTATGATAGCCCATGATTTAAGAAAGGGAAAGACTCTTTGGAATAATCTAGGAAATAAGAGTGTCAAGAAATAAGAAATGAAAAAGGAGCTCTTCGAATTCTTAGATAAAGTTGGAATTGACATCAATAACTCTATTTTGTGTGTTCAAGGTAAGCTTGAAAACGAAGTTCGTGCATTCTTCCAAACTTCTGAAAATCAACCAATGAAGAATGAAGGTAACACTAACTTGTTTATGAGTGGAAACTTAACAGATAGTACATCTTCTACTTGTTCTTCTTCTTCATCATCACCTTCTTAATAATGTTAAAGCACTTCTACAAATTGCCTCACAAGCTCTAACATCTCCTCCATAAACAACTCTGCATCTTCTAACTAGCAACAGCCCCAATCACCATACTAATCATCTTCATTTAACAATTTCTTTACTACCTACTTCTCCCTTAACAAAATAAGCAAAATTGCAGGCATACCACTCGCTGGAAATTAATTCATTTAACACCCTACCTACTCATAAAGATACTAGCGCAACAGAAATGTGTACTAGCCTTACCCATTCTAAATGAATGGATAATACTATCCAATTGACTAGTCATTCATGAGTGGATGCAATAATCCATTTTAAACTTAATTTGCAAAAAACTAATAAAATTTTGCAGATTTAAATTAAGCAAACAATGAAAACTTGACTAAATGGTGGAATGGTATTAAAGATACTACCTCCCCTGTTACTAGAATTACTACCATGTGTAACACAGTAGAGACAGCTCTTCAAAATGGTTTTATCTTCACCAAGGACTTCGCCTCCACAATCCAATTCAAGAGAGCCTTATCTAAAATGTGAGAGAGAGATTTTGCACTCGCAGATTTAAAAACACTCACTTAGAAAACAAACTAAGAATTATGCCTAAAAAATGTTTCAATCAATAACCATTCTATATATAATAAAACTTTATAACTAATCACTACCCTCTTTAACCACACCATATACATATATATTTTGACCCAACCTATATATAATCTACTTATTTTAAGAATGTTTTGTATTTATTTTATTAAGCAACTAATTCCTCTCACCACTTACCCAATCTCAAAACTGAGGGGGAAAAAATAGTAAGAAGACAGACAAATTACAAAAAAAAGCTTGAAATCTCACTCAATATATTTGGATTAAAATCCAAATCAAATCGAGATAAATTGTTGAACAAAAATTATAAAGTTAAATATCTGATTTAACTACAATATTAAAAAATAAACGTATTATATAAATTTAGCATGTATTATATTTTTATATTAAGATTTTTCCTTTTTATAATATTCAAATACTTCTTTAGTGTTTTCTCCTTTCTTTTTGTGCCAATAATTTATTAAAATCTATCAATCAATCAATCAATCTTCTTTGATTTGAAAAAATTAAGAAAAAACAAAATTTAATTGCAAGCATAAAAAGGTTCTTTTTTGAATACTTTCTGAATTTATTATTTGTTCCTCTTATCTTATTTCTAACTTTACTTATCTCCCTGATTATCGTTCTTTTGCTTTTTCTTCTACATTCATTCATACAAACATACATATTTATTTTGGTGATAACATTTTTCTAGCACACTTTTTCCTTTTCTCTCAGAAGCAATCAAACAAAATTTTTAAATATTCGCTGATTTTGACAAGCCTTAATCGAAAAAATTTTAAATTAATCTTGCGTAATATTTAGAAACCATTTCTAAAGTAAGCAAAATAGCACAAATTTTAGTTATATTTAAACTTAAAAATCTACTCTAAAATCATAAAAAAATTACATTATTTTTGATTATTTTATTTTAACGCTAAATAATGTCTTAAATCAAAGTATTTTTTAACAATAATTTGTTAGATTACTTCTCTTTTTCACTCAATCTTTGAAGAAAAAAAAACTCATTTTTCAAATTTTGTATTGTAAATCAAAAAATTCTTTTCTAATCTTAAAAAAAGGGAAGCTTAATCTGATTTTTCTTATTTTTTTCCCTCTATTTTTCAAAGCAAATTTAACTATATAGTGAAATAAAAATATTGACCAAACATTACTACAACTAATTTAAAATCATTCGTTTCAATTTTATTTATCAATTATTCTCCTCCACAGATAAATAAAATACAAATAAATGCATGCACTTGTTTAATAACTTTATTAATAAGCATTATTTTTAAGTAAAAGAAATTAGATTATTTATTTTGTTTCACTAAAATAAAAATTTCATCAAAATAAATATTTTATTTTTTGTACTTTTATTCATTTTTCATTTTAATGATTGAAATATATTTTAAAATTTTTTCAATTTTAAACATAAAAATAATTAATTAATTAATTTTTTTTAATTTTTAGTGTAATTTTATTTTTGTTTGAGACATAAAATGTTATCACAAAATAAATTATTTTATTTCATTTAAAATTTTTAGATAAGTAATTAATTTTAAATAAATAAAAGCCAAGATGAAATTTATTAATGAATATTTTGTTTATTTAAATAAATATTTGTTAGTATCCAAAATATGCTTATTTATTTGTGCGTTTTTATCAGACAAAAATTAAATATTATATCCTTATTAAACAACTATTTCATTAAATAGAAGACTTAACTATTTAGAGGATGAATAAAATTTAAAAAATAGGGTTATTTTCTTTGGGAGGAATGGCAGTTTTAGCAGGGACTTATCTCTATTTTTAAAATAAAATGCCATTACATGAAAGGTATCAAAGATTATTGAAGTCATTTGAGGAGGAATACTTTAATTGTTAGAACTTCAAATTAACTTCTATGAAATTAAAATTCGATAAGTTGTTTAGTTTAGCAATTTAAATAGATAATCCAAATGGTAGCTAAGATATTAAGAAATTTTTATCCAATAAGCATCAAAATTCCAAATAAAATTCATGCAATAAGGTTTTAAGTAGAGGATCTACTTATTATCAGTGTCATGAATGCTCCCCTTTAATTGTTTAATTGAAAAAAGAAAAAAAAGAAATCCAAAACGGATAAATCTATTTATCGATTTGTGAAGATTGTTTTGAAGTTTAAAAACATAAAGGACATCATGTTTAGAAATTTCAAGTTTAAAATACTGAAATTTTGTATTGCTATTGCGGAGATCATAATATTTGCAATCAAAATAGCTTTTGTTAAAATCACACTGGCTACAATCATGATTAATTCAAATATGTTTAATAAGAGACTTAGCACTTTTATGAGGGAATCTAGAGATTTTTCTTGGAATAATTTCATATTGTGTTTGATAAGTTAAGTGATTTAATTCTTTCTGAAGAGGTTCAAAAAACAAACTAAGAAGATTAGTATGACAAAGTGATAAGTAGAGTTAATTTCTTGCTTGAGAATATTCTCCTGAAAATCAATGAAATCATAGAAGTAATTCCAAATAGTATTTGCTTCTTTCCTAAATTGTTGAAGCAATCTCTACTAAAACCAATATCTTTAGATATCTAAGAAAAAAACAATTTATCTTCTAATTGGGAAAGATAATTTAACGAAAACAAAAAGGTTAATGCCCATATTTCAATATATGAGTATATTCTTCTATTTTACGAACACTTAACATAAGAAAATGACATACTTTTAGGAAAATTGTTTGGAATACTTCTAAAAGTAGATGATGATTTCTGTCTTTAAGCAAATAAAGGCTTTTTTAAATACATAGAATTTACAATTAGAATTGTCTCTAATGATTAATAAAATGGAATAAATTTAGTTTTACCTTCGTTCACTGATTATTTAGCAAAATATATTTGTTTACAGAGAGTATTTAATGATTTAATTGATAATTTAGGTATTAAAATACTCATTCCAATTTCTGTCTTTACACATTTTATGTAAAATATTGGAAATAAAAATAGAAGTGAATTTTCTAAAATTATTCTGTAATTTACTCAAATTTGCCTTGAAATGTTTCGGTTTTAAAATTAGATTATAAATTTATTAAAAAGATTCCCTGATTAATCCATAGAATCTTTATATTTATTATCATATACTATGTTTACAGTAAATTCTATACTTTTGCCTAACGAGATGGAATAATATAAATAAGAAAACCAAAAGTACATTTTGGCTAATATTTTGAGCACTCTTTTTTTCAAACAGCTAGAAAAGTAATTAGTTTCTTCTTTTGAAAATGTGTACAAATCTCTTCTTTTAAATGACGATATTGATTTATCAAATTAAACGACATCAATTATTATTAAAACTTATAAGAAATACACTAAAAAAGCCATTGAGTTTATTGATTTTATAAGCAATAAAGGAGTTCTATTCAAATCATTTTCTATGTCTTTTGTCACTCATCTTCCTCTGATGATCGCCCTTTCAGAAAGGAAAGTGCTGGATTAAAATGTTTTGGAATGTTTTTTCATAAAATTTTTTAATTTTGGAAATAATTTGAGTTAAACTGAAAGAGATCTAACTATGAAAAAAACATTTAGGGATCTTTTTGTAGTGATGGATAAAAGCTTTATTATGCATTCAAAGCCTTATTTAAAATAATAAATGTACTTTTATATTTCTTAATTAGAATAATATAATTTGGAATAAGCAAATGATGTAAAATCTACTTTAGGATTCGTTGAAGAATTTTTATATTCTCCTGAATACAGAGTTTACGACTTTTATATGCTTACTTACTCTCTTTTATTACTATCAGATAAGCGCTCTATTTTAGATTAATAAGTTAATTGCTTCAATCTTTAATTTTCCTAATTTGAAAATTTTAAAAATTAAATTTCAAATGCCATTACTATTTTTGCAAGTCAAGACTGTACAGATTTTGTACTTTAGTTGATCCTTGATGGAAGTGTAATAATTAATGTATTCTAAAATGTTTATGAAGACTATTTTAACTTAAAAGAAAATAAGGACTATTAATATGAATAGAATATAAAAGAAGTAATAGTAACTGGAATATAAGAAATACAACAAAATAAAGTATTTTTGAAAGAAATTTTACAAAATATTTAAAAAACTTTATCAAGTAATAATAATCTTGCTAGTTATATTTCATAAGTGTGTGAAAAAGATTAAGCTTTAACTATAGATTAAGATAATTGTTAGCTGGTTCTCTTACCTTGTTTTTATGACAAAATATTTGCTAGGCATATATTAAGAAGGAATAGAAGCTAAATAGATAGAGTTATAACAATTTAAATAGATAAAATTAAAAATTCTGTCAGTGAATTTTGCTCTGTAGGCTGCCATTTCTCTATGGATGGCTTATATACCTACTAAAAATAACTATGCAAGAAAGTATATTTAGATTTAGAATACCAAAAAAAATTAATAGATTATCATCTAATAAAATAAGTAGTCACATTTCCAACTGCTATTCTATATAAACATGTATATGTCATTCTTAATATGTTTTGCAAAGAATAATAGAATTTAGCTAATTTTTCTGAAGAAGAAATAGAGAGAATTCATTTAATTATAAATTTATTTAAAGATAAGTAAATCTATTAGGTATATAATTAAAAATAATTAACTGATTATTTAGAACAAAACAAACCTTCTGACCTTCAAAGAACATATACCTTTATTACTACTTAGTTTAAAGCCTATTTAATCAATAAAAGTTGATTTTTTATAATTTTATTTGGTCTAAAAAAACTTTAGTAATTAGAAAACTTTAGGTTCAAAGTTAAAGATGGTATGGTATAAAAATAAATATTCGTTAATGAAGTTATGAAATAATATTCTCTATATCAATTTTTTTTTTTTTACTTTCATGAAAAATATTCTTAGTAATTAAAAATGATTTTCTCTTATATCACAAAAATAGAATTTAATTATGTTTTTTAATTCAATATATAATTTTTTTAATCTTTCAAAGTAAAGAATTAAACTTAACTATTAATTATTTAAATTTATAAAATGTCAAGAAAAATATAAGAAGTTAGTTAGTTATTTATTTATTTATTTGTCCAATTTTTAATTTTTGTATGATAATTAATGTGTCAAATATTTATTATCAGTAGATTTATAATAAAATAAATATAAGATGATATTTATTTGAATATATTTTTATATTTAAATTATTACTTAAACAAATATAAATACAATTTAATTATTATTTTAAATGTCAAACTTTTTTATTGTAATTTTGAATAGTTTTCTATAATAAAATGTTAAAATAAAATCAACATACTTTACATTTAAATATTATTTTTTATTATTACATCAAAGCAATAAAAAAAAGTTTTTTTAATTTTAAGTTTATGAATAAGAAAATTAATTTATTTAATACCAAAAATACTCAATTATCTATCAATAATTGGACTTTGATAATTTTTGACAAGATTTCTATGGTTAATGATAAATTATAACAGTTTTTCTTCTCATGTTAAAATTTTATTAAATATTTTTGCTATCAGAAAATGTATTTGTTGTTGGAGCTTTTATCCATAGATTCAGATTTATTTTAAACAGTGATAATTAATTATATTTCAAGATTTAGTAATTATTAACCCAATTTTTGTATTAAAAAAAACTAGTTTTTTAATTCTAAAGAAAATAGCAATTAGTAATAAATATGAGTGAATTATAATTTTATTTGATCTAATTATTAAAACCTTTTAGACATTTAGATAATTTTTTTTTTTTGATAAATAGGAAGATATTATAATATTTGTATCTTAAATAAATTATTTAAGAGCTTAAATTAACAATTAATTCAGCAGTAAAAGTAACTTAATAATATAAATTAATCAGATTAACTATTTAGTTTAGTAGTTTTTTATTTATTAAATCATTTAATTGAATATCATAATTATTTTCAATTTTTAGGATGTATTAACGATGAGTTTTTGGTTGAATTGAGTGAGACTAATATTTGCTGAATTAAATGCTATTTAATGATACAATGTTCGAATTAACAAAATCTTAACTAATTTGATTTTCTTTTAGTAATTAAATTTTTTTTGGTTAAGTAAAATAAAACAATTTAAAGGAGTTTTCTGCTTGGTATAATTTAGTTGAAACAAAATATAAAAACATTTTAATTACAAATAGAATTGGAATTTTATTTTGTAATAATTGGAATTTTATTTTGTAATAAATAAAATTTTTCTACAGTGAACGATTCATTATTATATAGTTAATCAAATTATATGCTATCTTATAAATGGTAATCAGTTTTATTATCATTTTCAAATAAAAAACTATCATAAATTATATAAAAAAATTTGGATATTATTTAAATTTAATTATATAAGTTGTAATTATCAATGAGAAATTTCTCAATTTATCTGACTCATCACTTCTAGCTAATAAAAAATTGAAATAAATAATAAATACAATTTTAATTTTTTTCTTTTAATAATTTTTTTATTTTATTTGAAAACATTCTCAATTCAATGGTTTTTAAAACATTTTAAAAAAATTAAACAATTAAACAGTTTCAAAGCATAAATTTTCTAGTATAATTATAAACAAAAATGATGTTTATTAAGAAAATTTGTAATTAAATTTGTTCTCTTTGCTTTTTTTACATTGTTAAAAAGTACAATAGTTAAATATATTGTGATAAAAAAATATTAAATTTCAAAAATACTTACATAAAATTTATTTTTTTTTCAAAATCTAATTTATTCAAAAAAGGAAATCTCTTTCTTATAAGCGATGTTCATAATTTAATTTTTAAGGTAATTATTTTTGATATTAATTATCAAAAATCTTAAAAAATTTAAATATTTTAAAACACATACATTTATTTATTTTTTTTTAAGGATTCAAATCATTAAAAAAGCTTAAGACAATAAAAATCTATTTCCACATATGTAATTAATTACAACAATATTAATTAATAATTTATATTTTTCAAATTATTCTATCAAATTGTAAACGAATCAGCTATTTTGGCCATCAAATAATTTTGATTAATATAATAAGTGGGAAAACAAGAGAGTAATTTGAGTAATTGAGATAATTGATTCAATTAATGAAAACATAAAATAATTACAAATATTTTTTAGTTTATATCAAATAATTAAATATTTTATTATGTATCTCTTAAAATTTAAAATAGTTTCATTAAAACTGGAAATTTATTTTTCATAAATTTGTAGAACTTTATTTAGTTCTGATAAATTATGAATCTCACATTATTTAGAAATTAAATTTAAAATAGATAGTAAATGAGCAGTAAAATTTCAAAATAAATATTTTAAAAAAAAACTTGAACAAAAAATAGACTGACTACACTACACACATACCTATTTTTTTATAAAATAATGAAAGAGTTATTTTTAAAATTTCAATAAAAACTTGTTAGAATTGCTGCTCTTTTAAAAGAATTTTTTAAATAAAATCTGATTTATTTGTCAACTTTTTATGGCTAAAAACAAAACCATCAAATATTTTTGTGTTTGTAAATGGTTCTATTTGCTTAATTCGATCAGTTATGTACATTAAGAGCTTAACATTATGTCTGAGCAAAAACTAAAGAAAACAAAACAGGGAAATGCGTGGGAAATATTATGTTTACTATTAATAGAAGATTTAATTAATTATTTATGAAAATTAGAGTAAAAATGCATCAATCTATAAATCAATCAACGATTAAATTTGCAGACTAAAGATAAAGAGTTGGGTATAATAAAATATAGCCAGACGTAAATTAAATTTTTCTATTTAATCAATATATTTCATTAGCTTGATTATTAATTTTTTCATAAACTGAAACAAATAAACAAACAAAAAACAAGATAAACAGCTTCTTAAGTAGAAAGATATCCTAACCAACTTTATAATATCAAAAATAATTAAAAAATTGAAAAAGTTTTAAATAATCAAAAATATCAAGAAAAGACCCAAAATCATCTTAGCTAATAAAAAAAGCAAATAAATCAAACAAACAAAACAAAACAAAACAAAATAAATAAATAAATAATAAGTCTTTATTTTCTTAATAATAATCATCAATAATACTCTTAAAAACTAAATAATTAATTAATTAATTACATAAAACAAGTCAAAATGGGTTGTAGTGCTTCTGCAAATGTCTCAAACACTTTGATTCCTAAGTAATTTTAAATCGTAACTGAATCTGGAAAGACATTTTCTATGATACTTGATAAACTTTATAAGGTTTCTACTATAAAACACCTGATGGAAATGCGTATAGCTTCCAAGTCAGACTAATTACGTCTTTACATAAAAATTGAATAAAGCGAATCTGTGCAAACACCTTAATCAACCGCTGCTGCCACAACCGTAAGCTCTAGCTCTAAAATTTTTAAAGAATTTGAAGGTAAGAGCTCTATAATTTAGGAGGGTAACACTTCCTACAAATTAATTGAGTTAGAAGACGACAAATATATCATGCAATATGCTAAGCTCTTAGCAAATAACCCTCGAATTTACTTAGCTTAGGTAAAATCTTAAAATACTACAAACGAATCTGTTTCTACTTCAGTAAATTCGAATAGACTGAGAAACCAAACTATTCACATCGGATGCTGCTTTAACAATAAACCCGAATTATAGGATGATGATGCAATAATAATCGCCATCCAAAAACTTGAAAAAGGTGAAGTATTGCCTCAATCTCAAATTGATATTCTACAAAAAGGTAGAAGCACCTTGTACAAATAAAGTTCTTAACCTTAATAAACTGCTTCTCCTTAAATATAATAATAAACTGAAGAATCCAATCAAAATTAAAATGTCTAAAAGTCCCCATCTTCAATGCCTCAAATAACTATCGAAGCTAGCTCTTGAGCAGAATGAACAAAGCTATTGAAAATACTACAATTTATTTATACTTTCTCATATATATAATTTTACATTTAACAAAATACCTCCACATAGATTTTATAAAAATGCTTACTAATTCTTCTAGATATTATAATTGCTGTTAAAATATCATCATGTTTGCTTTATTGATAATTATAAATGATACATTGATAAAAATACATCAAACAATAAATATAAGCATATAAATGCGATTGAGTAATTAAAAACAAACCTAACAAATTCTTAATAAAATTTTAAGAATACTAATTATAAAATTAAAACCAATAGAATCCCCCTAGAAAAAAAATAATTAATTAGAGAATGATAAATGCATGCATTCTAATCAAAAAATATCTTTTGTAGCTATTATTATATTAAGAAATCTTTAATTAGAATCAATATGATTTTAAAAAATACACATACATACATAAATAAATAATAATAGTACAAGTGAAGGAATAGTAAGTAATCACTTTAAAAGTTATCAATTAAAAAGTAACCAACAAGCAAGCAAACAAATGAATGAATTTTAAAGAATAGTTAGCTCTTTATGAAGAAATTTTATTTGAAATCAACCTATTACAAAAACATACACATACACACACTTCATTAACATAATCTCATTTTCTCACTATTTATAACAAATTATCAAAAATATTTTATATTTATTTAACTACATTTGAAACTGTCATCAATATTTATGTTTATATACCAGTCTCGCTTTCATTACTTTTCATTTCTCATCTTAAAATATAATTCTAGCTTTTTATAAAACTAATTTATTTTAATCACATACAAAATATACAAGAAAAGTTTTAATTTATTTTAATCAAAATATGTTTTTACAATATCCTATGCTGACTCTATTTATTTAATCATTTATAAACTTCACAAAAATAGCTTTGTTTTTAAATAATAAATAAAAATTTTAACAACTAAGAATTGAACAAATAAATGATATATATATTTATCCTTTTAAAATGTAAAAATGAGTAAGTGAGTGGATAAAGAATATACTAAATACTTTGGAAAATTTAATTATTTACTTACACTAGTAAAAAAAAATTGGTTCTAAAATAAGCATTCCTTTTAACTCCCCCTTTTTCTGTTTTTAATAATTCAAACATGCATGGCTTTGTGAAGATGATTGAAAATTAATCTTTCACTATTCAAAAAAAAACATTTGATTGATGATAACCTGTAAAATTCAAATTTTATGATATAAATTACATAATTTACAAGTTGAAAAGTTAAGCTTTAGTGAAATATTGAATTAGATCATATCTGAAGTAAATTATATCAAAAAAAGAAACTATTAAAACAAATTTTAAGTAAAGTAATTATTTATTTATTCTCTTTTTAAAAATTCAAACAATAAATAAATAAAACAAATGTCCTTCTACTTTTAAATTGGATTCAAAAATAACAAATATTTCTTATTAAAAATTATTTAAAGTTAATTCAAAAAATTTTTTTCTTGATAAACTTTATCAAGATATATATATATATTCATTTTCAAGTTATGTAATCAAAAAGTCTGTCAATTTTTGAATATTTTCAAAACTTTTTAAGAAATAATTTGTTATTTTGATAAATTTACTAATAGAATTATTTATATACCTCACTACTTTCATTCAACTTAAAAATGGTTAGTTATCATGATATATATTTTATATAAATTCAAGTTGATATTACAAATTATATTAATACATTCATTCATAAACAAATTTACATACCTTATTTTTTTCGTATCAACTTAAATACATTTCAAGATAATTATAACTTACAAGTATTTTAATTTATATGAATACCAGAATCTGTAAAGGATAATTAAATTATTGGCTAGATTATATTATTGCTTTATCTATCTTGAGAATCTTAATATTTTTCTACTTAATTTATCTTTTATAAAATTAGAATCTAGATAGCTAGCATAATTATTCTATTTTTAGGTTTTTATCAAAAAAGACTTTAACCTAAATTATTCAAAATTTAATGAAAATCAAAGCGAAAATAGTGAATTAATGGAATTTTTATAAGAATTTATTTCAAGCTTTAATTCTTGCTAACAATTATTTGTCCAAATAACTAATTTTTGTTAAGACTTAGGATTAATATTCAGAACTATTAGGAGAAAATTATTGTATTTAAATCAATTAAAAAAAATATTTAAATAAAAGAACAAATGGCGATAATTGTGAGAATGATATATTCATTATTTGAATCATGACAATAAAAACTTGTTTTTTTTAAATATAAACTGTAATCTTATATTTGGGATTTTTTTTACGTTTATAAAACAGACTTCTAGTAAATATATTTCAAATTAGTGGAAGTAATTGCCTAAAATTGGTTGCTTTCAAAAAAAATTGTATTTTTTTCTCAAGAGCTATTCTATTTTTAATTCCTTTAAATAGTTTTTATCTGATCAATAGACAGATTATTTTGTAAACATTGCTTGAATGTGATTGCAGTAAAATATATGGATATAGATAGACAAGTAGTAGATATTAAATTTTAGTAATATATTATTTGAAAAAAAAGATTCAAAAAAATAATCATACATTCAATTTCTAAGGCATTGTATAATTTTTTGCATTTCTTCCAAATTTGTTAATTATTCATAGAATATTCAAAGATGAAATTAACTTAATTTAAATCTATTTTATTTTATTTAATAAAAATATTATATAAAAATGCTTTAATTAGATTTTATCTGAGTTACAGATTAAAGATTTATTACTAAATATTACTTTAACAAAGTGTTTAGTTATATTAAGCGGTTGGTAATATAGCATTTACTGATGCTTTTTGAACATTAAATTTTTTATTTTTATTGCTAATATTTTCTCTTTTTTTTAAAATCATTTATTTATAACATGAGCTTTTTTAAATTTTTTTAAATTTTAAACGTTTTTTCACCTTATTTTTTCTTTCTCTTAATTTATTCTTTATTTTGTTTTGTTTTTTTGAGAGCATTGTTTCTTTACTATAATTAATAAAATTTTATAAATTTTAAAAAATTAAAAATATGTTTAAAATAATTTTATTGTTATTTTTATTCATATTTAAAATTATTATATAAGTAAATCAATAAATTAAAATGAGAATTTCGTTCAAATTCCACACAAATAAAATATGAAGTTAAAATATTTATTGTTCAAAATAAAGATTCATATCTTGTATTATGAGGAAATAAGTAGCTAGTTTTATTATTTTGATGATTAAATGTAAATTATTTTCTATGTCATAGAACTAAAAAAAAATAAAATTAAAATTAGTTATATTTTTCTTCCATTTCATTTTATTCATTTTTAAACAAAATTGATTTTGGCCAAAAATTATAAAATGTCGCACATAATAAATAATATAAGAAAATATGTAATTATTCTTCAATATAAACTTTAGAATTTATTATTTTTCTATTTTAAAACCTAGAAATTATAAAAATATTAAATTAATAAAGCAAGCAATAAATTTTATAAAGTTTTGGTATCAATATATCTATGCTGAAAAATAAAAGTTACTTATGATTAAAGTAAATTACTTTTTACTAAATATTATTAATTATTTTATTTAAATTTAAACATTTTTAAAAATAAAATAAATTATATTAAAAATAATTTGTCCATGATAAAACAACTTTAGCAAATATCTTTTGGATATTATAAAAATGTATGTTCGTTCTTAGCCTTGGGATAAATATTAAATAAAACAAAATAGTATTTAATATTAATTTTAGATATTTCTAACTCTAGAAAGAACCCAGATATTAAAAAAATGTTAGGTTCATATAGATAAAATGTACTGTAAATAATAAAATTTTAGCATTGGCTCCTTCTTAATAACATAAATTGTTTATGATTGATTGATTAACTGGAGTTAATAAATAGTTTTGTAATTTTATTATTTATAGCGATGATTTTGAATAAAAATTATTTATTTAAATTCTTTTAAAATTTTAATTTTAAAAATATATTTTAAAATAGTAAGAATGAATAAATGAATAATTAATGATATATTTTAAAATATAAAATTTAATCTTAAAACTTACTAAAATAAAAAATAAATCAGACAATCTATCTATATTGACATTTTCTTGTTTTTAATCTTATTAAACTTATTTCATCTTATTTTATTTTTGATTTTATTTGACATTTTGTTAACTTTGATGATCTAGTAAGTATTTTTTAATAAGAAGGACTGCACTAAGCAGGTGTTCACTTTTACTTATTAGATAATTTATTTTATTCTTTATTTTGATTTTCACGGTAAGTTTCATCAAAAACTTCATTTAATAATTCCTTATATTGTTCTTCTTAAAGTTTTTATTAGATTTACATATTACTAAGATTTCCAAATACTGAAGGTTTTTTTTTTCTCAAAGCATCATACACTTACAAATATCTTGATTAAACTATATCAAATATATCCTTGGTAAACTAGTAATTTTAAATAAGAGAGATTAAAAAAGAGTGTTTTTTTTTAAATTTAATGAAATAAAACATTTAAAAAAATAAATCTGACAATTTTTACATTTTCTTGTTCTTTATCTTTTTAAGTTTACTTCATATTATTTTCTTTTTGAGATTATTTTAAATTTTGTTTGCTTTGATCATCTCGTAATTTTTATGAAGAAGCCCTTTGTTAAGCAGATGTTCGCTTTTACATATTAGCTACTTAATCTTCAAGTTCTTGCAAAATTTCTTTAGTTGTTTCTCGTAATAGTTCCTCATATCCTCCTTCATAAATTTTTTTTTCGATTTACAAGTTACTAAGTTCTCCAAAAACAGAAGGTAATTTTTTTCTAAAGCTATCATATATTTTCTAAGTATTTTCTTCAATCAAATTATATAAACCATTGAATAACTTGTAATTTTAAATAAGAGAGAATAAATAATAGTGTTTGTTTTTATCTTTAAAATTTACTGAAATAAAAAATTTAAAAAAAAATAAATAAAATTTATAGATAATCTTTACATCTTTTTCTTGTTCTTTATCTTTTTAAGTTTACTTGATATTATTTTCTTTTTGAGATTATTTTACATTTTGTTTGCTTTGATCATCTTGTAATTTTTATGAAGAAGCCTTTTGTTAAGCAGGTGTTCGCTTTTACTTATTAGATGCTTAATCTTAAATTTCTTTCACAACTTCTTTAGTTGTTTCTTGTAATAGTTCCTCATATCCTCCTTCTTAAATTTTTTTTTCAATTTGTAAGTTACTAAGTTCTCCAAAAACAGAAGGCAATTTTTTTCTCAAGCTATCAAATATTTTCTAAGTACTTTCTTCAATAATATCAAAAAAACCATTGAATAACTTGTAATTTTAAATAAGAGAGAATAAATAATAGTGTTTGTTTTTATCTTTAAAATTTACTGAAATAAAAAATTTTAAAAAAATAAATAAATTAGATAATTTTTACATCTTTTTCTTGTTCTTTATCTTTTTAAGATTACTTGATATTATTTTCTTTTTGAGATTATTTTACATTTTTTTCGCTTTGATCATCTTGTATTTTTTAAGAAGTAGAACTACCTTAAGCAGCTGTTCGCTTTTACTTATTAGCTGCTTTATTTGATTCTTCATTTGCAATATCTTGCATATTTTCTTTAGCTATTTCTTTTAATAGTTCATCATATCCCCCTTCTTTCATTTTTTAAACTATTTACAAGTTAGTAAGTTTTCCAAAAACAGAAGGATCTTTTTTTCTCAAGTTTTCATATATTTTCGAAGTACTTTCTTCAAATTTATCAACTGATTCCTTGAAATACTTTTAATTTTAATAAGAGAAAATAATTAATAGTGTTTTTCTATTTAAAATTTACATAAATAAAACATTTAAAAAAAATAAATAAATTAGATAGATATATAATCTTTACATCTAATTGTTCTTAGTTTTCTTGAACTATTTCTCTTAATAGTTCATCATATCCTCCTTCTAAAATTTTTTAATCGATTTACTTGTTAGTAAGTTTACCAAAAACAGAAGGTTATTTTTTTCTTAAGCTATCATATATTTTCTAAGTACTTTCTTAAACTATATCAAGTGCTTCCTTGAAATACTTGTAATTTTAAATAAGAGAAAATAATTAATAGTGCTTTTGTCTTAAATTAGATAATCTTTACATCTTTTTCTTGTTCTTTATCTTTTTAAGTTTACTTCATATTATTTTATTTTTGAGATTATTTTACATTTTTTTCACTTTGATCATCTTGTATTTTTTAAGAAGTAGAACTGTCTTAAGCAGCTGTTCGCTTTTACTTATTAGCTGCTTTATTTGATTCTTCATTTGCAATATCTTGCAAATTTTCTTTAGCTATTTCTCTTAATAGTTCATCATATCCTCCTTCTTTCATTTTTTAAACTATTTACAAGTTAGTAAGTTTTCCAAAAACAGAAGGATCTTTTTTTCTCAAGTTATCATATATTTTCGAAGCACTTTCTTAAAATTTATCAACTGATTCCTTGAAATACTTTTAATTTTAATAAGAGAAAATAATTAGTAGTGTTTTTGTCTTTAAAATTTACATAAATAAAGCATTTAAAAAAAAAAATAAATTAAATAGATATATAATCTTTACATCTAATTGTTCTTAATTTTCTTGAACTATTTCTCTTAATAGTTCATCATATCCTCCTTCTAAAATTTTTTAATCGATTTACTTGTTAGTAAGTTTACCAAAAACAGAAGGTTATTTTTTTCTTAAGCTATCATATATTTTCTAAGTACTTTCTTAAACTATATCAAGTGCTTCCTTGAAATACTTGTAATTTTAAATAAGAGAAAATAATTAATAGTGCTTTTGTCTTTAAAATTTACATAAATAAAACATTTAAAAAAGAGATTATTTTACATTTTTTTCGCTTTTATCATCTTGGATTTTTTAAGAAGAAGAACTACTATTATCTATTTATTTACTAAATAAAATGTCATCCAAACCTTCCTTAATGTGGTCAAGTATTAGTTCTTCATATCCTCCTTCTTCAAGTTTTTATTGGATTTACTCGTCACTAAGTTATCCAAAAACAGAAGGTTATTTTTTTCTGAAACTATCATACATTTTCTAAATTGTTTCAAATGTATCCTTTTGTAATTTTGAAAATGAGAGAATAATTAATTAATTAATCGGTCAAATAGTTTTTGTCTTTAAAATTTAATATATAAATTAACTGAAATAAAAATTAATTAGATAATTTTTACATTTTCTTGTTTTTTATCTTATTCAGTTTACTTCATATTTGATAATTTACTATTTACTTCATTTTCTATGTTAGGCAAACTTTCTTCAATCACTTCAAGTAATAGATCATTATATTATCCGCCTTGAATTTTTTATTCTATTTATTAGTTACTGAGTTTTCCAAAAACAGAAGGTTACTTAGTTCTCAAACCTTCATAAACTTTCAAATTTGCATCGTAATATAAATCAAGTAATTCCTCGCTAAAGTTGTTTAATAACTTTTTATCATATTTATTTCCATTTGTTTACTTCTAATTATTTGATTCTGTACTAGATTAATCTTTATTTTTTGTTGCTTTTTATTACTTTGACTTTTCATTAAATTGTTTTCCTGATTTTTGATCAGATTGATTTTATTTATTAGCCTTATCTAAATCACTTTTTTCTGCTTACTGATCAAATTGATTTTAATTGCTTTCACTCAACTCATTAATTGTATTTTCTTCATCTTGTTTTTTTTACTTTTGCTTATTATTAATCTTTTATTTTGTTAAAACATCTTAAGCATCTGTATATTTTTTTAAAATTTGTTGCAATTCATCTATTATTTTTCTTTCATCAAAAAGCGGCTATTACTCAACTTATTTATATAATTTTTCTTATATTTAATTAGGAATCTATTCCTTTATTTTTTAAATAGTTTCTTTTTACTACTTTTTTCTTTCTTCTCTTGTTAGTCTAACTCCTTTTTTTAACTGATGATCATTTGAAAGCCCTTTGCTTGAGGACTTCTAATTAGTATAAACAAATATTTCCTTATCAAAAGACTCAATTATATCTTTCATTTCTCTTGAACTATTATTTACGTCGATTGCTGGATATTTATTTGCATCAGCTACATCAGATTTGTCAATGTGTACTACAATATTATCTATTATAACATAAGGCGAGAAGCTGATAGAGTTAACTTTATGATTAGCTTCTACTTTATATAACTTAAACTAGTTCTGAAGTGCTGACAAAGTGACTGAAAAATTCTCTTTCTTAATAAAGTCATAACCTTTCATTTAAGCTGTAAGTTTCTCATATTTTGTATAAGCAGGGTTTATTTTAGCGTAAAAGCTAATTATTTTAACTTTTAAGTTAAATTCTATCTTTCCAGGTTTTTCGTTTGTTAAAATATATGCATCGCTTGGGACAGAAATTAACTAATCCAATCTATCTAAATATTAAGTTTAAGTATTTGCTGTTTACTTTTTCCTATTATTTTATTTAAATCATTTTATTAGCTTAATTATTTCAAATTACTTACAAAGTTAATTATTAATTTTTCAAATAAGTTTTTAATGTTTTACGGATAAAAGAAGTAGAAATCAGTGAATTAAAGCTACAGATATTCGCTACTTTGCTATCTCGTAGTAGATACGATTTGTTGTCCTGAATTAAGATTAATTGTATAAAATGCTTTCAACTCTTAATTTTATTGAGATTCAATTGCCTTTTTGTTTAGTTTTTCTGTTTAAAATTGCAAAGCTAAAAAATATCTAAATTACCTCAAGTATATTAAAATCAGCTAGCAATTTGTATGGGAAATCTTTTTCTACAGGTTTATAGAATAATTCTTCATCTAAAAGAGCTCTGCTCTTATCTAAATAATATTAAGAAGGTAGAAAATTCGTTTATTTTATCTGAAAACTTTCAATTTATCTGTGTAATTCATACATCTATTATTTTAAGAAGTTTCTCATATTTTTAGAGTAAAAGTTATCTTCAACAATATCATGAGTGGCATTAGAAAGTAAAGAGCAGTAAGGTCCTTCCTTGTATGAGCAAATATATTCATTATTTTATTGCTATTTCTCGAATATATCAAGGAAATAAGGATTTATATCTATTTTTGAATCTAATTTTTATTTTAAAAATTAAGTAGGCTCTTGTAAAGAAAAGCAATTCCCCTATCCAACTAAAGCCAATACTATTAAAGCTATATACAAAAGCATTAACCTGTCGTTAATTCTTTTATACATTTCGTTTTTTTATATTAAAATATATCTATTTATTTATTTAAAATGATCTTTTCTAAAATTTCTTCGTAATTTAATATTTGATGAAAAACAAATTTCTGACAAGTGTTAACTTAATATAAATTCAATTAAATTTTTTTAAGAGATAAACCTTACAAGAATGAGCTTTTAAAATAAATTATTAAACAAATAAATTAGATTAAATTATAAAAACAAATTAAAATTTATTTTATTTGTTTTCTCAATCAACCAAACAAACAAAAATTCAAGAATGGATAAATATGTTAATAAAAAATAAAATAATTTAATTTAATACTTAATTTTATTGAATCAAATGGTATTATTTTAGTGATAAGATTTATATGATATTTTAAAATAATTAATTTTTAAAAATAACAAATTAGATTTAATTATAAAACAAATTAATAAATTTTTTAATATTAAAAATAATTTGAATCAAATTGTATAATAATAGTGATAAGATTTTTATGATTTTTTTAAATTATTATTAAAAATAACAAATTAGATTTAATTATAAAACAAATTAATAAATTTTTTAACATTTGAATCAAAATATATTATATTAGTGATAAGATTTATATGATTTTTTAAAATAATTATTAAAAATAAAAAATGAGATTTTATAAAAAAACAAATTAATAAATTTTTTAATACTAAAAATAATTTGAATCAAATTGTATAGTATTAGTGATAAGATTTATATGATATTTTAAAATAATTAATTATTAAAAATAACAAATTAGATTTAATTATAAAATAAATTAATAACTTTTTTAATACTAAAAATAATTTAATTAAATAAAAATATTTGTAAAATAAGGATCAAAAATTATGTTGGTTCACAAAAATAATAATTAAATTCAAAATATTAATTAATTCAAATGTTTTAATATTTAGTTTAGGCAGTAACATAATATTTATAAAATACTTGAAGTAAAATTAAAGTATTAAATACAATTATTTTTAATTTAATAAATTGATTTTGTGTTTTAAAATAACAGAGATTTACTCAATTAATCTTTGAATTAAGTAAAATTGAGAGAAATATTTTACTGGTGCTTAAATAATAACTATTTTAAATATTGAGCGATTATTCACTTTTATTTATCAGAAATATTCAAGAAATTTGATCATGTGGGCCAAACAATGGAATTCCTTTTTTAAGTTTAGTTAACTTTTTTGCTTTTAATTTTTTTGTTATTAAGAAATTAAGATTTGAAAAATCTAATTAAAAAGGACTAAGACATACAGACATACAAACATTCATATATTTATGTATCTCAAGATAAAAAATCTTGTAAGATATGTGATTAGATTTGCTAATTAAAAGGAAATAAATAGTACATGCTGTCAATCATCAAACATCTTTAGAATACCAATAAAAGAATTTTTTGATTGATTTTTTAACTCATTTCATATCAAAAAAGAAATTAATAAATAAATAAATAAAAAATATCATTTTTGGCATTATTTGATAATTAATTATAAATATTTATTAATAATATTCAATAAGCTCAGATTTGCCTTTTATATTAAAAAGTAGATTTGCCAAAAACTAAATAAATTTTAGGGTAAAGCACATAATAATCAAGCAAGCAAGCAAGTAATCAAGCGTTAGTAAATAACTGAGCATAAATAAAATATTCAAAGATGTCAGCTGAGCCATTGTAAATTCTTTGATTTCAATTAATCTATTTTGTTAACTAAACAATCAAGAATACCTTACCTTGATCTTTAATGTTCTTTCTAATATTAAAAGAGTAATCAAAGATAGAGATTATCAATTTTTAGAGAAAAATCGTCGTAAAAAATTCCAATAAACAGCAAGGAATCCTCTTACAGAAGATCGTTCTAAGTTGAAGCAAGTCAAAAATAATAACTTACTCGCTTAAATAAACAAAGCAGGTGCTGATGCTAAAGTAATCATTAAAACTGAAGGAGGATTTGTAGATCCTCTTTCTCGTTTGAAATCTAAACCAGCAAATCCTTTGGCTCGTATACCTATCAAAAACCCTTTAATGGCTGTAAAAATTTAATTTTTTCGTTTGTCTTTTCAAAAAAAAAACGCAGTTTACTCAAAAAATAATTTTAGTATTCGTAATTATAAATTAATAATTCATAAATTGTTAAAATGATAGAACAAAAATTAAGAAGAATAAGCTGAAAAACCTGAATAACCTGACCCTCTTGCAAGAAAGGTCATTATGAACGCTCAAGCCGACTAATTAGAGTCTATTAAGAATGAAGAACAAGAAAGCTAGCACTGGGAAATTATTCGTAAAGAATATGTTAGGACATTCGACTTAAATATCAGACATCTTAATGGACAAGTTAATAATGTAAACAAATAAATGCAATAAAAGCTCAAAATCATACAAATATTTTGATTATTTATAATAGCCTTTTGGAAGTAATGTAGTAGGTACAGAAGAAAGAAAAAATAAATCAGTTTAGTAAGGTAGTAGATATGAATAAGACAAATCTTATACTTAACAAAAGTACTAAGTGGTAAAAAATAAATTTATTTATTAAATGAGCTAAAGGAGTAATTTTTTTTCTTTTCAATTAATAAAATAAAGCAAACAATTGCTATGAAAACATATATTGAAAATCTTATAGAAATGCATTCAAAAATGAGAAAGAAATGGAATGACTAAGACAAAGTAAATAAAATTAGCTTCATAAAAAAAAAATTATATTAGAATAATTGATATTAATTTAATAAACATTATTAAAATTGTATGATAGGTAGGAACCTTGTAAATTACTATTCAAGCTATTAAGCTATTTGCAGACAATGACTAGCCAAGATTTGCTCCTTACAAATATGTCTATATTATGGATATTTTAGACAGTTTCTCTAAATTTGTTTTCTAAAGAATGAAAAAACTCTCTTTCCCTTAATATACTTCTGAAAAACTCAAAACTTTAACTTTCTTTGATATTTCTGGTGCAAACATCCCAGAAAGTGCTCAAGAAATCTGCAGAAATTGGCTTAGAAAAGTTAGCTCTATTAGAGAACTTGTCCCAAGAATATACATAGAAGCAGCTTTATTACCAATTTACTATTTTATCGATTCTACAAAGGTAAATCAACGAATATTTCTTCAAAAATACAAACACTCATCTCATAATTAATTAATGTATTTATTTATTTTATTTATTTAATTATAACAGATCCAATAAAATTTGTTTAAGCTAAGTTTCCAGAGTAGATGTATTGGTGATTATATTAATTCAGTCAATTACAGCACTTTCCTTCTTCGTATTGGTGCTGAATTGCTCCCTAAAGAAAAATCTCATATTCTGTAAATGCTAGACGATTTCTTCTATTATATGAAATAGAGTAAATAAATTGAAAAAATTAAATCATCTTTATTTATAATTAATTTTTTTATTTTTAAAAAAGGTTAATTTGGCTAGTCAGGATTTTCAACTGATGAATATTTAAGGTTATTTGAACCTTTCCTTTTAACAGCATTCAGAATATACAGTGAAAACTGCAGTGAATAAGAATTTAGCGAGTTATTTTCAATTTATTAGGGTAGCAACCAACATTCTGAAATTTTATCTAAAATTGTTTAAGCCTTTTCACCTGAATTGATTGCTAAATACTCAAGTGAAATCTTTTTAATCATTTCTTCTTATCATATTGACTATAAATTTAAAATGTACACAATCTTTTTGCCTAAGTTATCTCGTGGTATCCAATCAATGAATGGAGCTCCAGTAAAGAACCTTTCATTAACTATTATTTTCTTTTTTGATAAAATTTTATTTAAAAAGCCATCTTCTATTAAAATATAAAAAAATTTAATGCAATAAGCGAAAATTTAAATTAAAATTTATTTATTTTATTGCTAAATATTTAATTTTAATATTTTAATAAATTTTAAAATTTGAAAAGAAATAAAAATAGTAATTAACTTTTTTAAATATAAAAGATTGAAATATGCAATTTGGTTTGGATAGATTTGAAACAAGTTAATAAAATAGATATCTTTTTAACTATTTTAGTGTCATTCATAGAATTAATAAACAAGTGCTTCAAAGGGTATCAAAAGACTAAAATATTCTAGAGCATAATTGAAAAATTTAATGAACTATTTTAACAAGTTGATACATCCAATGATAAAAATAATTAAACTTTATTGAAATTGGAGTAGTTTATTAAATCAATATTAACTACTTGTGATGATATTAGAGAAATACTAACTATTGAACCTTTCCTATAATTCATTTCTTTCTTCCCTCCATAGTTAAAGTATAATGTCAGCAAAGATGTACTTGGAATGTTCATGGAAAGAGAAAAAATTTAGAAGATATCTGATCCCATAGCCGTTCATTCTATTCTTTAAAGTAAATTTTTAAAGTGCATTATTCAAGCAAATTATATCATCAAAAGTATCAAAATTCTTCCTAAAAGCTAAAAAAACAAAATAATATTTTTGTTAGATAAATAAATATTATATTCTAATTTAATTTATAGTAAAATCATAAAAAGGATTTAAAATATCTTTCGTATACAAAAATGAATGTATAAATTAATTAATTTATCCAAGTTTTTGTTAAAATGAAAATTTGAAAAAAATTATAAATTCTTAAATTAATATTTAAATTAAATAAAGTTGCAAAGAATTTAAATGAAGGTGACAAAAAATTAGAAGATCCTAAAGAATTATTCGTTTTACTCAAGTCTTTCTTTGAAAAGATCGATTTTGGCAGAAACTTAGAATAGATGTTAAATTTATATACTGAAATAAGAGCTAGCTTTGGTCATATAAACGAAGTGGTTGAATATGTCATTAATAAAGTTTCAAATTTAACTTTTACTGCTAAAAATATGTTTACTTCTCAAAAAATGCAAAAGAAAATCACTGGCTTCTTGCAAGCTTGTGTTGCATTCTGTTATATTACTATTCCTATGATCGATAGTCCTCTAGTACAATTTAAATATTACTACATGAACTCCTCAAGTAATAACTTAATTTAAATAATAACTATTTTAAAATATTTTATATTAAATAAATAGTTGCTCTTCTTCACAACTTGATTTCATAAGCTGAATCTTCATTTAAAACAGCTTTATCAATTTTAGTTGATCTTCCAGAACAAATTAATGGAAAAAACGTTGATGAATTAGTAATTAGAGACTTGTCAAGTATGGTTTCGTTTATGATTGTTTTACCTGACAATCCAGAAAGCGATATTTTGCACCTTTATTCTGGTTTCATATCACTTTTAAGTTAATTTAAATGGTAATGACTTTTTTCATAAATAAAAATTATTAATTTCATTTTTTAAAAATCTTTGATTTTTAGTAAAATTTTAATTAAATTAATAATATGAATAAATTATAATTAATTATTATTATACTTATCAATGATTAAAACAATAATTTTTATATTTAATAGGTCATCAAGAAATGGAGAAAGCTACAAATTGAGCTTGATAAAAGATTTAATAGCATATCTATGTATTTAGAAGTAAGAAAACTTCCCTTATCACATTGATGGTGTTAGATCAAATGATAAGCTTTTCGTTGATTAAGAATTTAAGGCCACAGTTGTTGACTAAGTTAGCAATTTACTTTACAAGATCTAAGAAATAATTCCTGAAATAGCTCCAAAGAACTATGACCAACAAGTAAGTAGTATTTTGTACATTTGAAAAGTTAAGTAAATTTTTTTTTATTGACCAATTAGGAAAATAGATTGTTGATTAGAAATATTTGTCATGCAATAAATACTATATTGATGTACATTGAACCTAATAGAGTAGTTAAATCTGTGATTTCTCAATTGGTAAATGTTATTAATAAAAAATGTAACGACTTAAATAGAGATCCATTTGGAAGAAAGATTCTAGATGAAATATACAATTTAATTAAGTAAACTTTATAGAATATAGAAAAAAATGCTAAAGTAAAATTTATTTTTTACAATTAAAACTAAAAAAATCAATCATATTTAATAAAAATTTTAGGAAGTCAAAGATTTCTAAGTCTACAAAGACAATATCAATGCAGTCTTAGACTCAGTAAAAAAATAAAAATGATATTTTTGATAAGTAAAATTAAAATTAAAATAAGCAATTAAGATAATTAGGTGTTAAATTTGTTTGTTTTCTATTTGGTAATTTGGTAAATTAAGTATTAAATAAATAAATTAATAAATTAATTAATTAATCATTCTCTTGAAAAAGATTAACTAATAAATGTATGTACAACACAATAAAGTACTGAATTAAATTATTATATTAATTACAGTTATAAATAATATGTTTATTTTTTTTAATTGTTTGTTTGTTTGTCAAGTTAATTTACTTTTTTAGAATTCTAGCAACACATTTAGTATTGATTTGTTGTTTTTTTTAATGTTTGAATATTAATTTTTTGCTTCTTTGTGTTTTTGTTTGTTTGTTTGTTGTTTGATTTTTTCTGCCATCCAACTCATACAATGTGAATAAAGCTTTTACCCTTGGTATTCTTTAAAAAGATAGGCTAATTTAGTTGTTTTTGCCATTTTTTACAACTCTGCTGTTTAGATGAATGTTTTCAAGAAACCTAATCAGTAGAAATTTAAGAGTAACTGGTTTTATTTATGAGTAAATTGAGTAGAGGATGTTTCTGAGAATATAATAATTAGATCAAATAAAATTTAATGTTTGTTTTTGTTTAATTAATAAAGAAATTGATTATTTTTGTTAATTGTTTTTAGTTCTATTTGGTAAAATAGAAATATTATTAAGTTATTATCAATACAATGAATAACTCAACATCTTTCGAAGATCTTGTATGCATCTTCTTGCTTAAATAGCTTAACTGTAAACTCGCTAATATCTAATTTAGGGAGTGAAAGTTTTTTTTTAATCATTGGGAGCATTTTTTATTCAAAGAAATCGTCCCATTTCTGCTTTTGCGTTTCCTAGAAATGCTGTCTTTACAATTAATTTTTAAACGATTTTTCTAATTGCCAAGCAAAGTAGAATGATAATTCGTTTGCTAAGCCCATACCTGATTAGAGTATTTCGCTAAAATTAACCTTTGAATTTAAAAAGTTTATTATATATTGTTTGTAAATAAGCAAATAGCTTTTTATTTATTTATTTACTTTGGTGATTATTCTCAACAGAATGTATGAGATATCTTTAAAGTTATTATCATTTTCAAATAAATTAAATAAATTAGGGAAAGCCAAGAGCTTTTAATCTTTGATGACTATGCCTACGGAGTCTCTTAAAAAGTCACTCAATAAGCCAAATTACTCGATGTAAGTCTAATTTTAATCAAAATATTTTATTTATTGATAAAATTAACAAATAACTAACATACATCCATATTTGACAGATGGAACTCCTTTTTCTCATTCGGTATCTCATCAAAATTTAATAAAAAATACTCTAAAATATCCTTCAAACCTATTGCTTAATTTAGCTCTACAGGCTTAATCTATCCAAAGTTTCTCAGAATTTCAAATTTAAATATTTCTTAACTTTTTTTAAAATAAATATTTTGGTTATTAAAATCAAAAAAATGTTTCTAAAATGATAAATAAATATTTTGGTTTATTTTTTTGTTTCCATTAAAATTTAAAAGAAAGAGCGAATGATTTAAAGATGAATTTACCATAATGGAATAGAGTTTATAAGGTAGAGATCATCTCTAAATTGAGCTAGAAAGTGATTAGAAGAAATACAGCCAACATACGTAAGATTTTTAAAGAAAGAACTTGTTGTATCATGGATATCTTGATTCCTTAAAGACAATAACTATTATTATACTTAAATACGTGGGTCATTAACTTAAGAATTTGCCCTATCGATGACACTTGAACGAGCATTATTAGCATCTAATTAGTCAGAGCTTCCTATATTACTGATTGAAGTTTAATTTCTTTCTTCATTGAGCATCTTTTTCTTTTTAATCATATCAACAGGTTCTTCAGCAATATCATCTTGACTGTTTAGATGTTCTTCTTTCTGCTCTTCAATATAATTAATACTTTGATAATTTTTTTGATTTGAATTGTTATTTCCATCTTCAGAGCTTTCTACTGAAAAGAATCTAGTAATTTTCTAATCTCTGGGATCTACACGAATTTGCTTGGTGGGTTGATAGTAATCAGAATTTTGCTTAGATAAATTGCTCTAAGAACCAAAATATAATTGACTTGAGCTACTTCTTTTCACATTTGAAGTTTCAAATGAAGATGTTCTTTATGAAATATTTGCTGAAAGTTGTTTGATAACTCCACAATTTTTCAAATTTTCGAAAATCCATGATTCAATTTCTTTTGCTATTTCGTACTCAAATAAGAATTTGACTTCTTTTTTTGTTGGGTGAACATTAGGATCCAAGTTCTTTGGATTCATTTCTAAGCTCAAGTAGCAAAAATATCCACCTTCTTCTTCATGAATACTCTATATATATATTATTATTATTGTTATGTAATTATTATATAAAATTAAATTTAAAGCAGTTCTAATGATAATTAAAATTGTTGATTAAATCTCATTAGTTAATTAGGTAAAAAGGTTTTACTTAATAACAAGACTGGTAAGAGCGTTCTACTGCTTTTTTGATAGATTCACATTCAACCAAACGATTATTTATAAAGAGAGTGATTTCTTTGTATTTTTTAGTAGCTCCAATGTTGGAAAAAGTTCCTTTAAATTTAACTTAATATTCTGTCGACTCACTTTCACATGAAGTAAAGCTTTTATCTGCAATCTTAGTAATTTGCTACATAATTTATTCTCTTCTCTAGAATTTAATTAGAATTAATTAAAATGTATTTAATGTTTACGAAAGTTTACTTGCAATTCTGTAGAGCCAAGCACACTGTGAGATGAGAATTGAATTTGGTTATCACTTTTAAATTTAAATCTCAATTTAGCATGATGCATAGCAAATTGTCCGATCAATTTGAGTACTCTTTTTTTTTCTTCGTTAACATTTAAACTTTTTCTCCTAATTATTTAAAATAGAATTATAAGTTAAAGTGAGAAATTTATTTATTTAATTAATTAATTAATTAATTATATTTTTTATAAAGTAGAAGGTATTTATTATGAGTGTATTAATCAATGAATATATTTATAATTATTAATATTAAAATAACCCTTTGTTATTTAATTACGTGGACAATATTTTAAAATATTTGGTTTAAAGTAAAAACTTTTTTGTTTGTTTTATGGGTGAACGAACAAGAAATTTAAATTAATAATTAGTAGATATAAAAAATAATCAACTGGGTAGAGTTTTTAGTTTAGGTTGATTGATTGAGTCAAATATTAATTCATTTATAAAAAAAAATTGTGCGCATTCATTAATTTAATAATAATCTAAATCAATTTAATTATTTTATTTCTATCTCAAAACTTAATTTTTATTAGTGGCAAAGAAATCATTCATTCAAAATTATTGAATTAGAAGATAAAATTTAGGAAAATTAAAAAGATAAAAAGGATTTCTTCAAAATTATATTTTTTTATTTATTTCTTTACTTCCAAAAATGGCAAGGTATTAAGTTTTAGTAATTTATTTGCATTTAAATTAAATAAATTAACGTAAGCTGAAGGAAATACCAAAAATTTTTATCTCTATTAACATATTTTGTAAATTTACTTTCACCTTCTAAATCAAAAAGAAAAAAAAAGTAAAGCCAATTGATTATAATTCTTTCGAATATTCGTAGACCCCCTATTTTATTTAATAATACTTACTTTCTAATCTCAATTATCATTATCAATTTCATTCAATTCATAACAGCCAAAAATAAATCTCTCTCTTTCTCTTCAATAGCTACAGAGCAGCATTTATAAACTGTATAATATTGTTTGCATTTTTAAATAAAAAAGCTATCTAAATTGGGCTGTTATTTTTGCTTTGCTATGGTTGATTCAATTAATTAAACACCTTAAAAGTATAAAACTATAAATTATTTTTGCTAACTTTCTGTTAATCTTTGAAGGAATTAAAAATATTTTTATATGTTCAAGCCTTTTTCAATACACTTTTACTAGAATTAAATATTTTCGTAGCTTTAAGAAGAATTTATTTGAGAATTATGAATGATTAATTGCCATTAAAATGAATGTTAATGAGAGAGAAATAAACATTAAATAGTAATCAAATTAATGAAAATTGATTGATTGAATGACAAAATTTTAACACCTTTGTTTCTAAACTATAAATTTTTCTTGAAAATTATCAAAATATATATTAGTATTTTGATTTTATGATAAATGAATGAATGGCTTTAACGCGATAATTGTTATTTCAACAACATATTTTTAATTTATAATTGAATTTACCTTGCATCATAGTTAAAAAATAAATCCTAGACATCTACTGTAGTCCCTTCAGTACAGTTCACTGCTTCAGGCTCTTCACCAAGCATAACACCGTTTTTGAAACTAGCTTTATATCCTAGGTCAGAATTAGGTTTTCGAGATGTGATTTTCAAGTTGGAGACAAAAGAAATAGAGGCTAACGCTTCTCCTCTAAAGCCAAATGAAACTAAACTCTAAAGGTCATTAAACTCATTTATCTTAGAGGTAGCAAACCTTTCGCAGAGAAGTGGAAAATCGTCTTTGTGAATTCCAGAACCATTATCTTCTACAATAAGCTACTTTAACCCTCCTTATACTAACCCTACTGAAATTTCACTTGATCCAGCATCAAGACAGTTCTCAATAAGCTCCTTAACAGCTATAATTAATTATAAATAAACAAAAAAATTTAATAAAATGATCAATTAAAATTTTATCCTTTCATTTAATCAACTCCTTTATGTCCTTTCATTTGTTAACTAACATATTTATTTGCCCTTATTATTTATTGTATGTTAAAATACTAAACAAACAATATTCCTAAATTTACTGAAAATCTAATTTATACTAAAGAAAATAATCAGGAATAGCAAGCAGCTTAATTTTACTCTAAATTTAAGCTGATGAGAGCAAACAGTTTATTGGGTAAATAAAATGCATCATAACTTCTACAAAATATTCAGCAATAAAAATTCTTTAATTAGATTTCTAGCGTAGGAAAAATGGAATGCAAAATTTAATTTTAAAAACCCATATTTATTTCTTGATATTAATAATCTGCTTAATGATATATGATAATTATTTAATCAAAGAAGTGATGCTTTGATTTGAAAGAAACTATCATCAGGATATTGAAAAATAGAAAAGGACGGATTCAAATACCTGCAGATGGACGTTGTACTACTTCACCAGCTGCAATCTTATCGATAAGCTCTTATGGGAGCTTCTTGATCTGAGGACCAGTATTTTCTAAGGGTTAGGAATGATTCATATACCTATGTATATTCAATTACTTTTTTTATGTATATTTAATAAATTAAAATACATTATAATTAGATTGATATCTTACTTTTTTTAATGATCAATTATAAATATAACACAAACAAGCAAGCAAGCAAATAAACAAACAAAAGTACATGCAAGCTCTTTTTGTTAATAATTTAATATAGTAATTAATTCTTCATCAAAATATTACTATTATTTAGCTTCTTATTCATTTTTGATTGACCTTTATATATATGATTAGATTTTGTAATTTCAAAGTTTGAAGCTTTTGGTGCAATTTGCAAATTTATAATTATTAAGGATTTATCATATTAGTTAGCATTTATTTGAGACAATTACATATTCTCTACAAGCTATACATTTAATAAATTGATTGATTGTCCCCTCCTTTAAATATCTAATCACAAAAAAATATCAATTTTTATAAAATTACAATCAAAGTTAACAAATATAAAGAATATATAATTATATTGTAGATTTTTATTGATTTATCTTTGAATGAGTTGAATAATATTTCATATCAAATACATTTAATTTTCAATTAAAATTCTTAACTTTTTGAAGAAAATTTTAATGATAATAAAATAATTGCATTTTAGTTTTATCACAAATTAAATTTTTTTAATTGTCTATCATATGAATATGAATGAGTTGATTAAAATAGCAAAAAAACACTTTAATTTTTTCTTTTAATGATTATTTTTATTGTAATATTTTTCTGGTTGATACTTTTTTGTATTTATTTTAATTTATTTCAATGAGTAAATAAGAAAAATAAATAGCTTCTAATACTTTAAAATCAATTTTATTTGATGTTGAAATTTATCAACATTTCAATATTCTCAAAAATAAAGTAAATTTATATTTAGTAAAATTGAATTAGGCATATGTATAAATTTATTATGAAAAGAAAGTTTATTTAAGAAGTATATTTATTTAAAAGAAATATATATTTTTAAAGAATAGATAGAAGAAGTTAAAAATGTAAATTATAAATTATTTAAATTATGTATTTGTAAATTAAACTTTTTGAATGTCTCAAAAAACCACCTATTTACTTGCATTCACCATGTTCTGTAAATATTGAACTTGTTTCATAAATTAGATTTAGAGACTATATATATAAATATATATATGAAGAGATTAGGATGGCTCTCAGAGAATAAGAGTAATTAATTTTTAGTTGTTCATTTCTTTTGGTAATAATATTAAAATTATTTTTTTTAATTTTATTTGATGCTTTTTAGGCAAATTTATTTTTTTAAAATTATAATTTTTTTATAGGGAAGATTAGAAATGTTGATTGATTATCATAAAAATTTAGTTAATTTCTTCAAATACATATTTTAATTTTAAATTTATAATTCTTTGTCACCAAATATTTTGTTCTATATTGAATTTTAATTTTAAAAATAAAAAATGGATAAAAAAAATATTAAAAGATATATTTTATACTTTAAAAATATCTATATTTTATGTAGAAATTTACTAACACTTGTAATCAAAATATTGATTGAAAAAATAAATTATTAATTAAATAAATGTTTTACACAAAATTGTTATTTTATATTGATATACTTATTTAGCTAACTATCTTTTAAATTATTAATATTTGTTTATTTAGTTCAAAACTTTTTAATTTGTTCTAAAAGAGAAGCAAAAAATAAAAGAAAGTAAAGATTCATAAAAACATCAAAAATAACAACATAATTAAATGGGCGATCATTATTATTAAGTTTATGGCTTAAATACTGAGAGCGGTATAGTTGAAGAAGATGACGATCATAATATTTTTTTAGAAAACGAAGATGAATAGCATAGTCATTAAAAACATAATGTAGTTGTAGAAAATTAAATTAATACTCAAAGCAATTAAAAAACAGTGAAGTCAAACACCTAAAAAAAATCTTCAAATACTGGAAGCTACAACACAAATTAATTATAAAAATAAATAATAAATGATAAAGTAGATTTTGATTAGCTTAAATTAGATGAGCAATTATTTTATCATGTTATGGATGATGATAATTTTGATTATGCAAAAGACTATTTTGAAAAGAATTAGGATCAATTTGAAGTCAATAATATATTTTACTCTATTGTTTTATATCTATTAGAGAAGATTTAGCAAATAAAAGAGCTGAAAGAGTAAAAAAAGAAATACAATTAAACGGAATACATTTAAGAATTAAATGAAATATATCAAAATATAAACAAATATATCAACTTTATTCAACAAAACTTAAATGATGATAGCATCAAAGTAGAAAATATCTCTAAAGATTTGGTGATATCTTTAGTAAAAAAATTAAATAATTTTAAATCTATTCACATACGTTTGGTGATCTTTCAATGGCTTTATTAATGTTTGTAAGTTTAAAACCCTCGCATAAATTGTATAATTGCATTATCTCTTATTAAATTAAATCAGTTATAAAGCGCAGAATATTATGTTGATTAGGCTCTTATGTTTCTTGATAAATAATCTAAACTGAGAGATTTATTGGTTATTCTCCTTTTCTAGTGTCATAGTGAATAATCAATAATAGACAAAGAATTTAATAATAGAATATAAATATTTGATAGCAAAAAGTAACATGATTTAGAATATCTTCAGTTTTGCTTAGAATATTTAAAGTCTCTTAAGAGAATTGGAAATGTAGAATTAGTCAGAAAAAATCTATATTTGCTAGGCAGCCCATAGATACAAGAATATCATAAAAAGTTCTATGAAGAAAATCTATTTTAGCTCTACGATTTAGTTATATTTACTAACAGATTACCATATGTTTTGAAGTTAATGGAGCACGGTAAAAATTTCGATTCCAGATAATTTATTGATATTTAGAAGTTTGAAAATGACCCCAGAGATTTTATTATCGAGCTGAATGTGTGCTTACTTTAAAAAATAAGAGACCTAGGTTATTAAGGTCCATATTTAACTATTTTCTTCACCCTGATTGTCGGATAAGATTATGAGAGTCTATAGGAATAGGTTAAAAAAAATTTCTCAACAGACATCATCACTAAAATAGAAAAGAAAGAGAAAAAGGCAAATAAACAAATTTACTTGTTTACTGAGAAGGAATACTAAATACTAAAACCATTTACAGTTAAATATTTTAAAGATATTAAGGCTCTCAGCTAAGAGTATCTTCCCATACCAAGCGAAATACCCTACTTAGAATAATAAGATAAATCAAATTATTTTGATTTTCTAATGACCTTGAAGCGTTGTGGCTAATATGAAAATGTAGTACATCTTATAGATTATGGTCCGATTTTAAGAGATATTGATTTTGTTGACTAAGATTATTTGACATTATTCAAGTTCTTAACCCTTTAGTAAAATAACGAACCAATATATACTTCTTCAGATTCATTATAAAATACTTATAAAGCATATTCATAAATTTAAGAAAAACTACCAATAATTTTGAAGTCACTTTCTAGCAATAAAAACTATAAACTAGATATAGAATTCACATCTAAACATAGTTATAAAAGAATATTTAAAAATCTCTTCATCTTCTACAATAGAGCTATGTGTCTTGTATACTTAAAGTTTTATTAAGAATCTTACGAAACCCTTCTAATCATTATTGCAGTTATTATTAAATTAGAAGGCTCTTATTCTTATAATCTACTCCCATCTCTTTCTCTGCTCAGTGAAGTGTCATCATATCTTTAATAAAAAACCCTTTCACATTAATGTCTCATATATAAATAAATTATCCTCAATGACATCTCTTAATCTGATAGTGATATATAAATATCAGATATTGATTAATTGATTGATTGATCTATCATTGAAATATAAATTTTGAATGGATGAATATATATATGTCATGAAAGTTTTATTTATCCTTTTTTAAAAAATTAATTTATTTTTTTAATAAAAGACAAAAACGATATTGAGCCATTCCAAAATTAAGCTAAATTTTATTTGTAACAATCAATAAATTAATTGTTGCTTATCTAAATATTATTTTTTAAATATTATAAAATTAGCTAACTCAAAATAATAATAAAATTATAAGTAATAATAGTTTATGTATTTTATTTAAAGATTAGTATTATTTCTAAATATAATCCTTTAATATCTAAATTAATCTATCATAAATATTTTTAAAATAATAAAATCTTATTCAATTCTTTATTACTTTAAATAGTTAATTAAATTTAGTTTATTTTAACATAATTCTTTATTTATTTTTGGATTCATTTTATTTTAATTTTAATAAAAGTTGCTCAAAAAGTCTAAAATAATAAATTAATAAAATTTCTTTTTGAACTTTTTACTAAAAACAATAAACTTTTTTTATTCGAATAAAATAGTTAATAAATACATATTTATATGATCTCTAAAGTTATTTCTTAAATAAAAATTCTTAATTAATATCTTATTAGAATATTTATTTATTAATGTTAAAATAATAATTTGTATTTATTTTAATATTTATTGATGATATTAGAATATTAAAATTATAAAAGAAATATAAATTTATTAGAATATTTGCTTATGTTTAAATAAAATATATTTAATTTAAAAAATTCTTTTTATTTTAAAATCATTTATTTTTTTATATTAATAAAATATTGGTATATATCTGAATTAAGGTTTACTAATATTTAGATAAATTTTATCATTTAATCCAAACCAAAAATTGTAAACATAAATTATGTCTCCCTAATATCTTGAAATCTCAGATGATATTTTAAATAAAGATATTTTTTTATTTTTTAGGAATCATAAATAAATAGGTAGATCTTACTTATCCTGCTTTTATATTACATTAATTTATACACTTATATATAATCATAGACTGCGATTTTATGCTGAGTAAAATTTCGTATAATTTTCATTTTAAACAATAAAAATGAATTATTCGGACTATTTTTTATTTAAAAAGGGATTCTTTCTATCAATATTATAGAGAATTTACAGTAATTTAGTACAATAAATTTTTTGAATTAATAATATCTTAAAGAAACATGTAAAATGTTTAATTTTGATTTTTAATTTAAAAATGGTCAAACAACTATCTTAAAATAATTAGATTATTTAATTTATTTTATTTTCTATCATATCTTATCACTAAAGCTTATGGATTTTGTCTATTTAAAAAAAAAAATTTTTTTTTAAATTAATTACAAATATCTATTTAGATTTTAGTAACATTTTATTTAAAATAATTACATTTTTGAGTATTAATTTTTTAAAAATAATTAAGAAAAGAAACTTTTTAGTCTTTAATGTAAGATATTTAATCCAAATGTTTTAGTTATCTTTTACTTTATTTTTTATGATAGTTTTTTTTTTTGAATTGGATTGATTTCTGACATATTTAATTTAATTTCAAATGCTTTAAGCTTACTTGCATTACTTAGCAGGAGCGGGTTAACAAATAATTTTGATTGCATAAATGAGCTGGATGCTAAATGAAATAGATGATATATATATTTATTTTTAGTTGTATAATTTATACACAAAAAAATGAGATTGATTATCTTTGGAGTTAGTGAAAATTAATTTGTTACCTTCGAAATTTTTATCAAATTTATAAAAAAATTATTTAATTAATTTAATTTGCAAAAAAAATCTTATTAAGCTCTTGTTAAATACAAATCATAAAACATCTCAAAAGTATAGTTGATAGTAATCAGCTAGCTAGTTAAGTATTTTTAGATAAGACTCATTAAAAACATTTTATAAATAAATTTAGCAGTCATTAACAGACTTTAAAGTTATCAAAAATCAATAATATTACTTAGAATAATTAGGCTAGTAGCAATAAAACACTGTTCTGTAATACCTTCTCATCATAGAATAGAAAAATTTCACAAAATAATTCTATTGAAAATTTCATAGACAAAAGTATTTGTGTTTGAGCTAAGTGATGGATCAGTATACTTAGCTGGAGAATCTTGACTTTGCGTACTTTTAGAATACAATAAGCTCCTAGCAGAATATAAAAAATTTGTCAATAGTTTTTCTGTTTCTTTCATTTTAGAAGATAATATGTTTAGGTATGTATCAAGCGATGAGATTTTTAGTAGATGATTTATGGCGATACTAAAGAGAAAACTGGTATTATTTTGCAGTCGTATTGGGGTTATGCTCGTATTTATCAAGCTATTTAAGCAAGAGTATGGATAAAAATATAAACCGCGTCTTAGTTTTAATTTACTTTACTTTTTTCACTTTTTCAGAGGCTTATTTGGTTCATTTTATTATTAATTTCCTACCTAGCTCAATATAGTTCCATTATTGGATATACTAATTCGCTCTTTTTTCTTTCTTTGCAGCTTATTTTGAAAAATATTGCACTAGAATCGAATTTAAGACTCTTTCTAAAATATAATTTTGCTTTTTCTTATTCATCACTTTTGTATTCGTTCTATTAAATGCTCATGAATTCTATTTTATACTAGGCTATGGATTTATTTTTAACATTATTGGGTATGTTCACTCTTATAAAACAATATAGTTTCTCTTTGTTTCAACCTATGGGTGGAATTAGCTAAATTATCTGAGGTCTTCACTTGATCTTTACGTAGATAACTAAGTACTTTTCCCTTTGGCTCTCATAGACACAGCTAACTTTGTTGTAGATGCAATCGGTTATGAGTGAAAATAATATTTATCTTCTTAGTGAGATTAGAAAAAAGTATATATTAATCCTAACTAAAATTTTGATACAAAATAAATATGCAACTAAAAAACTCAAGATGGTTTCTAATGAATTAATATAAATTTTATTTAAAATTTAGCTACATTTTCGATAGATAAAAGTGAATGGATAGAGAAATAATCCTAAAACAAACATGATAAAATTAAATATTCCATTAAAAACATTTTACAAACCTATTTACTCTACTTAACAAATTAAATGTAAATAGTTTTCTTTCTTTATAAAAACAAATAATAAATTTTAGCAAATATTTATAAGGTCCTACATAATTAATAACAATTGTTCTATCTTAGAAATTATAAAAAGGAAATATTTTGTTTAAGCATCAATTAAAAAGCAAAATGTTTTGGTTATGTTGTGATTTTAACATAATTAATTAATTACAAGCAATAATAATCAAGCTATTAATCTAAATAGATAAAATAAGAATATTTATTTATATATCCTTTCCATACTTCCTAATAAACAAAATAAATTTCTCACTCACTCAATATAAAGCTTCAACAAAAGCTTCAAATAATTTACTTAAAAACTTTAAACTTGGACTGTTTGTTTCAGTAAATAAAATTTACATTCTTAAAATTCATTTGAACATGAAAAGTGGGATAAAAAATAAACTAAAATAAATGAATTTTTTTCTATTTCAATTAAAATTTTTATTATAAGAGCAAATGAGATAATTTTAATATTATTAAATTTGTTCTCTTGAATATACTTATGTTAAATTTAGTAGTTTTATAATTGTTTGCAGTATTAAAATGTATATCAGTATTTATTTGTATATCTAATATTCTATTTATTTTTATTTATTTATAAAGCCAATTTTTCTTTTAAAATTTAATTTATTTGTTTGATATTTCTTTCTTTGGTTTTTATTTAAGCTATTCTTTTTTAATTTCTTTTTGATTTTTCTCAATTTGAGTGTATTATAAAAAGTATCTATCTCTTTAGATTTCTCATTCAAATAGATTCAAAATAATATCAGTCAGGAATCAAAAGAAATTAATTAGATGATGAAATTCTTTCCTTTAATAAGAGATGACTTATATCTAATAAAGCACTACTTATATCAAATTTAAATTATCCATTTAATTATCTGAGAAATTAACAGACAGACAGACGGACAGACCTTCCTTTCTCTTTATATTTCGCCATTATATTTCTTTAATTGTAATTTAAATTGTTTTTATCAATTTTATTTTATACATCAAAATAATAGAAAAACAAACATGTCATCATCTTTTTATGGGAATATAGCTGCATCATAATTAAGCTAACGACTTCATTGAATTATCTTTTCTAGCAAGCACTACTCTGCAAAAATTTAATTTTAATGCATTGAAAAGCTGATGTGGAGAAACTTATAAATAAGAGAAGAAAATAAATAATTAATAAGAAATTTGCATAGGAAAACTAAATTCAATATAAAAAAAGACGAATAGGATTAATCCATATATATATTAAATTAAAAAAATTAATTGCTTAAAAGAAAAATCAATTAAAAAGCTTAAATAATTTCAACTTCATCCATTGAAAAAATAAAGATTGATTGAAAAATCACGCACATTACTAAACATAGCATTCGATAATCCATTATTCAAAATATATAAAATAGTAGGAAATGTAAAGACCAAAAGATACCGAATACGATTGGATATTTAAGTTACTTATTATTGGTGATTCTGGTGTAGGAAAAACTAATCTTTTATTAAGATTTTGCGATGATAAATTTGCTACCTCGCATTTAGCAACTATGGGTAAAATTATTTAAGAAATTCACATTAGCAATTTGAAATAAAAAACGATTATTGCAAAAATTATTTAATACCCATTTTAAAATGTTTATTTGATGGCTTCATCTAATTTATTTAATTTGAGCCAAAAGAATTTTGCGTATTTTGTTCAACTTTAACTAATGAAAAAATAAATGATCGATCTCATAATTAATTTTAACTAAAAAGGTATTGACTTTAAATCCAAAAAGATAGAAATTGATGGCAAAAAAATAAAATTACAAGTTTGGGATACTGCTGGCTAAGAAAGATTTAGATAAATCACATAAAATTATTATAAAGGAGCTATGGGCGTTATTATGACCTACTCAATAAATGATAAAGAATCCTTCAGAAATATTGAAGTTTGGATGAAACAAATCAGATAATAAGCAAGTGTAAACATTGCAAAATTACTAGTAGGTAATAAATGCGATATGGAATCCGAAAGACAAGTAACATTTGAAGAAGGTAAATCCCTCGCAGACACATTCGGAATTAAATTTTTCGAAACCTCTGCAAAATCTGATATAAATGTAACTGAGGCTTTCTTCACTATTTGTAAGGAAATTTAAGAAAAAATTAATATCAACCCAGAACCAAAGAGTGAATCTCCATTTACTCTAAAATAAGAATAGAACAATAATGGTAAAAACACTGGAAGAACATGCTGTTGAAACTTACTTTTGGTTGCAGACTAATTTATTTAATCTAAACCAGTAAAATAATAATATCAAGTAGAAAGAAGGTGACACAAAATTAATTTTTTCAATTTATAGTCTATCTATCCATCCATAGCTAAGTTATCTTCTAAAGTATTGGTTGTAAAGGCTTCAAGCTAGAAAACACCAGTAAGTAGTAAAGCATATTAGTCTCTTTTTAAAATGATTTGTATAACTCAAATTATCTATCTTTAACCTCTTAAAATCATATAAATATTATAATAATTCTAACTAAAATTATAAACTTCTTAAGTATATATTTTGATTATATTTCATGTGCTTAAAAGCTTCTCTTATTTTTTTTAAATAAAAAAGTTGTTTAAATAATTGTAAAATTAATTTAATCAAACAATCAATTGATCGGTTGTTCAAAAACTCATTCTTAAATTTTAAAGTGATGCATATTATTCTAGCTCATAAAAAATTTAAATTATTAAAAATAAAATACTAAATTCTTTAATTTAAATAATAAATATATAAGTTATTCATTCTTTAACATATTAATTTTTAACTACCATATCATTTTCATTTAATTTTAAAATTAATACAAACATTAAATTAAATATTCAATTATTTTCATTTAGTTATATTTATTTTAATCTATCATAAATAAATAATTAGATATATAGATAGGTAGAAATTTTTTATTTTAGTTAAATGTTTACTTAATTTATACTTTAAAGTACTATTTCATTTCTGTTTAGATTATAATTATTTTGTTCTTTGAAGCTATTATTAAAATTGGTTTTTAAATTTATAAATTATGAACAAATTAAATAAGTTTATGATAATTAAATTTATTTAAAATTTTTATTTTTTAATTTGGTAATAAAAAATTTTATTTTGAAATAAAGTTTTTTCTTAAAATTATTTATTTATTTTCATTAAAAATTAAATTTTATATTTTTAGATAAAATATTTTGCAATAGGTTACAAAATAAGTTGTTAATATTTTCAATTTTAGCATTTATTAATTAACTTTACAATTATTTAAGTAATATTTTTTAACTTTCTTTCATAATCAAATTAAAAATTTAAAAAAAAATAAATTAAAAGTTACATTTTTTATCTAATTTAATTTTTATATTTTTTTGTAAAACATCTTCAATTAAATATTTCTTTTAAAAATTAAACTCTATCTTTAGATATAAAATAAATGTAGCTAAAAATGCTCTTTTAAATTAATTAATTGACAGTTTGCTACTTAATTATAAAGATTTTTTTTTCTAAAAATTACTTTTATAGTAAACAAATTTACTTTAAATTTAATCTAAAAATTTTTTGCCAGGATTTAAATAAAGAATAAATACTAAAAATAAAAGTTAATTAAATAATTATCTAATTTGCTAATATTAATTAACTAAGGATTTTTAATGTAATATCAAAATTTTGATTCAAAGTAGCCTTAATTGCCCTTAATAAAATTTTATAAATGGTTTTTCATTGATTAAAAAAATATATAAGAAAAACAATCAGCTCAAAATATAATTCGAAGTATTAAAGAATATACTAAAGTTAATAAAAGAGTTAATTTCATCACATTCTTCTTAATTTTTTTGTCACCAAAAATCAAGATTAATTAATTTTGTAAAAGAAAATTTATTTCATTTTATTTGAAGTTGAGTGAATTTTATGTATTTTTATTTAAAAATTCAAAAAAATTTTTGTTTTCTTAAACGAAACAAAATAAATAGGTTAGTTTTAGTAAAATTAGCTTCCTTATAGATCCACAGATTGTTAGAGCATGCTTTTCTTGACAATAGATACCTGCAGCAAGCAGATAATAATTTACAGTATTATGCATTTTAAATTTGTCTTAAGCTTAATTTTTTTTTTTTTATTAATTTAAATAATAATTTTATTATTGATTTAAAAAGGGCATTTAAATAAGTAAATAAATTCACCATAAAATTTAATAGGTGTCATCAGAATTTTAGTTCATAATCATTATAAATTTTAACTCATTTTGTGCAATATAATTGAAAATTTCAATTTATAGACATATATTTGATAAAAGGTTTTGATACATACATACAATTAATTAAAAATCTGACAAAAAGTCATTAGAAAAATAAATTGTAGTATTAGAAATCGAACAAATAAAAATTGTGTGCTTAACTAAAATAAAGCTAGTAAATTAGACTTGCTAAAAATATGCTTACAGTTAGTACTCATTTATATAGTTAAATGTAATTAATAGGGAATATTATTAAAATAATTTCATTGATTAGAATTAAAATAAAATTGTTCAAAGTAGCAGTTATCTTCAATTTTGAGAAAACTCTTCCTGTATTTTCGAATTATTGATGCTTATAAATTCCTATCAATAAATAAATATAAAAATAAAAAATATTATATTTAAGATGTATTATGAGTGCATATTATATGCACGAGTATTTCTATTCTATTCTATTTCTTATTTATTTATTCCTTCTTACAAGAAATAGATAAAAATAATAAAAATTTAATGCTTTAGATAAAAATAATTTAATAAGTATATAAATAAATAAAGAATACTGCTCATATATTTTAGAGTAAAATAAATAAATTATACATTATTATTTTCAAAAGATTCAATTTTTTTTAAATTTTTTTATTAAAGTTTAATATAAATTAATATATAAATATAAAGATCAGACAGAAGATTTAAGTTATCATATTTTATATTCTTTGCTACTGGCTACATAATCCAAGCTAACTTAAGCTTTTTAGTTTAAATTAAATTATAATAAATTTAAAAAAAGAATCCTTAAATTTATTATTTATTTATTGATTGGTAAATAGTAATAGATAGATAGATAGATAGATAGATAGATAGATAGATAGATAGATAGATAGATAGATAGATAGATAGATAGATAGATAGATAGATAGATAAATAAATAAATAAATAGATAAATAATAATAAAAGCAGCTAGCTACTTCATTTAATAATTTTAGAACAATAATTAATTAATTAATTAATTTTGAATTTTAATAAAAGAATAAAAAAGTAAAGAAAGGATCTTGAAATAAAATTTACTTATTTAAAAATTATATTATAAATTTAAAGATGGCTTATATAAAAGTAAAAACGTCTTTAAATAATTTTGGACAATTTAATAAATTATTTGCAAGGAGTTTTTATATAAGAAATATTCTTATAAAAAACAAATTTATATTAAATTTGATCAAAAAAATTCTTATTTAGGATTTTGATGGAGAATAAATACCACAAATTTGATTAATTAAAAAATCATCTATTTCGTTTATAATAAGAATTTTTATTGTAATCGCTAGATTCTGATAAAATCAAAATAACTTGAATTATTCTTTACCAAATAATAAGTATTATTTTTCCTCAAACCATAAAAATGTAATAAAAATAAACATTTAAAGAATACTTTGACTTATTAAAGTATATGAATTAGTTAATAAGAATGTTCTATTAACATTTGTAACCAAAGCAGCATTAATTCATTTTGCAAAAAAATGTATTTCTTGAGAAGATTAATTAATCTTATAAGTTTAATTTTATTTAAAAATTCAAAAAATATTTGGATTTCGCAACAATTTAATAGAAATATTATAGCTATTATAACACATATAAATGAATGGTATAGATATACCTATTAAAATAAATATATACAATTAAAATATTTTTGTTTTTAGTAATAGGAATTAAGAGTTTTTCAAGTTTTATTAATTTGGTTAATTCATTTTCTTGTTTGGTATTATCAGTCAGTCACCGTCAAGATTTATAACTTTTTCTGAATCAAATTTTAATAGAAATTTCATAGAACTTTTTAGTCTGTTTTTAATTAAGCCTCAATGTAATAAAAGATTTTATCCTTAAATTCCATTAATATTTTCGTCCCTATTTAGGCAAAGTTAAAACTCATCTAAAAAGATATTTCCTACATAGAGTCTTTCTTCATTGAAAAGCTGAGGGACTTCTCTCCAATAGCGTTTAGGTTTAGCATTTACTTCAATTTCTGCATATTTAATATCAAATAAATACTTGTATCCTATTTTTAATCCTACATTCAAGCTTAGGTGGCTAGAAAAGTCACCTCTAATATGCTGAAATCCCATAATCTTGGCAAGAGAAGTGTTGTGAGTGAGTAATTTTTAAGCTAATCTCATACCTCTCATTTCCGGTTTTACACCTGTAAAAAGCTAGTAATGTATCATATTAAGTTTTACTTCTTCTTAAGAAAGCCCTATAGCTTCATAGTACATAGGAGCAATTTAATCCATGAGCTAACAAATAGGGTCAATTTTTTCTGGATATTATGTTTAATCTTCAATATCTGCCACTAGATCACATGCCAAAGTACATCCATATATTTCATTAGTGATTCTATTGTATATAGCACTAGACGTTTCATAGTGTCTACTCATCATTTTATGGAAAGTTTCTTTTGATTCGTCTTCATTTAATCGAAATAAAACAGGTTCCTTTTTGTAAAATTAGCTTCCTACTACATCAGCAGCTTGCTAGATCATACTTTTCTTGACAACACCTACTGCAAGTTGAGAAAGATTTATCGTATTACGCATTTTAAATTTGCCTATAATTTAATTTAATATTTTTTTTTCTTTTTGTTTTTTCAAAATAATGTTTTGAGTATTGTTATAAAAACAATATTTAAACTAGTGAATTCACAAAATATTTAATAGATATCACCAGAAATTTCGTTCACAATGATTATTAATTTTAACTAATTGAATTTTCTAAGAGCTGATTTATAGAAAATCAATCTTAATTTTCAGAAGCATTTTTTATAAAAGAATTAGGTTCAATTAATTACACTTTTTGGCGAAAAGTAATTAGAAATACAAATGATTAATATTAAAAATCCAAAAAAAAGATTCTGTATTTTATTTAAATAAATATAATATGTAAAAGTTACTAAAAATATCAAAGCAAATTGATATATACTCTTTAAAAAAATATAAGCTTCAACAATGTCAAAATACTTTTAAGACTATTTCATATACAGATAGATTATTACAAAAATTTTACAAATAAATTACTATCATATGTAAAGAGAAAGAAATTATTGTTTGTTTTTCTAAAAATAGATTTTTACTAATTTCTATTTAATTAGCTATATTTCTAAAGCGTAAAATTTAATTTAAGCCACTGAGTTAATTATTGATATAATCAAGTCTCTATAATAGAGTGCATTTATTCCTTTCTTAAAATTATGAGTATAATTTTATTTTAACTTTAAAAATAATATATTATTAATTAATTAACTTTGCTTGAAGAAATCAAATAACTTTTTTGACAACATTGATTCTATGAAAAAATTCATGTTAATAGATATATATAAAATCATAACCTAACTAATAAAAAGTATTTTTTAAAATAAATTTTAACTTTTTGCTGGTAATTTACTAGAAAATCCATGTTACATTTGTTTCTTTATAATTAAAAATAAATATTTTGATCATAACATAAAAAGATTATTGGCCAAATTGAAGTAAGTAATTATTAACTTTTTCTTGATAATTTATAAGTAAATTATTGTTTTTTAATTATTTACCACAAATATACCTATAGAAAATAAGCACAAAATAACAAATAAAGACAGCTAGCTAGCTAATTTATAGTCAAAACTAAAATAAGCAAAAAAAGAAAAATTAAATTTTCTTAACTAGCTCTATCAATATAAGATTTTCAAAAATGAAACTACATTAATTACTTCATTTAAATTTATAAAAATAAAAAAGCTATTGTTAAGATGGCAAGAATGCTCATTAAAGTTCCTTTTGAAGTTTCTGAATTAATTTAAAAATCAGTTATAATTGATATCATCAAATATACATATCCGTTTGCCCTGGAAAGTGATTTATACAGTAATTAATAATAATATAATTATCAAGAAAAAATAGATCGAATATGCTAATTAATGTATCAAATTGCTTTTAAATTTTTTAATTTATTTTGTTTTCAAAAAGAAAAAGCCAACTTCATAAGATGAATGGATATGTAAATTTTTCCAAGTATAAAGTAAGTTTTTAGAATTTAATTAGTTCATAAAAGTTATTATTTACAGTACTTTCTTGCTAGGTTTATTGAATCATAAATATTAAAAATTATTTTCTCTTCAGAGTAATAATTTTATGAATAAAAATAAGAAATCTATTTGAATTTAAAATTTATGCTAATATTGGAATAAATGTTAAGCTTATAAGAAGATATTCCCCAATAAGAAGATTAATTAGTAATCTCATGATTTTTAAGCTTTAAATATAACTTAGAAGATTAAAACATGAACTGGGTTAAAAAATAAATCATTAATTACAAATTAAAAAAAATAATTTGTGATAAAAAATTTATTAATTAAGTAAAAAGAATATTTATTTATCTATGTGTAAAAATGAAATACTAATTTAATTATCTTTATTTTTATTTAGAAGGTTACTAAATTATTTTGAGTTAATATTAAAAATACATTCCTTCCACTTATTGTCCAAATGCACATGGATAATTTGCATTTGTAACAAAATAAATCTTAAAAAAATATTAATACAAAATAATTTTTTTCTTTCTTAAAAGCATTATTATTCAAATAATATTCCATCATAAAATAGAAATTTACAATAAAAAGTCTTATTTAGTTAAAAATCAGCAGTAATGAATGGCAAAAACAATTTTTGCTAATTTTTTTATTAATTTAGATATGAAAAACTAAGGAACAATTAATTATTTTTATCCAAATTTCAAGCAATTAATTATTTATTTCAAATTAAATCTATATTGTTTAAAATGTTTTTATATTTAAAATAAACCATTTAAAAATAAAAATACTAATTTATAAGTTAATAGGCTTATTTATGTCTTATGAATATGTAAATGTTTAATATTTTTTCTTAAACTAAAGGCGAGTTTAATGCATTTAAAGTTAATTTATTTTTGTTACAAAAACGAATAAAATAAGGTGTTTTATTTTTTAAACAATTTTCATCATCGTCTTATAATATTAATTTTAATTAAGATTATAAGTTTTGAATTTTGATTAAAAGTGTAAATTTATTTCATTTAAAAGAAGTGAATCCTTACATTAAGATTCATTAGATGGATATTAGAAATGTGATAAAATCTACTAATTAAATTTATTTAAATTTTAAAGCGAGTTAATTAGATATTAAATTATTTAGATTAAGGTGATTTTTGAAAATAAAAATAGTTATATTTTTAAATAATTATGTTAATATCAATAATTTATCAGTAATAAAATGATAACAAATTTAACAAATAAAATATTCCTAATTATATTCAAGTTTTATTTTTAAAACTTAAATTTATGATGCAACATTTTAGTACAGAATTTATTAAAATAAAATGTTACTTAAATTGAATTAATAAAGTATTTTAACTTTTAAAAATAAATTATTTTTTAAAAACAGATTTCGAATTAATTCTTACCAATATTCAACTAACTATTTCATATTTAGAAGTATGTATGTAATACAGTATCCAAATTACATAAAATTTACAATCAACAATATTTTAATTTAAATAGGTCTTAGTTATTAGGGATCAGTAAAATGTAATAAAAAATGTTCTAAAATATTGTATCAACTAATTTTTAAAATATTTTCTTTCAATTCTCAATAATTAATATTCATTTTCAAAAGTCATTTAAACTATTATTTATTAATATCACAATGATTTCCCTAAAAAAGAAAATGGGTGAGTCAGGCGGCACTAATTAATGAGAATCTACAGATATTAATTTAAAAAACTTATTAATCTAACAACATCTTAAATAAAAACAAAAAGACAATCTTTTGAAAGATATAATTTTTATGAAAAGAAATAGATAATTATAACAAATTAATTAAGATAAAAAGAATTTTTACATAAATTTATAATTTTAGATTTGATTTTATGAATGAATGAATTTTAGAGCGAGTGAGTGAGTGATTGGTATTAATTATGGATTTTTGATAATATAAAAAAATGTAAAATTGAAAAAAAATCCTTTAATTCAGTCTGATTGAAAATAATTAATTAATTTTTATCCTTTGTAACAACATTTTATAAAAAGATACTTTTATGCTTAATTAAACATTTTTCTTTTGATTACAAGTTTTAATTATTAAAAAATATTACTTCACATTTCACATTAATTTTTACTGATAAAAAATAATTTAGGGAATTTCGTTCGGGGCATTAAACAATATTTATACGATAAAATCACTGACACTACTATTTTTCAAACATAAGAAAGTTAATTTGATTAAAGATCTGTGTTTGTTTCAAATAAATACATTGCTTTTATTATTTAAGACACTTTCATATTATTTATGAATTAATTTAGTTTAGGTAAAATAGAATGAATAACCAACCAAATGCAATTAATTTTTGATCAATTATTATGTAAATGCACTATATCTTTTTGAAATAAAAAAAGTGAAATTAAGTATCTTTATTTTTAATAATCAAATTTACTTACATTTTATAATTAAGTAATAGATTGGAAAACATATAATATAAGCATGAAGTTTTTAATAATAAGACTAGTGATTACTGTATCCTTACCAATCATAACAGGGGTTGCTTTAGTTCTAGTGATCTTCTATTAAAATCTTATGAATGCTCTTAATTAATGGTAACGCAAATAATATATAATTTGCTTTCTATTTTTCATCTATCAACCTTTTAAACAATCTACAATTATTTAATTTGAAAAAATCATCTCTGATTGTACAACACATTTGGATTTTTTTTTTTTTGAAATTAAATTCGTATACTAATAGGGAAAAAGATAGCTATACATGGGTTAGCTAAACATAAAGATAAATACTTTATAATTCCTTACTCTCCTAACAAATGATGTATGAGTATAGTTTCAATTAAGTAGGAGTTTTTTTATAAATTAATCAGTCTGACTACGAAGAAAAAAAATGTAATAAAACTGTTTTTTTATCAAATAAAAGATGCAAATTCACTTGATATTAATGAATAAACTGATAGATAAGTATAACAATCAACAAATATTAGGTTTGATTTAATTTATATTTTGATTTTATTTTATAAATCTTTGCTATATTAAACTAGTTAACAAGAAGTCCTAATTTACAATGTGCTCTTACAGAGAGCTAACTTATCAATAATGTCCTCCTAATGTTTACACATAGATGTCTAAAAGTTTGCTTTACGTTGATTTGTACTTTGTTAGATCAGTCTTTAAGTTTAATCTTTTGACTCCCTCACAGTAAGATTTCATCTTAATGGTATAAATTTTATTTTTGATTATTTTTTAAATCGTAATTTCAATTTCTATAACAAAAAGAATGATTTTCTATCTTTTTATGCTAGAACGGTATACCTCAATTCATAAAAATAAGATTTGTTGTTAATAACAAGTATATATAATTCTGATACAACTTCATTGCTAACCAATATCCCTTCAAAGTAAATAAATTTACTATTTAGCTCAAAAAAGTTGTTCTTATCAATCATACTCTCTACTTATTTATTTTAATTTTGTGATTAGACTAATTAATATTGCAGAGGTTAATATCAATTTATAATTTTAAAAAGCTATTTCAACATATCTAAATCAAATTATGAGAACTGCTTAGGGAATAATTTCACTGAGCCATTTGATCCCAGGTGCAGATAGTGGTATATTTTTTCAAAATAGAATAAAGGTATATTTATTTTTAGTGTTTATTTTATCATTAAAAAATTATAGATAAATATTTAAATAAATAAAAGGTTATTTTTTTTATGAGCCTTATTCTGACGCGTTTGAAGGGACTTTAACAATGACTCTCTCGAGTTAGATAAATAAAAATGGATAATTTTAATCAGTCAATAGTATAGATTTTAATATGAAAATGATAATAGATTATATTAGTAGATTTAAAAGTGATAACCAATACTCAGTTTTATTTCATGAATTTAATAACACAGTAAATAAATAAAATGAATACCATTTTTATCTATTAAGGTCAATTTTTTTTAACTTAAAAATAGTTGTTCTATCACCATGAACTTACAAATAATTAAATTATGTCATGGGAAGATTTAGAGTTTCAAAATATTACAAATGGAGGAAGTTTGAATCAATAATAAATAGATAAGTTGAAGAAGGAGAAATAAAAATTTAATTATTAATTGCAAAAAACTTTAGATTTTATAAATACAGGAAATTATTCTATGTTTGAGCAATTCAATATTGATTATTTGTATTAAAAGTGGAAAAAACTTGAAGTTAAATAGTAAATATTATCTATCTTTCTTTCATAATTTTAAAATAATAAATATTCTTAATAAGTATAAGCATGGTATGTCCTATTAAGAGCAAAATTGAAAAATATAAAACTTAGGAACCATATTCTCATTCGATTATTCTCGCTGCTAAAGTAATTTAAGATTAAAGCGATCTTCTCAAATTATTCAACATTATGAATATAAATTCAATTAAAATTCCTTTAATTATAGAATCTGCTATTGTGTGTTTAGCAGTTTTCTTATTTATTGCTAATTATGGATATTTTTAATTACTGCAAGTATAGAGACCGATTGAAATATTGATTAAATTTTTGAAAAAAAGCCTTTAATAATAGCATCAGTGTTAAGTATAAATTTACACTAAAAAAGATGAGAAGGTGGTTAATCTTTCTAATATCTAAAAAATGATATTCAGAAAAAGAAATACCACAACCAATTTGACAAATAATTTTAGTAAATTTAAAAATGAAGATTAAGTAAATACTTTACTTTCACCAGTTCATAATGAAACTCCTTCATAAACGACATTTAATAATTTATAATTTGTCAATCAATGGAATTAGCTTGATAGAAGACTAGAGTAAAACAAAACAATTCAGCTATTTTCAAAAGTTAATCTGAATAGTAAAGCTAATCTAGAAGATCATACTCAAGTAGAATATCTTGATAGCTGCATTTTAAAAAATAAGAAATAGAGACATTATTCCCAACAAAACTTTAAATCAAATTAAACTTCATTTAAAAACTCTACCCAACAACTCTTTAACTATGATCTAAACAATTAAGGTAACAATTCTTAAAAAAATTATTCCTCATTTAGGAGTTTTAAAAACTCACCAGAGTCTAATTTGAGTAACAGATTCTCATCTTTGAGTTAAATAACTTAAGAATAAAAAAATAAAGATGAAAACAAAGAAAAAATACTCTAAGGTTTGAAACCTTTATTTCTAGAAATGCAGATAATTAAAGAAGCTTTCTAAAATTTAGAGAGATTAATAAATTATAAGATTGATGCCAGCAATCCAAATTAGCAGGATAAAATGAATACTTTATATCACTTTGCAAAGGCTAAAAATACATTTTAAATGCTGAATAATTAGAATGGATTGAGTCGCTGCTATTTCAATTTAGGAGTAATTTATATTTTGAGAAACGAGTTTAGTTTAGCTTCTCAATATTTAGAATCGTCAGTTTGGTTAACTATGGCTTTGATTGGTATTGACTCTTTGTATAAAATTAAAGATAAATATGCTTTGTAACACGATACAGAATAGGAGGAATGGCTTTTAATATTTAGCAAAAGAATATTTTCTCTTGCTTACAGCTAAAAGCAAGCTGCATTTTAAATTATTTACTAAGAGAAAGAAGATTATTTAATTTAAAATTCTTCTTTGAAAAGTTTTTAGCACAAGCTTATTCCTCCTGATTAAATGCAACAAATTAAGTCTTTGTTAAAAAAATCTTTAGATTATTTTAATGCCATTTAAAATTTATTTAATAATAGAAGTCAAAGTATCTCAGAGATATTTTAAATTTACATTTACCAAGAAATTACAGAAATTTTAATTCATTTAGACCACAAAAACTACTGCAAATAAATAAAAAATTATACTAATAAAATTGTTCAATTACTAAGCAAGATTAATCGCTAGAAATTTAAAATTAACTAAAGACCCATAAGCTTAAATGATTACAAACTTAGTGAGGAAAGTCATCATATTATCCAAGAGGAAGATATAGAATATTTAAGCAACTCAAATACGAATTAAAATGATACACAAATATTTAACTAAGAAATAATAAATAAAATGATAGATGTAATTAATAATAGACAAAAAGTTATTCTAGGATATTTAGAACTCGTTCAGGAGAATCATTTCATAGCAATCGAATATCTTACTTAGAGCCTAGAAGAAGGGAAATTTTACAGCCCTCTCCTAAGAAAAAAAACAATATTTTATCTAAATCAACTATTTGAAGAAGTATCTTTTAAATAGGATTTCATTGATGAACTAATTCTTAATCTAGATGATTCAGTGAAAATAGATCTTACCTTGCTTCTTTAGATGAGTTCTTTCTAATATAATTTTATCTTTGACAACTGCTTATAAAACTTTGTTAAATAGAATTTTTTTAGGCCATAAGACAGGATATAAGTGATAATATTTAATGAAAATCTAGAAGAATTCCTTCCATTAACAATAATTTAAAGTTAGCATCATTTGGCCTCAATAATTAATTCCATTTAAAGTTATAAAAAATAATCTATTCAAAATTATATGAAAAATGCTTCCTCATAATTAAATTGGTAATCTGCCCTTATACAATCGCTTGAAAATATATAGTAATTTAGTTATTAACAAATTATTGATTTAAATAACGCAAAACAAAAAATAGAGTTTTAATAAAATTCAAATATTAGTTAAATTAAATTATAATAATTTTAAGAAGAGCTTAGGATTAAAAGATAAAATACACATTAATAGAATAAAAAAGTAATAATCCTATTCTCTAAAAAGTAGAATGCCAAACAAAAATTAGTAACAAAAAAAAACATATTCTAAATATAAAAACCTATTGTCTATCATATGATAGATAAGTTTTGTCTTGATGAAGATGATTATAAAATGTAATCTAGTTTATTCTCTTACGAACCTTTCATTAGCGAAAATGAATTGATGATCAGATTAAAAAAGTTAAGAGAAGAAGAAGTAACTATATACCAAAAAGAATTCCTTTCCATCCTTAACCATTTTTGAAATAAAAAGAATGAAAATTGTAAATATATTTATTTATTTATGAATTTGCTTAAAAATATCTAAAAATATAAAAAATACCAAAAATATTTCAAATTTTTATGTGTTTAATTAAGCTGTAAAAAAACTTTAAATTTTGTATCAAATTATTTTGATTTCTGAAAAACTTTGAAAGTTCTTAATTAATTTTAGATAATATTTAATAGTGAAAAACAAAAGAAAATTTTAAGGAAAACTAATTTCTTATATTAATTTATTGAAAAAAATCATCAGTGAAAGCCTACTAATTAATTAATTTCCCCAAATTAACAAAATAATCATAATTTAATAAAAAAGTACCACAAAAAATTTAGTTATTATTTTTCTTATTTCTTTTCCTGATTTTTTTGGTTTTCTTTTTAATCTTTGAAATTTTTGAAATTTGATTTAATTTTCATATTTTGTGGTAAAGTAATAGAATATGTTTTTATGATTAGAAAATATAAATTTAGTATAAAGTTAATATTTTCTTTAAATGTAGATATTTTTATCTAAAATATTTATTTTTTGTTAAACATTAAATCAAAGAAACCTTTTAAAACTCTAATTTTCCTATTTAATTTAATCATTTTATGAAATTAAATTAAAATCTTACGTAATGTCTGATTGATTATAACTTAAGGAATTAGGTTCGTTCTATTGTATTTATTTTAAATTAATTTTTAGTAACCACTTTTGATAAAAAATACAATTAAATTTACTATATCATATTTCATATTTCAAAATCCTAATTTTTGTATTTGAATGATTTTAAATAAATTATTTGATCAAAATTTAAATAACATCTAACTAAAAAAGGTTTACTCAAATTAATGTTTGATAATCCTTACAATTTATTAAATTTATTTAACATCTTTTCTTGTAAAATTAATGAAAACTATCTAATATAATTAATTCTAATTACATTTTAGTTAATAAAATCTTTTCAAATCTAAAAAAGTAAGAATTAAAAAAACAGAAAGATTTATTTGAAATAAATTAAACTAAAAAAATAAGATTTTTGATAAGATTAAAATTAGAAGAAAATAAATGAAAAAGCAATTAGCAAATAATTTCGACTGACAATCCTTCAATTCAATTTACTAGATATTTATTACACATAATTTTATAATTTATAAAACTTGTTTTATTTTTTTTCTTTTAACGATTATCATTTAAATTTTCCTTCATAAAGTAACTTATTTTTATACTTATTACAATTATTATACATATTTTAATAACTTGTATATCTATTAATTGTATTATTAAACATAAACAAGTATTTATTTTAAAAAATTTAGTTTTAATTTAAATTATATTTTTCCTTTAAAAATTCAGTTTGTTAATGCATCTTAAAAAAGCAAATTACATTAAAAAATATTTATTAATATTTTTTATCTAGTAAAAATAATTTATATAATAATGCTTATTTAATTTAAAAAATTTTTTCTAAATATCTTTGCTCAAATTCTAAAATAAATTTTGCTGGAATTTAAATTATCTTCTTTACTAGTTCACTTTCTACAAATTTAATTTACTGCCTAAATCAACTTTTAGATAAATTAATAATCAAGCTATTTACCTATTTCTAATAATAGAAAATATAAGCAGTTATAATAAAAATAAAAAAATAACTCATTTATAAATTACTAAAAATATCTTAATATAATATTGTAGTTTTTATAAATTCAGTTAATTCTGAAAGTGTTTACATATTTTTGATAAAAATCAACCAATACGCTAGATTTTATATATTTGATGTTACTTTGATTTCTAATAATTTTTACTAATGATTTTTGTAAAAAAAAAGAAAAGCTTCAAATTTTTTCTAAAAATTTTTTATATTTTTTAATTACATTTTTGAAAATAAAGATAAGCAAAATATCCAAATTAATATGAAACTTTTAATTGTAAGACTAGTTATTACAGTTTCTTTGCCTATCTTAGTTGGAGTTGCACTAGTCTTAATTGTCTTCTACTCAAATCTTATGGATGCTCTTTATAGATGGTATACCAATTAATAGATACCATTTTTACATCTTTAAATTATTATCTGCATGTTCATATATCGCTTACTTTTTTTGATTTATCATCATAATAATTTCAAAGATAATTCAATTATTTTTGTAATAAAATCTAGGGAATAGGATAGTGCTTCTTGGATAAACTAGACACAATAGCAAATACTTTATAATTCCTTATTTTCTTAGCAAATTATTTCATAGTATAGCTTCAATTAAGTACCATTTTAGATTATTTAGTCCATATTATTGAGAAAATATTTAGCGCAATTCAAATAATGATGAATATGAAAATATTATTTTGATTAATAAAAGATGTAAATTCATTTGATGCTTATGAATAGTTTAATATCTAAGTATAACAATGGATAAATTAAAGGTAATTTAAACTTTTTTTTGTTATACATTTACATGAATATTATTTTTTTATCTAATTTAGTTAACTAAACAACTTAGTCTGCAAAATGCTCATTAAGGGAACTAATATTTAATGAGTGCCCTTACTATATTTATACATTATTATCTAAAAATGAATTATATGTAGATTTATATTTCGTCAGATCTGTGTTTAAATTTGAGCTTTTAACTATTGAGCAATAGAATTTCATTCTTATGGTATGTTTAAGCTTACACTTTTAAAATATTTTCTTTACTTATCATTCTAATATATAGAATAACATTCTTTCATTTTATTCCAGAGCTTCTTATCTAGCTACTTAAAAAGAAGGATTATTAGTCATCAAAAGTTTTTATAATTCAGACACAACTTCAGTACTCTCTGCTGTTCCTTCTAGGTAAATTATTATTGATGTTATAATTCAAATTTAATTAATTTTTTTTACTTACATATTTTAAATAGCTATAAAAACGTTACTAATTCTTAGTTCGAGTATTGTTTAGGTAGTAATTTTATAGAGCCTTTTGATCCCAGATGCAGACCTTGGTATTTATTTTCACAATAGCATAAAGGTAATAAATATTATTCCAAATAAAATGAATTAATTAAGTTAAAAAAATAGGTTACTTTTTTTATGAACCTTACAGAGATGCTGTTTTAGGAAATCTAATCATGACCCTTTCTAGCTAAGTTAGCAAAAACGGTTAATTTTAATCTGTAAATAGCATAGATTTCGATATGATTGAAATTACGAAATAATCTAACACTTCTTAAATGGCAAATCAATACTCAGTTTTATTCCATGAATTTAATAATATAGTAAAATTAATGATTAAAAATAAATTAAATGAGCAATTATTATTTAATATAGGTGTTCTCACATCCTTTACTTTCAGACTAATCGTTGATATCATGGCAAGATTTAGAATTTCTTTATATCTTAGACAATAAACTCATGAATTAGTTTGAATATGATCAAGTTTAAGAAGAAAAAAACATTTTTACTTCACAACTCTTAAATAGCATAGAATTTATAAAGCAAGGAAACTACTCGATTTAATAGTAGATTAACCTTGATAAACTATTACAATAGTGGTCGAAACTTGGCGTTAAATAGTAAATCAAACTTTTTTTATTAATTTAATTGAAATTTAATCACGCAAATTAATTTATTAAAAGTCTAAGTTTAGTTTTTCCTATAAAGAATCCAAATATTTAATTCCAAAATCAAGAACCTTATTCAAATTCAATTATACTTCTAGCAAGAGTAATAGTAGATGAAAGCGATGATCTTAAGCTGTTTAATTTACTGAATATCAACTATATTAAGGTACCTTTGATTATAGAATTCGTATTAGTGTGCTTAGCTGTATTTATCTTTATTGGGAATTATGGATATTTTTAAATATAATAAGTGTAAAAACCTATAGAAATCCTAATATAATTTCTGAAAAAAAGTCTTTAGTAATAGCACCAGTGCTAAATATAATTTTATACAAAGAGAGAGGATAAATAAACCATTCTCTAAAGATTTCAACCAACAAAAAAAAACTTGTAATAAAATTGCTGTAAAAAACAAATTAAATTAAAAAATGAAGATCAAACAAATACACTATTCTCACCTTCACATGTAGAAACTCCAATTTAAACAACTTATAATAATTTAAATAACTTGATTGGCAATGATAAAAATATCGATTAACAAAAAACGATGCTAATATTTTCAAAAAATAATCTTTTGAGCAGGAATAATGTCGAAGAGCCAAATATAATTGATCAATTAGACAGTTTTGCTGCAAAAACTAAAAGATAGAGGTACTATTCCCAGTAAAATCCTCGATTAAATTCGACAAAAAACTCCAATTAATTTTTTCAAAACTTTGAATCTAATACTGAATTTACTAATTTACCAAGAGTAAATACAGTAAAAAGTATTAGGAATAATTATCCAGAATCTTAGGTTAGTATCAGAAACACTTCATAAAGTTAGACTTCTTAAGACAGAAAGAAGGAAGTTGATAAAGATAAAATACTCTAAGGTCTAAAGCCTTTATTTTTAGAGATGAAAATTATCAAATAGGCATTTCAAAATTTGGAACGGTTAATCAATTATTAGATAGACTCAAATACACATAATTCATAAGATAACATGAATACCTTATATCATTTCGCTAAAGCTAAGAGCACATTTTAAAGACTGTTAAACGAGAATGGTTTAAGTCGTTGTTATTTTAATTTAGGTATTATTTACCTTTTGAAAAATGAATATAGCATTGCCTCTTAGTACTTTGAATCTTCAGTTTAATTAAATTTAGCTTTACTTGGGATAGACTCCTTGAAATAAATAAACGAAAATTGCATGTTAAACTGTGAGGGAGATTAGGATAACTGGCTTCTCATTTTTAGCAAGAGAATTTTCGCTTTTGCTTATAGTTAAAAGTAAATAGCTTTTGATATATCATACAACAAATTAGAAAAAAACATTAATAAAAACTCTTCAAAAGAAAATATTGCATAGAAAAACGAGGATATTCATATAGATTAAATTTAGAAAATAAGATCAAACTTAAGAAAGGCTTTAGATATTTTTAAAGTTGTATAAAATCTATTTACTTATAAGATTAAATGCTATTCAGATTTTTTTCAAGCATTCGTATATTAAGAAATCATAGAAATTTTAATTTATTTAGATCAATCATTCTATAGCAAGTAAATTTCAACTTATTTAGACAAAACTAGATTTCTACTGGATAAAATTTAAATCTGTAAATCGAGAAATAACCAGAATGTATTTACCCTAAATGAATACAAACTAAGTGAAGATACTTAACACATGATTATAGAAGATGATTTAGAGTATTTGAGCAATTAAAACATAAATTGTAATTCATCTTCCAAATACAAATAAGAAATAAAATATATAATGATAGATATTATGAAAAGTAGGTAGTTGTTTCTTTTGGGATATCTTGCACTTGGTAAATAAGAGCACTAATAAGCATTAGAATATTTTTCGCAGAGCTTGGAAGAAGGAAAGTTCTACAGTCCTTACCTAAGAAAAAAAACTGTATTAAATCTAATCAAATTATTTGAGAAATTATCTTTTAAACAAGATTTTATTGATGAATAAATTCTAAATTTTTAAATTTCTACAAGCATTGATCTTACACTCTTACTTTAAATAGATTCAATTTAGAATAATTTTGTATTTGATTATTGCTTGGAATCTATTATGAAATATAAACTTCTTTAACCTGGAGACAGATTAAAAGTTATAATTTTTAATGAAAGTCTTGATGAATATATTCCACTTACCCTAATATAAAGTGGCCATCACATTAATTTAATATTAAGCACATTACAAACTTAAGCAAAAAAATTATTTTAAAATACTACTAAAAATAGTTCTAACTAGCTAAGCTGGTAATCAGCGCTCTTTTAATCTCTTGAAAATATCTAAGAACTTAATCAAAAATAAGTAATAGACCTTAGTTCAACATGCTAAAAAATAAAAAAAGAATTTAGTTAAAATAGTAGCTATGAAAAATTAAAAAAAATATAATAAGAAATAAAATAAAAATAATAATGCATAGCTAAGCAAAATAAAAAAGTAATCATTTTATTCTCCAATTAATCAGGTGCTAAATAGCCATTCAAAGTTGATAAAAATATTTTCTAACTTTAGAAACCGACAGTATTGCATTTAATTGATTAATTTACATTAGATATCTAAGATTACTAAATACAGTCTGAATTATTCTTTTATGAACCTTTGATAGATGAAACTTAGTTAATCTTTAGTTTAAAAAAAGTAAGAGGAGAAGAAAATAATAGCCAATAAAAGGAATTTTTTACTGTATTAAATCATTTTTGATAATTTCAATTTTCATATTAATTAACATCTTTATATTATAAAATTTTTAATTGTATATTATTTATTTATTTACTTATTTACTTACTTAATTCAGATCTATTTATTGTCGTCTAATCAATAATTGTTTTATTTTTACTTATTTACTTACTTATACTTACTTATTACAGATCTATTTATTGTCATCTAATCAAAAACTGTTTTATTTATTTAAAATAATTTTAATAATTATAATTTTAAAATTAAATCTTTTATTTCTAATTGCTATTGTATTATTATACATTCTTATTTACTTAAAAATCCTCTTAATTAAAGCAAATTGATGAAAATAATATCATTTATTTTTTACATATGGTTTTTTTTAATTTATGCTCACCATTATACTATTAAAGCTTATCGTCAATTAATATAAATGTAAATCTATTGTAGATTTAATTTAAATACACATTATGTGTTTTTAGGTAAAAGGTAGATTCTAACATACTTAAAATATCACAATTCCCCTATTAATCAAATCCAACATACCACAATCAACTATCCTAATCCCATATTCCCCTTATTCCAAAACTAAAATAAGAATTATTATGTTTGAATTCTTAAATATAATTTAGCTTTCTATGCTGCGCGCGTACTCAATATAATATTAGTTTTTTAAAATATTTAAAAATAATACCTATACTAAGGTTAAATATATAATTACATTTCAATTTTCAATTAAATTAAAGTAAATATAGGAATGATATCATCTATTAATTACCATTTCTCTTTCTTATTATAGAAAAATAATAGTGGTACTTAAGCTTAAAAATAAGTGATTAAAAATAGTTTTATGGAAGGTTTTTATAAAGAAATTATTTTTTCTTGATAATATTTTATTATATTTTGTAGCAGATTTAATGAAATCTTAGATATTTTCTGATAATTTCATTTTGATAAGTATTTCTATGGGTATAATTTTAATTTTATTAGTATAGAATGATTTATTAAGAATTTTTTAATTAATTTAATGTCATTCGAGCATTGATTTAAATGTAACTAATAATTTTAAATAATAGTTAAGGTTACTTATATCTTGTTATGTTAATAAACAAGCTTAAAATTACATTTTTTAAGTTTATAAAAAAGATTAAATTATTATTATTACTAAAATTAATTTTTAACCTGTTGAACATTAATTTATTAAAAACTAAATTAATAAAATATAAAATATAAAAGACTTTCTTTCTGAAATAAATTTAAAATAAACTAACAAATAAAAAAGAAAATGTGTTACTTAAATTTGTAAAATTAAAATTAATTAATATCATTTAAGATATATGACATCACTTCTTTAGTTTACATAATTATTAATTGGCATTAACTGAATAATTAACTTTTAGAAATAAAATGGGAATTTGATTTTTAATTAGATAATCATCGTAAGTAAAGATAACAAATTAATAATTTATTAAAAGTCATAATTTAAATAATCTATAAAAGTTGATTAAAAAGAGTAAAAGTAAAAATGAAGGGGCTTATTATTAGACTTATTTTGACAGTATCAATACCAATCATAATAGGTGTAGCAATATCTATGATAATATTCTACAAAAATCTTATGAACGCTCTTTTATCATGGTTTTTATTAGAAATTATTTAAAATAAATATTATTTTATCATCTTTTGGTATAATGTTTTTTTTTTTTTATAAAATAAATAAGGGAATCGGATAGTCTCTAATGGATTAAGTAATAGTATTAATAAACGCTTTATAACTAACTACTCTCTCAGTTAATCATAGAAGAATACAGTTTTAATTAAGTATTTGCTTTCTAGAATTTTTGTTACTTTTAAAAAAATCATTCATTATCAAATATTGATGGTATATTTTTTTATAATTTAAATAGATTCAGCTTTAGTTAATTGTGTTGAATAAATTGATTGATAAATACAATGATAAAAAAATATTAGGTATTTATTTTATTTCCCTTATCTAGCTTAATCTTTATTTAATGTTAAAAAAATATATGTTAATTATTAAAAGTCAATTCAAAAACTCAGTTTACAATTTGTTCATACAGAGAATTAGTTTTCAATTAATGTTCTCCTGATGTTTATGTGAAGTTCCAATAAAGCCCTTATTTTGTAGATGTATATTTTGTGAGATCAATCTTCAAATTTGATCTTCTTTCTAAGCAGTAGCAAGATTTTATCTTAATGGTATTTTTTTAATCTGTTTTATTTATTTTAAAGTAGATTTTTTTTAAAAAAAAGAATAATCTTCTGTCTTTTTACTCTAGGAGTGTAGCTTATCAATCTTAGCAATAGGGAATATTAAAAATAATTATGTTTTTCAACTCAGATGCCACGTCTATATATACAAGACATCCATCAGAGTACTTTTTTTACTTTCTTACTTATAAATTTTCATTTTTAATAAATTTTTAAGGTATACAAATGTTACAAATACACCTTACTTACATTGTTATGGTGATGGGTTTTTAGAACCATATGATCCAAGATGTAGACCATGGTATATTTATGCAAAGGAACACGAAGGTAAAAAAAAGTATTTTTAAAAAATAAGTTATTCTTTTTATTTATAAATTTAAATCAATCAATCACTTATTTAACATATTAAACTAATAAAATAAGGTTATTTCTTTTATGAACCTTATAAAGGCTAAATCCTATAGAGTTTATAGATGACTTTATCTAGTTAGGTGAAGATTGGTTAGAATTTTTAATCCATAAATAGCATATCATTTGATATGAGTAATCTTATTTAGATTTTTTTCAGCTCAAAAAATTAATATGCTGTTTTATTTCATGAATTCAATAATACTGTAATTTATTTATTGTCTTTCTTTTTCAGTTAAATTATTATTAATTATTATTTATTTGTTTATTTTTTTCTATAATTCTTAAGCAATTTTTAGATCATAAAATAAAAACTATTTATTTAAAAAAACAAATAGATTTTTTATCACCCTTAGTTTGATGGCATCAGCGTTATATCATGGTAAGAATTAGAATTCAAAAATATATCGTAAAACTGTATAACATAAATTGATTTAGAAAAGTGTAATTAAGAAAAAGAATAATTAAACTATTAACTGCAATAGACAATACAGTTTATCAAAACTGGGGATTATTCCATCAATTAATAAAAAAATTTAGATTAGCTATATTAATATTGGTCAAAATTTGGAGTCAAAAAGTAAATAATATTTCATACGAAACAAGTCTAAATTTCCATTTAATTTTCTTTTCATATTTATAGAATTAGCTTGGTCTTTCCATTAGTGAGTAAAATTTCTAAGTATAAAACTCAGTAGCCTTACTCTTTCTCTATTATATTGACAGCTATGGTTATTGACGATTAAAGCGAAAGATTGTAATTATTTAACATCATTAACATTAATTGGATTAAAGTACCTCTAATAATAGAATTCATTATAATTAGCTTGATGATAATTATTTTTTTACTAAACTATGGCAAATTTTAAATTATTTAAATTTAAAATCCTATAAATATTTTAATTAAATTCTTAAAAATAAATCTAATTTTGCAATCTTAAACATAATATACAAATAAGTTAGATAAATAAAACTTTTTGTCTTAAAACTCAAGCAAATACAAAAAATCACCTTAAAATACAAATTATAAAGTAAAATACAATGAAATTACAAATAGTTTATTTTCTCCCTTCAATTAAGTTTATTTAAAGGAAACATTGAAAAACAATGTAAAGGTTAATGAAAATCACTTAATAAACAAAGAAAAAACTTCTAGAGAAAATACATGGAATTAATCTTATTTAGATAAGGTAAATTTCTCTTATAAATTAGATAGTTTTTTGGAAAAAAGCAGAAATAGATTAACTTATTAATAAAATTCTAAGACCATATAAAGTCAACCTTAATCATCTTATTTATAGGTTGATACAAATAATGGAAATCAAGTCGCTTTTGGCTAAAAATATAACAACAAAACTATTTAAAATGATGACAAATATTATTAGAACAGAAATAATAAAAGCGAAGTATTTAACACATAAGAATAAAAGTAAGAATAAGAATAAGAATAAAAAAGTAAAATACTAGATGGGTTAGAGCCATTGTTCTTAGAAATGGCAATCATCAAAGAAACTTTTTAGAATTTAGAAAGCATGATAAATTATTAGATTGATGCTTAAAGTTAGAGCTCTGAAGATATCATGAACGGTTTGTTCCATTTTGCTAAAGCTAAAGGTACATTTCAAAAGTTATAGAATTAAAATGGTGTTATCCATTGTTATTATAATCTTGGTGTCGTTTACTTAATTAAAAATGATTTTTAATTAGCTTCAGAATATTTTTTATCATCAATTTAACTAAACAGTATGCTTCTTGACATTGATCATTAATAAATATAATTATAAAAATATGCATTTGCCTAGTATAAATAAGATGACGATCAGCTAGCCTTATTAATAAAAAAAATTTTATGCTTTGCATATAGCCTGAAACAACTTGCTATAGAATAAATATATGATTAAATTAAATCTAATTTATCTAAGTCATCAAACAGCTTTTACTATGAACTCAAATATCACCAATAAAAAAGCTTAGATTAATAAATATTGTAAAATATTTTAAAAAAATCAATTGATAACTTCAGAATTTTAGAAAATTTTATTAAAATTTATAATTAAAATGTTTCAAAATTATTCTAACTATTTGTTTATTTAGAAATAATAGAAATATTAATTCATTTAGATCTCATGAAATAAATAAAACAAATTTAGTTTTACATTGATAAAACAATAATTTTAATCTAAAAATAAGAGCCTTAATATATGAATTCCAAACTTTTATTAGAAAATTCAAATGGAAAAAAAATAAATGAGTTTGAGAGCTTTTAACTTGAGTAAGACATCCCTTTTAGTTTTTCAAGTAAAAATGAAAACCTTACATAAGAAATCAGGTTTATGATTTTTGAAATTTTTAAAGCTAAGTTAATGTTTTTATAAGGAAAATTGGAGTTCTATTAAGAGAATTACTGTCTAGCTATAGAATACTTTACACAGAGTATAGAAGAAGGATAATATTTCAGTCATGTTTAAAGATAAAATTCTATCCTTTATCTTTCTCTAATATTTTAAAAGTTATCAATAAAATAAGATTTTATTGATGAGTTTATTTTGAACTCCTCTGTACAAATCGAACTTACTTTACTTATTTAGATGGATTTCTTTAGTTAAAATACAAATCTTAGCTAATTTTTTGAAAATATTTAATAATCAAAATTATTAAGAAAAAAAGATGGAATTTAAATAATAATTTTTAACAAAAAGCTGTAAACTGTTATTCCACTTACTCTGATAGAAAGCTTTCACCACCTTAAATTAATCATTGAAAGTTTCAAAAACAGAGCAAAATAAACAATTCAAAGTCCTAAGAAAATTGTTTAAAAATTAAATTGGTAGCAAGCTTTAATATAATGTATTGGTAATATAACTAATTTAAATCTTCTCTAAATTAACAAACTCAAATAGGATATAAAAGAATGGAAAAATAGTAATAATGATTTATAAAAAAAATCTAATTATGAAATATTAAAACATAATATGAAAATGTTGGAAAATAAAAAATAAGTAATTATTTTATTTTCTTATTCATAAGATATTAAAAACAACATCATAGCAAAATAATTCTTTGATAAAAAAATTCAATTCCATTCCTAAAAAATCATAATTTATCACATGATAGATTAATTTATTCTATATAGTGATCAATAATATCAATATGTATCAGAGTCCTTCTAATACCAGCCAGTAGTACTTGATAAAGATCTTATCTAAAAACTAGGTTAACTTAGAACAGATTAACTAAATACTTCTAAATAATTTATAACCATCCTAAATAACGCTTTATGATTTTTTATTTCATTTGAAAATTTAAATAAGCAATTCATACTTAAATAACATAAATAAACAAATAAAAATTATAACTTAATATTTTTTAGAGCTCAACATTATCTTTCTTATAAAAACTTAAATACTAAATCTTATTTATTTGTTAAAATAATATATTTAAAAAATGTGTGATATTACTATTCGTGATGATTTATATTTGCTTTAAAAAACAAATTTATATGCTATTAATGAATCATATGTTAAAAATAATGAAAATATTTTAAGATAATAAATTATTTAGAATATTATTGTTTAAAATATCAATTTGCCTACAATACAAATATTTGCTTTAAATACAAATAATTTTTTTATTATTAGCTTTTGTTGTTAAGAATCATTTTAATTTATCAAAATTCTTAAAATGTAAGCTCTCATTTATAACAAAAATATTTCATTAAAATTTGAAATTAATGTAAATTTTTTTATATTTTAATTTCAAATTTATAATCCCATTTTAATTTTTATAAAGAGCGATTTGCTATTTTAAAAATGCTTGATCACTGATAATTAATGAGTTATCAAGCAAATAATTTTATTAATAAGAAAAAATAAAATTATAAATTGTATTGCTATCCTTTGATAATATTTCTGTGCAGGAAGTAAATATTTAGTAGAATAATAAATATTATTTAAAAAATTTAAACAAAATTTAAAATAATAAAAAAATGTATCTATCTAAAAAGGTTTGTTTCGAACGTGAACTAACAAAAAAAATAAAAAATTTTTTATCAAAGATTTAAAAAATAATTTCTAAAATTTGAAATAAGCTTAAAAATAAAGAAAACTATTACAAAATATCTTATTTAAATTTTTAAAATTAGATTTTATTAAGACATAATTTTTTTAAATTATATTATTATAAATTGGTATTAACTGAATAATCAGCTTTTAGAATTAAAATGGGTATTTGAATTTTAATAAGATATTTTCTGTAAGTAAAGATAAATAAATTTTTTATTTATTAAAATCCATCAATAAATCTTATGTTATAATATGATAAAAACTTTTATATAAATAATTTATCTATAAAAGTTGATAAGAAAGAGTAAAAGTAAAAGATGAAGAGGCTTATTATTAGACTCGTTTTTACAGTATCAATACCAATCATAATAGGTGTTGCAATATCTATGCTAATATTCTACAAAAATCTGATGAAAGCTCTCCTTTCCTGGTTTTAATTTAACATTGATTTAAAATAAATACTATTTTATCATCTTTTGGTATAATGTCTTTTTTATGATAAAATAAGGGAGTCAGATTGCCTTTAATGGATTAAATAATCATAATAATAAACACTTTATAATTAACTACTTTCTCAGTTAATCATAGAAGAATATAGCTTTAATTAAGTATTTGCAATATACTATCTTTATTATTTAAAAAAAATCATTATTAAATATAAAATGGTATGTTTTTTTTTATAGATGCAAATACAGTTAATTGTGATGAATAAATTGATTGATAAATTCAATGATAAAAAAATATTTGGTATTTTTTTATTTGTTTTCCCTTATCTTAATCTTTCATTAATGTTTTAAATAAATAAATACATATTAATAATTAAAAGTTAATGCAAATACTTAGTTTACAATTTGTTCATAGAGAGAATTAGTTTTCAATTAATGTTCTCCTGATGTTTATAAAAAGTTGAAATAGAGCCCTTATTTTGTAGATATATATTTTGTGAGAACACTCTTCAGATATGATCTCCTTTCTAAGCAGTAGCAAGATTTTATCTTAATGGTATTTTTTTTATTTGTTTTATTTTTTTTAAAGTAGATTTTTTTAATAAAAGAATAATTTTCTATCTTTTTACTCTAGGAGTGCATCTTATCAATCTTAAAAATAGGGAATATTAAAAATAATTATGTTTTTCAACTCAGATACCACATCTGTATTTTCAAGATATCCTTCAGAGTATTTAGTTAACATTTAAATTTTCATTTTTAATCTAATCAATTTTTAAGGTTTGTAAATGTAACAGATTCACCTTATTAGGATTGTTATGGTGATGGGTATTTAGAACCATATGATCCAAGATGCAGACCATGGTATACTTATGCAAAGGATAATGAAGGTAAACCTATGTTTTTAAAATAAAACTTATTCTTTTTTATTTATAAATTTAAATGAAAAAATCAATCACATATTTTACATATTAAATCAATCAAATAAGGTTATTTCTTTTATGAACCTTATAAAGACTTAGTCAAAAACAATTTAGTGATGACTTTATCTAGCTAGGTGAAAATTGGTTAGAATTTTTAATCTGTAAATAGCATAGCTTTTGATATTAGTGATCTCATTTAGATATTTGTTGGCTCTTAAAATTAATATTCTGTTGTATTTCATGAATTCAATAATACTGTAATTTATTGCTTTTGATTAAATTATTTTTTATTCTTATTTATTTATTTGTTCCTTTTATGCTTAAGAAGCTTTTTAGTTTATAAAATATAATTGATTTAATTAATAAATAAATATAAATAGATTTTTCATCACCCTTAGCTCAATGAAAATAGTGTTATATCATGGTAAGAATTGGAATTTTAAAATATAACGGAAAGCTGCTTAACAGAAATAGATTTAGAAAAGTGTAATTAAGAAAAACAATAATTCACTTATTAACTGCAATAGACAATATAATTTATTAAATTTGGAAATTATTCTATCAATTAATAGAAGAATTTAGATTAACTATATCAATATTGGTCAAAATTTGGAGTCAAAAAGTAAATAATATTATAAACGAAATTAATCTAAATTTAAATTTTTCTATTCTTATTTTTAGAGTTAGTTTGGTCTTTCCATTAGTGAGTAAAATTTCTAAATATAAAACACAGTAGCCATACTCTTTCTCAATAATATTGACAGCTATGGTTATTGAAGATTAAAGTGAAAGAGTGTAATTATTTAATGTAATTAACATTTATTGGATTAAAGTACCTCTATTTATTGAATTCATTATAGTTAGCTTGGTAATAATTATTTTTTTACTAAACTACGGCAAATTTTAGATTATTTAAATATAAAATCCAATAGAAATTTTAATTAAATTCTTAAAAATAAATCTAATTTTGCAATGTTAAACGCAAATTCTTAAATATACAAAAAAATTAGATAAATAGAATTTTCGTTTATTTTCTCCTTTCAATTAAGATTCTTTGAAGTAAACTTCAAAAAATACTTTTAAGGCTAATTAAAATCACTAAATATACAAAGAAAAAATAACTAGAGACAATCTATAGAATTAATCTTATCTAGATAAGGTAAATTTCTCTAATAAATTAGAGAGTTTTTGGGAAAAAAGCAGAAATAGATTAACTTATTAATAAAATTCCAAGACTTTTTTAAGTATACCTTAAGCATCTAATTTATAGGTTGATACAAATTATGGAAATCAAACCATTTTTAGTTAAAAATATAACAGTAAAATTACATAAAATGATGAAAAATATTATTAAACCAGAAAAAATAAAAGCTACATATATAATACATAAGAATAAAAGTAATAATAAGAATAAAAAAGTAAAACATTCGATGAATTATAGCAATAAAAGTAAGAATAAGAATAAAAAAGTAAAATACTCGATGAGTTATAGCCATTATTCTTAGAAATGAAAATTATTAAAGAAACTTTTTAGAATTTAGAAAGCATGATAAATTATTAGATTGATGCTTAATGTTAGAGCTCGGAGGATATCATGAACGCCTTGTTCCATTTTGCTAAAGCTAAAGGTACATTTCAAAAGTTATAGAATTAAAATGGTGTTATCCATTGCTATTATAATCTTGGTGTCATTTGCTTAATCAAAGATGATTTTTAATTAGCTTCAGAATATTTTTTATCAGCAATTTAATTAAATTGTATGTTTCTTGACATTGATCATTAATAAATAGAATTATAAAAATATGCATTTGCCTAGTATAAATAAGATGATCAGATAGCCTTATTAATAAAGTAAATTTTATGCTTTGCATATAGCTTGAAACAACTTGCTATAGAATAAATATATTATTAAATTAAATCTAATTTATCTAAGTCATCTAATAGCTTTTACTATGAACTCAAATATCACCAATAAAAAAGATTAAATTAGTAAATCTTGAAAAATACTTTAACGAAATCAATTGATAACTTTAGAATTTTAGAAAATTTAATTAAAATTCCTAATTAAAATGTTTCAAAGTTATTAGAGCTATTTGTTTACTTAGAAATAATAGAAATATTAATTCATTTAGATCACGTAAACTAAATAAAAAAAATTTAGTTTTACATTTATAAAACAATATTTTTAATCAACTAATTATAGCCTTCATATATGAATTCAAAGCTTTTATTTGAAAATTTAAATGTAAAAAAAATTGATGAGTATGAGAGTATAGTGCTAGAGTAAGAAATGTCTTTTGGTTTTTAAAATAATGGTGAAAGCCTTTCATAAGAAATTAGATTTATGATTTTTGAAATTTTGAAAGCTAAATTAATATTTTTATAAGGAAAATTGGAGTTCTATATGGAGAATTACTATCTTGCTATCGAATACTTAACATAGAGTATAGAAGAAGGATAGTTTTTCAGCCATATTTAAAGATAAAATTCTATCCTTTATCTTAGTTTACTATTTTAAAAGCTATCAATAAAATAATATTTCATTGATGAGTTTATTTTTAACTCATCTGTACAAATCGAGCTTACTTTACTTATTTAGATGGATTTCTTTAGCTAAAATATAAATCTTAGCTAATTTTTTGAAAATATTTAATAATCAAAATTATTAAGAAAAAAAGATGGAATTTAAATAATAATTTTTAACAAAAAGCTGTAAACTGTTATTCCACTTACTCTGATAGAAAGCTTTCACCACCTTAAATTAATCATTGAAAGTTTCCAAAATAGAGCAAAATAAATAATTCAAAGTTCTAAGAAAACTCTTTAAAAATTAGATTGGTAGCAAGCTTTAATAAAATGTATTGGTAATATGACTAATTTAAATCTTTTCTAAATTAATAAATTAAAATAGGATATAAACGAATGGAAAAATAGCAATAATAATTTATAAAATAAATAAAATTACGAAATATTAAAACATAATATGGAAATGTTGGAAAATAAAAAATAAGTAATTATTTTATTTTCTTATTCATAAGATATTAAAAACAACACCATAGCAAAATAATTCTTTGATAAAAAAATTCAATTCCATTCCTAAAAAATCATAATTTATCATATGATAGATTAATTTATTCTATATAGTGATTAATATCAACATGTATCAGAGTCCTTCTAATACGAGCCAGTAGTATTTGATAAAGATCTTATCTAAAAACTTGGTTAACTTAGAACAGATTAACTAAGTACTTCTAAATAATTTATAACCATCCTAAATAACGCTTTATGATTTTTTATTTCATTTGAAAATTTAAAGAAGCAATTCTTAAATAAAATAAATATATAAATAAAAATTATAAGTTAAAATTTTTTATAGCTCAACATTATCTCTCTTATAAAAACTTAAATATTAAATTTTATTTATTTGTTATATTTGAATTAAAAAAATGAAACAATTACTATTCGTGATGATTTATATTTGCTTTAAAAAACAAATTTATATGCTATTAATGAATCATATGTTAAAAATAATGAAAATATTTTAAGATAATTAATTATTTAGAAAATTATTGTTTAAAATATCAATTTGCCTACAATACAAATATTTGCTTTAAATATAAATAATTTTTTATTTTTAGCTTTTGTTGTTAAGAATTATTTTAACTTATCAAAATTTTTAAATGTAAGCTCTCATTTATAACAAAAATATTTCATTCATTAAAATTTGAAATTAATGTAATTAAAATTAAATAAAAATGTAGGAGAATAAATTAAAAATTAGTTTAAATTTGGAAAATTACAATTTAATATTGGATTGAAAGGTTGGAGCTAATTTTTTAAGTTACAAATTAAAATTATTTTTCAGGTTATTTTTAATAGAAAAAAATAAATATATATTGAATCTTTATCCATTAAACCAAGAAAATAATAGCAAATATATTTCAAGTAATTTAATATGATAAATGTAATAGGAAAAAACTGTAAAATAGAATTTGTTTCTATGTTACATAATGCCGCTTATAATATGGAGAAAGCATTTAAAGATAATTATGACTCCATATACATAAATACTAACATTTTTAACTTTATAAAATTTTGAATAGATTTAAAGACCAAAATTATAGATAGCATAGTATCTTTTATCTTTTGTAAGATATGACATCATTCATTATTAAATTAAAAAAATTAGAGATTGGTACTAATTGACTAACCAACTTCTTAAAGCCAAAAAGATATTTTACTTTCATTAAAATATTTACTGTAACCATTGATAAAAAATTCTCAATTTATCAGTAAATCGTATATTGTTAAATCACAAAAATTTTGATATAATAAATTTAATTAATTTTCAAAAAATCATTTAGAAAGAGCAAAAGTAAATAAATATATGTAGAGGCTTATTATAAGACTCATTCTTACAGTATCAATACCAATCATAATAGGTGTAGCAATATCTATGCTTATATTCTACAAAAATTTGATGAGCGCCCTTCTATTATGGTATATTAGTTTTAATATTTATTTCAAAAAAAAGAATTAATTTACTTATCTTACTTTGGAAAATATCTTCTTTAAAATAAAATCAGGGAATCAGATAGCCTTTAGTGGATTAAGTAATCATACTAATAAACACTTTATAACTAGTTACTTTCTAAGCTAATAATATAAGAATACAGCTTTAACTAAGTACGAACCATTTACAGTTTTTGTTTATTTTAAAAATGCATTAATTAAAATAAATGGCTTCACAATATATAAATTTTTATTATTCAAAAAGATACAACTGTAACTAATTGTGATGAATAAATTGATTGATAAATTCAATAATAAAAAAATATAAGGTATTTTTTTAATTTTCTTCCTTATCTTAATCTTAATTAATATATTTAAGAATTAATATTAATTGTTAATAGTAAACGTAAATACTTAGTTTACAGTTTGTTCTTACAGAGAAATAGCTTTTAATTAGTGTATTTCTGATGTTTATTAAAGATTTAACTAGAGTTGTTACTTTGTAGATATATATTTTGTGAGAACGCTCTTCAGATTTGATCTTCTCTCATAACATTAGCAAAATTATATTTTAATGGTATTTTTTTATTTTAGTTTATTAATTTAAAGTAGATTATTTTAAATGATAGAATAATTATCTGTCTTTTTTCTCTAAGAGTGTACATTATCAATCCTAAAGATAAGGACTACTGAAAATAATGATGTTTTTCAACGCAGATACCACTTCAGTGTTTTAAAGATTTCCATCAGAGTAGATTATTATATTTTTTTTTTCATTTTTAATCTAATTCATTTTTATTTAAGACTTGTAAATGTAACAAATACAGCTTACTAAGATTGTTATGGTGATGGTTATTTAGAACCATATGATCCAAGATGTAGACCATGGTATACTTACGCTAAGTAAAATGAAGGTAAATATATGTTGTTAAAATAACAAATTTTTTTGCTTTTAAAATTTAAATGAATAAGTAACATTATTTACAAAAATAATCATCAAAATATTAGGTTACTTCTTTTATTAACCTTATAACGACGCAGTCTAAAAGAATTTAGTGATGACTCTGTCTAGTTAAGTGAAATTTGGTAGTAACATTTAATCTGTAAATAGTATAGCCTTCGACATGACCAATCTTATTGAGATATTTGTTAGCTCTTAAAATTAATATTCTGTTTTATTTCATGAATTTAATAATACTGTAAAATATTAATTTTAGTTCAATAATATCTTTATTTTATTTTCTTTCTTTTACTTATTAGCATTTTTATATGTAATATAATTAATCAAATGAATAAATATAAAATAGATATTTCATCACCCTTACCACAATGATAATAGTGTTATATCTTGGCAAGAATTGGAATTCAAAAATATAACTTAAAACAATTTAACAGAAGAAGATTTCGAAAAATTGAATTAAGAAAAATAAGACTTTAGCAATTAATTACAACAGACAATATAATTTATCAAATCTGGAAATTATTCTATCAATTAATAGAAGAATTTAGATTAATTATATTAATACTGGTCAAAATTTGGCATAAAGAAGTAAATAGTATATAAAAAGAAACTAATTTAAATTTAAATTTTCTTTTCTTATTTTTAGAATTAGTTTAGTCTTTCCTTTAGTTAGTTAAATTCCTAAATATAAAACACAGTAACCGTACTCATTCTCAATCATATTAACAGCAATGGTTATTGAAGATTAAAGCAACAGACTATAATTGCTTAATATAATTAACATTAATTGGATTAGAGTACCACTTATTGTTGAATTCATTGTTGTTAGCTTAGCTATAATTTTATTTTTACTAAATTATGGCAAATTTCAAATAATTTAAATCTAAAATCCTATAGAAATATTAATTAAATTTTTAAAAATAAATCTAATCTTGCAACGTTAAACTAAGGTCCTAAAATACATAAAAAAATCAGAAAAATAGAGTTTAACATTCAATAGATATAAAAAAATATCATAAAATATTAATTCTAAGTTGAAATAAGAAGAGACTACAAATAAATTATTGTCTCCATGCAGTTAAGATTCTTTTAAACTAACATCTAAATATGTCCATAAGACAAATTAACAAAATTATTTAATTTAACAAGAAAAAATCACAAGAAACAAACTTTTGAGTTTTCCCTATTCAGATAAGACAGATTTCTCATAGAAATTTGATAGTATTAGGGAAAAACGTAAAACAAGATTAAGTTTTTTACATAATTCTAAGACGATAATAAGTACTTCTAGAGCATTTAATTAGTAGGATGATGAATAATAAGGAAACCCTGATTTTTTTATAAATAGAACAAGTTAAAATGATGATAAATCTGCTCACAGTCTAAAAAATGAAAGCTAAATATAAAGTGTAAAACTATAAAAATATGATAAATAAAAAAAAAGCAAAATACTTGATGAATTAGAACCGCTATTCTTAGAAATGAAAATAATAAAAGATACTTTTTAAAATTTAGAAAGTTTGATAAATTATTAAATTGATGCTTAAAGTTAAAACTCTGAAGATATTATGAATGCTTTGTTCCATTTTGCTAAAGCAAAATGTACATTCCAAAAGCTATAGAATTAAAATGGTGTTATCCATTGCTATTATAATCTTGGTGTGATTTATTTAATTAAAAGTGATTTTTAATTAGCTTCAGAGTATTTTTTATCAGCAATTTAATTTAACTGTATGTGCCTAGGTATAGATTATTAACAATTAGAATTTTTTCATGATAATGAATATAAAGATTAGCTAGTCACATTTAAAAAAATAGTTTTATGCTATTCATATAGCTTGAAACAACATGTTTTAGAATAAATTTATTCTTAAATTAAATCTAATTTATTTAAATCACAAAATAAATTTAACAATATATTCTAAAATTACCAATAAGAAATTTAAAATGAATAGGTCTTGAAAAACACTTTAAAAGAATCAATTGATAACTTCAGAATTTTAGAAAATTTAGTTAAAATTTAAAATTAAAATGCTCCAAAGTTATTTGAGTTGTTTATAAACTTAGAAATAATAGAAATTTTAATTCATTTAGACCACATTAATTAAAAAAAGGAAATTTAGCTTTACATTCAAAAATCAATAGTTATAATCAACAAATTATAGTTTACTTTTATAAAACCTAAAAATTTTAATTCAAAAATATTTGATGAGGATGAGAGTGTAATATTTGAAGAAGAAGACATATCTTTTAGTCTATATAATAATTTTTAAAACATTTCATAAGAAATCAGGTTTATAATTTTTGAAATTTGTAAATCTAAATTAATATTTTTATAAGGAAAATTGGAGTTCTATAAGCAGAATGATTACCTAGCTATCTAATATTTAACACAAAGCCTAGAAGAAGGATAATTTTTTAGTCCAATATAAAGATAAAATGTAATCCTTTACCTCAGTCTATTATTTTAAAAGCTATCAATAAAATAAGATTTAATTGATGAGTTAGCTTTGAATTCTTCTACACCTATTAATCTTATTTTACTTATTTAGTTGGATTCTATTTCTTAAAATACAAATCTAAACTAATTTTTTGAAAATATAGAAATATCTAAATTCCTAAGAAAAAAAGATGGAATTTAAATAATAATTTTTAACAAATAGCTATAAACTGTTATTCCACTAACTGAAATTGAGAGCTTTCACCATTTACAATTAATCGTTGAAAATTTTAAATACAAATCAAAAGTAACGATTCAAAAATCTAAAAAAACCTTGTAAAAATTAAATTGGTAACAAGCAATTGTAAAATATGCTAGTAATATAGCGAAGTTAAATCTTCTATAAATTAGTAAACTCAAATAAATTATTAAAGAACTGAATAATAGTAAAAATGATTAAAAATAAAAACTTAGTTTTGAAATATTCAAAAAAAATATGAAAATGTTGGAAAGTAAAAAATAAGTAATTATTTTATTTTCTAAAGAATAAGATGTTAAAAATAATATCAAACCAAAATAATTCTTTAACAAAAAAATACAATTCCATTTCTAAAAAATCATAATTTATCACATGTTAGATTTATTTATACAAAAAGATAATGATCAAAATCAACTTGATTCAGAGTACTTCGAGTATGAACCAATATTATCTGATAAAGTACTAATCTAAAAACTGAGTTAATTAAGAAAAGATTATTTGAATTCTTCTAAGGAATTCTTAACTATCATAAATAATGCTTTATGATTTTTTATTTCAGTAAAAAATTTGATGAAGTCATATTTAAATAATAAAAATACATTTAAAAATATAATAGATTACATTATTTTAAATTTTTTAAATCTCATCATTAAATTTATTGTTGTAACTTAAATATTAAGTATTTTTTATTTTTTATATAATATATTTTTTAAAAAGTAAGTAAAGAAATTAATAATAACTAAACATGGATGAGTATTTTTAATACATCAAAAATAAAAAATTTAATCAAATATTTAAAGTTTTTTTAACAAAAACTACAATACCACCTATTGCCATTTTTTAAATAATTTATAAGTTGTTTGTTTATTAAAGAAATAAACATAATTTAAAATAACTAGCCATAAAAATTTATTTCAGTAATTAACATATGATAAAAAAATGTACAATTCATTCAAAAACAATAAATAAATAAATAAAAAAATATTGTATTATTACATCATAAAAATTTCTAAAAAAGAATTTAAGTAATATCAAAAAATTAATTAGAAAGAAAGAATAAAAGTAAATATATGTAAAAGCTAATTATAAGACTTATTTTGACAGTATCAGTGCCAATCATAATAGGTGTTGCAATTTCTTTGGTTATATTCTACTTTTATCTGATGAGTGCACTCAAATCATGGTATATTAGCTTACTATTTAGTTAAAATAAATACGATTTTATCTTCTTTTAGTATAATATTATTTTTAAAATAAAAAAGGGAATCGGATAGCCTTTAGTGGATTAAGTAGTCATACTAATAAACGCTTTATAACTAATTACTTTATCAGTTAATTATAGAAGAATATAGCTTTAGCTAAGTATTTTCATTTACAGTTTTTAATTTTTAAAAAAAAGTTATTATTTAAAATTAATGGGTTGGCTTCTTTCTATTTTTTTATTATATAAAAAGATGTAAATAGAGTTAATTGTGTAGAATAAATTGGTTGATAAATACAATAATAAACTAATAATAGGTATTATTTTATTTTTTCCTTTTTCTTAATCTTTATTTAAAGTACTTAAGAATAAATATTAATTGTGAAAAGTTAATTCAAATACTTAGCTTACTATCTGTTTTTAGAGTAAATTTAATTCCTACTAGTGTCCTCCTGATGTCTATACAAAATTTAGATAGAATCATTACTTTGTGGATATATATTTTGTTAGAACAATCTTCGAATTTGCTCTTCTCTCAGAAAAGTAGCAAGATTATATCTTAATGGTATTTTTTTTATTTTATTATATTTATTATAAAATAGACCTATTTAAATAAAAGAATAATTATCTATCTTTTTACTCTAAGATCATACATTAGCAATCTTAAATATAAGGACTACTAAAAATAATGATGTTTTTCAATGCAGATACCACTTCAATATTTTAAAGATTTCCTTCAGAGTAACTTATACATATATTTATTATATTTAATCTAATCAATTTTTAAGCATTGAGGTTAATTAAAGTACTGCTTACTAAGACTGTTATGGAAAAGGGTATTCAGAACCATATGATCCAAGATGTAGACCATGGTATACTTATGCAAAAAATAATGAAGGTAAATATGTATTTTTGAAGATAACTAATTCTTTATGTTTTAAAAATTGAAATAAATAATATTTAACTTATTAAATTAATTAAATAAAAAAGGCTATTTCTTTTATGAACCTTATAGAGACGCAGTATATTAGAATTTAGTGATGACTTTATCAAGTTAGGTGAAATTTGATTAGAATTTTTAAGGTGTAAATAGTGTAGCCTTCGACTTGAGCAATCTCATTGAGATATTTCTTAGCTCTTAAAGTTCATATTCTGTTTTATTTCATGAGTTCAATAATACTGTAAATAAAATATTACTTTTTGGTTAAAATATTTATTCATAAATCCTATAAAGCAAGCAGATATATAATACATAATAATATTCCAACTAATTCTTAGGGATGTTAAATAAAAAAAAATAATTAAAATTCATCCTATTTATTTGATGAAAGATAAATAATTAATAAGCATGATATAATTAATATAAAAGAATTAATAATACAGAAAAAGTTCATTTATTTTTTTTTAAAAATTTAATTGTTATTTTTATTTAGCTAAATTTTTTAGATTATTAAAATTTTAAAATCTATCTAAGCCTTTTTAGTTAAAATATATTTTATTTATACTTACTTCTTCATTTTACTTTTCATTGATTATTTGGGTAATATAATTTATTTATTAACAAATATAAAGATTTTTTATCACCCTTAGCTGAATGATAATAGTATTATATCATGGTAAGATTTAGAATTCAAAAATATAACATAAAACTGTGTAACAGAAATAGATTTAGAAAATTGTAATTAAGAAAAATAACAATTCAGCTATTAACTATAATAGACAATATAATTTATCAAATCTGGAAATTATTCAATCAACTAATAAAAGAATTTAGATTAACTGTATTAATATTGGTCAAAATTTGGTGTTCAAAAGTAAATAAATAATATTTAAAAAGAAAGTAATTTATTTATTTTTGTTTTCTATTTTTAGAATTAGTTTAGTTTTTCCTTTGGTGAGCAAAGTTTATGAATATAAAACACAATAACCATACTCTTTTTCGATAATATTGACAGCAATCGTTATCGAAGATTATAGCAGCAGGCTTTAGCTATTTAATATAATTAATATTAATTGGATTAAAATACCTCTAATTGTTGGATTCATTATAGTTAGCTTAGCAATAATAATTTTTTTAATAAATTATGGTAGATTTTAGATTATTTAAATATAGAATCCTATAAATATTTTAATTGAATTTTTAAAAGTAAATTTAATCTTATAAAGTTAAACTCGTAAATATAGAATAAACTCAGAAAAATAGACTTAAATCTCAAACATAAATTAAAAATAATCATAAAATAATATTTCAAAATTTAAATAGGATGAGATAATAAATAAATCATATCTATTAAATTAAGATTCTTTTAAATAAACATCAAAAAATCTCTTTTTGACAAATTAAAATCGTCTAACTTTCTAAGAAAAAATCACAAGATCTCCTCTATTGAATGTACCATATTTAGATAAAGTAGATTTTTCTTGGAAATATGATAGTATTAGGGAAAGACCTTTAACAAAATTATCTTATAAAAATATTTCTAAGACCATAATAAGCTCCTCTAAAGCATTGAATTAATAAGATGATTCATACAAAGACTCCTAGAAAGCAATTTAAAGTGTTAACAAATCTGTTAACGGTCTAAAAAATGAAGGTTAAATATAAAATTAATAAGTATAAAAGCAAATTAATCCACAAAAAAGTAAAATACTTGAAGAATTAGAGCCGTTATTCTTAGAAATGAAAATTATCAAAGAAACTTTTTAGAATTTAGAAAGCTTAATAAATTATTAAATTGATGCTTAAAGTTAAAATTCTGAAGATATTATGAATGGGTTGTTCCATTTTGCTAAAGCTAAAGGTACATTTCAAAAGCTATAAAATCAAAATGGCCTTATTCACTGTTATTATAATCTTGGTGTTATTTCTTTAATTCAAAAAGACTTTTAATTAGCTTAAGAGTATTTTTTATCAGCAATTTAATTTAACTGTATGCACCTAGGCATAGATTATTAACAATTAGAATTATAAAAATAAATTTTTGTTTATGATATTGAATAAGATGATTAGTTAGTCACGTTGAAAAAAAAAATTTTATGTCTTGCTCATAGCTTGAAGGAGCTCGCTATTGTATAAATATATAATTAAATTGAATCTAATTAATTAAAACCGTTAAATAACTTTAAGCAATAAGAAAATGAATCATTGAAAAATACTTTAAAAAAATCAATTGACAACTTCAGAATTTTAGAAAATTTAATTAAAGTTCCAAATTAAAAGGTTTCAAAATTATTAGAGCTTTATGTAAGCTTAGAAATAATAGATATTTTAATTCATTTAGATCCCAAAAATTAAATTAATAATATTTACTTTTATATTGATAAAGCTATAAATTTAATCAATAAATTATAGCCTACATTTTTGAAATCTAAACTTTTATTTTAAAGCTCGAATATAAAAAAATCGGATGACTATGTGAGCATATTATTAGAGGAAGATGTTTCTTATGGCTCTTTAAATAATCGTTAAAGCATATCATAAGAAATAAAATTTATTATTTTAGAAATTTGTAATGCTAAATTAATGTTTTTATAAGGAAAATTGGAGTTCTATTAGGATAATTACTATTAAGCTATGGAATATTTAACATAGAGTATAGAAGAGGGATAATTTTTCAGTCCAATTTAAAGATAAAATTCTATCCTTTATCTTTCTCTATTATTTTAAAAGCTCTAAATTAAATAAAATTTCACTGATGAGCTCGTTTTGAACTCCTCTGCATCTATTGAGCTTATTTTACTTATTTAGTTGGATTCTATTTGTTAAAATACAAATTTAAACTAATTTTTTGAAAATATTTAAACATCTAAATTCTTTAGAAAAAAAGATGGAATTTAGATAATAATTTTTGACAAAAAACTGCAAACTGTTATTCCATTTACTTTGATTGAAAGCTTTCACCACCTTTAATTAATCATTGAAACTTTTTAAAACAATGCAAAATAAATGATTCAAAACTCTAAAGAAACTCTATAAAATTTAGATTGGTAACAAGCTATAATAAAATGTGTTGGTAATATAATAAAGTTAAATCTCCAATAAATAAATAAACTCAAATAACATTAAAAAGAATAGTAAAAAATAAATAAATAATAAAAACAATAACCCAATTACGAAATATTCAAAAACAATATGAAAATGTTGGAAAATAAAAAATAAGTTATCATTTTATTTTCTAAATAATTAGAAATAAAAAATGATATCAAAGTAAAATAATTCTTTAATAAAAAGATTTAATTCCATTTCTAAAAAATAATAATTTATCACATGTTAGATTATTTCATTCAAGGTAATTATCAAAATTAAATTGATTCTGATTCTTTCTGTTATGAGCCAGTTGTGTTTGATAAAAATCTAATATAAAAGTTGAATTAACTAAGGACAGATTAATTGAATACTTCTAAAGAATTTATAAGTATTCTAAACAACGCTTTATGATTTTTAATTTCAGTTAAATTAACTAGATTATATTTTATGGAAATAAAGAAATTGATAATTACTATTTTAACTCCTGATGATTTATTTATATTTTCTTGAAAAAGACATATATATTTTATTAACGATAATAATAATTAGTATTATTGAGTAAATAATATGAAAGATAATGAGTTTATCTTACTATGTTATTTTTCTTAAAAATAAAAAATGTAAATTTAAAAGTTATATCATATTAAATATAAATTATGATTTTAATTAGAAATAAATTTTTTATTAATTTTTCTATCATTAGCATTTTCTTACTTTTTTTATATATGATTTTTAGAGTGCTTTGAGTTTCATTTAAAAATATAAATTTTATAACAATTTTTCTAAAAATTAAACATAAAAAAATAAAAAAATTTAATAAAACATTTAAAGTTTTTTTAAAAAGATGCTACAGTACCACCTATTACCATTTTTTAAATAATTTATTAGTTGGTTGTTTATTTAGAAATAAGCATAATTTAAAAATTACTAGCAAATAACCAATCAAAATTTATTTCAGTAACTAATATATGTTAAAAAAAAGTACAATTCATTCAAAAAAAAAAATAAAGAAATTTTGATTATTTTATATCATAAAAACTTCTACAAAAATAATTTAAGTAATTTCATAAAATTAATTAGAAAGGTAAAAGTAAATATATGTAAAAGCTAATTATAAGACTTATTTTGACAGTATCAATGCCAATCATAATAGGTGTTGCAATTTCTTTGATTATATTCTATTTATGTCTGATGAGCGCACTCAAATCATGGTATATTAGCTTGCTATTTATTTAAATAAATACGATTTTATCTTCTTTTGGTATAACATTATTTTTAAAATAAAAAAGGGAATCGGATAGTCTTTAGTGGATTAAGTATTCATACTAATAAACGCTTTATAACTAATTACTATCTCAGTAAATTATAGAAGAATACAGTTTTAGCTAAGTATTTTCATTTACAGTTTTTAATTACTTTAAAAAAAATATTATTTAAAATTAATTTCTTCTTCATTTTTTTATTATTTAAAAAGATGTAAATAGAGTTCATTGTGTTGAAAAAATTGATTGATAAATTCAATAATAAACTAATAATGGGTATTATTTTCTTTTTTCCTTTTCCTTAATCTCTATTTAAATAAACATTAATTGTTAAAAGTTAATGCAAATACTTAGTTTGCTATTTGTGTTTAGAATAAATTTGATTCCTATAAGTGTCCTCCTGATTTGTATAAATAGTTTACAAAAAACCGTTATTTTGTAGATGTATATTTTGTGAGAACAATCTTCGAATTTGATCTTCTCTCAAAATAGTAGCAAGATTATATCTTAATGGTATTTTTTTATTTTATTATATTTATTATTAAATAGACTTACTTATTTAAATAAAAGAATGATTATCTATCTTTTTTCCCTAAGATCATACATAAGCAATCTTAAAAATAAGGACTACTAAAAATAATGATGTTTTTCAACGCTGATACCACTTCAGTATTTTAAGTATTTCCATCAAAGTAGCTTGCTTATACACATATTTTTCATATTTAATCTAATCTTATTTTAAGTATTTCATCTAATTAAGGTGTTGCTTACTAAGACTGTTATGGAAAAGGGTATTCAGAACCATATGATGCAAGATGTAGACCATGGTATATTTATGCAAAAAAAAATGAAGGTAAATACATATTTTTAAAGATTACTAACTAATTCTTTATTTTTTAAAAATTTAAATAAATAATTTTTAACTTATTAAATTAATTAAATAAGGTTACTTCTTTTATGAACCTTATAGAGACGCAGTAAATAAGAATTTAGTCATGACTTTATCAAGTTAGGTGAAATTTGGTTAGAATTTTTAAGGTGTAAATAGTGTAGCCTTCGACATGAGCAATCTCATTGAGATGTTTGTTAGCTCTTAAAGTTCATATTCTGTTTTATTTCATGAGTTCAATAATACTGTAAATAAAATATTACTTTTTGTTTAAAATATATTCATAAATCCTAAAAAGCAAGTATATATTGCTATTCTCAGATAATTATTTCTTGAGTAAAAAAAATGTAGTTAGTACAATATTAAATATTTTTAATTAAATAAAAGAAAAATTTAAATAAATAAAAAAATTTTGAAGTAGGTTTAGAACCTGATAGAAGAAAAAAATAACTAAAACATTTTTAATCAAAGATTTAATTTGTTTTTTGATGAAGATATCTAAATAAATTATTTATCAGACATTTAATCTTGAATTCATTTTTTTTAAATTTAAAATGAATGAAAAAATATTTTACTTTAAAATTTAAATATTTTATTAAAATTTATTTAGATTTCATCATTAAAAAACTAATCTTTGATTAAGCATTTTTTATTTTTTTGTTTTAGGCTCAAAACCTATTTCGATACCTTTATTTTAAATTTTCTTTAAATTTTTAAAATAATATTTATTTATTATTCAATTAAAAATTTATTTCTTACTTTTAATATGATTATCTAAGAATAGCAATACTATAAAATTCCAACTAATTCTTAGGGATATTAAATCTATATAATAATTCATATTAATCCTATTGAATGGATGATACTTAATAAGCTTTAAAAATATAATATAAAAGAAATGATAATAGAGAGAAAGTTATTCCATTTTTAAAAGTGATTTTTAATTGTTGTTTTTTTTATTCAGCTAAATTTTTAATTTATCTAAGCCTTTTTGGATAAAATATATTTTATTCTTACTTACTTCCTCATTTTTACTTTTAATAGAATATTTGAGTAATATTATTCATATATTAATAAATATAAAGATTTTCTATCACCCTTAGCTGAATGATAATAGTGTTATATCATGGTAAGATTTAGAATTCAAAAATATGACATAAAACTGTGTAAAAGAAATAGATTTAGAAAAGTGTAATGAAGAAAAATAACAATTCAGCGATTAACTAACATAAACAATATAATTTATCAAATTTGGAAATTATTCCATCAATTAATAAAAGAATTTAGATTAACTATATTAATATTGGTCAAAATTTGGTGTTAAGAAGTAAATAAATAATATTTTAAAAGAAATTCATTAACTTATTTATTTATTTATTTATTTTTCTTTTATATTTTTAGAATTAGTTTAGTCTTTCCTTTGGTGAGCAAAATTCATAAATATAAAACACAATAGCCATACTCTTTTTCAATAATATTGACTGCAATCGTCATCGAAGATTATAGCAACAGATTTTAGCTATTTAATATAATTAATATTAATTGGATTAAAATTCCTCTAATTGTTGGATTCATTATAGTTAGCTTAGCAATAATAATTTTTTTAATAAATTATGGTAGATTTTAAATTATTTAAATATAAAATCCAATTGATATTTTAATTAAATTTTTAAAGATAAACTTAATCTTACAAAGACAAAATAGATCATTTAAAAATAGAAAAAACTCAGAAAAATAGACTTAAATCTCATACATAAATTAAAAATAATCATAAAATAATATTTCAAAATTTAAATAGGATGAGACTATAAATAAATCATATCTATCCAATTTAGATTCTTTTAAATAAACATCAAAAAATCTCAATATGGCAAATTAAAATTGTCTCACTTTCTAAGAAAAAATCACAAGATCTCCTCTATTGAATGTACCCTATTTAGATAAAGTAGATTTTTCTTGGAAATATGATAGTATTAGGGAAAGACCTTAAACAAAATTAACTTAAAAACATATCTCTAAAACCATAATAAGCTCCTCTAGAGTATTGAATTAATAAGATGATTCATACAAAGGCTCCTAGAAAACAATTTAAATTAATAAAAAATCTGTTAAACGTCTAAAAAATAAAGGTTAAATATAAAATTAATAAATGTAAAAGCAAATTAATCCACAAAAAAGTAAAATACTAGAAGAATTAGAGCCGTTATTCTTAGAAATGAAAATCATCAAAGAAACTTTTTAGACTTTAGAAAGCTTGATAAATTATTAAATTGACGCTTAAAGTTAAAATTCTGAAGATATTATGAATGGGTTATTCCATTTTGCTAAAGCTAAAGGTACATTTCAAAAGCTATAAAATCAAAATGGCCTTATTCACTGTTATTATAATCTTGGTGTTATTTCTTTAATTCAAAATGATTTTTAATTAGCTTAGGAGTATTTTTTATCAGCAATTTAATTTAACTGTATGCATCTAGACATAGATTATTAACAATTAGAATTATAAAAATAAGTTTTTGTTTATGATATTGAATAAGATGATTAGTTAGTCACGTTGAAAAAAAAAATTTTATGTCTTGCTCATAGCTTGAAGGAGCCTGCTATTGTAGAAATATATAATTAAATTGAATCTAATTTATTTAAACCATTAAATAACTTTAAGTTGTAATTCAAGCATCATCAATAAGAAAGTGAAAATGAATCATTGAAAAATACTTTAAAAAAATCAATTGACAACTTCAGAATTTTAGAAAATTTAATTAAAGTTCCAAATTAAAAGGTTTCAAAATTATTAGAGCTTTATGTAAGCTTAGAAATAATAGATATTTTAATTCATTTAGATCCTAAAAATTAAATTAATAATATTTACTTTTATATTGATAAAGCAATCAATTTAATCAACAAATTATAGCCTAAATTTTTGAAATCTAAACTTTTATTTTAAAGCTAGTATATAAAAAAATCGGATGACTATGTGAGCATATTGTTAGATTAAGATGTTTCTTTTGGCTCTTTGAATAATAGTTAAGGCATCTCATAAGAAATCAAATTTATTATTTTAGAAATTTGTAAAGCCAAATTAATGTTTTTATAAGGAAAATTGGAGTTCTATTAGGAGAATTACTTTTAAGCTATCGAATATTTAACATAGAGTATAGAAGAAGGATAATTTTTCAGTCCAATTTAAAGATAAAATTCTATCCTTTATCTTTCTCTATTATTTTAAAAGCTATAAATTAAATAAAATTTCACTGATGAGCTCGTTTTGAACTCCACTGCATCTATTGAGCTTATTTTACTTATTTAGTTGGATTCTATTTGTTAAAATACAAATCTAAGCTAATTTTTTGAAAATATTTAAACATCTAAATTCTTTAGAAAAAAAGATGGAATTTAGATAATAATTTTTGACAAAAAACTGCAAACTGTTATTCCACTTACTTTGATTGAAAGCTTTCACCATCTTTAATTAATCATTGAAACTTTTTAAAACAATGCAAAATAAATGATTCAAAACTCTAAAGAAACTCTATAAAATTTAGATTGGTAACAAGCTATAATAAAATGTGTTGATAATATAATAAAGTTAAATCTCCAATAAATTAATAAACTCAAATAAAATTTAAAAGAATAGTAAAAAATAAATAAATAATAAAAACTACCACCCAATTAAGAAATATTCAAAAACAATATGAAAATATTGGAAAATAAAAAATAAGTTATTATTTTATTTTCTAACTAATAAGAAATAAAAAATGATACCAAAGTAAAATAATTCTTTAATAAAAAGATTTAATTCCATTTCTAAAAAATAATAATTTATCACATTTTAGATTATTTCATTCAAGGTAATTATTAAAATTAAATTGATTCGGATTTTTTCTGTTATGAGCCAGTTGTGTTTGATAAAAATCTAATGTAAAAGTTGAATTAACTAAGAACAGATTAATTAAGTACTTCTAAAGAATTTATAAGTATTCTAAACAATGCTTTATGATTTTTAATTTCATTTAAATTAACAATAATATATTTTATGCAAATAAAGAAATTAATAATTCTTATTTATTTTAGTTCCTGATGATTTATATTTGCTTGAAAAAGAACACATATTAGTGTTTTTGAGTTAATAATATGAAAGATAATTCTAAGATGTTATTTTTCTTAAAAATAAAAAAATTTTTAATTTAAAAGTTATATATTTCTTTCATGATAAGTACTTTAAAACTAACTAATTTTAAAGCTAATTATAGAAGAGTACATTTTAGTTAAAAATTTATCATTTTATACCTTTTATTTATTCTTATTTGTTATTATTTAAAATAAGCAGTTTTACTGTATAAATTATTTAAAAAGGGCTAATTATTATAAATAATGATGAATAAATAAATTGATTGATAAATTCCATACTAAAGTTATAATAGCTATTTTTTTTCTTGATCAGTATTTAATTATTAAACAATAAATATAAATTATTGATAGTAAACCCATATACTTAGTTGAAGAACATATTATTTAAAGAATTTTTAACTATACTAAATAACGCTTTATTATTTTTTATTTTAGTTATAGGCTCGATAATGAAAATTAAAATTATTATATTGAAGAGTTTATTATTTTTTAATACTTAATTTTCATATTATTATTTATTTAATCTGTAATTCCCCTTCGCTATCTTTATTATCATAACTTAAAATGAGATTTACTTTTTTATGTAATATATTTTAAGGAAATAGAATTATAACCATTAGGGATTAATTATATTTTCTTTTAAACAAATTTGTATGCTAATGAGTATTTTTAAAGTATGTAATATATTAAATATAATGAATACTGTAAAATAGTCTATTCCTTCTTATATATTAAATATTTATTTTTTATTTAAAACCTTTATTTTGCCTAAAATGTAATTTATAGCTTTAGATTCAAATAAACTTTTAGTTTATTTTTATGGTTTTTACTATTTATAATAATGTTATTTATAAAAATTTGTGTATTTAGATAATTAAACATATTATTAAATCATAATTAAAAATTCATTAAATAGAACTTTTAACATATAAATTAACAAATAATTATAAATATTATTCAATTATTATAGTAATAAATATATATAAATATGAAATGGTTAATAATTAGATTGATTATCACAGTCTCTATTCCGATTATTGTTGGAGTAGCTATTGTTTTGTTGATATTTTATAAGAGTTTGTGGAATGCCCTCTACTAATGGTAAAGAATAGTAACCTTAATATTTACATTTTTTTTCAAAGTAGAATTAAATACTATTTTGAGCAAATTTCTCAATAATTGCTTGTAGATAATCATTTTACAAATAATAATTAGGGAAGATGAAAGCTTGAAATGGATAAATTAAAATTAATAATAGATTTTACATAACTCTGCCTATTCTCAATAGCTAATTGAAACTTATAGCTTCAATTAAGTAATCATTATATAATCTTGCTATTATAATAATCTTATTAGTTCTAGATATTTACCAATTCCTATCTTATTTTATTTATAAAGCTACAACTGCATTTAGTAGTTATCAACAGTATCATTTTAAAATATTATGGGTCTGAATTAAAAAGTATTTAAACATTTAGGCTTTCACTTTTCATTATTGAGGCATTTCTTTTTATAATATTAGTAAATCCAAACGCAAAGTTTCTTAAATGTTCGTATAGAGAATTAATATTTGATGAGTGTCCATAAGATGTTTACACAAAGCTCAACTAAAGTATCTTTTATGTGGATTTATACTACATAAGAGAAGGATTTAACTTTAATAAACTGACTACCCTTTAATAAGAATTTATAGTTATGGTAATCATTTAATTTATTCACAATAACTCATAAAAATTCTATAAAATATATTGAAGAACGAGTTTATTTCATATTATGGAAGAGCTGCTATAATAGCTTCTATTTCTGAAGAACGTTTGAAAATATAGACTCTCTACAACGCGGATACAACATCAATTATGGCTCATTAACCATCAAGGTAGAATCTATTATTTAACTCAAAAAATAAATAAATAATTGAAATTAATTAGGTATTAAAATTTTACAGCTTCAACCTATCAGACTTGCTTAGGTACTGATTTTATTGAACCTTACGATCCAAGATGTAGATCATGGTACAAGTATGCTAAATAGCATGAAGGTATATATTATTTAATTAAAATATTATATTTTAAATGTTATTATTAAATTAGGATATTTTTTTTATGAGCCTTACTTGGATGCTATAGAGGGAAACTTAGAAATGACTCTTTCATCACAAATTAAATATAATTCAGAATTTACTTCTGTTAGTAGTATAGATTATGAAATGAATTCTATGATTGATTTATTTAAAAATACTCAAAGCTAAAATGCATACTCTGTCCTTTTTCATGAATTCAACAATACAGTATTTATCTATTTTATTCATTCATTCATTCATTCATTCATTCATTCATTCTTTAATTTAACAATTAACTCTCGAAGTTAAAAATAGTCAATGTCTTTTATTTTTTTTTGTGATTAATAGATTAAGGAATTTAATTGAAATTATGAAAACTTTTTTAATTAAGGATGTTTTGAAATTAAAAAGTGAATTCTAGTTTGAATTTACTGCGTTAAATAGAATTTTTTAGCCATTGGTTTAAATTAAACCCTAATAAAAAATTTTAACAATATAGGAGGTGTATTTAAATATTATTAATCTTTAGGGTAAATTAATTTTTTTAATTAGTAAAAATTGACTATTCACTTTAGTTTTATTTACCAAAAAAACAATTCTATTTTACTATAAAAATAATTTTTCTTTCATTTCCTTTTTAAAAATTTTAACTATTGAGATTTCAATTAGAGCTTTTATAGAAAAATTAAATTTATTTTAATCAATTAACTATTCTAATTTTAATAAATTCAAAATTTCAGCTTTATATTTGAATGATAACTTTTTTAATTTATGATTTAAATTTAATTAGATATTTTATCATCCTTTACTTAATGCATCAGATGTAATATCGTGGGGAGACTTAGAGTTTTAGAATATAACTGATAATTGCAATGAGGCTTAAGCTTTAGAAGCTTGTATGATAGAAAAATAGGAGTTTGTTTAATAATTAAATAGTACAGTCAATTTTATACAAACATCAAATTATTCTATTTAGTAACAGATTAATACAGATGGTTTATATCAATATTGGTCAAGATATGGAGTTGATTTGTAATTTATTTTTCGCTTTTTGATATACATACTTAAAGCTTTATTTTTATTTTGAATTAAAAGAATTAGCTTAGTATATCCTATAAGGAGTTAAATAACTAAATATCCTACATAATAACCTTATTCATTCTCTATCATTCTTACTGCTAGAGTATTAGTTGATCAAAGTAGTTCATTGAAGCTATTTAATCTTTTAAATGCAAATTCAATTAAGATTCCTCTTTTAATTGAGTTTATTGTATTGAGTGGATTAATTGTTGTTTTTCTTGTAAACTATGGGCATTTTTAAATTTACTAAATTTAATACCCAATCGAGTTGTTAATAATATTTTTGTAAAAAAGTTTAATGGAATAACAATAATTCTAAAATCCCATTAATTTTAAAAGTGAAGGAAATGAAAAAGAAAAATCTAATAATTAAATTAATAAATATTTAAATACTGGTAATTCACCGAATTTAAATAAAAGCCAAAGTAAAATTAATAGCAGTTAAGTTAAAAGCTAGATAGCACTTTAAGATTAATCAATAATAAATATTAGTTTCTTTTAAAATAAAACAAAATAACTTTTTAGTTTTTAATAATATGACAAGTCAACTGCATAATTAGATTAATCTAACTTAAGGGAAAAGACTTAAAATTAAGATGAGATTCTAGAAATTTCAAGTAGAATATTCTAAAATTAAAAGAGAGATTTTTTAAATGAGAGTAAAATAATGACAAAATAAGCTAATAATAATAATAATAATAACAGTATTAAAAAAAACAATAATTCAAATAGAATACCCTTAGAAAATTCTTCTAATAAATCTTAAAATAGATTAATCAACTAATCAGTAACGGATTCTTATCTTATCTAACGATCAACAAATATCACTAGAGTAACGAATGATTTCGATATCTTATCTGATATAGAATAAATTGAAGAAAAAGAAAATGGATAATCTAAAATCCTTTCTGGATTAAAACCTCTCTTCCTTGAAATGAAAATTATCAAAAAGACATTTTAAATGCTTGAAGGGGTAATCAATTACTAGATTTAAGCATATTCTAATGATTAATAGGATGCAATTTAAACTCTTTTCCATTTTTCTAAGGCTAAAAGTACATTTTAAAATCTTCAAAATTAAACAGGACTAAGTCGATGCTACTTTAATTTAGGCATCATTTATCTTTTGAAAAATGAATATGAATAATCATGTGAATATTTTGAGGCATCAATCATGCAAAGCCTATAATTCATAGGATTAGAGTCTTTGGATTAGATTAACGAAAATATGTTTATAAATATTTAAAATGATTAAAAAGATTAGCTATTTATATTCTGTAAAAGAATACTGTCATTTGCTCATTCAATAAAATAATATTCAATATAATTAGCATAAAATTAAAATAAAGCACAATCAAAAGAAGAATTTTTGGTTTCAGATACATTCTATTTAAACTCTTCAATCAAATATTTAATGTAAAAGTCGATAGGAATATTAAAAACAGTTCAAAAAATAATCTACCACAATTATTAAAAAACCCCTTTCTAAGATATTTTTTTAATTTTTTTGTATTAAGAAATGATTGAAATATATATATATCTTAAAAAAACAAATGAAATTGATCAATATTTTGAAAAATCAAATGCTTTACTAGATACATATTTACATAATTTAAATGTTAACAATAGTTTCAATAGTTATGTTAAAGATAAGAAATGTATTGAATAATAAAAAACAAAAAATATAATTATCGAATTACTAAAAACAAAATAAAAGTTTTTATCAGGCATTATTGAAAAATAAAATAAAAATTATAAATAGGCTATTGAATATTTCACTTAAAGTCTAGAATATGGAACACATTTTAATCCTTAGTTGAGATAATAAGTTATTGTAAACTTAAAATACTTATTTAATAAGCTTTGTATTTAATAAAACGTTATTGATGAGCAATTTGATAAGTTTGATTGTGATACTCCAATAGATTTGGTATATGTAATTCAATTAAACTCAATATCTTCATATATTATAGCTGAGTCTTGCCTCCAAAATATTAGAAAATCTAACTTTTTAAAAAAAAATGATAGAATTTAAATTATCATCTTTAATTAAGAGCTTGATGTTTTATTGCCCTACACAAGGATAATTAGTGATAATTATTGGTAAATAATTATGCGTTCAATAAAGAAAATTGGACTAAATACAATTTAAAGATAAAAGTTTAGCTTAAAAAGATTAGATTGGATCTAAGCAATAAACCAAACTTTAGATCATATTTACGAACTCAAAGAATTAGATTTAGTTAAACTAAATCAAATTTATAAATTAAATAGTAAATATCACAAAAATCTATGTCCTGAATAATTATAAAACCATTTAAAGATAAGTCAGTAAAATGATTTAAATTTAAGAAAAAAAGTAATAATTTTATAATCTGCATATTAATAAGCTTAAAATGATCTAATAGTTAAAAAAAGTTTCATTAATCTATAAAAAAATTTAAAATTAGAAAAACCAATCATCCTTCACTTAAAAGACTACCAATCAATTATTGATCGTAATTAATAACAATAACTATAATCAAATTTTATTGAATATGAGGCATTCTATGAAGAAAATAAGTTAATCACAAAATTAAAAAAGCTTAGAGACTAAGAAATTCTCAATCCAGAATATGAATTTATGGTCATCTTAAATAATTATTGAAAGAAAAAAATATAGATCATATATATATATATACATCTTAATTAAAATACCTATTAATTTTTGATAGATATCTAATTAAAAGATAATTCATCTTTAATTTAATATAAAAATAATATTTTGAAAAAAATTTATTAGCTTTTTTAAAAATAGGTATTTTATACAAACTTTGAGTTAGTTTATTTATTTATAGCGATTAGCTGAATGTTTATAAAATTTTTATCATTGTATTTAAATTCTAAAAAAATGAGATCTAACAAAAAAATTTAGTTAAAAAAAATAAAATTCTGCATGTAATTAGGTAACTTAAAATTTTTATTGCCCACTTTTATTCACTTTTATTAAGGAAAGAAGCTACTGAAATTTTGATTGATTAATTTATTTGTTTAATAATACAGATAAACATCCTTTATTTTTAGTGTGTTATTTTCTAAATATAAGTATTGAATAAATAATAAGTAAGACAAAAAGAAAAAAATTAATGTATAAGCGCTAATAATCATACTTATAGCTACAGTGGCAGTATGTAAAAGATTTTTTAAAAATAGAATAACTTCCAATCTTAATATACAAGAAATGTGTTTTATTTCTAAATTAATTGCAAGGGTTTTTGAAATTCATAATGATATACAGCTGTGACACTCACTACATCTATATATAATTATTATCCTTATATTTAAATAATTATAAATATATTTCTAATTTATTTTTAAGTTTCGTGAATAAAACAGATATTTAATATAAAAAATGCATGGATTATAGGTTTTTGGAGCCATATGATCCGAAATTTAGATATGAGTTATGAATTTACCAAAGAGAATGGTTGATTTTTAAAGATTTTTAAAGGTTAACAAATTAATATTAATTTATTATGTTAACTAATAAATATAAAAATTTACTTCTACTTTAAATAGATTTTTTTTATGAGCCTTATTAGACCATTTTTAATTTTAATTAGAGACTACTTTAATAAACAAGCTAAGTCAAAAATACCTAAAAATTGTAGAATACTAACTTTATAGATTATGATATGAACGATTTGTTGAATCTGCAAACTAATTTTCTGTTATATTTCATGAGTATAACAGAAAAGATATTTATTTTTTTTATTATAATTGTTCAAATTTAAATAAAAGAAATCATTTTTAGAGAAAAACATAAAATCTACAATTTAATTTAAAATGTTTGCAACCTAAATACCATAATTTCTTCATCATAAATGCTACTAATTTCAAATAATCAGCTAGGTTACCTCTTAATCATCTTTTTATCATAATTTAAAATAAAATTTACTTTATTATATAATAAATTTGAAGGAAGTACAATTAATTATCACTTTTAGAGATCATTTTTCTTTTTTTTAAAACAAATTTAATATGCTAAAGATCATTTTTAAAGTAAGTAACAATTTAATATGATTAATACATTTTATAATTTAAATTCTTTTATTTGCCTTTAGTATATATTTAAATTCAAATAAACTTATGTTTATTTTAATGGTTATTGGTTATTTACAATAGTTTTATATTTAAAAATTCGTGTTTTTAGATAATTAAATTTATTATTATCAAAATAATTCAAATTTCTTTAGAAAAGTAAATAAAACAAATAAATTAGTAGATAATAAATAAGTTTATTCAATTTTTTATTTCATCAATATAAAAAAATAAAAAAATATGAAATCACTAATAATTAGATTAATTATCACAGTATCAACTCCAATTATTGTTGGAGTAGCACTTGTTTTGTTGATTTTTTACAAAAGTTTATGGAATGCTCTCTATTAATGGTAATAAATTGTAATTTTATATTTAAATAAATTTTCAAAGTAGAATTAAATAAAATTTTGAACATACTACTCAATTATCACTCGTAGAAAATCAATTTACTTATTATAATTAGGGAAGATGAAAGCTTAAAGTGGATAAATTAAACTTAATAATAGATTTTGCATAATTCTGCATATCCTCAATATCTAATAGAGACCTACAGCTTCAATTAAGTAATCATAATATAATCTTGCCATATATTATAACCATCATATTATTTTTAGATTGTAATAAATTGCTTTCTTATTTTATATATAAAGCTACAGCTGCATTTAGTAGTTATCAACAGTATCATTTAAAAATATTATGGATCTGAGTTAAAAAGTATTTAATAATTTAGGTTTTGGTTTATTTATCATAAAGACATTTCTTTTTATAAAATTAGTAAATCCAAAAGCAAACTTTCTTAAATGCTCCAATAGAGAATTTACATTTAATTAATGTACTTAAGATGTTTACACAAAGCTCAACTAAAGTATCTATTATGTAGATTTATACTTTGTCAGAGAAAGATTTAGCTTTAATAAACTCACTATTTAATAATAAGAATTTATAGCCATGGTAATCACAAAATCATTTATTTAGCAATAACTCATAAAAATTACATAAAATATATTCAAGAACGAGTTTATTTCATATTATGGAAGAGCTGCTATATTAGCTTCTATTTCTGAAGAACTTTTGAAAATATAGACTCTCTATAACGCGGATACTACATCACTAATGACTCACTAGCCATCTAGGTTGATATTACTATTTAATTCAAAAAAAATAATAATAATAATTGGAATTAACTAGGAATTTAAATTTTACTGCTTCAACCTATCAGACTTGCTTAGGAACTGACTTTATCGAACCCTACGATCCAAGATGCAGATAATGGTACTAGTATGCTAAATAGCAAGAAGGTATATATTTTATTAACTAATTATATCTTAAAATTATTTTATTTTAGGGTATTTTTTTTATGAGCCTTACTTGGATGCTATAAATGGAATTTTAGAAATGACTCTTTCCTCAAGAATTGATTACAATTCAGAATTTATGTCAGTCAACAGTATAGATTATGAAATGAATTCTATCACTGATATATTTAAAACTTCTCAAAGCTAAAATGCATACTCAGTCCTTTTTCATGAATTCAACAATACAGTATTTATTTATTTTATTCATTCATTGTTTAATACAGCAAAACACTTTTAAAACTAAATATGATCACTGTCTTTTAAATTACTTTAGTGATTAATTTAAGGGCTCTTAATTTAATTGATAAAAATTTGTTTAATCAAAGATTCTTTTAGATAAAAAGAGCTAATTTTACTTTGATATTTAAAATTCTAAATTAAATTTTTTAAACAATTATTTAGTTTATTTAAGTCTTTATAAAAAGTTTTAAACATTTTAAGGGGTGTTTTAATATGTTAATCTTTAGGTTAAACTAATTTTTTTTATTAGTAAATAATTTGTTTAATACCAAAATTTTATAAAAAATTTATTTGGTTTTTTTTATTTACAAACTTTAAATGATATTTTATTAAGAGCTTTTAATAAGAATTAAATTTATTTTAATGAATTAAGTGTATTAATTTAATAAACTCAAAATTTCAGAGTAATATTTAAATGATAACTTTTTAATTTTTATGATTTTATTTTATTAGATATTTTATCATCCTTTACTTAATGCTTCAGATATAGTATCATGGGGAGACTTGGAATTTAAGAATTTAACTGATAATTGCAAAGAGGTTTAAGATTTAGAAGATTGTAAGATAGAAAAATAGAAGTTTTTTTAACAATTAAATAGTACAGTCAATTTTATACAAGCATCAAATTATTCTATTGAGTAGCAGATTAATACAGATGGTTTATATCAATATTGGTCAAGATATGGAGTTGATTTGTAATCTATTTTTTACTTTTTTTATATTTTTAAAGCTTTATTTTATTTTGAATTAAAAGAGTTAGTTTAGTATATCCTATAAGGAGTTAAATTACTAAATATCCTACATAATAACCTTATTCATTCTCTATCATTCTTACTGCTAGAGTATTAGTTGATCAAAGTAATTCATTGAAGCTATTTAATCTTTTAAATGCAAATTCAATTAAGATTCCTCTTTTAATTGAATTTATTGTATTGAGTGGATTAATTGTTGCTTTTATAGTAAACTATGGGAATTTTTAAATTTACTAAATTTAATACCCAATTGAGTTACTGACCATATTTTTGAAAAAAAGTTTAATAGAATAACAATAATTCTAAAATCAAAGTGAAAAAGAAAAATCTAATAACTAAATTATTAAATATTTAAATACAATTAATTCACCTAATAGAAGCCAAAGCAAAAGTAATATCATTTAACACAAAAGTAAAATAGCACTTTAAGATTAATCTATTTTAAATATTAGCAGCTAAAATAAAATAAAATAGCGTTTTACTTTTTAGGCTTATGATAAGTCAACAATATAATAAGATTAAATTAACTTAAAGGAAAAAACGACTTAAAATTAAGATGAGATCCTAGAAACTTCAAATAGACTATTCTAAAGTTAATTTAAACGAGAATTTTTAAATGAGAGTAAAATGATGACAAAATAAACTAATTATATTAACCATAATAATAATAATAATAATAATAATAATAATAATAAACAAAACAATAATATAGATAGAATTTCCATAGATAATTCTTCCGATAGATCTTAAAATAGATTAATCAACTATAACTATTCTGTAACAGACTTTAATCTTATCAAACGATCAACAAATATGACTAGAGTAACGAATGATTTCGATTTCATATCTAAGATAGAATAAATCGAAGAAAATGAAAAAGGATAATCTAAAATCCTTTCTGGATTAAAACCTCTTTTCCTTGAAATGAAAATTATCAAAAAAGCATTTTAAATGCTGGAAGGTGTAATCAACTACTAGATTCAAGCATATTCTAATGATTAATAGGATGTAATGTAAACTCTTTTCCATTTTTCTAAGGCTAAAAGTACATTTTAAAATCTTCAAAATTAAACAGGAGTAAGTCGATGCTACTTTAATTTGGGCATCGTTTATCTTTTGAAAAATGAATATGAATAATCATGTGAGTATTTTGAGGCATCAATCATGCAAAGCCTATAATTCATAGGATTAGAATCTTTAGATTAGATTAACGAAAATATGTTCATAAATATTGATAATGATTAAAAAGATTAGCTATTTATATTTTGTAAGAGAATACTCTCATTTGCTCATTCAATAAAATAATATTCAATATAATTAGCATTAAATAAAAATTAAGCCCAATCACAAGAATAATTTTTGGTTTCAGATACTTACTGTTTAAATTTTTCAATCAAATATTTAATGGAAAAGTCGATAGGAATTTTAAAGTTTGTGTAAAAAATTATCTATCATAATTATTAAAAAACACCTTTCTAAAATGTTTTTTTAATTTTTTTGTATTAAGAAATGATTGAAATACTTTTATATCTTAAAAAAACAAATGAAATTGATCAATATTTTGAAAAATCAAATGCTTTATTAGATACATATTTAAATAATTTAAATGGTAACAATAACTTCAATTTTTATTTTAAAGATAAGAAATATATTGAATAATTAATAACAAAAAATATAATTATCGAATTACTAAAAGCTAAATAAAAGTTTTTATCAGGTATTATTTAAAAATAAAATAATAACTATAAATAGGCTATTGAGTACTTCACTTAAAGTTTAGAAAACGGAACCTATTTTAATCCTTAGTTGAGATAATAAGTTATTGTAAACTTAAAATACTTATTTAATAAGCTTTGCATTTAGCAAAACGTTATAGATGAGCAATTTGATGAATTTGATTGCGATACTCCTATAGATTTTGTATATGTAATTTAATTAGACTCAATATCTTCTACTATAATAGCTGAGTCTTGCCTCGAAAATATTAAAAAATCTAACTTTTTTAAAACAAATGATAGAATTTAAATTATCATCTTTAATTAAGAGCTTGATGTCTTATTGCCTTACACAAAGATAATTAATGATCATAATTGGTAATTAATGATAGGTTCGATAAAGAAAATTGGACTTAATACAATTTAAAATTAATAGTCTGACTTAAAATAATTAGATTGGATCTAAGGAATAAACAAAGCTTTAGATCATATTTATGAATTGAAGGAATTAGATTTAGTTAAACTAAATTAAATTTATAAATTAAATAGTAAATATCATAAAAATCAATCCCCCTAATAATAATTATAAAAGCATTTAAAGATAATTCAGTAAAATGATTTAAATTTAAGAAAAAAAGTAATAATTTTATAATCTGCATATTAATAAGCTTAAAATGATTTAGTAATTCAAAAAAGTTTCATTAATCTATAGAAAATTTTTAAATTAGAAAAACCAATCGTCCTTCACTTAAAAGACTACCAATCAATTATTGATAATAATTAATAACCATAACAATAATCTAATTTTATAGAATATGAGGAATTTTATGAAGAAAACAAATTAATCACAAAATTAAATAAGCTTAGAGACTAAGAAATTTTCAATCCAGAATATGAGTTTATGGCCATCTTAAATAATTATTGAAAGATTAAGTACCTAAATCATATATATCTTAAGTAAAATGCATATTAATTTTGATTGAAAGCATTTGCTAATTTTTTAAATATTATTGGTTGAATATTTATTAGCTTTTTATAATTATGAATTTTTTAAAATGTATATTTAATATTGAAATTATATTATAAATTTTGTATTTAAAGTAGAATAGGTTATCGAAATAATAATATTTTTAAAATTAAAAAAATTTAGATCTTAAAAATAAATTAATTTAAAAATACAAAATTCTACTTGTAATTAAACAACTTAGATTCTTATTGCCCTCATTTATTAAGGAATGAAGGTCTTGAAATTTAAATATAGCTAATCTTTTAATTAAAATATCACGAACTGTGTAGGTACAGATCGTGATATTTCATTTAATTTTTATGATTTAAAGCTAATTTACCTTAATATCTAAAATTTCAGTGTATAGCTTTGAAAAAGGCAGTCCCTTGGTTACTATACATATATATATTTATTTGTTTCCTACTACAGAAATAATTATCTGAGAATTACAATAGGTGTTACAGAATAACTTTATATTGCTAATCCTATTATATTTTTTCAAAAGAATAATAATTATTTCAACTAAGATAAAAAATCTATGAGTTTTAGTTATTATGGCGCAAGTTTATTTTAAACTTATTCTAATTTTGAAAACATTAATTATTACTCTTTATACTAAATTGATTGACTTGTTAAAACATATATAAAATAAAAATACATTCATTATAATATTATTCCATATGTTTTTCTATTAAGCGTTTGGTGCTATCATTTCAAATAATAATTTCCTTTTTCTCTAATTTGATCATTCTAAAATGTATCCAGAGAAATTTGATTATAAAAAATTCAAAGATAATATGCAAATACTGGAATAGAAAACAACTATTTATTTTATTTTCTAAATAAATAAATATTTAAAAAATTATATCAAAGTAAAATAATTGTTTAATAAAAAATAAATTTCATTTCTAAAAGATCATAATTTATCACATAATAGATTAATTTATTCAAGATAGTGAACAAAATCATCTTGAATTAGTTAGATTCTTTCAATTATGAGCCAGTATAAAAATGTGAATTTAAAAAGAAAAGATTATGTAAGCTCTTCTAAAAAATGTTTAACTGTCCTAAACAATATTTTATTATTTTTTATTGCAATTATATAAAAACTATATTGAAATAAAATAAATTTATACTTCAAGCTCATGTATTAAGTTTATTGAAGTTTTATTAATCAATTATACATCCATTATCTAACTATCTATCTATCTTATTATAATTTAAAGTAAAATTTACTTTGTAATATATTTTAAGGAAAAACAATTACATACAAATTCTTTATGAAATAAAATTTTAAAGCATTTATTGTTTAAAATTTTTTATTTGTCTTAAGTATAGATTGCAACTTTGGATTCAAACAAACATACAATTTACTTTTATAGCTATTGGCATTAACAATGATGATTTTTATTAAAATATATATATTTAGATGATTAAACATAAAAAACATAGCCGATTAAAATTTCTTAAAAAATAACTTTCATCAAATAAATAAACAAATAATTATTAAGTTTATTCGAATTGTTATTTTATCCAAGGAAAATATATCTATAAATATGAAGTAGCTAATAATTAGATTAATTATCACAGTCTCGATTCCAATTATTGTTGGAGTTGCACTTGTTTTGCTGCTTTTTTATAAGAGTTTATGGAATGCCCTCTACTAATGGTAATCAATTGTGATTTTGAGATTTAAATATTCAAAGTAGAATTAACTAAAATTTTTAACAAACTGCGCAATCATCACTCAGAGATAATCAATTTACTAATAATAATAATTAGGGAAGATGAAAGCTTAAAGTGGATAAATTAAACTTAATAATAGATTTTGCATAACTCTGCCTATGCTTAACGTTTAATAGAGACTTACAGCTTCGATTAAGTAATCATAATAAAATCTTTTTATTATAATCATCATATTATTTTTATATTTTAAAAAATTCCAATCATATTTTATCTATAAAGCTGCAACTGCATTTAATAGTTATCAACAGTATGATTTAAAAATATTATGGATCTGAATTAAAAAGTAATTAATATCTTAGGTTGTGGTCATTTATCATAACGGCATTTTTTTTTTATAAAATTAGAAAATCCAAAAGCAAGCTTTCTTAAATGTTCCAATAAAGAATTTTCAAATAATGAGTGTCCTTAAGATGCTTATACAAAGCTCAACCAAAGTACCTATTATCTAGATTTATACTTTGTAAGAGAAAGATTTAGCTTTAATAAACTCACTGCTCAATAATAAGAATTTATTGTTATGGTAATCACAAAATTATTTTTTTCACAATTACTCATAAAAATTCTATAATATATATTCAAGAACGAGTTTATTTCATATTATGGAAAAGCTGCTATAATAGCTTCTAATTCAGGAGAATTTTTGAAAATATAGACTATTTACAACGCAGATACTACATCACTTATGACTTACTAGCCACCTAGGTAGAAGCTATTATTTAACTCAAAATTTAAATAAATAATTTAAATTAAATAGGGATTTAGATTTTAAAGATGCAACCTATTAGACATGCTTAGGTACTAATTATACTGAACCCTATGATCCAAGATGTAGATAATGGTACTAGTATATTTAATAGCATGAAGGTACATATATATTACTTAATTAAAAAATAACATCTTAAAATATTATTATTGAATTAGGATATTTTTTTTATGAGCCTTACATGGATGCTATAAATGGAAACTTAGAAATGACTATTTCGTCACAAATTAGTTAGAATTCTGAATTTGTATCAGTTAGCAGTATAGATTATCAAATGAATTCTATAATTGATTTATTTAAAATTTCTCTAAACTAAAATGCATACTCTGTACTTTTTCATGAGTTCAACAATACAGTATTTATTTATTTATTTATTTTATTTATTCTTAGTTTTATACATATAGCAAACAATTTTAAAACCAAATATAATCACTTTCATATAAATTACCTTAGTCATTAATTTAATAGCTCTTAATTGAAATAATTAAAATTTGTTTAATTAAAGATGCTTTTAAATAAATAAAATAATTTCATTTTGATATTTAAGTTTAAACAGTTTGTTTTAGGGGTTTTTTTAATATATAAATTAATTTTTAAGGTAAATTAATTTTTTTAATAATATCAAAGAATTTTAATTTTTTGAAAAATTTGAAAGGGAAGCCTCCCTTTTCAAATTAGCTTCTTAATTTTTATTTTTAATCTATCAAAAAAAAAGCCAAGCTCCCTTTTTTCTTTTTTTGATTAATAGAACAATTCCAGAATATTTTTTAATCAATAAGTGATTTTAATTTAAAATTCTTTAAGCATTAAAAGGCTGGACCTGTAAAAAATGCGAGGGATTTAAGTATAAACTCAAAACTTTATTTTTATTAACGAAATACAGCTTTTTAAATTTTTTATGATTTAATTTCAATTAGATATTTTCTCATCCTTTACTTGATGCATCAGATATAACATCATGGGGAGACTTAGAGTTTAAGAATTTGACTGAAAATTGTTAAGGAGCTTAAGCTTTATCAGATTGTTTGATAGAAAAATAGAATTTTGTTTAATAATTAAATAATACAGTGAATTTTATACAAACATAAAATTATTCTATTGATTAGCAGATTAATACAGATGGTTTATATCAATATTGGTCAAGATATGGAGTTGATTTGTAATTTGTTTTTCACTTTGTTATAATTAATCTTTATTTTATTTTGATTTAAAAGAATTAGTTTAGTATATCCTGTAAGGAGTTAAATAACTAAATATCCTACATAATAACCTTATTCATTCTCTATCGTTCTTACTGCTAGAGTATTAGTTGATGAAAGTAGTTCATTGAAGTTATTTAATGTTTTAAATACAAATTTAATTAAGATTCCTCTTTTAATTGAGTTTTTTGTATTGAGTGGAATAATTGTCGTTTTTATAGTAAACTATGGGAATTTTTAAATTTACTAAATTTAATACCCAATTGAGTTGCTCATCATATTTTTGTAAAAAAGTTTAAAGGAATAACAATAATTCTAAAATCCAAATAATTTTAAAAGTGAAGGAAATTAAAAAGAAAAAAATAATAACTAAATTACTAAATATTTAAATACAATTAATTCACCTAAGTTAAATAAGAGCCTAAGCAAAGTAAATAGCAGTTACTACAAAAGTAAGATACCACTTTAAGATTAATCAATATAAAATAGTAGCTTGTAAAATTTAAAACCAAAATAGATTTTTATTTTTTAGCAAAATGATAAGTAAACAGTATAATAAGATTAAAATAAATTAAGGGAAATAAATTTAAATTAAGATGAAATCTAAGAAACTTCAAGTAGACTATTCCAAAGTTAATTTAAGCGAGACTTCTTAAATGATAGTAATATAATGATAAAATAATCAAATTAAATCAACCATGATAGTAGTATTAAAAAATACAATAATTTAAAAAGATTGCTCAAAGAAAATTCTTCTGATATGTCTTAAAAGAAGTTAAACAACTATAGCTATTCCGTAACGGACTTTTAATGTATCGAAGAATCAAAAAATACCACTATAATGAATAATGACTTCGATTAATTATCATAAATAGAATAAATCGAAGAAAAAGAAAAAGGATAATCTAAAGTCCTTTCTGGATTGAAACCACTCTTCCATGAAATGAAAATTATCAAAAAAACGTTTTAAATGCTTGAAAAGGTAATAAACTACTAGATTCAAGCATATTCTAATGATTAATAGGATGTAATGTAAACTCTTTTCCATTTTTCTAAGGCTAAAAGTACTTTTTAAAATCTTCAAAATTAAACAGGTCTAAGTCGATGCTACTTTAATTTGGGCATCATTTATCTTTTGAAAAATGAATATGAATAATCATGTGAGTATTTTGAGGCATCAATCATGCAAAGCCTATAATTCATAGGATTAGAATCTTTAGATTAGATTAACGAAAATACATTCATAAATATTGATAATGATTAAAAAGATTAGCTATTTATATTTTGTAAGAGAATACTCTCATTTGCTCATTCAATAAAATAATATTCTTTATAATTAGCATAAAATTAAAATAAAGCATAATCATAAGAATAATTGTTGGTTTCAGATACATTTTATTTAGACTCTTCAATAAAATACTTAATGCAAAAGTCAATAGGAATATTAATGATCGTGCAAAAAATTATCTATCATAATTATAAAAAAAAACCTTTCTAAGATATTTTTTTAATTTTTTTGTATTAAGAAATGATTGAAATATTTATATATCTTAAAAAAACAAATGAAATTGATCTGTATTTCGAAAAATCAAATGCTTAACTAGATATATATTTATACAATTTAGAATGTAGCAATATTTTTGATTCTCATGTTAAAGATAAGAAATATTTTGAATAATAAAAAACAAAAAATATAATTATTGAATTACTTAAAACAAAATAAAAATTTTTATCAGGCATTATTGAAAAATAAAATAAAAACTATCAATAGGCTATTGAGTATTTCACTTAAAGTTTAGAATATGGAACACATTTTAATCCTTAGCTGAGATAATAAACTATTGTAAACTTAAATTACTTATTTAGTAAGCTTTGTATTTAGTAAAACGTTATAGGCGAGTAATTAGATAAGTTTGATTGTAACACTCCTATAGATTTGGTATATGTAATTCAATTAGACTCAATATCTTCATATATTATAGCTGAGTCTTGCCTCGAGAATATTAGAAAATCTAAATTTTTTTAAAAAAATGATAGAATTTAAATTATAATTTTTAATTAAGAGCTTGATGTTTTATTGCCTTATACAAGGATAACTAGTGATCATAACTGGTAACTATTGATAAGTTCAATAAAGAAAATTGGAATTAATACAATTTAAAGTTAACAATCTGACTTAAAAAAATTAGATTGGATCTAAGCAATCAACAAAACTTTAGATCACGTTTATGAATTCAAAGAATTTGATTTAGTTTAACTAAATCAAATTTATAAATTAAATAGTAAATATCATAAAAATAATAAAAATCAATGCCCCGAATAATTACAAAAGCATTTAAAGATAATTCAGTAAAATGATTTAAATTTAAGAAAAAAAGTAATAATTTTATAATCTACATATTAATAAACTTAAAATGATATAAATATTAAATAAAGTTTCATTAATCGATAAAAAATTTTAAAATTAGAAAAGCCTATCATTCTTCATTTAAAAGACTAACAATCAATTATAAATAATAATTAATAATCATAAATATAATCGAATTTTATAGAATATGAGGTATTATATGAAGAAAATAGGTTAATCATGTAATTGAATAAGCTTAGAGAATAAGAAATTCTTAATCGAGAATATGAGTTTATGGCTATCTTAAATAATTATTGAATTAACAAGCACCTAAATCACATATATCTTAAGTAAAATACCTATTAATTTTTGATAGATATTTAATTAAATCATTTTTAATTTAATAAAAAAAGATTGAAAACAAACATTTGCTAGTTTTTTAAAAATAGAAATTTTATACAAATTATGAGTTTATTTACAACTATTAATTGAATATTTATTATCAATGTATAAATTTTTAATGAATTATTTTTAATATTGAAATTAAATTACAATATAAATTTTTGTTTTTTGCTGATTAAATTATCAAAATAATATTTTTTTTTAATTCTAAAAAATTATCTAAAAACTATTTTTTAAATAAATAATAATTTAATACATACATACAAATTCTATTCCATCTTATATTTTAAAACCTTTTATTGTTTAAAATTTTTTATTTGTCTTAAGTAAAGATTGCAACTTTGAATTCAAATAAAGATATTATTTACTTTTATGTTTATTGATATTAACAAATAATGATAATTTGTAAATATTTGTATATTTAGATGATCAAACATATAAACAAATAATTGATTGAAATTTTTTAAGACAGTACTTTAAACAAATAAATTAACAAACAATTACTAAGTTTATTCAAATTGTTATTTTATCATAGTAAAATAAATATATAAATATGAAGTCGCTAATAATTAGATTAATTATCACAGTCTCGATTCCAATTATTGTTGGAGTTGCACTTGTTTTGCTGCTTTTTTATAAGAGTTTATGGAAGGCCCTCTACTAATGGTAATCAATAAGTATTTTAATATTTAAATTTTCAAAGTAGAATTAACTAAAATTTTGAAAAAAATACTCAATCATCACTCAGAGATAATCAATTTACTAATAATAATTAGGGAAGATGAAAGCTTAAAGTGGATAAAATAAACTTAATAATAGATTTTACATAATTCTGCCTATGCTTAATGCTTAATAGAGACTTACAGCTTCGATTAAGTAATCATAATATAATCTTATTATTTTAATCATCAAATTATTTTTTTTTTAACAAATTTCTATCATATTTTATTTATAAAGCTGCAAATGCATTTAATAGTTATCAACAGTATCATTTAAAAATATTACGGATCTAAAGTAAAAAGTATTTAATAACCTAGGTTGTGGTTATTTATCATAACGGTATTTCTTTTTATAAAATTAGAAAATCTAAAGGCAAGTTTTCTTAAATGTTCCAATAAAGAATTATCAATGAATGAGTGTCCTCAAGATGTTTACACAAAACTCAATTAAAGTACCTATTATGTAGATTTATACTTCGTAAGAGAAATATTTAGCTTTAATAAACTCACTACTCAATAATAAGAATTTATTGTTATGGTAATCACAAAATTATTTATTTCATAATAACTCATAAAAATTCTATAAAATATATTCAAGAACGAGTTTATTTCATATTATGGAAAAGCTGCTATAATAGCTTCTAATTCAGGAGAATTTTTGAAAATATAGACTATTTACAACGCAGATACTACATCACTTATGACTTACTAGCCACCTAGGTAGAAGCTATTATATAACTCAAAATATAAATAAATAATTTAAATTAACTAGGGATTTAGATTTTAAAGATACAACCTATTAGACATGCTTAGGTACTGACTTTACTGAACCATATGATCCAAGATGTAGATAATGGTACTAGTATGCTTAATAGCATGAAGGTACATTTATATTATTTAATTAAAAAATGATATCTTAAAATATTATTATTGAATTAGGATATTTTTTTTATGAGCCTTACTTGGATGCTGTAAATGGAAATTTAGAAATGACTATTTCGTCACGAATTAATTACAATTCTGAATTTGTATCAGTTAACAGTATAGATTATCAAATGAATTCTATCATTGATTTATTTAAAACTTCTTAAAACTAAAATGCTTACTCTGTACTTTTTCATGAGTTCAACAATACTGTATTTATTTATTTTATTCATTCATAGTTGAATACAGCTAAACACTTTTAAAACCAAATATAATCACTTTCTTTTAAATTCCCTTAATGATTAATTTAAAGGCTCTTAATTGAAATAATGAAAATTTGTTTAATTAAAGATGATTTTAGATAAAAAATGATAATTTGATATTTTAATATCTAAATTAGATTTTTTAGGCATTTATTAAATGCAAGTCTTTATAAAAAGTTTTAAACATTTTGTTTGGGGGTTGTTTTAATATATTCATTCATTTTTAGGGAAAATTAATTTTTTTAGTTAATAAATAATTATTTTTTAAAGATTTTATTTACCAAAATTTTTCTTTCAACTCTTTTTTTTATTTATAAAATTTAATATAATTGATATTTTCTAAACATCTTTTATAGAAAAATTAAATTTATTTTAATGGATTAAACTTTAATTTTAATATAGTCAAAATTTCAATTTTATATAAGAAAGATAGCTTCTTAAATTTTTTATGATTTAATTTCAATTAGATATTCTATCATCCTTTACTTAATGTATCAGATGTAACATCATGGGGAGACTTAGAGTTTAAGAATTTGACTGAAAGTTGTTAAGGAGCTTAAGCTTTATCAGATTGTATGATAGAAAAATAGAATTTTGTTTAATAATTAGATAATACAGTTAATTTTATACAAACATAAAATTATTCTATTGATTAGCAGATTAATACAGATGGTTTATATCAATATTGGTCAAGATATGGAGTTGATTTGTAATTTATTTTTCACTTTGTTATAATTAAAGCTTTATTTTATTTTGATTTAAAAGAATTAGTTTAGTTTATCCAATAAGGAGTTAAATATCTAAATATCCTACATAATAACCTTATTCATTCTCTATCGTTCTCACTGCTAGAATATTAGTTGATCAAAGTAGTTAATTGAAGCTATTTAATATTTTAAATGCAAATTTAATTAAGATTCCTCTTTTAATTGAGTTTATAGTATTGAGTGGATTAATTGTAGTTTTTTTAGTAAACTATGGGAATTTTTAAATTTACTAAATTTAATACCCAATTGAGTTGCTCATCATATTTTTATAAAAAAGTTTAAAGGAATAACAATAATTCTAAAATCCAAATAATTTTAAAAGTGAAGGAAATGAAAAAGAAAAAAATAATAACTAAATTACTAAATATTTAAATATAAGTAACTCACCCAAGTTAAATAAAAGCCAAAGCAAAATATGTAGCAGTTAATACAAAAGCAAGATACCACTTTAAGATTAATCAATATTAAATATTAGCAGCTTCTAAAATAAAACAAAATATCTTTTTACTTTTTAGCAAAATGACACGTAAACGGTATAATAAGATTAAAATTACTAAAGGGAAAACATTTTAAATTAAGATGAAATCTCAGAAACTTCAAGTAGAATATTCTTAAGTTAATTTAAGCGAGACTTCTTAAATGATAGTAATATAATGATAAAATAATCAAATTAAATCAATCATGATAGTAGTATTAAAAAATAAAATAATTTAAAAAGACCATTCAAAGAAAATTCTTCTGATATGTCTTAAAAGAGGTTAATCAACTACAACTATTCCGTAAAGGACTTTTAACATATCGAAGAATAAAAAAATACCACTATAATGAATAATGAATTCAATTAATTGTCATAGATAGAATAAGTCGAAGAAAAAGAAAAAGGATAATCTAAAGTCCTTTCTGGATTGAAACCACTCTTCCATGAAATGAAAATTATCAAAAAAACATTTTAAATGCTTGAAAGGGTAATAAACTACTAGATTCAAGCATATTCTAATGATTAATAAGATGTAATTAAAACTCTTTTTCATTTTTCTAAGGCTAAAAGTACATTTTAAAACCTTTAAAATTAAACAGGACTAAGTCGATGCTACTTTAATTTGGGTATCATTTATCTTTTAAAAAATGAGTATGAATAATCATGTGAGTATTTTGAGGCATCAATCATGCAAAGTCTATAATTCTTAGGTTTAGAATCTTTAGATTAGATTAATGAAAATATGTTCATAAATATTGATAATGATTAAAAAGATTAGCTATTTATATTTTGTAAGAGAATACTCTCATTTGCTCATTCAATAAAATAATATTCAATATAATTAGCATAAAATTAAAATAAAGCATAATCATAAGAATAATTGTTGGTTTCAGATACATTTTATTTAGACTCTTCAATAAAATACTTAATGCAAAAGTCAATAGGAATATTAATGATCGTGCAAAAAATTATCTATCATAATTATAAAAAAAAACCTTTCTAAGATATTTTTTTAATTTTTTTGTATTAAGAAATGATTGAAATATTTATATATCTTAAAAAAACAAATGAAATTGATCTGTATTTCGAAAAATCAAATGCTTAACTAGATATATATTTATACAATTTAGAATGTAGCAATATTTTTGATTCTCATGTTAAAGATAAGAAATATTTTGAATAATAAAAAACAAAAAATATAATTATCGAATTACTTAAAACAAAATAAAAATTTTTATCAGGCATTATTGAAAAATAAAATAAAAACTATCAATAGGCTATTGAGTATTTCACTTAAAGTTTAGAATATGGAACACATTTTAATCCTTAGCTGAGATAATAAACTATTGTAAACTTAAATTACTTATTTAGTAAGCTTTGTATTTAGTAAAACGTTATAGGCGAGTAATTAGATAAGTTTGATTGTAACACTCCTATAGATTTGGTATATGTAATTCAATTAGACTCAATATCTTCATATATTATAGCTGAGTCTTGCCTCGAGAATATTAGAAAATCTAAATTTTTTTAAAAAAATGATAGAATTTAAATTATAATTTTTAATTAAGAGCTTGATGTTTTATTGCCTTATACAAGGATAACTAGTGATCATAATTGGTAACTATTGATAAGTTCAATAAAGAAAATTGGAATTAATACAATTTAAAGTTAACAATCTGACTTAAAAAAATTAGATTGGATCTAAGCAATAAACAAAACTTTAGATCACGTTTATGAATTCAAAGAATTTGATTTAGTTTAGTTAAATCAAATTTATAAATTAAATAGTAAATATCATAAAAATAATAAAAATCAATGCCCCGAATAATTACAAAAGCATTTAAAGATAATTCAGTAAAATGATTTAAATTTAAGAAAAAAAGTAATAATTTTATAATCTACATATTAATAAACTTAAAATGATATAAATATTAAATAAAGTTTCATTAATCGATAAAAAATTTTAAAATTAGAAAAGCCTATCATTCTTCATTTAAAAGACTAACAATCAATTATAAATAATAATTAATAATCATAAATATCATCGAATTTTATAGAATATGAGGTATTCTATGAAGAAAATAGGTTAATCATGTAATTGAATAAGCTTAGAGAATAAGAAATTCTTAATCCAGAATATGAGTTTATGGCTATCTTAAATAATTATTGAAATAACAAGCACCTAAATCACATATATCTTAAGTAAAATACCTATTATTTTTTAATAGTTATCTAATTAAAGCATTTTTAATTTAACAAAAAAAGATTTAAAACAAACATTAGCTAGTTTTTTAAAAATATAATTTTTTTACAAATTATAAGCTTATATACAGCTATTAACTGAATATTTATTATCAATGTATGAATTATTTTAATTTATTTTTAATATTAAGATTAAATTACAATATAAATTTTTGTTTTTTGCTATTAAATTATCAAAATATAAAGTTAATAATAACATTATATAAAATTCTAAAAAAATAGGATATAAGAAATAAATTAAGTTAATTAATTATGGCCATTTTTTTTTTAATTTTCTATGGCCTTAATTAATGAGGAATTATAATATATAATAAAAATGTAATTAATTTTGCATTTATAATAAATAATTGAATAAAATTAAAAATTTTGATTTAGACTAATTTATTTGTATTACACGTCAAAAAATTAATGCATCATCTGTTTAAAATTGAAAATCAAAATTTAAGATATGGATATTTGCTAACTTATATATATATTCAATAATATAACTTGGATTTTAATATTTAGGTTTTTGCTGTAAGAAAAGTTATTAAATAAAGAACTTAACTATTCAAATTAATTAATAATCATGTAAATTAATTATCATTTTCGATGTTAATAAAAAACTGTAAAAATTAATTAATAGATAAATTAATTATCAAAAAATTAGGAAGAAAGAGTAAAAGTTAATAAATGAAGAAACTAATTATTAGACTGATTTTTACAGTTTCAGTGCCAATTATTTTAGGTGTTGCAGCATCCTTATTTTTATTTTATTATAACCTTATTAGTGCCCTTTTATCTTGGTATACACCTTTAATTTTATACTAAATAATTGAATTTTATCTTCATTTGCTTTACAAAAGCTGATAGAAATCTTACGCTTTCTGCCTGCATGACTGGAAGCTGATTTCTACTCGCAAAAATTTAAATTCACTAAAAATTTTATTTCATAAAATAAAATAAGGGAAACAGATAGTCAAAAATGGATTAAATAATCACAGTAATAAATACTTTATAACTAACTTCTTTCTCAGTAAATTATAGAAGAATACAGTTTTAACTAAGTATTTGATATTTAAATTTCTTATTGATTTCAATCATTAATTAATAAATATTACTTTACAATGAATTCAATTTTTTGGTTATATAAAAAGTTGTAGCTTTAGCTGATTTTGATGAATAAATTAATTGACAAATTTAACAATAAAGAGATATTGGGTATTTATATATTTTCCTCTTATTTTCTTACTCTTTATTTAAAAACAATTTTGATTTAAAAAAGTTAACGCAGATACTTAATTTTAGGTATGTTCTTACAGAGAATTAGTATTCAATAAGTGTCCTCCTGATGTTTATAAACAATTGAATAGGAGTAATTATTATGCAGATTTATATTTTGTGAGATCTCTCTTTCGATTTGATCTTCTCTCTTCACAATAACAATATTTTATCTAAATGGTATTCAATTTTTGCTAATTTAATTCATTTTAATGAAGATTTTTTAAAATAACAGAATACTTTTCTATCTTTTTACTCAAAAACGGCTTTTTATTAATCATAAAATGAAGGACTACTAAAAATTTAAATGATTTATAACTCAGACACCACTTCAATATTGACTAGAATCCCATCAGCGTAAATTACACATATATTTTAATTAGCGATCTAACCCACTTTTAAGTTTTTTAAATATAACAGATTCAAAATATCAAAATTGTAAAGGTGATAGCTTTTTGGAACCATATGATCCTAGATGTAGACCGTGGTACATTTATGCGTAAGAGAACGAAGGTACATTTAATTATATAAAATAAACAATTTATTGTATATATTTCATAACTTCTAATTTTAGAAATCAAATTTGAATATTTATTTATCTTTTATTATTTTAGGTTACTTCTTTTACGAGCCTTATATTGATGCAGTGAAAAAGAGTTTAATTATGACTTTATCTAGCTAGGTGAAATCTGATTCATAATTTCAATCCGTAAATAGCATTGATTTCGATATGAGTGATCTGGTTTAGTTATTTGTTAACTCTTAAAATTAATATTCTGTTTTATTTCATGAATTTAATAACACTGTAAGCACTTGATTGCTTTTTATAAAAATTTACAATCTTTTTTTTCTTTTTTATCTTTTTTTTTGTTCTAAATTCATGAATTGAAATTTATTTTATTAATTTAAAAACATAATTAGATTTTTAATCATCCCTTACTTAATGATGATAGCGTTTTATCATGGCAAGACTTGGAATTCAAAAATATTACACAAAACTGCATAACAGATATAGAGTTAGAAAACTGTAATCAAGAAAAATAATAACTCAGTTAGTAATTAAAAGAGACAATATAATTTATTAAATCTGGAAATTATTCGATCAATTAATAGAATAATTTAGATTAATTATATTAATATTGGTCAAAATTTGGCGTTAAGCAGTAAATAATTTTTATTAAGAGAGATATTTTAATTTCAATTTTCCTTTTCTTATTTTTAGAATTAGTTTAGTCTTTCCTTTAGTGAGTACAATTCCTAAATATAAAACGCAGCAGCCCTATTCATTTTCAATTATATTGACAGCAAGAGTTATTGAAGATTAAACTGAAAAACTAGAATTATTTAATATAATAAATATTAATTGGATAAAGATACCTCTTTTATTTGAATTTATTATAGTTAGCTTAGCAATAGTTGTTTTTATACTAAACTATGGCAAATTTTAAGTGTTTTAAGTCTAAAAACCTATTGAAATTTTAATTTAATTTTTATAAATAAATCTAATCTTACAAAGGTAAACTTAAATTCCAAAATGCTCAAAAAAGTTAGAGAAATTTAGTTGCTTAAATCAGAATTCAAAGAATAACTTGAATAAAAAAAAATAATCAAGCTTTTAAAAGAATAAGTTGAAAAATGAAGAAACCTTAAATATTTTATTTTCTCCTTCTAGTTTGGATTCCTCAAAATAAATTTCTAGAAATACTTTTACAACAAATAGAAATTAGTTGATATTTTTAGAAAAGAATCAAGATGAGCAAAAACTGACTTAAGGTAATACAAGAAACAATAAAATAAATTCACCTGATGCGGATGAGGTAGATTTTTCTTAAAAATTTGATAGCTTTAGGGAAAAGCGCAGAACTAGGTTAAGCTATTAGTAGAACATCTTAAGCTCAACTAAAATATTCAATTAAAAAACTCATATGAATTATGGAAATTAAGAAACTTACGTCTATAATAATCTTAAGAAAAATATTTAAACTGAGGTTAACTCAGTTTCAAATTTAAAAAAAGAAAGTCAAATATAAATAACTTAAGAATAGCAACATGTTAAGTAATAAAAAAGCAAAATACTTGATGAATTAGAGCCCTTATTTTTAGAAATGAAAATTATAAAAGAAACATTTTAGAGCTTAGAGAGTTTGATCAATTATGAAATTGATGCTTAAAGCTAAAATTCAGAAGATATTATGAATGCTTTATTCCATTTCGCTAAGGCTAAAAGCACCTTTTAAAAATTATAAAATCTAAATGGTCTTAGTCTTTCCTATTTTAATCTTGGTCTTATCTATATGCTTAAAAATGATTATTAGTTAGCTTCAGAGTATTTTTTATCAGCAATTTAGCTTAACTTGACTTCGTTTGGGATTGATTACTCATAATTGTAGCTTTAAAATTATGCTTTCTCAAATGATGAAGAATTAGAAGATCAGCTACCCTTATTAAAAAGAAGGATTTTATGTTTTGCATACAGCTTGAAATAATAAGCTTTTGAGCAAATACACTATTAAATGAAGGTTTTTTTAAATATAACACCTAATTGTTGTTAAGAAAATTAAATAAATTTTGAATAATCTTACAAAAATGAGTAAAACTTGAAAAATATTTTACAAAAATCTATAGAAAACTTCAGAATTTTAGAAAATTTATTAATTTTTCCTAATTAAAACGTTTCAGATTTATTTATAATATTTGTTAATATTGAAATAGCAGAAATATTAATATAATCAGATCCAATCAATTAAATCAAATAAATTTAATCTTACTTTAATAAAACTATGGATATTATCAATAAATTATAACCTACTTACACTAAAATCAAGTTATAAATTTAAAATTTGAACGAAAAAAGGCTTGATGATTATGAAAGTGCAATTATCGAAGAAGATTCTTCTTTTATGTTCTTAAATAACCATTCAAATAAATCATAAGAAATCAGATTCATGATCTTTGAAACTTTTAAAGCCAAATTAATATTTTTAAAAGGAAAGTTGGAGTTTCTTCAGTAAAATTATCAAATAGCTTTAGAATATTTTACATAAAGTTTAGAAGAAGGATAATTTTTTAGCCCTATTTAAAGAGAAAATGTAGTTCTTTACCTAATTGTATTATTTTAAAATTTATCAATAAAATAAGATTTCGTTGATGAATTCATTTTTAATTGCTCTGCTCATGTTGAACTTATTTTACTTGTTTAGCTAGATTTTATTTTTTAAAATAATATACTAGACTTGTTTTTTGAAAATGTATAACCAACTAAATTTTTGAGAGAGAAAGATAAAATTCAAGTAATAATTTTTAACAAAAACATAAAAACAGTTATTCCACTTACAAACATTGAAAGTAGTCATCACTTTAAATTAATAATATTATCAATAAAAAATAGCGCAAAATAAATGATAAAAAACTAATAAGATAATTTACTCAAGCTCGATTGGTAGCAAGCTTTAATGCTATCTGTGGGTAATTTAGTAAGGTTTAATCTCTTCTAAATTAATAGAATCAAATAAAATTTAAGAAAATACAAAAATATTAATTATGATAATTAAAAATAAATTCATTTACAACCTGCATTTTTTAATAAAATGAATGTGATGGAAAATAAAAAACAAGCAATTATTTTATTTTCAAATAAATACAAAAATAAAAATAAGATTTAAACAAAATAGTGCTACCCTAAAAAAATAATATTAAATAATAAAAAGATTATAGTTTACCATATGTTCGATCATTTTATTTAAGAAAGAGATGAAAATTAATTTGATTCAAAGTTCTTCTAATACGAACAAGTACCGTCTGATAAAGAGCTAATCTAAAAGTTAAATTAATTAAGATCAGTAGATCATTTAAGTTCTTCTAATGAATTTATGGCTATTTTAAAAAATTTATGATGTTTGTATTAAAAAAATTATCAAATTTAATTTTAATTTTCTTGTTATTTAAAATTAAATGAAAGAAATTATTTATTAATAACCAAAAAGAGAGAGAGAATTTCTTTTTAATTTTGAATTTATTTATTATCTGTGTTTTTATTATTATGATTAAATAGCTCTTTCTGTTATTCAATATTGTAATTTTTATTTATTCATATTTCTAAACAGGATTATATCAAAATAAAAGGCTAGAATACAATTCTTATCAGCCAGCTTTTTTTAATACAAACAAAAAATTAAAAGGAATTTTTATTAAATAAGTACTACTTTAAATGATTTCCTTTTCATTTTATTTATTTCATAAGTATGAATGTTATTTTTTATTTATATTGAAGCCACTAATTAGTTACTTCTACTTTAACAATTTTTTCTAAGTAATACTATTATGACAAATGTTTGCTATATTAAATGAACAGAAAAAAATCAAATAAAATTTTGTAAAAATAATTCAAATAATAACTAAAGTAACAATAGCGTAAAAATACAATAATAATTGATAGACCAAATAGTTTGTCAGGGAAGTCTTAAATAAACAAAATGAAATTATTAATAATAAGATTAATTATAACAGTTTCTGTTCCAATAGTTGTTGGAGCGGCTATTGTCTTGTTGATTTTTTATTAGAGTTTGTGGAGTGCACTCTACACATGGTAATTACATTTTAATATTTTATACTCATTATAGTAGAATTATTTAATAATAATGAAATTTACTATGAATAATATGAAATTTTTTAACTTTATTTTAGGGAAGATGATAGCGTCAAGTGGATAAATTAAACTTAGTAGTAGATTTTACATAATTCTGCATACTCTCAGTAGCTCATAGAGACTTACAGCTTCAATCAAGTAAAAATTAATTTTAATAGTATCCTACTTACTTTAATACTATGTTAAGAGATAAATATAATAATGAATAATATATTTTCTAGCTTTAGCTGCATCTGGTAGTCATGAACAGTATAATATAAAAATATTATAGTTCAGAACTAATTAGTAATTCAAAAATTATCCTATTATTTATTTGTGTTTAACCTTTATGATAAAATAATTAGTTAATCCAAACGCTTAGTTTCTTAAGTGTTCGTATAGAGAACTAATATTTAATGAGTGTCCACCAGACGTCTATACAAAGCTCAATTAAAGCATTTTTTATGTTGATTTATACTACATCAGGGAAGGTTTTAACTTCAATAAACTGACTACACAGCAGTAAGAGTTTATAGTTATGGTAATTAATAACTTATTTAACAAAGATTTTTATATTTATATTTTAAAACTAAACTCTAGAATGAATTTGTATCTTATTATGGAAGAGCTGCAATACTTGCTTCAATATCTGAAGAGTTTTTGAAAATATAGACTCTTTACAATGCAGATACTACATCTATTATGGCTCATTAGCCATCTAGGTAAATATAAACTTCAAATCAAAATAAGTAAACAAAAATTAAATAAATAGGTATTAAAATTTTACAGCTTCAACCTATCAGACTTGTTTAGGTACTGATTTCATTGAACCATATGATCCAAGATGCAGACCATGGTATAAATATGCTAAATAACACGAAGGTATAATAATAATATCTGATTAAGCAATACAATTTTAATTTTCATTATTTAAATAGGTTACTTTTTTTATGAGCCATATTTGGACGCTATTGAAGGAAACTTAGAAATGACTCTTTCTTCACGAATTTATCATAATTCAGAATTTAAATCTGTTAGTAGTATAGATTATGAAATGAATTCAATTATCTAGTTGTTCAAAGCAACTCAATCTTAAAATGCTTATTCTGTGCTTTTTCATGAGTTCAATAATACGGTAATCAATCATCTATTTTCTTATTTCAAAAACGTTTCTCTATTTAAAATATTTATTAATTTTAGTTTAATCTAATTAAATATTTTATCAAACTTAATTTATAATTTTTATCTTCTGAAAATATTATTGATATTTTTTATTGTTAATCTACGCAAAAATGAAAAAGTCCACAAAAAAATAAAAAACTTTGAATTATTTCAAAACTAAATTAATTCTACTAATGATGTTAAACAAAATTCTGGAGTTTTTAAAATATAATTTAGTTTTTTATTTGATTATTATTATTGAGTACTAACTTTGTAATTTTAACATTCTATTTACTGAATACATGTTTAAAGGTAATATCAAGCAATATTTATCAAAAATTAAATTAATTATTAACAAGTTAATTAAAAACCATTAAAAAAAGTAATGTTTGTTTACCAAAATTAATTAAAAAATAAAAATAATAATTCAAAGTTTTTAATTCTAAGATATTTTATCAATATAACTTAGTTTTTATTTAATTATTATTATTGTGTAATAATTTTCTAATTTTAATATTCTATTTACCGAATACATATTTAAAGGTAATAGCAAGCAATATTTATCAAAAAATTAAATTAATTAATTAATTATAAATGAGTTAAAAACTAAAATTAAAAAAAAATAATGTTTGTTTAACAAAATTAATTTAAAAAAAATATAAAATAATTTGTTTTTAATTCTTAGATATTTTATCATCCATAACTTAATGCATCAGATGTGATATCATGGGGAGATTTAGAATTTAAGAATATAACTGATAACTGCTTTGGTGATTAGGCTTTAGAATTATGTAATCTTGAGAAAAATAATTTTGTTCAATAACTAGATTAGACAGTCAATTTCATATAAACATTAAATTACTCTATTGAGAATCAGATCAACACAGATGGCTTATATTAATATTGGTCAAGATATGGAGTTAATTTGTAATTTTATTTTAATTAACTCTAAACTTAATTTTTTTTTTTAATTTAAAAGAATAAGCTTAGTGTATCCTATTAGAAGCCAAATAACTAAATATCCTACTCAATAGCCTTATTCGTTTTCTATAATACTTACTGCTAGAGTATTAGTTGATAATAGTGACTCTTTGAAATTGTTTAATGTATTAAATGCAAACTTAATTAAGATTCCTCTTATTGTTGAATTTGTTGCATTGAGTTGCCTTATCTTCGTTTTTATTATAAATTATGGGCATTTTTAAATTTACTAAATATAATACCCTATCGAGTTACTTATTATATTTTTGCAAAAGAGTTTAATGGAATAGCAATAATATAAAAATCCTGTCAATATGAAAAGTGAAACAAACGATAAAGTAAAATTAAATTTATTTACTAAGTATTTAAATACAGGCAATACACCGAAATTAAATTAGAATCAAAGTAAAATAATTAGTAATCAAAGAAATAAAAATATATCTCAAGAGCTATCATATAGCATGAGCTTTTAAAATAATACTAAATAGATTTTCACTTTTTAGCAACACGACAAACAAGCTATTCAATTAGATTAATCAGGTACTAATTTTAGAGGAAAGATTTTAAATTAAGATGAGATTTAAGAAACTCCATCTAAAATTAATTAAAGTTTATTTAAGAAAGACTCTTTTAATGAGAGCAGAGTATTAACCTAACAATAAAATAATAGCAACTATAATTTTATACATAGAAGTAATAGCAACTATAATTTTTTACATCGAAGTAATAGTAATAAAAATAGGGATTATATGAATGATTCTATTAATAGATCATAGCAGGACTTGATTAACTAGCCTATGACAGAATCTTACTTAATTACACGATCAACTAATGCTACAAGAATAACTTAGGACTTTGACTTTTTAACTTAGTTAGAGTAAATTTAAGAAAAGGAAAATGGACAATCTAAAATTTTGTCAGGTTTGAAGCCTCTTTTTTTAGAAATGAAAATCATCAAAAAGACCTTTTAGATGCTTGAAGAAGTTATCAATTATTAGATTCAAGCATACTCTCAAGATGAGCAGGATACAATGAAAACTCTTTTCCATTTTTCTAAGGCCAAAAGCACATTTTAAAATCTTCAAAATTTAACTGGACTGAGTCGTTGCTATTTTAATCTAGGAATAATTTACCTATTAAAAAATGAATATGAATAATCATGTGAGTATTTTGAAGCATCTGTGACACAAAGTTTGCAGCTTATTGGGATAGACTGTTTAGATTAAATAAATGAAAATATGTTTGTAAACATATAAGATGATTAAAAAGACTAGCTATTTATATTTTGCAAGAGAATACTATCATATGCACATTCAATAAAGTAACAATCTCTTGAACTAGCCTAGGAAGAACTCCAATAAAAGTAATAATAATAAGTTATAAATTAACTGAATAAGAAATCTTCAATCAAATATTTAATGTTGAGGTCAATAAGATTATTCAAGGTAGTATAAAAAATTACCTATAATTGTTATTAAAAAAGTCCTTTCCAAGATATATTTTTAATATTTTTGTATTAAGAAATGATAGAAATGTTTATTTATCTCTAATAAACTCATGAAGTTGATTAATATTTTGATAAATCAAATGCTTTACTAGAAGTAAATTTATATAAGTTAGAATTAAATAATAACAATACTAAAGATAAGAAATATTTAGAATAATTAAAAACAAAAAACATAATTTTAGAATTATTAAAAACTAAACAAAAGTTTTTATCAGGGATAATTGAAAAGTAAAACAAGAATTATAAACAAGCTCTTGAGTATTTTACTTAAAGTTTGGAATATGGTACACATTTTAACCCTTTCTTCAGATAAAAAGTGATTTAAAACATAAAGCTCTTATTTGATGAGCTCTAATTATAAGGAAAAGTGATAGATGAACAATTTGATGACTTTGACAGCAATACTCCAATAGACTTAGTTTATGCAATTCAATTAAACTCAATGTCCTCATTTATAATAGCAGAATCCTGCCTTGAAAATATAAAAAAATCAAATTTTTTCAAAAAAAATGATCGAATTTAAATAGTCATTTTCAATTAAGAACTCGATGTATTGTTACCTTATACTTAGATAAAGAGTGATTACCAATACTAGTTAATGATAAGCTCAATATAAAAAATTGGACTTAAAACAACTTTAAATCAAAACTTAAATTTAAAAAAACTAGATTATATCTAAGCAATCAATTAAACTTTAGATCATGTCTATGAATTTAAAGAGTCATAATTGGTTTAACTAGAGGAAATATATAAGCTTAATATTAAATATAATAAAAATAAAGAAGATTCATTTTCTTAATAATTATAAAAACATTATTAGATCATTAAATAAAATGATTTAAATTAAAGAAAAAAAATAATAATTTTACAAAGTTCAGATCAGTTCACTTAAAACGATCTCACCATAAAAAAAAGTTTTATCAAATTATAAAAAATTTTAAAATTAGAAAAACCCACTGTTTTTCATTTAATAGACTACCAATCAATTATTGATAAAAAGCAAGGGAAGCCATTTTAATCAGATTTCATTGAATATCAGTCATTCTACGAAGAAAACAAGTTAATCACTAAATTAAATAAGCTGAGAAACTCTGAAATGCTCAACCCAGAGTATGAATTTATGACCATCTTAAATAACTACTGATTATATATTTTTATTATAAATAAATTAATATAATTATCAATTTAATCTATAAATACGCTATATTTTAATACTTTTTATCATAGAATTTAACATTTTTTTAATTAAATCAAACGATTAAAATTTTTTTTCATAAATTTTTAAAAAAATAGTTCTTACTTATTATAAATTCTTTATTTGAAAAAATCCTTTAAAATGTTCATTTTAAATGCTGTTCTACTAATTTATTATCATTAAATTTAAAAAATATCAATGTGAAAATTAGATCATTAAAAAATAAATTATAATAAATTAAGATATAGAAGAATTTTTCAAAAAATAATTAAATTTCTATGACTTTTTAGAATCTTAAAAGTAAAAAATTATAATTAAAAAACTAATTTAAATGTAAAGAGATATTAAAAATACATTAAAGTATTTATAAAGATTCTTAATTTTAGTGGAATATAATTATTAATAATAAATATATTTAAATATATAATATTTTTATAATTTAAATATTTGACTTAATTTATTTTCATAATATCTTTCTGGCTATGATTACAAAATAATATATTGATTTGGAGAACTACGTATTTTTATATATAGTTAATAATTATTATTATTATTAAAAATCTAATAATAATAATTATAATAATAGAAAAGGAAAGAGTAGGAGATAGATACCTATAAATGAAGCTTTTAATAATTAGACTCATAGTTACTGTATCTATTCCTTTGATAACAGGAGTTGCTATTGTATTAAGCATATTTTACTAAAGTCTTTGGCTTGCTTTGGATTCATGGTAGGTTATAAATTAAAGATTTAAACACAATTCTACTTTATACATTAAGGATTAATGCAAAGTAGAATAATTAAAAATTATTTTCAAATCCTTCATTATTTAAATAAATAATTAATTAAAATAGGGAATAAGATAGTCTTTTATGGATTAACTCAACACAAAAGCAAATACTGCATAATTCTGTTATTTCTATGTAATACATTGAGGAGCATAGCTTCACTTAAGTATATATTTAAGATATTATTATGTGTCTCTACAAAATATATGATATCAAATATCTACAAATAATGAAACAAATACAATTTTTAATATTAAATAGCTCTAACTTCACTTGATTATATCAAACAACTTAATATAAAAATATTATAAAAAAATGATCAAAAGTAATTTTTTATTGAATATAATTTTATATTTTTAAAAATTCTTTACTTTTTTGTAGTAAATCCCTCATCTAGATTTTTAAAATGCTCTTATAGAGAACTAGTTTTTAATGAGTGTCCTCGAGAAATTTATGTAAAACTAAACCAAAGCATATTTTATCTTGATTTGTATTTTGTTAGGGACACTTTTTAATTTAACAAACTAACGGCTATGCAATAAGAATTTATTTTAATGGTAAGGAGAATTTAGAAGTGTGTGAATGAATAATCAGTACATTTTTTAAATTATATAGAATGAATTTATTTCTTACTATGGAAGAGCAGCAACTTTAGCTTCATTTAATAATCAATTATTAAAAATACAAACATTTTACAATTCAGACACAACATCGATATTAGCACATATCCCTTCTAGGTATATTTTTTACAGCAAGTATTAGTGATTTAAAAATTATAAAAAGATACGAAAACTTTACTAACTCAGACTATGAAAATTGTTTTGGAGACAATTTTATAGAACCATTTGATCCTAGGTGCAGATCGTGGTATTTATATGCATAATAGCATGAAGGTATTAATTTAAAACAAGCATTCAAAAAATAAGAATTAATTATATTATAAAGGATACTTTTTTTATGAACCCTATCTAGATGCAGTAGAGGGTAACTTAGAGATGACTCTTTCAAGCTAAATTGTATTTAATTCTGAGTTTAAATCTGTTAACAGTATTGACTTAGAGATGAGTTCATTTGTGGATCTCTTTAAAACCTCAGTGAGCAAAAACTCTTATCCTGTTTTATTTCACGAATTCAATAATAAGGTAAATAAATAAATAATAATAATAATAATAATATATTTTAAACTTTCTTTGCAAATTAGAAATATTAAAGCAAAATTTAAATACTAAAGCTATTAATATTATTTGAATAGGTATTTTATCATCCATTACTTTTAGGTTCTAATATCAAATCTTGGGAAGACTTAGAATTTCAAAATATAACCATTTACTGTAAAGATTCAATTGAAGTTTGCAACATTGAGAAATAAATTTTCTCTTAAATGTTAAACTAAACTGTGTAATTCATTCAAAAAGGAAATTACTCTATTTAAGAAAATATAAACACAGATAATTTATATTAATACTGGACAAAATACAACGTAAAACAGTAATTAATTAATTAATTCTTATAATATTTTAATTTATTTAGTATTATTTTTATAAGAATAAGTTTAGTTTATCCCATAAACAGCTTAATTTAAAAATATAAAACTTAATAGCCTTATTCTAAAACAATTATACTTACTGCTAAAGTGATGAATGATATAAGTGACTCTTTGAAACTATTCAATATTTTAGACACTAATATTATAAGGATTCCTCTTTTAATAGAATTTATTTTATTAAGTGCTTCGATATTGATATTTATAGTTAGATATGGGTAATTCCAAATATATTAAGTGCAATATCCAATCTAGCTTTTAATAAAATTTCTAGAATACAGCTTGAAGGAGCAGTAGCATTTTCATGAATAAATTACATAAAAAAAATAAAATTTAAATACTCAGTTACCAAGCACATAAAAAAAGCAATAAAATTGCAAAAAAATTCTCAATAAAAGTGAATATGATGAAAAAAATAACTTAGAAGAACAAAAAAGTTTTTTTCTTTTTCATTAAAAAGATCTTAATAGCTAAATTTTGATAAGATCAAGAATCAACAGAAGGAGTAGAGAAGAATAATAACTATAATAGTCTAAAATGAAATTGCTAACAAGGAAAAATTTAGATGAAATAGATTAAACTTTTGAAAAATCAAACAACAGCTATGAATTTTCAAAGAGTTAATATTAAAGTTAAATATTTAATTCTAACAATAATAGTTTTACCCCTAATTATAACAGAAAAATCTAATAAGGGAATTAAAATTTTTAAGATTTGAGAATAAAGCTACATAATTTTAATGAAGATATGGTATTTAGTTCTATTACTGAATCATAGTAATCACATGATAATAAAATTCGAAAAGATAAAATACTTTAAGGACTTAAACCTCTATTTTTAGAAATGAAAATAATTAAATAAACATTTTAAATGCTAGAAAGTGTCCTAAATTATTAGATTGATGCCTACTCAAAAGACTCAAATAATAATCTGAATACATTATTTCATTTTACAAAAGCTAAAAGCACATTTTAATAATTAAAAAATCAAACAGGAGTTTCTCGTTGCTATTTTAATCTAGGAATAATTTACTTGCTGAATTAAGAATATAGTTTGGCTTGTCAGTATTTTGAATCTGCGATATATTTAAATTCACAAATTTTCGACATTGTCTCTCTTTGTAATATTCAGGAGAAAATATTATAAAATTTATAAAGCTAAACCGAAGAATAACTTTTTATTTTTTGCAAAAGGATTTTTACACTTGCTTATACTTCAAAGCAATTTTCATTCTAAACTATGACTAAAGAGTAAGATAATTATTAAGCTAACTAATCATTATATTTTACTAAATAAATTATTCATGATAAATTAACAAACTAATACTCTAATGATCTAACAAAAATGAGCTAGACATCTTATTAATACTTAATGAAAGCTTTAGAATTATATTTAATTTTAGAAAAAATAATATTAAATAAAAGTAAATGTTTTTCTAAAACATTTATAATATATTTATATTTAGAAATATATGAAATTTTTATTTAATTAAGCAAGTAAGATTCAATTCAAGCCTACTTTTAAATTATAAATCAGCTAATATAAAAGCCATCATATCCAACAGTCAAAAATATTTAATTAAAAAGCTATTTAGAAAATAAAATAGTAGAAGAAAAATCTAAATTTTTTTAAGATGAATCAACAAGTACCTTAAAAAACTAAAATACCTTTTAATTAAAAGTAAATTAGGAATAAAATTAAATTATTTTAGAAATATTAAGGAGCAAATTCAAATATTTGTAAGGTCTTTCAGAAAAAGGAAGAAAAAACTACTACACAGCATCATTATTTTTAACTTAATGTTTAGAAGAAGGAATACACTACAGTCCATTTCTTAGAGTGAAAGCTATTTAGAACCTAAAAGAGATATTTTAAATAAACTAATTGAAATAATAAGACTATTTTTCATATGTAGCATTACAAGAAGAAGAAAATCAAACGCCTTTTGATATTTTTATTTTAATCTAATTAGATTGCGTTTTTTACACTTCAACTTATGAATCTTGTCTTGAAAACTTAAAAAGATAAAAATTTTTTAAATAAAATGATAGATTATAAGCTGTCATCTTCCATGAAGAACTAAGTATTTGTATTCCTTTGACTAAAATTTAAAGTGACCATCACTGGTAGTTGATGATCGATTCTATAAAATTATTTGGAAGAGATATTTTCTACTAACAAAAAGAAAAAAGATAATAAATAAGCTGGCAGTAAGCTTTATTTAGTACTTTTGATTATTTATGTGACTTAAATATTGAAGATTTTTAAAATCTAAATAAAATTTATAAAAAGAATTTTGTTTAAAATAAATAAGAAAATTAAAGTTAAAAAAGACAAAAGTGTATTTTGCTTTTTTCAAAACAACATTCTTCCAAAAAGATAAGCATACCTCAAAAATTAATTAATAACCAAAATATCCTTTCGCATCATAAACCTTACGTTTTTCATCTAAATGAATTGCTGTAAGTAAGCAAAGAAATTGCTTAACAAATATATGAGCACATATATTATGAATAATTTACAGATGAAAATAAATTTATATCAAATATCATTAGCATAAGATAAAATGACCACTTTAAAGAGGAATAAGAACATTTATCAATTATAAACAATTGTTGAAAAATTAAATTGATTTAAAGATTCTACTCTAATAGCCAACATGATTTAAATATCTCTCTAAAATTATGTTAAATTCTATTTTATTAAAAATAACTTTTAATTAAAACTAAAAGTATTAAATTTTATTAACATTTATTAAATTCTGTATTTATTTTATTTAGTAAAAAAATCTAAATATTTTTTGTTGATAAAATTATTTTTAAGTTAAGAAAAGATAAAATAGCAAATAAAAAATTAAGCTAAAAGATCAAATAAATGATATTAATTTTTTATTACTTAAAATTGAATGAATATTTAACTTAAATTTTATCCTTACATTTGTTTGAATTTATTACAAAAATTAAAATAAGGTAATTTCAATTTAAAAAAATGTAAAGATTAAAATTATGTAATTAATAATTTGAAAAGAAAATGTAATCACTAAAACTTTTTTTTTTTCTCTAAAATTATTAATTCACCTTCTAACATAAATTGAATAGAGTTTTTAATTTTAGTAAAATTGTCTGATTATTGTTGATTCATATTAATTAAGTGGTTAAAAAAAATTATTATTAATCAAAATAGCTTAATTACTTTTCAAATCATAATATTAAAACAACAAAAAGCAAAAAAAATAGTTAATAAATAAACAAAAATAAGAATGAAGCTTTTAATCATTAGACTTATAACTACAGTTTCGTTTCCAATCATAACAGGAGTTGCCTTAGTTTTAATTCTATTTTATAAAAATCTCTGGGATGCTCTGAATTCATGGTAATATAAAACTTCGCTTATTTTGATACAATTTTAACACCTTCTTTTATTTAAGAGAATCATTTTATAAAAATTAAGTTTGTCAAATTTCAAAAATTTTAAACAAAAATAGGGAGGAAGACAGTCTTTCGTGGATAAATTAGACATAAAAATAGATACTGCGCAATTCTGTTTTTTCTTAGTAATTAATAGAGCAGCATAGCTTTAGTTAAGTATATCCATTTTTAAATAAAAATTTAAATTCGCCTTTACAATATAGTATATAATATATTCTTTTTTATATATTTATAATAGCTTTAACTACACCTTGTTATTATAAAAAGTTTGATAAATAAATATTACGAATCCAAAATAAAAAGTAAAATTTATAAGTTATTTTTTAGTTTTTAAAAATTTACTATTTGAAGCTAACAAAGATTCACAATAATTGAAATGTTCATACTAAGAGTTAGTCCAAAAGAAATGTCCTTAAATTATATATAAATTATTAAACTAAAGCACATTTTACGTAGATTTGTATTTTGCTAGAGAAAATTTCTAATTTGATTTACTAACAACACAACAATAAGATTTTATAAATATGGTAAATAATTTTATTTGAAGAGTTATTTAAATATTAATTTACTTTGTTTTTGCTATTTAATAGAATGAATTTATCTCCTTTTATGGGAGAGCTGCAATCGTTGCTTCTATTAATAACGATTTGTTGAAAATATAAACTATTTATAACTCAGATACAACTTCTATCCTAGCTCATATTCCTTCTAGGTATGTTATTGAATTTTAGAAGACAATATTATTACTAATAGAAAGACACAACTTGATTTATGATAAGTTCAAATGAAATATTTTAATTTAAAAAGATACGAAAATTTCACTGATTCAGATTATGAAGATTGCTTAGGTAAAAATTTTACAGAACCCTATGATCCTAGATGCAGACCTTGGTATCTATATGCTCAATAACATAAAGGTATTTCTTAATTTTCATCACAATTATAATAATAATTTTTAATTTTTCAGGCTATTTTTTTTATGAGCCCTACTTAGATGCTATTGAAAATAATTTAGTTATGACTCTATCAAGCTAAATAGAATACAATTCTGTATTTAAATCTGTTATTAGTATTGATTTTGAGATGAATTAAATAGTTTAATTATATAAAGCTACTTAAACTTAAAATGACTATTCAGTTTTATTTCACGAGTTCAATAACACAGTAAATAATCTAAACAATCAAATAATATTGATTAATTTAAATTTAAATAGGTGTTTTACCATCCATTACTTTATGGCACTAATTTAACATCTTGGGTTGACCTTGAATTTTAAAATATAACAAATAATTGTTCTTATTAGCAATAAGACTGCTTGATAGAAAAACAAAAATTCTCTTAAATGTTAGACTCTACTGTTTACTTTATTAAAAATGGAAAATTTTCTATAGATTAAGATATAAACACAACCTAATTATATTAATTTTGGACAAGAAATGGCGAAAAATAGTAATTTTTTTTTGTTTTAAAATCATAAATTGAATAATTTTAAATTTTAAGTTAAAAAAATTTATATCAATTTAATATTAATAATACAGATAGTTTTCATAAATTAAGGCTCCACATAACTTATTTTTTTAATAATTTTTACCATAATTAATTTCTTATTTAAATTTTATTTTTTTAAAATAAATGGCCTTAATTATAGAGTGTTTATAGTAAATATTTAAAATAATTTAAATTAATTTAAAAGAATTAGCATAGTCTTACCAGTTTAGAGTCAGATATCAAAATATAATACACAACAACCATATTCAAATGCAATTATTCTAACAGCAAGAGTAATCAGTGATAAAAGTGACACATTAAAATTATTCAACATTTTGAATTTTTAAATAATTTAAATTCCTCTAATTATAGAATTTATTATATTAAGCACTTTAATTTTAGTATTTATTATCAGATATGGATTATTTTAAATTTACTAAGTTTAGCAGCCAATAGAATTGTTAAAAGTCTTTTTAGAAAATAGTTTAATGCAATAGCAACAATGCTATTCATAAACAAAGGATAAAAAATAAAATGTTATAAATCCTTCTTTCATAATTACAAAAAAACTATAAAGTAAATTTAAAATGGCAAAAGCTTAACAAGATAAAAATATTTTTGAGGGATAATAATAAAATTAAATATTAATGTATAATAATGTTAATAATATTTCTTAATCTAATTTCATCATTAATAATGGTCGAGAGTCTTAAATTGAACAATCAAAGATTCGATTGTTGAACAGAAAAACATTTGATGACTTTGCTTAACTTGCTGAAAAGTTTAGTTTAAGTTCAGAAAATTAAAAATATCAAAATGTATCTGAAAATTTCACTTTTGAATTAAATTAAAACGTCTTTAGCCCTATCTCAAATAACAATCTACTTAAAAATAAAAATATGTGGAATCTAAAAACAAAGTTATAAAAATGCTAAGAAGAATTATCATTTATTAAAAAATATCCAATTAATTAGTAGGAAAAAGTAATTTACTAAGATAAAATTCTTCATGGTTTGAAACCTCTCTTTTTAGAGATGAAAATTATTAAAAAAGCATTCTAAATGCTTGAAAGTGTAGTAAATTATTAAATAGATGCTTATACAAGAGATTCAAAAGATACAGTGAATTCTCTCTTTCACTTCACAAAAGCTAAGAGTACATTTTAGCAGCTGTAAAATTCAACAGGAATGTGTCGCTGTTACTTCAACTTAGGAATAATTTATTTACTGTAGTAGGAATACTATTAAGCAAGCGAGTACTTTGAATCAGCGGTTTATTTGAATCTATAAATTATTGGAATAAATACTCTGCATAATATGGATGAAAACTCGTTTTTATATCTTTAAAATTTACAGGAAGACTAATTGTTTATACTTTGCAAAAGAATAATTTCTCTAGCACATAGCTTAAAGCAACATTCTATTCAAATAGCTTCTGATTAAAAATCTATAAACAGTAAATAAGAAACAAAATTTGTTGAGTCTTCTTAGTAAATCCTACTTAAATCATTAGATTTATATAAAATTATTGAAAAAATAATTTTTAATAGTAGCAAAAAATTTAGCTATATTTTAAAAATCTATATTTATTTAGAAATCATTGAAATTTTAGTTCTTTTAAGCAAGATAGATTAAGTTGAATTGTATTTCATCAAGCTTAATAAATTGTTTAGGATTGCTAATTATTTAAGTAAAAATACTCTGTCTTAATTTATTACTGAAAAGAGAATTTCTAAAGAATTTTTTAAACAATTTTAAGATGAAACTATTTATAGCTTTAATGCTTCAAAGAATTAAAAGTAATTTTCCACTTCTATGAATAATGATGTGTAGGCAATTGTTTTAGGAATTTTAGAGAGCAAACAGAAGTTTTTGCTTGGCCAAGCAGAGAAGTAAAAAAAAAACTATTATTAGGCTTCATTACATTTTACTTAGAGTTTTGAAGTAGGAGCTCATTACAATCCATTTTTAAGAAAAAGAGCAATACAAAATCTAAGAGAAATGTTTTAAATAAATGGTATTAAATCTTAAGACTTAGTGTATGAATAAATAATTAATGATGAAGACATTCATAATAATCTGGGAGCATTTGATGTAGTTATATTGATTTAGCTGGATTGCATAATTAATTACTCTACATATGAAGCTTGTCTTGAGGATATTAAAAAATCTAATTTTTTTATAAAAAAGGATAAAATTTAAATCTTAGTTTTTCACTAAGAGATCAGTATTTTCATTCCATTCACTCATATTTAAAGCGACCATCACTGGCAATTAATGATGGATTCTCTAAAATAGTTTGGACAGCAAATTTTATATTCGTAAAGCAAAGGCAAACAATAAATAAGTTAGGAATAAGCTCTACTTTAATCCATATTTTTATCATAAAATCAAACTGTTCAAGATATTGTCTAACTTACATAAATAAACAACCAAAATTCAAAATAACTTAACAATGAAGATTTTGAATTGAAAAGAATGAAACTCATGCTTATTTTCTCAAAACAATAAAATTAAAAATAAAATGATATGCAATAATTACTACATAAAATCTAAATGCTAGATTCATTTTAAAAAATCAAAGTGTTTCATATGAAATAATCGATGATAATAGATAGCACTAATTAATCTTTTTAATATAAAAATCTAATTTACGAATCTTTTTCAGATGAAAACAAATTTGTTTCTAATGTGCTTAAATAGAGAAATAATAAAGATTTTAAAGAAGAGTACGAATACATAACTATTCTAAATAATTCATGAATAATCTAGCTAAAAAATATATTTATACTAATGATAGAACAAGAATATATTTATATATAACTATAAAATATATATAATAAAAGACATGGAGAGAAATAAAAAGCATAAAAATGAATTGGTGGGAGGACAAATAACCAAAGTAAACTAGTAGACTGTAGAAAATAAAATAAAATAATATACAGTAAATATTGATAAATGAAAATGTAAATATGGATATTTGAGATATGTATGATATAAATTATTTTAAAAAAGATAATTATAAAAATGAGTCAAATATGTATGTTGATTTTGTGCTCGTGCTGTGCGTGGCAAGATTTGACAAATGTTTATTTTCTCTTATTAATTTAAATAGTTATTATTATTTTTCTCAACAAAGTAGAGATATTTAAATATTAATAAAAAATACATTATCTGTTTATTTATTATCTATTTTTACCAAAATAAATTGATGAAAAATTAAAGTATTTTGAAAAATCATTTTAGCTTTAAAAACATTGATTCTCACAAAATCAAATTAGATATTTGAGATATGTATGATATAAATTATTTTAAAAAAGATAATTATAAAAATAAGTCAAATATGCTGATTTTGTGTTCATACGTATATGACAAGATTTGACTGATGTTTGTTTATTTTCTCTTATTAATTTAAATAGTTATTATTTTTTTTTTTCTGAAAAACGTAGAAAAATTTAGATATTAATAAAAAATACATTATCTGTTTATTTATTATCTATTTTGATCGAATTTAGCCTTTAAATAAAATTTTTATGATTTTACATATATGGAAATCAAATTAAAAGTCAATATTTATTTTAATAAATAGAACAAAAATAAATAGAAAAAAAGTTCTTTAAAAAAAAAAGCTTAAAAGTAATATTTTAAATATGATTAGGGTCTTCTTTTTTCTAGTAAATATTAACAATTTAGTAGATGAAATCATTTTGATAAATTAATTCTTTTGCGAGAAATTTAATTGTATCATTATGTTTTTGTTTTTACTGCTGATTACTTAAAAATTAGTAACTTCATTCCTTCTTTAGAATAAGTCCTCAAGAATTTTAGATTTACTTGATCTAACATTTATAAATATTAATAAAATGCAGTATTAAGAAATCAACAGATACATAAAAATTTCACCAGGTTTTCTATTTTAAAAGATAATATTAAAAATAATAATTTTGTATTATTACCCTCAAAATTTTGTAGAATTATCCTAGTAGTAGTTAAACTTAATATATGTGTCTTTTGTGATTACAATTATCTGCTTGTCTATCTCACAAAGAATGACTGCTTTAAATAAAGGAGAAGTGTTGAGGATAAAACATTTTAGTTACTTCATTGTATTCAACATATCATTTTCATTACTAAGTGGATTAATCATTCGTAAAATAGGATTATGGCAATTATTGGTTCTGAATTTAATTTTCAGCTTATATAATTTCCACAAGTTGAAAAAAGATGAATCAGAAGAATAAGCAGCAATATTTATTGTTTTAAAATTTTTGAATTTTAATTCTGCTTTAAACTATAAAAATTGTTATTTTGATGAATATTTACTATATGATAGTAATATCAAAGTTTCAATAATTTAATAAATAGCTATGATATTGATGATTATCATATTTATCATATTTGGATCAAAACAAAATTCAATTAATGTATCTTAAGCTGATAATCTATCTTAAAGTTATGCAAATATATTGCTTTTAGTAATATCTTCAATAGGATTTTTTATTTTTTCATACTTAGAAATTAAAACATTACAAAAAAAAATAAATATTGTTGTTGTTAGTAATAAGTAGGAATTTATTTAAATGCTTTCCAAATTATAAGTATGTTTGATGAAATATCATTTTGCTATTTTCAAAGACAAAATCGAATTCGATTGTCCAGCTTTAATATAAAATACTGCTCTTGAAAACCAATCAGAATCATATTCTCTTTAGGTTGATCAAGTTGATTGCTATGTTTACTACTTTGAAAAATTAATAGCAGATATTTTAAATTGTAAATAAAAAGGCAAAGCAAATTTCAAATTGGTACCTAATATAATAAAATATAAATGTAAATGCACAAAAAGTTATAAAGATTTATTTTTAAATTATGAGAAAATGTTATATATACCTGTAGAAAAAGTTTAAAGCTTAAGTGAAACTGACATGCAAAATATCATTTTAAAAAAATTCGTTCAAGGACAACTATTCTGCACATCTACATAAGATCTCATTCAGAAATACAAAGAAAAAAATAATAATAAATTTTAATTTCATTTATAATTTGAAAGATTGATGTATTAAACTATATTAAAATATGTTCTAATCAGAGATTATATTCCAGTTGTACCATTTTTCGTATTATATGATTTGTTAGAAAAATAATGATAATATTTTTATTTATATTTCTACTAATTTAGTATTAATATAGATAGACCTCTTTAACTTCGTATCCTTATAAACTGTGCACTATAAAAATAAATTAAACTTTTTATTTACTGTAAAAAAAATTTTTTTACTCTCAAAATTTGAAAAAAGGTTTCTGTATTTTGATTAATTTTTGTAAAATATAAGAAATCAAATATAAACAAAATAATTAAGATTTAGAAAAAAAAAATGTTCATTAGTAATGTAAAAATTATTTGAAATATCACAAATCATGATATCATGATCTGTGATATTTCAAACGCAGGAACAGCTATAGTTACATAACAATTTCACAATGTTTTCTATTTGAAAAGACAATATTAAAAATAATAATTTTATATTATAATCCTCAAAATTTTGTAGAATTATCCTAGTAGTAGTCAAACTTAATATATGTGTCTTTTGTGATTACAATTATCTGCTTGTCTATCTCACAAAAAATGTCTGCTTTGAATAAAGGAGAAGTGTTGAGGCTAAAAAATTTGATTTATATCACTTCATTCAATATGTCATTTTCGATACTAAGTGGATTAATCATTCTTAAAATAGGAGTATGGCAATTATTGGTCTTGAATTTAATTTTCAGCTTATTTTGTTTCACCTATGACTTAGGAGGAGAAAGCTTAGATGAGGTTTGTATAGTTTTATGTTTAAAATTTTTTAATTTTAATTCTGTTTTAAACTATAAAAATTATAACTTTATAGAATAATCAATTTATGATAGAAATAACAAAGTTTCAATAATTTAATAAATAGCTATGATATTGATGATTATCATATTTGGATAAAATCCTAATTCAAGTAATGTATCTTAAGCTGATAATCTATCTTAAAGTTATGCAAACATATTGCTTTTAGTAATATCTTCAATAGGTTTTTTTATTTTTTCATACTTAGAAATAAAAAAATTACAAAAAAAAACAAATATTGTTGTAGTTAGCAGTGAGAAGGAATTTATTTAAATGCTTTCCAAATTATAAGCATGTTTGATGAAATATCATTTTGTTATTTTCAAAGACAAAATCCTATTAGATTGCCCAGCTTTAATATAAAATACTGCTCTTGAAAACCAATCAGAATCATATTCTCTTTAGGTTGATCAAGTTGATTGCTATGTTTACTACTTTGAAAAATTAATAGCAGATATTTTAAATTGTAAATAAAAAGGCAAAGCAAATTTTGAATTGGTACCTAATTTGAGAAAATATTAATGCAAATGCACAAAAAGTTATAAAGATTTATTTTTAAATTATGAGAAAATGTATGATATACCTGTAGAAAAAGTTTAAAGCTTAAGTGAAACTGACATGCAAAATATCATTTTAAAAAAATTCGTTCAAGGACAACTATTCTGCACATCTACATAAGATCTCATTAAGAAATACAAAGAAAAAAATGGATATTTTAATTTTCATTTATAATTTGAATAAATTATGTATTAAACTATATTAAAATATATTCTAATCAGAGATTATATTTAAGTTGTGCCATGTTTCGTATTATATGATTTGTATGAAAGCAACTGATAACATTTTTATTTATATTTTTACTAATTTAGTATTAATATAAACATATTATATTTGATAGTCTTATAAACTGTGCACTCTATAAAATAAATAAAAACTTTTATCCCAAATTTATTTTTTTCATTATAATATTTTTTTTTAATTAAATTATTTTATTTTTAAAATGACCTTAAAAAATGAAAAAATAAGGTTCAAAATTTTTAAAGTTTTTATTTGTTAATAATATTTTAAATTTAAATAAAAATAAAATTATATAATTAGACCTTAAGATCTACTTGTCTATTTTAATCATATCATAATTTTAGATGAAAAATAAATATTAATTCTATTCATAGATACTTTCAAAAAATTCATTTTTAATTTTTATTATTGTTTAATTTTTACATGAAAGCAATAATTTAAATTATTTATATAGCTTTATAAGTTAAAATTATTTTTATTCAAAAAAAAAATATGATTTATCAATTTAAAATTCAAAATAAAAGGTTTTAAAACAAATAAGATTCTGCATTATTTTTAATTTTTTTATTGATTGCTAATTTTAGATTTTGCCTTTAATTATAAAAATAAAATATTTTTTAATTAATTGATTTTAATTGTGGTAAAACAAATTAATAACTTTAAAAGAAAGCTAATATTATTACAAGAAATGATCCAGCATTCATTCATTTCAACTAGTTGGACAAATATTCCTTTTGCTAAATTTAAATTAAAGGTACAAATATCATAGAAGATTCAAAAAGGCGGTATACAATAATTAGAAATTGTTATAGACATTAAAATGAGGAAAAAGAAAATTTAATGTGAGATTGCATAAGATTGATTATTTGTTTATTTGGAATTTAGTCATAGTAAAGCGAATTAGCATGAAATAAAACATGCACTTTTTGCAAATTTACTTTTTACTTAGTGCTTTCGTTTGCGTTAATGGCAAATTTCTGTTACTCAAATTAACGAAATCATAATTTATATCTGCTTTACTTAATTACTCAGAATTTATAGAATATGTTTTCTCTCAGCTTAAATTAAAATTAGTAAATACACATTACTTAAATAAAGTAAGATCAGAATATAGTTTTTAGTTTCTGCTTTAAAGATTTGCTATAGATAGTATTAAAATACATTATTTATATTATTTAATCTAGAAGATCATATAAAGTGTATAGAGATTTTTTTTAGGATGTTTTTATTTTTAAAATCAAATTCAATTAGCTTCACTGCATAGGATTTCTTATCTGATTTTATATTTAAGCCTTAAAACCATGGTCATAATTCGAATTTTAAAAAGAAAAACGGATGAATAAATTCATGTGAATTAATCATGTCATTTTAAAATTTAATTGTTTTTAAACAAGATGTTTTAGTCAACAGCATCTATTGCAAATTTATAATTTAATTAACTAGAAATAGAAAAACTAAAATGTATCTATATAGCTTATATAGATAAAATTTTTAATCAAATAAGCATAAATTAATAAAGTAAAATTGAATATTAATATCTTTTACTCCCTCTATTTTCTTTTCTAATTTTAAAATGGAATTCGAAAAAGAAATTAATTAATGAAACTGGCGGTATATGTTTTTTTTTATAAAAATCAAAATAAATATTTAGAATTTAGTTATTTTTGTAATAATTCTTAGAGTTAGGATTGATTTAAACAAATTCGAATGAAAATAGAATAGATTCTTCAATTGTAAATTTTTTCGATTAATTAAATTAAATGTAATATTGCTTATTAATTTTAAATACTATGAGAAAAGGCGTTGGAAATTAATTAAAAGCCAAACAGAAAACACAAGAACGGACTCCTACCAAATTAATTAAAAGATCATTTAATTAGATTTGATAACATAGCAAAATTTATTTAATTTCTTTTTTAATACATAATATGTTAAGGTATTTGCGTTAGAGGGTTTTAAATTTAATCAATTCCATCATAATATCAAGGTAAAAATATAATTAAATAATACAAAAAATAATAAAATACTAATTAAAAATCCAAATCTTAAAATAATTAATTACTAAATTAATGTCTTCTTCTTCATTCTCTGAAATCAAAAAGTTTTTTGAAGCTAGCAATTGTTCTGTATGCTCAAAACAATCCAAATACTTAGGAAAAATTGAATATATTTGTACTCACATTCTTTGCAAAGATTACCTTTAACTTGTCTGCAAGTCTTGTCATGAAGAATATCACTAATAGAAGCTCTATTCTTCCAATAAGAAATATATCAAGCCTATTGCTGATTTCCTTGAAGACCTTTATTATCATGTTAAAGTTTAAAGTGATAAATATGAGTTGATAAAAGTTATTGGTAAATCTGCTTTTACCTTATTGCCTGATAATTACTAAAATCAAGAAGAAATATTTGCCCTTTTGAAAGACTTAGAAAAAGATATCTCAGTAAATTAATTAAAGTTCTATAATGAGCTCTTTGAATGCATTAATAATGTTTTCATGGCAGAAACTTAACCTGAATAAATTGTCAATCTTAAAAAGATTAAATAAAATATCTCATATGATTGCTGCTCATAGTTTTCAATCATAAATTGCCCTCCTTTTGAGGATTTCGAAATGCTTTTCTGCAATAAACTTAAGGATTCTATCTCTAGAAAAAGTATCACTGCTTAGATGATCTAGAATTTCATCAATCAAAGATAAAAAAAGCTCTCTAATTTCAAGTCTTCATAAAATTCTTAAAAAAGTTAAATTCTAAATAAAGTTAGCGAAATTCACTAAGAATGTCTTAAGGATAGAAAAGAACATTGTAAAGGAGATAACAGAAGTTCTCTATCTTCTATTGAAGATCCTTGTATGTGTGATGAAAAATCTCCCTCCTGTGATGAGTGTATTGATGCATTTGAATTTTACAATAAAAAATTAGAATAAGTTTTCTGATAAAAAAAATCAACCTTCTTAATGAAAATTAATATCTCCAACCCCTACTAACAAACAAGCTAATATACTAATTAATAAATACTAAATATCAAATCATAATTTTAATATTTTCAAAATGTATAAACCAATTAGAATAATCCTAAAATTATTAAATCGTTTTAAATTGTATAAATCTATTTATAAAATTGTTAATCTTCTTAATATTTTCAATATTATTTTAATTCATAAAATGATAATTTCTAATTTGATTTTTTTTTTCTAAATTGATAATTAATCTCTATGTTTCTCATTTTATTTTCATAAATTCAATAATGGTAAAAGAGAAAATAATAATTCTATCATTTATAATTTAATTACTCATTTTTAAATAAACTAACTTACTTAATTTTGCACTATTAAAAATGAGTAAAAACTCATTAAAAATGGTAGAGAAATTAATACAAATCATTACAATTTACTTTTTTTTCTATACAAATAAATAAAATTATATAGAGTATTAAAAACCTAAAGATGGATTAATCAAAGCTTCAGCTAAAATTAATTTTTATGAATACGAAAACTATTTTTAAAATATTTATAAATTTCAAATTAAATTATATTTTTTAATTATTCTTATTAATATTTTAATTTTATGCTACTTTAGTTTAAAAGTATATATTAGATAATCCTTATTTTTTATTAACGTGGCAAGATAGATAAATAAATAAATGAGATTTAATAACAATATTTTAAAAAAATGAAAAATAATTTAGCTGATATAATGTTTTCTAAACTAAAAAAAATAATTAAAAATATATTTATAATAGATATCACTAACTTAATATATATTTATATAATTTATTTCCATGATATTTAATATTTAGAAACATTTTGAAGAGGAGTTTATTCTGTCAGCAAGGAGCTTAAGTTACAGAAATTAGTTTAAATTCTTCAATATCTGCAAAACCAAATGTTTCTTTGTAATTGAGACAAGGAATTTCTCTAGAACGATGTCCCTTGTCATCTTCAAATTCAACAACAAAAGTCAAAGACTAACCTTTGCAAATATTTTTAATAGCTTCATAAGAGAAATATTGACCTCCTCCTGGATAAATTTAGGCACAAGTACCCTCATCAGATAAATTTGCAGGGTATTCTCTATTAATTAAATAGAATGATGCTGCGGAAAGCAAAGCAAGACTAATAACTAAATAATATTGAATTTTCATTGATTTTTTGTATCCTCTTCTTTTATTATTTTCTATGTTGAAATCAAATTTTTTTATAAAATAATAATAATAATTCGATATCAGATTTTTTTATAGTATAATCAAGGGAAAATACACAAATTGAAAATTAAGATAAAAGAAATATTAGCAAGGTTATACTATTATTCTTTTATAAACTAATAATTAGAAACCTTTATTTTTGTTATCTAGAAAAACTAAAATTCATAATTTAAAATATTTTCATGAATTATTTTCATAATTTTTATATTTATAATGAGTCTTTTGCTAATATAATTTTATATTTTCTATTTTTCTTATTCTTTTATAGATAAAAATTTCAAAAATTTTCTAATAGAAATGAAGACTAAATTTAATTTTAAGACTAAAACAAAAAAACCTTGTTGAAATTTTAAATTCTATATGTAAAATATTTTTTATAAACTTATATTGCAATCAATTTATTATGCTCTTGATGATAAATTTTATTTAGTAGAGTGAAAAAAATCTTAAAAATATAATAAGATCTTCAAAAACTGAATATAAAATAATAAAACAGTTATTTTCTCAATATTTCATAATTTAATGTAAACTATATTTGGATCTCTTCAAAATATCTATTAATTTAGGAAGCTAGATTAGGTAAAAGATATCAAAGAAAAGGATGAAGCTGGTTCAATTAATTATAATAATTATAAAATACTTAATATATTTTCTAAAAATATAAATTTTTAATTATTTGAATTTTATTATATTTCTTTAGCATTTAGCTAATATAATTTATTTTTATTTGATGGTTTTTGGATAATTTTCTATTTAAGAAGTTTTCATTATTAATAAATTATAATAAATTTTTAAGAATGCCATCAATTATTTCAATATTTACTTATTTAAGTGAAATTGGTTGATTGAGGCTGAGAGAGAGAATAATGATAAAATTAAATATTTTCAATTTTAGATGCAAATTTATTTTACTAGAAAAATTTAATTTAAAAAAATATAATAAGCTGTTAAATTTATTGCAAAATATACTATAAACCATATTAACAGCTGGTTAAGAACCCCTAAATAATCACTTAAAACCAAAAATCTTTTTTTTATCATCAAAAAAAATCTAAAAAAATTCAAAGCAACTAAAAAAGTAATACATACAATACAGTATTACTTTCATCAATAAAATTAAAATTAAACTTTATTTTTTTTTATTTGAGAAATAAAAATACATATTCAATCAATATTCAATTTATATTTAACACAATGTGAATCAATATTTTTTTAATAATATTTTATTAAATAGATAACATAAATTTAGATAAAAACTTGATTTCTTTCACTGTATTTTTAACCTGATTTAAGCCCAATTTTATATTTAATCCTCAAAGAGTAAATAAAAAAGCGTTATTACCAAATTAATCAATTAATTTAAAATTAAAAATGGATTTAAACGATGTCTTTTAACAGTATCTATTACTTTTTTATAATTTAATTAATTAGGAATAGAAAAATTAAATTGTAAATATAAAGCTTATAAGGAAAGATATTTAAATTACATTTACTTATATAAATAAATTTAAACTTAAGAGAATATCTTTAGTCCATAGATTTTACAATTTTGAAGTTAAATTACAAAAAAAAATATTTGTAAAGTATGATTTTATGTACTACAAATCAGTTATCTAGAATTTAGTTATTTTTTTATATTAATATATAAAGAAATTCCAATAAAAAAAAGTTATTCTTCAAATTTAACTTTCTGATTAAATATATTAAATGTAATATTGATAATTAATTTTAAAACGATGAGAAAATGCGTTGAAAATTAATTAAAAGCCAAACAGAAAACATAATCAAATAGATTAAAAAATCATAATTAAGTTTGATAGTATAACATAATTTATTAAATTTCTATTTTAATGTAAAGTACCTTTAATATATTTGCGTTAGAGATCTTTAAATTTAATCAAGATCATCATATTATCAAGGTAAAAATATAATTAAATAATACAAAAAATAATATAAAATATTAATTAAAAATCTAAATTCTAAAAAAACTATTAAATTAAATGTCTTCTTCTTCATTCTCTGAAATCAAAAAGTTTTTTGAAGCTAGCAATTGTTCTGAGTGCTCAAAAAAATCAAGATGTTTAGGGAAAATTGAATATATTTGCACTCACATTCTTTGCAAAGATTACCTTTAACTTGTCTGCAAGTCTTGCCATGAAGAATATCACTAATAGAAGCTCTATTCTTCCAATAAGAAATATATCAAGCCTATTGCTGATTTCCTTGAAGACCTTTACTATCATGTTAAAGTTTAAAGTGATAAATATGAGCTGATAAAAGTTATTGGTAAATCTGCTTTTACCTTATTGCCTGATAATTACTAAAATCAAGAAGAAATATTTGCCCTTTTGAAAGACTTAGAAAAAGATATCACAGTAAATTAATTAAAGTTCTATAATGAGCTCTTTGAATGTATTAATAATGTTTTCATGGCAGAAACTTAATCTGAATAAATTGTCAATCTTAAAAAGATTAAATAAAATATCTCATATGACTGCTGCTCATAGTTTTCAATCATAAATTGCCCTCCTTTTGAGGATTTCGAAATGCTTTTCTGCAATAAACTTAAGGATTCTATCTCTAGAAAAAGTATCACTGCTTAGATGATCTAGAATTTCATCAATCAAAGATAAAAAAAGCTCTCTAATTTCAAGTCTTCATAAAATTCTTAAAAAAGTTAAATTCTAAATAAAGTTAGCGAAATTCACTAAGAATGTCTTAAGGATAGAAAAGAACATTGTAAAGGAGATAACAGAAGTTCTCTATCTTCTATTGAAGATCCTTGTATGTGTGATGAAAAATCTCCCTCATGTGATGAGTGTATTGATGCATTTGAATTTTACAATAAAAAATTAGAATAAGTTTTCTGATAAAAAAAACCAACCTTCTAAATAAAAATTAATATCTCCAACCCTACTAACAAACAAGATAATATACTAATTAATAAATACTAAATATCAAATCATAATTTTAATATTTTCAAAATGTATAAACCAATTAGAATAATCCTAAAATTATTAAATCAATTTAAATTGTATAAATCTATTTATAAAATTGTTAATCTTCTTAATATTTTCAATAATATTTTTATTGATAAATGATAATATTCTAATTTGAGAATTAATCTCTATGGTTCTCATTTTATTTTCTTAAATTCAATAATAGTAAAATAGAAAATAATAATTCTAATTATTTATTTTTAATTACTTGTTTTGAAATAAACAAACTTAATAAGTTTTGTACTAATAAAATTGAATAAAAACTAATTAAAATAGTTCTAAATTTGGACTAATTTATAGGTTTAGATATGGATAAAAAATCAGTGTCTTTATTTAGCTAAACTGATAGATAAACTCTATTTTAAACATTTAATAATATTTTTTTATTCATATTTTTTAATTTAATTTTTAAAAAGGAAGTTTAGATCTGCTATTTCCTAATATTAAAACGAAAAATAAATATTTCTAAGATTTACTTTGACCAACATAATTATAATAATCCTTTACAATAAAAATTGATATTCAAAAACTATTTGATATGAAAATGAATTTTTAAGATAACATTACTTACTTTGCTTAAAATAAAATTAGGATATTTTAAAAATAATAATTTCTAATAAATAAAAAATAACATTTTATTTTAAGCTAATCTTTAATCTATAATCTTAAATGAAATCAGTCAGGTATGTATACATGATATTGATGGATTCTAATTTTTCTAAATAATAATCAAAGTTTTAAAGCTATTTAGAAATGTTTAAATTGAATAAAATTGAATGGTGTTTTATAAAAGCTTACTCAAAACTGTTTGATATTTTTGTATTTTTCAATCTAATTTTTTATGGTAAATAAATAATAAAAAAAGTTTTTAAATTATCATAAAATAAATAAGAATTACAGTTATTTTATAAATTAGAAAGACATTTTAATTGAAGAAAATATAAAAATTTAAAGTAATTTTGATCCACATAATAATTGCATTTTTTTATTTATGATAAATGAATTTAGAATATAAATAAATTTAGATGATGTTTTTGAGATATTTTTAAGACTATTTGACATTACCATCTACTTTATTTATAAAGAAACTCTTTTTATTTAAGTATAACTATATGTGATTTAATATATGAGGCTAAAATGTTAAAAATTTGATGATATAGAAAATTAATAATAAATCAATGATTTATTTTAATAAAGAATTTTATTTGAAGAAATTTAATTGTAATTAGAAAAGTAAAGATATTGAAAACAATATTTAGGATAAAATAATAACTTGCTATCTAACTTATTTTGTAATGTCCTTATACATATTGACAATAATTTTGATTTTTATTTAAAGTCAGTATGCTGATGGGTAGCAATGCCCTCAAACAACTATCCAGACTAGTAAACAAATAAACAAATAAAATAAATTTATTTTAATCTTTAAAATAAGATGCTGCATTTTATGGATCGTATACCTTCAATAATTACTTGAAGCTACCAAAGACAAACATTCTCCTAGCTATTAGTGTTTAGTATAGCGGAAAACAAGTTGCTCATACCACAGTATACTTAGATGATATATCAACAACATAGGATAATGTTTTAGAAGTAGTTAGAAGTAAATTTTTGTAAAAAGATTATATTTTAAGTACTAAAATGACTATTTAATATAAAAGCTGAATATCAAATACTCCAATTAGATTATATAGAGCCTCTCAAAAAAATTATAGTCTCTAACTAATCATACGTTTTGATTATTGATCCCTTTAGTATAAAACCAATAAAATAAATTGATTATCGATAAGTTATTGGCATGAGTTATATCAAAGATTTTGGTTTAATTTTTATGTGTAGTGGTGTCTGCGAATGTTATGTTGTTGAAATTAATTCTTTTAAAACTTTATTTAGATTTAACCACTGCTAATATGACTCTAATCCTTTTATTCAGAATATATTTTCCAAAGCCTACAAGTAAAATAACGGAGTAGTTCTTTTGGTTGTTTAAGATTCTATAGGTTTGTGCACATGGTCTTATCAATATAGGAAAGGTATTTATCAATATAATTATCATCTTTAATTAGGTAAATTAATTAATTTTTACAACTAATTCTAATAAAAATATATTTTTGAAAATTTATAGAAGATGGATTTTTAAATTCTTCTCATAATTATGATTCACATGACCAATATGATATCTTATTTCTTGCAGGAAATAATACTGTACTGAAAGTTTACAATATATGTCACTTTTGCAAGAATCAGCCATATATACAATTATTTAACTAGAGTAAAACTATTCAACAATTAAAAAATAAAAAAACCAATTTTATAAAAAAGCAATAACTAAGACCAATACATAGTTTTATAATATCAAATTTATAAGAGTTAATATATCTGGTTAAGAATAGTAAAGTATTTTCATATCAGATTTATACATTTTGTATAGGCTTGATTTTTAAGTTATCACAGATCCAAGCACGAACTAAGTTTAATCTTTGAATTTTTTAAACTTATAAAACCCTTTTCAAGTTTAATTGGTTGGAATACAAATCTATTATGCTTTTTTGTACCATAATTCAGATAATTAGTAGCTTTTGATCCCTGTTTATGATTCTGACGATGACTAAAAATCTTTTACATTCGTTTATAATTATAACACAAATACTAGTCAGATTCGTCTTTGTAAATTTATTGATTTCTTTCTATTTTAAAAATTGAATTAATTAATCGATAGCTTTGATAAAAACTATCCTAAATTTATTTTTATGCAGAAGGGAATGAGATGAGAAAAAAAATGCTGTCCAAACAAAAATTTTACTAATATGCAATCAATTAAACTGATTGGTTTAGTTTATCCATAAAACTACATAAAATTCCTCCCTTTCAAATACCAACTAACTGATTCTATTAATTAAATTTCATTTTTTTGAACTTTAGAATGAATTTATTTTATTAAAAATTAGATTACAGAACTAATGGGTTCACAAAATAGTTTAGAATCTATTTATAATAAAACTATTATTTTGTTTCACTTTTTGATAGTAAAATACTAATTACTTAAGATAGTATATAAGGGAATATAATATAATAATTTAATATTAGAAATTCACCATATGTTGGTAATAGCTTTTTTTCTGTTTATAATAACCCTCTTTGCTATATCATTATATAGGTAGGACATATTATAAAATTTTATAAAACATCCCTTGACAATTTAAATTCATTTGCACATGTAAAATAATTTTTTAAGCAATTAATCTTGTAAAGTGAAATGTTTATAAAAAATAGTATTTAAGTCTAGATTACTTATCTTTAAACATACCATCAGAAATATTGAAGCCTGTTGCCTTCTATTAAAAAAATAATAATTAAGATTAAGTTTGGGTTGTACTGAGTTTACCGATAAAAAAGAATAACCAAAAATTTCTCTTTCATATCATTGATATGTGGAATTTTTAATTTCAAGTTTTAGTGTCAAATAATCCAGATGACAATATTAATTAAACTAGTTTTGCTTTGTATTGTGATTACTCTTAAGAGATTATAGGCTTAGATGTAATAGGCAATGTCTATGTTTGGGATGCTAAAAATTTTACAAACTTTAAATACAAATCTACAATAAGTAAATAAAATTTACTTTATAATTTCATCAATTATTTATATGAATTTATTTAATTATTAATAAATTATAAGCATAATATGCTTGTCTAAATCCATTAACCGGTACTATGCGTTATGACATAAATGGAATTTATTTGATAGTTGAGTGTGATGATTTTTAAGTTATCAGTTTTAACATGATTTCTGGATAAACTCAAAAAATAATCAAGCTAAGTAGTATACATGATGTTTTAAAATTTATTGAAGATATTTAGCTACTATTTACTTATGATTTTTCTTCTGGAACTATTAGCATTTTTAAATTTTAATCAGGCAGTTTTTAATTAGTAATGAACATGTCAACAAATTAATATTAAAAATATGATTATGTTGTTAATTTCACTTATTTTCCAGAAACATAAATCTTGTGGATTTAATACTTTTATGCAAATATATATTTTGAAATTGTCAAGTGCATAAATGATATTAGTTCTTGTATGAATTGCTCAATGGATTTTTATTTTAATACCACTGAGACAAAGTAAAGTAATTTAATATATGGCTTAGGGACTATTGATTCGCCTTTTTAAACTTCATCAAGTCTTATTACAGCTTTTTACAATGTATTTTTTATTAATATAAATGCTTATTTATTTTATTCAAAATAATAAATTTAATAAATAGGCTAAAAAATATTAATAGCTGTTTTCAGATGTAAAAAATATCAATCTAAATATTATTATTGACCCATCAAATACCTTTAATTTAATTGAAGAATTTATATCAATTGATTTTGGAAGCAATATAAGTCTGAATATTAAAAATTTAAACTCATCTCAAAAAGGGTAGATAAATATTACTAATTATATTTAATTTTCAAACTATAATTCTCTTACATTAGACAATCTTCTATTTAATTTCAATATCTTAACATCAGCTAATAACAGTTAGTAGAATTGTGGCATTTACTTGACAAATGTTCAAAATAGCTTCCTTAATAATTTAGATTATACTTCTTAAAATTCATTAATTAACTGCTTCTAAATATAAATTAATAATTCTACCACCACAATTTCTAACATAATATTAGCTAATAAAGATCTCTCAAATACAAACCAGATTGTAACCATCGATAAATCAAATTAAGTAATTTAAATTTATTATTTTATTTAAATAATAATGATAATAATTCTATTTAAAAATATTAAAGATTTATTTCAGAAATTTTTAGTTGTTGAATTCTACACTGAATAGTCAATTGAGTATACTCAATTAGATAAGCGATACTTAACTTTTTATTGATAATATGATAATATAAAATAATAATTGTAGCAGTTACTATGTTAATCCCCCTGAATAAGTAGGATAGCTCTTTCAGGTTGGTTAGTCTTAAGTAACTAATTTGTTAATAGCAAATAATTCTTTTTGCAACTAGAAAATATTTTCTACTAATGGTAATATTAACTAAAAGAATTTAGAGTTTATCTTCCAAAATATTACTATTTAATAAAACAAATTTTACATTCAAGCCCAATATTTGTTTTTCGATTCTATTTATTATTTTAATTCAGTTCCTTAACATAGTCTGTACGTCAGCAATGTTTTTAGTTCAGATAATTCTTATTTCTCCTAAATTCAAGGCTAATAGGCAGTCATTGAAACGTCTTCCCTATTTTTTACGAACCAAATAAAAAATATTACTCTATAAAATGTTACTGTCTACAATCAATATGAAATATCATTTTGCATAGTTTAGTTTTCTAATTTTGTTAATTTATACAACTTAACATACTAAAACGACAAAGTATTTTATGATAGAAGAAATAATATAAAGTTTGGTGGTTTTATATAATTCAGTGAAATTTAGTAATTTAACTTGAAATTAATGAAAGTATCAAACATTAGAGCAAGAGATAATTCAATTATGAGTATCACTACATAATAGTATTCAAACATTAATATGACAATTTAAAATGTAGAGATATATAATTGTTAGTTTAATCAAACCAAATCAAATTCTCCAGCTAATCCAATATACATTTCATCACAATATTATTCCAACATATCAATCTATTAATGTTCCTTCCATGATAATTTACTTATTGGTCTAATTAACTCTTAGATTCAATCTACTACAGCTTTATAAATTGTAAGTCCTCTAGGAGATACTTCTATTTTAGAAACATAATTTACAAATTCAAAATCAAACTCTATCTATAACTTTGTCTATTTATAATCTAATTAAATTTTTATCAATCAATGCAACTTTAAAAACTCTTCATTTGACTTTTAAGATCCTATTTCACAATTTAAGTAAGAAGGAGGGTCTATAAGAGCAAAGTTTAATAATCTAGTAATAAATGGTACATAATTCGTTAACTCTACAGCAAATTAGGGTGCTTTTATGTACCTTGAATCTCTAAGTAATGATCTAAATATATAATTAAATTAAACATCTTTTGTACAAGGCTATTCTAATTTCTAAGGAAGTGTATTATACATCGATAATTCTAACTCAGATTTATTTTTTAAATGCTCTTAATGTAATTTTACTGAAATCTACTCTTTTAATAAAGACTCTGAAGCAATATCTATTAAGTAAAACAATTAATTTTTTATAGAACCACTTTAAAAAATAAAATTTAATAATCGATTATATTAATCTAAATTTATTTGTAAAAGGTACACAGATACTCAAACTTCTAGTAAAAAAAATACAATCCTGATTATATAAGCTTATTTGACAAATATTTTAGGCTTATAAAATAATTTTTTTATTAATTCAGCAAATTCGATAACATAATTTTAGAATATTTAGCAAACTTAAACTTAGAATTTTACTTTTCCGTAACAATTTACAAATTAAATTTAAAACCTGCAATCTTAGGCATTGGTCTAATCTCAAAATTCAAATATTACTATTTCCAAATCTTTATTTAGCAATTTATATAATCTACCCAACTAGATATCTCCTTTGTTTATAAACTCTACATCCTCTAATATAAATATGACAGATATTGTATTTTAATATAGTAAATTTTCTAAGAGCTTAATCAACTTTGGAATAGGTTAGCTTATCATACAAAAATCATAATTCCTAAATAATACTTAGGTATATTAAACCAGGTTTCTATAAAGCTTAAAGCCAAATTTACCTTATTAAAATAACTCTTTGATCTTGATAGAGAACTCATAATTACAAATATCTGATCATACTCTTTTTGAACATATCTAGTGTTATTAGAATTGCTATGGTTCATCAATATACATGGCTAACTCAACATTTTAAATTGACTAGACTAAATTTATTTACTCTAAAGTAAGCAATTAAAAATTTCATTTAAATTAAATTATTTTTATAATATAGGCAATAGGAGGAGGAGCTATTTTTATTGAAAGTTTAAGATCAATCGAAAATCAAATATCTAACTGTTATTTTATGGGGAATTAAGCTAAATAAGATGGAGGAGCATTGTATATTCATGGAAATAAAGAAGATTAATTTCAGTTAAAAATATTTTTAACTGTATTTAACGATAATTTATCATAATAAGGATCTGGAGGAGCGATTTTTATAACTAGTGATTCTAATAATTCAACATAATAATAAATTTTGATAAAAAATTCAATTTTATAAAATAATTAAGCATAAATAGGAGGAGCGATTTAAAATTTTGGCATAAATCCATTTTATGATTCAAACACTATATAAAACAATAAAGCTAGTTTATATGGTTCTAATACATTCTCTTATCCTACTTCTCTATTTTTAACAAATGAAGTATAATTTAACAAGCAATAAAACCAAAGTACTAAATTAATAGTTTTAAATGATTTTAAAAGTGGAGGAAATCTTCCAAATTTTATATTTTAGCTAAGAGATGATAGGAATATAACTGTTATTTAACAAAAAGATTAATTACTAACTTCTAAAATATAAGTGAGTAATAGAACAAAAAATTCAATCTAATATTACATAAGAGGTAATTCAGAAATCAATATTGACCCTACATAGCATAATTTTAATTTTTCTAATCTTCAACTTATTGGATTACCTGAATCATCTGCTGTTATTCAATTTACATCTGATTCAATCAAAATATACAATCCTATTACTAGCCAATATGATTCTAATTACACGTTTGATGTCTTTGTTAATTTTAGAAGTTGCTTAATTGGAGAAATAATAAATAAATACAATAATTTCTAAGAATGCTAAACATGTGAAAATGGTAAGTATAGCCTAGATTATACAAGCTGCTATCCTTGTCCAGATGGAGGAATATGTCAAAACGGTGTAATTTAACTTGTATAAGGATTTTGGAGAGAAGAGTCAAATAGTTCAGATATTATTGAATGTACCAATAGAAAAGAAAATTGTATAGGAAAAACATTTGGAAATTATGTATGCATAACTGGAAATATAGGTCCATTATGTGAAGAATGTGACGTAAATTATTAAATTTTAATACTTTTTAAAAACAAAATTTACTTTAAAAGATTTATGGATAGTTTTGGGGAGAGAGTTTCACAAGAATAAATAAATATCAGTGCACATAATGCAAAGATTCTTAGTAAAATCTATGGAAGCTCTTCTTAAGTGTTTCTTGGATTTTTTTTTCGCTTTAGATGACATTAAAATATGATAGAGACTATTAGATATCGAAAATTCTTATTTAAGTAATTACTAGAAAAAGATAAAATAGCAGCTCTAACCTGTCACATTTATTAAATTAAATCCTAGTTTAAAAAAGCTACATAAAAATTTTTACAAATTACATTTAGATTATTTCTTTTGTAACTTCTTTCAATTTAGCCATTAAATCAGGTAAATTTTTTTTAAAAATTAATTGATAAATTTGTTAATAAATATTTTTTTCATTCTCATAATTTATTTGAATTATTTTTGATTAAGAGTTTTATTTCTTAATTTAGTTTTTTATCATAAATTTATAATGTTAAATTAGATTTGCTAGAAATAACTTCAACTATTGGAGTTCCAATATCAAGTTCAGTGGATTATTTCGATTGTCTTTTAAGATATTCTAGCTCTAAAATACCAATGATTTACCTAAAGTTAATTATTTCATTATAAGCAATAATAATAGTTTTGATAATTTATGCTATTTGGTAAAAAATAATTCAAGTGTTTATCTAAAAATCTAAAAAATATGATATTTATTCAATCTATACAGCATTTATATTTTTATTCATATTCCTTTAGCCAGATTTAGTTTCATAAATGATTGGGTTAATTTCCTGTAGATAAGTAGGAAAAACATCATATGTCCTTATTAATATGAATTACAAATGTAATTCTGAAGATTATAATTTTTATAGCTCTATCCTAGTAATTCCCTTATTGATTATTTGGGTCTTTGCTATTCCAGGAATATTATTCTTTTAAGTTTATTAATATAGAAAAAATTAAGGTTTGGATAGCATTTAAGTAAACTTAAAGTACGGTTACCTATTCAAAGAGTATAAAAAAAATGTTTATTATTGGGAATTCATTAAAATAAATTAAAAAATCTTTATTATTATTATACTCAGTTTCTTTTCATAAAATGCAGTTATAAAAGGTATTCTGAGTTATTTTGTAATTAGCTTTTACGATTATTTAGCAAGGAAATTAAACCCTTATAGTTTGAAATAGCTGAATTAAATAGATAATTATTCTACTAAAGTATGTGCTAATACAATGCTTCTTTGTATTTTTTAAAGCTACACTTAACAAAAATATCTATAAATATGTTGCTTTGTTATAATCTTTACACTAAATGCTTTGTTTATCTTATATATAATACTTAAGGTTTTGTAATAAAAACTTGAATTTATTTAAAAAATTACTTAGAGTTCAAAATTTTTAAATAAAATTTGTTAAATATTAAATTGCTTTAAATCTAGAGATAAACTAGTGAAGCCTGAGTTGAAAATAAAAATATAAAAACTACTTTTAAGTTTATCAAATTTAAACTAAGATTAAAGGCACTAGCTTTTTAGACAATCTCTTAATTATTGTAAGTACTTTCTATTTATTTTAAATATTTTAAAATATATTTTTAATTAATTAGAAAATACGAATTAAACAGGCACATTTCCTATTTATAATAAATATCTGAAAACAAAAAACTCTAAAATAGATGCTTTTTATTAAACATAGTCTATCTATGATAATAAAATAAGAAGTATAAACTCACCTATGAGTCAATCTTGTTTACTAATTGCTGAAGTTTCTAAATCTCCTCAGGACTAGAAATATGCATGTATAATTCAATTTTTGATATCATTAAAATAAATAAATAAATAAATAATTGTATATATATATTTAGTTTTAGATAGCATGAAAGAAAGACCTTAAAAGGAATAAACAAAAAAAGATTCACTTCGTTTGTCAAATTAAATTGAATAAACACCATAAAAATAGATAAATATAAAAATTGAATCATTAGCTCACTCAGACTAAAACTAATTTATTTTATAATTAGATTAATTAGATGAAAATTCTTAAAAATTAAATTAAATTAATTTATTAGAGTAAATTAGTCTCAATTAAGATACAGATTAAGTTAAAAATAGCATCATATAGCCTATCAAAAATACATAATCAATAAAAGGCTTCTAAAAAAATATAAATTTGATTATAAATTAAGGTAAAATAATTTTTTAAATCCTATTCTAATTAAATATTTTCTTAAAATTAGAATTAAATAAAGATGAATTAGAATTAAATAAAGATAAATTAGAATTAATTGATATTTAGAAATAGCTCAAAAAATAATAAAATGAATAGAATCCTTTCAATATTTTTTCAAAAATTGAATAGCTATAAGCAGATAATGATGAGATTATCACTATTTCTTAGCAATTAGAAACTGAAAAATAAGACTGAAAAAAATTAAAATTATTACCTGCTATTTATTATTCTAACAAACTAACAAACAAACTAATAAATTAAATTTTAAATTAGTTTTTTGAAATGTATTGTTTATTTTAAATAATTTTTTAAATTAAATTTAATTAATAATTTGTAATAATATTTTTTATTTTTATTAAATATATTTTTGATAGAAAATGAAAATTCAAAATCTTTGAGATGATTTAAATAGAATATTAAATTTGAAAAGTTAAATTTTTATAATTTGCTTAATTAAAAGCAATATTTATTTCTATTTTTATTCAAAATAATAAACAAAATAAATTTAGTTAATCATAAAATATAAAGAATATTCTAAATTAAATTTATTAAAAATATAAAATGATAAAACCATAAAAATGCTTTTATTCGATTGAAGATGTAATTTGTTCTTTTTTTAAAGGCTTCTTAAATTTATTTTTAAAATAATTAAAGATTTTAAGCTCATCCTTATTATCTCATACAGAGATTGAAGTTGATTTGATGTAAAAATAATTAAAAATATGAATATTTTTGCTTTTTTTTAAATAAACCCTTCTTATTTGTTTAACTTTTATACAAATGTATTGATAAATATTAAAGGGAACAATTTATTGGTGATGAAGGTGTAAAATAGCTAAGCTAAATTTTAGATAAGTGTATTAATCTCTCAACTCTTATTCTTGCTCTAAGGTAGATTTAGAACTTTTTTGCTTATTTATTACATATTTTTTTAATTAATCTTTTGATGCCAAAATTTAAATATTTTTTATGAATTCATTTTTGAGGTCTTTAAAATTTTACACACATAATAAAATATTAAAAGAGAAAATGAAATAAGTAATGAGGGTATTTCTAGTTTATGCTGTGCTTTAGGAAACTTAACAAATATATTAGTGTTGAGAATTGATTTGATGTAAAAATATTTACATTGAAATTATTATATGGAATTTTATAGAATCAATCAATATTTGAATTTGATTCAATTTAGTAATAAAAAACTATTTATTTTACTAAATTTCCTTTTAAATATTTCAAGGAATAATTAGATTAACTGTAATGGTGTATCATAATTAGGTTTAGCCTTATAAAAATGTCATTAACTCTAAGATTTGACATTGTATTTCAGGTAAAACTTAATTTTTATGAAAGCTAATAGATAAAAAAGATAGACTGATTTCAATTGATAAAATGCCTAAGAAAATTAATTATTTTTTGTATTTTAATTTATTTTAGTGCGATTCGTTATATTAATAAAATTTTTAATTGTAAACTATTTTTAAAATCTATTGCTTATTAATTGAATAAATCTCAAAAGATGGAATCATATTGGAGACTTGGGAGCTTCAAATTTAGTTTAAAGCTTAGCAAAGTGTGTAAATCTATAAGCTTTTACACTTGATCTTATGTAAAAATATCTTCTTGATTTAAAAATAATTAATTTTACTTATTAATTCATTTGATAAATTAAAATTATATTATAATTGAGCATTTTTATTCATAAAGAGATTAATTTTATATTGTAAAGAATTTTCAAAAGAAATATAAATTTAAAACTTCTAAAAATGTTTTCTCATAAACAAATAAATAAAAAGTGAGAATTAGATAAGTGGAAATTGTATGTCTTAAATAGGATCTGTTATTGCAAGCTTTTTAAATCTAAAAAATTTGACATTCTTTTTCAGGTAAACAAAATAAACAAAGAAACTTATTTGAAGTTAATATGTCAATAATAACTTTTAATATAAATTAAAAATAAAAGGAAATTTTTTAATTTGTTAGTTTATTATTATTCTTTTAGTTTTTAGAATACTCTATTTTTAATAGAAAAACAATTTGTATCATTTAATTTTTTTAATCTAAATAATTAATATGTTTTAAAAAATTAAAGGTATAATACAATTGCTGCATAAGGTGCTATAAATTTAGGCTCTGCTTTAATAAATTGCATTAATCTCAAAACTTTGAGACTTGATTTCAGGTAAATAAAAATTTCACAGAAATATTTACTTCAACATAAATTTTAACACACAAAATTTTAAAATTAATTTGAAAGGTAGACTGAAATTGGCGACAGTGGAGCTTCAGGTTTATTTAACGCTTTAGCAAACTGTATAAATCTAAGAAATTTGACACTTGACTTAATGTTGAAAATTTTAATTATTTCACAGAGATTAATTTTACTTTTTTAGGTGAGTGGGTGGCATTAACATTTACTTATGATTTAGCATAGGAATAAAAAATAGTTTTTCATAAAATCTGCCCTAATTCCAATAATTCTACTTCTTAAAAAATGCCAATTATCAAATAATTAATATTATAAATTTTAAAAATCAATAATAATAATTATATGTAACTAATAAAATGAATAATTTATAGATAGCACTCACTTAATTCTATTTATAATAATTATTTATAATTTATAATTTTTCAATAGAAAATTATTTAAATTTTTTGAATAAAGAGATACAGAAAATAATTTTTTCTTTTTTTAAAAGGGAGAATTCAATTACATGTGTTGGTGCCTAAGCTATAGGATCTCACTTAAAAAAATTTAATAATCTTGAAAATTTAGATCTTTGGCTGAAGTAAGTTAGCTTATTTAATTTAGTTTTAATTTTAAAAAATTTTTGCATGTCAATGAAATAAAATATTATGAAAATTGATTTTTTTTTTTTAATTGATATCCAATAATTAATAATTTTAGTAACTTAAGTTATTATAAATTTATAGAATTAAGAATGTATTTTTTATAAAAATAAATTCTCTTTAAATTTAAATTGCTTACAAAATTATTCTAATTATTACAAGCTCAAATAAAATTCGGTCAAATGGTGCTTTATATTTATGCTCTGCTTTACAAAATTGCAATAATCTCAAAATTCTATAGCTATTCCTTAGGTAAAAATAAATTATTTAATCATTTTAAATAAAAAATCTCAAAAATGATCTCTAAGAAGCTCAACAAAGAAATAATTTTTTTTGCTGTTAAGTTGTTTGCTTTTTTATAATTTTATAAAAATAAATCAAAAATAATAAAAATATTTGCATTTAAATTAAAAAATAAGCTAAATTTATCAATTTTTTATGTTTATTTAACTTTTATTAAATATATTAAAAGCATAAATTAAATTGAACTCAATTCAAATAATTAATTAAAAAGTAAACTCACTAAGATCAAGAGATTAATTATCAAAAGCTTTATTTTATGATTAATAAACTTTATATTTGCATTTAAAAAAGTAAAAAACTTTAAATAATTTTGTGCTGCTTCTTTATTTGATTTCATTTCAATAATTTATATATTAGAAATTTGTAAAGATTATTTTTAAAAAAATAAATCAGATAAATTAAAAAAATTTAATTTAATCATATCATTCATTTATTCATTCATTCATTCATTCAATTAAATTCTTATAAAATTGAAAATATGTCAAATATATTGTTTGTTTTTGATAATATTTTTTTATTTTCAAAGTGTAATTATGCTATGAATAAAGGGCTATTTATTAATATTGATATTGTTTAAGGGTCTTATGTGATATTGTAATATTTATCAAAATTACTATAAACACGAATCTGCTAACATATTTTTATGCTTTAAAATGCAACAAAAATATAAGATACATAAATTTTTATTTTTCTTTTAAATTTAAAGTAACTAATTGATTGGATACACAAATTTATATATTTTTTTGTAACAAAATCTAAAAGTTGAATTTTTAAATTTAGCCAGTAATCATAATAACTTGCAATTAGATTGAATTGATTGATTTCTTTATTATTTAAAATTATATATACAGCTATAACGAAACAAAATTCTATTAAATTTTTAAAATAATCAATCATAAATCTTAATTATTCCTATATAACTTATAATCAACAAAGAGATTGAACTACTACATAGTTTTCAAACTTACTTATTTTTATCAGTTGTTTCAATGAAAAGGCATAGATCTATAGAGAGTCTATCATCTATATCATCAGAAAGCTCTGAAAGCGAAAGCGAAAGTGGAAGTGATAACGACGATTCAGAGGATTAGAGTAAAAAAAGCAAGAATAGTAATTAAAGTAATGATGGAGATTCAGTTGATAATAGAAAAAAGAGGCATCATAAGAAAAGGAAAGACAGGAAAAATCACTCTTAAAAGTAGGATTAGAGAAAAAAATCTATTAAAAGATAACAAACTCTAAGGATCGATGTAAATAGGTAAAAAACTATTACTCCTCAAGATCCTTCTCTTTAAAGGTAGAGATCTAAAAGTATTGATTCTCCTTAAAAGATAGAAATAAGGCCAAAAAAAAGGTAGATGACTTATTAAAACAATCATTTAAACATAAATAAAGTTTAAAATGATGGAACTGCATTTTAATTTCATCCTCACAGCTAAAATAAGATATTGAATTAATAAAGAAGGCTTCAAAAAGCGAAAACTATTAATATAAATGATAATTATTTAGTTTATAACAGTGGAGGTAATAGCAAACAAGAAACAAATGCAGACATAGACGAGGACTATAACTTATAGACAAATAATTCAAATAATAAAACTGGTAGCTAGACAGTAATAAGATAAAGAAAAAGAAGTAGTGTGGTTTCTAACATTTCAAATGAGTCTAATACTTCCTAATAGTATCTTTTTGATAAAAAATAATAGCAACTTGGCCTAATAGTAAATTCAAATAATACACATTAAATACCTAGCTAAGCGCTAAAGGGTTAAATTCCAAATATAAATATACTTTCAGCAGAAAATGAAGAAGTTGATTAGCTTAAATTGGAAAAATAAGATTTAAAAAACTAATTAGTAGAAGAAAAGAAAAGAAAAAGTAAGTTAGAATTAATAAACAATAGCTTAGCTAAGGAATATGATTAGCAAAATCAGCTACTTAATACAATTAATAATAAACTTGACTTGAAGGCAAATAGCAACTAGATTATTTCATCAGAGAGAAATTATATCAGGAGAGCAAATGATATATCTGCCTTTGCCAGATAAACTAAAAGTAAAAAAAACAGCTTTTTGTACAAGATAGTTAACATATTAAATGTTTTAAACCCTTTCAAGTCATACTATAAGAAAATAAATTAGAAAATTGGAGATTCTGCTATAATTTATTTTGAATTTGTAACATATTTGATATTCCTTCATCTTGTTATAGCTATTTCTTATATGTATTTTTATTTTGACTACCTAATCAACTCTTCATAGAAATTTGATTCAAACTATTAGTCTTTTGTCAGCTATTTGATGAGTCATAACTATACAAACAATACTCATGTTTCTTACACCATAACGTAAATTCTTTCTATACTAAAAATTCTTTCTGTTACAACTCATTCACAATAATTAAATAAATCAGAACATAGATTTTTTTACTAGCCAATTTTTTGAAAAAGAGAACTAATAAATCGTAAGATAATTTTTAAATCTCTCGATTAATTAATTAATTGGGTTGTCTATATTAAGTTATCAAATCAAGAAATCTATAAAATGATCAAATTGTCAATCATAATTATTGCTTAATTTAAAAATAAGATAATTATCAAATCCCCAATTTTACTTTCGAAGATTACTTAATCATTTTTATTAGAAAATTCATAATTATCAATAGAGTTAACTAAATATCAAATAAATTTATAATAATTGTTTACAAAAAATTTAATTTTTATTAAAATTACTATGCTATCCTTTATAAATTTTTTAATTTTAATTTAAAAATATTCACAAAAATTAGATTTTTATTAGCATTGTTATAATATCTATCATTTATAAATTTATTAATTTTAATTAAAAATATTCACAAATATTAAATTTTTATTGACATTCTTATGCATTCTGTCATTAACAAATTTTTTAATTTTAATTTAAAAATATTCACAAAAATTAGATTTTTATTGACATTTTTATAAAATCTATCATTTATAAATTTATTAACTTTAATTAAAAATATTAACAAATATTAGATTTTTATTGACTATTTTAAGCTATTATTTTTAAATTTTCTAATTTAACTTAAAAATATTCACCAAAATTAGATTTTTGTTTAAATTATTATGCATTCTATCATTTATAAATTTTCTAATTTTAATTTAAAAATATTCACAAAAATTATATTTTTATTGGCATTGTTATGCATGCTATCATTTATAAATTTTCTAATTTTAATTTGAAAATTTTCAAGCAAAAAATTTTAAAACAAAGAATTTGATTTTTTTAAATAAATAAATTAATTTTACCAATTTATTTTTAAAAATACTTTTTAGATTTATTTTAATGGTGATATTATAAATTTTAATGAATTTGATCAAGTATCTGCTTTAGGCAAGGGAAGAAGTTGCTTATAAAGCATAATACAGCATAAAGCTGAAAGCTTTTAGATTAGTATTTAACAGTTGGGATATGAATATTTAGTAGCTAGATTATGTTGAGCGTATGAAAGTATCTTTGATAAGCAGAATTAGAAATTTGATGCATTTCCGTTAAGGAAAAAAAATTGAAGGAATAGAAAATGAACTTAGCCAAAAGAAAAAAGACCTCAAAGCGATAAATGGATTTTAGAAACTACTTATGATAGTTACTATCTTCTTATTAAATGTGGCATTTGTAATTTGCAGCTTAATTATAACAAGCTTAATTGTTAATTCATAGACTATGCAGACGACTAATATAATATTTGTTAACTAAATACTCATATCTCTAGGAGTTTCAATTACTGCTTACACTTCTGGATATTTCTTGAAGATACTTACAGTGTGTGAATCATGGTTTCATACCTCATTTAAGAACATCCATATTGTATAATACTTCAAGATGCTATTTGCACATTTATTAGTTCTTGCTCTTTACATATATTTAAATATTTCACAAATCAAATACTAAAATGAGACATTCTAATTTTTAATGTTTTAAACTGTTCCATTTTATTCACAAACCTTCAGCTGTCCAGAAGAATAGTTTTGCTATAGCTTATTGAGTTTGATATTTGCTTACACCCTAACTTGCTTATTCATATAATATTTGCCTACAATAAAAAGTATTCTATTTAATTTTATTTGTACTCCTACAAGAACTTTATCATAGACCGAGCGCTCTTTCTATAATCTTTCTACATTCAATCCTCTTGATAATTTAATTCCTTTGATTATTCTAAATATCCTAGCAGTGTGTATTGCACCGTTGTTTCCGTTCATTTTTATAGTAACTGTTATATTAATAATGCTAGTATTTTTCCATAACTATTTATATGTTGGAAGGTATAAAATGGCAAGCTTTGAAATAATCGATAAGCATTAATGTAGAAACTTAATAATTCAATTTTATACTCTTTGTAATGTTTTGGCCTTCATATTCTTTGGATTTTTGCTATCTCTAGATTACTAAAAAACTTTTTTTAATGCTAGCTAAGTCGATATGCAAAGAACTTGTGGTTCATTTTAAACAGGAGAAACTCCTATCTCAGTATTTTAATCATACTTAAACTAAAGCAGTTTTATTGCGGACTTTTATGAGTTCATAAACTTTAGACCTTTTCTTTGGGCATTTTTACTATTATTTTTGTTTGCCTTTCTAATTAAAAATTCAACTCAACAAGAATGGAAGAATTAGTATAAATAAAAGTAAAAAGAGTTAGATATAATTAAAAATCACTACTAACAATAATTGAATAATATTTAAGAGAAAATCACCTCAGTTAGATAAAACTTTAACATAAACAATAGCCCTAAAAATTTTTATACACCTCCAAATAGTAAACATACTCTACAAAGAGATAGCTATCAAAATTCAACAGGTAAAAATTCTCCTATCAATACGAATACTCCACCTTAAATCTAAAACTAAAATGGATCTTCCACACCTATTTAAGGTGGGTCAGGCTAGTTAAATAGTTAAACTTCCTTAAACAACATGCAAAAAGATATAAATAATATATCTCGTCCTTCTCTATTTCAAAGAACCCTTAAATAATCTGCATCATATGTAGGAATAGGAAACTTAGTTAATCCCTTAGACTCTTTTTCAGCAGCTGTAAATAGATTTTCATGAATATAAACACTAACTACTAAAATAAATATATAAATATTAAAATAATCATATAAATAATAACTTATTTAAAAAGCTTCTGTGTAAATTTATAAATTAAATTAATGTATTTTAGCTATATTTGCAAATTGTATTTTGACTTAATATTATATCTAATTTTTTATTTAAAAGTTATAAATAGTAGAAAGGGTATTTATTATACAATACAATCCTAACTAAATCAAATTAAATTTTAACAATATTTATAGGATATATGTTTTTTATATATTAACACAATTCTATGTTAACTCTAATTTATTAAAATTTAAAATTTGAAATTAATTAACACCTAAAAAATACCAGTAAATTTTTTTGAATGTGGGTGTTAATAATAGAATAAAAGTAGTTAAAATTGATAAATTAATAAAAATAATAAATAGCAAAAAAAAAAGTTAATAGTAAGAAAATTTATCTTACTTATTTAATATTTTCTCCATAGGTTTATAATAAATATTTAAAATGGGTAATGTAGAAAATTAAAATTGCAAAGGAGGTAGGCAAAATATCATAGAAGATAATAAAGATAATTCAGGTATTGAAATTCCGCTGACTGGATACATAATGTCAGCAGAATTTCAATAAGGTTTTATTTAAAATTTGAAAGCTAAGTAGCCTTCTTGCTTTTATTGTTTTAATTTGTCAGAATTTATCTGACAGATCTACCTGTGATTTTATTAAAAAGTAAGGCCATTTAATTTTTTATGAAAAATTAATTTTTTTGCTATTTTAAAAAGTCTGGGCTTGCTAAAAATAATGGGATTTAATTATAAAATATGAGAAACTAAGGTATTTAATATTTTTTAGAAGAATATAGAAAATAAAAAGAGTGAAGAGTAAGTAAATTATTTTATGTATGTATGATATATTATTAATTATTTATGAAAAATAATTAATTTTTTATAGTTTTTATTTAAATTATTTATAAAGTTATAAAAATACTTATTATTTATTTAATCATTTTATAAAAATTTAGTTTATCATAATTTTCACATCAGCAAACAACGTCGTAATCATATTAAGTACTAGAATATGTAGAATCATTAGATTATTCCAATGAAGTAACTGTATTTTCTTCTAGACAATATTAAAGCTAATAGGAGTATCCATAAGAATTTAAGAAGGTAAGTGTAAATCTTACAGGAACTGAACATTTGTTTTAAAGGTAAAATAAAGTACTGGTACTTCCAGTTTTTTTGGATACAGTTGAACAACTCTAATCAGCAAAAATATCTCTTTATTTTTAAAGACTTTAACCTTCGTTATAAGCAACAAAATAGCTTGCTACAGAAATCAAAGTAGCAGCAGCGATCAAAATTATAAAAATATCCTTTCTCATTAATTTATTTCAGATTTGCTTTTTTTTAATTAAATTAAATATTATATGAATTACGCATATTTTGAATATTATATTAGATGATGGATAAAACAATAGATCAGACAATATTTTTCTGATAGAAACATATTAAATTCTTTTATTGTTCATATTTTTAATCTTTTGATATAAAATATGAATTAAATAAAGAATTATAAAAACTAGTTATGAAAGGCAATTAATTCTAACAAGCAGATAAATGCCTTTGAGATGTATTTAAATAGAGTAATTTTATTAATATATTATAAATATAAAAGTATATCTACAATAAATACTGCTTTTGGTATACTTATTTATTTACAAAGTAGCATACTATTTACAAATGAGAAAAAGAAAGAATATGTATTTAATTATAAGCAAAACTTAAGTGGGAAATGTTTTCTGAGAAATAATTGGCTTTTTGTTAAATATTTTTGAAATGAAAAAGTTCCCATTATATTAATTATTCAACTATCCTTAACTATAAATTAGTGTGCAATTTACTCAATCAAAATTTTATAAGATTAAAAACAAATTAATTTCTTGTTGGACAGTAAATTTTTTATGATATATTTCTTATCAAGCATGATAATAAATTGTATTTATCAAATTTTGAATTATTTGTTTAAAAAAAAGCTAAAATATAAATGCTTTCTTATTCAAAATAGTTCTTATAAAAGCACAACACAATATTTATCAAAAATTCTGTCCCTTTTGTTTTTAATCATAAAATGGAATCATGATTTTTTCATAATTTTAAAAAAACTAGTCTACCAACATTAATTTCAAAATAAATTTTTCTAAAATTTTCATTCAATTTAAAATTAATACAATACTTTTTTATTTTTCCTCATATTATTTAAAGATCAAAATGTTTATCAAAAATTTCAGGAAACTATTGAAAATAAATTAATGAAGATTTAAAGAGCTTTTTTGAAAAGGAAATAAAATTAAACAAATAATTTATGCAATAAACCCTCATTATTTAAAACATTCTCCTCCCCCTTTCCATATTAAAAGTTATTTGAGAGTATTAAGCTATTACAAGATACTAAGAAAGCTGGTTTAACTTTAAAAATAAAAATTGAGAATTTAGAATAAAACACAAATTTATATTAAAATTTTTTTAAATGAAAAAGAATTATATAATCAAAAATTTATATAACAAACGAGCAGCATGAATTTTCTCAAACCCTCAAATTTTTTAATAATTCAAAATAGAAAAATAAAATTATTTTTCAAAATGTAGCACTAATTAATTTAAATTAGCCTTAATCATTTAAAATTATAATATATTAATAGTAATTAATACTTAAAACAAAAATAAATATATGAATTTTTATTATTATTTAAAGCCCAATAATCAAAATATAAATTTGAATTTTTTTTACTCTTTATAAAACAATAATAAAGTGTATTTTGAGAACAACTATAGCTCGAAAATTATGTATGCTATAAAGATTATTTGGGTAATTGATCTATAAAAAAATTTAAAATAGTAAAATATTAGGAAAAAATGCAACATTAATATATAGATATGAAAGTGTGTGTACAAGTTTATAATTTTATTTGGCTTTATAGCAAATTAATTTTTATAGGTAATTTAATATTTAGTAGTTATTAATTTCAATCAACTTCATCAACATTAGAAGCATTGTTGGTAGCAGTGTTGGATGAAGTTTTTCCGAAATCACCTGGAGCAGCACCAGTTTATTGATAAACTCTCATCATGATGGGGTTGAACACATCTTCTATTTCCTTTTGCTTGTTCTTGTAAGCATCGGCATTTTCGTTAGGATGAGATTCTAACCACTTTTGGGTAGAGTCTATTAAGTTTTGGAGTCTAGTTTTTTCATCTGAAGAAAATTTATCTTTTAATTTTTCATCATTCATTGAATTACGGATGGAGTAGGTATAATTTTCAAGGCCATTTTTGGCTTCAATTTTTTGTTTTACTTTTTCATCCTCAGCCTTGTATTATTCAGCTTCTCTGACAAGTCTATCTATTTCTGATTAGCTGAATCTTCCCTTTTGATTAGTAATTGTAATTTTGTTACTCTTATTAGAAGCCTTATCTACTGCAGTTACATTCAAGATACCATTTTCATCAATATCAAATGATACTTCAATTTAAGGAACTCCTCTAGGAGCTGGGGCTATTCCTTCTAAACCGAATTTACCGAGTAAATGGTTATCTTTAGTAAGCTATCTCTCACCCTCAAATACTTAAATAAGTACACTGGTCTGATTGTCTGCATAAGTAGTGAAAATTTATGATTTTTTGGTAGGAATAGTTGTATTTCTAGGGATGAGAACAGTCATAACTTATCCAGAAGTTTCAATACCTAATGAAAGAGGAGTGACATCAACCAAGATTACATCTTGAATATTTTCTGAGCCTGATCCAGTCAAAATGGCAGCTTGTACTGCTGCACCATAAGCGACGGCTTCATCAGGGTTGATGGAACGATTAGGCTCCTTTCCATTAAAATACTCACTTACTAATTAAATGACTTTAGGAATACGGCTAGATCCTCCTACCAAAACAACTTCATGGACTTGGCTCTTAGAGAGACCTGAATCCTTTAATACTTTCTCAACTGGAGGAATGCATTGCTAGAAGAGAGACAAGCAAAGCTCTTCAAATTTAGGACGAGACATAACGAGATTAAAGTCTTCTGATTCAGCAAGTGCATCAACTTCTATGGTAGCCTAAGCAGAAGAAGAAAGAATTCTCTTGGCTCTTTCGCATTAAGTTCTAAGTCTTCTCATGGCTCTAGGATTATTTTTAATATCAATGCCTTTCTTTTTCTAAAATTCAGCTGCACAAAATTCGACCATTTTGTTATCAAAGTCTTCTCCTCCCAAGTGAGTATCACCAGCAGTAGCTTTGACTTCGAAGAAACCATCATCGATAGTTAAGAGAGAAACATCAAAAGTACCACCACCTAAATCAAAAATCAAGATATTTTTTTCACCTTAGCCCTTCTTATCCAAGCCATAAGCAATAGCTGCTGCAGTAGGTTCATTGATAATTCTTAAAACATTTAAGCCAGCAATGGCACCTGCATCTTTGGTAGCTTATCTTTGTGAATCATTGAAGTATGCAGGAACTGTAATAACTGCATTTTTTACAGTTTTTGAAAGGAAGGCTTCAGCTATTTCTTTCATTTTAGTCAAGACCATTGAAGAAATTTCTTCTGCATGGAATTTCTTGGTTTCGCCCTTGAATTTGACAACAATCAATGGCTTGTCATCTGGACCTGATTCTACTTTGAAAGGCCATAATTTGATATCTTTTTGAACAATTGGGTCACTGAATTTTCTACCAATAAGTCTCTTTGCATCAAAAATAGTGTTAGTAGGATTTCTGGCTGTCTAGTTCTTAGCAGCATCACCAATTAATCTTTCTGTGTCAGTGAAAGCAACGTAAGAAGGAGTAGTTCTATTACCTTGATCATTTGCTATAATTTCAACTCGATCATTTTAGAAGACACCTACACAAGAGTAAGTAGTACCAAGATCGATACCAATACCAATTCCTTCAGCTTTTTATTTTCCAGACATTTTTGTAAACTTTTTTAATTATTTGTTTGAGTCGCTTTTTGAAGATTTTTGTTGAGAGTGTTTTTTTTGTTTTTTTGAATTAATTGATTATTTATTTTTGATCAAATTTCTTTTTAGCTGTTTAAAGCGAAAAAAATTTCTGATAGAATTGTTGGAAATTTTATTTTTTTTAATTTGAAGTGTATTTTTTAATAACAAAAGAATTTTAGAAATCAGTAAATTGTTTCTAAATTATTAAATATCCTTTATGAATAAATTGATTATTAATAGCAAATAAGAAAAAGGAAAGATTAAAAAATCTTATTATTAATTTTAGAAAGATTAAAAAAAATTGATTATAAACTAAAACTTACAAATAATTAATTATCTATCACAAACCAAACAACCAAATTTTTTTAAAAATATTTTAAAATTAAAAAATTAGCTATAACACTCACTTAATTATCAGCAGAAATATAAAAATAAATATTTTGCTAAAATGTATTTATTTATTGATAAATTTATATTATTCAAATATAACAATTATTACTATTTAGATAGATTAAAAACTTCTATTAAAATTAATTTGATTTAGAAGTTTTCTCTTTTTCTTTAAAGTAAATAATTAATAAATTAATATAGAAATTAAGATATTTTGTTTAAAAGTTCCTTTTTTAATTATATAATGAATATTTTTTAGTTTTATTAATTCATGTTTTGTAAACAAATATTGCTTGCAAATTACATAGCTAAAATATCTGACAATATAAATTTAAGGAATTGTTTAATTTTAGTTATTTTCAATTTATAATATTTTTAAGATTTGCTTGCACTTAATTTAATTTGCTTTATTTTGTTCAGATTGTTTAAAATTAGTTTTTTAAATCTAAATAAATGAAAAAAAATATTTTCAATGATAACATAAAACACATTCAAATATTATTTAGAATAATTCAGTCAAATAAATTAATTTTAATTCTTAAAATGTAAAATTTATTTAAAGGAAATTATGTAAGACAGATTAATTAAATATTAAGTTTTAAAATAGATGCTTTCTTTGTAAATTTCCATATAAATTAAACTTAAAAAAATATAAACCAAAACAAGCAAGAACAATTTTTATGAAAAGGCATTAATATCTATTTATATTTAACCCTAAATATTAATAAGAAAATACATTCAAGAGCATAATTAAATTATAAATAAATAATCTATCTAAAATGAAAATTACTTTAAGAGAAATAACTGAAAAAATTATTAAATAAAATAATTATTTAATATAAAATAAAAATATTTATTATTTATTTGGAATAAAAAATTTAATTTAGAATATTATGTTTATATAATTAATGTTTCTATTTTTAAATTAAAGAGTTTTAATAAACATAAATTAATTTTAAATTTTGCCATTTGAATCAGAATAAATAATTAGCAAACACTAAGAAGGATTTTATTAGAATTATACTAATAAGAAATCTACTAAAAACAACAAAAACAAAATTATCTATAAAACATTAATAAGAAAATACACTCAAGAGCATAATTAAATTATAAATAAATAATCTATCTAAAATGAAAATTACTTTAAGAGAAATAACTGAAAAAATTATTAAATAAAATAATTATTTAATATAAAATAAAAATATTTTTTATTCATTTGTAATAAAAAATTAACTTTAGAATATTATGTTTATTTAATTAATGTTTCTATTTTTAAATTAAAGAGTTTTAATAAACATAAATTAATTTTAAAATTTGTAATTTGAATCAGAATAAATAATTAGCAAACACTAAGAAGGATTTTATTAGAATTATAATAATAAGAAATCTACTAAAAACAAATAACAAAAACAAAATTAATACAAAATTGCATAATTAAAAAAATTTATAAAGGAATTAAGATAATTAAGTTAGAAAAATGACAAATTTGAGTTAAAATTGTTTGTACTAATCATAAGAGGTCAAGCAATTTTTTTATTAGAATGAAATCTTGCTGATATGCATTTATTCTCTATAAATGATTAATTGTGTTAATGATTATTAATTTAGATCATAATTTTAATAATTAGCTTTAGAAATTTTAGAGAAGATAAATAATTTACAACTCTGCGAGTCAGTCAATTAGTTATTTAGTTAGTTATTAAGTCAATTATTATATTTGTTTACTTTAAATAAATATTATATAAAAGCATTTGTTTCTTCAATATATGTGTAAGTGAATACTTTAAATTTAATTTTATTCTTTTTTTGTATTCACAAACTACATTATAATTTTAAATTGTTTTTAGACTAAAATAGATTTTTTTGTTAATTTATCAAAAGTAATTTTTCAATTCTTGCTCAAATCGTCTTCAATTTATTTAATATTTTTAGCTAGTTACTCAGGGAGAACTTGAAGTTAGGGTATTAAATTTCCTAATTCCTTCCACAAAGGCATCAAAAGAGAGCTCGAGAAGAAAATCTACCCTTTTCTGAAAGCTTACTTTCCAGTATATTGCAAAAATGTTGTAACAGGAACTCCTTTTTATTCTTCTTTAATAGTCTATTTTAATATTTAAGAAATAAAATTGATTCATTTTTTTGAATATATTTGGTCGTTTTCTAATAAAGTGAATAAATATTTTGTTTTTACTTAGTCATGGAATTCCTAACTTAATAAGTAGCACCAGTTCATATAATTATCAAATGAGTAACAGGGATTACCTATATCGCAAGCATGTATCATTATATTAGTTAAAAACTATTTATTATTATTTATTTGCTATTAATTATTTTAAATGTATTTTTTTAATTTTACTTCTCTATCCTATTCCGAATCCTTGTTGAAAGCTAAGTATTTATCTAAAGGATCAGCATTTTCTGGGTTTTATTTTACATTCAAATATGCTTTTGTTTTTGTCTTTAAGTCAGTTATAAATTAACCATGTCTTCCCTATTTTATATTAATAATTAAATAAAAATTATATTCTAGAAGCTACTTGTTAATATCAAATTAAAATTTTCTATTTCTTTTTTAATTTAATTTTCCTAAATGCTATTTTAAAAAATTTAATTTAATATTAATTTTAGTTTGTTTTTTTCTAAGTTCTTTCTTAATTTTAAATATCGCTATCACTGAAAAATTAATTATTAATTTATATAGAAATTATATCAAATTAATTAGAATTAATAAGAAGCAAAATAGAGTGGCTATTAGATTTTTTTAATTCTTAAAATGAGTATTGCAAATTTAAATAAATTTTACCATATCTGTAGCAAGAATATTGGAAACTAAGAGCTTTTTAAATTTATTAAGCTTAGCCTATATTTTTTAATTTAAATTTAACATCCATTAATTGCTTAAATTGTCTAAAAACTTACTGCATCTTAAAATTTGGATGCTATGTCAAACTATGGGTTACGAGAAATGATGTGGAAAAAAGTGGAGACATGCATATTTTCTAAAACAGCTTGCTCCATATATCTTAAACTGTTTTCTGCCTTTCTCTTGACTTTATATAAATTATTTACACCCTCTATTTATTTATTGATTTAATTTTAATTAGAATTTTTATTTCAAACTGAAAAATAAATTGAAAGTTTTAATTACTGTGATTCATATCATGAGCAAGTCCTGAGAGTAATCCAACAAAAAATTCAAAGGAATCAATCAAGTCTTTAAAATCAGAGGTGAAATAAACTGTGAAAAACATCTATATATTTTTAGATTACATTAATGATATATGAAATTCATGCAAAATTGCTTAAATTGATTGGTTTACCTAACTAAGCTGGAAGGCATGGGTCCAATTGTGATAAGGAATGACATTATAATTCATGCACATTTCTTCTAATAAATCTTTGAGGAAACTATCATCTATATTGTACTTGGTATGGATATTTGCATATTCAAACATTTAGAAGGCAATATCTACTAACTCCTTATTTGTGTAAAGATGCATGTTGAAATTGAAATCAAGAACCTTGCTGATATCTAATAAGAATTAAAATTAAATATTTTATCTTTTAGAATTTAAAATTTGTATCAATATTATTTTGAATGATGGTAATATTTTTTTAAATGACGTTATCCTATATCTAAACATAAGCTATTATATATAAGTGAATCAGATATGATTTAGCTTTAAATTATAACCTAAATACGTAAATAAATAAGTGAATAAATAAAAAAACAAATACCAAATTTATTCATTCTGTCATTCATATTCAACTTGATATCATGAATCAGTGGGAGGAGAGTTTAACCAGTAGATTCGTACTTCTTTCTAAATGCATCTATGTCTCTTTCTGGGTACTTTAATTAGTTTTCTTACCTCCTCTTGAAGGATTTTAATGTTTTTACAAACTAAGAATAGATGCTTGGAGCTAATTCCTCTTTGATTGCACCTGACTTTTATAATTTTTAAAAGGAATTTTTAAAAATATTATCTTCAAATATTCGGCTTTTATTTATCTAATTTTATTAAACTAGCTCCATTTCAATTAAAAAAAAACAGCTTATTATGAAGAAACTAGAACTTTTTTAAAATGAATGCTTCGAATTGCGCCAAATCTGCCAAAAACTCTTAAGCTAAAAATAATCTTACCTTTATTTAGAGGGCAATTGTTTCATATATTTTCTCAAAGTTGTTGAATTCTTCTTTCTTGTTTTGAGGAAGACGCGAATATAAGAAACTCCTAATAAACACTATCTATAATTATTTTAATGATTGTAATTTAGCAACAAAAACAAACAAATAAACTATGTTAATGTTAAATTGATAGCAAGAAAGTTTAATTTTTTCTTGCAGAGGCATCATGCATGCCTTAGAAGGACTAATTTTAAGATATTAAATTACTTCGTTTTCTAGTTGCTTCAGGAATGAATTATGTTAATGTTGAGCCATGGTAGCAGATACTCAGTCAGACAGAGAAACAGACAGACACAGGTGTTGTTTATTAATTTATTTATAATAATTGATTTTTATTTATTGATTATTTGATAACTTGGCAATTAATTGATTTTACAACTCTATTTATTTATCTAACTTTTATTTCAGAATAACTTTTTTGTTTTTTTATTAATAACCTATGATTTAATAAACAAATAAATACAAATTCTTTTTTAATACAAACTTTTAAAAAATCAATCATCAAATATTTAGTCAGCATTTTTCATTAATTCAATTTTAAATGCCAAAAAATCTAAATTCTTTCATTTTTAAATAAAGCTAGTTTCATCTCTTCTTACTACATAAATCATTCACTTTATAGATAGATAAATATGTATTTATTTATTATTTGTTTATCAAATGAGCCAATATTCAAAATTAATTAATTAATTTATTTACTATTTTATCAATCTTCAATAAAATTTATTTCTTTCATTCGTTTTGTACTTTTATTAGCAATCAATTATTTGATTTCAAAATTTTAACCATCATTTTTCATTCTTTTTCACATAATATTTAATTTTATTAGTATTTTTACTCCAACCAAAATTTTATTTTCTATTTACTACTATTCTAATTGAAATCTTTTGATTTATCTACTCTTCCTGTTTATAATCAAATTAACCACTCAAAGCTGGCTAAAAGATTTCTTTATAAACTCAATTTACATAAATTAAGATATTTTTCATCATCTTTATTGATAGATTTGGCCTGATATTCTTCATCAGTAAAAATAGCCAAATTTAGCTTAAATAAAAAAATATTAAAATACCATAAATAAAATTATTTTCAAACTTAATCCACCGTCATAACTTTAAAATCTGAATTTCGATCCAAGGACCAAAGCGTTTTACACTTTGGAATATTTTTAAATAAATGTATCTTATATTGTTAAGCAGACTATCAATAAAAATCTAATTTTAATGGACTTATTTTTAATTACTTAAAAGTGTCACTAATCAACCCTCAAATATTTTTAGTGATTGATATTATCAAACTAATTGCAATCCATTCAAAAATTCTATTTTAAAAATTAATTTATTCATATTTTTTAATTAAATCGGGATAAATTTAATTTATATCAAACAATCTTTTAATCATAAAATGAATATTTGTATTAATTAATGAGATAGTCATCATAAGCAATCACAGCTTTGATTAATTTGATGTACTTTTTAACTCTAATCTTTTGGTTGAGCTAGCTATTTTATATAATTGAAATTCAATTTTCTTTCTTACATTTTCTTAACAATTATGCAAAAAATAGATAAAATAAAAACATTAAAATTTTTAATTTAAACTCATTTCAAAGTTTTTTAAACTCATGTTTAAAAACAGAGACAAACAAATAGTCAAATTTTATTTTCTTCGTTTTACACTTGAATTTTTTCCTTCAAATTTTGTTCATACATTTACAATTATTTCATAAATCCTATTGATAAAGTTATTGTTTGTTATAAAAAATCCAAAAATAAATAAATAATCTTACCTGAATTCGGCTAAGCTATTTCTCTTGTTTATCTGACAAGATTCAAAGCCTCATCTAGAGCTAATTTTTTATACTTCATCAAGTAGCTGTTAAAATAAAATTAATAAAATGTTTATGTCAATTAAAAAAAATAAAATTAAAATGTGCTAAAAATTATTTTATTTATTGATTCACTCAACAAAGTAAATAAAATAATAATAATATTTCCTAAAGAAGTTTTCCAGAAAATATAATTATAAATAAATAAATTAATTAATTACGCTAAAACTAACGTTGTTGATCTTGACTTACCAGCAAAGCTTTTAAAATATAAAAAATAAATATTTGAAAAGGCTTTTAATTTATTTACCAATGAACCAAAATATTTTATTATGACTCTACTGCTTAGTTTATAAACTCGCTTGATTCATCGAAATATTTCTAAATATCAACATCCGGACTATCAAGTATAGGCAATTGTTTATAAGTACAAATGTCCTAAAACATTGGTTTTGATTTATCCATCGCACTTAAAATAAACTTAATATTTAACTTTTCAATAACATCTTTCTTAAGTGCAGCGCCAATACTACCTAAATATAAATAATCTATAATTTTAGCAGGCATATGATCAGTATTCATTTTTTTAAGAGCTACAATTGCTAATATACATTAGTGAAGCCTTTCGATCTTCTTTTTCTACTATTCTTAGGTTAACTCCTAAAATATATTATTTTAAACTAATATGAATTAAAATATATCCTTTGTAAACAAGGTACGTCTTTAATCTGTTTTGGATTCTGCTCTGAATCTTAATTATTTTCTTTTTATTCTTCTTGCGATTTTATTTCTTCCTATAATTATTCAATGTTTATGAGCTTAATCTTTAAAAATCATCTAAGTTGGTTTGTTATTTTACATGTGGTTATAATTAAATTTAATCTATCTCTTTTTATAAAGCTTAGTCGTCTATATTTTCTTATACTTATTGTTCCATTTTGTGTAATTTGCTATTTCTATTTCTGATGAATAAAAATGAATATCAATTTAATATTTCACAAATTATTTAAAAATTTTAATAATAATAAACATAAGATTTCATAAGAAAAATGTGAACAATTTATCTTAATAATCTCTTAAATTGATTGAGTTATTAGTATATACAATTTCATTATCTAAAAAAAAACTGTCAAAGTAAACTTAATAATATTTTTATAAAATATATATTTTGAATGAATTTATATTATACTCCTATGTCAATATAATGTAAAAAAGCATATTTAAATTATATATTTATGTAGTATTAATATCTATTTATTAAAGATATGTATTTAGAATATTTAAATCAGTCAATATTTTGCAAAATAACAATACAAATTTAATTTTTAATCTGATATTAGAATAATAATTTCTTAATTTATTTTTTTCATGAGTTTATAAAAATACATACAATAATTAGTAAATATAATTCAAAAAGAATTTTGATAATTATTTTTAATTTCTAAATTATTATTTTGGTTTTTATAGAAGTTTCATTTTACAAACTTATTTATTTATTTATTTATTTATTTATTTATTTATTTATTTATTTTTTGGAGAAGATTGATTGCATTAATAAATATTAAATTATTTAATATATTTAAAATATTTTTTTTTTAATTTAACATGAAATAAATGAAGAAATATATAAAAATGAATTAATTTAATTGATAGGAATACATTAAAATAATAAGATTTAAATAGTAGTAGTAAATAAATTTTCAAATAGAATTTTTCTCTCTAAAATTCATTTTTTGTAAGAAGCTAGTACTTTATTATTTTTTGTTTACTTCTCTCCTTTGTATATGAGCTTAAATCCACCTGTATCAACATTCTTTTTAGTTCCTTTTTTAGCCATAGAGTAATCTACTATTACTTTTGTAGTATCTTGCAAGACTCTCTGAACTAGTTCCTCAGTGATTGATGTACTATATTCCATTGAAGGTGAACTATTAATTTCAATGAGCCATGGCTGGTAGTTACTATCTATCATAAAATCATACCCTATGAACTCCATGGAGTTTTTTCTTGCTCCAACTTAATCTTAACAGCTCTTTAACGATTAAATGACCATTTATTTAAGCTTAGGTTAAATTTCTTCATAAAATACATCTCTACCTTCAGTTTCCTTTTTTTAATTTATAAAAGCTTTAAATAAAGCGATTTGATAGTTTAGTAATATACTTTAAGATATTAAGCAAATTATTCCTAGCTCATCATTAGATCATCTTTATCTGCATATGCATCTTTATTATATTTTTGAACTATATTGTTTGTCAAATGAACAAATCTATTTTTTATTTTTTTAAAAAAGGTTGCAACATTTTTTAGTTAAATAAATTAAATTTTTAAACCTATTATTCAAATCATCTATATTGTGCTCAACAGAGCATAATCTAATATAGCATTCCTCAAAGAACCAAATTCTAGGAGGACAGAAATCTTGTACAATAGCCCATTACCTCATATCGAATTTCTATAAGTTAATTTAAAAAGTGATTAGAACGAAAATATTCTAATTACTATGATCAAATAAATTTACTTTATTATTTATCAGTAGAGGATTTTCTATGTATTTCTGAACAACAAATTGAGTTTCTTTACCAACTACGTAATCCATAATTTTATCAAGGCTGTTAAAGCATTTTATCCCTCTTCCTCTAGATAAGACTATTTAAATATTAATTTTGTTTATTTATTTTAATCATTTAATAATTTACAATTAGGTTTAACTATCCAAATATTTCTATAACCGTTTAAATGATGTTAGGGATCCTTTTCACTAGATTTTTTTAGTGTTTGATTACATAAGTCAAGGAGTTCTTATGACTTAGAGCTAAATCTCTGTAAGGAGTCTTACTTCAAGCTGGTACTGCTTTAAGCACTTTCTTCTTCTATAGGATCGTTATGATTATGATTAACAGATATTCTATGAGAATTTTTTCTTTTATTCATATGCTACTTTTATGATTAACTATTAGAATAATATAAATGTTTAAATGTTGGATGAGATCTCAGCCTTTCTAAGTAAAACTCTATTTTCTTATTATCTAATTAGAATTCATCTTTTGAAATTATTTCCCATTCTTCTGGACTTACACAAGGTAGAACGTCGTAGTTCTAAAAAAAAAAAACAATAAAAACTTCGTACTAAAATTAAAATAATTTACGAAAATGAAATCAACAGTCTCATAAAAATCTATGAATTTTCTAGATGCAACCTCGTTGCATAAACGAATTTTCAACTCTAACTTATCATCAATGCTTTCGATTCCATTTTTAAGCATATCTTTAAATCTATGAACTAGACTTTCTGCCTATTTTATTTTAATTTTATACTATATATTCTAATTTATCATTTGTTTGAATTAAATACCTTTGCGACTTTGAAATTCTCAATGAAATCCTCAAATTCTTGAAGATCTCCAAGATCAAAACATCTTGGGAAAAATTTATACACATCAATATTTTCGGAATGAATTAATGTTCTAAGATTCCTAGCTAGCCCGTATTTACTGGTGAATGTTTGGTTGTTGTCAAAATGATTGACAACTTGATTTTCCTATAAGTTATCATAATCTATATCTTAAACCTGTTTAAATTTATTTATTTATTTATTTTTTCAGTTTTAAGATAAAAATGTTGTAAATTATTTACTTTGCATGTCCATTTTAAGTCGAAGCAAGGAGAAAAGTAATCAGGATTTTCAACCCAGCCCCTTTCTTGTAAGGCTTTCCTGAGATCTCCGTAACCTCCTTTTATAATGAAAACCTTAGTTTTTGGATCTAATCTGTTGTACTTCTTCCATTTAGCCAAATCTGTTTGTTATACAGCATTTTAGTTGTTGCTTTTTGATTTTACTGGGGTTTCGTCATCATCTGAAGATTCTTCTTCATCCTTTGATTTTGTATTACTTAACACTTTTTTATCTTAAATCTAATTGAGTCTTTTACGGACATCGTAGTTTATTGATTTCAACTAAGCAGAGTGCAAAAAATTAAATCTGTTTTTTATTAATTTGATAATCAAATACTTGATATTTTTGAATTTAGAAAATCATAAAATTTTTAAAAATTTTCTAACGAATATTAATTAAAATTTATCTGATTATAATAATAAGTAAAAATACCTTTCTCTGTATTTGTATTTTCCTTTTGTAGCCACAATTTTTTTAACTTTATTTATAATATTTATAGTATTTTTGGAGAGCAGATTCATGTGCTTTTACTAATTGTTTTAAAAGTATTTTTTTCATTTTTAAAATTATTCAAAGAAAGTAAAAAAATTAATTTTAAAATTACTCCGAGTTGTTGAGTTATAGAAGCAAATGTTTTAATGGGTTTCTTGCTATTTAAATTACTAAAATAAATTTCTTTTTTCCCTAATATATGAAGTAACTATCCCAAATTATATCGGAAATATCTTATGCACTTTAATTTATCTTCTTCGTCATTTTCAGCAGACATTAAATTTTCATAAGCTTTCTTACTTGTCTGATTACTGTTACTTGCTAGTGTTACTTAGTTATTTTCTTTAGAGGCAGAATTTATATTTGTTAAACTATGTTCCTTGATCAACGTCTATGTCTTTGAAGTTGTTGGGATATTAACTTCTTGCTATCCTATATTTGATTTTTCAGTTACAGCACTGTAGCTGTGTCCTTTTAAAGTTTAAACCATATTTTCATTATTCTAAGTATTAACGCTCGTTGAGCCATTCTAATTTAATATTGTATTAATAGAAGCTGCTAAATGAAATCTTGCTGACTTCTCGCGAGAGCTCGGGCGAATATCAGAAAAAGCTTATTGAGGTTTATTCTCTTTTTTAATTTTTGGCAGCTTAGAAGATTTGTAATACCTCTTTTCTTAGAGATAAGGGTTGTTAATGTGATGATTGTATGGATTGTTTGGATTTCCAACACATGAGTAAAGAATATTTTTTTGCTGGAAATTCTCACTAGAGTTAAACATAGTTGGCTGTTAACCATTAAAAAGGCTGTTACTCTACTATGATGGCTAGTTAAAGTAATTTGCCATTGAAATAACTGGCTGCTGAGATGAAATTGAAAGAGGAAGAGGAGATTAAGACTAAGGATTACTTGATTGAGAAGATTAGTTAGAATGTTGTTGAGATAGTGGTTATGGTTACTGTTAAACTAATGAATGTAGAAGCTGGTGAGTTTATTATATCTATTAAAATCTGAATTCGTTCTATTATTGAATAATATTCGAGTTACGAAGAATATTTGCAGCGAACTGAGTGTTGCTACCATTGCCAGAAACAACTGACCCAGCAGCTGACTTAGGTGATTATTCAGAGTGGAAATTACCTCCATTCTCTCTATTCGAATTATTGGTTTAGCCCTTATTGTTGCTTAAGTATTATTAAAGAAGAATGCTGTTTTAAGCACTGCCATTTGCAATCTAGTTAAATGGTGGAAATACTTCTTGGTTTCCCTAATATAATAATTGTTGCTGCATTTAGACATTTTGCATGTATTGGTGTTGTTAGAACATTTAATTTTGCTATTAGAGCTAAGGGTCTAACTAGTAAATTTAGTTATACTTCTATGCTTGTTGCTATCGAAGATATTCTAGCTTATTTTAATGACCGATTTTGAATTAATGATGCTACTAATGACTAAGAGGCGAATTATACTTTATTTATGACTATTTATGATTGCTTTATTGAATAACCGCTTGTTACTGTAAATTGCTTCCATTATTTAAATAGCTATTGGAATTCCCATTTATAATCATATTAGGAAGTTGCTAATCTTTTTGAATTCCATTATTAGTACCCTATTATAACTGCTGTTACTATTATTGCATCTACTTGATTTTCGATGTAGGATCACATAAGCTCATAGATTTGCCTTAAATATCGATGCTAAACATTTTTTCAAATATAAAAGTAAAACTATATCTTTTTAACTAACTATTCCTATTTATTATAAGATGTCTTATGACTAATTTTTTTTAACTATTAAACTATAATTTATAATAAATGTTATTTATCACTTTATTTTGAATATTGCAAATTTTCAGATAGATTTAGATGATCTTCTAACCGCAACGTTTAAATATAAAATGATTTTAGCTAAAATTTATTCTTTTTATCAAACTAATCTACTAATTATCCAGCTGCTTTCTTTTTGTAAAGTATGAGCTTTTGTAATAACCTAGTGTTTGTAGCTCAAATACGACTCTCTTATTTTTAAAAGAAGAAATAATAAGTATTGCTTTGTTACTGTCAAATTTGAACTATCAATCAATGATTATCTTTTTAGTTATTTTTTTTGTTTTGATTTGATTGTTTTTTCTTTGTTTATAAGGTCTTTTAATAACTATTAATTATTAATTGATTTAATTATTTTGATGATTGTTTGTTTGCTTGCTTGCTTGCTTGCTTGCTTTCAATCTTTTGTTTTGTTTACTTTTTAAAATTTTGAGAGTTTGTTAAATGTTTTGGACTTGTTTTACAGATTTATTTGTTAAAAAATTTAATGTATTTATTTTGCCTTTAACTCATTCATAATAAGTATTTGTTTGAAAAATTGAAAAATAAAAATCAATCATCTTCAATTATTAAAATTAGGATTTCGAGAATCTAAATAACATTTTTAATTAATATCCTTATTCACGTTAAAATATCAACTGATATTTTTTTTAGATGCATGACTAAGATTAAAAAAATCCTAAGTTTAATCTTTTAATGTAAAAATTACAAAAAAGACAAACATTTAATTGCTTGTAAGCATGTTACTGATGATCTATTTTAAAAATATTGTAGTAAAAAATTATTTACAATTTTATAAAATTAAAATTTTAAATCAACAAAAAGGTGATTTGTTAATAAATTTCATAGATATTTTTTATTAAATCGATTTTTTTCAAATATAAACACGACTGATTATTTTCTATATTTAAAATTTAAATAAACTCATAGAATTTAAATTAATTGTTCTTATAATTTAATGAATTGTTATTTTAAATAAAAAATTATTAATAATCTCAAATATTTTATATTAAAAATAGTAAAATTAAATAGTCTTTTTGATTTCTATGTAGATTTATTTATATCTTTACTCGATTGGGTTTTTCTTTTAAAACAAATTATTGAAAAATAGGAAGATTAATGTAAAATTTATATCAATATTTTATAAAAAATTTGATTTTATCAATTTTAAAATTGGAAAAATGTCTTAAAGTAAATTTTAAATCTAAGATAATTTGACTAATTTAAGAGTGAATTAATTTATTAATTTTTATCAATCAACTTCACAAAATATCATTTTATCAAAAAAATTTCAACATAATTTAAAAAAATAGTTTATTAAAACTATTTATAAAATATAGAAAATGAAATATTTGAATTTAAATTAAATCTTGACATCAACATAAATTTAAATAGTTTTATTTGATTAAAATAATTAATTCGAACAATTTATTTTATGAATTTTATAAATATAAAATTAGCTTTGTATTATTGATAGACTTAAAATGCTAAATTCTATTATAAAAAATAAATTTATTACAAGTAGAAATACAAAATTAATAGCTATCTAGCTTTATAAAAAAATGAATAACAAAAATTAGAATGTGTTTATTTATTTATTTTTTGAGTCACCTTAGAATAAATTTCATGAAAAATCAATTTGTTTTTTTCACCATGAATTAAAATGAAAAATAAAATGAAGTTAATTAATTTAGTTTAAAATACTAAAATAAAAAAGATTTATACCTTTTATTTATTTGCCTTTCAAGCTATAAAGCAAGCAAGCAAGCAAAACAAATAATATATCTTTAGGAGTTTCTTAGTGAAAACTATAAAAAGTTTAAATAATAAATTTAAGAATTTCTAATACTTTGATTGTTTAACAATTAAATAGGATAACAAGTAATTTCATTTGAAAAAATACAAATAGGTCTACATTCAAAAGCAAAAGTTAAATTATAAATCTGAAACAAATATAAAAAGAAATGAGCGATATTCAAGCATAATAAGTAGAATTAACTTAAGAATAAAATGGCAAAAAATTCTCATATAGTAATACATACCTGAAGGAATTCGGTGTTTTAGGATATTTAGCCCTTTAGGCTGTTCTTTATCCTATTGAGAGAATTAAAGTCCTCTAATAGGTAGATATTATTCCTGAAGTAACCGATGAAGCTGGCAAATACGATCTTCGTTAAAACTTCTAAAATTATTATAATCGTCATGCTGAATCTGAAACTTTCGAGGCTTTTTATCGTGGTTTAGGTGCTAAAATTTGCAAATTAATCACAAAAGAACTTTCTATTTATTTTTTAGCTGATAGAATTAGAGACAGAATTTAAGTATTTGATCCCAAAGAAGATCCTTTTAAGCATTTTGTATACAACTTCATTTCTGGTGTTACCAGTGGAACTTTGACTGAATTAATTGCATATCCCATGGAAGTAGCTAAAACTAGAATTTTATGTGATGGTGCTCCATTCGAAGATCGTATCTATACAAATGCTTACGAAGCATTGTTTAAGGACAGCTCAGCCAGAATTTACCGTGGTGCCTTGTTCTCTTTGACAGGTGCAGCTTTATATAGAGGTACTCAAATTGGTTTGTATGAAACCCTTAACCAATTAGGTATGAAAGATATGTCTGCTTGGGTCCATCTACCAGCTTCTATTTTGATTACAATTTATGCCCAAAAAATAACATATCCTTTTGATACTATTCGTAGATAAGTAATGCTAAGAGATACTCCTTTCGAAGTTACCTCTGCTGAAACAGATACTATCATTAAAAGACTTACTCATCCTGCTCGTAGATCAGACTTAATGAGAGGCTGGAACATGTAACTTTATAAATCCGTCTCAGCTGGTATATTCTTATTTGGTTATAAAGCTTTGTCAGGAACATTCTAAGCAGCCCCAGATCTTATAACTAAATTCTCTCACTGAAAGATACATAGATTAATTATAAATATTAAATTTAAACTTCTATTATATTTAATTTAAAAGTAACACTATATGTAAAACAATCATGAAGTAAAATCAATAAAAATATATTAATTATTAACTCACATAAATAATATCATCCTTGCTTACTTGCTTACTAAATTGCATGAATTCATACCTTTATATTAAAATATACATTCACAAATAATACATAAAGTAGTTAAAAACATATTATCTACTTATAAAATTCATTTTAACATAATGCAAGAAATTTAATATTTTATTATAACTAAGTTTAAAATCTTTCTTAATCATTAATCAGACACTTATATTAATAATAATTGCTAATTCATATAAAATATCATCCCTACTTGCTTATTAACATAAATTAGCACATTTATATATTCATAGAAAATACATAAAGTAACACTCAGAAAATTAATTAACTCAAAAATATTTTTACATAAAACAAGAAATTGAATATTCTAAATTAGAAGTGTTATTAAGTTATTAAAAAACTTTACAAAAAACACTTATTTAAATATTAACTCTTAGTTCATAAAAAAGATTTCATACTTACTTGCTTGCATAAACTAATTAAAATGTTTATTAATTAACAAATGATAGTCTAAAAAGAAAAATCAATGTAATTAACTTATTTAAAATTCTTTTTTACATAATTCAATCAATAAAAATTCAAAATTATTTAAATATTAACTATGAATGTATAAAAAACATTTCATACTTACGTACTAAATTTAATACATTTATACAAAAATAAGTAATAATAAACAAACAAAATATAAAACATATAATTAACTAATTTCAAATTCATTTTTATATAATTAAAGAAATACAAATCAAGCACTTATATGATTGTTAACGATTAATTCATTCAAATGATTTCATACTTAATTACTCACATAAATTAATACTTTTATTTATGCATTCATAAGAAATACATAAAGCATTATTCATAAAATCAACTTATTTAAAATTCATTTTTACATGATGAAAGAAATTATTATGGAATTGAATATTTAACTAAGCTTTATTAAGTTATTTTTTTATAAAAAGTTTACAAATAACACATTTATATTAAAATAGAATATCTAAAAATACTTATGAATTTGATTAGTTAAAAATTATATTTATCTCTTCCATTAGCCATTAAAATAAAACTTTAGAATTAATTATTATTCTAGAAGTTTTTAAAGATTTTTTTTTACTTTTTTATGATTTGGTTTTTTGTATTTTACAAGAAAATTTAACTCTATTTCTTAATTGAAAAATGGAAGATAAACAGCCACTCTCTTAAAATTGAATTTATAGACTTTAAAGTTAAATGTTATTGTAAGAATCACCTATATTCTGTGTAATTAGTAGCAGTATTGTTTACACGCCCAATCATTGTGCTAAAGTGTTTGGCTTGCATCATAGGTCTGATATCTTCTATATTTTTTTTGGTGACAAATACTCTCATACCTCTTAAATATTTTACAAGAGCCTACAAGCTAAAATCAACTGTAAATGAATTACCAATAATTAATGGATCAAATTTATTTAAGATGATATCATTAGAAGTATATTCATCTACAAGATTTTTATAATTACTGACCATCATGATATTATTATGTTCAAAACCAGGGAATTTATCCTGAATTTAATGGAAATTACGCTTAATTTAAAGAGGCTCTACTGAAACCTATTTTAAATTACCTTCGTATTCTACCCTATTTGTTGCAATAACAAATGCTAAATTTCTATAATATCTGCCAAAGAAACTTTTAGCAAAATGACCTGTAAAATCAGCATCTAAAGAACTCCAGACTCCAACTTAATATAAATCTGAGTTTTCCATAAATAAATAATTCAATAATTCAGGTCTGCCATTTCTAAAATATAAATTATATCCTTCAACTTAATCGCTTGGCTAAATATTTTCTAACAAACGCAAATCATTGAAATGCTACACTTTAGATTTCTTGTAAGCATACAAGAGTGTTTTATTCAAATCAAAGGTTATTAATACTTTCTTAATAGTTCTTCCACTCATCTAAAACTAAATCTTCAATATTTTAATACAATATATATTTAATTAAAATCAATCCTTTTTTAAATATTGTTTGTTTTTGATTAAATATAACAACATATATTTTTACATATCCATGCTAACAAAAATAGATAAAAATATTAACAAAAATTAAATAATTAATTTTTAGTTTTTAAAAATAATTCATTTTCTAATTTAATCACAAACTCTACTTCTTTAAAAATTAAATTAATAAAAGCAAAAGACTCAAAAGTATTCCTTTTTTAATATTTTCCTTTACAAGTTAACTAAAATTCATTGATTTTCTACAAAAAGGAAAAATCTTACTCTGAAAAAATGAATTATAATCTTGATAACAAAAAATTAGAATAATTTCGTTTATATTTAAGATCTTCTATGTTATTATAAATACATCCAACACTTAGTATCTTTGTAAAACTTAAAAAGATAAATTAATTAGAAATTCATCTCATTTTAAATTTGAATTATTAACAAGAAAGCCATGAGTTATTAAAAAAAATAGACATATTTTTAATAAAATTATTCAAGATTAATATTAATAATAAAATTAATTTAAACAGAATTTCTTCAAAAAAAAATAAAATTTTTGAAATTTATAAATTTAATTATCTTTATTTAAGATATAAAATAATTTTCTATATTTCTTTTTATTTTTTTGAGGCGATGAATGATTGATTAAAAGATGTAATGATATAACTAACTAGGGATATTTTTAACTTAAATGATTCAGATTTTTACAATCATTTTAATTTTTTCTAAATAATTTAAAACTTAAATCTTTTTTATTAAATAACTTTTTATTAATTAACATAGCTTACTATTATCAAAATCAATAAGTTTAACTACAAAAAAGAAAACAATAGAGCAATCAGCAATAATTTAATGATTTTAAATTTTAATATAAGAATATAGTAAATATTTAAAATAAATGAAAATGATAAATTCAAAGCTTTTTTTCTACTGATTTGTTTCTATTTCATTTAATAGAAAAAATTATTACTTAATCTGATTAAAACCTAAGTAACATTATTTATATATTAAACTTAAGAAGTATTTATAATTAGTTTGGGAAATTAATAATTGGGTAATCAAATTATTAATGAATATTATTGAAATCAAAAATAATCTAAAAGCACTTCAATTCCTTTAAAATATACCTGCCTAGAATAATAAATAAGTTTAAATGTATAATAATAGCATCGCATAATAAGATTAACATTCAGTTTAAGTACCTTTACTCAACTAAGAATATTAGGTTTAGAACCAATAAAATAACTATCTTTCTTACAACTAATTATAAGTCTAAAATGATTAGTAAAACCAAAACAATCGTTAGAATTAAATTATCAATTTCTCAAACGGATAAGAAATGATAGACCCAGACTTCCTCTATTGCAAATAAAGTATGATAAATAAAAGTTGTAATGATAAAAGAAGATAAGTTGAAAAATTATCTACTTTACTTTCACAAGTCCTATCTTAACTACCACTTAGTTTCACCTCTATATAACTAATTGGCAAAGCAAATATTTACTCGGGACTATACTGCGAAGAAAAAATAATCAAACCACTGATTGCTGAGAATACTCATGTAAATGAGTTTTTAATAAGAAATGGATATGTTGTGAACTGCTGCAATATACTATGTTCCACAATTAAGTCTTAATCTTTTATTGCTGTTGCTATTTTGCTTTCTACGCTTCTTTATTAATCTTTGCTCGATTTCATTTATTTTAATAATACTTACTCTCATATTAATAGCATCGGTAAAATAAATATCATATATATTTCTTAAATTGCTATCACATCAATTCTGCTTATCTTGTTCTTATTTTCTACTATTTAATTCAACATTAAGATTCTTTACGTGTCTTACATTTTGAGTATAATTAACTAATTATTAGTCTCGGTTGAAGTATGCTGTAATTTCATAATAGGTTAAGACTACCGTGATGCTATCTTTGCTTATCTATCTATACATATCTTTTGGGCTATTAGGATTATTACTGATTTCTTGCATATTTATCAAATTTATATAAATAAACTAAGTGAAATTATTAGTTTTACTCTAAAAAATGGAATAGAAGGAATTTTCAAATTTATGATAATTCAAATATAAAATTTCAACTTTTACAAAACAATTATTTTTATTAGTGTGTAAAAAGGATGGAATTACGTGTATATGATACCTCAATAGATCATAAATACGCGATACAGTTTAAATATAAAATTTCATATTCTCAAATAGGCTAAATTTAAAAGTTATTAATAAAAATTAAAATTATTAAAATATTTTTTATTTATTTCTATTATTGTTAATTTATCAATCAATCATAAAATATTGATTTATCTAAATTAAAATATATTAAATTAAATTAAAAAATAGTTAAATTCTTCAATTCTTTACAACAAAATGTGATTGATTCCATATCATTAAATTTGTGAAAATCATTTATTTGGCTAATAATAAATACTTAAAAAATAAAAATAATAACGAATAATTTAAAAATTCCATTCTTGTTAATATAATAAAATGATAAAAAGATTAAAATGAATTCATTTTTTAATCATTAAACTTTTATTTTAGATTTATTTGTAAAATATAAAGTTTTAGTTTTATTGATTTGGTAAATTAAAATAAATTAAGAAAGATATTAAGATATTAACGAAACACTTATCAGTGTTATTCTAATACTGATCAAAGATCCTATTTAATAAATAAAAGAAATAGATAGAATTAGATTTTTTTTTTTTAAGTCTACAAATTAATTTATAAAAATTAAAACAAAAATATATTAGGACTGGTGTGTTGTTAAAATTAAGAGGATGGAATTACATGCATATGATACTTCAATAGATTATAAATACGCGATACAGTTTAAAAATAAAATTTCATATTCTCAAATAGGCTAAGTTTAAAAGTTATTAATAAAAATTAAAATAAATGATTAAAATATTTTTTACTTATTTCTATTATTGTTTATTTATCAATCATAAAATATTGATTTATCTAAATTAAAATATTTTTTATTCAGTTAAAAAATAGTTGAATTCTTGAATTGTTTATAGCAAAATGATTCCTATCATTAAACTTTTGGAAAAACATTTATTTGGCTAAAAATAAACACTTAAAAAATAAAAATAATAATGAATAATTTAAAAATTCCACATAAATATAAATAATAAAATTAATTTAAATAGAATTTCTTGAAAAATCAAATTTTTGAAATTTATAAATTTGAATTATCTTTATTTAAAAATATAGTCTTCTACATTTCTTTTATTTTTTTGAGGCGATGAATGATTGATTAAAAAATGTAATGATATAACTAACTAGGGATATTTTTAACTTAAATGATTCAGATTTTTACAATCATTTTAATTTTTTCCTAAATAATTTAAAACTTAAATCTTTTTTATTAAATAACTTTTTATTAATTAACATAGCTTACTATTATCAAAATCAATAAGTTTAACTTCAATAAAAAAGAAAACAATAGAGTAATCAGCAATAATTTAATGATTTTAAATTTTAATATAAGAATATAGTAAATATTTAAAATAAATGAAAATGATAAATTCATAGCTTTTTTTTCTACTGATTTGTTTTCTATTTCATTCAATAGAAAAAATTATTACTTAATCTGATTAAAACCTAAGTAACATTATTTATATATTAAACTTAAGAAGTATTTATAATTAGTTTGGGAAATTAATAATTGGGTAATCAAATTATTAATGAATATTATTGAAATCAAAAATAATCTAAAAGCACTTCAATTCCTTTAAAATATACCTGCCTAGAATAATAAATAAGTTTAAATGTATAATAATAGCATCGCATAATAAGATTAACATTCAGTTTAAGTACCTTTACTCTATTAAGAATATTAGGCTTAGAACCAATAAAATAACAATCTTTCTTACAACTAATTATAAGTTTAAAATGACTAGTAAAACCAAAACAATCATTAGAATTAAATTATCAATTTCTCAAATGGATAAGAAATGATAGAGCCAGACTTTCTCTATTGCAAATAAAGTATGATAAATAAAAGTTGTAATGATAAAAGAAGATAAGTTGAAAAATTATCTACTTTACTTTCACAAGTCCTAACTTAACTACCACTTAGATTCACTTCTATATAACTAATTGGTAAAACAAATATTTACTCAGGACTATACTGCGAAGAAAAAATAATCAAACCACTGATTGCTGAGAATACTCATGTAAATGAGTTTTTAATAAGAAATGGATATGTAGTGAACTGCAGCAATATACTATGTTCCACAATTAAGTCTTAATCTTTCATTGTTGTAGCTATTTTGCTTTCTACACTTCTGTATTAATCTTTGCTGGATTTCATTTATTTTAATAATACTTACTCTCATATTAATAGCATCGGTAAAATAAATATCGTATATATTTCTTAAATTGCTATCACAACAATTCTGCTTATCCTGTTCTTATTGTCTACTCTTTAATTCAATATTAAGATTTTTTACGTTTCTTATATATTGAGTATAATTAACTAATTGTTGGTCTCGATTGAAGTATGCTGTAATTTCATAATAGGTTAAGAATACAGAGATGCTATCTTTGCTTATCTATACATATCTTTTGGGCTATTAGGACTATTACTGATTTCTTGCATATTTATCAAATTTATATAAATAAATTAAGTGAAATTATTAGTTTTACTCTAAAAAATGGAATAGAAGGAATTTTCAAATTTATGATAATCCAAATATAAAATATCAACTTTTACAAAACAATTATTTTTATTAGTATGTAAAGAGGATGGAATTACGTGTATATGATACTTCAACAGATTATAAATACGCGATATAGTTTAAATATATAATTTCATATTCTCAAAAGGATAAATTTAAAGATATTAATAAAAAAATTAAAATGATTAAAATATTTTTTATTTATTTCTATTATTGTTAATTTATCAATCAATCATAAAATATTGATTTATCAAAATTAAAATATAAATTAAGTTAAAAAATAGTTAAATTCTTGAATTCTTTCTTGCAAAATGTGATTACATATCATTAAATTTTAGAATGGCATTTATTTGGCTATAAATAAAACACTTAAAAAATAAAAATAATAACAAATAATTTAAAAATTCCACATAAATATTTTCCATTCTTGTTAATAAAATAAAATGAAAAAAAGATTTAAATGAATTCATTTTTTAAACATTAAATTTTTATTTTAGATTTATTTGTAGAATAGAAAGTTTTAGTTTTATTGATTTGGTAAATCAAAATAAATTAAGAAAGATAATCAATCACCTATTAATGAAACACTTATCAGTGCTATTCTAAGATTGATCAAAGACCCTATTTAATAAATAAAAGAAATAGATAAAATTAGATATTTTTTTTAGTTTACAAATTAATTAATCAAAAGTAAAACAAAAATATATTAGGACTAATGTGTTGTTAAAATTAATTATTTATTTTTGATCAATTAAAACAATGTATAGATTAAATTGATTATGATTCTCATTCATGTTTTTTGCAAAGTTAATAAATAATTCATATTTTATCAGCAAATTAATGTATAGAGTTTTTTTATTTACCTTTGTATTATTAATAATAGAAAGAATTAAATACTTCTTGAGACCAAATTATTTATATTATTATTAAATTAAATAAATCTTTTTAAACATCAAAAAGTAAAGAAAAACAAATCTTGCAAAATAGTTACTAAATGTATAACAATAACAACCCATTATACTAATAAAATTCCTCTGGCCAACAGCCTCTACTAAATCCATAGTATTAAGATTAAAATTAACAAGTAAATTAATAATTTGCTTAACAGAATTATTAGCAGTATAATTAACTCTAAAATCAAAACTAAAATGCTTAATACAATCCACCAGCTCCTCAAAATTAAATAATGTGCTTCCCTAATGGTTAATAAATATTAGATCCAGCTTTGCTATATTGCCAATAGAGCATAAGAAAACGTAATATCTGCGACGATAACAGTACAGCAGTAACAAACCTAATGATCTTGCTTTAATTAATTTTAGCTTAATTACCTTTAAGATTTACCTTTTTATAAGTAGCTGGAAATTCAAATATATATTCTAGTTAATTTTATGAAGAAAAAATAATCAGACCACTCATAACAGAAAATACTCATGTTAATGAATAAATTATAAGAAATAGTTATGTTGCTTATTGCAGTTAAATACTCAGCTAAGGAATGAAATCTTATTCTATTTTTGTTATAGCTACTTTGTTAGTTGCAATTGGTTATTTAGCTGGGATGAATTTAATGTATTTTAATAACAAATACTCCTATATTAATAGTATTGGTAGCGTTAACATAATATACATTTGCCAAATTGTTTTTATCATAATAAATTTGATTCTTTTCATTTTTGCTACAGTAAAAAATATTCCTAGGTTAGTCTAATACTCTTATTATGTTAGTTAATTTAACTAATTCTTTATCGTAGCTGAAATCTGTTGCAGCTTTATAATTTCCTATGATTACATGGATGCCTATTTAGCTAATTTATACATCTCCTTCGCACCTATTATTCTACTCTTAATTTCAACTCTTCTGATAAAATATATTCAAACAATCCAAATGAAATTATTGGTTTTATTAGGTTAAGCAGACAAAAACGAATTCTCAAAAATATGAAAAATGCTAATAATATAATTAATCAAACTTATAATAATCTTATTCTTATCAGTTGTATTAAAAAACATTTTTATATAAATATTTTTTTAAAAATTTATAATTTTATAATTAATATTTTAAAATAGAAAAACAAAGGAAATAAATAATTTTAAGTAAACTAATTTTAAAAAAGAAGTTTTGTTTTGTTGAAATTATTATAAGGATATAAAGTAATTTTATTTTTTGGTATTGTAGTGAAATTCATGATAAATAAGTATAAAGATAAATTACCATTAATTCTGCAATAATTTTATCTCATTATTTCGAAAAATGTTAATAACATTATTTTATCTGAAAATAAAAATTGTTTAAAAAACATTTTCATAATATAAAAATTTAATTATTTTAACTAATTAATTATAATAAACATTTTTTAAAGAATATGAAATAATTTTGTAATAAGTTATTTAAGTAAACTTTTATAATAAGTAAGAATAAAGATAAATTACTATTAATCCTCTAACCCAAAAAGCAAAAGTTTTTTCTCAATATTTCGAAAAATGTTAATAATATTATTTTATCTTAAAAATAAAAATTGTTTAAAAAGTATTTTCAAAGTATAAAAATTCAATTAATTAAACTAATTAATTATTATAAAAATTTAAAAACAATTTGAAATAATTTTGTAATATTTTATTTAAGTAAACTTTTATAATAAGTAAGAATAAAGATAAATTACTATTAATTCTCTAACCCAAAAAGCAAAAGTTTTTTCTCAATATTTCGAAAAATGTTTATAATATTAATTTATCTGAAAAATAAAAATTGTTTAAAAAGTATTTAATTATTTAAACTAATCAATTATTATAAAAATTTAAAAACAATTTGAAATAATTTTGTAATATTTTATTTAAGTAAACTTTTATAATATGTAATAATTAAGATAAAATACACAATTATCAAATTAATTTTTTAAAAATAAAATAATTTATTAGAAATAATTTAAATTTAAACATGAGTGTTAATTATAACTTTGATTTAAAATGATTTGCAACATCTATCAATCAGTAGAAGTGAATTTTAATTTCAGTTGAATGACTTTTTGAAATAGAGCATAATATTGATTTAGCTTCTTTATTTGCATATCTAAGTAATGAAAAAATATTAATTTTTAAAGAAAAAAACCAATTAATTTTTTACTTTGCTAAAATAATAATTAAATCTGCTTTTATAAACTTGATGTTTTGTTTTAATATGTTTGCATTCTGCTCGTTCAATAACCTAGAATATAATATTATCAAATTAACTTATAGCTAGTCAATGATATATATTTATATTTAAAATTACCCTAGATCTAATATAATATAGTTTAATTTTTATGGGATCTAACTGAGCACTAACAAATATTCGTTTTTATTTTCACAGTCATAAATGTGATAATCTCTGAAAGTTTATTTAAATTATTTAGTTAGTTTATATTAAAATAATCACTAAAATAATTATGTGAATCTACCTTAATTTAAGTTTCATCTAATAGGTAGAACTTGGAATTTTCTTTAGGAAGCTAGTAAATTCCTCAGGGAACAGATTTTACCTTTATAGAAATATTTTTAAATTTTAACAAATGTATTTTTAAACCTAAGAAATTACTAAATTGAAAGCTCGAATTTATCTAAATCAACATATTCTATTGAAAAACATTAATCGAAAATATCAGTATCGCAATCACTAATTTTTTTTTAGATTAAGATTTGTAAATAAAATTTAAAAATACAATTTTAATTTAATCTTTACTTAAATTCAATTTTTAGAGACTGAGTTTAAATTGGTAGCTGAGTCATGATTGCACCAAAGTTTTGAGTTTAAATATTATTTAAGTTGTTACTTTTTTATAAAGTAAATAATATTAGTCAATTTATTATTTAGAATAATATATATAATTTGAGTGTTTACTGTATTGAGATACCTATATTCTAGATAGTTTTAGGGATATGACTAAAGCATATTGGGTCTAAAATAAGTTCATTATCATCCTAAACCCTTGTGTTTAATCATAATAAAATTAGCCAAAAGAACAGTTTTTAATCTAAAATTTACTATAAGTCTAAATGAAATTTGTTTAATTATTTAGGAAGACTTCCAAAGTTTTCTTAAAGTAGTGAAAATTATTATGCACTAATTGGATTTGTAAAAGTTAATTTGTATGTATTTAACTTAGAATAGCAAACAGTAAAAAATTCATTAATAGGCACTTCAATTTTTCCTCTTTTTAGCATAAAAATTATTATGTAAATTTTCTATTTTTAATTTAAAATTTACCCTATGCTTAGTCTAAAATTAGTTATATCGATATATTACAATTAGTTGCAAAGCTTTTATTATTGTTAGTTTTCAAGTTGGCTTTTGATTAAAAAAAGATATTTATTGGCTTGAAAATTGAATGAATTTTAAAATAAAATTTTACTGGAATTAAAGTGAAAGTTTTTTCAAGCTAGAAGGTATGTTACTCAATTTATCTATGAAATTATCGATATTTCTAGATGACTGAAATTCAAAATGGCATATTTTTCTGTTTTTGAATCCTTCTTTATTCATAAAATAAGTCAAACTATCTAGAGCTTTAGCTTCAATGTCTCTTTTTTCAATATAGAATATTTTTATTTTATTGCAATGTAATAGTATATATAAATTACGGCAAAGAAATATATATTTCCTTTAGAGCATAAAAATTCGATTGTATCAATTGAATGATATGGCTTACAATTTCTTCATCTATTTCATCACAATCATTTTGTCTAAGTTTAAATTAAAATTATAAAATTTTTTGTAAATGTCTAAATAAACTACTAACTACCTTGACTCTTTAAAACTAAGCTTGTTAAAGTATACCTTATACAATTCTTTTTCCTTTATCCCTACTTCTTGCTACTTACCACTTTTATTTATAAGATAATACAATAACTTTCAATTAAAAATATCCATTTACATTAAATTGATTGTAATTGATGAGAGCCATTTCAAATTTTTAAGAATATTCAGTTGTTAAATGAGGTAATCTTTTTAATTTTTCTTGTAGCTATATAAATTAATATTTAAATTCCATTAAAAAATAAAGAGCTAATCAATATCTTTTTACAAAAATGCTAAGTGACATTCATTTATTGATCTATGCTTTATTGTTTCTTTTTCTAAAAAATGCTTTAAATCTGCTCTTTAGTCTGGGTTATCAATAAAATTCCTTTGTTTATAATCACAATAAATAAACTCATATCATTAGATAAAATTTACTAATAATCAATTAATATGCAATTGAACACCTTCTTTTTCCATATTGATGTCTCCAAGTCTTTAGTAGACTCTATGAATAAGCTAATTGCAAGGAAAAATAAATTAATTATAATCAATCAAAAACAAACTCAATAAAATCCAAAAAACAAACAAAAAAAGCTTTATTTTACTATTTTTTAGAATTTAACCACAACTACTTTTTTTGTTCCAGTCTCTTTTTAAAAAAGTAAAATTAATATGATTTGTAATTTTATTGTAGAATAAAAAAATTATTACCTATTTATTCAATTTAATGCAATGATCTTTATTTCTTACGGGTTACTGCAGCAATTTATCATCAAAATGGCTCATGCTATATCCTTTATGTACACTTTTATCTACTTTTTCATGTTTTTAGTTTCCAAATTCTGAAAAACTCTTTTGCTATTCAACCTTATAGACTTAAACTTCAATTTTCTATTTTTCATTATCTTAGTTGACATCTTTTCTTCTTTCTATATTTAAGTCCTCTTCAGCTTCTTGTATAATTCTTTGATGATAATTAATTTCATCAATTTAAATCATAGATTCGCCAAAGGCACTTACGTTAGTAGAATAAGCATCAAATTCAAATTTATTAGGATGATTTTCTGGCTCTTAATTTCCTTCTACTAAACTTTATAAACCCTAGTAATTCATTTAAATTTATGTTTGAAAAATTCTAAAAGATAGTTTTTATTTTTATCTCTATTCCTACTTTCACTACTTTTAAAGTTTTTTTGTTTTAAGTCACTAGCTGAATTTGTTAAAATTTATTAAATAACTATTAATTAGAAATTAACTCTTTTTAAGGAAGCAAATAGTATGATAGGTCTAATAAATAGAGTAATCTAATTTTATAAACTTTAAAACAGGTAATTAAAACATTAGAAAGCTTAAAAATTAATAGATATAAATAATCATTTACTATCTATATCAAGTATTACTAGAATAAATATAATTACATAACTAAATAAATAAGTTTAATGCAAAATAAAATTTTAGCTTTATTTTTAAAAAAATTAATTTAATTTTTATCTATTAATTATTTTTATTATTTAAATTTTAATCATCTTAGTTTGAGTTAATAATCCTAATATAATTCTAATTTAAAACTATAAAAAGTGATTAGTAGAATACTAATTTATAAATCTGTATAAATTAAATAAATTAATTACCAATATGGATCAAAATGAAAGTCTAAAAAATAATTATCATAAATCAATTAAAAAAATAAAAAATTTCCTACTTATTATTTTATGCTAAATTATTTAATTGAAAGAAGCAAATCTTTTTTCTTTAAATTAAATTTGTTTTTCATAATTTTTTACAAATTAAAAATAATTTAAAATAATTCTTTTTAAAGAATTTTCAATCAATAAGGAATTTTCATATGATAACATTGATTATATGCAATATAATAGGAAATAAAATTAAAAATTTGTATTTTGTTTTATAATTTATTATAAGACATTTCGAAAGTAATTAAAATTATTTTTTAATGTAAGTTATATATAAAAATAGCAATAAGCAATTCTAAAAATATGTTAAAAATAATTCATTTTTTTAATTTGTTTTATGGTAATCTTTTTACTTGTAACATAATTTCAAATAAAATACTATTTTTGGTAAAAATCGTATTTATAATTATAATTTTGATTTTATTACTTATTTTAATTAATGCCATAAACTAACAAAAAATTCAGATTTCGTTACTTAAGAAATGAGCACATTTCAAAAAACATATTTTAATCTAAATAATTTAAAAAATGAGTTAATGTGCCTTTTAATTATTTTACTGCTTAAAAATTGTTGAAAAAAATCAAAATTTTATCACAAAAATAAATATATAATTTTGTTAGGTTAAGCTTGCTCGAACATACTTAAATTCTATGGTCTTTGTAAAAATAATTTGTTTGATTACCTCATAAAATAAATATTTTGATAATTGGTAATAAGTAATCAATCATGTCTTTAAAATTTACATTCTAATATAAAATAAGCTGAAGGTATTTATGAAGGGTTTGTAAAGAGATCAAAAAATAAAGATAGGTTTAAAGTCGAAAAATAAAAAAAATATTAGAAAAGTTGAGTAGAGATGGAGGGAGTTATTAAGTGAATTGATAAATAGATAGATAGATAAATAAATAAACAAATGCTTTTTTACATTAATTTTCATTGTTCAAAGAATATTTCACTTTAAAGTAATTGAAGATAATATATTGAATTAAAAAACCGACGAAGCACTCTCTTAGTTTCAAAAAAGAAACTAAAAGTTTATTATAATTATCTGCGCAAAACAAATTGATCAAAATTAAAAGGAAAACTAATTACTAGCAAAAGAAAAATGAGCAACTAATATAACGTTTATAGACACGACCAATAATAACAATAGCTTTAACAACCTTATTAAAACGGAGCAAGTTATGGTAATGGAAATAGTGATGTAAATGGAGTAGGTGGGTAATACGATAGTATCTAATACTCACAACAGCCTCAATAATAGCAAAACTAGCAGTATCCAGATTAATATGCATCTATATAAACAGATCCTGTTTAAGCTGGAGGATCTGTCGATTATCAATAGGGATTGTATAGAAACAACAATGAAACAGCTAAAACTTTCAATACTGAAATGAGGAGAAAGTATCCCGTAGATAAACTCAATAAAAAGAGTGAATGGATAGGAGTAGAAAAGCATCTTTCAGAAGTCAATGAGGAAATACGTAAAAATGAAATCGAAATAAATCGTTTACGTTAAAAGGAGCTCTTGTAATTTTTATTATAATATTCTTTATTAAACTATGCATTCAATTTAAAATATATTATCTAGAGTTTTTATATTATTTTTATATTTGTCATTCGATTTTACAAGTAGAGAAATTGATTAATATCATATTAACTAAACAATATGTTAAAAAAAACTAATAGATCTGAGTTGGATAAGAAGATGATGTAGCAACTTTAATAGAAATAGTAAGAATTAAATTATAAGAAGAGAGAACATGAAGAAGTTTTAAGAAGAATGGCTGTCTATTAGGAGGTAAACCTTTTCTTCATTTAAATCATCAAAAACAAGCAAAATCAAGCACATTCATATTGATTTACAAATACAAACACACTTTATTTTTAAGTATTGAAGTGATAATGTAAATAGTTGTTATATTTATATTTCAAAAGGAACTAGCTAGAAATAGAGATGATAGAAAAATTATGCAACAAAATATGGCTGAATATTATCAAAGATAGAGAGAGGAGTAATAAAGAAAAGATTAAGAATATAAGCTCTAGAAAAACGACTGGGAGAATAAGGTAAATTATATAAAACTAACAATCTATATATAGAAAAAAATGAAAATCAATTGCAAACTTTAGTTGATTATTTTTTTGATTTTGTTTCAAACATTTGTGGGGTTTAATGCCTAAGAGGTGTTTTAAAAAAATTACAATTGCTTGAATGCAAAAATTTAATAAATTATTCTGACGTAGACTTAAGTAAAACTTTCAATAGTCTTTATTAATTTCAGCTGTAATCGTGACTTAATTAATTTATGAATTTACTTCTTTTTTAATAAAAATTAATTTCACAGTTCAAGTTAAAATTTGATTTAAATAAACAAACAAACACGCTCCAATTATATTTTGTTAGTTAGTGAGAATCAGATTTAATTCAATTAAAAAAAGCAAGCAATTGATTGCATTTGTTTCTTTTGGATAATAAAATCTAAAAATTTTTGTAACTGAAAATAAATAAAAATAGCTTCTGGAATACAATTAACAAAGAATAACAGAAGAATAGCGCAGAAACAAAGAACATAAAGTAAACTATTATTTATAAGATGAAAATTAACAAAAACTTTTTTGTAGGAATTTCTCAAAAATGCTGTTTTAAATGATTACTAAAGAGCATAAGCAAGAAAGGCTGCTGAAAAGCAAAACGAAATGCAAAATAAAATGGAATATAACGATCTAATTTAGATGAACGCAGAAAGAGAATTGACTAAAGAAGAAAATTATAAGAATGTAACTAACTAAATTAATATGATTTATTTTATGTAAAATAATAAAAAAATTAAATTAGTTTTATAGGATGGCAGCAGAAAACCAATAAAAGCTTCATGAAAATCACTTCAATAATGTTTATATGCCACTAGTGAAGAAATAAAGAGAGTTAGAAGACTTAATTAGCAAAGGTGTAACTGAAGCTGAACGTCGTAGACTCCAAAGTGAAATTGATAAAATACAAAGATAAAGAAATGTAAATAAAATTAAATCTAGACCATCAAATAAAATTATTTTTTTTAGTAACTTTTAGAAACTTCGGAGAAAAATTAATACCTAATGGGAGAAAAGAAATACTAAAACGAACTAGAAAAAAATTTAAAAGAGCAACAAGTGAAAGAAAGACTATAAGATGTAACTAGCTAACTAACTAATAAAATAAATAAAATGAATTTTAAAATAAAATTTTAATATAAAAGTTGTAAAATTTGTAAGAGTACTAAACATTCAAGAAGTAAGAAGATGCAGATAATAAAAAAAAATACAAAGATTTCCTTGATTAACAAGTAAAATTGCAAGCAATTAATTAGCAATATTTAAATAAATTTAATGTTTTAAAAAATCAGTACAAAGAAAAATAAGACATTCTTATGAATGAATAAAGAATGACAAGAAATGAAAAGGGATTAAATAGACTTGATCTTTAGGTAATTTATAATTAAATTAATTTTGTAATAATATAATTGATTTGTTAAAAATAATTAAGGCATACAAAATGTATGACAATGGTCTATACACTATGCTTCCTGGATGGGCTCCTTAAATAGGTTAATTACCACCTAGATAGAATAGAGAAGTCTTATAAGAACAAATCATGGATAAAATAAGAAAGTAAAACAACACAACTGATATTGACATTAACAATTCTGCTTCCTAATCTCCTTATAATGGAGGTACTTCTCCTATTATTGGTGGACCAAGTAATTCATCCTTAAATTAAAAAATTTTTTACATGTATGATTCAATAATTTATTTATAAAGATCGTACCCTTGCAAAAGCTGCTCAGAATAGCTTGATCATGCAAAGTCACCCAAATCTTGGATAATATCAAAAAATTGGAGAACCTGATAGAAAATATGAGCATCCCGTAAATTATGGTTAAAACTATGATGGCTCAATCTCATCAAAGAGTTAGCACTAACCAAAAAATCTCACTTATGGCCATAATCCAATTTATAACCCTATGCCTTTCAACAACCAAAATCCTTATATCTCAAAAGAATTCCAAAAGGCTGTTATGAATCGTTAGATTTATAGACCCAGTGTTGACAATAGCATTGGTGGCAATAATTCACAATTGGGAAGATATCCTGAACCTTTAAAATGAATCAATGAAGTTTATAATAAAAAAATTTAAGTTGATTTAAAAAAATAATAAAATTATCATCACATCAAATCGATCAGTCTTTATATTTTACTTATTTTGTTAATATTTTCATTTTATTTCCTTAAATAATTTTTAATTAGAATTTCATCTCTGTAAGTACAAAAATTTAATCAATGTAGAAGTATTTTACCAATAGCTAGCATTATTACAATATGTAAAAATATGGAATAGACTAGAATAAAATTAAACTAAAAATAAACTCTTAAATTCCTCAATTTAAATTTTATCAAAAAAATAAAAGAATCACTGAAATTAAAAATAAAATCTAAAATTAAATTTAAAACAATTAAATTTTTTTTTTATATAAAAATTTTTTTAATGTGCTAAAAGAATGTTGGCAAAATAAATGGATATTTTTAGTTATATTAATTCTTTATCTTCAACTTAATTAATTTAAAATTGATTAATTTAGAAAAAATTAAGAAATTTTATTTAAAGTTTATCAATAATTTACTTTCTTTTAAAAAAATTACAAAAATATTTTATTAATAAAATTAAAATGATAAAAAACATATTAAAAATAAAATTAAGATTTTAATTAAGTTAAAAATAATTCATTTTTAGAATTTAAAATAAAAAAATAAATTTCTTGAATTAAAAAAAGTTATTTGAAAAAGTTTAATTTATAAGACTAGATGGATTTACAATTTTTTAAGATTAAGATTTAATTAATTGAAATAAATTTATTTTACAAAACAATTCATTTTTAGAATTTAAAATAAAAAAATAAATTTCTTGAATTAAAAAAATTTATTTGAAAAAGTTTAATTTATAAGACTAGATGGATTTACAATTTTTTAAGATTAAGATTTAATTAATTGAAATAAATTTATTTTACAAATATATTATTCTTAGATGTTTTATCAATTAATTTATTTTAATAAATAAATTTATGGATCCATAAATTATATTTTAATTTTAAAAATAAAAGTTAGAGATTTATTAAAAATAAATTAAATTATGATATAAAGAATTAAGAAGTAGGTTAAAATATAAAATTTTTATTTAGAAATTAATTTTGTCAAATTTACGAGTTAAAAGATGAAATTTAAACAGGTCTGTTGGTATAAATATAAAGATCTTTTCCAGAGGCAATTATTTAGTTATTTACTATTTTGAGTCCTGTTATTTAGTTTTCATTTGTGGGCAAGGTAATATTTTAAAGTAATTTAGATTTGACTAAGTTAAAGATGGTAATTTATTAGTTAAGATTATTTGTAAACGCAATAGTTTACTAGTTATACATATCAATAAAATCTATCATATTATATTTATTAGTAATAGTACTGATTTTATTCAGCTAAGCATCTCTCAACACCATACTATAGCTTAGACTAATTGTGATTACTCTATTTAGATTTAGTGTTTTTATTTATTGTATTCCCATGCTTTGCTTGTTAAAAGATTAAATTAACTAACCATTTCTAATATCCCATTTGAGGATAGGAGTATATATATCAGAACAGGTAAATAAATGAATATCGTTTAGCTTTTCTATCTAATTAAAATAGCATCCTCTTATAGGGCTTACGATTATCCTTATTATTTTAAGTTTTTCATTTAGCAAAACAACAGAATCTTCGCCATCATTTAGCATAGCAATTATTTTATACTTTTCAAAATAAACAATTTACTTGATATATTATTTCTATTAATACTAGTAAGTTTATTTCATATTTGATATATTGAAAAGCTTGATGCAACCAAAAACAGAACCTGCAAGTAAAGTTTTGTTATCAATAACAATCAACTGATTGAAGCATTTACCTTAATTTACCTGTCTTGTAATTTATCTTGTTTCCAAATCTAGCTCACATATTTTTTACTTGTGAGCAGTGAAAAATAATAGCATTGTCTTTTTAGTTTTATTATGAACATACGATACCACATTTGAGACACAGTATACATTGTTTATACGGAAATCAAGTGCATAATTCATGTACTTTTCTTTTTACTTTAAGCCTATATCTTCGATATCATGGTCTGCATGAAACTTGTTTGAGCAAATATCGCAAAAATTTTCATCACACGAAAGGCACCTATATGTGAATTTAGATTTATGTTTCAAACAATAATAATTCAATGGATATTTCCACTTTTTCTTAATTTATCTAGGTTGCACTGTTTAGCTAAAAATATCACTAATACTCATTGGGTCATAATCTGAAAGATCATCAAATTCCATCTTACTTGAAATAAAAAGAAATAAAAAATTCTTATAAAATAGACTCGCTTGGCTATTTCTAATTATTACTTTAGCTAATTTGATTTTTATATAATAATTTTCTTAATAAAAATTCTTTTTGGCTATTCTCTTTACTTATGGATATAATAATTCTTTCTTATCAAGTATTTAATTAAAATTGCAAATCTTTAGTCTAAGTAGAATTAAAAATAAATTTACAAGAAATTTATCTTATTTTTGAAAAAATAATTATTAATAAATAAATTTATTTTTTAATTTATTAATTTTAGTCTTTCTTAAACAAGATTTAGTTGAAATCTTTTTCTTTAAATTTATTCATTAATTTTGAATTGAAATTTAAATTTACAAATTTCTATTTTTAATAAAAAAATTGTAACAAGTTTTAAAACGAGGACAAATAAAGCAGCATCAAAATAGAGTCAATTTTGAAGTAAATAAAAAAAAATAATTATTTCATTTTCATGATCATATTTCAAACAAAAAATATTTATTTTTTAGAATATTTGTTTACTTATTAAATTTTGATTTTTAAGATTAGAATATATAAACTAACAAATATCTTTAAATAGGTTTATAAGATTGATTCAATATTCTAATAAATTTACATCGAAATCATAAAAAAATACTGATACTAATAAGTCATAAACTAGTTAGAATGGAGATAACAACAACCAAAGCTACTAAATTGATATAAAATAAACTAAAGAATAAACTAAAACAACTGAAAAAATAGCAGAAAAGAATATTAAGTGTAAATTTTAAAGAAATTATAAATAGAAATTGAATGAAAAATTTTTGAAATTATATAAAAGAGCAAATAAACTAACAAATATCTTTAAATAGGTTTATAAGAAATATTCTATAAATTTACATCGAAATCATAAAAATATACTGATATAAATAAATAAATCATAACCTAGTTAGAATGGAGATAACAACAACCAAAGCTACTAAATTGATATAAAAAAAACTAAAAGATAAGCTAAAACAACTGACAAAATCTAGGCAGAAGGAATATTAAGTGTAAATTTTAAATAAAGAATAAATAGAAATTGAATGAAAAATGATAAATTATATATTAATAATATGAAGAACATTACTTGCTCGCTACATGTAAATTAAAGAATATTTTTATGAAAGTCTATTTTAATATTTTTAATGTTTTTTTATTATAATATTCAACTAATTTATTTGTATTTTTTTACAAATTTGTAAAGTTTATTTTTCTATTTTTCAATTTACTGAGACTTGATTTTGTACAAATTTTCTTTTGTAAATTAAAAAATCATTAGCAGGTATCACAATATAGTCATTGGTGATGTATATGTAATAGTACATAACACTATTTTTAGGGAGTGATATTATTTGAACTACTTCTTCCTTTAATAAATCACAAATTATCAATCTTCTCATATGAAAATTGATAAGTATTATAAATTAGTTATCTACTAACTTAGAAATGTATGAGTTTCTATAATATGTGTTGACATAATCTAAGGCTTTTTCACCAATTCTTCTGTAATTCTTTTTGCAATCACGCATAGTAAGCAAAAAGTTTAATCTCTAACGATTTCTATGATCAGGTGTTTTTTTGAAAAGCTCGTCTGTTATGCCTGTAATAACATTTATTTTATGAATATAAATTATTTGTATTGTAGGCTATATTGTTGAACAAAGCAGGTGTTCTTGACTTAATTTGTCAATTTCAAAAAAGAAAAGATGTTCACTATTTTTAATTTTTCTAACAATCCTGAGTTTCATGTTCATTAGATATACTCCTCCGCCTTCACTGGCAACAACCAAAATTTACCTATTCTCAAAATATTCGATATCATGAACAATAAATTCCAATTTTCCTATTTATCTTTAAGCCATAAAGTTAATATCAAACATGCGAATAGTATAATTATGCCAAATCAGTAATTATACATTTTTTATCGTCTTCATACGATAAGAGTTTTCTACCATTAAAATCTACCTCTTAACACATTTAGCTTCCAAATCAAAGTCATTTAAGAAATAGTTACTACAAAACAATAACATCAACCTCTTAGTCTGTTAATCTACATATGATACCACATTAGATTTGCAGTATTAATTATTAAGCTCAAAATATTTCTCAAAGGTAAAGGTTGAATCTGTATCATTTCCACTAAAGATACCTTTAAATATATGATTATCTTCTATTCCTTTTTTTTCACAACTGTTGCATATTTTTTTTTTGCATAAATAACACCTCAAAGTGAATTTTTAGTTGTGTTTTTTACAATAAAAGTTAATTTTGTACTTCCATATTTTTTTGAACTTTTTAACGAGTTTAGCTGGTTTATTTAACTAACTATTAGCTTCTTCTTATGATATTGTTTTCATTTTATCTCTTCTGATAATTTTTTACTAATATAAAAAGAAAAATAAATAAGTAAAGCTTAATGACATAAATATATACTAAAAATATAATTTATCATGCTATATGTAAAAATTTTTATCATTCCAAATAATTGTATCAAGCCTTGCAGCATTAGGTCATTTTTTTTACAAATATAATTTAAAACTTTTAAATTTAATCACGGTACTTAAAATTTTTATGGTAATTAAAAAATAATATCATTTAACCAGTTAAGCACAGTTAAGCGAACAAGAAGTACAAATTTTAGGATTGAAAAAAGACTTTGAAAAAAAAGGACCTAAAAACGAGACACAAAAAATTGAAAATATTATTATAAATAAATATTAAGATATATATAAAAGAAAATATATGTTTGTAACCATACATGTTACATGTTTGTAAAAGAAAATAAATACAATAATATCATTTAACCAAATTCTAAAAAAATAAATATTTGATAAAGAATATTTTTAAATGAATACTATATAAGTGTTAGTTAATCACTAACTAATATTTTTAATATATATTTTTAAATATTTTTTAATAAATTATAAATCTTTAATTATATTTTTTCTAATTAGAAAGAAATGAGTTTATTTTTACAAAACACCTGATCAAAATAAATAAAGAAAATTAATTTTCATTCACTGACATTTACATTTTAAATAAAATTATATCTAAATAAGTAGAAGTAAATTAAAATATGGAGTAAATCATAAAAAAAATTTGCAATATTTGTAAGTTTATTAAATATTTTGTTAAAATTTAAATTGCTAGTTCTTAGAATTAATATTGTTAAGCAAATAAGTATTATATTTAGTATTTTTGTTAAAATAAAAAATTGAAATAATGATAAATAGCATTTGAAAAAGATAAGCCTTGATTTATAATTATAAAGAATAAAATTTGTGAGAACTCTATGAATTTATATTAAAAAATAAATACATTTTTATAAAATAGTTAATTAGTTAGTAACACAAAAGATTGTACTCTTCAATATAATATTTAAAAATTATATATTTTTTGTTTTGTTGATTTATTGATTTATATTTATTTATATAAGTTGTTTGATTGATTGATTGATTATTTATTCTATAGAGGAAGTTAATGATATTTTATAGATCTAATTTATTTTTTTATTAGATTATTAATTTTTTTAACTTACTTTCTATAAATTGTTTGAATTACTTCAAATTAAAATTGATGTTTTATATTTAACAATTAAAATCGTTTTTTCCAGCATATTTTCTTTTCTGATTTATTAAATCTTTTTTTCAAAAATTTGCTTTTACTTTTTTATTTAAATCTATCTCACCTAAAATTGGTACCTCATTTTCTTTTACGCTCAATTTTCTTTTTCTGTTAAGAATTTTCTCACCCGTTTCAGAATTCTTCTTCTCGTATCTGAATTCAAGTTCCTCACACTTAGATCTATAATATTCATATGAGGCCTTCTTTTCTTTTAACTAATACATTTCTTGTTATACCTTTCTTTCTCTTTCCTATAAATGAATTATTTTTAATATAAATTAGAAAACAAATTTTTTTACCTCAACACTCTTCAAAACACTTGAAAGAACCTCTTTTAGAGCAGTAGTATCTTCTTAAGATTAAATTTTTTCAAGATATTCGTCTTTTTAAGTAGGATCAATTTATCCCTTCTTGCAATCTATAAGATAGTTTCTTACTAGAATATTTATCTCTAATATTCCCATGTTTTTTTCATTTATAATTTCACATTATTTCTATTAAATATAATAAAATATTTTTTAAAATATAAAAGAAGTTAATTAAACAATTAAGATCTTTATTTATTTTAAAAAAAATAGATTACTTCTAATTTCTTGGCTATCTCAGTCGAGTTAGAAATATCTTTGACTATGGTTGCAGTGGATATTCCTCTATTAAGCTTTTCACATATTTCATTTATCTTTTTTTCTGATATTTGCTTGTATTTATTAAATTAATCCTTAATTTTATTGTTCTCTTCCTCTAATTTTTTAATTATGATGTTTTGATCATTAGCATTTCCATTAAATCTGTTAGCTTATTGTGATTAGACTTATCTTTCCAATATAAGAGCCTTGTATTTTTGTTTGATCTGAGAGCATTCTTCTCTTGATTTTTTCAAATCTCTTTACAAGCTATATAAAAACAAATTTAAAACTATGTTTTTTAAAATTAATAAATTACTCTTCTTATGTAAATTAGTTTTTCTCTCTATTGGATTGCATAATAAGAATCTAGTTAGTTAGTTTGTTATTTTCCAATTATTTTATAGTAAGTTTTTCCTATTTAATAAAATATTTTTAAAGAATTTTAATAAAATCTAAAATATTACATTAAGTCTTTCCATAGCTTATTCAAGGGTATTGTATTTTTATTCGTAATTATCAAGCTCTTTACTTTTATTGACATATTTAGACTGATAAACATTCTTTTATTCTTCTATTTACTCGTGTAAGGTCTTGAATATTTCAAACTTGCATCCTATTTGTTCTTATTCTTCTTTGAATTTTTAAATGAGGATATCTTTCTAATACATTTCTTATTAGATAGTTTGTCTTTCAGTTTCAAGCTTTTGTTTCTCTATTTCAAACTTTTATTTCTCTAATTAGAAGATCTCCATTTATCCCTTTTTATTACAAAAATGTATCATTAAATTTTCATTTTATTAAATTTATTATAAATAAATAAATACTCTATTATCTTCGATTTGTTTTTTAATAGATTCATTTTCAGTTCTGGCTGCTTAAAATGATTGTTGAAGTTCAGATATATTACGCATTTGGTTTGAATATTTAGTTTAAATTTTATCGAATTCTTCTTCATAGACTTATCTTTCTTAAATGAGTTCTTCTATCTTTTGATTTTTTTATGAGATCTGTTCCTCCTTTGATTTTTCACTTTGAAGGTAGAGCTCTTGCTTTTCTTATATTTCTTACTTTAAGACTTCCATGTCTTCTTCCATTTGAGAAGCCTTCTATTACATGTTTTATACCTCAAATTCATAGTTTTACACTTATTCATTAAGTTTGTTATTCTGCTCTTTGACAGATTTTAGCTCATGATCTTAAATCTACTAGTAATCCTCTGAAGACTTCTTTAGTTCATAGAAATCAGATTTAATTTACTCTATTTATGTTTCTTTTTCCTTGCACAATTACTCCAATTATTGTAAATTTTCCTTCAACTCAATTATGGTTTTTTCTTATTCTAAATTAGATTCAATCAACTAAGCTTCTTTTTAAATTAGGTCCTTCTTTTCTTCTGATAATAACACAATTTAATCTTAAAAGCCTGTATTCAAAGTAATTTGTTCTCCTAACTAACTCTCTAATTCTGAAATCTTTTAAGTAAGCAATTCGTGAGTCATTTGAGATACTCTTATCTTCTATTCTGCATCTTCCAATTATAAAATTTTTTCTAATATTTCTTACTCTTTCTAAAGCAATTATTCGCTTAGAATTTTATTTTATTTTTCATATTCTTAGACACCCATTTCTAGTTATTCACCCATTTATAAAGCAGTTTCTAAGGCTTGATTTATTTCTTTAATTTTATCATCTTTAATTTAAATCTACTGAATCTATTATTCTGTTTCATTGCGGTAATATTCTTTTTCGACTTCTAAACTGTTCAGGCGCTTTTCATTATTTTTAAGCTTTTCCTAAAGACCCAAAATATCATGCTCTAAATCAGTAATTTTATCCATCTTTTAGGTGATTTCTTGCTCAATTTCCTAAATCTATTTTTCAAAAATTTCATTTTGTTTAAGAGCTACGTTAAGCTAACTCTTTTCATTATGGTAAAGGTATTTCAATTCATTTTCAAACTTTTCTCTTTAATTAAACTCTTGCTTGTATGTTTCTTATAATTAGATATTTACTTAGCATTTCTCTTCTAATTATTTATTCAAGAACTCTAATGTCTGACAAGCAATTTCTATATCCTAAATTATTTTTATTAAATTTTAATTTCATTTATGAAAATCAAAGACTATGTTTACTTCTTTTGATTTTGTAATTTGATCTTCCAAGCTTGCAATGTCATCCTTTTATTTATCAATAGTTGCTTGAAGACGAAGGTTTTCTTCTTCAATTCTACTGACAAGATTATTTATTTAATGATCTTTTTCTTATATTATATTCTTTTAGGAATTTAGCTCATCTTCTAAAGTCATCATGTGTAGACGGTCTTAATTGTATAAATTCTCTGCCTCACTTAACTTAAACATTAAGTTTGTATTTTCCTCTCTTGAAATATTTAATTAAGATTAAATTGAGTCCTTCTAATTTTCTATTTCATTTTTAGTCTAAAGAAATTATTTTTAAAAAAATTAATATTCCATCAATAACCTGATTAAATAAATAATTACTTGTAATGTCTTCTGATAATTTTCATAGGCATTTTCCCATTTCTATTTAATATCATCTTTAATTCTATTAAGATTCTCAATGTGAGACTTTAATTCATCAATTTCATCGGCTAATTCCATATTTTTAATCTTTATCTCAGATGAATTTTAGTCATACTCTGCTAATTTACTTTCAAAACCATTCTTAAACTGTTAAATTTTTTCTTCATGAGTTTAGACATTCTTGGCAATCTATTGCTAAAGAGATTAAATTTCACTGTTTAATCCTTGATTTACTTCTTTAAAATGATCTCTTTAATTAGAAATTTCCTCTAATTATTAATTAAACCTAATTATTAAAAAAAACAGTTATTCTCGTTATATCATTCTTATTTTCTTTACAGCTTATTCTAATGAGCCTGTTCATTTTAAAGTTCGATAATTCTTTTTTCTCTTTAAATGATAGCTTCTTCAAGTTCTTTCTCTTTTTCAGGACATCCAAAGTTCATTAATCCTATTTTTTCTAACTTAGATGTAAAATCTTTTCTTCTTTCTTCAAATTCTTCTAACTTAATGCATGTCTGTGTCATTTACTAAATGTCTTCTACAATCGTTTAATCTATTTCAGTTAATAAAGAACTAATTCCTTCCTCTTCCATACTATCATATTTTAATTATTATTTAATTGATATTTTATCAAAAAAATAAGCTTTATTTACTCTGATTTTTAAGTTAATGCTTTAATTATATCAACATCTTATCCCATTTTCTTTTGGTCAACTATATCTTAGAAGACTCTTAAAACTCCCAATTTTTCATTTTTAAAGAATTCTTCGATTCTAGATCTAGAATCATTAAAATCGCCTAAATAAAAATAAATTAGTTATCAAGTATTTATTTTGTTTAAATAAATAATTCATATTATAATTTTTTAAAATTTACTTAAAAGTTAATTGACTTCTTCAAGTTTGATATTAATTTCTTTAAAGTTTTTCTGTTAAAATTAAATAACTGCCTCATGGTTCATTGAAGTTGGAGTATATTTAGCAGGTGTTATAATTCTAGTCATATTCTTTTAGTTTTCCTCCATTTCTTATAAAGCTTTCTTAGCATCTTACAACTCTTCTTTAAGCTTTTAAATTTCTTTTTTAAGCTGCTAAACATTTCCTTAACTTTCTTCGTTAACGGAAGCCTGTTTTTAAAATTTTAATATATTAATACAAATTTAGTTTTAGTATTTAACAAATAAAATACCTTATTTTTAATCATCTTAGCTCTTTGAGCAAACTTAAGAGTAGAAAGGGTTTCTTAAAATTATGTGTTGGCTTCTGAGCATGCAGCAATCATAAATGTTCTTGAGTTACCTCCAAGTGAGTCTTTCAAAATGAAAGTCAATTTACTGTCTCTGTAAGGAATGTGTCTACTTTTACCATTAGCAGATTCGACTAAAGCATTAATAACCAAACCTATTTAATAGTTTTTATTTTTAAAATATGTTTTTCTATAAATTCAGTTTAGTACCAAGAACGGTTAAAGATTTATTGATATTGGATGCTTCTTTGAGACGATCTCCAGCTGCTCCAGTAGATTTTTGTCTTTCAGAACCAGCCAAATCTACAAAATGCAACTTAGAATTTTTAACATGTATCATACCATTAGAAACAATTTTAGATTAGAAATTCAAAGAAAAAACAGAGTGAGATCTGCTTGAATCTGCATTCATTTTAGTAGCTCCAACGTGACGAGCTGAGGCACCTTTTATAATAAAATATAAAATAACATTTAAATTTCGATTTGTTATCTTATTAATAGGTAAAAATGGTTTATTTTTTCTAAAATTTCAAATTTATTTTTTTAACTTCAAACAAGTTTTTTTTTAATGCTTTTAAAGCAAATTTAATAAAACTGAAGTGAAATATTTTATTTTTGATATTATTTCAGCTATAAATGATTGTAATAAATTGCTTTTCAATTGATGCATTAAGAAAATATTCTAGTTAGAATAATTCAAACTTGATTTATGAATATTTTCTACAAATATCAATAAATAAATAGATAAAAATGCAAATTTCACATTAAAATATTGAGGTAAAATTTGAAAATTTAAATTAAAATAAAAGAGTTGTTTGATGTAATTAACAAACCCCTTTTATCTTATTTTTTGAGAAATAAAAAAAATGCTCACTGTGGCTGATTTCGAAATTAAATTTCCTATTTATTGATTTTGTATATTCTTAAATAGATATTAATAGATAATAGTGTCATTTTTTACCTTTAATTAGTAAGTTGATAGCATCTTCTGATGAATTTGCAACTTCTTCACATAAATTTTCGACATAAACTCCTTTTTTCAAATCTTCTCTAACTGATAGTTAAACTGGTTTAGCATTAGCATCATGCTTTTGCTCAGCAAGCAAATCCATAATTTATTCATTATAAATTTCAAGGTAGTTGCATGTAATTAAATATTCATTTTCAGGGTTTTCCTTTTTTAAAGAGTTAATCAATCCAAATACATAGTCAAAAACTCTAGGCTAAAGACCTCTATTTGGAGATTCAGCTCCTTCTTCAATAAGCCCCTTACCTTGCATGGTGAAGGTTTTACCTGCACCAGTTTGACCATAAGCAAATATACAAGCATTATAACCTATTTTAACATGGAGAAAAATAAAACAATGCTCTTTATTTATGTCAAATTTCATATATCTATTTTTGACATTATTCTACTAATGTTGTAGACAAGAAAAAATGTTTACCTTCCAACCAAGCTAGAGCAACAGGTTTACCAACTATATGAAAAATATCCTCTTGAGTAGTCTCAGAGCCAGTAATATAATCATAGTTATAGCTTTTACCATCAATAATTACTGTGGTAGGATTACTCTAATTTTTATTTTTAAGTAATGTTAATAAACAATATTAAAATGCAGTTTTAAGAAATAAAAAGTATGTATTTTACCTTATCAACTTGCATACATGGAGTGGCTCCTTCAGCTTTTTCTCTAGAATTGAGAGGTCTGATACGAACCAAGACCTAAATATTTTCTTGATCAGTCTTAATCATTAAAATTATATTTTGAGTTGTTGCTCAGTACTGTGTTTCTTTTGTTATTCTTTTTCTTATTTGCTAGTTAGTCCTTTTTAATTTGCTTTGTATGCTATCAGATTGAATGTCGAATAAGGATTTTTCGGTAAAAATTATTATTAAAATGAGTATCTCTTTTTTTATAATTTAATAAAGGAAATTTATGTATGATTTCTTTAGGATTATCTTTATTTTTCTCAGAATGTACAAGATATTAATAAATTCCGCAAAGATTACCTCCAGTTTAATTTTTTACGTTTTCGCGATATTTTGATTTTAATTTCAAAAATTAAATAAGTCAATATTAATTAATTACTTAGTTAATTATCCTATTTATCTTTTAGCGAATAGATCTTTTTAAAAAATAACACGACAAAACAATCATTATAAATATTTAATTTAATTTTTGAATTTTGAATTTTTTTAATTTCCCTCCAAACATTCTTTTTAATTTAAAATAAAGCAAATTAAGTCTTTCAATAACAAGTAAAATTTCAAATTAACAATTACTATTAAATAATAAAGACTCAATCCTTTTTTGAAATAATATTTTCTCAAAAAAAATAACATTATAGTTTTCCTTTTTGATATTTTTGCATTGTTTATTAAGAAATATCTATGCTAGTCTTGCTATTAAATATTAATATTTATTTTTCTTCATTTTTATATGATTCAAAGATAATAAATTAATTTTGTAATTAATAATAAATAAAATAATAATATTTTCTTTTCAAAATTGAGCTTAATAAAATATGTTTTTATCAACTTTGAATTTGAAATTTTACAAAAAATTTATCAAACTATCAATTTAAAAAAACATTCATTTTATTTTTATTTTGTTTATCTTATTTATTTATTAAAGGAAATTAATAAAACCCTAAAAATTTTCTTTTGAAGTAAAATAATTTGAGCAAAATAATTTATTTTTATTGTTGAATTTTTGTTTTATTTTGCAATATAATATAAAAAATTTGGACTTACATTGATTAGACATAAAATATTCATTGACTATCAATACAAGCATAAATATTACGCTGTAGATTGTTTTTTTTCATTATTAATAACTTGAAATGCTAAATTGAAAAAAAAATCTTTATATTTTTACTTTTTATATTTTACAATAAAAAATTACTAAATAAATTTACACTAAATAATTAAGTTTAAAGCTACTAAATTACGATTTTACCTCAGAAGATTGACTTATATTAAGATATTTATTAAATTTTAAGATTTTAAAAATAATATTTATAATAAAATAATTAAATATTTATTTTTAAAAAGCAAGAAATGCAAATAAATTTAAATTAAACAGAATTGATTTAAATATTTATAATTTGCTTTGTTTAATTAAACTATTTTGTACTATTCTATTTAGTAAAAAATTTTAGCATTCTCAAATATCACCATACATAATATTTTATTAAATAATATTAAATTTTAAGACAACGATTATTTTAAATTAATTAACTCTTTTATTTCTTTTTAAAAGAAATGATAAGTCAAATGCTTAAAAATAATTTAAAGCTTATATGTTTTTTAGCACTTATTATAATATAAAAAAGTAAAAAATTTCAACAAAAAGAACTATTATAATTAATTACAATTAAAACTTTTAAGTAAGTAAGTAAGTAACACTTATTTTACATTTAATCTTTTTAGTATATTAATTTTGTATAATTGTTTATTTATTATTTACATTTTATTTTTTTCATTAACTCCAAAAAAACATTAATTAATTGAAATGGAATATTTAATTTTTCGGAAAATCTCTTAAAAATAAATAGAAGAATTTGCTAAAATTTGAAGGAATATTTTCTTTTTGAAAAATTTAATAACTCAATACGAAGATTCACTAAAGTAGTCTTAGTGTTTGCTGAATACAAGCGCTTCACTTCTTTCTATTACTTACTGCTTTTAGATGGCATAATTAATCTCGTTTTATTAGTAGTCTTGTTCATTTTCTTCACAAATTTACTCAGATTTTTCACTTTAGCTAATAGTTTTATTTCTAACAAACAAGCTCTTTCTCTTTACATATCCACCATAATAGTTGTTATCTTTATTTTTAATCAAACCATCGTAATCTTTGTATATTTAAAACCTAACCACATTTTTTTCAAACTATATTTTCTCATATGGTCCTAATTTTCCAATTATTTTCTAGCTAATTGGGATACCAACTTTTAACTCTTTGACTTTCAAATTTCTTCCTAAAGTCATAACATTTAAATGTTATATAAGAATTTATTCACTTATGTTGTAATTATTGTCAAAGCCTGGTCCTGTATCAATAATAGAAATATCTATAAGCTAATTATCTAGAGGATTCAATTTAAAATGAACTGCCGTATAGCTAATTAAAATAAATAATTTTAATTATTATGTTGTGATAGATTAAACTAAAACCATTTAAAAAAATTTCAAAAATATTTTAGAAAAAAACTAATTAATTTAATAATTTTTTAGAATTGAAAATAAAATTGATGCTTAAGTAAGTTGTATATTTTATAAATCTTAAATAAAAAATTAAATTCTGAAATAAACTATTAATTAATTAATTACCCTTTTTAGATCTTAGTAAGAGATTGGAGGGAATTATTTATAAGATTAATAAAGACTTATTTCAAATATTTTTCGTCAGTGTTAATGTATGAATCTTCTTCTGTAAGATCATTAATAAAATATAATTCAAGACAGCGTGATTTATATTCAGATTGAAAAATAGTTTTTAGATCTTTTATAATCCTTTCTAAAGAGATATTAATTGGAGAAATGATGATAGAATTCTTTGAGAATATTTTAAAAATGTCTTAATAGTTGAATAAGCTATTAAGAATATTGTAGTTATTATATTAAAGGTCTTAAGTATTTTAAAAAATCAAATCTTTTTATTGCTTATCTTATTTAATAATATCCTCTAAAAGTGAAGTTCCTTGCCTAGATGAATCGTTGTTCAAAGTTGATTAAACTATTGTATTTTATATTTAACTACTCTGCTTTCTTACAATTAAGTCTGAGGCTATCTCTCTTAGTCTAGATAGAGCATTTGTTTATTAATCGTTTTAGCTTAAAATACTATCGAGCCTAGAAAGATTTTGATTGATTGATTATTACTATTTTAAGATAATATTTTATTTTAGGTTATTAACTGCTTTTTTCATTTTATATAAGCTTTGAGCGATTGGAGCTCTAAGTTTTTTAAGCATTTATTCAAATAAATTCATATAATATTTATTGAGTTTCTGCAAATATTCTACTCTTCCTTAAAGTGTTTCATCTTCAAAAATAATCACCTATTTATTATTTAAATTAAACATTTATAAATTTAGTTTTTAATTGTATCTAATAATTTGTGGTAAAAACTTATTTAGCTTTTGGAGCTTTAAAATAGTAATTCAGCAAAAATATTAATTTATTTATGCGATTTCAATCAAAATTTCAATGGTTTTAATAAAAGCTAAGTAAAAATAAATATCTTTTACAAAAACTCCACAAGCTTATGTGACTAAATTTTTGAAAAAAATATATTTTTCAATTGCGAATTTTCATAACAAATAGCAAATTATTTTTAACTTTGTCTTCTATCTCTTTTTAAAATTTTTAACATTTTATATTTTATATAAATAACTAACTAGTTAGGTGATCAAGGCTTATAGAAATTAGATTTTTACCAATTATACTTTATTCAAAGAAAAGAGCAATAATTTAGTAATTTTGCTATAAATTTATTTATTCAACATATTATTATTCTATTATTCATATAAAAGCTATTTTAACTTAATTCGCATATTGAATACTTTTAAAAATGGAAGATAAACAAATTATGTTTAAATATTTTTTTATAAAAATTAATTTTTCAATCATTGATGTTTGATAAATACTTATTTGGATTATATTTAGGATAAATTTATTTTGATATTTATCAAATTAGAAAATTTTTGAGCTGAGTCCTTTTAGAAGTATAAATAGATATGTGTGAATATAATTTTGGGTTACTTCTATTTTCGAACATTTAGTAAAACTGTAAGTACTCATATTGCAATAACTAGTAAAAAATAAATAAAAGAATAGATCAAAATTAGTAAGTTGGAAATATTTATTTATTTATTTACTTTAAATGTTAAATAAATAAAGAAAGCATTATTTTTTAAAATTTTCATATTTGATTGATTAAAAAATTAATTTTTTTCATATTGAAAAGAAAAATTTATAAAAGCCTACTTAGTAAATTTCTTCTAAGATATATGTGTAAATTTTGATGTTCAGGATCTTTTAATTTTCACCTTATAAAATGCCATAAAATACTTCTAGACGATCATAAATTTCATCTGCAATATTTTTAGCATTTACGTTAGCATTGTTATTTATTCCTTTTTTTTAATTGTATTCATTTATGTTGAGGTTATTAATTATATTATTAGAATTAGGATGATTGCTATTAGTGTTATATACATCTTTTATAGTTTATTCATATTATCTATCTCCTATTTCAATTTCTAAATTATCAAATTATTTTTTAATAGTTTTTTTGTGTTCTTTTTTTCTAATTGATTTTATTATTTTTTGGGTCATTGAATCTGATTCTATCTTTTCCTAAATCCCAAATATGTTTCTGAGATTATGCTCAGTCATTCGATGGCTAATTAAGTCTCCAGATTATCTGCATGAAAGAGAATTCGGCGATACCATGTCATCAACAGGTTAATTGAGTGCTGCTGCAGAGAATAAAGCCTGTTAATTTTGGTGCATATTTGGAATAGAGTTGTTATTTAATATTGATTACTTACGATCATTTTACAAATTATCTTGGTTATTGTTTACATTTATTGTATTCTTCTTTTTGTAATGCTTTTTACTGTAGGAAATTGCTTAGAAATGCATATGCTAAAATAAGCTTTTGTTATTATTACTCTCTAACTGCAGGCGTTAATATTCATCTAAAGCTTACAGCTCAACTTTTAATAAAAAATTTTTCATGCTATCATCATCTTTTATATGAAACTACTTTTATAGCTTTGTATTAGACATGTGGAAGTAAATACGTTCCTCTTTTTTATCGTATTTGGTAATGAGCATACTGACTGGAAGCAAGCGCTTTACTAAAAAATTCATCTCATCCTCGCTTCTCTACACAAGAAAAAGATTCCTAAGACTAAGGTCTTCTTAAAATATTTTGTAAATTTAAAGAAAAATTGCTATTGAAACAGACAAAACATAATGTCGAATGGATGTTTGAAACCTGATAAAGAATACTTCATAAATGATTCCAATATTAATTGCAGTGATAAATTTCATAATAAAATTACTGCCTTGCAACAAATAAATATGCTTTAACACAATGTTTGAGCCATAATACAAATTATTTACATAATCAATATCGTTAACATTCAACCAAAAACTTATCATGCAGCAATTTAGCATAGCTTGCCCAAGATTTTGGATGGCAATAAACAAATTAAAGTAGCTTGAGCATATTTTAAGTACAACAAGCCTTTGCATTAAGCCTAACAAAAACTATGCTAGAGTTATGCATAATATTATAAGATCGTTATACTTCCTATTAATAGCATAATCTATTCCAATAACAATCATCTCAATGAGGAGAATCAAGAGATATCCCTTTGAGAAGTCTCTACCAGACTTAGTGCGATCCTTATTAAACTGCTTTTCAAATTTATCTACTTTGAAACTTAATGATATTCCATTCATTAAAATCTACTACTATTTATCTTCTACCTATCTAAAATATAGATCTTTGGTAATAATTATATTTATAAAAGCTTTGTTGAAAAAACTATGCAATTAAATAAGAAATATTATTAACTATTTTTAATTAATATTTTACTCAAAATCAATCAAATTCAAGTGAAAAAAAAAAAACTTTTAATAGTTTATCTGCATTTATTTATTCATTTATTTATTCGCTGATATTAATATTCGATCATCTATTTTGTTAATTTATAGTGAATAAAACTGTAAGTAAATTTAAGCTCTTAATAAATAAACTATAAGTTAACTCCCTTCTGTTATTATGATTTAAATATTAAATGCCAAGCCATTACTTTTTCACTGAAAAAAGAAACTAGTTAGAATAAAGTCAAACAAATATTCAGAAAATAACTCATTTATTGTAAAAAATTAAATTAATTAAAATTTTCTTTTCATAAATTAATTCAAGGATGTTATCAAACAAACTACAACGAAAACTCCTTTTTTAATTTACAACCATTACTTCCTATCTAAATAATTATTTAAATTATTTATGTTTTTTGGTATAGACTTTTTTTGTTATAGTGAACGAAAATATTAAATCTCCTATCTAAGTAACTCTTTTTAATTAAAATCCAATAGATTTTTTATAAATAGAAACTCTATCGACATAAAAAGGTTCCATTAATTATTATAATTTTTGATTGTTTTAAATCTTACTAAGATTTTATAAAATTGATGGTAATTGGTTTTTGTAAAATAATCCGTCAGTCATAGCAAGCCAATTTAAGTTTATTAAAAAAAATTATCAAATCAGTAAATTACACAATATTAACTTAACAAAATTAATATTTTAATTCCACCCTTAAATACTTTCTAGATCTTTAATTCCCTAAAATTTGTTAAGCTTTTTAAAAAGATAATTCAAATATATTGTTGATTTTAAAGTGTTTTTTATAAGCAAAATCAGTAAATTACACAATATTAATTTAACAAAAAAAATATTAATATTTTAATTCCACCTTTAAATACTTTCTTGATCTTTAATTTTCTTATATTTATTATGATTTTTAAAAAGATAATTGAAATATTTATTTGATTTTAAAAGGATATTTATGTTTCTCATCTTTCGAATATTAAAATATTTAAATTTTTAATAGTAATAGTAGCTTTTACTTTCTAATTCTTATGTCTGAGGTTTATATTAATTAAAATTAAAAATTCCAGAGTAGAGAAAAAGTAGAGATCTTATTATTTTAAGGCAATTACTTAACAAATATTTCATTTATATATTAATATAAGAAAAATACTAAGTTAATTAAAAACTGTAAGTTTCCAACGATTTTATTTCAACTTTTTTTATTTTAATTGAAATTTTTAATGAATAAGAAATCAATTTCTCTCCTTTTAAAAATTCTATTTCGTTATTTAATAATTAATATTGATTGTTTCAATCGATTATTTTTAAAGAAATATTTTCATATTTTCTTCGAGAAAAAAATATTAAAACAAAAAATAATAATTTTTATTTAATTTAAACTTATTATCTTTTTTCATAAAAATCATTAAATTTATCATATTTGAAAAGAAATTTTATAAGGTTTCTTAGATAATAAGTCAATATAGAATTACTTTAAAAAAACTAAATAATTCTCATGATTTTTAAAATAATTTTATATTGAATAATATTTTTATATCTATCATTTATTTTGGAAATGCTTTAAAATTTAAAAATATTTAATTAAATTTATAAAACAATTATTTAAATGCTATTATTTAAGTATATGATTTATTAATTGAAACAATAATTTATAAGTTTCTTAAAAATAGTTGTTTTTATTATAGTTTGAAAAGAAATTTATAAATTCTTTCAAAATTTTAAGCTTTTTTACACTACTTTTAAAATAATAATAAAATATTGCAATAATAGATAAAAAAATTTTATTTTTTTGAAGGATTTAATAAAAATAAAATTATGCTAATTCAAAATAGTTTTTATTTTAATAGTTTACAAATAGTTTGATTTAATAACTAAAACAGAAAAAGCTTTTAATTGACTTTGTATTGAACTTAAACTTACCCTTTCTCAATTTCAAAATAAAGTAAATAACTTAAAAATTAAAATTATAAAGCATTTTGATAAAATGAATTGAAGTTTCTTATTTTTATTACATTTTAATCAAAATAAGAAAATAATTCTAATAAATATTAATATTCTAATAGTTTTATGTATTAATAATTTGAAAATGAAAATAGATTTTTAATTAACATTTCTTTTGATTTTTTAAATTAATTGAGATAATTTTACAGAGTATACAAATTGATTATATTATTTTTATTTGTTTGTTTTTGCTATTTTTTAAATAGATTTTAGATCTTTTTTTAAATTTATATGAATATAGTTAAGACTAGTGGTAATTAAGAATAAAATGAATACACAAATTAAAAGCACACATTTATATGTTTAAATAGTTCTAGACAAGCTTTTTAATTCAAAGAATAATATCCACATTTATTTCTTTTTCGCTTTTAAGACTTATATTTTATAACTCAATGACGATGTTAAATCCAAGAAAGATAAATGTTCCAAATAAGTCCCACAAAGTTAGCAAAAAGTACTCTGTAAGGAATAGGTACAATAGAGAAATTAATCATTTGAGCTGCTGGCCATAATTTCCAATTTGCTATCATAGTCTCTAAACTCTTTTCTTTAATACTAGTGATTCCTTTTTCAATAGACTAATACTCTACATAATTAACAACCATAAAGAAATAGCAAGTGAAGGAAAAGGCAAAAATAGTTTAGTCAAAAGCCATAGGAATAAGTGTTTTTGAAATCTAGCCCATCTTAGGATACTTATAAAAAATATTTCTCTCACAGAATCCTGGTAAAAATCCATACCATTTATGTAGAACGGGAGCTGCAAAAACAGATCCTACAAAAGCTATGTTTGCAGTTCTTCTAAAATTATATGCTTTGTTTTCTTCAAATACTAATTAACATATGGCATCTCCCAGACCAAACATAAAACCAGATGTCACGCATTTAGTACTTAAAGGGTATTTTGTTAATAAGTTGTTATATCCTTTGAATATATTCATTTCTATTGTTTAAATCTAAAAAATATCAAAATTTTTATTTTTTTTGCAAAAATAAATAATAAATAATGTTTATGATTTTGCTTAATCTAAAACGATTATCTTTGAGATATTTAAAAAGAAATAATCTAATTAGATAATCTTAAAAACATAAAAAAATAAAAATTCATTTAAACAGTAAATCTATTACATTATTATACACTTAAATATTCTAAATTAATATTTCTTTTTAGAATATTACAAATAAATATCAAAATGAGTTAATTCTAAAATTAATCAATAATCTAATAATTGTGTTAATAAATTTTACAAGTCCATTTATTATAATTTATAATATTTTATTATAGTATTAACTGTTAAATATTAACCAAATATTATTTTATTTCTAAATGAGTGTATCTTAATCGTTGTATTTTATTATTTAAAGTTGGTCATATTAACCTTGATTTTAATAATTATTAAAAAAGATATGCTTATACTCAAAATCTAATCAATAAAAATCAGCTAGTTTTAATTTTAAATTATTATTCTTTCAATTAGGGTAAAATATATATAAAAAATAATTTTTAAAATCATACAAAATATTTTGAATAAAAATCTTAGACAATATGAATGAATATACATAACTATTGCAAAAATTTAACACCAACCACCTAATTAATGTAACGTTATAACATCACCTACCTATTTGAAATATGTAATATTGTTCAATATATTATGATTTATTACACCTAAATTAATTTTTATAACACCTTCTTAAATTTATTTATATTTTACAAATATTTAATAATTAAATATTAAAATAATTATAATTTATTTATTGAAATAAACATCTTTTATGGATATATAATAAAGTCAGTCTTTTTGAATATATATGTCTGAATATTAAGCATTTATACTTTAATAGATAATAAAAATTTAATACGAGAATGAATAAATTATTGAATTTATAATTTAAATAAAGTTTAGTATAAAGTGAGTGATTATATCAAAGATCAGTTTATTTAGTTGATTCTTATTGCTATTACTATTCTTGCTCAACTTTTGGTGCATCGTCAGCCAATTAAACATTTTCTAAAAATGAAGCCTATTTAAGAGCAAAATAGAAAATTTCATCATAATCAACTACACCGTTTGAGTCAGCGTCGGCTTCTTAGAAATGTTTGAGGATTGTTTCATCAGAAAAAGGTTTCTCCTCATCTTAATAAATAGTTATGAATTCATTAAAATCAAATCCACCACTGTTATCCTTGTCATACTTTGCGAAATAATCCTTCATAGCATTTCCTGAAATTTAACTTAAATCTAATTCTATATTTCCTAAATCTATATTAAGATCTCCTAAACCAAGATCCTTCAAACTATCGAAGCTCAGCTTAATATCAGCAGCCAATGCAGCTGCTAAAATAACTAAAAGAAAGGTTGCCTAATACTTATTCATTTTTTTGCTTTTTCTGATTTTCTTTATTTGCTATGTTTTTAATAAATTAATTAATAAATATTGAAAAGATATTCTCTACTTGATTTTATATATTAATAATCTTAAAAATTGCGTACACAAAGAAATCCTAATAGCTCTGTTACTAAATAAAGAAATCTTATGAGTCTTTTTTGTCACTACATCTATTACCACAAATCAATTGCAAGTTCAAAAATATTATTTTAAAACAAATTGATATAGACAAATAAATTTATACTTATTTCATCTACGTTTATGAATTATCCAATTCTGATATCTTTTTCCATTAACTAAGTATTTAATTAACACGTAATTATTTATCAAGTAAATCTTATTGACCTTACACATACCTCACTAAACAATGCTTTGATAATTTAACAAATGTGAAAATTTGTTTTAACTATAAAAATCATTTGTCAAATTACTTGTTTTAAAAAATAGATATTATCTATAAATAATAAATATTTAGATGCATAAAATAGGAAAACAAATAAGCTAAATTAAACATAAAAATAAAATTCTTCATAGTAATAATAAATAGCCATAAAACTTTTTATTTTTTATAAATAGATATTTGGAATTGCTTAAAAAATCAATTAATAAAAACCTAAAAATAGTTCACTAAATCATAATATTATTAAATTATTACTTAATAAATATGTTTAAAACATTAAAATTTAAATTCATTCTTTTTAAAAAAAGATATTCAAAAAATTAAAATTTATTTTATCTATTTTTTAGAATGATGTAAAATAAAATTTTTTATTAATCCAACATGCAAATATATGTTAAAAATCTACAATTTAAAAATCATCTTTTATTCATTTTTAGATATTATTTTATAATAAAATTTTAAGATCTTCATCATTAAAAAGTTTAGTTACAACATCTATTCCTCCTACTAATTCTCCTTCATTGTAAAGTTAAGGAATTTTGTCAAAGTTAGAAAGAATAGGAAGATACTAGTTAACATCTGCATCAGCATCAACATTGTAGAAATCGTATTTAACTTTGCATTCATTTAGGATTTTAATCATTTTAGCTGAATCTTCTGATTTTGTATCGTTGGGAGTTCCATGCATGAAGATAACTACTGGGCATGCCTTTAATAAATATTTAATTTTTTATTCTCCATCAAGTTTCCATTCACTTCCAGGAACTTTTTATAACAATTCTTATTTATTAAAGAGCTCAGCAACTACTACTAGGTTACCTACATACTGCTTTCCAGCAAAGAAGTAAGGACCAGTAGATTTATAGGTCTCTTTGAGATAATCTTTCAAATTTGCATCAATAAGCAAGTTAAATATGCTAAAGCGAATACCAGCTTAAGCTAATAAATTTACGAATTTCTTGCTATTTTCTTATAAATTTTCATCATTAGGAGTTCCTTCCATGAAAAGGATAGATTTGTGTTCCTAAATAATTTACTAAAGACGCTCTTTGGGCTCAGATATTTTGCAAGATGCTGGAATTTCAAGAGTATTCTTAGCTATATGCTCCTTTAATACATCTAAGCCTCCTAAAAGCTTTCCTTCAATAAATATTTGAGGATATGTTGGCCACTTATTGTAATGTCTCAACCAGTGACGCATATCAATGTCAGCAATAATGTCATAATATCTGAAGCGGATCTTAAGACTTTCGATAATTCCTAATAATTCACGTGTAAATTTGCATTCAGGTTCTTAAGGAGTACCCTTTATGAACATAAGAACTCCAGGCTAGCTTAAGAGTTCTTTTATTTTGGCATACATGCGCTCTTTTTCATTTTCAAATTGATTTTTAAATGTCTTGTTTGCCTCTTCAATTTATTCAAATAAAATTGCTGGAACTTCATTTTCGAATTTTTTAATTGTGGTCTTGCGGGTTTCAGTCAAAACAACAGTTGGGACCATAGATACTTAGAACTTATTAGCTACTTCAGGAACTTTTTCGGCATCACATTTGCAAAAAACAACATCTTAGATTTGCATAAGTTCCTACAAGTTAGCAATCTATTCTACATAATTAACAGAATGGTCATACCAATCTGCGTAAAATGTAATTACTATCATTTTACCAAAATTGTTGAGGGTAATCCTGTTAAAATCTCTTTCTTAACTTATCTCTTGCATCCTATTTAAAGTATGTTGGCAACCTATATTTTCTCTTTCTTATCTAACTTAATTTATAATGAAATTATGAGCTAATAATTAATATATTTAAAAGTACTAAATTAATTTCAAAGATATATTTGCATAAAGGAATACAAATATTTATGCAATTAATTAATTAATTAATTAAATTTAGAACAATTTCTAGAATTATTCATTTTAAGAAAATTTCTTAATAATTTTCCTAATATAAATTTATATTCTTAAGATAAAATCATAAGCAACAATCCGCTATTATATTAATTTTATAGTAAGTCTTTCACAGCTTATATTTTCTATATTTTAATTTTTAGTTAAAAATTAATATTTTATTTTTAAAAATATTACTCAAAAAAACTAATTTTAAATTTAGATTAATTATTCTTTTAACTTATAAATTACAAATTTTTTATAAAATCAAAGTTAATAATTTATATTTTAAATTTGATATTTGCTTTTTACTAAAAAAGTAATATGTTATTTTAAAAATAAGTGCTCAAAACAACTAATTTAAAATTTACACTATTATTTTAACATTTATATAAAATCAAAACTAATAATTTATATTTTAGGTTTGATATTTGTTTGCTTTTTACTAAAAAATTGATATTTTATTTTTAAAATTGTAAAAAATATTAATTTAAGCTACAATAATATTTTATATGTAAAATTACAAATTTTTAATAAAATAAAAATTAATAATTTTTATTAGCTTTGAATTTTCAAAATGTTGGGATAACAATAGGGTCATCATTGTTGCAAAGACTTTTAAGATTCTTGCTGCAAGGACATTTTAAAAGATTATTCAAATCTGAAGAAATGAACAAATCAATGACAGAGAGCATTTGAGTATCTTAGATGTAAACACACTTAATAAGAGCTGGACCACTGAATTCATGATGTAAAGCATTTTATATTTGAGTTAAGGTGTAAGTTTAGCTATCACTAGGGACGATATTGTGATTAGCTAAAGCCTTAATAGGATTGTATTGCTTGTGAATAGAAGTGACTGTTGAGAAAAATTGAGTTTAACTACCATTAAAGCATGTACCGTGCTTTTACCATTCATGAGTTCTAAAGGAATCAGAGTCATTATATAAGCCAACCCAGTAAGTATCAATGTAATCATTATCAGATTTATTGATTTAGGAGTAGTCCAAATCCTCATTTGAGCAATTGCTAGGATAGCTGCAAGGATTGCTTCTAGAACCTGAAGGCCAAAGTCCGTGAATATTGAAGTTTTAGTCATCAAAATTTCCAAGATATTAAGCACTGCAACTTTTTTGTTTGCAGATAGTTCCAGGCCATTCCATCTCAAAGGCATAATAGGTATAAGCAGAAGTGTAGCAAAGCAATAAAGCAAAGAGTAAAAGTGATTATTTGTAAGAAGCCATTTTTTTTTTTTTTATTTTATTTTATTTTTCAATTTATTTTTATTTAGTTTGCAATTATAATATTTTCAAAGAGAGAAAGGAGAGTTTTTAAAGTACGGCTTTTCATAGATAATCGGTACATGTATGGTTTTATTAAGCATCAAAATTAATATTAAATATGTATAGAATCATAAAGATATTTAAAAAGGGGGCTTTTATGTTAATAAAATGTGTAAAAGTTTGAAAATGTATAGTAAATATTACAATCAAATTAAAGTTAAATTTAATACCTAACTGATTGATTACGTATTTTCTTATATCAAAGTATCTTCATTTAAAAAGCATTTCCTATATATACATGCATATTAATTTAAATTAGTAATACATCATGATTAAAAATGATCAGCTTGATATGTCTATGAATGTAAAATACCTAATCAATAGATATTTTTTTTAATTTTTAAATATTTTGCTTTATTTTTTTCAAAATATTTGAAAAATAGAATTTAGAAACAAAGTTATAAAAATAATTAAAATAATTCTAAAATAAAAGGATTTATATTACATAATGATTTCAATAATAGCATAAAATTAAATAAAAATAATTTTTAGTAAATATAGTTTTACTAAAATTAGATATATGTATTAGTTACTGCATTAAATTCATTTAAGTCAAATAAGATTAACTTAAGAAATGACTACTAAAATACTAGTAGAATCAAAAGTATTTCAATTTTAAATTAATTAAAACCAAACCTATAAATTGGTAAAATATGATTTATTCATGAATTTAGCTAATTGTTAATTAAAATTTTTCAACCACAGAATAAAACAAACAGATTTGATTGATTAAAACATCTGTTTAATATACCGAAACGCTTTGATAAAAATGTATCAACAATAAATAAGTTAACCAAATAGTTTTCATGAGAACTTAAACTTTTATTTATTGCCTAAATAATTCTTGTTAAATAAGATTTGTTAATTTTAAGAATGAAAATCTTTTTTTATTTTTAAATTAAAACTCAATGTTGGGAGTTAAGCATATTTACTTAATATAATTAATTTACTTTTGACTCATATTTCTTAGAATTAACTAGTTAAATAAGTGTATATATTAATTTAAAAAATTTTCTCATTAAACACTATAATATCAACATATATTTTTTTGAGCCATAAGCTTAATGGAAAAATAGCAAAATGAAATACTATTTACTTAAACCTTTAACTGGTTTTTTAAAAATTTAATTTTAAAATGCAATTTATAGGTTGTTCTACTTAATTTCTAGTAAGCTGAACATTTTAAAGTTAAACAAGCTTAACATACATTTTATTTTTGTAAATCCCCCTCCTTTTATGTAAAAAGAGCATCTTTTCCAGCTAATTAACTTTTTTTGCTTACAACTATTAACAATTATCTAATGACTTACACTACTTTACACATATAATTAATTATTTTTTAAAAAGTATTTGCCATAAATACAATGGCATTTTAAATTCTATTACCTTAACCAAATTTAATACAATAATTTGGGGGACAGACTCTACATTTTTTTTACATTTTTAAATATTAAATAAAGAAATTTGATAAGGTTTAATATTTGCAATAGCTAACATAATTAAATTGAAAAAACATAAAATTTTTGTAAAAAAGAAAATGATTAAATTAAAATCAACTGATTAGTAAAACTTGTCTAATTATTTTTAAAAATAATGAATTTTTATGTATGAAATTAATTTATTTCAAAAAAAATAATAAATAAAAAGCATTTATCCTTAATTTAATTTTTATACCAATACTGGAATTTTAATTTATTATTTTAAATTATTTTTCTAAATTTATTTTAAACATTAAAAAAAAATTCAAAAATGGTAATTTAAAAACATTTTAAAAATCTAAATAAACATATAGACATATCTAATAAAATTATCTAATTAATTTATGAAATTATTAACTTATTACACTTGAAAAAAATATTTTTTAAGTGATGAAAATTATTTTCGAATTTATCTCCAATAATCTAGACAAAAAATTTTCAACAATAAATAATAATAATAATAATAATAATAACATAATACATGATAATAAAATAAAAATAAATTGGTTTATGATCAAGAATTATCAAAGATAAAGATATTAAAACTTTGTTATTGATTGATTATATTAGATAAAATTATATTATATTCAAACTATAATGCAATAAATTTTACTGTTTCATTTAGGTTGTCTATTGAAGTTATATATATTATTTTAATGTTTGAAATAATTAGTAATTCACTTTTTATTAAATCATTTTTAACAATTTAAAAAACATTTTTACAATAAATATCAAACTTTAGAGATTTAATTACTCTATTTATTTTTGTAAAAGGCTCTCCAATCAAAATTAAAATCAATATCCTTGAAATAAATAAGAGATAGTATTTAAATGACTGTAAAAATCAAAAACAGGTTTCCCCAACCTATATCTTGTTGCACTTATCTAACTAAAAAGAATTAAATCCAGCCAGCAATCGTAAAGCCAGTAAATGTTATTCCGTAAATTGTCGTTCCTACCTTTTTACCAAAAATTTTAGCAACAAGAGCTGGTAGCTTTGCATACCATCCACCGTAGGAAAAATAAGCAAGTATAATATAAATAAAGAATAAAAAAGGTACATCTATGATTAAATCTAAGGTTGAACTTATAAATATTTATATTCCTAAATTGTAGAGAATTATTTATTTAAATGTAATTTTTTCCATTAAGTATCCCCAAAACAGTCTTGCCAATCCATTTACTATACTCCCTATAGTAGCAACAAATGTTAGAAAGCTGTCATTATAATTATGTTAGCTTGCATATGGCTTAAAATTAGCAATTATCATAATTCCATAACAGCAAAATAAAGTGGCCATGGCTATAGTTAAATAAATTATTTTTGTATTCATCCCATCTTAAAATGTCTAACATTCGTTTGGTAAATTTTAACTTGTAATATTTTTATCTTCAGCTTTAGAGTAATCATTTTTGAGGAGTTACATTTCTTATTAAATATCATTTTGTTATATTTCTTATTCTACTTAATCTATCTCCTCTTAAGTAGGTCTTTCAATTAATAAAGCACCAATTAATGAGATTATAAAATATAAAAAACCTAAAGTCAATAGGGTATCAGGTAGATTTTCTGAAACTTGTTTAGGAAAAAGAGAGTTAATAGGACGGATATCATGAGGATTCATAAAGCTATATACAAGCCAAAGGAAGAGGGTAGCTCCAAATCCAAAACCAGCAGAAATTACACCACTTGCAAATCCTTTTCTATGTGGAAAATATCTAAAAATAAATAAAATGTTAATAGATTATTTAAAAATAAAAAACTTTTTATTTAAAGATTTACAGATAGCTTGTATTAAATGGTATCATATAAACTAATCCTGTGGCGAACCCAAACATAAATCCATAAAAAAAGGAAAAGAGTATAAAATTATCAACAAAAAAAGAACTTAACACTACAGATACTCCTAATATAAAAGAGCATACCACTGCTTAAAGTCTAAATCCTATTTTTTTAGCTAATATAACTCCAAAAGGATTGCAAATATTAATAGCAAGCATCATGAAAGGGAATACTGCGTTAACATCTGCGTTTGTGTAGTTTTATCCATCGTTTCTTAAGTATGAAGTTACATAAGTATTCATAGTACTCCAAAGATAAAATGTTCCTAAAATTAAATGGATAAGAAAGCCTCCAAAAAGAGAAAGATAGCCTCTAGTTTAGAAGGGTAGTCGTGCTAAAGGGCTTTATATACTATTAAGCTTGTTTATGATCTGCATTTATTTTTTATTTAAAAGCAGCTTTAAAATTTGCTTGACTTTTTCTAAAAACTAAATAAATTAAATGCTTTTTAGCGGCTAAGCAGCTTTTTTTGATGATATTTTACGTCAAATTTGTATGAAATATGTATTCATATATTTTTTTAAATAAATTTATTTTTTAGTTTATTAATTTGGCTATTTGTCTTTCACCTTTTTAAAAAAGATATTTATAAATAAAATACATTTTTAATATAATTCAAGATAGATATTTGGTCTAAACTTCAAGTAAGAGTTTATTACTTTTAAAATCATATCAATTCTTAATTCTATCTTTTTTAATGAAAATTTGATACAAAAAATTTCTGATGAATTATCAGAATGTTAAACAGTGTTTACAACCAAGACAAAAGGATCTTTTACATTTTAAATAAATAAATGAATTAATTTTATTTTATTTAGAAATAAAAATATTTATTTATTTTTGAAGTTATTTGCTGAGGAAAAGATTATCATCTAGGTTTTTTTCATATCTCAGCTTTTTTTGCATATTTATCTTCAATATAATTTTTTATTTATTTTACAGGCTAAATTGATGAGTATAAAACTAAATTAAATGCTTGTTTCTTTAAAATAAATATTTGGTTTTACAATTGAAATTGTTTCCTTTACTTAATTACCAATCTACTAAATAATATTCATCTAGCTATTTATATTTCAAGTAAACTACTGAAGTATACTATCTGAAATAAAATTATTATTGTACATTTTTATTATATTAATTTAATTTTTTAACAATTTTTATTATTTATTATTTTTCAAACAAGAATTATTTTTTTTCTAAAAAATTATTTATAATTTGGCATGAATTGCTAGCATTTTTCTTTCTAGTACTTAAAAAAGAGCTAATAATTATTCATTGTGTTTCTTTTTATTAAGTTAATTATTTAACATATGAAAACTTAAAATAAATAAAAAAATAATTTTTTCTTTGAATTATTTTAAAATGAATCATTTGTTAATTTTACTTAAAATATATTTTTTAATTAATTTTGTAAGATTTTAAATATTAATCTTTTATAGATAATTTTATAAATTTTTTGATATTCCCTGATCAAGATAATTATCCTGGTCAGGGCCACCTAATCTAAACAAAAATTCTGATTTGTCAAAAAATAAAAAATCTATATCTATTAATATTAATAGATTATGAAATTTTAAATGAGTAAATTTAAAAATAAGCAAAAACTTACGGGTAAGGGAATATGCGATGATTTTTAAGCGCAATTATAAATGATCTTTAGATAAAGCTAAATTTAACAAAAAATAAAAGAAGAAGAAACATTTTGCTTTCTGTTTTAATTAAAAAATTGTTAACTTTTTCAATCAACCATATAAGGTAGCTGAGCAGCCAATGCATTATTAAAAATAAATCAACATGTTTTAACCAGTTTTTGTACATAATTAATAGAAAAGTAAAATCAAATTAACCTTAGATCTTATAAATGCAGTATGATTGTGTAATATCCAATATTAATAAGTTTGAAAAAAGGTTTTTAGGTCACTTTTTGAATTAATTATTTTGTATTCGTTGAATATGTTGATGATATTAGTATTTTTGGAATAGCTATGATAGACTATGTATATATTATTAAAACGTATTATATATGGCCAACAAATAAAAGATTTTATTCACATCAACAAATATTTTGACATAAAACTTTATAAAATACTTAAATTAATAAGTATGAATGATAAATAATTTCATTTTAAGTATATTTGTTATTAACAAAATTTAACTATAAAAGATAGAGTGAATAAAAATGAAAAAAAAAAATGATGGTTTTTCTTGGAAAGAGTAATAAATATTTATTTATTTAGAAGACGAAATATATATATATATTGTAATATATTTATTTTAATTAATAATTTATTTTTTAATTTATAAGTATAATTAAGTATTTATTTATTTATTTTTATTTTTTTACAGTTTTATCTTCCTTCTTCAGTATTTTTAAGATCGATAAATCAATAATAAAATAGTTAACTATTGTTTTACACCTGCAAAATAGTTTATTTTGTGTTTTTATTTATTTATTTGTTTGTTATGATGTTGTTTGCTTAAATTTAAAATATCTTTTTTTTGTTAATTATCATTTACATTTAGTTTATTTGTTAAATTCATTCATAATTTAAATCATTCATCTTTTCAATGATTCACAGAAGTAGTGATGTAATTTTCTTCCATGTTCATATAACTGCCATTGGATTAGCGGTTGTCTTAGTTATTTAGGTTGTTATGGGTGTTATGGGTGTTCATACTACTAATTATATTGTTAAAAGAATTTCTTTCATCTATAATTTAGGAAGTATTTGTGAATCCATTGATGAAGAATTAATTACTGAAACGCTAATCAGCAGTGTTGAGATTGCTGCCCTAGTTTAGACCATCTCCTAAATTGGCAATACTGAAATCGTTTGTGTTTGATTGCATAAAGTTATGGCTTGTATTATTCAAGAATTAGCTTCCAGGATTGAATGTACTACCAGTGAAATTTATATTGTTGCTGTTTCTTTGGTAGTTATCTAAACCTGATGATCCAATTTACTCTTGAACCATGTAGCTGCTGCGATTATTTTATGAAAATCCATGACCTAAGGAAGCTTGCATAAAATTTTATGAATGTTAACCGTAAGAATTATGATTGCCTAATCCGCTAGAAGAATAAGGGAAAGTTTAAGCATTAAGATTATATGGTGTAAATAGTTGCTAGTTATGATTTGGGTTTGAATTGTGTAATACATTTTGCATCAAGGTGCTATTAGCTTGGTTAAGGACTAAATTACTGTTGTTGTTATTATTGTTATTGTTTACTTGGTTCTTATTTGAGCCAGCATTAGCGGACAAGCAGTTCAAATCTTAAGAAGACTCTTCCTCGTCCGAGTTTTCACAACCAGAAATCATATTTAATCCAGACTCGAAGTTAGTACTGTTGTTATTTCCAGTGAGACTTGGATTGTTTAAACCCTTTTTCATTAACTTTTTAGTCTCTTCTTTGACAAATTTACGAAGTGTTCCCATCTTTTCTCCTTTATTTCTTTCAAAATCGAACCCTAATTGCTCTGCACGACGAAGTTGTAAATAGTAATCATCAAGAGTTTTACGAGATATGCCAATGTAATTAGCAGCATGATCTAAATTCAATTTTTAAAGGTTTCCGTTCTAATCACGGAATCCAGTTTCATGCATAGCACGCCATTCAGCAACCTTTTCACGTACTTTTTCAATATATCTCTCCTTAACTCTCTTGTCATTAGAAGAGCGTCCCATCAATTTCTTCTTTCTGGAAATTTTTCCTCCAAGTTCCATACTACTTCCTGCATTGTTATTTTACTAAGAGAATGTAGTGTTATCCTCAGAAATTAAATTATCTTCTTCTTTGATAGATGGATTGACAGCACTACCGTTATTTACAGATCCATTGTTACCACTTTGCTATTAGCGTGATGAAGAGCTTCCATATTAAAATTATTGTTGAGAAGATTATTGCTTATAAGAACGGAATTTGATATAAATATTTGACTTAACACCACAAAGGTGAGAAGGTAAGAAATGAGGTTGATTCATAGGATCATTTGCAACGAAGACATGCATACCACGCTTTTCATCCCAGCAGAAAAGCATACAATCGTTGAGAGGGAAGCACATTTACTTAAGACGATCTACTAAATCAGAAAAGTATAAGCTGTTTTCACTGCTTTGCAAGAATTTAACCTCAATATTTGGCATCAAATAGCGTTAACCTGTAATATCATTTTCCAAAATAATATCACGTCTTTCAGTGACAAGTGGCAAATTGTTTTTGAGGTCACTTGAGTTGTTGCTTTGATTTACATTATCTTATGGATTTTAGCCACCGTCAAGCTAGACTGCGTTGCCAGCTTGGTTGATAGTAGGCTAGGGTTTAGCAGATAAAATTTTATCAGGAATAAAATTATCTTATTAATTAGTTTTTTTAAGGTCAAAAAGATCAGTTTATTTGTTCATTTTTATGAATGTAAAGGTTGATAATAATGAGAATAATGAATTAATAATGATAAGTAGTTAAAATCACAGAGATTCTAGCTAGTGCTCTAGAGATATTTTAATAATTAAATGAGTTTATAAATGTTTTTCTATAAAAGTATTTTGCTTGAGTGTGTTTGCTTGAAAGTAATAAGAGATCAAGAATATTTTATAATTTTTGAGATTGATTATTTATTACTTGTATTTGTTTTCTCTTCTTAAACTTTGTTTGTTTCTGCCTATTTTGTTTATTTTGCTTGTCTTTGTTTATTTATTTGTTTGTTTGATTTTTTTATTTATTTATTAATTTTATTATTATTTCTTTGTTCCTATTTTTGTTTTACTTTTTTTTTCTAATTATAAGAAAACCATCTTTTCTAAATCTAATTATTGTTTGATTTTTTCTCAATGTTGCTATTTTTTCTTTTATTTAGTCATTTTAATTAAATCAAGTAAAAAAAATTTCTTCTTCTTCATATTATAAATAAATGCTCACAGCTTCTGATTGGCATATTCATTATTAAGGATTTGCCTGTATTTTTAATTTTCTATTCCCTTACAAAAAATAATAAAGCATTTAAGGAATGTAAAATTAGTAAACTTCTCTTTAATTATTTTTTAATCTTACCCGATTGTAAAAAAATAAAAAATTTCCCTTAACAAAATTATAAAATAATAAATAAATTTCATCATGATTTTGATGTGAACATACTTTATTATATTTTTGCTGATTTAATTTTCAATTATTTAACAAATCATTTTAACTATTTCAAATAATTAATCCATAAAATAATGTTGTACTTAATATTAAATTAGAATGCCCATTTATTTTAAAGGCAAATAATAAACTAGAAAATTAAAAAGTAAATCAAAATTAGTAATTTTTAATAAATATTTATCACCTAAATATTTACTATTTTTATAAAAGAGTTTATAATTGAATTTAATAAGGACCTCTTTTTTTAAAATATAAAATTGAAATCCTTTTGTTAAATAGACATTTGTTTAAGTGAAGTCGAAAAAATAAATATTTACTCTAATCTATTTTCATGCATTAAAACAATATCTTTAATTTATTTACAGTCTATGTTAAAATTAAATTCAGTTCTATCTGATTATTTCTTTTCTTATCAAGTTGAAAATTTAAATTTATGAGGACAATAATTTTCAAATTTTCACTCTTTTATTATTTTATCTACTATTATAAACAAATTAAATCTTATAAAATAAGTTAATTTTCATTTCAATTTTTATCATGTAAATATTCTATATTTTTTGATATATTTTAATTAAGTATATATGTATGTTAAATTTTATAGTGATTAAAACATAAAAAAAAATAAGTAGAATTATTTACTAATTTTATAATACTAATAATTGCTATTGTTTTCCATATTTCAATCTTAAATTTAAGATATATTAAAAAGGAACACCAATAATTTTTAAATATAATCATATAAAAAAATCAATATTTCCAAAAAAAATTAATTAGATTTGATAAGAATTGCTTTAAATTTAAAATTCAAATTTTCTATCGTACTTTATTAATTAAAAGAAGTTTTATAATGCACATTTTAATCAAAATATAACAAACAAGATTAATAATACATTAAAATATATTATTTTTTTACAAATATTTTTAAAGTTTATAACCTTAACTTTAAAATGACAAAAGAAGTCTAACTTTTATTCTTTTCAAAAGTAGAGTAAGGAAATATTTTCCACAAATATAGATTAAATTTTTGTGATTTATCTCTTTTTCAAAAACAAAAGTATAGAAATACTTAAATAAAGATGATATTTAAATAAATTGAAATATTTATCTATTAAAATTATATATAGCCATCAAAAAAATTCTAAAATTATTTTTATTATGTAAAATAATTAAAAAAATCATTAATTTAGATTAAATTGATATTTTATTTGTTTATTCACTTTATGATAAAATTTCAATGCTTACTATTTTTTATAAACAAATCAAATTTACATATTTTGGAAATCTTATTAAAAATTAAAACTCTAATCAAATTAATTTATTTGTAACTATAAGTCATTTAAATTACTACTGGATAATTGATGTTTAGATTTATTTAAAATAGTTATTAATTAATCTTATAAACAATCATCAAAACAATTTTAAATATTGCTTTTGATAGAAAATAATTAATAATTTTATAAATATAAATATTAATTATTTTTTACTTGTTTAATTCAAAAATGATAATATTTCTATGCTAAATCATATATGGATATTTTGGAACTATTACTCAAAATCAAAGTCCTAATCCAATTAATTTATCTATAACTATTAGTTGTTTACATTGTTATTCGGTGATTAATAGTCTTAATTTGTTTATTATTATTAGTTCTAGTGTTAGTAATTAATACTACTTCCAAATGGTTCACTATTTTAAAAATACTAGTAATTACCATCATTATAGATATTTTCTGAATTTTTCAATTCTTAGCTTTGTTCATTTGAATTTTATTACTATATTCTTTATCTTTGTAAGTTATTACAAATACTTTCAAAAAGTTATTATTATTATCTATCGATGCTATTGAAATTTATGGATTACTAATTACTTTATTGTGAAAATAATGAAGAATCATCATTTGAATATATACTATCTCTTTAACTATCTTTAAAAAGGTAATCTCCATTCCTTTTGATATTGGATTGATGCCAATCTCTAATTTAATTGAAGGATATATTTTAATCTAGGTTTAGCTTAGGATACTAGCTTGATTAAGTTGTTGAATTTTGGCTTGACAAATCCATTAAGCTTTCTTACTCTTTCAAATTTTTTGACGATATACTATCATGATATATATCATAAATTGATTTTTTTGGCGTTGTGCTTTTGCTTTCGTTAAAATTTAAATAGATAGGCTTTGTAACACTAGTCTGATTTAAATCAGTATTATTAATTTATTGATTATTTTATTAATTATTACTAGATATTTATTAAAATAAATTCGTGCCAAATTAAGGAGGTTGATGTTAAATAAAATTGTCTTAAACTACATAAAAAATAGGTTCAGGAAATACAGCAGGAGGTTAAGCTGCAAAAATAAAGGGTGAGAAAGAAATTGCAGGAGTAGGCTAAGTATTAATTATGACAGAGTCTTGAATAAAAGGTTAGTAGGTCGTTAAAGGTTAATTTTGCTCAAAAAATTACTAGTTATAAATAGGCTGCTAGCAATGCTAATTAACATATGGTGATTCTGTTTATTTAAATAAGATATCATCATTTTATTGGATATTTATTTTCGAAGAGGCTAATTATTGGCTCTATTATGGTGTATTATTTATAAAAAAGTTGTCTTGCCTTATTTTAGTTTATCTAACTGAATAAAATAGCTGATTGTTTTGCTTTTAGACAGGTGTATAAGGAGTTGCACCGAATCGATCAATGTTTTTTGTCCTATTTTAATTTGACATAAATTAGCTTGAACGACCTTCTTAGAAAAAAGGAACTTAAGGCTGTTGAAATTAATCTATTTATTACTGCTAAAATGAAGGGTTCATTTAATTATTATTAAGTGGTTCTTAATAATTTATTTAAGTTTAAATATTACTTTCTAACTTATTATTTCTCAGATTCTAAATATTTTAATTATTTTGACTCTAATTTAACTAATCAAAAACATTATTATTATTAAAATTGCCATTATTGTTCATATTATCTTGACTTTATGCAGCAGGATGAAGTGATTGTGAAAAAAATGCTTCTTGTTAGCTAAAACTTTATTATTAAATTTTAGCCAAAGCTTTTATTATTGAAATATTTAATAAATATTTTTTTTATTTAATACAATATTTACATGGATTGTAATGCTATGTTTGTTCACAGTTTGGATCTTAAAAAGGCTAATCGAAAACAAAAGGCTATTTTTTATTTGCTATTTTTTTGAATGTTGTTTAACTAAAAAACTATCTATTAGGCACTTTCTTAAATTTAGCTTAGCTCCTATTGATTTCTTATTCTTCTCTCATTCTATTTTATTGATTGCTTCCCTAAATTTGTTGAGGATTATTTCTTTTTAAAGCAGAATTTTTAAATTCTAAGCTATTTTACTCTAAATTTTAGCTTTATTTTAAACTTTAAACCATTTTTACCTATATTTCTTTTTAATTATTCTATTCAAATTAATTGTTATTATTAAAATTATTGCTTTTTTTAAAAAAATTTTATTCTCCCCTCATTTTATTAGTGATATTGATTATCCGTTATGGATCATGCTGAGAATTACATTTTGGACACACTATATTTAACTCCCCTTTATTTAAATTATAAGTTTTGATTCAATTATTTGCTCACATTATAAATATTTATAATGAATTATGCTATTAAACAAACAATTAACAAACAAATATTACTCTATTTTAAACAGTTTTCACACACATTCTTTCCGCAACAAATCTAAAATGATTAACTTGGAACTATTTTTTACTCGCAGATATAGCAAAAAGTGCTTGCCTTTTACTAGCTGTTTTAATCTAACATAAATCTCTTGAAGATTTGTTTTAATAAAATTTACTGATTTTTAATATCTTTTAATGCTATCTAATTCTAATTGTTTTTTTAGTGGTTTATCTATTAGTATAAAGATCTTTAACCTTTATATTTACAAAGAAAGAAAGTCCATTTCTTATTTATTTATTTTCTTATTATGCAAAACTAATATAATTAAGAATAAATACATCTAATTGATACTTATAAATTATATATCTTCTATATATTTTAAAAGTTATAAATATGAGGCTATCTTCATTTTTTTTAAAGTAATTGAAATTTGATAAGTACAAAAAACTAAATTATGTAAACAAATAGTGAGGAATAATAGGATTAATATATAAATTAAATTGAATTGAATATTTATCCTTCGGCTTTTGTAGATTTTTTAAAAAATTTCTATCCAATAAAAAATTATTTTATGCTTTTAAAATTTATACCGTAGGTTCTCATAAATAAAGATGGGAATAGTTTAGGATTATTTTTTTATTTGGAGCAGAAAATAATAAAATGTATAAAAATTTATGTTAATATTCAATAGTTTCTAAAAATAGATTTTACATTATATAAATAACAAAATTGCTATGCAATAAAGATCTAGTTAGTAAATAATAAATATTTATTTGTTTATTTATTAGTAAGCCTTAACTAAGAATATTAATAAGAGAGGAGATAAATGAGCTATTGCATGAGTGAATGAATGAATGATATTTATAATTTGAATCTAAAATTTTAAACTTGAAATATTAATAGCATATCAAAAAAAGCAATTTAATAGCAAAGAAAAAGATATTACTAGCTTTTCAAGCTAAGATTTCAAAATTTTGATAAAAAAATTAACAGCTATAATGGCAGCTAACTCAATTTTCTAAGAACATTGTAAATTTCATGGCAAAAGAAATTTGGAATTTGTATGTATTGAGTTGTAATGCGAAACAAAAGAAAAAAGGGGATGCAATCTTTGCTTCATGAAGAACGGGAAACATTAAGACCATTCATATTTAGAATCATCAGAGTTGATGGAAGAAATAAACAATTTTTAGGTTTAGCATGTGACTGAAAAAATAAAACAAAAAGCAAAAAGTGCAATAATAAAAATAAATTAAGAATTAGATGATTGGTACTTAAAGGTAGTTCAGAAATGCGAAGAAATTGAGACAAAGTATGAAGAAATAGGAGATGTTGATAGTTTGATTGAAGTTTATAGGATTAAAAAAAATGAATAAATATTGCCAATTTATCAAGGCATAGATATGTATTAAGAAGATGTTCTAAAAAACATGAAAAATGCTTAAAACTACATCAATTATTTTTATCATTCAAAGTACTTGGAGTAATTAAGCAGATATTAACAGCAAATTGATTAGCTTAAGCAATAGTTTTAGGAAATATATGATAAAAACCCTTTAAGGGAATAGGTCAATGCTCCTTTTAATTTTGATATGGAAGAATTAGAAAATAATATAGATAGCACATTGCATCCTTAATTAGAATAAATAAAGTTATTTGATTAAAATGGAAATCCTTATTTTAAAGTTAAGTCTATTTAATTATGCTAAAAGAAGGATAATCTTCCAAATGGGAGAATGTTCTACTTTCGCGATACAGGCGAATTGTACGAAGGATATATACTTAATAATTAAAAGCACGGAAAAGGCAAACTAGTAAATTAGTATGGACATGTTTATGTGGGTGAATTTAGATATAACAAAAAGTATGGATTGGGAGTTTATTTATTTGGTCAATACAAGTAAATTATTTGATTAGACAAATACTTTGTTATTTCACTTTTGAATTAAATTAATTTACCACTTTTTTTATAATAAATGATAGGTATGAAGGCGAGTTTTAAGATAATAAATATCATGGCTGTGGTAAGATGATTTATCAAAATGGAGATGTTTTCGAAGGGTTTTATAGATATGGAATGAGACATGGTAAAATTAAAATTTATTATTAAAAAAGATTTTATCTTTTATTAAAAAAAAATAAATAGGAAAGGGTAAATTTACATATTGCTCAGGAAAAGAAAAAATAGGAGTTTGGGTAGATGATAAATATGTTAATGAAAGTACAATACCTAAGGATGAACCTAAAGAAATTTGAAATATTCTAAGCAATTTAAGTAGAACTAAGATCAAATATATTTAAATGTAAAATAAAGATGTTGTTAATAAAAATGAAAATAAATTTTAAAGGATAAAAATTTTACTAAAGTGGGATTTTTGATTACTAATTATGAGAATACAATTAATCAAATATTGAAAAAGATACAATAAATAAATAAAGTTAGTTATTTGCTTTGGATATAATTAAATTTAAAATATCTTGACCTTTTAAAAAAATCAAACAAGAATAAAACAAATATTAATTAAATATAAAAAAATAAATAAAAATTTTGCGAAAAGAAACAAATAAACAAATTATATTAAAGAGGATTTCTGAAAATTAAAAGAAGAAAAATAAATTGATAAAGACAAGTAAATTAATCTTAGTTAAAATTTATAAAAATTATTTTATAGAAAATTATTAATTATTTATTGAATTTGCTTAAATATTTATATTTATAAAAGTGTTTTAGGTTTAATATTACATCATTTATAAAAAATTTTTCAGCGCTATTGTACTTTAATGGTATATCATAAAAAAGATAATTTACATATTGATATATTAATTTGAACACTACTATTCGTTAAAAAACAACTTTTTCTAAAATCTGTTTCCAAATTAGTAAATAAAGAATATTATTTATTAATAATAAAATGAATTATGGCTTGCGATTAATAATTTTATAGTTTTGATACTCATAGAATGTATTCAGAATCAAATTATTCACATTTTCTATTTCCTGTTGATAATTTACTTATAAAATTTTTATATTTTATTTATAAATTAAATGCACATTATTCATAATCATAATGTAGAATTTACAACGCTATTTTAGGATAAAACCATTTTTATCAATTTTAATTTTATGAAATATGCTTCGAATTTTAACAAAAAATCATCGCTATTACTTAATTTTATATATTTTAGGCTTTTGACATTTATAGCTGAATAAATAAATATATGTTTTGAAAAAAACTAGTTGCTTTGCTACGTGCAATTTTTAAAAGATTAATTTATTTATAATTTTTTTTTAATAAATCTAAAATTTCTTCATGAACACATAAATAATATTTATCTTTAAAGACTACCATTTTTTAGCATTTGTAAATACTTTATATAAAATTATAAAACCATAGCTATATTCTTAAAAAGATATTATTTGTTAAAATATATTAGAAATATACTGTATAAAAATTTGTTTAATTATTCTTATATCTTTGAAATATAAAAAGGAAGCCATCAGATAATTACTAAAAGTTAAACATTAAAATTATCAAAACAGTATTTTTTAAGCTGAAGCATAATTTCAAAAATAATTATTGAATAGCACCTTGCTAGTAAAATATAAATAATTGTAAGAAAAACTAATCTGAGAATTAGTTAATTTTTTAAATGAATAATAAATAGTACCCTTTTAAGAAAATCATTTTTATTTTAAGTTGATTGATAATTAAACATTAAGTAAGAAAAAGAATTTCATTACAAGATTTAGTATGTTAATGTATTTTCGATTAAGCTTGTATAAAGATTATTTTCTTACTTTCCAGCTTTATTGAATCATTAAAAAAAATGTTTTTGATTCAAAATTTTGTAAATTTGTCTTTCTAAAAAAGGTTTAATATAAAGCTTGGTTCTAAAAAGTATATCATTTTACTATTTTTGACCCTTTGTGTCATTTTATTAGTATTTAAAATTTTTATTTTATGGATAAATTTTGTAATTTAACAAAAAATGGATTCTCTTCAAGTAAGATAAAAAGTACCATACATTAAGGAGTGCTTAATTTTTCTTATCTAATAATGAATATTCTTCCAATTGAAAGCTCAGAAAGAGTAGTCTATGATACTTATTAAAAATTTTTACTAATTTAGAATAGTGAAAGGATTACAACTTATCTTCATTGTGATCAACGATTTTTTTTATGATTCTCACAATGAAATTATGATTACGATTTATAAATTTACAATTGACTATTTGAATAGATTTTAAAGGATTCAATGACACTTCTCTTCTAGCTTATGTGAGAATATAAAGATTATTTTTGTGATATTTTTTCATAGTACAATTTTTAGTTAATGAATAAATAAAATGAGTATTTAAAAATTTTTAACCATGTAGCTATTTTTCAGTATTATCTAATTTACAATCTGAGAAATTTAAAAGAATAGCCAGATGAAAAAAAAAATAGAGAAAAATTGAATAATTATGTCATAAATAAAATTTTAAATTGCTTATCATTTAATTTAAATTAACTGTTGTAATATATTTAGAAGATTAGTGAATAATATAGTAAATTTCTTTTATCATGTTTAAATTATAAATCATATGATTAATATCAGCTATTTTTTTGTAAATTGTTAGCTATAATTCTTTCATTTATTTCTAAATTAAAAAACAAAATGATTGATGATATTTCATTTGAAACTTTGAATTTTTATTATTTACTAGAAACATAAAAGTATTTTTTTACCAAAATTAATATTTATAATTTAAAATTATTTTAATTAACTTATTTTTGTGAGATATTTTATCTATTTTGAGTGATAATTTTATAAAGCATTTTTATAGGTTAATTTTTTATAGAACTAAAAAAGTTTTTAAATAAGTTTTTACTAAATAAGTCCAAAATCTTGGAAGAAAAAACAAGTTAAATTAAAAAGACTAAGTAAGAAAAAAAGTTAGAGGAGTCAAATTATATTTAAATAAATCATCAACAAAGAAATGAGTAAATCAAAATAATTGAAATCGCTTAGAAATTAATTGATAATTTAATTTATAAAAATCAGTTTTTATATTTAAATATCATTATTGTATATTTCTATAAAAATAAGTGTGCTATTCTTAAATATAATTAAATTGCTTTTTACTAACTTTTAACGAGTTGATTGACTCTTTGGATTGGCTCACAAATTTATTGACTAAAACCAATTAATTAAATCTCTAAATATTCACTTGCTTAGAAACAAATAAATTAATTGTTTAATAAAAAGAAGGATAGTAATAGAAAACACCTTCAAAGAAAAAAACTAAAAATGTATTAGCCTCTTTTGTATTATAATTAAATTAATCAGGTTAATAGAGTACCTTAGTAATATGTCTGCTACGTCCCTTAGAACTAGTACTTATAAATGAACTAAAATCCGTTGTAGATATTTCCAAATTTACCACAACATGGGGTTCAGAATCAAATAATAGTGCCTATTCCTTCATAAATACCTTATCTATAACAAACAATTGATATAAATGCTGCAGATCTTCATGAAACCGCAGGAATCTCGCTTTACAGTAATAATTCAGAAACTTTTTAATAATAAAATAGTATTAATAATGAGCAGAAAAACCCATTCTGCATTAATTAAATCCACGTATCAAATATCCAAGAGAGTAAAAGCGAAGGATTAGATCCAAATAATAAATAATACAGTCTTGATAGGCTTTCCTAATATTAATTAAAACCTATTGATAGAGATATCCAAGATAATTCAAATACATTTTATAATCCGCTTGAACTAAACAAAAATGACAAAACACATGAATGCAAAATTGAAGACATAAAAAATAAAAAAATAGTAAAATAAAAGCACTAAAAAAATGATGCTGAGAACAAGTCTAACATATAACACAAGGCAGAAGATACCGATTGTTAATCTAATTTAAATATTTAGAAATAATAATAATCTAAAAAGAATATTACTTCATGGAAGTATATTAAATTTGATCCAAATAACTAGACTACCCAAGGTCTTCCAGTAATTTAAACTTTAAATGACACACAGCTATAAAATAATAGCACACAGCAAACCAAATTCTAACCTAGTGCTATGCAAGGAATTACTATCAAGTAATCTAATCTAATTTTAATATATTTCTATAATTATAGTTTTTAGAGAGCGTACAAGTATGCATACATGCATGCATGTTCATACGCATGAATTTAATCATTTTACTTACTAATTATTGGTTAGATAATTTTTATGTCATTTTTTATCTATTCATTTGCAGCTAATTTTTTTAATAATTAAAATCCATATTAATCTATTTTTTTGTTTTTTAGGAAGGAATGTGAAAAAATACAAAAAAACTTGAAAGTTGAGAGTGTTAAAAACGAAGAAGAGTTAATAGAGGAGAACTAACAGACAGAAAGTAAAATTTCTGGTACTAATTAGTAGGAAAATAAAAATGAAGAGGCTTCTATTAACGGAAATTTGTGCAAAAACTTGATGAGAGCTTTCAATAAATTTGTTAAGGATTATGATTTCAAAGACGTCTCTATAAAAATATCCCTCTTTCGTTTTCTGGAAAGGAATACTTATAGCAATCTGCAAATGCTTAAAATATATCACAATGAAAGATACAGAAGTATTTTTTTGGAATTTGTGAAGGGAGGTGCGCTAATATGGCTTTAAAAGAGTAAAGTTATTGACATAGATGCGCATATAACTCTTCTTGAAAAAATTGTGTCAGGAGATATCTCAATGATCGGTATCAAGAAAAGAAAAAATGTTAGTAAAACAATTACAAAAAATATAAAAAGGAAAAGGCTTTCTAGTAAAAAAATGTGAAAAACTTAAATGCAGCGTATTTAAAATACTGGCTAGCTCAATAGCTGTTGAATTGAAAACTAGTTAAAATGTTGTAATTTAATACTAGCTAAAATAAATGTATTTCTTTACTCACCTTAATAAATTAATAAAATTACTGATAATTTAGAAAGTACTCTCTATAAATCCTTTAATACTAACAATCTTATTTAATTATTGAATATCTATTTATTGATCTATGCAAAAAATAAAAATCGATTAAGCGGGATCGATGACTCTTCCAAAAAATATAAAATATACTTTACAAATTTAATCTAAATATACTTTATATCAACTAAGTTAACGAATTAAGGTAAAAAAACTAAATTATCTCTGTCTATCCCTTCCCTTTTTGTTTATATATAATTTATCTATTCTGTTTTAACTAATTTTTACTTATAATTTGTTAATTATTTAGCCTTTGTTTGTATTTTAAGTGATATAAGACTAAGTTCCTATCATCAAAATTATTTGATTTTAGCTACATTGTAAATATAAAAAATCTTTGAATTATAATAGTAAATAAATACAATAGATTGAATTGGGTCTCTTTTTTCTCAAAAGTTTTTTAAAAGATAAATTACTCTTAACTTTGCTAACTCTATATAAGTAAAGCAAATAAAAATTTTTATTTAATTTAAGTTAACTAAGTAATTGCATCACAAATTTATATAAACTGTAACTTCGTAAATATAAAGACTCAAGATAAATATGTAGATTTTCTACTTTCATTTGAAAAATTGGCATCTTTAATTTACCTTATTCTTACATTTAATTACCAGATGTTTACATTAACATGAATAAATATTCATAATAGAGATTAATCTGGTATTTTTCTATGAAAAAACTAATAGATCGTAAAACTATAATTTTGCGAAAATTATCAATCCAAGAAGTGCATTTTGTTTTTTCTCAATCTAATTAAAGTTAAAGAGGATTTTTTTCTGTTTGTAAATTGGGGAGTTCGTCTTTTTCAATATCTTACTATATCATATATCAATAAATGGATACTTAAAAGTATTGCTTAAAATACAATTCTGTTTTAATAGCTTTATATGTCCATGTATTATGTACATCATTAGGTCTTAACTATATTTGTTAGTCCTCAAAAATAGTCAAAAGTAATTACCTTATATTAACATTAGGAATAAATATTCGATTTGATAAAGTGAATTTCTTGGAGATTAATTAATTCACCTTTAATTAATAATTGAATAAATTAGTTTTTATTTTATTCCTTGAATTTATATTAAATTTTATAAGAATTAAACAAAAAATTGGATTTTAGTATCAAAATAATATTTATTTCGAGCTATTTCGTTGGGATAACTTTGTTAATCTTGTTCATTTTGTTTTTACAGATAAACAAAAAAATAAAAAAATTTATTGATAATTGCATCCTTAAATCGTGAGAGAGATGACAAATTATTAAGAATATAAGCAAAAATTAATTAATTGTTTTAAATTGATATACAAAAAAAACAAGACAGCTTTTTCAATCATAAATAAAGCAATAAAATGATACATAATGGATTAAAAAATTTTTAAACTTTAATTAGAAAAAATGAAAATGCAAAAATATTTGTGCTTAAAAGAGTTGTTACTGCAAATTTAACTTTTGAAAATTGTTATTTTCTCTTTAAATTACTTGTTTTACAATTTCCGCGTTTACAGAGAATACTAATAGAGATTTGTTTTTATATTAGAAAATTATTTATAATTTAATCAAATCTTATCAATTTACTTTTTTAAAAATAGGACTTGATGAATTAGATTCGTTAGCAAAATATTATTCTTTTTAAACCATTAAAATAATATACCACTTATTTAAAAAATTTTAAACTTTTGAACATTATTTTTATTAATAAAAAGAGGCTATCCAAAAATGAATCAGCTATTATTTTTTTTATTACTTAAATTTCCAAACAAGATTTAAATTTTACAATTTTGTTTGTTTAAGTTATAAAATAAGATTACAATTAAAATCGAGTAACTCTCAAAGCAAATGAGTATTTTATAAATTTACTCTCTTATTTGCTAGAAAAATAAATAAGATAAATAAATATATTAAATTTTAGTTTCTTCTTATAAATTATTGATAACATTATATATTTTTAATAATACTTGTGCTCAGATAAAAAACTATTTTTACTGATAAAACATTTAATTAATACACATTTAATATAATTAGATAGCTTTACATGATTTTTATACCCTTACTATTGTAAAAATTTGTGAATTTTAGTATTTGAAAGTACTTAATGCATATAATATATTTATTTTATTTAAATTTTTAGATTATAACTTGACAAACTTTTAAATTTATGACTAAAATCAAGCTAGTTTTATTCCTTTTAGCAGTTTTTATCTCTTTGGCTATGATCCTTGCTGCCTTACAAGGGAATAAAATGATTCAAAATTATTATTCCTTCAACAAATCTATTGATAGTGATCTCGCTTTAGATAAATAATATTCTGAAATATTTGGAGGTATTTTAGTTATCCTATTTAAATTGATATAATCATTTCTCACATTGTTAGAAAACAAACAAAAATGATTGTAGGAAAATAAAATTATGTTCATTTTTTAAATAAAAGCAAATGATATATTGATTAAAGTGGAGTTTTTCTGCTTCTTCGTGACTTTACTTGGATTTTTCTTTTCACATGTATAATTTGAAAGCAAAATATCTAGAATATTAGTTGCTCTTTCATTTATTTCATCTACAGTATGGATCAATTTCGCTTTTTTATTCCTTTATGGAGCATCTGATTTAAACAACTTCATGGCTTAAAATTATTTATACGTGAAAAATCTTGAAGAAAAAAATGATCCTGAAAATTAACCAGACCCAGATATGTACCTATTTGTTAACTCATGGCGCATTCTGTATTAAATAAGAAAAATTATTTTTATATCTATAATTCCTACTCAAATAGTATACTTAATCTTCTTTAGAAAGTTTTTTGCACAAAAGAAGCAATTTATTGAAAAGTAGAAGCTTTAGGAAATGATGAAAATATACGAATAACTTGAGCAGAATTAAATTTGAATATGATGTTAATTTTTTTAACTTGATAAGCAAATCAATTAAATACATAAGTAATCAACAAAATAGAAAAGCAATCAACAAAAATTAAAAAAAATATGCTGGTGCAAAATATTAATTGCTTATAAGAAAGCTGGTTGATTTTGCATTTACTATTATTTAATTTTATATTTTTAAGTCTCTCTATAAAATTTTATAAAGCTTGTTTCTATTTGAAAAATAATTTTCATGTAATATTTTAATTATTCTTTAAGTTGTTGTATTTCAAACGTGTAACTATATGATGTTAACCTTTTTAAGTTGATAAGAAAAATAATAAAATACGTAAACAATCAACAAAAATAGAAAAGCAATCAACAAAAATTTAAAAAAATGCTGGTTCAAAATATTAATTGCTTAAGAGAGCTGGTTGATTTTACATTTACTATTATATAATTTTATATTAGTTTCTCTATAAAAGTTAATAAAGCTTGTTTCTATTTGGCAAATAATTTTCATGTAATATTTTAATTATTTTTTAAGTTAGAGTATTTGAAATGTGTAACTAAAAAATGATGAATATTTTAAAAAGCATTTAAGTTATAATTCTATTAATTTACAGAAGAGTTTTATTATATATGTATTAGAAAATAATAAATATAACAAATTTAAAATAGTGATAGTGTAATATATTGTAAGGAGCTGGCTATCTTTAGATTTAAAATTATATAATTAAATGTTTGAATCTTTGTAAGCCTAAATAAAAAGCTGCTTCTGTTTAAGAAATGAGAACATTTTTAAAATTAATATTCTTATAATATAAAATGAATATTTCTTTACTTCATAGTATGAAAAATACTATTTAATTCTATATTAATGATTCTAAAATATCTATTTAAATTTATTAAAAGTTATTGAATTTTTAATATGTTTGTTTAAGTAGAAATTTCAAAGCCAAAGTTTACATAATGTTTTTAAAATCATCTAAAAAACAATAAATTTTTTTCAGAGCACTATAAATAAATGATTGATAAAAAATGATTGCTAGTAATTAATAAATTTAGGCAATTTTTTTTATCTAAAATTTTAATTACATTCAAGCATTTAAACATTTGACATTACATAAAAACTTTTTAATTTTTAATGAATCTAAAAATAGTCTAATTTAATCTTACTCTATACGAGTAAACAAGGCTTGTGATATTATCATGAAAAAATAAAAAAGAAAAGAAAGACAGTGTACAGATTTTTGAATTTGTTCAACTTTCACTTACAAAATTTAGAACATTTTCTATTTTCTATCATATGAAAATATAAAATATCAAAAATAATTTTATTTTATTATTTAAAAACATCATTTTAAAAGAAAAAAAGCTAGATTAAATAATAAATTATTTTAAATGCTAAAAATAATATGCAAAAATATTTGTTGAAATTGCTAATTTATTTTTGCTACTTAACATTTTTTTTATTTAAAAGTTAAAAGTTATTTACTAATCACAACTAACTTCTTTCTATTCTTTCAAAGCTATGATATTATTAAATCGCTCAATTAAATTAATATTTACCTTTGAAATGAATTGAAGTTATTAAATTTTAAATATTTTTAATTTGATAAAAGAAATACTTGCTTAATTATTAGATTGTGTTGATTGATTTTGTCATACAAATTTCGTTATTACTATTTATTATGATTTATTAAATGGTTAGTTTTCAATTAAATTCATTCATCATACTTATGCAGATAAGTATTGAAATAAATGATTATTAATAATAAATTGTTAATAATAACAAATAATAAATTGAAGAAAAGAAAGTTAAAAATTGCATGTTTACTTGATTTATTTTGTTAAATTAAATTAATGAAATAAAGTTAATAAAAAATATATCTATTGATTAAAGATTAATTAATAAGAATTATTTTGAAAAGTTATTTGTTATTTGTGGTTAACATCATTTTTAATTCAGATTATTTATTGGTTAATTTGCAAACTTAATCAGCTAAAATTTCTCTTTATTTTTCATTTTTGTGAGCATTTTTAAAAAGTTATAACAAAAAAACTTTTGGTTGTGTTTAATTAATTTTGCTTGGATGGATGGATAAGCTTGATATCTTTTTTCTTAATTTACAAGTAAGTAAAATACCAAAAAAGTGACTTATATATTATTCAAAGAAAATATCACATTATGATAGGTTAATAGGATGTAGGCGAGGAGTATAGGAAAGTTTCTTTGAACCAAAATTTTAAGCGGAGACTATTTGCAAAATCAAATTAGCTTCAAAAGAGTCTAAATAACTCAAGCCATTTAAATTTCTTACAAGACAGCTTACGGGATGTGCATATTATTTATGAGAATCAATACTATCTTATTAAAAGAGTTGAAAATGTTAACAAATGTATGTATTTCACTCAAGTTGTTCCATCAGACATCAATAATTTTGATATAAGCAGCATGAATCATGAAAATATTCTTTAAATACATCAGGAAGATAACATCTTTATTGCTGAACCCATGCTTATGACATTGCAATCTTATATTTATCAGTAATAAGATGTATCTCATGATTTAGAATAAATAATAAAGCAGATAGTTAATTTCATTTCATTTCTTCACTCTCAAAACCTAGCCCACACTGAATTAAGCACCAGAAATTTTTTAATTAATGAAAAGTTACAAATAAAAGCTGTGCCTCTACCCTAAGAAGGTGTTTAGTATCGTGCCCCTGAAAGAATAATAGGATATGATGTTGAAAATATGAAAAGCGAAGATATGTTTCAATTAGGATGTATTATATTAGAGTTATTAGCACGAAAGCCTGTTTTAGAGTCAGAAGATGAAACAAATCAAATGCTTAAATATTCTCTTTTCTTAGGAAGACCTTAAGAAATAATTTACCGTAATATATATCATCAGCTGCCAGATACATCACCAGTTGATATTGATAAATATTTAAGTAATTGCGATTAAAAATTAGTAAATCTCATCCCGTAACTTCTAGTTTATGACCCTGAAAAAAGAGCTACCATTTAACAAGTATAAAATTATTTGAATTAGGTTTATCCCTCTTTTAGACCATCTTCAAAGTCAAGTATAAGCAACTCTCCTCTTTCATTAAAATCTCAAAGAATGACACCTTATTCTTTAAGAAATAGAAATAAACGTTATGGAAATATAAACAACGGTTCACCAAATTATTACTATTAAGATGAAACCCCAAGTATAAACCTTTATGAAGACAGCCCTAATGATTTATCTCCAAAATTTAATGTCTCTAAAAAAACATTTGATGAACAAATGAGAACCATTGCTGAGGAAACTAGCTTGAATAATGATGGTATGTCTTAGCTTAGAGAAAAAATTTAAAATGGAAAGTAAAATAATCCTTCAATAGACAACAATTAAGGTGCTTAATAATATAATAAATCTCAACATCCAAGAAATTATTCATCTGCTTCTAATACTTAAAATAACTTAAGGCTTCAAAGCTCTCAAAAACCATAAACACCTTAAAGATATAAATAAAATAGTTTACTCTTTGATAATGATGATAATTTAAAACCATAAATTATATAAGACAGGATGACACCTTTAAGTAATAGGAGATCAAATAACAATTCTTTCTAAAAAAATAATAATAATAATAATACTCCTGGAAAAGGTTTCTTTATAGATGTTCCTGACAAAGAAAAAAATATCTAAGATCATTTAACTTCTTTCTAACACCTTTAAAAAATCTTTAGTGAAGAAAATAAACATAAAACTGATGATGAAAAAAAAAGAAAATTAGAAGAAGATTTGAGAAAGTAAGCTGATGAAGAAAAGAAGAGGAGAGACGAAGAGGAAAAAAGGAAAAAGGATTACGAAGAAAAAAAATTGAGAGATGAAGCTGAAAAGAAAAAAAGAGATGAAGAAGAAAAGAGAAAGAGAGATGAGGAAGAAAAGAAAAAGAGAGATGAAGAAGAAGAAAAGAAAAAGAGAGATGATGAAGAAAAGAAAAAGAGAGATGATGAAGAAAAGAAAAAGAGAAATGAAGATGAAAAGATAAAAAGAGATTTAGATGATAAGAAAAAAAAAGAGGATGAGGAGAAAAGGTAAAGAGATGAAGAAGAGAAAAGAAAGAAAGATGATTTACAAAAAAAGAAGGATGATGAATTAAAATAAATCTAAGATGATGAAAAGAAGAAAAAATTGGAAGAGGAGCTTAGAAAAAAGCTTGAAGAAGAGTAAAAGAAAAAAGAGTTAGAATTAAAAAGATAAATGGAAGAAGAGTAAAATAAGCGTGAGCAGGAAAGATAAAAATAATTTGAAGCTTAGAAATTGAAATAGGAATAAGAAATGAAGAAAAAAATTGAGGAAGAATAAAAAAGGATTGAAGAGTAGCTTCGAAAATAATTTGAGCAATAGTAGAAGTAGAAGGAAGATGAATTAAAAAAGAAGGAAGAAGAATAAAGGAAAAAAGATGAGGAACTGAAAAAAAAGGAAGAAGAAAAGCTGAAGTTAGAATAAGAGCTAAAGAAAAAAGAAGAGGCTCTTAAGTTAAAGGAGGAAGAAGATAGAAAGCTTAGAGAAGAGTTAGCAAAAAAAGAAAATTAATAAAAATAGGAAGAACAATAAAAATTGTTGAAAGCACAAAAAGAAGCTGAAGAGAAGCTCCGTAAATAACTTGAAGAGGAGCAAGAAAAAATAAAAAAATTGTAAGAAGAGCTTCTTAAAAAAAAGAAAGAAGATGAAGAAATCACCAAACAAAAATAATTACAAGACTAAAAGGCTAAAGAAGAAGAGATTCGATAGCTTAAAGAAAAGTAAGAATAACTAGCTGAGCAAGAGAGAAAGTAAAAAGAGATAGCAGCTGAACTTGAAAGAAAGGAAAAATTAGCATAAGAAGCATTGAAAAATTAATAACTCTAAATTTAAGAAGAAGCCAGAAAAAAAGAAGAATAAATGTTATAAGAGCTGAAAAAAAAAGAAGAAGAGCTTTAAAAGCAAAAGGAATAGGCTGAGCTTGATAGAAAGAAAAAATAAGAGGAGTTAGAATAGTAGAGATAAAGAGAATAGGAGGAAATATAGAAAAAATAAGAGTTACTTAAATAGAAGGAGTAGGAATTAGAGAAATAAAAAAAAGCTGATGAAGAAAAATAACGTGAATTTGAGGAATAAAAAAAGAGAGAATTAGAAAATTAGAAAAAGAAAGAAATGGAATTAAATTAGTTGAAGGAATAAGAACTTGCTAAGTTAAAAGAAATTGAAGAAAAAAGACAAAGAGATGAGTAAGAGAAATAAAATAAATAAAGAGAGGAAGAAAAAAGGCTTCAAGAGATTGAAAAGCAAAAGAAGAAAGAGCTATAAGATCTAATGAAGTAAAAAGAACTCGAAAGACAAAAACTAAAAGAGCTAGAAGAAAAAGAAAAGGAACTTGCTAAGAAAAAAGGAGAAGACTAAAAGAAAATCGCTGAATTAGAGAAGCAAAAAAAATATTAGTAGCAACAACAACAACAACCAAAAGAATCTGATGAGAATATCAGACTTTAAAAAGAAGACTCTTAAAATGAATCTTCCAAAAAACCATTAAAGTAGCCTAAATCATCTAGTAAACTTATTTAAACAGATTAGTCCCTTGATGATAAAAAAGCAAACTAAGGTAATATGAATAACAATAACAATTAAGGTAATATTGTTATCCTACCAGAATCTATGTAACGATAGTAGATGATTTCCAACATTTTATAATAAGAAATCGAGTTTAACGAAATATATAGATAAAGGTAAGGCTATTCTCACTACAGATTCAAGAACAATTAACTTAGCACTCCAAATAGCAATATTATTGTTAATACAAGATATTCACAGTAGCCTTAGCAGAATCATAATAGCAGTAAAGTTTCTCCTTAAATGTATGACTCAAAGTAAAGTTTCTATCCTTAAAATAATTATGATAATAATGAGACGAATCCTTCATTGAATTTTAGAACTCCTCGAATAAACACGGACCATTCGACTATAAAATCAGCTTTAATAAATACAAATGATAGAAACAACTAAAATCCAAATTAAAAAATGGAATCTCCAGTTTCTAATATCCATAATAGAATCAAACAAAAGATTTAATTAAATGGAAATACTATTGTGGTAGAAGAAACACCTGAAAATTCAATAAATTCTTTAGGAAACCAACCTTCTTATTAGCCTGTTTATAAAGAGCAATAGCCTAGAATTATTAATAAAAATAAGCCAATTATACCTCCTTTGAGAAGTATAGCAACAAGCCTACCTCCTGCTACTGATAGAAGAAAGCAGTCCCCTCCGTTGAATGGCACTGACAGAAAAAGTAAAGAAAATAAAAAATTCAATACTCTAAATAAATCAATAGATGTTAAGAAAAAAAAGAAAAAATCAAAGGGAGGTAGCAGCGAAATAAAAGGAAATTATAATAATAATGATTATAAAATGCCCCCTCTTTCTGCTAGAAATGAGAGCTTTTAATATTTGTAAGACGAAAGAACAAAATTTAGATAATCACATGATGGGTAATTGATTACTCAATCTAATACTGATTCAATACCATCAATAATAAATCCTGCTAGAATGAGCCAATAGCATATGTACTTATAAACAAAACCAGATTAACCTACCGTATTCAATACTAGACTACTTGCTCGCCCGCCCACGTTTTTAGTTTAAAAAGATACAGACGAAGACTGAATAATTAATTGTATGGTATATTAAATAACTGATTGATTAAATTAAAATTACACTAAATAATAAATAAACATTTTATAAAATATAATTATATTTTTAATAAAAAAATAAACAAATTTGCAATGTAAAAAGTATATCAACTTTGCTATTAACTATTGAATCACTTACTTTTTCATTAAATTAAATTAAATTAAATTATTTTCAATTAATTAAATATGTTTGCGATATATTTCTAAGTAAAATTTTTTACTATTTACAAATATTTTATTTAATAATTTTTCCAGGATCTTAATTTCATTAATTTGATTGATATAAACATCTATAAATATGTTATTTTCTGTCGTCTGCATGGTAAATGAAAGGTTGACAAATATAAAATTAGACTAAATAATTAACATAAATTTTATAAAAAACTAAAAAATTTTTTGAGAAAAATAAATAAATTGAAAAATAAAATAGGGTAACTTTATCTTTATTTATTATTAATATTGAATGACTTTTATCATTAAATAAAATTAATTTTAAACAATAAATAAAATTGTTTTTTCACAGCATTTCTAATATTTAAAAAAATTTTTAATTCTTTTTTAGTATTTTATTAAATAATTTTTCAAAGTTAAATTTGATTTCCTTAATTGATATAAGTATCCCAAATATTTAATTTTTACAAAAGGTAAATTAATTCAATCTAAAACTGATATTTGTTTATTTAATTCATAAATTTTGATGTAAAATTAATTAATAAATTAGAATTTTTTTAATTTACTTCAATTTTAATGTCATTAATTCAGTAAAATAACATAAATTTACTAATAAAAATAAATAAAGATTTTCATTTCGAAATAGAATCATAAAGTTGATGGAGCTATCTAATTCTATCATTAATTTTATTTAAGATAGAGTTATTTTTAGGAGAACAAATTTAGACCATATCTAATGCTTCATTCATCAGGTTAATAGCATCTGAGAAAAATCTACAATTTTCTGCAGCAAGACTCATGTTGTAGAGAAACGAAACATTTTCAACAGTCTCTTCCATTTAATTATTTCTCTCATACATCCTTAGTACTTTTTTATAGTAAGTAAGAGCATCATCAAATTTTCTTAGATTCAACAAGCAGTTAGCTAAATTTATCAAGGGATTTATTACTTGAGGACATTCATAATTGAAATTATTTTTCATAATATTATAGCTTTTTTGGAAATTTTGTAAGGCTGAGTTATATTTTCTGTGTTTTTAAAGGATCAACCCAATTCTCTAAAGTATTTCAACGCTCTCAATTCTATCTTCTCCTAAAATTTATTCTTGTAGCCAAAGAGCTTCCTATAATATAAATTACAAATTTTACAATTTATATATTTTATTTAAATAGAATTACTTTATAGAACCTAAATGCCTCTATATATTATTACTATCTATCAAATAACTCTGCAAGATTGAAGTTAATTCTAGAGGCCTCCATAGAATTTGCTTTATCTTCAAATTTTATTATTGTGAACAAACTTTTCTTCAAATAAGTTATAGCTTCTTGTGTTTTATTAAATTTCATGCAGATCAGCCCATATTATTCGTAATGTTAAGCAAGCTCTATTTAGTGATTTTCCAATACTTTATCAGATTTTTTTTATTTTTATTTTTCTTCTTCTTCTTACTTGTTTTCCAATTCTTGCAACTTTAATCTGGACTCTTCATACTCCTAATTAAAAATATTTTAATGCAATTTAAAAAATATAAATTAATTAATTAATTAGAAATTCAATAAACAAAATTTTAATTTATCAAATAATAATAAATTTTAGTCAAATTAAATTTATTACTTAATTGTATGACTCGAATTCCTCAACAGAACTAGATTTGAATTCTATAACAATAGGTTCTTCTCCAGGTGCCTCTTATTACTCTTTGATAATATGAAGTCTATCATCTTTATGCTTTTAGAAGAACCATTTAATTGCAAAATCAAGAGGCTATGGAGGTCTTTTAGTAATTAAATCAAAAACTAATTCTTCAATGTAAATATCAACATGGTCTCTTAAATATTCTTTCATTTGCAGCTTTAAATTAAATTTAATTAATTTTAAAAATAATTCAATCAAATAAATAAATACTTCTAGTTCCTATGGGCTTAAATCGGATGCTTAATGAATTTGTTAAGGGATATAATATTAATTATTTTTATAGAGCTGCAACCATTCATAGCTGAATTTAAGCTAATTTTAAATTACTGAATTTTTATATGTACAAGATTAAAAAGTAATTTTTACGAAACTATGAGGCCTTTCTTTAAGAGCATCTATAATTAATTAGTTTAAGAACTCTTTAATTTAATCCTCTAAGTATTATTCAAGTCTTTTTTATTTGCTGGGAGATAAATTTGATTTAGGCTTCATGTTTTATTCTGCTTACTCGAGAGCTGTTTATAAAGAATTTAAAATAATTCTAATTAGTATTATAAAAATAGCTACCTTCAGAAGCACTTTCTGATAAAAGGTCGGACTCAGTTTTTAAGGTTTCTCCTTTATAAGAATATTTTACGAAAGGCATTTTGCATTCATTTCCTTTTCTATCAGAAGCATATATTCCAAATTTCAAGTATTGCTTATATTCAGGAATCTTGTTTTCAAAGACTAATTCAAATAAATCTTAAATATCCATTTACTCACTATTTTTATTATTTCAAATATATTTATTTATCGAATTTTTATTAATCAAAAATTAATTAATTGTTACTGTTGTTAGGCATCTTACTCATTTTGATCAAACAAAAATTTATTTTCATAATAAATTTTGTTTATAATAACATCATAGTGTTCCAAAAAATAATCTCTAAATTCACTTACTCTCATTGGACCATTAATAATTATAAAATCCCATTTCGTAAAACCTTGTTATTTTATCAGTTTTAAATTTATTTAAAATAAAAAATATTATTTAAAAACCTTTTGGAATTGCTTTAACTGGACCTAGATATTCTAAATCATAGTCAGTATCATTGTTTTTGTAGGGCTCTACAGGATCACAAAAGACCCACAAAGGTAGAGCTAAATTCATAAAAGTATTTCTCATAGCTGTTATAGGTTTTTACTAAAAAAATACATTAAAAAAATTTCAAGCTAATTAATAAATGTTATTTACCATAATATACTTAATTATCTCTATACCAACTGTTCCTACTATCATAGCAGTAGTAGTAGCTAAAGCAGGAATAATCTTCCCAGCAATTACTTTCACTTTCATTTTTTCAACTTCTTTAATCTATTTATTCAAATGGTTAATTTAATTTAAATTAATAAAATTATTTTAAAAGATAAAAAATTTTGATGAATAATCAATAAATTCAATTTAAAATTTCATTTATTATTGTTTTCTCTTTTACCTTATAATTTCTAGCTCTAAGATTAGATATTGCTGATACCATTTCAATATGATAGTTTGTTGGATCGTCTTTTTCAAACTCTACTTGTTTGAGGTCCACCAATTTTTTAGGTAATTCATCTTCAGATAATAATAAATAAAATTCAACTTTAAAAATAATATGATTTTATTTACTTTTTATTTGCTCGATCAACAAATTGCACTTTATTTCGCTTTCATCTAAGTTAACTTGTTCTGCTTAATTCTATTCTATTTCGTTTATGTTTAGCTTTTTAGGAATAAAAGTTTCAACTTTTAATTAATTAGAAATTTTAGCTATTTCTTTAGGATCTTTACATATTTAAATATTAAAAGCCTTAGCAAAAATATTTGCACAACTTTAAACCCATTCTACATGCAGCTCATCATTAGAGTCGTAAGGGATAACTTATGGTGGTCTTTTCTATCCACTCCAGTAAGGAGATCCATACTAATCTTTAGTGTCTAATGGAAGATTAAACAGCAATTAAGCTATTTAGTTATTATGAACTTCTTCGAAAAGCTACTTAGCAAGGTGAAGACACTCCTAATAAGTTGGATTATTATATATTTGTAATAATTTTTTAATCCATTCTAATTTATTTTAAAATTCTGAGCTCCTTTGTGGCATTAGTTCACTTTAGTTTTTTTATATGTACCTTTATAAGTTAAAGTATTTATTAAAATAAGAACTTTCTAATTTTTAATTAATTACTTTAAAGGATTTTTAACAAACTCCTAGATTTCTTTAATAGATTTAACAAAAGTGCCTTCAAAATAATCTATAGCCCATTATATGCAATGTTCTATTAAATAAGGAGAATTTTTAAGTGTGCAAATAGGAATAGACTCTTCCTCAGGATCTCTTGTGTCAGTATAGCTTTAAGTTAAGTGAGGTATTATGACTTAGCTATTACATTTAACACCCATAGTGCCACTTTCGAACAATACCTATTTTATCAGATTTAAGTTAATAATTAAATCCATTAAATTTAAAATAATTATTTTTATATTAAAAGGAATTTAACTCAATTTAAAAAAATAAATAGAAGTTACCTTATTATACCATACGCATTGCTTATCTATATATTGACGAGCTTTCACATTATCCACTGCATTAACAACAAAATCTAGGTTCATCCAGAAATTATCATCAAACATCTTGTTTTTGTAAAAAAGTTACATATTATAATAATAATAGAATAGATTAATTTATATTTACATTCTCAGTTGAAGTATCTAAAACTAGCTTATGAGATTTTATGTTAAATGAGTTATTAATTTATTTTCCTTTCACTGAAGCAACCAAAGATTTTGATTTTCCAATATCTTCCCTCTAGAATAAGAATTATCTGTTTAAGTTTGAAATTTCAATTGAATCATTGTCTGCAATATGAACAAATCCTTTCTAAAAATAATTGTATTCAATTTATGTTGGATGATTAAATAATAAAGTAGTGTTAAAATATCGGAATTTAGATGTATGAGAAGATTTATAAAATATCAATGTTTATTTTTAATTTTTTTCATATTCACTTTGAGGAAATACTTTCTAAGTTTTCAAAAAATTCAATCTCGATATTCTATTTTTAAAGTATCGGAATCGGCATATGTAAACAAAATTATAAAGAGTACATCTCTATTAAAAAAATATGTTTTACTTTATGACAAGCTATGCCCATTAATGCAAACATTTTTGTAAATTCACAACCAAGAGCACCAGCACCAACAATTAAAACTCTAATAAAAATAAATGAATATTTTGTGTAATGCTATAAATATTGTAGTTTATTTACCTTTAAGTCAAAATTTTATCAATAAAATCTCTCCCAAAAATCATAACATAGTCATCATATCTTGTATTTGTCAGAATTCTATTTACATTTGGGTTTCTTAAATGAGCTTCTGGAAGCAAATCAAAATTATGAATGTGGAGCCATTATGACAAAGGAGTAAATTTACCAGTGAACTTAACTATTTCTTGAGCAATTATACCTCCCCAAAAACTGGTTAAAGGAGCTATTTAGTAGTGTGAAAAGTAACAAATTTGTCTAAGTAGATTTTAATCTAAATCACTTACAATTAAAGAATTTTATGTTTTTTTATATAAATTATTCAAAATATCAATCTATTGTTAGACTGCACTCACTTAATCTTCGTTTTTAAATTCAGGGAGTTATTCATTATGTTTGCTTGCGTATGCAAGAACACCTTAAAGGATAGCGTGAAGTTACTCTTATTTTCCTTCCTTTCCACAATCAACAGATTAAAATCTATCATTATTTAATCCATAACCAACCCTTAAGCTCTCTTCTAAATTTCTGAATCCAAAAGGTATAGGTACTTTTACTTGTTCGACTAGTTTTATTTTTCAAAAAAATGATTTATATTTTATTGATTGATAAAAATTTAATCATGTTAGAGGAAGAAAAATTAAATTTACTTAACCCCCTTCCTGTATAGGGCATAAATTCAGTTGTATCAACTTAAATTTCTAAGCAATACTTGCTTAGTATTTTAACTTGAGTAGGCTCTTAAATGTTCATTTCATCCATTCCTTCCACTTCCTTAAAGATAACATAATCACCATCTTCAAATCCATGACTTTTTCTATTTTATAATAAATTTAATTGAATCTTTTGCTATTATAACTAAATAAATATTTAGATATTTTGTAAAATCTATCTATAAAGTTGTAAAAATTTTATTGTTATTCTATTAATTTTACTTTTGATTTGTTTCTAGTAAGGTAACTACAGCAGCTTTATCGTTTGTGATTGAAGAGATGATGGCTTGTTTAGGTTCCTCACCATTTGGATCTAAAATTTTGTGATCCTCACCAAAATCCACAAAGCAAAAACCATATAAACCTAGCAATCCTGCATAAATAAAACCTATATTCTTTGCTCTGCACATCTTATTCCATGCAATTAATTTTTCTCTATTATAGTAATCAGTAAACACTACAACATTAAATTCACTAAGAAGAACCTCATTGATTTCTCCATCATAGTCTAAGACGTGTACATTTGAATTGAGTTGCTTAAGATGAGGCAGACAAGCTTTAGCTCTTGTCTTTTAACTTTTGATATCATACTCTGAAATATAAAAGTTAGATCCCATATCTTAAATTGTGCAAATATTCTTATCGTAAATCTTTACAACATGAGGATTTGCTAGAATAATATTTTTAGCAACTTCTACACCAACCTTTTAAGATTATAATAATTTCAGAAATAAATCTCGCATAAAATCATAATTGAATTACTCCTCTCATGCCATAAATAAATACATTTGTTTGACTTAATTTCCCCTAAAATTCTTTTCCATAGACAGCAAGCTATCTTGAAAGTAAATTTTCATCTAAACTAACCTCTTTAGGTACAGGAGGAAGCAATAATTAAATTTATTTAGCTTCTTCTTTCTGCTTTACTTCCCCTTCCATATCTTTCAATTTATTCTATATTTTAAAAGTGCCTAATATTTATTTATTTGATTGTTTGTTTGTTTGAATTATAAGTAAACTATACTTTTTGCTTTTATTAAATATAATCCACTCAATTAATTTTATTATTTCACATTAAAATTTAATTAAAAAGCAAATCTATCAGCAAAATGAAATTATTGAAAAAGCAAATCTTAACTTTTTCAACTAATTTGCTAATTTGTTTATTTATCATATAAATATTTTTAATTAATTAACGACTCTAAATAAATAAATTATTAATTAATTAAATGCAAATCGATCAAATAGTCTAATTTGTTTTATTATTTAATTGAAAAACAACAGAGATTAAAATATAAATTTTACTTAAATTAAAATCAATTTTATTTCTTGATAAATAAATATTTTTTGCAATAAATTTTGAATAAATTCAATTTATTTATGCTCATATTAAATTTCTTTTGAGACTATCATTCTAAGTATAAATCCCACAAAACTTATTTTGGATTATTTATCATATATTCAGATATTAACAGATGAAAAAAAATAGGCTATAGATGGATAATTTTCATTTCTCTAAACACCTTTTTTGATAGCTTTTACTTGTTACAAATGACCTTTTGTATCTATTAGTTATGCTGAATTATCAAAGACACCTTCTAGGAATCGAGTTAGAAGTTTTCTTAAGTACAGATCTTTAGCTATTTAACTGGAGTATTAAGACAGAAATTGATTATTTTAGAAAAGTTCTGCTCATGTTATATAATTTTCATAATATGGTTTTTTCTGATACAAATTGATTTTTAGTCTTCTAAAAAGACAAAAAAATTAAATTCAAACACTTAATAAATGTTTCCTAAAATCCATTAATCTATTTAAGAGTCAGAATAGGCATAAAAAGAAAATTGAATTTATATATTAAGCTTCTAGAGATGTTTAATGTATTTAATAATAGCTTAGCTCCAATTACTGCTGCTTTCACTTTCTTGTTTCTATATAAGTATCAGAATAATCTTGCATTTTTACAAATAATTATCATATGAAATGCTATTTTTTTCTAATTCATCAAAACTGATGAACTGCAATATCTGCTCATTACACTAATTTTAATTGCACTCCTTTATAAATCTATAGTTATATTCATTGAATTTATCTTTTGAGTTTTTTTTCTCTTTTTTAACTTTTGATTAAAATAAATAAAAAAATTATCACCATATTTTTATTGTTTTTTTTTGAAATAAATTTTTACATCTTTTCAAGTTTTAATATCTTCGAATAAACCAATCTTCATCTAATCCTACTTAGAATTTTTCCTTCAATTTTTTGAAAACCTAAAGTAATCTAAATAAAATTTGAATTCATAGGCAAAAGGTTGTAATTATTAACAATATACGTTGAATCATTGCAATAAATAATTTATCTTTCTCTTTTCCTTTTGAAATCCCTTACAAAAGTTTAATCAAAATAGCTGAACTTGTCATAATATCTCTTCAAAATAGGTTTGATGCTTTTAAAAACAGCTCTTAAAAAATTCATTTATTCGTTTATAAAAACTAATGCAACCAAATAAATAAATAAAATAAAAATAATTATATAAAAACTGTTTATTTAAAATAAAAGCTATCAAAAATGTTTTAACCTATATACTATTAATCACATATTATATATAGGCGACAATTAGTCAATTTACTACTATTAAAATATCTCCTTAAATTATATATTATTTTTTATTTTTTAACTTTAATATCTACTTTTTAAAATAGATTGATTCATGCTTAATATTATAAGTAATCCAACCATAAAGCTGCTTTTATAATTAAGATTTTATCTTTAGGAGATGTGATATTATCAAATGTAATTCCAAATTTATCTTGTCTCGTGCAACACTCTCTTATACAACCATTGTACAAATTTTAAATTGTACCTGCAAATTCGTTTGAAGCATCTCGTATTTCATATTTAATTATTTTGCATCCACAACATTGAAAAGGTAAGCAGCAGACAGACTTTTGGCAGCACTTGCCTCTTTATTTAAAAATGGTATTAAAATATATTTATGGATTAATTTTTTTTACGTAATTGTATAAGCTAATTCATCAGACTGGTTGAAAATTTGAAGTTCCATAATTGGACAACATAGTTTATTTCTAGTACCCCAGCAAGGGCCATAATAAGGTTATACTATTTTTCCAATGTAATTTTAACTAAGTGAAACTCTCATCTCTGGCTTCATACAGCAGCAGGTCAAAAAATTGCATGTCTAACATTTATAAGGAACTTCTGATGTAGCAATTTACACTCCTCCTATAGAAAGACCTCCTAAATTAATTTATTAAGTAGAATTTTTTGTATAATTCATATTGAAAATACTTAAATTAATTATTAATTTATGAATGGCTTCAGCTTTTTCAAGATGTTTATTATACTTATCATAAATTTATATAATATACCTGAGAATGAACGTCTTGTTATGCATGTACATCTGCAACAGAGAGAGGATTCTTCAATAAAATCACCAAGCTAACGATCTACTTACTAAAAGTATTCATCTTCACACTTCCATATAAGATATTTATTACTGTTCTCACAGCAAGTTAAAAGCATCCACTAACAAAAAAAGCACTCAGCCCAATCATCTTATTATTCTATAAGCAAATACTTCGATTATAGCAAAATACCGTAATTCATATTTGTTTAGCTGTTTGTTAGCAAAAGTAAATATTTAAAGTTAAATCTTTCTGCTTTTGAAAGGTAAGAAATAAATTAAGATATGAATTATGTTGATTGTGTGATTAAATATTTGGTAATTAATTTATAAATGTTATTAAAAATCAAGATCCTTAAATGTAAAACGTTCTTGTTAAAAATTCAAGTGAAAAATTAATTGAAATGTATTAAGGTTTAGATTATGTTCAGTAAGTAATCTTATACTTTAAAACATATACAAACTATAAGAAAATTTTATTAAATAAATACCTGAATTTTATTTTAAAATAAGCAAACATTTATATTAAGTATTACTTTATTTAATTTAAAAGCCGTTTCAGTTATTAGATGTTAGTATTGGTATAGATTCAACTGGAATTTTCATTTTGTTGCTAAAAATATTAATTTTTTAAGTATTTATGTATTTCTATTAAATTCAAAATATATTTTTTATCTTGTAAACATTTTTATATTTGCATGTTTTCTAATCTTGAATTAATATTCATAAAAGTTCAATAAGATCAATAATATAAGTTAATAAATACGAACAAAAAGCATTCTATAGCTTCTAAATCCATAATTTTTATAATTAAAGCTAATTACATTCAATTTTCTAAGTATTATGAATACTAATAATTCAATTTTTACATAGAATTATTTTATTATTTTAGAATTAATGATGATTAAAAGCAATATCATTATAAAAAATCAATAATAATAACAAAAAAGCAATTTATACAAAACATAAACCTTTTAGCTGCTTGAGTCTATTTATTTTTTTAACTTGTTTTTTACATATTTTTTTGTAATTTTGAAAAATATGATTTTTAGTTTAAGCTATCTTTCATAAATAATAAAATTATAAAGTTAAATATGAGAGCTAATATCTGAGAAATAGAAATAAATTAGTCATTTAATTAGCTTGCTAATTAACAATTTAGCAAAATTTGAATTTGAATTTGTTAAAAAATAATTATTATCTAATTGTTAGAATTTTAATGTGGCTTGGCTTTAATTTATAAAGAAAATATATATGAAAGATAGATAGATAGATCTTATTATTGTAAATAATAATTTATTTTTTGGCGGAAATTTAATTTTACAAAATTAATAATTATTCATAGAAATTTAAAAAGATTTGATTGATAAATATCAAATTTAAGATTTTTAGTGTAATTTTGATAGATTTTTAAAGTTGAAGATAGAATTTAAACTCGATTCGGCAGAAAATAATTTTATGAAACCAGAATATATTTAATCTCTAGATAAGTTGAGAGAAGACGTTAACTAATTCTTGAAGTAAAAATATTAAAATTGTGATTGGATCAATTAAATCCTTATTTACTTACTTTTGTATTTGTTATTAGAACTGGAGAATAAAAGTTGCATTAAAGCATCTTAGAATAACTGGGATTAGAAGGCAATGATATTAGCTACATGGTTGTAGAAAGATTGCTTGATTATCTGGATTTCATAAATGACACAAATACTTAAATATTTTTAGCTAATGGAATAAAGTAGATTGTAAAAATGAATTATAGTATTTTTAGTACTGAGGAGAAAAAGAATATCTATTAAAGGACCTTCAACATTTATAAGAAAATGCCTTAAAACTCATATTTTTTTTAAGACCTTATTATATGTATCTTCAAATTCTTTTATGACAGCATATAAGTTGAAGTATCTTTTATTGAAGATGTTAAATCCTTCAGCGAATAGTCTGCTGAGCATCTTCAACTAGGACTATTATTATTTTCTAATATCATAAATTGCATGCAAGATTATTAAATAAAGTATAAATGTTCATCCGACTTGGCTTACATCGATTATAACTCTGATCTCTCCTAATTTCATCGCAAAAAAGAAATATCTTTCAGATAAAATTTGCTGCCTATTATTTTTGATATCCCTTTTTAACTCTTAAATACAAAGAAAGAAGATCTCATGGTAGAATAAGAGACTAATTTTTAAGTTTTACTTGAAGTACTGAATCTTCTCTACAACTGTCTAAACTATGATTATTTCGACTAAAAAAAAGTATCAGATGAAAAATTCATTGTTGAATCAAGTAAATATAAGTTTTTTTTCATTTATTAATTGCATTTTTAAGCCAACATCAAAGAAAGAAATATATCGAATTTCAGCTAATTAGTATGATGATATCAAACACACAATATTAGAAAAATGTATAAAAAGAGAAAAAGTTATTGTATTACAAAAGCTTTTATTATTTTTGAGCTTAATTGAAATTTGATATTTCTTAAAGTAGAAATTTTTAGAAAATTATGTTTTTATTTTTGAAAAATGAATAAAAAATATTTTACTTAATGAATGATATTTATTGAGGTTTAATAACACAATTTTAAAGCATTAGATTTAATAATATTTAATAATGAATACAAGAATCAGGATATCACAATACAAAATATTTACATTTATTTAATAAATATTCTTTAAAAAATAATAATAGAAATAAATATGGTTATTTATTTCTTTATGCTTTATAATTTGATTTAATAATTTTCATATTTATTTAGGTATATTAAGCATACCTTGTAGAGAGAAAAAATAGGATAATTATATTAATGATTTGAAATCACAGGAATTTACTAGCATACTTTTTGAGTTGTATTATTTCATGGTGAATAAACATAGAGAAATATCTATTAGGTGCCTTCAGATTTTAAGTTTACTTTGTCGTCTTAGCATTAAATTTTTTAAGAAAGAAGATTAAAAATTCTCTTAAATGATATTTATCATTGATGGATTACACAAAATTTATCAGACTCACACATTTATATTTGAGGAGAGTGATGTATTTGAACAAACTTAAGATATTTTTTAAGCATTTTGTTTATGTGTTTCAAAAATACCAATAGGAATTTCTTTTTCTGATGGAGAAAAGTAAATTAATTCATCAAAAAATTACTACATTTTCATAATAATTAATTTAATATATTTTTTTATTGTTTTAATTTAATTGATTTGAATAATTTTTTTGGTTACCCTTATCTCTTTTTTTATAAAGCTTGGTAGGCTTTTGGGAATTTGTTGTAGAAGTTAATAATATTACGAAGGTTGCAATAGATAGAAAAAATATACCTTGCTTAGAGCTACTTCTTGAATTCTGGTGTGGATACTACTATTTTTTATCACATGATGGAGCTTAAAAGTAGGATTAGCTAAGGAGCCTGGTTGAAAAGATTTTAAAAGAATTTATAAAGTCTTAATTAGAAATATCATCTAATTTGAAAGATGACTAAGATTTTGAAGAAGCTATTGAAGAATATTCTGTTTGTATTAAATACTTTGGTTAGTTATCAAATGCATGGTACTTATATTACATGAAAATTCATAAGTTATTTCAATTTTTTAAATTTTGTTAATTTACAGGATCGATTAAATTGAAGATATATTAATGAAAAAGATATATGCTATATTCTAAAAGAGATCCTAAACTATCAATATAAGCATACGGAATTCTAATAGATCAAACTACTAACAAAGTCTTTTTTATTAACTCTATTGGATGCTTTTACTTCTATTTAAAGCTCAGTCATATAACATAAAAGAAGAGTTACAAACAACAAATAAACACTATGAGCTCGACTCATAGGATGAGATAAAAGAAGATCTAGAAATTCTTCATTAAGCTTTCGATTCTTTTGGAAAGCTTTTCAAAATTGGTTTAAATCTCTTTAAATCGTAGGATACAGAGCCACTTCCTTATTTTTTGCAAAATCTCATCTTAGAAATTGCTCATTTTCTTATAGATTACATATTAGCATTTAAGTCTAACATTAATTTCGATTATCTCAATATCATAATAAAATTTACCGATTCTTTAGAACTAAAAAATTACTTCTTCTTAAATAATATTATAAATTACTTTTTAGACGAGCTATGCTTCTCAGCCAATAACAAGAATTCAGAATAATTTCTTAAGATACTTAAAAGCATTTCCTCTAACCTTTAAGCTACAGATTAAGTAAATTAATTAGAATAAATAATGCAAAACCTTCTATTTTATTAATTTAAAAAAATTTAAATTTAAATAAAATTAAAAATTTAGTTAAATAATTTTTCCTAAAAATATCAATTAAATAAAGCTTTTAAGAAATATAAACTAGAGTATATAATTATTCCTAGTTTATTTTTATAAATATAAAAATTTAAGTTTATTTTTCTATGTTATTTTCTTATTTTTTAAGTTTTCTTAATAATAAAAAAATATTTTATGAATACAAGTTGAATTAAAATTAAAAGCTATTTAATCATTTTTAAAATAAAGGGTGTTTAAATAGGCTGCTTTCCTTATGACCTTTAAGGATTTTTTGATAGTGAAACTTTTAAAAGACATAAAGAAAACTCTTACAACTACCTTGATGCTAAAAAAGTGTAAAAAATATATGAATACCTATTTGTGATTGTAGATAGACATGAATAATATAAAAAGATAATTATTGAAAATGATTTGCTAAAGTTAACAGAATAGCTAACTCTTTAATAAATAGACTGTAATAAATAATAGAAGGTATCATCAATAAGAAACAGCTTGAAATAGTAAGAAAATGGCTCAAAGTAAAATAGTGTTGTACAAAGTAAAAGAGAAAGTTATGTAAATACCTCACCGTAATACCGTTCATAAATGCAAAACAGTAGGAAAAGTGAAGATTCTTAAAGCAAAAAACTCAATTAAGTAGATGATGATATAGTTGAAATAGTTTCCCCTAATCCTATCTAATAAAATGAAAATACAAATTTAAATATATCTAGAAATTCTTTAGAGAAAAAGAAATCAATTAAGCTTTTATAAGAATCTAATATTATTGATTATTTTAACATTTTTATGAATGTGATCAGTTCCAGAATTTAGTTGGATAATGAAATTCCAATTGGTGAATAAAAAAATATTTTGAAAAGTGTCCTTAATCAGCTAATTGGAATTGTGAAATCATCAACAATTCATACTTACAGCAGAATAGTGCAGTTTATTCTTCAAAATAATATATTTTACTCAATTAAACAAGTTATAAAATAAGAAGGTGAACTTAATCATGAAGAAATTAATTGTTCATTGAAATTTATATCAGAAATTTCATAAACAAGAATTTATCTCATATCTGATCTACAAGAGCTGCTATTAAAAGAAGAAATAGAAATAATTATCGCTACTTAAGATAGATTGCTAAATAAATCTTTTATATAAAATGTTAAAAGTTAAACAGATGAATGGAATTTAGTAATACTGCCTTTAAGCTATTAATATAGAATAATATTTAATTTGCTTTAGCAGTAAATGCTTAATTTTTCATAGCTTGATTCACAAATGATTATAAGTAACATGTTTCATTGTTTAACTGTAATTACTCCAGAAAAAATGAGCTAGTATCATAAAAAACTATATTGGATATATCGTTCTATCCATCTGTTAAGCTAGCTCCACTTTGAAGTTTTCTTATTTCTACAGCCTTTAGAATTTCACTCTGTGACTTAGGTAATATTATTTAATCTAGGCAATTTTCAAGAAAAAAAAATTAAAATTTAACCAGTTAAATATAATTTTTTGATGTATTTTATGAATACAATTTTGACTTCTTGAAAGATTTTTGTTTTGATTTTTAAAATTAAGTAGGTATTTTTTATTATTTTTATAAGCTACCGAACTGAATTATTTTAGCTTTTTATTTACTTAATTAACTAATTTTGAAATCAAAAAAATTAAAATTTATAAAGCAAAAAATGATAAAGAAAATATTCTTGAAAATAAATTTAAATAAAATTTAATTTGAACAAAAGTTTGTTTGATAATTTTAATTTCAATGAAAATTTCAACTGTTTTTAAAAGGACCTAATAAATATTTTAATAATAATTAGATTATGGAAGAAGCTTTAAAAGTGAGTTTTGATTCAGAAGAACCAATGGAATTTTTTATAAATGTTCTAAATCAAATTTTTATTTGTAAAAAATCTAACAATTTGATCATGAATCAATATCTTGCATATTCGGAGGAAGTAATATTTTTCATTTTTTTAATTTAAAATAAACATATTAATTTTTATAGACTTTGATAAAAGTACTCCAAGCTATTGTTTTAAAAGTAATCAGAAATGAGGATTTAAATTAAAAAAACTTGTATCGTCTTATGCTAGGCTATTTTTGGATGCTTGAGAAAGATAAATTTTTATAAACAGTTAATTAAGTTTTTAGCAGTTTTCCATATCAAAATACTATTTTCATTAACAAATTTGAGAATTATACTGAAGAAATAGAAATACTTGATATTAAAAAGTACTAATATACAGATTAAGCAGTCTTGTTGGATGCTAAAATTATTTTTAAAAGAGTATTTGGTTGATTTCATTTTCTTATTTAGTAAAAAAAATATATTTCAAATTTCCTTTATAAAACAAATTAAATTTCCATTGTCAATGATATCATCAAAAAAACTTCTATATAAATTCAGGACTATAAAATAGAATTTCTATAAAAAAAGGATAATATAAATTTTATAATGCCAAAAAATATGTTTATTTTTGTAATGAAATATTAATTTTTGAATAACCTGTATTCTCTATTCATATTTGATCATTTTTTCATACTTACTGAAACATCTATACATTTAAAATTTTAATAACCTGTAATTTCTATTTATATTTTGATCATTTTTTCATATTTACTTTTATGAATGAAAGAAAATTATAAAAATAAACCAATCCAATTAATAAAATGTCTTATGCATATTCATAGAGTGTAAATTTTTAATAAATAAATACCTTGATTTGATCAATTTTTCAAAATTACTTTGATAATTGAAATAAAATTATAAAAATCAATCCAATTAATAAAATGTCTTAAATTAAAATACTTTGATTTTTTCTATTCAAATTATCAAGATTTTTTCTCATCTACTTAATGGAATGAAAAAAAATTATACAAATCAGTATAATGTCTAAAATAGCAATTAATACAAATTAATATTGATAGAGAGTAAATATTTAATAAATAATTTAATTTTTTTCATTTTATGAAATGAAAAGTAAGTATTTCATAATTAATTCGTTTTGATTTTTATGCTTTAATCTAAAAAGTAATTAATTTTGTTTAATTTATGATTCAAACAAAAGTGGTGTAAGATTCCACTTAACTTTTTAAAACGAAAAGTGTTTGATTTTCAATATTTTTTTGTGATATTTTATCAATCTATTATTTAAAATTTTGTAAATTTTAAAAATTTTCATTTAAGACTAGATAAAAATTTGTCTGATGAAAGATATATCTAATTATTTATTTTTAAAAAAATACATAGTACTTTAGCTAAATGAATAAACGCCAGTTCTTTCCGATAATTATTTTATAATTTTATTTAACATAAAATGAAATTAGCGAGATATTTTACTCAAATATGTATTTTTAAATATCTTTCTAAGAAATAAAGATAGAAAATAAGCTAATAACTAGAAGAATATTAGGCTAATAATTCAACGCACAAACAACATAATTTCACACAAAAATGAAGTTTGTTTAATAAATATCACTATCTAAATAATTAAAGGTTTCAATCAGAATATATTGCATTTACTATTTTAACCACAGCATCCTTTATTGTTCTAATTTACTCCAATTTCTTCTATTTCTACCATTTTTTTGTCTTCTTTAATGGTTGTTGTATTTTATTTTGCGAATACATTTTTAGATTTTTTAATTAGTTGATTGACGTCTGTGGCTGTAACAGTATGGCCTTCCTCTTCTTCTTCCTATAAAACGACAAATCCTTTTTCTACTTCCTTAAATTACTCTTCCTTCTTTCCTGGAGATGCTTATGATTACATGCTATTCTATGTATTTACAAAATCTTATTTTGTTTCTTAAGTAGTTGCAGTTGTTGCTGTATTTGTTTATTTAATATTCTTATTAATATCTAATTAAGGTTCATCCTATTTATTAAATTAATTCACATTGTCAAATATTATCTATTAATTTTCTACATGTTATATATTAATTTGGAAAGTTGCTGATTAATTTATCTAATCTTTGCTAGATTCTTATTTGAAATCTTCAACAAAACGCTTTGACGAGGCTTTCATTGATTAGACAAAATGAGTATTCCCAAATGACTGGCTCATCTTTTCATCTATTGCTTTGTTGCTACCTTCTCCTCTATTTTGATTATTAAGCACTTTTGGTGTACTTTCCTTGTTTAACTTGGCCTTTTATTATTCTGTTTGTTAATGATCTTAGCTATCTAATTTTAAAGGTTCTGCTGAAATCGATCCTCCGAACGAAAATGGCTTTACTTAGTTTGAATTATTGTTTTGAATAAAATTTCTATCATTTGGTTACAATGAAATTTCTTAATCCTACTTCTAAACTTCTTAAATTTATTTAGTCTCTACAATTTGGTTAGTTGCAGAAGGAGCAGCAAGAGCCACAACTGGAACTGGTGCAGGATTTAGCTTTCTTTATCTCTCTTCTTTTTATTCTTTTGTAGTGTAAATATCGATAGGTGGCCTATTTTTAAATAAATTCATTATGGATTTTAATAAATATTAACTAAGATAAATTTAATAACTAATAAATTACCAAAACTAAGTAAGATCATCGAGTTGACCTTGGTATTTTTTTTAAAGATACCTAGGCTCAATATCGTTTTGCATTTAGCTTAGTTGCTTTTTGTCCAAAAATTTTATTTTAGAAGCAGCTTCTTCATCAATCATCTTTTCGATCACACTCCAAATATTTTTAAGACCAAAACTAGGATTAAGGATATAAAGTCTTTCAAGACAGCCACCAAAATTAACCTGCATCGCATCAATAATAACTCCAAGAGCCTTAAGAGGTAAAGAAAAAATACCCTTTTCTCTTGTATCAATAATAAAAATCCAATTTTCAACCTTTCCTGGCACCATCATATATTTTTTAATCATTTCTAAAAAAACACACATAGCTTGAGTAATTTAATCAGCTCCATGCTATTAAATAAACATATTATTAAAAATTAATAAAATTTAAACGCTCACTCTTTGTGTGTTCAAAAAATAATGGAAAGAAAATTCATTTATTTAAGATTATATGGATGTACTTTGATTTATTTTTTAGTAAATATTTTCAAAATTTATCAAATCAAAATTAATGTTTAGTTTATTTATCAGTCAGCATTTGTTATAATTAAATGATTACTGTTTTAAGATTTAAGTTCTAGCAATCCATATAGATAACAGGTCTCAATTGCTTGTCTCTACCGCAAAGATAAACATTTCCTGACATCAAGAAGTTTGTAGAAAACTAGTCAAGAGTGTGCCATTTAGGATTATTGATCCATTCTACATGCTATGTTAGTGCCTAATAATTATGCAATATGAACTAGTTAATTAATCATCGAGTTAAACGAAAATTTTACCTTAAGAGATTTTTTCATATTATATTTACCGGCTTGCAACATTTTAAGATAGCTACTTTCTTTAAACCTATTTTATTATATAATATTTTATATTTTAAACGCTAATCTTCAATTTATTTGGCAAAATAAATAAATAAGCAAGCATACCCTTCAGGGATTTAGACATTATTTTATCTCACAAATTCTTTGAATTCTACTAAGCATTTCTTTTCAAATTCATCGTATTCTACATTTTCAAATATTTTTCTACGAATTTTCTTGTTTTCTCCATGTTTTATGTAGTAATCTAAATTATTTTAAATAAAATATATATTTAAATGAGGCTAATTCGTATTTTTAATTTGTAATAAAGAGTGTTAAAAGTATCAGCATGAATGAACTTCAAAAGCATTTTGAATTAAGCTAAGCTAATTTAATTTCGAGAAATCATAAAAATTACCTGAATGCTGTATATTATTTACTTCTGGAGGCGGGATGAGAAACCATGGATCAAAATTTAAGACAGGGTCCATTTTAGATAGCAGATTTAATACTTTTAATATACCTAACTTCTATAAAATTAACTTTAATAATATATTTTGTTTTAAATTTTTAATAGTTGATATTAAGTTATTCAAACTAATTACAAAATTATTAAAGTTGGAGATACTTTAATTTATCTTTCAGTTGCGTAGAAATACATGCATACACACATACGTAAATACGTACATATATACTTGGGATATTATTTTGTGATCAAACCGTTTTCTATTCATTTTTAAAGCATTGAAAAAAAAAACTAATTTTATTAACTTGCGCTTTAATCAAATTAAGCAAATAATTTATTGGATTAAATAACTAAAAATAGATAGGAATATAGATTCATTCATATATTGATATCTAATTTAAACTCCCTTAAATTAAGTTGATAAGTATAAAAGTGTAAATTTTTAATTGAAAATACCTTTTAGCACCTAAATAGATAAAATTAACTTTGCTCAAAAAAATAAAAAGGCATATTTTATTACTTACGAAGTTTATTTAAAACACTTAGAAATCTTTGTAATCAAAGAAAATGAATATAAAATTTTATTATACTTGTTAATTTTATGTAATTTTTTATCTCAAAAATTATGAAAATACACAAATCAATAAATAAATTAGCAGATATTAACTAATTAACTTAAAATTATAGAGATATATTTTGATATGCTTATCAATTTTTTTGAATTATAAATAATTTCTAAAGTTTTATTTTGAGGTCATCCTAAAATTATTTAGCCTAATGTGACATTTTATTTATTTTCACAAATTGAAAGAAACTAACTTGTTTTTTATGAAATATAAATAATCTTGGAGTAAACTTTTATTAAAATCAGAAAAAATTTAAAAATCAATCCTATATTTTATAATAGAAATAATTATTAAGAATATTTCAATATTTGATCAAATTTTAAAACCAAACATATAGATAGGTAGTTTTAACTATCAATCTGACTCAGAAAAATTTAAAATTATTTATTTTTTTAAGAAAAATATAGGAAATTATATTGAATTAAATATTTTGTGAGTAAAAAATTTAGCATTACTAATATAAATACTTTGAAAAATTAATGTTATTTGTTAAAATATTTTAATTAAACAGTAATTTATTATAGAAAAATATAAATTTCATTGAATTTGCATAGTTTTTCACATAAGAATTGGAATAAATCTTTTATATAAATTAGTCAAACAGAAAGATCTAATGTAATTTAAAATTTATTACCTAAATAGAATCAAATACGGTTCCTGCTTTAAGAGCTAATTTTTGTGACTTAATCAACTAAATAAATATGTGAAATTGTTGAATTTAAATTTTCTGTATTTTCAAGTCACTTAGCACCTTGAAGCAAACTTTCCATTTAATTACCTTTCCTTGTACACCTTAAACAAATACCCAATAGTTATTTAAACATGGTAGTAAAAACAAGATAGTAAATTAATATATTTCTATTGATTACTAAAAAATTTAAAAATCAATTAAGATATTAACTGAAAACTTTTAAAATAATTACTTGGAGAGATAGTAAAAATTAAGGACAACGTGTTTATTTAAAAATGTTGTAAATGGTTTACTGTTATCAATATGTTCCAATACCATAATATTCTCAGAATAAGAGCTTAGAAAGTTCATAGAATCAAGATCCAATTTCTGTTTAAGGGATACCTGATGCTGGAAAGAACAGTGCACAATCTGATTAATATAATATGAATAATCAAAATAATGAGGTATATGATCATAAAAGCACGTGCCATCCAATCAATGATTACCGCACTTACTTCTAAAATCCTACTTAATAGAAGGAAGTGAACTTATACAATCCCAGAATGATGTATTGCATGCCATAATATATGCAGTATTACACTAATCAAAATCTAAATTATCCCTAATAATGCTATTAGATAATATAAACTGGGAGTCAATAATATTAAATAGGCTTGAATAGCTAAAACAATAGTAATTATCAAAATTCATTCACTAACGAAATTAGAAATCAACCCACATAATATACAGGATAATAAATACCTCCATAAGAATAGTAAAGTCATGACAAATAAAAATCTCCTTCTATTTTTAGTCATGAAGATAATGCAAAAACTATATTAAATAAACAAATTAAAATTGATTAAAATCGCGAAAACAGTAATTATTTTATTAATAAAAATATAATTGCATTTCATGAAAATATAGCCTCGAAATAAATGGAGCTGTTAAACTCTGCAAGAATTGACGAAGACTATGAGATTGAACAAGATAACAAATATGAATTTACATAAGACAGAAGTATAATTAAGAAAAATGTAATACAACAAACTAAAAAAGAAGAAGAACAAGCCAGCCTAAATATATAATAACCAATAAATCAAGGTGTTTTTAAATTATTTAAAAAGCCATAAATTTAATCATCAAGCATCTCTGAAAATTCTATAAGCAGCTTTGATAAAATTAATATCTTGAATAGCTAAAATGAAAAAAACCTAAATTCTATTATATTCCCTGAACAGAATTGGTAAAAAGAAGATATCAAATAAGAATTTTATTATTTACAAAGTAATGATGAATTTTAAAAAAATAATAAAGAAGGGGATATAAAAAAGAAAATTACCTTTAAACAAAATTTTTCACCCTAAAAAGTTGAATTAATTTAAAAAGAAAAAGTTAACAAAAATTAATTGAAAGCCAATTAATAGAATATACAAGCAAACAATTTCAGATTAACTCCAGATTAACTTTAAATAAAAAATCAAAATTGCGCTATTATTAAAAACGAAGATTATGAAAAATACTCCGATTAATAATGTAAAACCTACAATTTAGATGAGCGCTTTGATGAATTAGAACATTTCTTACCCAATTTATCAAAACACGAAATATAGAATGAGAAAATTGTTGATAAAATTAGCAAAAATATTAAAAAAAGCAAAAGCGAGCTAAGTGTAAGTGTTAAATAAAGTGCATAACGTAAGCTGAATTCAAAAAAAGTAATTTAGAACAGCAAATAGAAAATTGAGAAAATTCATAAAATTCATTAATAAGCACAAGCTAAAAATGAAGCTAGCCAATAATAAATACAAGAAAATAAATTAACTGCCACTAAATAAAAACTTGCAAAAAAATATGACTAGCCTTAGGATAGCTCGAAAAAGTTAAAATTCAAAAATATCAATGAATAATGGTAAAAAGAATAGTAATAGCTAATGTTTCCAGCTAAATTTTAATCAAAACAATCAAAGATAAATGAATTAAATTTATCTAAAGCTCCAATAGATATATGCAATTAAAACCCGCTATCTATAAAAATAAACTAAAATCACTCTTGTGATCATGTTCTTGAATAATAAAATGACGATTTAAAATATTCAGAGCCAAACCAAAATAATATTTGTGATTTCCAGAATAGTAATCAGTTAATTGATGGAAGTTATTTAAATTAAGTAAATAACATATTATCTTAATAAAAAAAAGAAAAGTAAATTTAAAAATCTGAACAAGAACTTCAAAAAAGTTAAGATAGCGAACAAAATGAATATTTAATAAAAGATTATTTAAAAATCTAAAAGAGCAATAGTGGAGATGATGATAATGATTAAGCTAAAAGAACTCGAATTATTTTTTCTAAGAATTTACTAAATAATTCAAATAATGATAATTCCTCTGCTATTAAAGGCCTAAGAGTTTTAAAAGAAGATATAGATTAGTGTGAATTCTAATTGAGCAGCGATATACCTAATTAAACTATCTAGTTTTAATGTAAGTAATAAAAAAATTGTGAAAATCAACAAAATTAAGATAATAAGAATAGTATGATATCAAAAGAAAATTTATAAATTAAAAACTTAATAATAGACGCAAATCAAAAAGAACACCAGTAAGAAAGCATAAGCGAAAACCCAATAGAAATAGAAATCGAAGATTTAGATAGCCAAGTTGATGATGACTAAATATTCTAGGATAATTAGCACTAATAGAGTAGCTAAGAAGATGAAGATAACTAAATGAGTAAAGTTGCAATAGGCAATGCCTCTAAAAATATTTTAAAGGCATTTTAAAAGTACATATCCAACCATGAAAAGTTTTCATAATGCACGATTAGCTCTTTGAATAGAATGTATCAAAGAAATACTTTGAGCAACTTATTGCTCATAAAGATCTATTTGAATCAGCGCTATAAAAAATTGATGAACGAATTTATCGAATCATATGCTTAGGATTGGTTGATTCAGAGCAAAGTGTAAAATCTAGAAATCCATCTTAAGATTTTGGAAGAATTAAAAAATAATAATGTTTCTATTTTAAAAACAAAAAAAAAAAAATATTAACGCAAAAAAATAACTGAATTTAATAATCATGCCAAGAGAAAAAATTCATAGCAAAGCAATAAAACAGCAACAATCAACGAAAATTGAAAATATTTTTGAATAAAAGGAATATTTATATGCTAAAAAAACAAACTTTATACTAAAATACTATATTTACTTACAAATTTTAAATAAGATTCCTTTTTTCATAAACAAAAAATTATTATTACAACGAATAAATAAATTAATTAGTATTTCTTTTAAACCAAATATTTATAAAACCTTGCTTGCTTGTTAACATATTTCATATTTTACAACTAAAAAGCTTGTTCATTTTTTTAAAAATGATTGTAATTATTAAAAAAAATAACTTCAAAATTATATTTTTATTATCTTCAAAATTAAAAAACACAAATTTATCAAAATATAACAATCAGACATCTTTATTCATAACTCATTTTTTTTTTTTTTAATTTAAAACACTTTTATTTTTCTAAAAATTTTTGAATGTGAAATATTTGCTAACAAATTTATCCAATATGGTTAATTTTATCACTATAATGAGTATAATATGAATTCATTTGCAATAATTATTCTGTAAAAAATGCAATCTTGATTGAATAAAATCTGTTTTCAATAAAATTGAAAGTTTATAATCTTATATTGTAATTTACTGATATTTGTAATAGTATATGGTTTTTTAATTTTAGGATCAATAAAGTTTATAACATTTAAAATGTTATCAACTCATTTTTAACTATCTTCCACTTCTTTGTTTTAAAAAAATAATATCTTTTATCATTTATAATTTTTCCTATTTTGAAAACTAATACATTGTTTATGATTTTCTTTTTTAATATTAAATTGAAAAAGTGTACAAATTAATTATTTATTTATCTATTATTGACATGAAGATTAGTTGCGTTAAGAGTCAACTTATATCAATCTAAGATTTTTTTATTTTATATTAAACAATCAGTAATAATTAAATTTAATTAATAATAATATTTCCCCATTTAAAAGAAGTCAAGACAAAATAAATTAAATGCTTATTCGCGAGATAATTGCATTATTCATTAATTAATTCACTTTACATCTAATTATTTATTTATTTGAATTAACCTGCTACTTATTTAAAATATTGTAATATTTGTTACATTTGCTTAGTATTTATTTTTGAATAAAACACATTTAAAGATTTATTTTCATAATAAATTAAAGACAGTTTATAAAAATTATTTTTTATTATTTAATAAAATTAATTTAATTTAAAAAAAATTTTTTTTTTTGAGAAATTATTATTAAAAATATTTCATTTATTAAAGTGTTCAATTTTAATTTAGAATATTTATTGAATGAAAAATATTTTCAAATTTTTTTATTAAATTATGAAATATTTTTCAATTAATCTCAAATTTAATGCTCATTTGTTAACTTTTTGAGGAATAGTTAGTTTTTAATATATTTTATTAATTTATTTATAATTATTAATTGCTTAATTCTATTATTAATTAGTTAGTAAATAGACAGATAAATAAATATCTTTTTAAATGCTAAACTATTTTTTTCTTTCATGAAGTAAATAAAAATAGATTTAAATTTCAACGACTATTTTTTAAAAATCCATGCTTAAATAAATCATATGTTTTTGTGTTTGCGGATTTTAACTGTAAAAAACAAACAAAAATAATATGTAAAGAATATTTGGTAGTATCAAATATATATAAAAAAAGCTTAACAATTTAAAGTAAAAGAAAATCATTCAAGAATTATCAAGCTATATAGGAAACAATTAATTAAAGTTATGAACTAAGAGATATTGAATTAGTTCACAGTGTTAGCGAACCTTCCTGGAAATTAATCCTACTTACTTTCTCATAAAGAGACAAATGAAATATTTGTTTTAAAAGTAAATTTCTTTGAAACATTTTATTACTTGAAGGCTTTTGCTCTTGCATCATTGAAAATTTAATATAGCAAATACAATATTCAAATTTTTCTAAATATAAATTAATTAGACTGTCTTATCAAGACTCAGCTATGATGACTAGGTAAGGGCATTATAAAAAAGATATAATGAACTTTAGTAGTGCTAAAATCTTTGTAAAATCTGCTATTATCAAATAGAAAAACCCTCAAACATTAGTATTTTATATCAAGAACCTAAAATTAACTTTAGGAAAGAAATATCTGCAAGAATGCTTAAAAAGTAATTTTGGAATTCAGAAGAATTGCTCAATACATTTTGGCATACTTTGGTAGCATTAAATAATTTTCATTATATTGGTCTATTTCATGGTGATATCAGGGTTAATTCTATTGCCTGCAAATCAGATGGCTCAATTATTTTGTTAGATTAGTTTTGCACAGGAAATGCTTATTACAAAACTATAGAGGATATAATTGCAGACCAGGATGGGTTTCTGTCTCCAGAGTTCTTAGACCCAAATTAAGAATTAGGTAGACTATCAATTATAATACAAATAATAATTTTATTCTAGCATTAACATTTTGCAAATGAATAATCAATCATTCTTTTATTTTAAATAATATAAAAACTAGCTTATAAATTTACATTCAAATAATTATTTTTAGATAATGAAAATGAATGAATACTTTTTTTTTATTTAACTGAAAAACTTTTAAATTAAATTTATCTTTTTTTAAAAAAAAATGTAGTTTTTACTACAATAGAAAATGACGTTTTCAGCTTAGGTTTAGTCTTTTTTGAAGCTTGTACATTAAAAAAAAGCAGAGATATGTATGATTGGTAATAAAGAACCTTTAATTATTAAATATATTAAGAAAGATTGCTAAATATTGAACTACTTTATGGCAAAGAACTAGCACAATTTTTATCTTAGATGACTGATTTCTCTATTCAATCAAGAATTACAACAGAAGAAGCATTAGTTGAAATATCTTAGCTGAAATCGAAACTAATTTAAAGAGATATTAAAGTGAATGATTCTTGCCAAACAAACTCTTAAAGATAATAATAAGCTAATTAGTTAGCTTAATCTCATTTTAGCCACTAGCAATAATATTATCCTCATTACTAAGATTAAAGCAATGTCTAAGTGAATTCTGTTGTATCAGCTGTTGCAAGTGCTACAAATAACCCAAATATAAACTATAACTCAAATAAATATTCTGGAATCAGTTTTGATAATGGCATGAACTCATAGAATTATGACACAGCGTATAACATTCCTATAGATAGATAAATACAAAGTTCTTTTCAATAAAAATAATAATTCAAGCTGAACATAAATTACAATAATTAAAATAATAAATAATCTAATCTGCTCAACAGCAATGAATAAAACAGTGGAAAATTATCTCAGTTATTAACAAATGATACAATTAAAGATAATAGCAAAAATCAAGAGATTACTCAGTTTGAAAATTTGAGTATTTCTGATAACTCTGTAAGCATACTTTCATTTGAAAACACAATGTGTTCTCATCAAGAAGATAGCAATGCAGATAAAAGGAAATAAATTCCTCATTATAAAAAAAGCGTTTTCAAAGTTAAGAACATGATTAATGCTCCTCCTCCTCAATAGAATTAGTTGTTGTAAAATGAGAAAGAAAGTAGCGTGTTCTACATAGTAGAAGAAGAAGAAGCCATAGATAAACAATTAATTTAAAAAACAATGGTGAATAGAATAGAAAAAGAAAAAAGAGAGCTAGCGCAGACTTAAAATTCAGATGCTAACTAGTTCTTAAATTATGCCTAGTATTGTTAGATGCAAGAAAGGCAAAAAAATTCTTTGTTTGTTCAAAACAACTAGATTTTTTAATAGTCTTAATTATACTAGCGCTAATCATTATAATCTTCATTATCAAATTAATAATAAACACAAAATTAATTAAATCATCCTTTTTAGCAGTAATAAGAAATACAATAATTAAACTAACAAACTTAATAGTAAAATTATAAGAATTAGTGCTTTGATTAACAGTAAAAAGAATTTTAACAATCTTAGATAGTAAATAAAATCCCAGCAAATCCTCGCTCATAATAAGTTAGTATTCAGGTTAGAAGAAATTCTGCTTTTTTGCCAAACCAACAAATTATAAATTAAAAAGAAAATATCAACTAAAATGTTTGCTAAATTATAGATGATTAAGGTATAGCTGATGGAAGCTAGCAAGCAAACTACATGATACCTGATTAGTTTACAAACTGCAAAAACGTTTACACTAGAAAGATAAGAGGATTGAATAAATCTGTAGATATGTCCAAAGCAATCTAATTGGTAAGTAATTAACAATAAATTATAAACAATGCAAACCAACAAAACTTCATCACAAGCTGCAAGTACTCAAACAAGCAAGAGATAACTTTCCCATCTAGTGTTTTGAATAGCAGCAACAGCAGCATAAACCCAACAAATAATTAATAAAAAGAATGTGAAGGAATCAACATTATTTCTTATGATATAATGAATATGCAATCCCCAACAAATATAATTACTAAAAATGAAAAACAAGGCATTCAAACGTTATTTAAAAGAAATTAAAATATTTTCTCATCCAAGCTTACATAAGCAAATAACAATCTAAAAGAATTCGCTTCTGCCCACAACTCTCAGACAAATAATAAACCAAATCCTAATAATAATAATAATAATAATAATAATAATATGTATAACCCTATTAATAACGAAGAATGGAATTATCCTACTAACAGCTAAAGATTTGCATATATATAAATTAATAAATGAAAATAATTAAAATTGTAGCATCATAATTGTAAAAAACTATTCAATAGGTATAGACTATTTAATTTAATTTAACTATATATACAATATGTTTATATAAAAGCATACTCTTCAAATATATTTTATTCAAAAGAATATTTTTACTTTGATTTTGTATAATTAAGAATTATAAAAACTGAATAGGTTAGTTTAAAAAATTTTAAATCATTTCTATTAATTAAAAAAATCAAAGATTTAATAATGAAAAATAATTTAATTTTTCAATAACTTAGAAGAAAAGTTTAAAATTTTAAACATTTTTGATATTTATAAAAATATTGGTTCTTTTCTATTAAGATTAAAGAACCAAAATAGTTCAAAATAAATCAAAAAATAAGGTGCATTTTTATTAAAAAAATTTTAAAACAATTTTTATTGATGAATAAAATAGTTATCAAAAAGTGATATGAATAATTGAGCTTAAAAATAAATACATCCTTTTTCTATTCATCCTTTTAATTAAAATTATAGAGTTCTATTTAAAAAGCATAATTAATTACCTTTTTAGAATAAAAATTAGAGCAAAAAAATTAATTAAATCAAAACAATATTCTATTTAAAATTGATAAATAAGAATAAAAGAAAATAATAATTAAGTTATTATTCTTTATTTATTTCAAGAAAACCTTATAAATTATTAAACAAAAAATAATGCTAATTATCATATTTATTAATTAATCAATAGTTTAAGTAAAAAAATTTTTTTCTGATTACTAATAAATGATTAAATACATTTTTGAATAGATTTTAAGTCTTCAGTTAGTAAAATAAGTAAAAATATTTATAGATAATAGCAAATAAATGAGCAATAGATAGTATAAAATATAAGTTAGATTAATCAAAGAAGTATTAAGCATTATTATTTATATTTTTAAGCGTAATTATTAATTTGAAAAATAAAAATGATATTTAAATTGATTGATTATTTATTGTTAAGAAATAATCAATTATTAGCATCTAAATATGAAGCTGCATTACTTAAATAATTTAACTACCCTATTATTTAAAAAATAAATCATTTTATTATAAAATATATTTGATTATTTTTACTCAACTCTTATATTTTAGTATATCTTTTGATTATAATCAATTAATATTGCATTGAATAACAAATAAAATAACTATACAAAACAATTAGATAAAAATTTTTGTTTTTTATTAATAATACTAGCATAAAAAGTATTTAATATTTAAAAATACTAACATCAATAAGATAATTTTATTCTGTTTAAAATAAATGTAAGTTGAAATATTTTTTTAGGGTATTAAACTAAAATTTTTTATTGGCAACATTAAACCTTTGCTAAAGACAAATTAGGTATTTGATTATTACTTCAAGATAATTTATTGTTTTTAAGTTTTTTATCTCAAGTATCAAAGAGTGCATGAAAATTTAATAAATTTATATAAACAAATGATATATAATTAAAGAAGTTTTTATATATTAAAAAAATGATTGAATTTAATAAATACATTTTATAAAACTTTATTAAACAAACGAATATATTGATTGTTTTACTTCTCTAAGATAGTTTTTCTTTAAAATAATTTCAAACTAATAAATAAAATTCTTGAAACAAATAAGCAATCATCAATAAATTATAGTAAAAGTGTAGTATTATTCATTAAAAAAACTAATATTTTATAATTATTTCACAATATTCTTCAAACTGATCATTTAATTTTACTATTTGGATATAAATATATTAATTTTATTTATTAAAAACAACTTAAAAAGATTAATTAAAATAAATTATTTTCAAAAAATATTTTCAAAGAAATCATAAAAATCAATTTAAATACTGATTAACATTAACAATCAATTTCAATATTTGATAAGTGTATTAAATTCATCTTAAAAATAATTCTCAATTTTTATTAAAAGGTAATTAATAATAACATTTAACAAAAAAAGTAAAATAACACTAATTGCTTCTAAATATTTTCTTATTTTCAGCTATAGACATCCCAAGAAATAATTTAACCCAATTTAAGAAAGTATATTGGAAACAATAATAGATAATAAATTTTATTATAATATAAATATCATATAGATTATTATTAAATTTCATTTATATATTATGAAGCTAATAAATACATAACAATTCTTAATTTTAGATAAAACATATGGCTGTTGAATAAACTAATACATAGATTTAGAAAAAGTTAGCTGAAAAAAATATAGTTTTTAAATATAAATACTTTAATAATAAATTTTTTTTTTTAATGGAAATTATTCATTTGAGTTTTATATTTATTTCCATATTCTAGATTAATTCTATATTGTAAATTTTTAAGCGCCTTGATATTTTTAGTTGAAACAATAAGCCGAATTCAAAATATTAATACAATTAAAACTAAGCAGACTATTATTCCAACAATAAGATATTTCTTTTAATCTTCTGTAATAGAGAAACCTTCACTATTTGAGTTTTGAGATTTGTACATAGCCTAATCTTATGATAAGTTATTTTATCCTGGATACTAAACATTAAATTGTTGTGGAGGTTGTTAATAAGGAGAGTTATATTATGGAGGTTAATATGGCTAGTTATATAAACCTTGATTATTCTAAAATCCTTAATTTGGGAATCCTCCTTGTTGTTGTTAATATGGCATAGGTTAAGAATATTAGTTTTAATAGTTCCCAAAGAGATTTGTCTATCCATAATTATTTGGATTGTTATCAACAAGTGGATTGTTAACATTGTGCATCATAGGATTAGGAGGAGGAGTATTATTTTGTGGATACTATGAATGTAAAGGATTAACATCATCTTCAAGAGGATTCTTTACGTTGCTGAAATCCTCATTATTGCTGTTTTAATTTTTATTGGTAACTGTAGGTTTATTGTCATTTTTAATTAGATTGCTTTGCAGATTATTCGTATTCTTCAAGGTAGAATTCAATCCTGTAACATATTCGCTCTTAACTACTTTAATCTGCTATTTTTCCTCTTCCTCATGGTCAGGGTTACCACTTACGTTTAATAAATTCTTATTCATTTTATTTGACTTAAATCTATTTTTTTTTCCTATAAACCTACTTTAAATTAATAGTTGATCTTATAAAGCTATCTATCTATCTATTTATTGATTTATTTATTTTTTACTATATTAAAAAATATATTTTTAAAAATATTCTTATTATTAGTAAAGACTACTTAATTGTTAATATTCTATTGTAACATATCTTATTAAAAGTAAAGGATTATTGAAAGAATTTTTACTCATTCTATCTATGTTTATGTCGAACGATAATTTGAATAAAATTCACACATAAATAACATTTATGATATGTTTACAATACACATTTGGAATCTTATTATCTATTTCTTTCCATTTTTCTATTCTAATATAAATTAATGAAATACTAATAGCGTTTTAAATAAATTCTATGAATGTAATTAATGCTATAATACATTCAATAAAAATCTAAATATCAACTCTATTTTATTCAATCCTTTTATTGCAAAATAAAAGTTTTTAAAAATCTACTAAAAATTTTTTAAAAATAACTTCTTACCAATAGTTTTATTAATCAATAATCCTACCTAAATAGATATCTTTTAAATGATTCTTTTAAAAACTATTAAGAATAAATATCTTGTATTTAATACTTATGACTGTTATATGATTGAAACAATTCCTAATAAAATAGCTTGATTAAATTTTACTTGAGGAGTATGTATGTAAAACTTTTGGTATTTTTTTGTTTGTTAAATAGTTAAATTTAAAATTAAAATGCATTTACTTAAAAGTTAATTTTAGTATTTGTATATTTAAGTATATGTAATTTGTATATTTTCTATATAAAGATAATTACAAATTATCTATATCATATTTTAATCAATTACAAAATGAGAAATATCTTTTTACTTTTAGAAGAAATAAATATCTTAAATTAATAAAAAAATTTTGGTAAATATAAGCAGTGAAAGTAAGATAATCAAAACAAACATTTTAAATATAAACTGTCAAAGATATTTATTTGCTATTTAAATCTAAAAGAAAATGAGAAATTAATTTCTTTTTATTTTTGAGAAATAACTTAAATTCATTCAAAATATAACAGTTTTAATAATTTTAATTAAAATAATAAACAAATTTAAATTATTTTATGAATAAATAAATAAAATTTAAACAGACAAAATAAGTAAATCAAAAAAATTTAAATTGAAATTAAAAGATATTTATTTATTTTCAAATTCTTATAGAAAATATTTTTATTTTTTAAATTATTTTGAACAATTTTTATCAAAATGGCAGATTTAAATTATTTTATATAAATAAATTTAAAGTAGTGAAAATAAGTAAAACAAGATAACTATTTTAAATAAAATTAAAAGATGTCTATTTGATATTTAAAATGGAATGGTAAATGAGAAATATCTCTTTAATTTTGAGAAATTTCCAAAATTATTTGATAAATAGCAGTTTTAATAGCTTTGATTAACTTAACAGATGTATGTCATTTTATTGATTAAAAAAATAAATAGATTTAAAATTTGAAATAAAACAAAAAAACAATTATAATAAATTAAAAGATTTCTATTCTACTTTTAAATCTATTTTGAAAATAAGAAGCATCTTTTTAGTTTTGAGAAATATCTTTAATAAGTAAATTTTTTTGTAAATAATTAAACAATTTGAATAATTTGATTAAAATAAGATAGCTAAAATAATTTTATGTGCAAATAAATATAAAATAGTGAAAATAAATAAGTAAATAAAAAAAAATATTTTTAATTGGTAAAACTTACTGTTTGTTTTTTTAAATGAAATATTAACAAGTAAAAAAATAAATAGATTTTAGTTAGATTGATTGATTAAACTACAACTTAAAGTATTTTAATATAAAAGAAGTATTTATGTATGTATGTATGAATGAATATAAATGATAATACTATCTTTAAATTATTTTAGTTTTAGGAAAATCTAAATATATTAATTTATTTATCAACATCATAGCTTGATTGTTGTCTTTTTCTGAAGTCCTACTGTTTCTTCCTTTTTCTTTTAAGCTTCTAAATCATCTTCGCCATCTTCTCCAGGCACTTTTTCTTTAGATTTGATGCCATCCTCTTCGTCTTCTTTATCCATTTATGCAATAAGCTTTTAACGTCTTTCAAGTTCTTTTAGCTTTTTATTTCTCTCATCAATTCTTTTCTTTCTTGTTTCTTAGAGCTCTTTGGTGATTTTGAGTAGTTCTGGGTCATAAGTTTTAATTTGCTATTTATAAAAGAAATTTAATTTTAAATTAAAAAATTAAAATTAATTAATTTACTTGATCCCATTCTTCATAGAGCACTTTATCTACATCCATAACAGGTTCAGGTTCCTATTATTCTATTTCTACTTCTTCAGCTTAATCCTAGACTTAGACTTCTGGATTGACATCTTTCTTTTCATTTGCCAATCTCTTTTCTCTTTCAGCTAAGTCTTTATCATGAATAATCTTCCAGTTAAACAATGATAAAAGACATATCAAGAAAGCACCTACAGCAAGGACAATCCAAGCAATAGTTGTATTTTCAGTAGCAGTTACTATTAATGCACTTAAATGGAACTAATTTATAAACTTTAATTTAAAAAAGAGTGTTTGATTAAAATAAATATTTACCCAGCCACATAAGAAATAGCCTCCCATATCCAAAGGATTAACCTTTTTGAGTAAACAAGGTTTCATTTTATTAGTTAAAAATGCAAACAATAAAAGCAGGATTGTTGAGAAAGCAAAGTAATAAACTTGAACATCGGGATGTGCAAGGAAAGCAGTACCACCAGCAAGTAAGAATTTCACTTGAGTTGAAATAACCAAATAAGTTGGGTCATATCTTAAATCTAAAGATCTATTCTAGTATTAAACGTTTGGCCACAAGAAACTAGCCATAGGATAGAAAATGAATATACCCAAAACGCCAAGTCCAATCAGTGTAATTTATTTTTATTCCAAGCAAATGAAGTCTGGTTGTTGATATAAATATTTAGGAACCTATTAGTTAAGGAAAATAATAAAATATCTGTAAATATGATAATATTTTTTTACCACAGAGTAATCACAAGACATGCCATCTAAAAGAATCTTGAAAATCCAGAACATCATCGCTATACCTGCCATGCTCAAGAATTAAATTTACCAGAAATCAGCACTACAATAAAGCTTTTTGTTCTTTTATTCACACTTTATTTATTTATTTAGATTATTTATAAATTGAAAACTTTATAATATGAATTTTACTGATCCAAATCTTAGTGTTCTAATTCTCTGAACTGATTTATACAAGAAAATGAAGAAGGCAATAGAAAGGCCAAGGCCCACACCAAACTTAATTGAGAAATTCTTATTATTTTTAAAAATAAAATGTTAAAAATTTAAACTTAAACAAAAACAATTAAACATTTTTAATTTTATTTTAAATAAAAATAAAATAATCAATCACATTTTAAAAAATTATCAAAGAGAAAAAAATATTTTGAGTGATTAAGAAGAAAATATGAAGTAAATATTGCTCTAATTCAATTAATTTATTAGAAATTGATTAAACAGTTATTCAATAATTTATTTTTTATACAGCTATTGAATAATTTTTTTTATTTAAAAGATTACGGTATTGGGTATTTCGGTGTCCATGGAGTTGAGAACTTGGTAAACTATGGTGCTGAATCCCCATTAGGTAACTGCAGGTCTGAAAGCAATAAATGCCATTCCGATATACTCAAGAATCTTGAAGAATATAGCAAACCTGTTTGTAAAGTTGCTTCTTAACTCAACAAGACCAATTTCTTTGTCTTTGAGTCTTGCAAATTATTTTTCTTAATGTTAAATTTCATCAACCATAATGTCAACAATTTCAGGCCACTCTGGAGATTCTTCATGAATGTATCCTTGTCCATTTTTCTTTTTCTTTGCACCAAATTATTAGGGAGCCAAGAGATCATTGTTGATCAAATTCACTTCTAAGTCTATTTCATCTTTTCCGTTACTCTTGATATCTTTATCTAGGAGACATAAACTTTTACAGAAATAGCTTGTGTTTTCCATAAGAGATTTCATGTATTTGTTAAATCTTTCAATACATCTCTAGCACTTTGTTTTTCTATTCTTCATTCTGGCATCAATATCAGGTAATATGATATCGTCGGTTTCGTCTTTAGGCATCAATCCTAATTCCTGAATTGATTAAAAGAATTATTATAACTCATGAAAAAAAGTATTTATTTATTTACCTTCTTAAGTCTGTAGTAAAATCCTTCATCTTCTTCGATAAGTTCCTTATATAAATCGTCCAATCCGTAAAGTTTAAGTAAAAACAAGACATAATCCCATTCATGTCTGTAAAGACCACGAATAGGTGGAAGGTTCCATAGCAAGTAAGGATAAAGCCAATTTTTACATAATTTACCAAGAGCTTCATCTACGTCTAGTTCAAAAGGATATTTCCTTTTTGCAACTTCCTTTAAAATTTTAGGGAATTCAAAATATGAAATAGGTTTTTTATTAGGTTTTCCATCTACAGAAGTAAATTTATTGTAAATGATATCAATTTCATGATCTTGAATCTCGTCACATGGAATTACACCACCTTTAATTAGTAGTTCTTTAAACATAACATAGTCTTTCCATTTAAGCCCATCAAATTTGGTTGAGGAGCCTTAAGCAAACACGTAAAACACATTTCTCAAGAAAGCATCAGTCCAGGGTTTGCTTATTTCTAATTGCTGACCAAGATCATATCTTCTCAAAGGTTCAATAATCTTTTCATGAATAGGTCTGAATTTCTTATCAATGATATATTTTTTAAGCCATGGATCCTATTTTAAATATAAATGTAAGATTAGATTTAAGTTGAATTAATTATTATTCATCAAATTTAAATACAATTTAATGTAAAAATATTTAAAAATCTATATTTATTTTTTGAATGAACAAATGAATAAATGATAAAATTACCTCTTCTATGATCTATTCTTCCTCCTCTTCTTATTCTTGTTGCTTTTTAAGGGCTTCATCCATGATATTTTAGAGATCCTTGTTACCATCAGAGCCATCCCCATCGCCAGCCCCATTTTTATTTCTTTCAGCAGCTATTTAAGCCATCAAACGTGCATAGTAATCTTTATAGCAGCAACAAAAGATATAGAAGAACCAACTAACAAATTTATCCCAACATTTATTAGGGTTAGTCTTTTCTTTTTTATTTAACTTCTCATATGCATATGCATCTATGATTATTTTAGAGTAACGAGGATCAGGATCTTTGTCTGAAACTTCAGCGTAATAAACAGGTTTCTGCAAATTGATCAAGGCTTCTTTTATTCCTTCAGCTCCTTTGCTAATATAACCCTTTAAGAAATAAAATGTAAAAATAGATGTTAAGAAATAAAGTATGATTTACCTAATACATCAAGTTAATAACATGATAATCTGATTTAACGTGGACTTTAGCAAGCTTTCTTATTAGCTTAGATGCAATGAATAAGAATTTCTTTTCGAAATCTCTTCTTTTGAAGTATAAATGGATAAAAATAGCAAAGAGTGCGATACCAAGGAATAATAAAATAATTAAGAATCCAAGAAGGAGTCTTTCATAATTTACATCAGATTCATCATCATTTGAGAGATATAAAACACTTTTATTTTAAAAATATTATAAAAATTCAAACAAATATCAAAGGATAAAAAAAAAATTATTTATTAATACCTTGAAGGCAAAATACCAGCTAAGGGAAGGTAAAGGAAAATCCAGCAAAATACAACTAGAGCTGGTACTGCAGTACGAGCATGTCCTTCAAAGTTTTGTTTAAGCTTATAAAAAAGAAGGAAAACGATAGCCACTATAGGGAATCCAATAATCATGGTAATGCAATTAGATTTAACTTCATCATTATTATGGAATACAGCAATCAAAATACCTAGTATAATTGGTGCATAGACAAAACTAAACATAAGAATAGTTCTTTTAGCTTTGTGCTGCCTGTCTAGAGTAATTTATCTTTCTCCTTTACTCTCAACAAGTTAAGTAATTTACTCAGAAAAAGAGACTGCTACTTTTTACTTTTCAGGAATAATCTTGAGTAACAACACAATTAAAGAAATTAAAAATAGCAAAAGTATAACTGGTTGCATACCAATAATAGCACCTGATTGTTGGAGAGAAATCCATTTTGGCTAATTGAAATACATGAATGCTAGTACAGTTAATGTAAATATATAGCCAAAGGCATTTCCCCATAAACCAAAATCGTATAAATCGTATTTAAAGATATTAGAAATTTCGAATTTTTAGCCTTCTTCAAATTCCTCCTTTTCTATTTCTTCTATTTCTTAACGACGTCCTTCTTTTTTCAACTTATTTTTTAGAGCCCTTCTACGGAATCTCTTTCTAATCTCAAGGAAGATATCAATAAACACTAAAGTCAACAATAAGATAATACCAATAATAATCAAAGCAAGCTCTATTCCTTAAGCAATGTTATCATATGCTCCATAGTAATCGACTGAACGTTGTGGTAGAATATAGAGCAAAGGAATGATAAAGAACAGGCAAATGTAACCATTCAGTAACATAGAGAATTAAATACTCTTGATTTTTATGAAGATTAAACTTACCCAATATAATCCTAAAATGCAAGGGCCTATTGCAAAGAATGTTTTCAAGGGTCTTAAGTTATAGAATAAATCTGTAACTACAGAGAATGGCATGAAAAATAGAACTGGAACTAATCCACCTATTATTGGGAAAACTATTAGCTTGATTTTATCACTAGCTTATGAGAAAATGAGTGCTGTACCTAACAAGCAAATAATAGGAACTATAAAAATGTAAAATACACTTAAATAAAATCCTCTTTAATTTAAAAATAAGTTATCATCTTATCCTATTTGCAAATCGTGTGCCATATTTAACATTGAGTTTACAGTTAAGACAATTAAACTACCACCAAAAACACAAGAGCAGAAAATAACAGAATAATTCTACATAATCACTTTCATTCTAGGATCAGGTTTATCTCTACGTAATTCAATTTTAAGAAGCAGTTTACGTTTTTCAATTTCTCTTAACTCATTATCTTTTTCTTCTTCTTCTATTCTAAGTCTTTCTTGTTCCTCTGCCTCAAGTCTTTCCTATTCAAGTCTAGCTTTTTCTTCTTCTGTTAAATCTTAAGGAGTTTCCTCTCCTTCTTTCTTTTCTGAATGAACTCCGATAGTATCTCCTTTTTTAATATTATAATTTTAATATTGAATAACTAAGCATTGAAATTTTATTTAAAAATAACTGCTTAAATAAATGAATAAATGAATTTTTTTTTTTTGATAAAGAAAAGTGATTAAAAATTGACTATTTTTTTCATTTTACTTTTATTTTCAGAAATAATAATTCAAAAATATCTCAGAATATTTTATCAAACTTATTAGGAATAAAAAAATTTTTAATTCTAATCCAATATTTTTGCAAACTAAAAAATTAATTAATTCAACACAAATATTTTTTTTACTGTTAAAAATTTTTTTTAGTTTAAAATAATAATTTTTTGGGGTAGATTTTTATTTAATGATAAAATTTTTATTTGAAAAATATCAAATTATTTTAGAAAAAATGTTCATAGAAATATTCTGTGAAGAAAAAAGGATTAATTGATTACCTTATTAGGTTATTCCAAAAGCACCACCTCCTTCAGCATCATGAACTTCTTCTAAAAATTCTTAGTCATCATGTTCTTCATGTTGATTATGCTATTCATTTGAGGATTACTTCTTTAAAAATGATTCATGTTGCTCATCATCTTAATCAGGAATAATAACTTTAACAGATTCATACTTTTTCTTTTATTATTTTTTTTGTTCTAGTTTCTCTAATTCATTTTCATCAGCTGCTAATTAACGATCAGGGACCTTTTAGAGAATTGGATCAAAGAAACTGAAATGCATATAAATCCAACTTAATGCTAAAATCAAAATGTAGGGTCCAGCAAGAATTTTGATGTAATGATCTCCCCTAAATAAGTTTGAAAACATGTTTAATGTTGAACAACAAACAATATTTAAAATAAATACCAATAAAAATCTAAATTCCAAGTTGTCGAAACTGTATAAACTGTGTAGCCTATTACTAGTGCAGCGGTGACAATACACCAGAATAACATGAAGAAATTTCTTGCTGAGATGTTGAAACTTTCCCTTAATTTACAAAGTAAATTTAATTTGAATTAAATCAAAATTCAATTATTTACCTAAGATCTTTAATGACAAAGAAAGTTGCCATCCAAAAGAAATATAAGCCAAAAATATATGCACATTAAATATAATCAGGTGAAGGAATGTGCAACCTATTTCTAAGCTTTAAGGTATCCTATAATTAGATTGAGATGTTAAAATCTTTGTTTAAAAATAAAAGAAAATTACGTAGACATAGTACATAAATATAATCAATGAAGGAACAGCTTAGAAAAAGAACAGTAAAAGGTAAGCCGTCCAATTTCTAATTGAGAGGAATATGATTCCGTAAGCGATAAATATAAATGATCCCAAAATAATATTATTAGAAATATATTGTTTTAATGAATCATATTAATTTGAATCTGTAATATCTCTTGAATTGTATGTAATTCCCATGTATACTAGCCAGCAGATAAAAACAGCTCCGAATAACCAAATAAGCTCAGAGCCAACCCTACTTCTAAATATTTTACTTACACAATTTTCAAATTTTTGAGAGAGCGCTCTAATGCCTTGGCATATCAAAACACAAAGTTTTGCTTAAGCCTGACAAATTATTCCTAAAATTTCTATTGTTGATTTAGAAGGAGGTCTTTATATTTGATCTTCATAAACACTCTTACGCTTTTAAGAATTTATTATTTTAGCAGGATACAATACTCCTATAAATTAAATAAATAAATTATTTTAGTATTTTAAAAAAAAGGTAAATTTTTGAATTCTAAATGATAATATTTTAAATATTAAATAATATTTTTTAAATTCTAAATAATAATTTTTGAAATTGCAAATGATAAGCAAATGAAGGAGCTTTGAAATGTTGCTATTTAGCTTAGAAGATAGATTTTTATTTTTAGAATACCTTTTTTTTCGTTGTTGTTTTGGTCTATTTCATCATCAAGAATGTGAATGTTTTGACCTTTTGTTTATTCAAAGCCAGATCCATTATCAATAGTTTCTTATATTTCTTTAGAATTATACAGTAAATTCTAACTGGTCATGTTATCAGTATTCATTTTAGTTTTTGGATCATTAATAGTTTAGTTGTTATTTACCGCTTGGCTGTTATTTCCCTTAACCTGCATAAGTCCTGAGGGATTATTTTATTTCTATCCTCTTTGCTGCTTTTTTTAAAAAAGATTGCTTTGTTACTGCCTTTTATTACTAACGTTGCTATTATTGGTAATAGCATTAGGCTAGGTAACTTTTGTTTAGTTGTTAGAAATCATTTCTTCAAGTCTATTGATATCAAACTTGCCACTACTGGTTTCTATTTAACCTCTTTCGCTGGAAATAGGAGCTAATTAAGCTTTCACGTTTTTGTTATTAGTTGCTTAAGTTTTATTGTTGCCTGTAATTAAATTATTCTGAGTAACTAATGTGTTATTTTGAGTTATCAAAGTATTGTTTTAGGTCACTATAATATTATTTTATGAAGTGTTGTTACTGTTCCTATTACCACCTCCAATCATGTTCATGGAGCTTTGTCTTTATTATTAAAAAGTAGATTAACAATAAAGAAAACTAAAATATATTTATTTGGGTAAGATTGAAAAGAGAAAGTAGATTTTATTAAAAGAATTTTTTTCTTTTTTCCAAATTGTATTAATATAACATTTATTTTATGATAATTAACCTCACTGGATTAATTTTTGAATAAAGTAATTATGCTTTATGATTCACTGATTCATTATTTCTTAACTAATTAATTGCTTAATTAAGTATGTAAGTGAATCTTCCAAATATCTTATTGTATTTTTATTATGCAAAAAAGTAGATGAAGGAACAACGAGTTCTTTCTTTCTTAAAATTAAATCAAAAGGGTTTTATTTCTAAGTAAGAGGTTTGTATAAAATAAAATATTATTTTGTAATAACAAATGCAATAATTTTACTAGTTATTATTGCCCATTATATTTGTTTAGGTATTGATGTTATTTTACGAATTATTCAACATATTCTAATTATTGTCATCGAATGGAAGCATCACATTGGATTTTTATGAAAAATCTGCTGAATTATCTTTTTGCTAAAACTAGTTCAAAAACTAATCGTTTAATTATAGATCTTCAAAAGCGCTTCCTCTTTCACCATTTAGATTTCTTTAACTGGTAGGATTGTTATTAAGGTTATTATTAGTCTTATAAAAACTATTGGCAGTCATATTGGTGTTTAAGATATTTTAAGCATTCGCAAGTCTCTGCTTCTTGCGATCATCGTTACTTTTACCAATGTTCATTATGCTAAACTATATTTCAAATAGACCCTTTTAATATTAAAAGAAGAAATGAACTAATTAATTATTTATGCTGGTGTGAAATAATTCTTTGAAGAAATGCTTCAATCTCTTACTTAGTTTGGAGTTTCACAAATTTATTTAAGGTCAGTATATTCGATTACTAGAAATCAATATTTTCTTAATTTTCTTATACTAGTTAAAGTATTGAGAAAATATTCTTATCAAATACTTTTATTTGCTGTCTAAATTGATCTAAGCTATCTTTGATATTTAAGCTCAATAATATTGAAGTTGAGTCCTACTGCTTGCTATATTAGATTGAATATTAATTAATTAATTATTAATTTATTTTGTTTTTAACTATTAATCAATGATAACTTATTTAAAAAAATAATAGTTTTCTATTTACTTATAACTACTTATAATCATGTTTTGATAATTAAAAAAATTCATTCATTCAATCAATTTATAGATCGTATTTAGTCTAAATCATATGATTCTCTCTTTGCTGCACCCAATTTTCATTTTGTATAGATATTATAAATCAAAAGCACACTAACCAAAAACAATTAAAATAATTGATTCATTCATTCAAATATATTTATTTATTTTCATTTTGAAATAAAAATCCATTTATATTTTATGGCACAATATTTATGTGACCTTTAAAATATTCAATTACTATCTAGAAGTCCAGTGAAAAATAAATAGAAATTTATTTGCAGCCTCAATCTAATTAGATGCAATAAAAATCATACAAATATTGAAATATATTATGAAAATAATAAAATTAATGTTTAATTTACTAACTGAAAATAAATTTATTTTTAAAATAATGATTCTAAATAATAGCATATCGCATATTAATTTATTTAGTTTTTGAATATTATTTGAGATGATAAAGCTTTTTTTAATGATTAAAATATAAATCATTTATATTTCTATATGAAAATAAACTTAAAATATTTTAATTGCCATTTAAACTGAAAAAATTTTAATTAATTTTAATAATTTTAGGAATCACAGCTAATTCTTCTAAAGGATGATTTTTATCCAAAATAATTTTTTATGCTATTTTTGAAGCTTATTTAATTTAATTCATACATAGAACAAAATTAAACATCAATTATAGTTTGAGAAGAGAATATTTGTTATTATTGTTATTTAAAATGTTTATGGAAACATGTTTTTAAAATTAAATATTAATTTTGCTTTAAGTTGTTATATTTAGGTAAATATTCCAAAGAATGCTTTGAATTTCAAAAGAAATAAATTTGCTACTTATTCCTGCCAATACTTTTTTTGCTACATTTGCTTAATAGAAGTAGGAGTACAAAAAAAAATTGCAATTTGTATGAATTTATATATTTAAAACATGAGAAAACACTATGTCAGGCTAATTGTACTATGTACTTAGCAGATCTACTAAATAAATTTAAGTGTTTTATTTAATATTTTAAAAAGGCAGTCTACCTATTTTTTTATCTTTCATTCACATAAATTTAATCCAAATCATCAATCACAAAATAAATAGAAATATTTATTTTATACAAACAGCTGAAATAAAGAAAATATTTTACATTAGCTGTTTAACTCTATTCTAAAATTCAATGCAAATTTAATGCCTTTGCTGAAAATAAATTATAAGCTTTTTGATAAATATCGCTAAAATGCTGATTGATAATACCATTTTTGATTTACTTTTTAAATCTGTTTAATAAAAATATAAAAAGTTGCTCAAAAATCTGATTTTTTTTTGATATTGAAATCAGATTAAAATCTAAAATTAAGGCTAACAAATTTATTATTATTATTCAAAAGAACCCATAATTTATTACATTATAAGAAAGTTTAAATATTGGAAGGCCTTTGCCGTAATGAAAAACTTTATCATCAGTAGGTAATCCTTACCTATATATTTCTAATGATGAAGGAGATGGCCATATCCCTCGGGATTGAAAATCATGAAAAACTGGCTGCAATGCTGATCAAAGAAATATAAATTTAAGGATATACCGTACAAATTAAATAGCAAAACAAGCTACTCTATTATAAATTTTTCGAAAGAAAATATATAGAGTGTAGCTTAAGCTATAATTATATATATTTAATTATGCATATTTACTAAATTAATACTGCTATAAAATTCCCTATCACGAAAAGTCCAAGTGATGGAATAAAGAATTTACCTTATACAGTTAAAATATTTTAGTTACCATTGCGCACTGCAGCAAATAAACATGATTGTTGAGGTTTTCTCAATAATTTGTTTGTTTTGGTAATCTGACATAACAACTCATATAAAAAAAACAAAACACTTCTCTTTTTTTCTTGATTAAAAAAAATTTAAATTTTCAATCCCTATTTCAACGATAGGTAAATAAAAAGAAATTTATTTATGCTACAAATACAAAAAATATTACAAAAAGAATTTAAATAAATTACTAAGTCGGTATTGTCTTAGTCATTCATTTATTTATTTATTTTTCAAAGTTTAAAAAAGAATAAAATCAATAAAAAATAAAGCATTCATCTTTAAATAAAATATGATTAATTCAACATCGATTTATTTATTTAGATTTGTATTCATAAAATCTTATTGTTTTTTAGATTGATTAGAATAAATAATTAATATTTTAATCCTACCTACTAATAAATTTCTAAAATTTTAATTGATTTTGTTTGTCTATTTTTGATATTTGAGATTTCATCCGAATTATTTGAGTCTTTTTCACTAAGTTTAATTAGGTAAACAACTTTAAACATTTAGAATTTAATTTAATTAAAACTATTGATTAATGCTTTGATGTTTACTGTGAAATCACTCTAATAATTTGTAAATAATTATTTTAAATCCAACCAAATATTTTGTTAATTTTATAAAAATAATAAATTTAAAAATTCTCCTAATTAGTAAGCTAAAAAAGCAATAAATATTTCAATAAAGAAAATGTCTCAGAAAAAGAGTTTAAAATAAAAGAGAAAGTAAGACTATAGCTCTGATACTGAAGAGGAAGAAGAGGATCAATATGAAGTTGAAAAGATCTTAGACTCTAGATTTAATCCTAAGACCAAGCAAAAAGAATATCTTGTCAAATGGGAAAGTATTATTAAATATTTATCTATTTATCATATTAATTCTTTTTATATATATATAAAGACTGGCCTATTGAAGACTCTACCTGGGAACCTTACGAGCATCTTTCGAATGTCAAAGAAATAGTTTAGGCCTTTGAAAAGAAGCAAAAAGCTAACGTTATGCCTCAACCTACTGGACCTATCACTAGAGTAAATGCCTAGAAAGACCCTTAAAAAAAGAACAGACTATCTTTGAATTCTTCTATCAGCAAATCTTTACCTCAAGAAGAAGAAATTTAGACATCTAAAGAAGACAGTAAAAAATAAGCAGTCAAAAAATTCCAACCAGCTTCAAGAAGAAAATCTATTAGTTCTTAATCTGATTCAGACCTTTAAGCTGAAGAAGTTCCACAGTAGCCTGAAAGTAAAAAAGATAAAAATGATGGTGCCTTTGAAGAACCCAACAATGCTGATGCAGACGAAACTGAGCTTGTATTTGAAGAAATTGTTGACAAAAGAATTCTTGATGGATAAACAGAATATTTAATACGCTTCTAAAGTAATTTATTTATTTATTTGTTAATTTTAAATAAACAATTTTAATTAAAATATTTTTAATTTATTTATTTAATTAATTAATTAAAATAGATGTCTCTTAGCCATAATGGGTAGATGTTGGACAATTGATAGCTATTAAAGATGATGTTATAGCTTATGAAGATAAAATTGCTGCTTAGAGTTAGCTCAATAAGACTAAGAACTTGAAAGAAAATGCTAAACATTCATCTTAACAATAGCAAAGCGAAAATAATAACTTAGAGACGGAAGAAGTTGAAGAAGATAAAGATTCTAAAAAAAGAAGTTTACTTGCGAATTCAAAGAGACCCACTGCTAAAAGATCATAGCCATTCAATTAAGATGAAGAGAAAGAAAAATCAGTCACTTAGCCTACCTCGAATTTAGGAAGCAAAGGTCAATCTTAGTAAGTTGAAAAAGAACAAGCAACAAACTCACAAACTTAACAGCCTCAAACAGCACACAGAAGTGGCTCAAGACTCAGCTAGATTCAATCAAATGCCAATCAAGTTACTTAATAAGCTTAATAGCTATCAAACACCAACAATTCTTCCTCTACATCTCTTGAAGTTTCATCAAAAATGCCTAGCTAAATGTCTTAAAAACGCAGACCTATTGAACTTACTGAAATTTAACAAGGTGATTTCAAGACCGATAATGTCGATAAGATTGAAATCCAAGGAGATTTTAATGACATAATGACTTCAAGGTTTGAAGTTTTTTGGAAAATCAGATAAGACAATGTTACCCCTGCTTCCTAAGTCTATTCAGCCTCTTACCTGAGAAGATATGAGCCTTAAGTTCTCATCGATTTCCTCTTACAACATTCAAACTAATCTCAATTAAGACAAGCTAATTAATAACTTACTCATTGATAAATTATTTAGTGATTACGGCTTGATTAAGCTCTTAAAACATATGATGAACTCAATAAATTTTCTTATTAGAAACCAAAAAAATACTTGGAAAAAAATTTTTAAAATAAATATATTTCTCATGATAAAAATATATTTTTTTGAAAAATATTGCTGATTATTTATTTATTAATTATTACATTTTACATATTTTGTAACGATTGAGTTTTTAGTTTAAAGAGTTTTAATTTCACATTTTAATTTATGAAAATTTATTCAATTAAAATATTTTATCAAATTAAAATTTAAATAGGATTGATTGATTTAAAAAAGATTAAATTAGGAAAATGGTTTGATTTATTTAAAACATAATCGAAACATAAAAAATTAATATAGTATTATTCCATGTATTTATAAATTAGACTCAATAGATTTAGTTTTATGGTGTAGCTTCTTCTTAAACATCTTAGATTATTTGTTAATATAGTTAAACTCCTATTTTTTAATCGCTAAATTTATTACTTTTTTACTTTTAGGCTTAACCTATAGATAATTAAGATAAATCATGATCGTGAGAATCTAGCTAGCGAGATAGCTGAGCGATAGAAGAAACTCTAGAATTGTGTGATTAAATAAATTTTTCTCTATCTTCTTTTGTATTCAAATATTAGTTTTACTTATCTTCAGCTTAATCAAAATTTTATAGAGAATTTATTTGTGGTTCAAAGTATTCTTATTCTTCATGCACATGTGTAGGACTTACGTTATGGCCGTAATATTCGTCGTTAGTTGGGAGTTAGATTCTTGTTTTTAGTTTAATTGCACTGCTTGGAAGGAATTTTTTGCTTTACCCTCCTAACTAACTTTAACTAGCTGCAAAATGAGTAAAAGTAGTTTTTTGAAAACTTTAAGTACTTTTTTATTGCTTTTATTACTCATGAGGTTATCTATAAACTGACTGCAAAATATTTTAATCTTAGTTAGCTTAGTTGAATGTTTTCAATTTTATATTTTAGCTGCTTTCACCTTATTACAAGACTTCCTCAGAGTATTGAGACTTGTTATCGAATGTTTTCAAATTAAATTCCTAAGAAGATGGCTTCACTGCAAATTTAGGGTTATACATTTTTTAAATATCTGTCTAAGATGGAGGTTAACGAATCTTTGTTTAAGATTTTTCTAAATTGTTAATTGAAATTTAATTTTCACTTCCACTTTTGTTATTTCCTTATCCTTAATGCTAACCTGCAATTTTAGCTTAGTTGTTGATTTATTTATTCGAAAATGTAGCATAGTAACCTTATTACATATTTTAGTTAAAAGAAGTATTATTGTTTTCCTGACCTTCTTAATATTATTTTTCATTTACTGCAGCACCATTACCATTTGCTTAATTTTAATACAAGTCTTCTTAAAATGAAACCTAGTTAAAATGCTCTCCCTTCTATCTTGGTTGATACCCTTAGCTTTTTAAGAATTTGATTTCATCTTAAAGCTTTTGATTTGCTAAACTCTACTATTATAGACTTTCTTATAGCTATTGAACAGTTTGAAAATTAGCTGTTTAATCATTTTGCATTTTATTTTCCAGATCTGTTTATGCCTTTGCATTTTCATTTTCTTCTTATTCTTTGTTTTTTTTCTCTACTGCTTCCTTTCTTTGCTGAAGAATCCTAGCAAAGCTATTATCAACATTCTCGATAATTGGTCTATCATAAGTAAAATTAGATTGTACAAAATTAGGAGTTCTTCCTACAAAATCATCATAAACGAAATCTTCATACTGCATAAGATAGACTAACTTTCTTGCATCATATTTGTGCATAACTTGTTAATGTGAAACAATAGGATAGTAACAATTTTTGTAAGCATTCCATTCATCTTATAACTCTTCCATCAAAACTAAATTATCATCTAGTTCAGTAAATTCAATCCATCTTCTCAAATGATTCTAATTGCTTCTTATATTCAAAATAGGAGGATTAGGTTTGAAAGGATCTCTAGGATTTGCATAAACTGGATAATGACTGCATTGTGCGCATCCACCGCTATATGGAAAAATATGTCTACAGCCTGGATTGTAGCCTTCATTCATTTCCAACTCCTTGTAAATGTAAGGATTCACATCATACTTTTTAGTCAAGTGTTCAAATACACTCATATAGTGCTCTTTATTCTCTCTATAATAATAATATGGTATTGCTGCTGCTTTTTGTTTCGTGTGTTTTGAATATTGTGGGATAGTTATTTTTGTGTTTATTTTCTAATCTATTTCCTTTATTTTTTCTTTTATTTTATTTGCATAGTTTGATTTGGGATCTGATTGCCCTTCCTTTTCTCTATCAGCCATTTTTATTGATCAATTCTGAGTTCTCCTTTAAATTTTAAAACTGATACCTAATTTCTTAAAGAAAGACAACTTTTTATTTTATATCTATTTGAAAAAGAATCCTTAATAAATTAAACAATAATTATATCAATAAACACTTTATTTAAATTTTGTTCAGTATTTATCTTAAAGCACTACTTTATTAAGATTTATTTCTAATAATCTATCTCAATATAAAGTTTTATTTTCATAAATCAAATATTTTTTCATTAAATCACTCAATTAATCAAAAAAAACAAATAAATAAATACAAATTTTATTTTTCAGTTGATTTTCATTTCAATCAATCAATTATTACTTTTTAATAATATTCAAAACAAACTCTATTTGAATGAAAAACTTGTAAATTGATTTCTTTTTTCAATCTTAAATTTAATTTTAAAATGATTTTTTACAATTTAACAGAAATCAATTTATTAATAAACTTACTAATCTAAATTATTTTTTTTTTAAATATGTTGCATTTAGCAATTTAAACATTTGAGCACAATTTTGATTTAAAAAGTTTAAATTTTGCAATTTAAAAGCAATAAATAGAATTTGAAGAGCTCTTAACCAATAATAAAAATAAAATGTTTTAGAAATTCTTTTATAGTAGTTGGTTATTAATAAAATAAAAATATTTTGTAAAAGTAGACATATCAAGTATAAATTATTGTTAAATATAGTTCTCAATATTAACAAAAATAAAAAGATATTAATATTTTACCTAGAATTTAATCAATAAAATAGTTAGAATTAGTTAGTTAATTAGTTATAAATGGGTGATCTAAAAGGTAAATACTCAGATATAAAGAACCACTTTAAGAAATTTAACAAAGCAAACTAAAATGACTTATAGGAGTTAGTTAAATTAACTCAAGAAAGCAAAGTTTATGAGATCTCAAATAAGGCTAAGACCAAAGATATTTCATAAACTTAATAGTAGTAGCCATAACCTAAATAAATAGTTAATAGTATTTAATCTCAAAAAGATATTCCGAATAAGATGGCAGCTCTTTTCTAAAATAATAATTAACCTGCAAATCCTTAACCACCAGGTAATTAATAGATAATTCCAAATAAAGTTGAAAGATTCCATAGCTCATAATCGTCATACTAATTATAATAATCAGATTAAGTTAAAAAGGTTGAAACATAATAGTAAAAACTGCCGCAGCCAAAAGTTGATCAATAGGAAGAGGAAAATGTAAAATAATAATAATAATAGCAAAAAGAAAAACCTTTAGAATAACCAATACCAATATCTAAAGACACAAGAGATAGCCAGTATGAAAATAAAAATAATAGAAATAATATTTTGAATAATTAAAGTAATTCTTATAGATTTGATAATAAAAATAATGATAATAGTAATACGAATAACTCATAACCAACTCCTGCAATAGTTGAAGATTAATCTAATTTTGTCAAATATGAAGGACCTTAATTCATTAAGATTTTACAGTTTAATGAAAATATTATATTTATTGATGAAAACACTGTATATTAATAAATTTATTAAGGTATTACAGAAGATAAAAAAACAATATTGTTCTCATAACAAACTTAAGAATTAAGTATGGAGAGACTAAAAAAAATTTATTAACTTCCTATTTCTAATAAAAAAATTTATAAAATAATAAATGCTACAGTCCATGAATAGATTCTATGCTTACAAATTTATGAGCAAGAATTGAATAGCTAAGATGATGAGGATTCTGGATATGGTTTTGTGTTTCTAAATTTTATTTATGATGAAAACGAACAAATTTCAAACATAAAAGCTTAAATGATTAAGCAAGTTGACACTAACCCTATCAAGTGCTTCTAGTTAGACTAAGAAAAAGAAATATTTTTTTATTCAATTGAAGCAGGTTTTCTTTTTTGTTTCGGTTTTGATTTATCATATAAATTTTGCTATCAAGTTCCTGAGGGGTAACATATTACCAATTTTTTTTACGATAGCTCTAATTAAGGACAAGATATTATTGTTTACTCAACAAATTAGGGAGCATTGTATCAGTTAAGATTCAGACTAATTCCAGAATTTTAAGTAATTTAAGAGGAACATCTGACATAATTAATTGATGCTTAAAAAATATCGTATTTAGGTCTTAGTTTTGACAGACAAAGTATGTTGGTTTTGCACACTAAAAGTGGAATAAGTGAGGCTACTGTATATTTATATCCTTCATTTAAAAAATAAAGAAACTTTGAGACAATTAACTCTAATTAATATGTACAGCTTTATGATTTTGTTGTAAGCTTTACCTAAACTAATTTGAACTATGAATTTTTTGGCTTGCTCTCAACAAATCAAATAGCAATTTACTGCTATGAATTAGAAGAAGATTCTAATAAACTTAAATAAAACTTAGTATATACGAAATAAATTGGCTTTTCACCTTAATGCATGTATTTTTCTCTTGATGGTTTTGCTTCAAAGTTGATTAGAATATATTATAATAATCCAGATAGATTAAAATAAGAAAGCTAATAAGAAATTTGTAGATTGATATTAGATAAAATAGATTCACAATTCAAATGATTGATCACTTTATTTAATTTATAATTATTTTTAATAATGTAATTCTATATTTATATAATTTAGTAAAATTTTTCTTACTTAAAAAGTTTTAATATTGCTTCATTCATATTTTACTAAAGTTAAATTAGCAAGTTTGAAGTAAATAAATATTTTAGTATAAAACTATTAAATTCTATTATTTGAATTATTTATTAATATTTTTATCTTTTAATAATGATAATATATACTGCAAATTCTCTTTAAGCGTCACTTAGATATTTAAATTTCATTAAAATCAGTTAAAATTCGTATAATTTATAAAATAATTAATTACTGGTTATATGACTGAATGAAAAAAATGGTTTTACGGTCGATCCCTAATAAATAATATTAGAATATTAAAAATATAATTCAATGTCATATTTTGTAAAGTTTATAATATGATTGTAAATAGAAAGTATTTCTTCTAAACTTAAGTCAAATTTACAATTGTATTAAACATACATATGTTCCATCTAAAATCCATTTTACATAAAAAATAAATAAATAATTATCTCTTTTTTAATTTTAATTTTTTTTTTATTTAAGTATAATTTACTTAATAATAAACTAAATCAACATAAAGGCTGGAAATATAATTATTTATTAAAAAAATAATTTAAAATTAATACCTAGATTCATTCTTAAATATACTTCTGATTTTAGTAAATAAATGAAATTTATGAAAAAATAGATTTTATGTAAAATATTTTTATTTTTAGCTCTTGTATTTAAATAGAGTTAAATGCTAAATTTAATTAATGAATGAATAAAAAGATATTTAATAAATCTTACTTTTTTCTTATTAATTTATGAAAATATCCTTTTCACTTCATAATGATTTAAATGTTTAATAGACTTTGCTTGCTATAAAAACATAGGGTAAGAAGAAGAAAAATATTTTAAATAATTAAAATAGACTTTAAAATAAATGGATAGTTAAAAAATAACTTATTTTATTAGAATTAATTTGGATAGAAAGTTAATCAAATCTATTAATTTATTAATTATTGGAAAAAAAAATAAAATCTATGCCTTATTTTTATAAACCTAAATAAAAACCATAATCTCACTAAATATCTTTTTTAGTAGATATTAGAATATATTAACATCATCAATTGTTTAGTAAATTTTTTATTTTTTTCCTTTGTAAATAAATAATAGCCTCACAAAAATAAATAATAGATTTGAAAAATCAATCAATATTTATCAAAATCAATATAAATATTAATATAATAAAGTGAGTTAAAAAATAAGGAAATAAATAAATAAAAATAGTAAAATGGGTTCCAATATTTTTTCTAAGGATGTTTCTATTAATTAAATAGATGACAAAATTACAATGTTCTTATAACAAAAATAATTTAAAATAGAAAAATATTTAGATTAAGGTTATTTTGCTGAAGTATTTTAAGCTATTAAGATTGATGATAATCGTAGAGTTGTGATAAAAAAATTAAAGGATCTAAACAACTTGAAAAAAATTGAAGACGAAAAGAATGCAATGTACAAGATATAGAATGAACAGTATGCTATCTAAATTATAACAGACTTAGTTGATAAAGATCTTGAATATAACGCCATAGTAATGGAACTTTGTGATTGTAATCTCACTGAAATTTTTGAAAATAATATATCTAATTTTTCGTTTGAATAGCTAGTCACATTAACCTACCAGCTCTTAAAAGGTTTATTAGTTTTTTAAGAGAAAGGTATTATACATGGTGATCTTAAACCTGAAAACATTTTATACAGCCAATAAAAAAATAGATTTTTAATATCTGATCTTGGACTTAGTTAAGTTATGTAAAATCCTGAGCTTTAATAACTAATTAGCAAGCAATCGAATTCATTAGTAGGAAACATCAAATACATGGCTCCAGAAATTATTCATTAAAGAAAACCCTAACAATTAAAATTGATGTTTTTTCAATAGGATAAATTCTCCTTGAGTTCACTTTAAAAAGGGAATTAACTTTATCAGAGTGTTTAAAATTAAAAGAAAATAATTTATTTGAAATAATACCAGAATTAAAAACTAATTAGAATATAAAATTTATAGAATAAATACTAGATTTTATGGTATGTCCTGAAACTTCTAAAAGATTAGAATCTTTAACATTACTTCAAAGGTTATATTAATTTAAAAGTAATGAAGAATCTCTGAAGACTTTAGTTTTTTCTAATAAATCACAGCAGCTAATAGAATAGAATAAATCTAATATCTAATATTAAAAAACAGATATTGGTGATTACTACCAAGGCTATTAGGTGCCTGGTCTCTCATGTAAGTTAGCAAAATTTTTTTATCCTACTGGTGCTATTTACGAAGGATAAGTCAAGGATAGTAAGAGGCATGGATTAGGAAAATATACATATTCTAACGGGAATGTATATGAAGGAGATTGGTTTGAAAATAAATAAAATGGTGAAGGTAGATTTGTGTATGCTGAGAAAAGTGGTGAAGGAGGCGATATATATAATGGATAATTTAAAGATGATAAATTTGAAGGATTTGGTCATTACTATTATAAAAAAAGTGGTAGGCAATATATTGGTTTCTTTTCTAATGATAAATGGAATGGCGAAGGTAAATTTATAAATGCTAATGGTGAAATTATTAAAAGTGGTATTTGGAAAGATGATAAACTTCAAACTGATATGAATGTAGCTGAAATAGTTACCCCCAAGCAGTTCTAACATTTAATTATTGAAAATTTTGAATAAAAAAAAGATATCTTGAATTAATTAGGGATGAAAGATTTTTACTTTGAAGGAAATTATTAAAAACTGAATCCCTAGTGTAAATATGCAAAAATATATTATGATAATGGTATATATGAAGGATCAATCCAAAATGGTAAGAAATAAGGAATTGGAAAATTTATGTTTGCTAATGGCAATGTATATGTCGGAAATTGGTTTGAAAATCAATAAAATGGCTAAGGTAGATTTATGTTTGATGGTTTAGATAGTGATATATACAATGGAGAGTTTAAAAAGGGTAAATTTGAAGGCTTTGGTCACTATTATTATAATAAAAGTGGTAAGCAATATATTGGTTTCTTTTCTAATGACAAATGGAATGGCTAAGGTAAATTTATCAGTGCTAATGGTGAGATTATTAAAAGTGGTATTTGGAAAGATGATAAACTTGAAACTGATATGAATAAAGCTGATATTCTAGTTCCCAATTAATTCAAGCATTTAATCATACAATTTTGATAAAATTAATTATTCCTAAAATAATTAAAAAATTTGTGCTTTATTTATTATTTTTAGTAATAATTAAAAAATTTTTAGCAATATTTTGAATTAGTTTATTATATTAAAATATAGAAAAAATCAGCAATCAAGTTAATTTTTATATGATCACTAAATCATTGAATTTTAAAATTGTGAATGTAATATTTAAAAAGAGGAGAGTTTTTTTAATATAAAAACAAACAGTGATTTTAATGAGATTTTATATTGATTTGGTTTTAAAAAAGTAAATTAATTTAAGAGAAAAAAACATTTAAATGAAAAATAAATATTTAAATAAATACCAAATTAATTAAAATAAATAATAAAAACAAATAAATATATTTTTTTAATTCATTTATTCAAATTATTCTACCTTCACTCTATTCTACTATTTAAACATGGTTAATATGATGTTGAAAACAGCTTTAGATATGGTCTTCTCGTACATTCTCCCAAGCATCTTCAACAGAATCAATTCATTCATTAATATTTTAATAGAAAATCTTACCAACCTCTCTATTCATCCAAGACCATACTTTCTCAATTGGATTGAGACCTGGGCTATATGGTGGATGAATTAGAGTTCTAATCTTTCTTTTATCTAAAAATTATTTAGTCTCTAAGATAGCATGAGATCTTGCATTATCATCAGTGTCCTAATTAGGGGGGGGGGGGGGGGGTTTTCGGTCCAATCGGCTAAACTAAAATTTTAAAAATTAATTATTATCAATTTTTTAAATAAAATTACATTTTTTTAAATTAATAATGCAAACAAAAATACATTTTTAACAGCTTTTAACAAAAAAAGGAAAAATTCAAATAAAAAATCAAATTTCTTAAGCTAATTAGAATGTTCATTATTCAATTCATTATTAGTAATGAAATACTTCATTCTATTCAATTTTTAACTCTCTAACTGAAAAACAAACATATTTATTTAAATTTTAAGATTTTATAAATATTTTTCTAATTATTAAAAATTAACTTGATTGTTGATTTAATTATATTAATATTATAAATCAAAATAATTAAAATCTATCAAATAACCAATCTAAATGAAATATTTAGTTTTATAAAACTAAACTTTAAATATTTTTTAATATCTAGATTTGATGCATACTTTAAATTTATTGAAAACATTTAACAACATGTTTTTTTTAAAGCAAAACAAAATTTCTAAGTCATCATTTAAATTTACTTTGGTGTTTTATACAATTTAAATACAAAATTTAGATTACTTATTTTACCTAAATAAAATTTGAATTATATCTATTTATTTAATATAAAATATGAGAGATAATTACTTTCTTAATATTAAATGCTAGATAAAAACTCATTTGAAAATAAATTACTTAAAATGATAATTTTTAAGTTTAATAATAAATAAAAATAGATGATTATTTTTTTTATTAAATCATTTTAATTAACGAATAATCGTTATTAATTAAATATCTATACTTAATTTTAAAATTAATTTAAATATGGTCTTTAGGATACATAGAATAAATTATTCAATTATATCTAATATAATGAGTAAAGAGCTTTAAATAAAGAATTAGTGTATAATCAAATAAACAAATAAAATGCCATAACAAAACTAAAATGGCATTACATGAAATTTTAAGTCAATTTTAATTTTCAAATAATTTTTTAATTCTTTTATGTTTTGTTACAAATTATAAGAGTAAGTTAAGAAATAAAATATGTTTAAACAATTTTAGTATTGATTACCAAAGTAATTTAAAAGATTATCATGATTGAAAAATTGAAAAATTATTTATTGAATTGATGGTATTTAAAAAGGCGAAACCAAGAATATCTAGATTTATAAAATTCGAAAATATCTCTACACTTCTGAAAATGGTAACATAAATGAAGTAAATGGTTTGAAAATAAATAAATAAAGCAAAGGGAGAAACAAAAAGCATTTACCTTTTTTGAAAATAATGACAAATATATACAAACGATAATTTGATAATTAAATGTCAAAAGGTTTTGGTAGCTACTATTTAATATTATAATAAAAAGTATATTTATTTTCTAGCTGAATGAGAAATAGAGTGGCGAAGATAATTATGTTGATGTGAGAGGTAATATTGAAAAAAGCTGATATCAACATTCTTAGTTATTCTTATTGTAATATAATTGTTATAATATCTGAACAAAAAAGAAATTTAAAAGAATCTAAAAGAAAATCATAATTAGCATGAAGTCTATTAAATATATGATCTCATATGCAACAATAAAATTAACTTATTCATTTAGTGCTATTTACGAAGGTAAATTCAACATAAATGATTAGTGACATAGAGTTTGAAAATATATGCATAATAATTACAACATATATATATGAAGATGAATGTTTGAAGACAAATATATGCAGAATTTAAATTAAATTTCTCTGAAAATAATAAGCACTTATTAAATTATTTTTTAGAATAAATATCAAGAGGTAATGAAATAGAGTATATTTATATGTTTGTTTTATTAACAAATAATTTTATATTAAATAAATTTATTTTTGTTGAATTTAAAGATTTTTAGTGTTTTATAATCTATTTTATTTATTAATCATAATTCTTGCTGGAAATAAGCAAATGACATTCAAAGTATTTTGTATTATTAAATTCTACTTCATATCTTTTTAATACAAAATAAACCATTTGTTACTTTTATCAACAATAAAATTAAATTTAAATATTTTTGAGATTTTTACATTGATTATAATTTATTAATTTAAAATTTAATTACTAAATTTTAAATTAAAAAAACTCATCTCACAATAGAATAAAAACCCTTACTTCATGATAGGTATTAATTAATTAGCTTTTAATATACAAATCAAAAATATTTCTAAAACAAACAATCAAAATTTGTTATTAAAAAATAAAATTTAAGAGAGCATTTTTTTAATTCAATAAAGAATGAATGAATCTGTCCTAAGTAAGACCTGTTGTTTAAAATACTTAAAGTTAATTCATTCATTTAAAAAAATGTAGAGTTAAAGAAATGCACTTATGGATTTTCTACTGATTAAATATCAAATAAGTTTAAGAGCAATTAATTATTCAATAAATATAATAATCTAGAGATTTAATTTAAATTTTCTTTTTTGATTTATCAAAGAATTCCATATAAAAATTATAATTATTTACAAATTAGTTAAAAGAGACGCTTAATTTAGGTATCAAAGCCTTTTAGGGAATATTTATTTTAGCCAAGCTTTATAATTTTTTATGAGCAGCAGTGATGAAGAGATCACTAAGAATAATAGAAATATATCTACTACATAATATAGTCCATAGTTGAGACCTCATTCTTCATTCAATAATGGACTTTGTTAGTACTGTAATTCTAATTTAGTTGGTGGCAAATTGTTAAAATCTAGCAAGAGTAATTTATAGATAAGCAAGTCTTAACACATTTAAGACACTTACTTTGGAAGTGGATAGAATTACAAATTTAAGAAGAATGATTTATCTGAGTTTGAGAAAAAAATGAAGAAGGCGAGCAAAGAAATAGAAAGATTGAATCGTATTATAGCTGATTAAGCAATAGAATTAGAAGCGTTGACTTTTGTAAAGTAAATGTCATAGTATGAAGTAGACATAGTTGTAATATAAGAAAATCAAAAATTGAAAAAAGAAATAGAAGATTTAAAAGAGTAGTTAAACCTCGTTACTCATCATGAGTCTATAGTTGATAATAGTGAGACATACAATTACTGGAATGATCGTAAAGATTCTGAAAAAATCCAAATGGATTTCTCCAACATAGGTATCTATTAAATAAATATCATAAGCATCAGCAGCTCATTTAAAATATTACTAATGAAGAAAGAAGTATTTAAGCTTTATCTTTTAAAACATAGTTGATTTAGACGAAAATGGTGACGTTAATAATGATAATTTTAACTTAGAGTATGGTATAAATCGCATAGATGAAATAAAAAAGCTGCTACTAGAAGAATATAAATTTTTTAAGCATTTGTAGTCTGAGCCTAGTTTAAGTTAACATACAGATGAATATAGCAAGAAGCGCAATGAGCTGTTGGCAACATTTACTAAATTGCAACATTCTCTCTTTCCTCTTTTCTCACCAATAAACGAAAAAGTAATATAAATAAATTTGGATTTTGAATCTAATACACCAATAAAATAAATTAACATTTGATATAAATTATATCAAAGTATCTATTTCTAATATAATTTATTCATTCTATATTTTTAAAAGAAAATACTGAATATTAGTCGTAAATAGAGTGTCTTTTGCGAAGATGTTACTCCTTCAAATAAGTCTACTCTTGAAATAAAACTTTAGCCTAACTGAAGATGAACTAAATCTAAAATATAATGTTTTAAAATAACAACCTGCTTGATATAAAATCTTATTAAATGTTTATTAGCTTCAAAAAATTTATTTATTTTTAGCTAACTATATATACAAGGTGGATTATCAAAGTTTGTTTACCTGTTTAAGATTTGAAATCTTATTTACTATAACTGAAAGTTATATTTTTAAAATGCTCTCATCATAAGTACTTCAAAACTATATATATACATAATAAATTAAATGAATGAATGAATCAATGAATAACTTACTAACTAATTGAGACTTTATAACTTCTTGTAAATTTACTATTAATTTTAGCAGATATTTATTTTTCATATTTATAGTATGATTAATAATCTTTATTATATTTACTTTAATTAATACAATCATGCATATATAAATTACTATTTTTCTATATTATCTATCTTAATTCTGCAAAAAATAATAATTCATTTATTTATTAGCTAGATTTAATAAATGTGAATAGCTTTTTTAATTCAAATATGTCTGAAAATGTATCAAACGAAATTAATTAAAATTAAAAGTTAATTTAAAATATAATTTAGAGTTAAAATACTCTTGTTTTTAAAATTCTTAGTGATATTATTAAAATTTTTATATTTAATTAATTAAAATAAATAAGAAATATTGAGCATACTTAATTTGTAATTTCTTTTTTTACATTTCAACAAAAAATAACTTAGTAAAAGGATCATTCATAATTCTCCTTTAATACAAATAAAATTTTATAAAAATTGATACTTTTTAGATAGATTTTATATTTATAATTTTTATTTGTTGTCATTAATTCATCATTTATTTATTCACTGTTTCTAGCTCAAGTATTTAGCTAATAAGATCTAATTGTTTATTATTATCTTCATATGACTAAATAAATTGTTCATTTTTTTATTAAAACTTTAATCTTGGTTAGAAAAAGTAGGAATTTAACACTGTGTTGATATAAAAAATTTCTTTGAAAGCATTTTTTCTCTTCAACACCTCTTTAAGTAGATTCAAATATATAAATCTAATTTTTAGCTGCTTTATTTTATTATTCTTAATGGCCATGCAAGCTTGTCTGATACCAATATAACCTTATGTTTTTTATTAATCATCACTTTGATTATTACTTACAACGCACATACCTTAGATTATTAATCCATCTATAAACTATTTTTATTTAAAATGATTTAATAGAATTTATTTTTAATAAAATTTACTTATTCTGATTATTATCCAAAGTGTTTCTCTACGTTACTTAGATATTATTCACATAATTACGTTGCTTTTTATAAATTAGTTAACGCAAATTGCAATACAATAATATGGACTTGGGTCTCATAATAGAGACGTGTTTTTATTTTGTTCTTCTTTTCCATTTCTTATTAGTTTGTATTTAAAATTTTCAAAGCACTCTTGAAATCATTTTCTTCTATTAATTATATTGCTTTTAAGTTTAATGCCTTCCATACCAACTCATTTTCTTCGTCTACGGATTTAGATAAAATCTTTTAATCATTTAAAAATAAATTTAATTTCAAAATAACATATTTATTCTAATTTACTTCAAAACAAGAATTCAGACTCTGGATAGAATCAAAATGCTTTCCTATTTGGTTCTATATTAAACTGTCATAATAATATAGCAAACACTAATAAACAGGATTTTTATTTTCAGAATTTTCGAGAATCTATTGCATTTATAAAACTCTAGTTTAGGCTAAGTCTAAATCAGCTGTATACTAGCAAATATCGATAGATGCTTAATAAAATAAGAAGCAGAGCTAAGGATGAGTGTCAGCTAAGCCTTTTTCATCAATTAATTTTTCACATTTTTGTATATTCTCTTAAGCAAGAGCTATCTGCTAAAGTTCTACTTATAATTTTATCTTCAATACATAAATTTCTACTAACAAAGAAATGAAATCAAAATTTGTTTCATCTTGACTAATAATTTATTCAATTACTGCATCAGCTTATAAAATTGTATTTAAGCTCTCTTATAATTCATAGGTCTAAAAATAGAGCTTACTCTCAAGTAAAATATGTTTTAATACTTACAATTAGCTCATTTTTCCCTATTCTTTATATTCTTTAAGCTCCTCTATAATTTCGAAAGCTTCATCCCCATTTTTATTAGGACTTATCAATTATACGCTCGCGAGGTCAAGTTTAAAAGAAATTAATTCACTTTATAAAAAATTAACATCTAACTGTTCAATTTCATCATTTTTAAAATGATCTTATTTCTATTTAGAAAGTTAATCTGTTAGGTAAGCTATGCAATCTTCATACAAAGTTACTGCTTCTTCATAATCTCTTTTCAATATCAAATACTAGCATAATTTTCTATAGTCTACTTAAAAATCTTTATAAAATTCTAATTTCTCATATTTTTCTTTAGTTTTGATAATTTTAATTTATGTTAAAACCATTTGATTATAATTGCATTTTCTGATATATCCGTTTAACTATTTCTAAAAGTCTTACAATTTCTTCTCTGGGCTGCCAAATCTACTAAACTAAAACTATGGTACTAACTATAATTAGAATCTTTTACATAACTACTATTAATTTCTTTAATTATGCTAAAGAAGCTAGAAAAAGCTAAAATTTTTAAATAGATTTTTCATTTTATAGCTAAATTTGTTACTTATTAATTAAAATTGAAAACTAAGTTAAGATCTGATTAATTTCAATAATTTTAATAAAGAGATATTAACTTAATTTTAAATACTTTTGAAGTTGATTAAAAATAATTATTTAAGAAAGGCTTCCTCTGAAGCATCTCAATTTATTTTTGTATTTAAGAGTTTTAAACTAGATTTAATCAAAAATTAATTAAATGAAAGATCAATTATTTTTATTTATTCTAATTCATAAGTATAAATTTAATTAAATTTCAAATGATTAATATCTAAAGCAAATTTAAAATTATCATTCAAATTATTTTTTTATAATTAAGTTAAGTTAATAATAGCAATCACATTAAATAAATTGTTTAATTTTAAATTTTAGATCTAAATTAAGATAATATTACCAAAGATATAATATAAAAACATTCATTAAATCATATATTTATTTCACAAAATTTTCAAGAGGCTAATATCTTTTTTAAATGTAAAGGATAGTATTATTTGTTTAGATGAAAATTTTTAAGGATTTTGGCTTTATTGGCTAGTATTTTTTCACAAACAATTTAGATCTAAATGAAAAGTGATTCAATAGCTAATAATTAACTTCAAAAAAAGTGAAAATAAATATTTTTGTAAACATAATTCAGAAAGAAAAATCATTTTCAATAAATTTTATTTTATTTCTCATCTAAATTTTTACAAATATGTTTAAGCATTTAATTTTTATATTTTAAGAGATAATCTTTTTGACAAATTATTTCAAAAATAATTTTTAAGAATGCTAAAGTACAAAGCCGCTATTATATTTACAATTTATTTTATCTGAAAATTCTAAAATTGAAAATTAGATTTTTCAAGAAGAAAAATATCTTTTAATGTTTAGAAGTTTCATTTATTTATTTGTAATAAAACAATTGAATTATCTTGAGAAAGATTATTATTAAAGAAATATTATTTATAGGTGATAATTATTATTCTTTAGAAATATTAAATTAAAGAAATTTGAGGACAAAATAGAGTTGTTTGCTTTGAAAGAGGATTATTTTTATCATGGTTGGCTATAAATGAATTTTATTAATATTTATTATTAATTAAAATCATCATAAATTTTATTTGGTAAGGTATTGCGCAAATTAATAATTAGGATTTTGATTGGTTGAAAACTCAGAAAATTATAAATCTATCAAAATGTTTTGAAAAAAGATAATTTATCAATAATAAATAAAGGAAAGATCCAATAACATACGATTATATTTCAAAGATATTCAATATTTTTTGAGTTATTCAATTTATCGTCTGAATGCATTTATTTATTTATTTATTTGTATGAATCAAATTTTATCTTATAAACAACTAATTGCTTATCAAGCAGCGTTAGTTAGTAAGTATTCTTTAGAAAATAATTAAAAATCTTCAAAATAATTAATTTAATAAGTTTTTCAAGACAATTAAAAATCTAAAAAATCAACTAAATATTAGATAGATAAAGCAAAATGATATACGATTATAACTCAACTGAAGAGGTTTAGGTTTTAGAAGAAAAGTTAAAGTCTTATCAATTCCCTTATTGCTCCAAAGGTGGTGATCACACAGCACATTAACTTAATAAAGTATTATTTAGGATTTATTTCAATGAAACTGCAGTTTCAACAAATTGTCATTTGCAAATAGAACTGCTATAATAAATGGTTTGAAATTTATTATTTACTTCTATTAAAAATAGTTCTGTATTGATACTAAGTGCAGAAAAGATCAAATTCTTGAACCTCATTGCATTATTTGTGAAGAATACAGAACTCACAACACCCCAACCCACGTTACTAAGCCTTTAAAGTTGGCCATCAGAGATTTGATTACTTAAGTATGTGAAACAGAAGAAGACAAAAAAGTGGAAGATGAAATCGAAATTAACCTATTGAAAATTGCTTAAGATTACAAGGTAATATAAAAATACAATAGAAATTGTTAAATATTGTTATTGTTTTATTTAGCTTTAAATAAATAAATATTTCTTATTTTTTGAGATTTGATATTCATTGTATTTTAGATCAAAATGAATGTAAATGATAATCAGATTCATTAATTTTATGTAAAAAAAGGCTTTAGCAGATAAACTTTATAAGCTTTCAGATGATGCCTATGCAAGTTTAGACATTTATCGTTTAACTATGAGCAAAGAAAGCCCTAAGAAGAGAGAAGTCAGATAGATTCTTTATGAGCTACTTTCAAATGAATAGGAAACCAATTTAAGAACATGCTTGAAAAAGCTTGTTCCTTTGACTATGATAGACAGAGGAACATTGATAGTTACAGATGAAGTAAATATGTCAATAAAAAGAGCTGTTGAATCTAATAGCGATAAGTATATTTAAATTATGCGTGACTCACTTCGTAGACTTTCTTAGTTAACTGAGAGTCTCTTAGAAATCAGCATCCTTGAAGGTTATGAAGAAATGAATGGCAATCTCAAAGCAGAAGATATGGACGGTTATGAAACATTCAATAGTACCACATAGAATGGTAATGGTGCTTAATAACAATCAAACGGAGCTTCTTCTCCTGATAAAAATCAGACTTAAAAGAGAGAAAGAAGAAAAAAAAATCTAGAAGAAAAAAGAGTATTCTTAGAAAAGGAAATAGAATAGCATATAGTCAAATGCAATAATAAAAATTGCGAAGAAGTAAAGCCGAACAAAGGAATAGGTTCGTGGAGAATTACAGATTGCTATTATGGTAGAAAACTTAATGAGGAATGGTTAAAAGTGTTAAATCATCTTCAATATGAAGCACATTGAATATTTTGTCTTTGTTCTAAATATATATTAATATTTTTAATTAAATCAATATAAATTAATAAATTTTTAATTACTTCTTCGTTCTTTTTAGTTAAATTTTAATTTTATTAATAATTAATTGCTAAAATTCCATAAAATTTCCACTAAAATTTCTTATTTAAATTTATTTTCTGTTAAAAATAATAAAATATTTGTTTTAAATTTAGAATAACCAATAATCACGAAAACTAGTTCATTATTAATAAAAAAGTTTATTGTCAAGCAATATTAAAAATTATTTAAATTATTGTTGATTGCAGATATTTTAAATTACTGAGTTTATCAACCTTAAATTTGATAAATATTAGAATTGCTATAATAAAAGACATAAATTTGATAAAAAAACAGGGTATTTAATTTAGCTTATTTGAGAAATACTTAAAATCTTAAAGTTTCTGATTTAAAAAATATATTTTTGCATTCAATTTATTCCTTAAAAATACCCACCCAAAATTTACTTTGTTTATTTGTTAAAACTTTGATGGATTAAAGTTATTTTACAGAAAACGTTTATTTATCAAATATAAATTATTCTATTAATAAAGACTATTTATTACCTTACATTAAAATTGCTATTTTATATTTTTTTATTGAGTGAAATTGATAAAAAAACAATATTTAGATTATTATTAACAATTATATAGCAATAATTACAGGTCATAAATAACTTCATTTTAATTGTAAGATGTCTATAGCATCACATTTTATGTTAACTAAAAAATTAGAAGTACTATACTTAGTCTGTCATTTTTAATCATTAATTAGCTTTGAGTGACAGCATTAAAGAAGATTTAATATTTAAAGTATCCTACTTAAAATTATTATAGAAATTAAACTAGTAGAAAAGTTAAATAGTAATTACCCATTAATTATCTAAATTGTCTATCCTAAAAATTAAGCCAAAGAGGATTGTATTGTTCTAATCTCACTGATTATCTACATAATAAAAAACTTATAAATTAAATTTTATAGTAAGTAGAAAGCATAATTTAGCAAAAATGAAAGCTATTATTTTTATTTTTTTACTTTTCGTCATAGGAAAATGTCAAGAAAACTCTAAGCCATCTTTAACGCAACAGTAACAACTCTAATAAGAAAATTAGTATGCTTAAACCAAGCAGAAGTTTTTAAGCATTGAAAAATAAAAGATTTCAGATGAAAATAGTCAAAATAATTTGCAATAATTTAAAAATAATGAATAGCAAATAATTAAAACTACAAAGTTAGTTGAAGAGTCAAGCTCAGATAAAGAAAAAGAATAAAGCACAAGTTAAAAAATAGAAAAGGAAATAGAATTTTCATTACTTTTTATTGCTGGATTGCTTTCAGCAGCATTAGGCATTAGCTTTGAGTGGAAGAATGAAGTATATTACACTAGGTATTTAAAACTCTTAGATATGATTAAAAACAGATGCAAAACTTAAGATTTTGCAGAGGGAGATTTAATCTTCCTGAGTGGAAAGATAAATTATAACTATAATCTATCTGATCCATTATTTAATTTGAATATAGAAAAAGCTGTTAAAATAAAACGAAGCATATATATGGTTCAATATGATGAAAAAAATAAGACAGAAGATGAATACGATGAAAATGGCAACTTAAAAATAAGAACTATAGCTAAATCCCCTCGAGCTAATAAAAATAATTATGTTAAGAAGTGGATAAGCTACAGAGTTCCAATTCTAAACTTTAAAGATTAAGACAAGATTTAAAAATCTCAAAAATACTGTAAATTTATTGCTGAGAGTGATACATTCTTAATAAATAAAATTTCCCTCTCTTTGCCTAACAATTCACCAAATTTAGCTCCTATAAACTAACCAGGAACTCCAAAAGTTGGCAGTTCCATCCTTAATTTTAGCAACGCTACCAATAATTAGAATGAAGGCATGAATAAATCTTAAAAATTTCGCTCAAGCTTGAAAAGTCTACTTCCAAACTCAAATACTGGTGTTTAGTAAGGTAGTATGACTGCTCCTAATGCAACATCTCAGTAAAAACTATTTCGCCAAAACTCAAACTAAAGCAATTCACATAATACTGGTAAAATCATGATAACAGATCTTTCTTGCTTTGATGACTTTGCAGTATAACCTTTCAACTATAATCTACTAACAAATAATGAAAAGGAGTTAATAACTAACAAAATTGAAGACTTACATCGCTTAAAAGCAGCTTTTGAAGATCAAATATTTGACACCTATGTGATGTTCAAGGATGACGAAGTAATAATTAGCAGAAAATAAGATTTCAAAATGCATTTAGGTGATAATAAAATGCAGCATGATTTTGTTTATGCAGACGAAATCAGTATCATAGGTAAGCTAGGAAGCAATAACACACTTATTCCCTATTATACTATAGAAGAAAACAATGAAGATATAGAATTAGATGATATGGATGATGAAAATAACTCTCCATTACTCAGAAAAAGACATAAAAAAATACCTTTATTAGACCTAAAATCAAATCTTCTTTCTACGAACAACCATCAAAGTTAAGAGAGTGGTTTTATGTAAAGCAGCAATGAAAGAATAAGGTATAACAATAATGAATCTACATGCACATACTACTTTTGTTATATTCCACGCTTAATGAAAACAATATTTGCATTTGATGACAAAGTTTACTGGGCAGTTGATCGAGTAGTAAAATTAGATTAATTTTTGCAAATCAAAAAGGAGCAGTTTTCCAAATTAGTCAAAATTTGCAGGTATATCTCTTTACTATTTATGTTCTTAGGAGTCTATCTTAGTATTCTACCAATTTTAAATGCATTTGGAATTATAAATGCTGAGAATCTAGAAAAGAAATCCTCATTTATTACTTAAATTCTTGTTGTTTTAATGTTAACTATTTCAGTCTTTCTATCAACAGCTTTTCCTATATATGCTGCTTATAGGATACATTAAGGTATAATTCTTTTAGTTCTTTCTCTCGGACTACTTTACTTATCTCGTGTAATTTCCAACTGATAAACTATCAAAATTCATAATACAAAATTATTTATATGTAAATTATATATAACCTTTAATCAAGCATGTTTTACTTCTACTAAATACTAAATATAACTCTAAACTGTTTTCTAAATCGCACAGGCATACAATTTCAATTTAAAATCTATATAAAAAAATCAAAAATTTAAATTTTTTATATAATTATGAACTAATTAATTTTATTTTTACTATTGAATATTAATTATTTATTTTAAAATATTATGAAACAATTGCTTAATTTTGCTTTGAGCAAACAAAAATTTTAAAGCGAATAAAATTAATTAAAAATAAAAAGTTAAAATTAATTAAAAACTCAACTAAATAAAAATAAAATATTTTTTAAGAACAAATAAATAATCATAAAAGAATATTTTTTAATTTTCAATTGTAAAAATAAAAATTAAAAGAATATTTAAAAAGTAAGGAATCATAAATTAGTCACAATCAATCAAGATAATAAAAAATAAAATTTAAAAAAAACAAATTTAGTTTGTTAGTTAACTTGTTATATAATTCAATAAGTAAAATTTTATAAAACGACTAATCTGTTTAGCTTAATAAATTTAATGTTATTAGAAATTTAAGGCTAAATCTAAATGGTATTAATGTTATTTTTATTTTATTTTAATTGAATGTAAATTTGTTATATATATTCTTCACACATGTTATGAACTCTAATAAAAAACAGACTATTTTTTTCTTTTAAGTTAAAATAATCTTCTTAGGATATAAGTTCATTTAAAGTGCTTTCACATTAAACAAATTGAATTCCTAAGTAATTCAGATTTTTAAATCTTCTGATTAGTTAATAGTAAGCTTTGTTAGAAAATGTACTTAAACATCTAGAATCATCAATAAAGTTTAGTTCTTTTTAGATGGTGTATTTATAGTACTATATATATGTAAACTAAAATAAAGCAGCTTAATCTAAGTTACAATTAAAATTGTAATTATCACATTTTTAGCAATAAATATTTTATTTCATATTCAAGGTATCCATGGTATACACTTTTTATATCTCAGTGAATATTTCATCTAATAAAATTTAATCAATTTAGGCTTGGTTATTAATACAATTCAAATATTAGCCAATTTATTTTTTAATTATTTTTTTTAATATTTATATTTCTTGCTCATTTAAAATATAAGAAAATAAATTTCTACCATCTGAATTTAGATTAATAGACTTTGCTAAATTGTCTTAATTCTAGTTTTAAAATAATGAAATTTGCAAAATTGATTGCGTGCTAAATATAGCCTAATTATTTTACTGACACTTATTATTAGTTTAATTTTAAATATTTAACCCATTAAAATAGCTTTCCTAATTTTATGTATCATTTTGATTGGTTGTTGTGCTTAACAATTGCTAAGAAGGATTATTAAACAAGGATTAATTTTATTAACTACTAAAAATTCCATCAGTTAATGACTTGATAGAGCCTTGATTATCACTATTTGGATTACTTTGATTATTGAATATATTTTCATTGTTAACAGAAATACTAAAAGTTTCTTTATTTAAAGTCTGGATAGAAATTTTATTATCATCGTTTTAATTGCTAAAAACACTACTAGTATTTTAATTGGCTATAGAGCTAAACAGTGACTAAGGAGGATTATTAAATAAAGATTAATTTTATTAACCAATAAAAATTCCATCATTTAATGGAGTGATAGAACTTTATTTATCTCCATTTTAATTGCTAAAAACACTTTAAGTATTTTAATTTGTCATCGAGCTAAATAGTGACTAAGAAGGATTATTAAATGAGGATAAATTTTATTAGCTACTAAAAATTTCATCATTTAATAGCTTGATAGAATTTTGGTTTTCTCCATTTTAATTACTGAATATGATTTTATTTTAATTAGTAATAAAGTTAGATAATAGTTAAGAAGGTTTTTTTTCATTCTATGTTTTGAAAAGTTAAATGTAGTTAATAGGATAATTTGGAAATTTTTTTAAAATAGAATCATCAACAAACTTATCCTCTATATATATTTCTCTCTTTTAATCATATGACTTTTAATTTCTAAATATGATGCTTTCTTTTAGTCTACATCCAGATTTTAAGTCTAAAAATTTGATATCAAGTGAAGATTTTTTTAAAATATCGATGAGCTTAAGAAACTATTCTATTTTAATTTCATCAATTTATAGAGCTTAGCAACTCTATAAAAACATTGGTTTAAAACTAAACCCAATTTCTTTTTCAAATTGGCTATTGAGATTTTTCAGTTGGTCAAAGAATAAATTGAATTTATTGATTTTTTATTCACTAATAAGCCAATCACCTTTTTCTAATGAAAAGAAGTAGTCTAAAACATTTTTTGATATATAATCCTAATTTTTTTAATCAAAATTTAGAGAGCTTTTTCTTATAAACTCAATAGCTTGATGAATAAAATAATCATATTATGTAGTAAAATTATTTTTCTCATTTTTTATACTACTTCTGTTGCTGCTTGGAAATTCCCTAAAATAGTAGCAGCTATCAATTTTGAGTTTTTTTTATTAAGAATCATACTTGTAATTACAATTTATTTTAAGCTTAGCTAAAATAATAAAATTATTTATCATATCTTAAATTTCATCTACTTAAGTGAATTCGCATTAATTTAGCTCACCACAGAGATTTGAATTATTTACCTTTGATAAAATGTAAATACCTTGACTATTTGAAATAATTTCACTATTAATAATTGGATTAATAATTATCTTTGATTCATTACAAATTGAAATAGCTTCTTATATTTATTCATATATTTATCTTGCTTCTTCTTCCTCATCAAACTTATGACATACAAAATTAAAACTATATTTTTTAAGTTTATTTTACTAGCAATAAGCAAAGAAATTATCCTCAAAATATAACTCAAAATAATCTTCAACTGCATTTAATTTATCCAATATATGAGATTTTATTATTTCGAAATTAGACATAACTGCTTTCTATTTACTTTTTTCAATAAAATTCATCATTAAATTTGAATCTTAATTGAACTGTTATTTAGCATTTGAATATTTTTTGTTTGTGGGATTTATATTTATTTTTTATTTATTATTTCTACGCATGGACATATTACTGAATAAAATAGGATTTACTGCATTTAATTTGACTTAAAATTATGAGTTTTCTTATTGTATAAATGCAAATTGTATTTGAAACTAGATTTTAGCTAATTAAAAATTATAATCTTCATCTTCATTTTCACATTAATAATATGACATAAATTATCTGATTAAGTTAACTGAATCAAATACAATTTATTAGTTAGTTTAGGAACTAGAATTTTAAAGATAGAAGTCTTCGTATTCTATGACATAAAATATCTTGTCTTCATCTAAGTAATAAGAATCAAAAACTTTCAGAATAAATGCTGGCCTGAATAAGCGTGAGCAAATATCAGCATATTTTTTTAAATGACCAACGAGCTCTTCAACATAGTCAGTTAAAAAAATTTCTAAGCATTTTTTTATGTTTTGTTTTTTGTCATAAACTTTAATTTAGAGAAGTTCAACTTTTTCATCAGGCAGTTCACTGTTAATTTAGAGTTATCGAATTGAAAACACTTATTCCGTTTAGATTTTAAGATGACCTTTTTTCTCTTATAAATAATCTAATAATAATTTGATATCAGATTTGTGAAAATCTATAGATGTATCTCTAATTTTTTATTCAAATTGTTGTCTCATTTGTGTTTTTTTATGCTTACTTTCTTTCCCTTATTTAATCTTTATTAATTTTTTGATTATTTAATGTTAATTTATAGAGACAGCTAATATCTTTTTTTATATAAGATTTATCAGCATTACGGCGGGAAATTATCTTTTAAATTAATTTGCCAATATAAATATCAATATTACGATTGAAAATAATTTTAGACAACAAATAAAAATATGATAAATTTAATAATCAAGATTAGTGGGAAATTAGTTTATCGGTTAATCTACCCAAATAAAAATCAGATTGAAAATAGTTTGATTCAACTAATAAATAAAAATGTTTAGCACTTCCAGGTATTAAATTCATATGGATGTGGAAAAGTAAGAATTTAAATCCTGGATTTGCTAAACATTAGATTAATTAATTAAATAATTTTATTTTACATTTAATTAAATAATATTTATTTTATGATATTATAAATATGTAATTTCAGACAAAAATTTTTTAATTTTAATTATTTTAAGAAAATATTATTATTTTTTTATAAATTTCTTTTTTTTATTATTTGCAAAAAATAATTTTTTATTGTTATTTTCTGTATTATCTATAACAAAAGCATACTAATTTAATTAAATTTATTGTAATATATATTTTTTTTTGCCCTCTTTCCTAACATAATAAAAGAATAAAAAAATTAAAAGGTTTGATAACAGTATGCATGTGTTACTTAACAATTAATAGTTACGATCAAATTAATAAAAATTAAAAAAAAAAAAAATTTAGTTTATTAGTTAGTTAACTATTTATATAATTATGAATCAATAAGTAAAATTTTATAAAACTACTAATCTTTTTAGCTTTAAAAATTTAATGCGGTTAATAACTTTAGGTTAAATCTAAATAGTATTAATGTTATTTTTATTTTATTTTAATTGAATGTAAATTTATTTTATATATTCTTCACACATGTTATGAACTTTAATAAACCATAGACTCTTTTTCTCTTCTAAGTTAAAATAATCTTTTTATTATTTAATTTCATTTAAAGTGTTTTCACATTAAATAAATTGAATTCCTAAATAATTCAGATTTTTAAATCTTCTCATTAGTTAATAGTAAGCTTTGTTAGAAAAGGTACTTAAACATTTAGAGTCATCAGTAAAATTTAATTCTTTTTAGATGATGTGTTTATAGTACTATATATATGTAAACTAAAATAAAGCTGCTTAATCTAGTTCATGATGAAACTAGTAATTTTCACATTTTTAGCAATAAATAGTATTAAAAAATTTCAAATTCAAAGTATCCATATTATACACTTTTTATATCTCAGTGAATATTTCATTGACTAAAATTTAGTCAATTTGGGTTTGGTTATTAATAAAATTTAAATATTATCCAATTTATTCTTTCATTATTTATTCTAATTCGTATATTTCTTAGTCATTTAGAATATTAGTAAAATTTAAATTTTGAACATGTGAGTTTAGAGTAAACTTTGCTGAATTGTCTTAATTCTAGTTTTAAAATAATGAAATTGGCTAGATTGGTTACTTGCTAAATATAACCTAATTCATTTACTGTGACTAATTAGTAGTTTAATTTTAAGTATTTAATCCATTAAAAAGGCTTACCTAATTTTATTTATTAAATAACATATCATTTTGATTGGTTTTGGGGCAAAACAATCTCTAAGAAGGATTATTAAACAAGGATTCATTTTGTTAACAATTAAAAACTTCATCATTTAATGGCTTGATGGAATTTTGGTTATTACCATTTTGATTACTGAATATACTGCTATTTTGATTGGTAACAGAGCTAAATAAAGGTTAATCAGGATTTTTGTTATTAAAAGATGATAAATTTTTTTAGTCACTAAAAACTCCTTGATTTGAAGGCTGGATGGTACTTTTATTATCCCCATTTTAATTGCTAAAGACGCTATTAGTATTTTAATTTGTAACAGAGCTAAATAGTGACTTAGAAGGATTACTAAATAAAGATTAATTCTATTAACCACTAAAAATTCCATCATTTGATTACTTGATGAAACTCTGGTTATTTCCATTTTGATTACTGAATATACTGCTATTTTGGTTGGTAACAGAGCTAAATAAAGGTTAATCAGAATTTTTGTTATTGATAAACAATGGTACATTTTTTTAATCACTAAAAATGTTTTGATTAAAAGGCTTGATGGAGCTTTTATTATCTTCATTTTAATTGTTAAAAACACTTTTCGTATTTTAATTAATCATGGAGCTAAACATTGGCTAAGAAGGATTATTAAATAAAGATTAATTTTATTAACCACTAAAAATTCCTTGATTTAAAGGTTTTATCAAACTTTGATTATCTCCACTTTGATTACTAAACTTTCTATTATTTTAAATAGTTATGGAGTTAGATAATTGTTAAGGAGATTTTTTTTCATTCTATGTTTTGATTAGTTAAATGTAGTTAATAGGATAATTTGGAAAATTATTTAAAATAGAATCATCAACAAACTTATCCTCTACAAGTATCTTTGTTGGTTTTTTCCCAGGCTTTTGATTTCTAAATATAACGCTTTCTTTTAGTCTACAACCAGATTTTAAGTCGAATAATTTGAGATCAAATGAAGATTATTTTAAAATATCAATGAGCTTCATAAACTATTCTATTTTAATTTCATCTATTTATAGAGCTTATCCACCCTATAAAAACATTGGCTTAAAACTAATGCCATTTTCTTTTTCAAATTAGCTATTGAGGCTTTTTAGTTGGTCAAAGAATAAATTAATTTTATTAATTTTTTATTCACTAGCGAGCTAATCACCTTTTTCTAATGAATAGAAGTAGTCTAGAAGCTTTTTGTAAATAGAATCCTAAATTTTTATATCAAAAGTTACAGAGTTCTGTCTTATAACCACAGCAGCTTGATTAATAAAATTGTCAAATTGTGTCATAAAATTATTATTATCATTTTTTATACTACTTCTGTTGATTGGAAATTCCCTAAAATAGAAGCAGCTATCAATTATGAGTTTTTTTTATTAAAAATCATATTAGATTTAACAGTTTATTTTAAGCTTAGCTAAAAGAATAAAATTATTTAATATATCTTAAATTTCATTTATTTAAGCAAATTTGTATTAATTTAGTTCTATATACTGGTTCAAACTGTCTAATTTTGATAAAATGTAAATACCTTGACTATTTGAAATAATTTAGCTATAAATAACTGGAGTAATTATGGCCTTTGATTCGTTACACATTGAAATAGCTTCTTATATTTTTTGGTATATTTGTCTTGCTTCATCTTCCTTATCAAACCTATGGCATACAATATTAAAACCACATTTTTTAAGTTAATTTTATTAGTAATAAGCAAAGAAGTTTTCCTCAAAATAAAATTCAAAATAATCCTCAACTACGTTTAAATTATCCAATACATGAGATTTGATTATTTCTAAATTAGACATAACTGCTTTCTATTAACTTTTTTCTATAAAACTCATCATTAGATTTTAATCTTAATTGAAGAGTTAAATTTATTATAAAAAACTAAAATCTATTTTATATTAAGAATTTATATTTATTTTTTATTTATCAATTCTACGCAGGCACATTTTACTGAGTAAAATAGGATTTACTGCATTTAATTTGATTTAAAATTTTTAGTTTTCTTACTTTTGATATGCAAATTATATTTCAAACTAGATTTTAGCTAGTTAAAAATTATAATCTTCAACTTAAGAAGTACATTAATTATATGAGATAAATTATCTGATTAATTTAACTGCAGCACATACAATTTATTAGCTATTGTAACAAATAGTACTTTGAAAATCGAAGTCTTCGTATTCTATGATATAAAAAATTTTGTCTTCATCTAAGTAATAAGAATCAAAAACTTTCAGAATAAATGCAGGTCTAAATAAGCGAGAGCATATATCAGCATATTTTTTTAAGTGGCAAACGAGCTCTTCAACTTAATCAGTTAAAAAAATTTCTAAGCACTTTTTTATATTTTGAATTTTATCATAAACTTTAATTTAGAGAAGTTCAACTTTTTCATCAAGTAGTTTATTGTTGATTTAGAGTTATCTAATTGAAAACTCTTATTCAGTTTAGATTTCAAGATGAGCTTTTTTCTATTACAAGCAATCTAACAATAATTTTATATCAGACTTGTGAAAATCTATAGATGTATCTCTAATTTTTTTTTCAAATTGTTATCTCATTTTATTATTCATTCTTTTATTTACTTAACTTTTATTAATTTTTTGATTATTTAATATTAACATTTAAAATAATCTTTTGTCCGTGTGAGAACAAATAAAAATCATATCAATCTGATAAGTCTGTTTGAGAGGGAAATTATTATTTTTATTAATTTATGTAAATAAATATCAATATTATCATTAAAAATAGTGTGTAAAAATTATATAAATCTGATTTGTCAATATTATGGAGTAATAAAAATAAATAATGTATTTTCCTTTAATTTTTCTATTAATAAAAAAATAAAAAGGAAGTATGGCTTTGTTTTTGATAAAAATTATAAAATAATTTTAGATGAGTGAGTGAAATATTATTTTCAAATATATCAATGATATGGAAATTTGATATATAATAAACAGATAATAATTTTAATTATTTTAGATTCAAATTTTATTTTATTTTTGGTATTATATAGTTAATTTTATAAAATTAATTTATGATTAGTTAAATATGCTCTTGAATGGTATCAATGATATCGATATTTGATTTTTATAGAGATCGATTTTATAAAATTAATTTATGATGAGTTAAATATGCTATTGAATGATATCAATGGTATGGATATTAGAGAAAAAAAGAGATAAATTTTATAAAACTAATTTAATGTTAAATATTCTATTGAATGATACCAATGATATAAATATTTGATGTATATAAAGATCAACTTTATAAAATACCTATGAAAAGGTCAAATATCTTATTTAATGAATGGATGTGCTAGTTTACACTTTCCTTTATTCAGTAAATAAATTTTAAAGAGAAGAAAATTAATTAAAAGTTAAAATTAATAAAAATAAAATCTTTTAAAAAATAAATAAAAATATTATATAAAGTTTTTTTGTAAATTTTCAACTATAAAAATAAAATTAAAAGAATATTTAAAAAGTAAGGAGTCATAAATTAGTTATAATCAAGCTAATACGAAAAATAAAATTAAAAAAAATAAATTTAATTTATAAATTTAGTTTTATATAATTAAAAATCAATAAGTAAAATTTTATTAAACAACTAATCTTTTTAGCTTTAAAAATTGATTACGATTAAAAATTTATGGGGTAATCTAAATCGTATTAATACTATTTTTATTTTTTTATAGTTAAATGTAAATAAGATTTAGATATTCTGGAGGCATGTTATGAACTCTAATAAAAAATAGACTCTTTTTCTCTTTTAAGTTAAAATAATCTTCTTACGATTTAAGTTCTTTTAAAGTGCTTTCACATTAAATAAATTGAATTCCTAAATAATTCAGATTTTTAAATCTTCTGATTAGTTAATTGTAAGCTTTATTAGTAAATATATCTAAACATCTAGAGTCATCAGTAAAATTCAACTCTTTTTAGATGACATGTTTATAGTACTATATATGTGTAAACTAAAATAAAGCTGCTTAATCTAGTTCAAAATTAAACTTGTAACATTTTGAGCAATAAATAGTGTTAAATAATTTCAAATTCAAAGATTCCATGGAAAACACTTTTTATATCTCAGTGAATATTTCATTTACTAAATTTTAGTCAATTTGGGTTTAGTTATTATTAATAAAATTCAAATATTAACCAATTTATTCTTTGATTGTTTAGTTTAATAATTATATTTCTTGGTCATTTAGAATATTAGTAAAATTTATATTTTTATCATGTAAGTTTAGATTAACAGAATTTACTGAGTTGCCTTAGCTCTAGTTTTGTTAAACACTAAAAATTCCATCATTTAAAGGTTTGATAGAACTTTAGTTAATTCCATTTTGATTACTTAATATACTACTATTTTTATTGGTAAAAGAGTTAAATAAAGGTAAATCTTGATTTATGTTATTCAACAATGGTAATTTTTTTAAATCACTAAAAATTCCTTGATTTAAAGGCTGGATTGAACTTTTATTATCCAAATTTTAATTGCTAAAAACGCTATTAGTATTTTAATTAGCTATGAAGCTAAATATTGGCTAAGAAGGATAATTAAATAATGACTAATTTTTTTAACCACTAAAAATTCCATCATTTAATTACTTGATTGTACTTTTGTTTTCTCCATTTTGATTACTGAATATACTGCTATTTTGATTGGAAACAGAGCTAAATAAAGATTAATCAGGATTTTTGTTATTGATAAACAATGGTAAATTTTTTTAATCACTAAAAATTCCTTGATTTACAGGCAGGATGGAACTTTTATTATCCCTATTTTAATTGCTAAAAACGTTATTAGTATTTTAATTTGTAACGGAGCTAAATAGTGACTGAAACGGATTATTAAATAAGGATTAATTTTATTAACCACTAAAAATGCCATTATTTAATTACTTGATTGTACTTTTGTTTTCTCCATTTTGATTACTGAATATACTGCTATTTTGACTGGTAACAGAACTAAATAAAGATTAATCAGGATTTTTGTTATTGAACAATGGTAAATTTTTTTAATCACTAAAAATTCCTTGATTTAAAGTCTGGATAGAACTTTTATTATCTCCATTTTAATTGCTAAAAGCACTTTTAGTATTTTAATTATTCATGATAAAAAGTGTCTAAGATGGATTATTAAATAAGGATTCATTTTATTTACCACTAAATATTCCATCATTTGATTACTTGATTGTACTTTTGTTTTCTCCATTTTAATTACTGAATATACTGCTATTTTGATTGGTAACAGAGCTTAATAAAGATTAATCAGGATTTTTGTTATTGAACAATGGTAAATCTTTTAAATTACTAAAGATTCCTTGATTTAAAGGCCGGATAGAACTTTTATTATCTCCATTTTAATTGCTAAAAACACTTTTAGTATTTTAATTAGTCATGGAGCTAAATAGTGGCTAAGAAGGATTATTAAATAAAGATTAATTTTATTAACCACTAAACATTCCTTGATTTAAAGGCTTGATGAAGCTTTGATTATCTCCATTTTCATTACTAAATGTGCTATTATTTTAAATATTTATGGAGTTAGATAATAGTTAGCAATACTTATTTTCATTCTATGTTTTGATTAGTTAAATGTAGTTAATAGGATAATTTGGAAAATTCTTTAAAATAGAATCATCAACAAACATATCCTCTATAAGTATCTTTGTTGGTTTTTTCAGAGGCTTTTAATTTCTAAATATAAAGCTTTCCATTAGTCTACAGCAAGATTTTAAGTCAAATAATTTGATATCAAATGAAGATTATTTTAAAACATCAATGAGCTTCATAAACTATTCTATTTTAATTTCATCTATTTATAGAGCTTATCCACTCTATAAAAACATTGGCTTAAAACTAATTCCATTTTCTTTTTTAAATTAGCAATTAAGGCTTTTTAATTGGTCAAAGAATAAATTAATTTTATTAATTTTTTATTCACTAGCAAGCCAATCACCTTTTTCTAATGAATAGAAGTAGTCTAGAAGCTTTTTTTAAATAGAATCCTAAATTTTTATATCAAAAGTAACAACGTTTTGCCGAATAACATCAGCAGCTTGATTAATTAAATTTCCATATTGTGAAGTAAAATTATTTTTATCCTTTTTTATACTACTTCTGTTGATTGGAAATTCCCTAAAATAGAAACAGCTATCGATTGTTAATTTTTTTTATTAAAAATCATAGTAGATTTAACAGTTTATTTTAAGCTTAGCTAAAAGAATAAAATTATTTAATATATCTTAAATTTCATCTATTTAAGCAAAGTTGCAATTATTTAGCTTTCTGTACTGGTTCAAATTGTTTAATTTTGATAAAATGTAAAAACCTTGACTATTTGAAATAATTTAGCTATTTATAACTGGAGTAATTAATGTCTTTGATTAGTTACATATTGAAATAGCTTCTTATACTTTTTGGTATATTTGTCTTGCTTCATCTTCCTTATCAAACTTATGGCATACAATATTAAAACCACATTTTTTAAGTTTATTTTATTAGAAATAAGCAAAAAAATTATCCTCAAAATAAAATTCAAAATAATCCTCAACTACGTTTAAATTATCGAAAACATGAGATTTAATTATTTCTAAATTAGACATAACTGCTTTCTATTAACTTTTTTCTATTAAACTCATCATTAAATTTTAATCTTAATTGAAGAGTTAAATTTATTATTTTAAACTATATTCTAATTTATATTAAGGATTTTTATTTATTTTTTATTTATCATTTCTACGCATGCTCACTTTATTGAATAAAATAGGATTTACTACATTTAATTTGGTTTAAAATTACTAGTTTTCTTACTTTTAATATACAATTTAGATTTAAGCTAATTAAAAATTATAATCTCCAACTTAAGAAATACATTAATTATATGAGATAAATTATTTGATGAATTTAACTGCATCACATAATATTGATAAGTTAGACCAGCAAAAATCGCTAAAATCGAAGTCTTCATATTCTATGACATAAAATATTTTGTCTTCATCTAAGTAATAAGAATCAAACACTTTAAGAATAAAATTCGGACTAAATAAGCGTGAGAATATATCAGCATATTTTTTTAATTGGTCAACAAGCTCTTCAACATAATCAGTTAAAAAAATTTCTAAGCATTTTTTTATGTTTTGTATTTTGTCATAAACTTTAATTTATAGAAGTTCTACTATTTCATTAGGCAGCTCATTGTTAATTTAGAGTTATCTAATTGAAAACTCTTTTTCAGTTTAGATTTCAAGATGAGCTTTTTTCTATTACAAAAAATCTAACAATAATTTTATATCAGACTTGCGAAAATCTATTGATGTTTCTCTAATCTTTTTTTCTAATTGTTATCTCATTATGTTATTCTTTCTTTTATTTACTTAATTTTTATTAACTTTTTGATTATTTAATTCTAATTTTTAAAATAATATTTTGTCTGTGAGAACAAATAAAAATCATATCAATCTGATAAGTTTGTTAGAGCGGGAAATTATTTTGTCTTTTTATTTTTATAAATAAATATCAATATTACCATTAAAAATAGTGCGAGAGAACAAATAAAAATTATATAAATCTGGTTAGTAAATTTTTTTTTGGGGAATATTAGTTTATAAAGATATTAATTTACCTAAATAAAAATTCTGCTTATTGTAAAATCATCTTCTTAACTTTATTTATTTATTTCTGAATTTTATATTCATTTATATAAACTTTTATTAGCTTGTTGATAGCTTAATTCAAATTTATTCTTAAATCCCTCACATTTTTTACAATCCCAGTAATTTTATGTATAATGAATAATAAATTAATAAATAAATAATGTGTTAAAAATACTCAGGGATTTTTCTTTTAATAAAAAAATAAAAGGGAGCTTGACTTTTTTTTTGATTGATCAAAATGAAAAATTAAGAGGTATAATAATTAATAGAATTTACAAAGAATAAATAATTTTATCATTCCTCCCCTTTACTTACATAGTTAAGGTATCATCATAATATTCAAGTAAATTACACTCTAAATACATTAAAATTATTTTAATTTAAAATAAATACTTTATAAAATACAAAAAAACCTTCATTCATTATATAATACTCTTATCTTAAATTAAATTTATATAAAAATAATTTTAAGTATATTACTTGTTATGTCTAAGTGTATAAATATAAATAATTTATTAAATTTTTCTGATATCATATTTGAAACCAGCAATTAAACTTATTGAAAAAAATGCTTCTCAATTATAAAAAAACTATTTTTTAATCATTACTTTCGCCATTTATTTTCTTAGATAAAAGCAATAAATAAATTTTTAACAATAATTAAATAAATAAATAAATATTTTTATTAATTTAACTTGAAAGTTAATACAAAAGTGAATTTTATTAATTTTGTTAATTAACTTTAAATACTATTTTTTGTACTCATTTAATCATATAAAATTAATAATTTAAAATTTAAGAAGAAAATATTTATGGGATTTATTAGCATTTATTTTCAATTAAAATATTTATGTTAGTTCTTAGCTTTTGTTTTATATAAATTTTAACTCTTTTATTTATTAATTGTTTCTAAAAAAAGTATCAACTTTGATTTTCAAATAGAATAGAAATTTAAAAAAATAATTGATTATCAAACACTAAAAAATATAGCCAAAAATAATATCTACTTATTTTGAATATTTATTAAGCTTATTTATATTTTCATGCTTTTATATTCCTTTTATTTCTCACAAAAAAGTATAGTTTAAAAGCATTTTTTTACTTTTCTTCAGTCTGTTTATTTTGAAAATAAAAATACAAAATTAAATAAAAAAACTAATTATAAAAATTTTATTAAGAAAAAAATTCCTTATTGTTAATTAAAATTTGAATTAAGTGTAAATTAATCAATAAAAATGAAAAATATCAAGTTATCAATAACTTTTACATTTCAAATAAATATTCTTTTATATTATTTTTTAAATTTGTAATATAAATCCATATAATTATATTGATTCTAAAAATTATATTTAAAATTATAGTTAACCTCGAGAATTGCGAACAAAACAAAATTTTTGCTTTGAAAAAAACAATTTTCAGTAAATTGTGAAAAACAAATAATAGATAGCACGTAGATTATCGCAGTTTAAAATGTTCGCAGACTATAAAATAAATCCACAATTACATATTAAATTGGAATAATATGTCAATTAATCATAAAAATCTTAATTGTAAATATTATTTGAGTAGATTTATTCAAATTTTATATGAACTATTACTAAATAGTAATAATTTATTTAGTTAAATCTAAAAATATTAAAATTTATTGATAAATAAATATGAGTAAGCTGTAAATAAGAATAAGATAGAATTTTAAATGATCTTTCTTTAATCAATAAATAATTAAATTTACTTTACAAAACACATTGATTGTATTTATTTTTCAATTATTTTCAAAAGTAAGTAATATTTAGTATTCATTTTATAGAAATTTACAACTCTCTTAATTACCAGATTTAGTAAATAAATTTAATAGAACATTCTTTTTCTAAATAGAAAGTTTAATATCTAATAGCTTATCTTCCCTATTATTCACTCATAATTGATCATTTTATTTTACATTAAGTAAATATCTCATTCAATATATATTTTTTTTAATTTGTAAAAATCTAATATTTCTTTGAATTTTACCATAGTTTATTAGTATTAAACAGTTTAAGTCATGAGCCTTCTTACAATTAGATCTTATTTTTACAACAAATAAAGAATGCTCAAGAGTTTTCTGATGAAACTTAATATTTTACAAAATTAGTGAAAGATTTTTCACAATACCTCTCTCATAATTCTATTAAATAATGTTAGATAAATTAAATTTGTATATCCACAATGTTTGTATGAAAAAGTGTTGGAGGTAATTAATTAATCAATTTAATTATTAATATTAGTAAACAAATAAATATTACTAAAAACTCTTTAAAAAGTTTTTCAAATCTAGCTCTCTCAAGTTAAGCTCTATTTTAATAAATCAAGACATAAAAGTTAAGTAAATTTAAAATGGCTATGGGTCCTATGCACATGTATGTCTACTTTGATGAGACTTGTGCTTTCGTATTTAAACAGTAAATTAATAACTTGATTGATTTGTTCTTTAAGTCAATCATTGAATTTTTCAATGTATCTTACGTTTATATTTACAAAAAAATATAAAGATTTAAGACTGTTGTTGGTGATTATGGATATTTTGTTTTAGGATGTTTCTGCTGCTTACTCTACGGTATTTTCCATATGCTAATTCCATTCTTGAAGGATCTCTACTTAAAGAAAAAACTTAAAAAGTAATATACAATTCCATTATTTTTTAGATCTTTATCAAAACCTTTTACAATCGAAATCTCTACTAACAAGAAGAATACTCTTTATAACTAAATATAAATATAAATCTTTAAATTGTTTTTTATTAATTATTAATAGCTCAAACCAAAAGTACTCTCGTTGTCCCATCGATGTTAAGATTATTCTTACTATTTATTATTTTGCATACACTTTATCAAATTTTATGCTTATGATGATAATGATGACTATGAATGGATGGGTTTTAATAGCTACAGCTTTAGGTTTAACCATTGGTTATTTCATATTTACTTTTGACAAAACTTTATATGAATTAAAAGGAAATCACGAACTTTGCCATTCTTGAATCATAAAAATTAGCTAAAAGGTTTATTATTAGTTGTAATTTTATTAAAACCATTATTTTGTTTATTTATGTTATTTAGCTTATGTTAGAAATTTAGGTATTAAAATTAATTGAAAAAGCTTTATATTTTTAATATAAATTTTTCTCTCTATTTCCAAATAAAATAATTGGAAAATAAATCTATTATGTTAATTACTTTTTCAATTCTGGATAAAAAAGGTTGAGCAGATAAATGTATGTAAACCACATATTATGGTTTCAAATTTTTGAGATATCTAGCCTAAAATATTTATAAACAACATCAAAAAGACTTTTAAAATAAGTATTTGCTTACTTCAAGTTAAAATTTATTAATAAAGAAGAAGTACTAAAGTAAAATAAACATCAAAGCATTTAAATATTTAAAAAGAAGAAAAGTAATTTAGAAAAATCATCACTTTATTTTAAATTATTTTCTTTTTAATTTCTTAAAATTACATATTTGATTTGTCATTTTAAATGATTTTCAAAGTTAATTTTATATTCAAAAAATATATATTAATTAATTTTTGAATTATGGATAAAAAAAGTTGAGCAGATAAATATATGTATTTCAAATTTATTTTTGAGATATTTTGCTTAAAATATTTAATAAACAACTTTAAACAGACTTTTAAAATAAGTATTTGCTTACTTCATGTTAAAATTATTAACAAAGAAGAAATACTAAAGTAAAATAAACATCAAAGCATTTAAATATTTAAAAAGAAGAAAAGTAAATTAGAAAAATCATCACTTTTTTTAAAATTATTTTCTTTTTTATGACTTAAAATTACAAATTTGATTAGTTATTTTTAATGATTTTCTAAAGTAAATTTCATTTTCAAAAAAAATATGTTAATTACTTTTTGAATTCTGGATAAAAAAGGTTGAGCAGATAAATGCATGTAAACCATATATTATGGTTTCAAATTTTTAAGATATCTTGCTTAAAATATTTAATTAACAACTTCACAAAGACTTTTAAAATAAGTATTTGCTTACTTCAAGTTAAAAGTTATTAATAAAAAAAGAAATACTTAAATAAAATAAACATCAAAGCATTTAAATATTAAAAGTAAATTAGAAAAATCATCAATTTATTTAAAATTATTTTCTTTTTTGTGACTTAAAATTACAAATTTGATTAGTTATTTTTAATGATTTTCTAAAGTAAATTTTATATTCCAAAAAATGTTTAAAAATAAATAGAATCCTTATATAAAAATTTTATTTTAATAAAATTATTTTATGGGGTATGGGTAAAAATTCTTTTTGCTGAGAATCCACTCATTTTATTTGTAATTAAATAGGAAAAATTTTTAAAATATAATTTTGCTAAAATAATTTTAACTAAAAGAAATCTTAAACTTTCAAAGTTATTATTTTTAATTGCTACACTTAAAATATTTAAAATGATAATTATAAATTTAAGTAAATAATATAATAGAATATGATTTTAAAATTCAGTTGAATTGAATTGAGTTAAACTGGTTGTTTTGAATAAGAAAAGTTGAAATTTATAAATGCATACATACATATGTACATATATAGTGGGATTTCAAAAAGCAAACAACTAATATGTTTAATATATTTAAATATTTATTAAAAAATAACTTAAATTAGATATATTCCATATACCAATTATATCAATTATTACTCTAAGAGAGATAGCTCTAACTAAAGTTAATAAAAATCAAGATAGGTTTTAATAGAGTGTTAACAAGCTGAAAATCAAAAATAAAGATTAGATTAATTTAAATAAGATATTGAAATATGAACCATTCTTCATCTGGATAAGATGCAGGGCATTAGCAGCCTGAAAGACTTGTCAGATTTGGCTCTCTCATTCATCTCAATTTAGAAGATAGTTTTTAATATTATATGTATGGGGAAGGCTTTATGAATTAAAGTGTAGAAATGAAAAAATTTGATTTACAAGGAGAAGCAAATAAGGATGATGATTTTTCATATTGTTTATTTATGATTCTCCCTTTTTAAGACTTGAACTCATTTAAGCAATAGCAATTTTTATTAGAATTCTTTACTGAAGGGGCTAAGGAATTAAAAAGTAACTTGCATTAAAAATACTATTTTAACCAAAAATTTATCAAAAGCATATAGAAAATGGTTTTAAATTCGCGATTAGAAGAATAAAATGGGTTTTTAAATGTTAAAAGATGTTATTAAATGAATCTTATTTTAATTTTGTGCACAGCTTGCTAAATTATTAAAAAAATTGTTTTAAAGAATTAGGTCAAGAGGAAAAATTAGATGAGAGAAGGAATAGAATCAGCGATTTTAAAAATAGAATTGAAAGCGAATTTTTGTATAACATAAACACTATGGAGCGTTAATGTGGATAGAAAATTCTGCTTATTAACTCAAATTTTATGCTTTTGCATTTAAATACAATGAAATATGTCTGTTTAAACAAAGAAAACTCTGAAAACCTTTAGTAAACCCTTTATTATATTATAAAAATTTTAGTAGCAGCTATTTATCAAAAAAAGGATAGTTGAGTTAATTATAAATATACTTAAAATATAATTAGCATGTTGCAATTTAAAAACGTAATATAAAATAAAATAAACCTTTCAATGATTTATTTCGATCTTCAGCTTTGAAAAATGTATAATTAGCCTTAAAACCATTATTCTGTGCAATTCTACATTTATTATTCTCCTCAAATGTAGTGAATAAAGCTAGATATTTTTAATTTTTTAATTGAATTTCAAGATAATTTTGTTGTAGCTTTGAATCACTTAAAGAATGCAACTGTTGATAATAAATAGCTTTTAAATATTCTTGTTTTGAATTAAATAGCAAAATTATTTTGTTTTAGTTTTAAATCACTTAAAGAATGCAACTGTTGATAATAAATAGCCTTTTAAATTATTGAGAATCGAAATATTCGTTATCAATTTTCTATAAAATTACTTTTAATCTATATTCAAAGCATTATCATAAAATAATAAAAAAATATTTACTTCATTTTAGATTAAATTGTATTCAATATTTTATTTTAAAATTTTAAAAGTGTAGAGCTAGTAGAATATCCAAACAGCTTTTGTTTCTTCAAATTTATGCCTTCTTTAAGATTATAAACTATGAGAAATGACAACTTTGTTTACGAAAATGAGCTAATGCATATTTGTTGTTCTGAAATGATAGATGGCAAAAGACCTTATTTAATTGCAGATGTAATTCATCAGTAATAAAATAATAAAAATTAAAAGTAAAATTAAGTAGCTCAAACTCATTTAGTTTATGCAAGTATTGATAGTGCTAAATCTTGGAAGTAAATTATTATTATTACTTGAAGTTATTATATTAATTGATATTATTATCAAATCTTTTAGATTAAACTTATACCAAGAACCTACCTCAACTTCTTAAGTGGAGTCTATTGAGGAAAAAAATTATTTAAGAGCTGGTGATATTGTTTGGATTATTCAAACAGAAAAAAAAGTAAATTTTCACTATTAAATATTTTAGAATTTAAAATTTATTTAATTTAAAGCTTTTCGTAAGTTCACAAAGATAAAGTGATCCTTTTGTAGAAATTTTAAATAATTAAAAAAATCGTCATGGAATTGCTATGCTGGAAGAAGATCAAGTGAAACTCATCAAAAATTAGCTTTTAGAAAGTTTTAAGACAGAATTCAAAAACATTGAAAATATTTTTGAAGATTCTGAATAAATACAAAAACAAAACCTAAGTACAAACGGTTTGTATAGGATAGAACCAGAAAATGTTTTCGTAGGAGGACCTTTATAATGGGGAAATAAATATAGAATTAGGCATTTAATTTCTGGAAAGTACTTAAGCTGCTACAAATAGAAAAAATCAAGTTATTCTTCAGATGTAAAAAATATTTGAAAGAATTTTTCTGTTTAGTTATTTATTTATTTATTTACCTATTTAAAAGAAAGCAAGATATTAGCTTAAGCTGACTAAGCAAAGAGATGATTCGACTTTATTTAAATTTATACCTATTGAGAATCTCATGTTCAAGTTCTAATCAAAATAAAATATTCAAAAAGACTCTTATTTTAGAATATAGCATCTTTGTAATGATGAAATTGTGTGGCTTTCAGTAAAAGAAGAAGAATAAGACGATAACAATTAAAGTGGAGCTATTGCTGAAAAGTAATTTTTTTTCTTTAATTTACATTTTTATTTCATTCAATTATTTTAAAAATTAGTCTTGCAATATTTGAAGCGAAAATGAAAGAAGTGAACACTTTCAAATTTAGAAAATCAAACTAACAAGATATTTGGGAAACTAATTTTCTTTAATCATCTATTCCATTGATTTTAAGCATAGCATAAAACATAGTTGATATAAGTGAGCAAGAAAATTTCAAAAATCAAATGTTTAAATTAAGTTAATTTGACTTCTTCTACCCTAAGGTTATTGATACTATTAAAAGCATCGAGAATTTTATCACTAATAAAATTATCTCAAATATATCAATGTAGCATGAATACAACTACCCTTCTCAAGATAGATAAAATGTATGTTTAATCATAATTAACATTTATTAAATTCATTTAATATTTGTTTAAATATTGGTTTTTCTTATAAAACTTTTCTTAAAAAATTCATAAAAATTTTTTATTTTGCTAACAAATTTTATGAAACTAATTTCGTTTTAAAATATTTGATAAGAAATTTTGTGAGCAAATGCTTTTGGGTTTATTCTGCTGGTTCTTGGCAAAAGTATTCCCGAAGCCTGAAGAATTTTCAGAGTTTAATGTTAAGCCAGGAGATGAATTTTTGAAAGATGACTCTGATCCAGTTAAAAATGGATTAGTTACTAAACAGTTTAAGGGCAGAGAAAAATTCTACAGGCAATGTGTACAACATTTGAAGAATAAATACATTCTATCATATTAAATTTATAGCCTTATAAAGTTTGCTTGCTACAGAAACTAAAACAATTAACTCTACTTTTTTAAATTTTAAAATGATTTTGTTGAGCATATTGGATATGGAGACTTCGTTAAGGAAGCATTTGAATTTTGCTTTGAAGGAAATTTCTAAATTTTGCATTCTCTTCATTAAATTTAATTCACAAAAAGGTCTTCTAATCAAAACTAAAACGCATTTTAAAAAGTAAATTTTAACATTTTTCATATGAAAATAATGTTTACTGTTTTTTATAGAAAAGCAAATCAAAGAACTTCTTTTAATACCTTGTCAAAAAGCTTAAAAAAATGGAACCTTATACTAAAAATGATATTTTAAGTTTGCTAGCCAGCTTTTGCATGTTTTACCACAACTCTATTTACATCAACTAAGAAAAGATATTTTCTAGTTTTATAGATAATAGATAAATTATTTTTAATACTCTCCTCAAAATTCGTGAAGAAATAGTAGATTAGCCAAAAGACATTAATCTTAGAAAGGAAGATGATAGTACAGGTGTCAAGTTTTTCCAAAAAAAGAAGAATTTCTTTATTGAAGTACAATCAATATATTTTATTCCAAAATTATGATATTTAAAGATTTTTTTTACTAGATAAAAAGAAGATAATAGAAATCACTTGAATATGATATTGTCACTCTTAATCTCACTGACTTTGATAAAAAGTCCATTTAGAAAAATCGTCAGATTGGAAATTATTTTTTATGCTAAATTGAATTGTACTCAAACATGTGCGCTAATAGAAATTTTACCAGTGGTAAAGCATTTAGCGATATTTTTCCTTAGAATACTCTAATGGAGTTCATTTAGAATGATAATGTATGATAAATTTAATTGCTTTTTAACTTTTTGTAATTCTTTTTAATATATTAATTAATCAGCATAGTATTGAGCTAAGAGCTAGAATGTGCAAACTCTAAAGAAATTTATATATAGATAAAGAGCCTAGGCTGATTATTCAAAAACCAAATCTTGTTCGTATTTTTATTAGCTAAGATGATAGATTAAACGATAGAGAAATTTGCCCATTTATTTTCGATCCAGTTATCTTAAAAATGATTCGTTAACCTAAATTGAAGAAGAAGAAAGAAAATTTAGTTTATTTGTAGCACATGAAAAATAAGTTTGAAAGATATTTGAAGAAGCAAGAAGAAGCAGAAATTTACATTTAATTTATAAAAAATAATGCAAAAGAAGATATTGAATTCATTCGCAAAAATTAAATATTTATAAGAAGGGAACTCAAGAAATGCTTTCAAGCAATTATGAAATTGGAAAACATGAAAATAGATGAAAAGAACTATCCAGATTATTACAAAGATAAAGAATATACCAAATAAAAAGAATAACCATTTACTCAAACATCTAATTAAGCTATTTATGATACTGTTTTTAATAATTTAACATATGAAGTTATTAAGAATTTTCATTTAATGTTAAAGTATGGATTTTTTACCAAGTTTGCACAATTTTCTTAAGATAAAGATGAGAATAAAGTTCCTATTAAAATTTTCAAAGATATAGTCAGTTATCTTTCCTTTATATTGGAGTTTGAAATAGATTACACTTCAGAACTCATAAAAAATGGAGCCTCTCAAGTATAAAGCGATGGCGTTGGTATTTTGAAAAGAAGTAAATTTATTTTTCTCAAGCTCTTTTTGCCTGCTTTTTTTTTTTCATAAAATCAATCAATAATTAATTTATAAGTTTGATAATATTTAAAAGAATAAAATAAGATAAATTTATTTAAAAAAACAAAAATATTTTAGAATATATCAGCAATATTGAAAAATAAATTGAAGAGTAAAAGGAGGGTATTTCTCTTTTATCAGTGAAAAATATAGGAGGAGAAGGATTGAAGTTATTTACTGATCTTACCAAAGTTTTACCAATCAAAATCAATGAAGAGGAAGAGGAAGAAGAAGATGGAGGTGTCAAAGGATCTAGTTTTGAGAAAGAAAACCAAAGCTAATTAAACTTCTTAAATACTTATCAAAGCTTACAAAAGTTGCTTACAAAATTTACAGATAAGACTTACTAAATGAAAAGTAATACAAAACTTTGCAAGAAAATAATTTAACATCTCTTTAACTAACAATTGAATTATTTAAATAGATATGGAAATTAAAATCAACAAGGATCTAGAGACTCTAATAAAAATCGAAATCTGCGAAATATTTGAGTATTTGATGGATTGGAGAGAGGACTTCTATATTCAAAATGCTATGAATTACTTCACTGATGTCTTTTATGAGAACAACAAAGCAGATAATAACTATCAACGCAATTAAGATTTAGAAAAAGAACTATCCTAGCTATTCCCAGAGAATATGTTTGCAGTTGGTTAGCCAGTTTTAAAAAAGAAGAGGAAATTCAAAAAACTAAAACCTAAGAAGGGATAGATTTACGATCCTAACCTTTATAGTGAATAAGTGAATTAAAATTTACATTTTTATCTTTTATATTTTTATGTTTTATGAAGATTATAAATTAAAATTTAATTATAACAGGTAGGAAATATTGATGATATAATCAGAAGACCGTTTTCTGAATCTTTAATGATTGGGTTTTACTTTTCTGAGGATCCAGACTTATAGAATAAATTTGCAAATTTAATTTACAGGTGCTTCACACAAAAGAAGAAGTTGATTGAGAATATTTTTAAAATAAATTTAGTGAATAGTGGAAGCAGTGATCGTTCTTATTAGTAAATGAGTAAGCTAATTAGTAGATTAAAAGCACTTATAAGTTATTCATAAAGTTGGCTCCAAATTATCGAACAAGATACTTACAATGAAAAGGCTGAAGAAAATTTAGAGATTACTTTAAATAAACTCACAAAGCTATATGAATAATTTAATGAAGGTAAGTCAGAAGACTTAGAAATTAAATAAAAAATTTTTAAGCATTTAGAAGGCCATAAAGTTCTCCTTAAGTTTTTAGAATAAGGTACCAGTGTGCTCTAAACTAACTCTCATTACTTTACAGTTTAGAATTAAGAAATACAAAAATACTCATACAAAAAGGTGTTCATGTACAGCGTTATTAATGGTAATTTGTTTTGATAATCTTCTTAAATCAAATAATTTTTATTAAATATAAAAAGTATTTAAAACCTGTCACAAAATTTTGTCAATATTTTGTTTTAAAAATCAAAAAATTCAAAAAACACTGTTCAAACATTATCACAAGCTTTTATTTAATCAATCATATTTGAATATTGGTCAGATGGAGTTTATTTGTGAAATTTTTAGAGGTAATAGAGATCTCTCTTTAGCAAATAACACCAAATATATCGATTATACTATAAATCTAATTAAAATACATGGTATGCAGCCAGAGTTTCTAGAATTATTTTGGATTCTTATGTAAAACTAAACTTCTGACAGTTATGAAATCCAAAAGAGAATAATTTAAACTTTGCTAGACTCAAAAGTTGTTAATATTGTTAATGTAAAATTCCTTTTAAAAAAAGCTATTCTAAGATTTATTTTTTCTTTAACAAGCCTTTTAAAGCAGATAATTTAATTGAACAAAAAAGAGCAACTATGCAATACTTAGAATTAATGCAATCTAAATAAAAAATTGAAGAATCTAAGCCTTAATCTATGCTTGATATGAATGAAAATATTTTAGATATAAGAAAGACCTAAAAGCTACTGATTGTAGGATTTGATTAAACGAAAAATATCGAATTAAAAACTTAAACAGAAGAAGCTAATGAAGCTAATGAGGAACAACTCATATTAGAAACAGAAAACAGTGAAGTCTAATAAGATTTAAAGAATAACTTTGACATAAATTTAACAATAAAATTCTATGAGCAATGTTAAACATAAAATCCAGATGTATTAGAAAAGAGATTAAGAGAATATAAATTAAAACTTATTCAGATCATCTCAATAGGATTTACAACTTCCGAAATCGGTGTAAATTTTATTTATAGATCTTTCTTGCATATAAGAGTTCCTAGTTTGTTCTAACTACTGCTTGAGGAAATGAAAATTAAGCAAAATAAGAACATAAATGATAAAAATGCAAATAAATAACAAGTGTATAGCAGGAAATAATACATAACTGATCTTCTTTTGACTTATTTCTATAAGCTAGATTAAAGCATTGCATAATTTTAATAGAGTTCTTAAGTAAACAAAAATTTGACACTTACATATCAATTAACTTATTTAAAAAATATAAATAGATCTTCATATAGTGTGTTGAGATCGAAATTTAAAATATAAGGAATAAATACAATTATTCTTAAGAAGAAAAATAATTTATGATAGATAATTTTTTACCTCTAATCAATGAGTACAATGACAATTTCCTTAAAGATTCAGTGTAGCATATTTTAACTTATTTAAATTTCTATTAATTAAATTTAAATTTTATAGGCTTCTTGCTATTTAGTAAAAGGAGAATAGTATTGAGTCTCATAACTAAAAAGTCATATATAGCTTTGCTTAAAATTTTCTTCATGAAATTTACAGATTTGTTGACTTTTCTTAGTATAAAAAATTGGATAATAGAACTACTTAAAAGCTTAAAAATATAGCTATCTTATCAAACAATTTTAGAATTAATTTCAATCCCCCAGAAATTCTACAAGTAAACTTTTATAGCTTATTAATACGAATATAATTTTTATCAAACATTTAATTTTAGCAACTGATTAATATTATGGCTGTAGAAAATCAAGAGGTAGGAGGGTAGTACAAAGATCACACTTGCTTAAATAAATATAACTAACCAACTAGAAAGCATAATAGTATGATTTCATAATAATTTTTTGCTAGTTATTAAAACAAAATCTTATCAATAAAAAATAGGCGAACTTTTCCATAAGTTTAAAAATTGTGTGAATGCGATCATGTTCTTGAAAAAAGCAGAACATGAAGCTATTCAAAATGGCAATAAAGCTGTGCATTTTGATTAGCTTAAAAAATTAGAAAGGGAGTCAAGATATTTGAAACTTTGGAACACTTTCAAAAATCTTTTAAAAGATACAAAGTAAATGATTTATTATTTTATTTATATCCTAACTCAATTAATAAAAATTATTTACCATTAATCAAAATTAATCAACAAGATCAATAAAAGAAATGGTAAAAGAAGAGCAAAGATTATTTAAAGATTCAATTATGAACTTTGAAAATTTCATTGACAATAAAAAAGATGCTATTGAAGATCTGCTTATTTCAAAAGAGGATATTATTAAAAAATTACTAAATTTCATTAACTTTTGGAAAGAAATGGGTTCATCAAAAGGTAGTGTGATATTTATCATCAAGACTCTTAGGCATATTATTGAGAGAAGTGACACACCCAATTCAAAAGAACCATAATTATAAAATATAGAAGATGATAATGCAGCTAAAGAAAAAAGATAAAATGTTATGGATGCCTTGAACACTTCTATAGTATGTTCTAGTCTCCTTACTCGAGAGAGCTAAAAAGATAAAGTATACTTATATTATTTATTTAGACTACTAATTAGTTTATTAGACGGAGGTAAGTTATTTTTATAATTATGAAAATTATAAATTAATTAATATTAATAACAGGAAATAAGTAGGTACAAAATACTCTCTATGAATTTTTTATTAGTAATTCTTAGAGTGAATATTTGTTCCAAAGGATTAATAATATAATTGAAGATGAGATTAAAATCATTAAAAAGCTTGAAGGAAAAAAGACTTCATTTGGTTTAGTAAATTAATTTTTATTCTTCTAACTTTCATTTTATAAATATTTTTTAAAAAAAGGACTAAGCATCAAGCAAACATCTTATTGAAAATGTCCTTTAATTGATATAATTGCTTTGTGAAGGACATAATAACAAAATGTAAAGCTATTTAAGGAATTAATTTAATTCTAAAGTAAGCTACAACTTAGTTGAAAGAATTATTGAATTGCTAATATCAATCAAAATCTCTAATGAAACTTATGTAGCTGTTAAACAATGCTTTGATACTCTAACTGAGCTGGTACAAGGACCTTGCAAATAAAACTAAACTGAGATTATTTAATCAAAATTTTTAGAGTATGCTGTTGATATTTTAAGAGAAGAAGAATCAGTGTATGTTACTACTCAAGTATTTGAAAAAACAGAGGAATAAAATAATTAGAAAGATGCTAAAAAAGGCCCATCAAAACCGACAAAAGTTTCAACCAAAAAAATGATCGAGCAATAAGAAAGTTAATCGCTAGCTTATCTCGCTTAAGTAGTACAAAATAAATAATAACCAACTCATATTTTGGTAAAAAAGAAGCAAGCCCATAAAGGCTATATATCAAGGATTAAACATAAATGTTTAATCACAATCTTAAGTCTTCTTGAACTTAATGAAAATGATATTTCAACTTTTAATAGAATAAGAAGAGCTATACCATTACAAGTACTTATTAATATTATAGTTGATGTTTTTACAAAATTTAAAGGAATTTATAAAGGTGAGTATTACCGCGAGTGCTTTAATTAAGTAAATATTTATTTTTATTCTAATTTTTATGAATTTTTACATTTAAATGTTTGATTAAAAATTTTTTTTTTTATTAAATTTTAATTTTGTAAGTTAAAACAAATACATTAACATGTCTTAATAATTATAAAATATTATCAAAAAATAGTAAGACTTGGATAAATTAATAAATATTAGCAAAATTGAAGATGAAAACAAGTATGAATTAGTTATTGAATTAGGATTTAATGCATTCATTTTAGTAAATATATTCCTATCAAAAATACCAAAAAATTAAATGGATCAAGAATAACTCGATACCTATTAAATGATTTAAGAGCTTCTTACTGTTTAAGAAGATGATGAAGAAGAAAACACTTTGTTTACTCGTTTAAAAGAATTACAAAATATAGCAACTACTATTGCAGGAGCTGGTCTTAATATTGTAAAATAAGTAGGTTAAACAGCTGTTAACCTCGGTGGAAACAATGAAAAATTTGAAGAAGAATAAGAATAACTTTAATTAGACTTTTAGTAGAAAAAAAATGAAGCTATAAAATTCTTTACAGAGAAAACAATTACAATTGAATTATAGAGAGATAATCATTTATGTAAAATTTACTTTCCAAGAATGCCTTTCTTTTCATTGCCAAAAGAATACAAAGTAATTTTAATAAATTTATCTAATAATAAATTATTTATTTATTTACGTATCACTTTTCATAAATCTTATAGCTTTATTTCCATGAAGATGTTGACTATAATAGCGATAAAGGTAAATTAAGGACGTTGATAGAAAGCTCTAAGGAATTGATTCATGTAATTATATTATTTGAATACAAAAACTTTATGATAAAAATATTTTTATTATTAGGTTATGAATCACGAGGAGGACTGTAGAGAGTTCTTTAGGAGATACAGAATTATCGGATTTATAGCAGATCACAAAACGCTATGGGAAGACTTGGCATTCTGTTGTAACTGCTTGCTGAATGCAACAATTATAGCCTCATATGGTGTATATGATTATAAATAACTTCAGATATAATTTGAATGCTTAAACGGAGTTTGTGATTACAAAAGCGAACTTTATAATGCAAGAATGCATGAACCTAGAATGTTTGGTTATGATAGTAATACTTGGACAAATACATTTTTAAAATTGCTAGGAATTATAAATCTTGTTTTTAGTTCTTTAATTTTCTTCTTTTTCTTCATTAAAAGAGCACCAATATTGCTAAAAAGCATGTGGCTGGTAACTAACTGATTATTCAAATTAAATGAGTTGTATTTTCTTTTCTATATAATCTCTTTAAATTATTTTAGGAATGGTATGAAGAAGACACAGGAAGGACTAAAAAGATACTTAAATTACTATGGACAATCGTGAAAACAATCTATACATGTTGTACAGATTTTGACTTTATGTATTATACTTTCTATATGGCAATTTGTATAGTTGGTCTTGTGGTTCATCCATTCTTTTTCGGGTTTTTGACTGTAGATTTTTTGCGTATAAAAATTTTATCTAATGTAGTCAAAGCTGTCTGGATTCCGAGAGTAGAAATAGCTCTTACATTTATGCTCTTTTTATTGGCTTAGTACTACTATTCGATTATCACATATCTATGCTTTTATGATTAATATGGAACGCCTGATTCACCAAAATGGGGTACATGTGATGTATATTGGAGATGTATTATTACTAATATAGACTTTACTTTTAAAGCATCTGGTTCTATTGGTGGTATACTAATTGATGAGAGCTATAATAGTGATAGCAGCGCGTTATAACCTAAAGTAGATGATGGTGAATATGAAATTATGAATACAAGATATCTTGCAAGATTCTTATTCGATAATTTTTTCATCATAAGCATTGTTATTGTTTTAATAAATATGGTTGCAGGTATTTAAAATTATTTTTTTAATTAATTATTAATGAATAATTCTATCTCATTAAATATATTTTATCTCCTTTTAAAATTATTTTGAATTATTAATTTAGGTATAATTATCGAAAACTTTTCAGCTTTCAAAGATATATAATACGAGAAAGAGGAAGCATTAGTGTCCAAATGCTTTGTGTGTGGTATAGAGAGAGATAATATAGAAAAAGCATATGATTAACTTTAATATAAGCATGGATTTAAGCATCATATAAGGGTATTCATATTTTTAACAAAATTTTTATTAATTTAAAAATATAAATTTAATAGCATCATCATTATATGTGGGATTATGTGTACTTCAGTGCATACTTACAATATAAAGACTAAAAGGAATTTACAGGAAATGAAAGTTATGTATTTGAATAACTAAAAACTTCTGATGTTTCTTGGTTCCCAGTAAAGAGGGCTATTCATGTTTAAGATGAAGAAACATAAATTAAATTATAAAGAAAACAAGAACTACAAAATATACAAGATTAAGTAACTTAGAATTTATTGAATCTTTTTAATTAATTCATTTTTTTTTCTTCATTTATAAACATTAGTGTGATAATCTTTAGTCTAAAATAGAATCACTTAGATTAAAGGTAAGTGTTGTAAAATCTGAGATCGTTTGAAACCAAATTTACTACGATGCTATTAATAATTTAATAATTTTTGTCATCTTAATTTATGTTTTTAAGTTTGTTTTTTAAGAAAAATAAATTAATAAATATATATATTATTCAGATACTTTTTACAACATAAAATTTATATTATTTATTTTCTACAGTTTTGCTCAAATAACCTTCAGTATATAAAAAATTCTGACCTTCGGTCTATCTCTAATAAAGACATATATTTTTTTATATATGTTAGTAAATCATATACTTAATATTGATATTTGTTAATTTGTTTATAATCTATTTAAGCAGTAATATTTATTGTTGAATCTAGTATGCATTCAATTTATTTTTTGATTAAAGACTCTTTTTATGATTGATTGATTTTATTTAATTTTGAAAAATCATTTGTATTTTAATATTGATGTAAAAAGTTATTTTGTATAATGACAACAAATATAAAATCTGGAGTTACAAGTATGAAAAGTGAGTAAGAAGATAAATTTTAAACTTAAAACGAATAAGAATAATATACATAGGAGTAGAAAGGATAACCTTAATAATCTAGCAAAAAACTTACAAATAAAGAAAGATAAAATGCTGTTTTTAGTCAATAAAAATAAGTGGATTAACATACATCTGCTACAAAATAATATCATCAGCAAGAAGAATGCATAAAATAAGCATATAAGCTGTTTGAAGAATTAAATTTAGAGAGATAAATTCTTTAAGAATAGGTTGAAATAGTTAAAGATGAAATTTAAAAAGAAAATATAGACATATTTAGTGATTTAAGGGAGTAAATGAAAAGAATATAAGAAAATTTATCATTAGAAGTTAAGAATGCAAACGAAGATTAAAGTAAATTAGAATTGTAAATATAAGATTTAAGAAGGCAAAAGTAAGATTTAGGCAATTAATTTGCTCTAGTTTTAGGCAATTTTGAAAGTTTATACGATAAGATAGGCTACACAACCTAAGACATACAAAATGTTTAAAATAGCTTACTTTTGTAAGACTCTACAACCCTTGGATACTCTAATAGGTCTATGATATGATTTAAAGTAATTATTGATGAAACATTTAAACAATAGCTAATTTGTTTGAAATTATTATTTTTTATGGTCTTTTGTAAATAAATAAATTTTTTTAATGAGCAAGCAAAAAATTAATCAATCATTCAATCGCATAAATTTACAATTTTTAGTTATAAATTTATAAAGAAAATGTACTTTGTATTGTTTGTTGTATTAATATAGATATCATCCTTGAATTAAATGTAAGAAAAATATATTTTGCATATTAAATTAAATTTAATTATATTTCATATTTAGTTTAATTTTTTTTCAGCCGCATGATTAATAACATCTATCAATAAATGTAAATACTATTTTATTGTAATTACTCGTCAATATATTCATATTTATTTTTTACTTAACAAGAATTCAAAAAATTAAATACTTATTTATTAAATGTTTATGTAAATACAATAAAATATTTTTGAGCAAAAGTATGCTTGCTACCTATTATCAATAAATGGCTTAAATAGCTAGGGATAATATTAAAATGGATAAAAATTTTAATTTTCAAAATTTTGTATAATTAACCTAAAATGAGATAAAATTAAGAATAATAAAAATATTGGCACCTGGCTTTCTTTTTGATGCTTATTTTTTAATTTAAATATTGTCTTGTTTTATTTTGTAAATTAAAATAAATCAACTAGTTTATTTTGCTTTTAAAAATGTTCCAACTAACTAATAAATTTTTTAGATTTTTAAAATAATAATTTAAGTTATGAGGATGGATATTGATATTTAAAAGGATGAATACTTTTATCATAAAATATTATTTATTTATTTGTTTAATTCTAAATTTTTGTTATATTAAATCTACCTTTAACGCAATAACATATTATGATTAAACCAATAACTTATACATTAAGCATAATTCAGTAAATTAAGTCTAATTTATTTATTATATGTGGTGATATATTAATTGCTTTAAAAAATAATAAATTTTATATTTTCTGTGATATCTATGCTTTTTTAAGTTGTTTAAAACAATGATTAGGCAATTTAGAAAATATTAAAATAATAGCCTTAAAATCTGATAAAATATAATTTGATCACTGTTTTTGCTTTTTCCTCTGTATCAGCTTTTATTTATTTTTGTAAGGTAAGCATTGACGGCTAGTTTTAAAATATATTATTCACTATACTCTTTATTAAAACAATTAATTGCTATGAATAGTAGTGTAAATAAATGCTTTTAAAAACTCTACTGCTTAAAAAAATCAAATGATCTTTGTAGCATCTAGTAATTTTTCTTGATAATTTTTTCCTCTAGCTTTTTTTCTGCTATGAGATCTAATTACTTTTTTTATTAATCATCTTTGAAATAAGAGATTATTTATTTTTTCTCACAAATTATCAAAGTATTAATATTAATTGATCTATCTTTTTTACCAAATCAAAAAGATCAAATAAGAGGGGTTTATTTCCACAAAATGAAATTTTATTTTTTGTGCAAAAATATATTAATGGGGATTGACAGATAGTACTTTTGATTTTAAATTTTTCTGATAGATTATTTATAAACTTATTTTGAAGTTAATTTTAAATTTTATATTTTTGTGAAAATACATGTATCTCTTGTTAAGAAAAATATGATTTTATTATTTAATTTTTCAGTAGAGGTAAAATAAAAGTATTTTATTATACTACGCGCGAATAAAAGTAAACACTTGATGAGGATTATTATTAGATTTTTAGAAAAGCATTTATAACTAAATAATTAATAACAATATTTTCTGACTAATAGAAAAAAGCGATTATTTATTTGATCGTTGTATCTTAAATAATTATCAAAAAGAGAATATATAAGAATAAATAGACTTAATAAGAATAAATACTAAGAGATAAAGCATAAAGCAAAAAATAAATAAAGCATTTAACAAAACAATCTCATCATTCAAACCACCCTCAAAAAAGTAGACAATTATTATTTTTCTGCTGAATCTTTGCTTAAAAGTTAAGAAATAATTGATTAATTAATTATTTCTAAACTAAAATCTTTAATCATTACTTCCTATTTCATTCTTCTAAAAATTATTCTTATAAATAGGCTAAATAAATGTCTTCTTAACAAAAAAATATGTTTACATCCTCAAATGAAAGATTGAGGAGTAATGAACATTTGTCTTAGAGCAGATCTACTACTAATAATTAGAGATAAATGTAACTCACAACCCATTAATTGTAATCACCTTTTGAGTTACAGATTATAAATAGAGAAGAGTTTTAATGCAAATAAACTCCTGGAATCTATTTCATTAATAATGAGAGAATAAGAAACTTAGGATAAAGATATGACCCTCAAAGGAGCTTATTGAACTCTAATAGATCTAGAATATCTCAATAGAATTCTCCCTATTCTCCGTTTACCTCTCCTGAGGATGCTAAAAATAAAAAAAGAGATAGTTCCTAATATTAAGCTTATTTTGGATACGAAGAGTATGAATATACTAATTAGGATAAGAAAGAATACACAACTATTTATTATTTCAAATTTTTTGATAAAAAAAATCCAAATAATGATTATTTCCATGAGATCGTTACTTAGGCTTGCTTAAAAAAATTCTATTTTAGTGTGATGCTCAAAAAATTAATAGGCTTTTTGGAACAATAAAATTCGAATAGGTACTGTGATGTATTTTGTAATTAAGTTTATTATGACCGCTTGATTTAGGTGATTGATCCAAATTATTAACCTTAAACTCCATAATAAAAAAGATCTTTTGAGAATTTAGAATAAACAAAATAAAAGTATTTGAATAGTAAATTAAAATTCACAATAAGAAAAATAAGTTAAGATGAAATAAGTTCAACATATTTAGATTAAAAAGATTTCCCATGCCAATAATTCTCATCAATCAGAATCCCTAATCAATATTCATGCCATGAATCAGAAGAATTTCTCAGAACAGAAGAGTTTAATCATTATCTTGACAAAGATTTAAAGGATCTATTCAATATTAAATCAAAATAAAAAATAAAAAATGAATTTATTGAATTTAATGGACCAAAATATGAGGAAGAAGAAAATGAAATACTTCCTTATTACCATTCACCTGTCCATAGAGACAATTCTCGCTCTCGTTCACGTTCCCCTCTCAAATGCGTTAGATATGATTGAAATTATATATACTCACCTTAATAATAAAAATAATAACAATAGTAATAATATTACTAATCATATCCTAATAATAATTAATAATTACTTCAAAATCAACAAACTTAGTTTATACACAAATCATTAAATCAATCAATAAATTAAATAATTATTCTACCACCATAAAAATTACTATATTTAAAATAATTTAAATTATTACTAAAAATAATTTATAGATTATAAAAGTTATTTTTAATTAATTACTCAATTTTTCTTTATTCTAATTTAAATCCACTATAATTCGCGCTCGTGTTAAAAAATTAAAATTCGTTTCCAGCTTATTATTTCATTATCAAATAATTTATTTATTTATTTCTTTATTTTTGTATGTCCACTTAAATTAAAAAAATATCTCACCTTTTAAACTCCATTTACTATTTTACTTCACTTTCATATTTAATATTAATAAAAATATCTAATAGTTTCATTATTTATGTTTGAGTTTATGTTTGCTTATGCCATTATTTACCAAAAACCATTAATAATTTATATTTTTAAAGTAATATTTTCAATTTTAGCTCAGCCTAATTTATCGATAAGATAATTTTTGATATATTTTACTCATTTTTGATCAATTAGATATTATAAAAAAGAAAATCTATAAATTAGAATTGAAAATTAAAGCCAAATAATACTTTCTTATTCTCAACTGACTAAATAAAATATGATAGGTGATTAAAATAATAAAACAAATTTACTTGAAAATTCTCATTTTTATTGGGAAATAATTTAATATCAATCTGTTTTCCTTTCTCTGCTATAAGAATAATTATTATTTTTACCATTAGGAAAGTATAGAAACAAACATAAAATATATCCTATATGCCTTATTAAATATGAACTAGTAAATTTATACTTTCTTAATCCTTTAATTAAATTTAATTAAGAGTTATTTTATAAAATGAAAAACAAAAACATAAATATTTAAATTTTTAAAATACTATTATGACTTAATATATTTGATTATTTTTATTATTATTTAAAATAATTTAATTATCAAAAGCTTTTACAAAGACTAAATTAATCAATATTTTAATCATCAAAAACAATTAATAAATTATCAAAAAAAAATAAATTTTAAAAAATCTATTTCTTAAATATATTTCAAATAATTCAAAACAATTTAATAACATTTTGGATTATTTTGGTTGCTTGTTTCCTTTCCTTGCTTACATATATCTATTTTTTGTGAAATTTAAATCTAAGCTTAAAATTTATGTTAAGCTTAAAATTATAATAATTAAAAATCTATTTTTTAAGTTTAAAATAATATTTTGCTAATTTTATCTATTTCAGTATTTTAGATTATATTTATTGGTTATATATATTCTGATTTTTAATATAATTCATAAAATTCAAAGTGTAATTATTTAAAAATTTCTTATGATTACTTATTAAAGAGTTTATAAAAAAATTTATTGTTACAACAGAAATGCAAAACTTTATTAAAATTTCTGATTTTTTATCAAAGCTATAATCTTTTGTTTACTTTAAATCCTGGTATGTTTTAAACATATAATTACTTTTTTATAAAAATATTCAATATTAAATCTTTGATTTAAAATAATATTATGAGTTTTATAAAAAAAGCTAGTTTAACCATTTTGGTTCTTTTGTCTGTTTTAGCAATTTCTATATTTGTTTTAGAATATAGAGATTATAACGGAACTGTTTATCATAATTTTGAAAAATATGGTAAAGTTGAGATATCTAGAGACAATTAAGGAATTCCTCACATTAAGGCTAAAACGTTTTTGGGTGCTGTTTTTGGATAAGGATATGCACATGCTTAAGATAGATTATTTTAAGTGTTTATAAAGACTAAACTTGCAAGAGGAGAAATGAGTTAGTTGAAGGGAGAAGCTGGATTACCATATGATATATTTTTCAAGTATAAAAATTATCAAAAATCTGTTGGAATTTATCACTTAAAATATTTTTTTTAAATTAAATACTTATTAATAAATGCTTAATTAACTTTTTATAATAAAAGAACCCTTGGATTAAAAAGGATAGCAGAAGAAATAATAGAAAAACTACCAAAGGAAGAACTTGAAATAGTTCAAGCATATTGTGATGGATTTAACCTTTATCAAAAGGAGCTTCATGTTAGACCAATAGAATTTATTATCACTGGAGCTAGCTTATAAGAATATACTCCAGTTGATATTATGATAAATGACAGAATGATGTATTAAAATTAACAAAAAAATTAAGGATAATGAATTTATTTTAAATTAAAAAGATTTCTCTTGCTTGGATATGAATATGTCTTTGAACCAATCAGGACTAGTTTAGCTAACTAATTTAATGAGGAAATTGCTATTAAAATGTTTGCTGGAAATACAGATTCTTAGTTTGTAGATGTTACAATAACTAATGATGAAGATTTGAAAAGGTAAAACCTTTATGAAAAATTTGTGAAAGGTAAATCATTTTCACACAGAGCTGAATTTACAGAAGAATAAAAGCAAGCTTTTATCACCTCTTCTCTACAAGAAGTGCTATTAGAATTATAATCAGGTACATCAGCTTTCTTACAATTTAATTTTATATTTATTATCTTTAATTTTCTTAAAATAAGTTGATTTTTTCTACAAATTATCTTTAATAAATCCGCTTTACTTAATTTAGAAAAAAATTAGAATTATACTTCTACTACTTTTTCAAAAATCTTTCTCTGAATTTTCTATAAAGTATAACAAAAAAATTATACATTTTTAATCAAACATATTTGACATTTAATAAATAAGCTTAATCAAAAATTTATGATTCAGGCATTTTCATTATTGTTTTAGCCTTCGTCAAAAATTTAATTAGTATAAGAAAAAATCTAAAGAATATTAAAAAAATTATTATCCTTTATTGAATAGTTTTACTGCTCTTTACCATAAATAACTCATTTAATAATACTTCCACAACTAATTACGGTAGTATTTACTCAATCAAAAAAAAAAATTTTAAATATAGATTAATAGTAACAGAAAGTCTAAAATTAATAGCTTTTATCAAATTTTTTTGCAAATATAAGATTTCTCATATTTTTTAATACTAACTTGAAATATATTTTTGCCAGCTTTATAAAAGATTAATTAGATATGTTAAAATTAAAAATTTGTTAAATTTCTTGAGAATCTTAGAAAATGTTTTAGAAGTGAAAATATTTTATGTTAGTGATTAATAAACATAAACTCATTTAAATTTATTCTAAAAAAAGTTCCTAATGGTAGTAATGCATGGGTTGTTCATGGAAATCATACAAAATCAGGAAAACCTATCCTTGCCAGTGACCCTCATTTAACAAATAATATCCCTTCCGCTTAATATTAAAATGAAATAATTATTGGTACATTTATTATTTGCAAATACAGTTAAATAATTTTTATATCAATTTAGAGGATGAAGGAGTAAACGCAATAGGTGCTACATTAGCTGGTAGTCCTCTTATATTAAATGGAAGAACTGATTATTTAGCTTGGGGAAATACTGTTCTTTTTGCTGACACTTCTGATCTATACAAAGAAGAAATAAAAGATGATAAATATCTTGTTGATGGAGAATGGAGATAAATTAAAACTGTTTAAGAAAAAATATATATTAAAGGAAAGGAAGAACCATATATTTTAGATGTAAATTATACTCATAGAGGACCTATTATTTCATATAAGTTTGATAAATTTGCTCCAAACCCTTTAATTTAATTAGGCTTTTCAGCTTCTATTTGCTGGAATGGAGAAATCAAATAAGCAACACAAATTAGAGCAACCTAAAGTAATTTAGATTAACAATAAATTTATTCATATAAAATTTAAATTCATTTTTTAAGAAATCTTAAGAGCAAAAACTCATTAATAAGTGTTAGAAGGATTTGGTGATATTGTAGGTCCAGTACTAGCTGTTTCTTATGCTACTGCTGATGGAGATATTGGCTTTTATGGATATGGTAAGATACCTATCCATAAAAACACTATTCAATCTTAGTTTATAAAAGACGGTACAACAACAGAGTAAGACTGGGTTCGTTTTACTACCCCATCAGAATAACCATAATCTCATAATCCTACAAAGGGTAAATAAATCGTCAAATTATTTGAATATTTCAATATTTAGATTTTATCCTAAATATTTAATTTTAAATAATAGTTTATCAATTTTTTATTCAAATTATAATAAATACCATAAATTTCCTTGAATCACCTCCCTTATTTTATAAAATATTTGAACCTTAAATGAGACATTTTGATTTTTTTCCATAATTTCTAAATTATGGATTTTGGTTTCTCAATTAATGAGGATCTAAAGTATTCAATTAATTTTATTAAAAGGAATTTTTTATTAAAATAAGATCTTTTTACAAAGTTTTAAAACAAAAAATAATTAATTATTAAATTTAAATGTAAATAGGATATATTGTTACTGCTAATAATAAATTTGCTACTGATAATATGAAAGGATTTTTATCTGTTAATTTGAATTCTACTCCTAGAGCATACCGTATATCTTAAATGATAGAAGAGTATATTAAAAATGGAAAGAAAATAGATGTTGAGGACATGAAGAAAATGTAAGCTGACACTGTTGATTCATATGGCTGTGATATTTTGCCTCATCTTTTTAAACTATTTAAAGAAAGAGCATCTAATATTCTCAAACCAGAACAATATGAATAGGGATTAAGAATGATTAGCCATCTTGAAGGTTGGGATTGCAGGATTGATGCAAATAGCTATTAAGCAACAATTTTTATGGGATGGGAGTACTTTTTTGCCAAAAGTTTACTCCATTAATTTTAGTCGACTGAGTATGACAGGTTAAAATTAAATATAAAATTTATAAAAAATTAAAGAAAAATTGTTAATATTAGATAATTCTTGACTATGGGACATTTATTTGAACACTTTTATCTTAAGGAAATTTAAAAATGGAGCTTAGAAGGAAATGAAAAAGATTTTGATTAATTCTGGTGTAAAACTGAAGAAAATAAAGGCTAATAATTTTCTTGTCTTTACAATCTGTTTATTGCCTTTTCTAAAGTAGAAAGCTATATGGAAAAGGAATTTGGAACACCTGAAGTAAATTCATTTAGTAAAATTTATTTGCTTTAAATAATTTTAAAAAATAGGTTAAAAAGTGGGAATGGGGTATTATCCATACAAATAATTATCCTCATACAGCCTTTGCAAATATTCCTATCCTCAATAAAATATATAACAGATCTGTTTAAAGCTTTGGTAATAGAAGAACTGTAGCTGTAGCAATTTAAAATTGGCGCTTTGGTTCTTTTTCTTCAGCTTATGGAGCTAATTATAGAATGGTTGCAGATATGGATGAAAATGGAAAAGATTTTTGGATTACCGATACAGGTGTTTCTGAGAGCGTTCTTTCTCCTCATTATGATGATTAATTTAAAATTCATAAAAATTTTGGTTACCTCAGAATGGAGAGGGGTTTGGAATCATTCAAAAAGAATCAAAAATATTTAAAAGTTTTGGAATATTATAAAGATTCTAAGAAACTAAACAAATAAAATAATACAGATATTTGATTAATTTTTCTTTATAGCTTTAAATAACATTAATTTATTTGTAAATTGTTAACTAATTCCTTAAAAAATGAATGATAAATATATTTTTATATAAAAACTGTATTTATGTTTATCTAAACTTATTGTCTCATATATCTAAACTGTAAACATTAAAGAGCATCTAATATTCTCAAACTAGAAGAATTTGAATAGGGTTAATTAATAATTAACCACATGAAAGGGTGAAACTGCAGAATTGATAGAAGCAACAATTAAATATCTATCTATGATTTAGGTTTGAAAATAAATATACATTTTTCTATTTATTAAACCAAAAAATTCATAGTCTTCATTATTTTAAAATTTTTTATTTTTATTAAAATAGAAAAATTAAAGAATATTGATTAAAGGATAATCAATCTATTAATAGAAATAATACATATAAAACAATTTATTAATGCTTTTAATTAAAGAAAAAGATAAGTTTATGTTAATACCTTAAAATACAACTTTTTATAAGAGTTTTAAATTATTAAAATTTAAAATATTTTGAAATAAGAAATTTAGTTTGTATTATAATTTTTAAAATTTAATTTAGCTAAGTAATATTTTATTGAAGATTATTATTTATTTATCACTATTTTTTTAGTTAAAAAGCTTATTTTACTTGCTTCTACAAGATATTTACAAATTTGTAAACTAAACAAAAAATCATAAATTTTAGATTTTTTGGTATGATAAAAAGTAAAATTTTGGAATAAAAACAAATTTCAGGCTTCTCTTATTTAGATTACTTGATTCTAATTATTTACCCAATTTTTATTAAGTTATCAATTTACAGACTTTTTGTTATTACTAGCAAATTGCATTGAAAAAAAATTTGCTTAAATTCATTTTCTTTCCAAATTACAAATAATTATTTTATCAACTTTTTACTCTTTAAATATCATTTTATTTGCATTTAATTTCAGAAAAAATATATTTTATTTTACTTAATTTCATTACAAAAGTAGATAAAAATAGCTTACAAATTTTATTTCTAACAATAATCCTATTTGATAGTAAGAAAATGTTACTAAAACTTTACATAGGATCATTTAGTTAAGATTTGCGCATCTTATCTCTCTAATTTTTTAAAATTTATGATGATTATAAGTTTTATTTATAAGATAAGATATTTGAATCATTTATAAAATCAGATCATCAAAAAAAGATATAATATTTATCAAATTAATTAAATTTAAACAATTTGTAAATAATACTTATGAGATTAGTAAAAAAGCTCTGCACAAGCCTATTATTGATATTAGCTATCTTAATAGTAGGAGTTTATATTTGGGAGTGTAGAAACTACAATGGAGTAGTATATCACTAGCATTAGAAGTATGGAAAGGTAGAAATATCTAGAGATCAATATGCTATTCCTCACATCAAAGCAAAGAATATATATGGCGCTTCTTTTGGTCAAGGATATGTCCATGCTTAAGACAGGCTGTTTTAAATTTTCTTAAAAACAAAGTTAGGGAGAGGTGAAGTTAGCTCTTTGAGAGGCGAAGCAGGCTTGCCATATGATATTTTCTTCAAGTAAAATTCATATATAAATACTTAAAATATAAATAAGATCATCATTTCAACAATCGATGTAAACTATTTACTTAAAATAATTTTTGTAAAAAGGACACTTGGACTACAAAGAATAGCAGAGGATATTATTACAAAGTTAGAAAAAGAAGAATTAGACGTCATTCAAGCATATTGTGATGGATTCAATTTTTACTATCACTCTCTCTCTGTTAAACCTTTAGAATTTGTTATCAGTGGTATCACATTCTAAGATTTTACACCCGCAGATGTCATAATAAATGAAAGAATAATGTAATGAAAAGCAATTGATATTATATTTTCATTAAATCTTTTAATATATAAATAATTTAGGTTCCTACTACTTGGTTATGAGTATATTTGGGAGCCAATCAGAACAAATTTAGCTAATTAATTCACTGAAGATGTAGCAATAAAAATGTTTGCAGGTAACTCTGAATCCCAATTTGTAGAAGTTACAGTTGTTGATGATGAAGATTTGAAATAAGAAAATCTTTATCAAAAATACATCAATGGAAAATCTTTTTCTAAAAGAGCTAACTTTACAGAATAGTAAAAGCAAGCTTATCTTTCAACTTCCATCTAAAACGTATTATTTGAATTATTATCAGGTAATTTCTATTAACTACTTTTGATTTCCAATTCATAAAATTTTTATAGCTTTATAAATTTTATTTATTTTTCAATTGAATAATAAACTAACTTAATTAATTAATTTAATATTTAACTAGTCCCTAATGGAAGCAATGCATGGGTAATTCACGGAAATCATACTAAATCTGGAAAGCCTTTACTTGCAAATGATCCTCACCTTTCAAATTCAATTCCATGCACTTGGATTTAAAATGAAATGTTGATAGGTAATTAAATAATTTATTTTTAGCTTCCAACTGTTAAAAATAAAATAAAATAAAATAAATAGAGGATGAAGGTATAGTTGCAATTGGTTCATCTATTTCAGGTATTCCTCTCATTTAAAATGGTAGAACAGATTATGCTGCTTGGGGAACTACAGTACTATTTGCAGATACTTCAGATCTCTATAAGGAAGAAATTAAGGGTAACACTTATCTGGTTGATGGATAATGGAAAGAGATTAAAGTTATCAAAGAAAACATCAAAATTAAAGGTAAAGACGAACCCCATGTCCTTGAAGTAAAGTATACTCACAGAGGTCCTATAGTTTCATACAAATTTGATAAATTTGCCACAAATCCATTAATTGATTTAGGTTTTTCGGCATCACTCTGCTGGAATGGTGAAATTAGAAAATCTACACTAGTTAGTTCTGTTTTAAGTAATATAATAATTTATATTAAAACCTTTTTAGTCAATTTTATTATTAGAATTATATAGAGCTAAGAATCATTAGTAAGTTTTAGATGGATTTGGACATATAGTAGGTCCAGTTCTTTCAGTTGTCTATGCAACAACTGATGGAAATATAGGTTTTTATGGATATGGTAGAATTCCTGTACATAAAAATACTATCCATTCTTAATTCATCAAGGATGGTACTACAACTGAGCAAGATTGGGTTCGTTTTACTACCCCTAAAGAATAACCTTAAGTACATAATCCTCGCAAAGGTATTTTAAAAATTAAAAATGAGAATATGCTTGGATAAATTTAATTTATTCAATATAATAATGATCATTTAAAAAATTACAAAGAATAAAAATTAACCAACCTTATTTTTTCTAATTATTATCAGGATTTGTAGTCACAGCTAATAACAAATTTGCTACAGACAATTTAAAGGGTTTCTTATCAGTAAACTTAATTTCTACACCAAGAGCTTATCGTATTACTTAAATGATAGAAGAAAAGATCAAAAAAGGATTAAAATTTGACATAGAAGATATGAAAAAGATGTAAGCAGACACTGTTGATTCTTATGGATAAGATATTCTTCCTTATCTTTTTAAAATCTTTAACAGCAAAGCACAAACTATTTTAAGTTAATAAGAATATGAAAAGGCTCTAAGAATGATTAATCACCTAAAAGATTGGGATTACAGAATAGATGCAAACAGTTACTAAGCTACTATTTTCTTAGGATGGGAATACATCTTTTCCAAAAGCTTGCTTCATTCTTTTAACACAACATCATTTGACAGGTTTCTATTTTTATAAACTTTACTTTAATTTTAAAAATTACTAAATATTAAATAAACTAAGATACACTTTAACAATGGGTCCTCAATTTGAGCATTTTTACTTCAATTAAATCAAAAAATGGAGTAAAGAATAAAACGAAAAAGACTTTGATCAGTTCTGGTGTAAAACTGAAGAAAATAAAAATTAAAAATACTCTTGCTTATATAACCTCTTAATTGCTTTTGCTTAAGTTGAAGATTATATGACTAATGAGTTTGGAACATCTGAAGTAAAAAGAAATAATATTATTAATAGAGTGATAATTATATTTATTTTTTTTATAGGTAAAGGAATGGGAGTGGGGTATAATACATAAAAATAACTATCCTCATACTGCATTTGCTAAAATACCAATTTTGAGAGATATTTACAACAGATAAGTTGAAAGCTTTGGAAACAGAAGAACAGTGGCCGTTTCAATCTAGAATTGGAGAGGAGGTACATTCGAGTCTGCTTATGGAGCAAATTATAGGATGGTAGTTGACATGGATAAATAAGGAAAAGATTACTGGATTATTGATACAGGTATTTCTGAAAGCCTTTTCTCTCCTCATTATGACGACTAATTTAAAATTCATAAAGATTTTGGATATGTAAACATGGAAAGAGGTTTTGAACTTTTCAGATAAAATAAAAAATATTATTAAACTCTCGAATACCTTGCTCCAGCTTAAAATTCTAATAAATAAAACAATAGTGAATTGTGAAGCATTTAATTAATTAAATTTTAAATGACGATTTAATACAAAATTAATCTCTTGTAAATGGATATATTTTTTAAATTCATTGTATTTATTCATATTTTTTTTATCCTTAAAATTTTTTTATAATAAACATTTTTATTAAATAAAAAATTAAGAGCCTTTTGTTTTTCATAAAATTACAGGATGATCTGTCAGATAAATTCTGATAAATATAAATAAAAAAACAAGAAGGCTACTTATCATTCAAATTTTCAATAACTAGATTAGCTATATATGATAAATCAAAATATCAATTTTTTATTAAATTTAATATTCCAACTTCATTGTGTTCAAAATTATATAATTTTTAGATATTTATACAAAACTAAATCCAATTTCAATAATATATTATTTATTTGATATTTTTCAATTAAATATTGAATATTTTGATAATTTGATTTATATTAAATTACAATTCCACAAATTATATGTTTATTAATTACTCTAAAGTGATAGCTAAAGATCAACGAAACTGGATAGCTTTTTTAACTGGACTTTAATAAATATCTGAATTTATATCTTTATCAAATGCAGTGATAATGGTTAGATATGAAGGAATACTCTTCTTGCCTATAATTTTGATCCTATCAATAATATTAAATAAGTATTTAATTTTCTTATGGCATAATCATTATAATTTATATTCTTCGGGATAAAATATTATTCTAACATTATTAGGATTTATTCCTCAATTAATAACATAATAATACTTTTAGTATAGGATGTAAGAATGTACTATTCATCATTTTGTTACTATTATGCACGTCATCTTTATAGTGATGTATGGAAATGATGGGTTAAACTATTTGGTACCTGTTATTTTAGGGTTTATTAATTTTTTTAGTTTTTTAAACTACTCCTATCATTTAAAATACAAAAATAATATTATTCCCCTGATCATCTAATCAGTAGAGATTTCTATTGGAGGTATTTTAAATGCTTTGTTATTATTTCTCTGCTTAAAAGATTCAATCACTGAGTATTTGTTTATAATAGTAATTCTAATTGAAAGTATATGGTTTTGTATTAAATATTCCTTTAGATTTCAAGATATTTTTGAATCTTAACTTGCTGGATTTAATAGAGTTAAGATAAGAGATAGATATAAAAATAAAATTTACAGCGACAAGGAAATTAATTCTAAAAGAATACTGCCATTTGCATTTGTTTGTCAAAATATAATTCTAATTATAATTGACTTCTTGCTAAATGATATCTACTTTTTAAAAAAACTCAGATTCTTGATCTATGTTTGCTTCACACTTTACATCCCTTCTACTATATATATTTTAAAAAAATGGATTTACTTTCTAAAATATGGCACTCATATAAAAAATATAAGGTTACAATAATTAGAAATAAATGGTAATCTAATTGAATTAGATAAGAATACACAATTTTAAAAGCATGAAAACTAAATAAATTACATAATATATGAAACATAATTTGATATATTTAAGTATATTCTTAATAAAGTCATAAAAGATTAAAGAAGATTTTTCTCATTTTAAATATATTAGCAAGATATTTTAAATTCATTTTAAATTAAATTGGTTGAATAAGATATACTTTTAGATATTGTTTTTGCTGATTTAAAGTTCTTGGAAATAATATTTAATTCCCTCATTTTCAATTAATTATATTTTCTTTAATATGAAATAAATGTAAAAAATACTGGACCCTTTTTAAAAGAATAGTTTGTTTAGTGTTTTTTCAAAACATTTTACTAACTTTCTTTATGTAAAGTGAATTATTTAAATTTAGTTAACGAATTTTCACCCTTTGAAAATAATAAAATTTGTTAATAAATTCTTGCATATGTTGTAGCATACAACAAAAATATATCTAATTTATTACTTAATAATCCTAAACGTGTGATATATGATTTGTTTGAATTGTATTGAATTTATTATTTTAAATTGTAATAAATAGTTTGCTTGATGTTTTTAAAAATTCTTAATTTAATTTCTTTTTATCTTTAAACGGTATTGAGTTAAATAGTAAAGAATATTATGGATCAACTTCTGAAAATTATTTTAAAATTAAAAAAGATACAATAAATTTTTTTCATCAATATATTATAAAAGATAATTATTTCAAATGATAATTGAGTTTATTAATTTATTTTTTGAAATATAATCCCACCTTATTATCTTTTTAAAATAAAATTAATATCGTTGAACAATAAAAAATTGAAAGTATATAATATTAAGTAAACAAAATTATCAGTTAACTATACCTTAATAGCCAATAACTCTATTCAACATAACTAGCCAATAAATTCAAAAATTCTCATTAGCTATTTTTTTTAAACACCACCCATAATATCCAAATTACTTAAAAACTTTATTTATACATATTTATTAAATTCCATATATAGCCAAATGTAAAAGTAAATTTTTTTTAAATAATCGTTGTCCAATAAAATTGCTTTTTAGGCTAAATAAGTAAATAAATTTTATTAGAAACTTAAATAGATAAATTAAGCAATTTTATTTAACATTTAGTAGAAAAAAAGATTTCTTATTATTTCTGAAATTGAATTCAAAATGAATCTATTTTAACTATCAAATTTAAAGATTGATAATTTATTGCTTTAATTTTTTCTTTTTTTAGATAATTAATAATATTTATTGAGAGTTAGTGATCAGATTAGGTAATTTTTGATTAATTAATTAATTTAGATATTTTTAGTTAAAAATGCTTGATTAAATAAGAGTAGTTTTTCTAAAAAACTATATTGTCTTAGTTAGATCCAAGGTTTTTATTCAAAGCATATATGTACCCATTCTTTGTACACTATTTTCATGCTTAGCTTAAAATGTAGATAGCCTTGCTGGATTAAAAACTCTTTGGCCAATGTAAACTAAAATTTAAAAATCCTGTTTTTTTACTAAATTTGTAAATAAGGTATTAATGCATGTCTATCAATGGATATATTAGATATGCATCGATGGAAATAGTACAAGAAAAAAAAGACTAACAGAGAGAAAATCAAAAAATTATGGGCTTGACCCACTGGAATTACATGATGGGATAACTACTCTTTAGTACTTGCATTTGCGTAATAATTGGTATCTTTTATTACACAGCATGCTCTATTGGTGGAGTTTATGAGGGTATCAATTTTATGAAAGGCATTATTTTATATATAGCTTTTGTAATTGCAATGGTTTGTAAATTATATTTTTTGACCTCCTTCTTCACTAGCCAGAAACTTGCTTCAGATATAATATCTTTAGTCAATTTATTCTTTAGCTTTGTGTATATCTTTGTCCTCTTATCTGACGTTCGTAATGATAAAATATTCATTATTTTACTTTCACTCGCTCCATAAGCAGCTTTAACTCTTGGCTTAATGGGTGATGGTTGGAGCATATTGAACAAGTAAGTTCATATTAATGATATTAAGATTGATTTATTTATTGATTAATTAATTAATTGATAGTTATTTTTTAACATTTATAAATGTCTCAATTCATTTTAATTTTAAACAAATTTCTACTTTTTTTTTTTAAAGATTATCAATTAGTTTTGTAAACTTTTCAGTGGATGAAGCCATTCTTGTTTTACTTTTCGATATTGCTGTTTATCTCTTACTTTATCTCTACTTAGATTAAATTTGGCCAAACGAATATGGAACTTAAAAAAGCCCACTCTTCATATTTCAATCGATTAAGAAATTATGTTGCAAATAACAAAGCTAGAGTTAACAATAGCAAAATGCAACAGTAGAATATGTTGAATTTAATGATTTAGAATTAGCTTCTTAAAACTTTGATAGAGAGGCTCCTCTCTAATAATAAGTTGCAGGTGTTTTAAATTAAGTTGAAGATAAAAGCAGTGCTTTATATCATCAATAAATAGATACATCTAATCTTGTAAAGAGTTTGCAAATTTCAAACCTGACAAAGCATTTCCATGGTTATTATGCTGTCAAATAATTAACACTAAGTTTATATGAGGGTTAAATCTTTTGTCTTTTAGGACACAATGGTATGTTTTTACAATATATAATAGATAAACAATATTTATTATTTATTTAAAATTAGGTGCAGGAAAAACAACAACAATAAATCTTATTACTGGTATGATTCAAAAATCACATGGTTAAGTTACTATGAATGGATTAGATCTTGACAAGGATTTAGATGAAATTAGAAGAAGTATTGGATTATGCAGTTAAAAGAATATTCTGTATGACAATCTAACTGTGGAAGATCATTTGTGGTTTTATGCTAGAATAAAATTGATTCCAGACTAAATTATTTAAGAAGACATTTAAAATATAATAAGCAAATGTAATCTTCATAATGAAAGATTTAAATATGCATAACACCTCTCAGGAGGTAATAAGCGTAAATTATGCTTAGCAATTGCATTAATTGGAAAGTCCAAATTTATTTTCTTGGATGAACCTACTTCTGGTAATTTTTTAAATGTATTATAATTTAATTTATGTCATAATTAATATTTAATAGGTGTAGATGTTATAACAAGAAGATAAATTTGGGATATTCTAAGAGAAGTTAAAAATGAAGGGAGAATAATTATCCTAACTACTCATCATTTAGAAGAAGCAGAGGCTTTAGCTGATAGAATAGGAATTATGGCTTAAGGTTAGTTGCTATGCTTAGGAACAGTCGATTACATAATTCATAAATTTGGAGTAGGCTATTTCTTGAAAGTATAAAGTAAAAGTGAAAATGAAACAGAAATAAATCAATTCATCCAAAAAAAAGCTTAATTAGAGTCTATTGTTAAACATTATATTCCAAATTGCTAAAAGGATCCTTAGACATAGGAGTAAAGTTTAAAGTTTTTGCTACCATTTAGTAGCACTAGTTAATTCAGTGATTTATTCAAATAACTTGAATCTGGTAAATTCAAATTTATACAATTTAACAGAATTATAAAAAAATGACTTTATTTATCACAATGAATTAATCAGATTTTTTATCAATATTATTCCAAAAAAATTAAGTGTTTAATGTTTTAAATATTAATTAATGATAACTTTTAAATTGAAAAATAATTTAATTAATTAATAGACAGAGATATAATGATAAATTTGCAAATAAACTCCTTAGAAGATGTTTTCGTAAGTATTGGGACAGATGAATAAAGATATTTCAATTTGGAATAGCAGTAACAGTAATAATAAAGATAAAACGATATTGGTTACTCTGATTTTTCTAACATTTAAATTCCTGAATTTCTTAAAGACGAACCATTTTTCTCTTTTTAAACTTAAACTTAAGTAATTGCAATTAGAAGAATCAAAATGCTATTTAAGAACCCAGTCTAAATTATTTCTTACATATTTCCTTTTACTATTATTGGAATCGGCTACTTTTTTGCTCACTAAGCCAAAGATAGTTTTGAAGTTTTCTAAATATTTGTTACTATAGGTATGAATTATTGATAAATATTGTAAACATATTAATGCATAAAAATAAAATAAAATAAAATAGCCATTTGCTTTATCTGCAACTCAACTGGAACCACATTTATCATTGAGAGAGAAAAGAATTTGCTATACACTCTAAGAGTTATGGGATGCAAATTAATACCTTATTGGTTTGGAACTTTTATAATTGACTTCATCTTAGCTATGTTTTACTTCTTAGTCGTAATAATAATAGCCTATTATTGCAATATAAGATCAGTAGTTGGTGAAAATTTTTAACATATTTCATACAAGTCTTTTGTAACAGTTTTTACTGGTGTAGCAACTTCTTATTCTTACAGTTATATGTTTGAAAAATCTTACACTGCCTATATGGCCTTCCCTTTATTTTAGTTGTTTGTTAACTTTTACTTAGGACTAGCTTTTATTCTCCTCAGTGCAAAGTTTTCTCCGTGTTAAATTATAAGCTATGTATTTTTCCCACTTGGAGTGAACAGCTTAGGGATAGGTATGTATCTTAAATAAAATTTTTTCAAATAAATTTATTCTTAAAAAAGATAATTCAAAAGATCCTGAGAGTATGCCAGTTCTTTACTTTGGTTACAGTTCTTTGAACACTATAGCTTTAATTTCAAGTATATTACACTTGATATTTGCAATGTATCTAGAAAAATCTTAAATACTTTCCTATTGTAAGAGGAAAAATTAATTCACTCCAATTGTATAGATTTAAAGGGATCCAGATGTAATTTAAGAAGAATAGAGGTCCTCTTCTTAAATCGATCCAATTACAGCAAGGAATATTAGTAAGTAATACGACAATTAGTACTTAGCTATAAACGGAATTAGTTTTGGTGTTTAAAAAAAATAAATATTTGGCTTACTTGGTCCTAACGGAGCCGGTAAAACAACTACTTTTAATATACTTACTGCAAAGGATAGTTCATCTTCAGGATAGGTTTTTGTCAACTAAGAATAAGCAATTTAAACTAATGAAAATGCATGGTAAAATGTAGGAATCTGCTCTTAATTTGATAATCTTTGGGATGATTTGACTGTTTATGATCACCTTGCCCTTTTTGCATCTCTAAAGGGGCTATAAGGAGAAAAAAGAGAAAGGGCAATAAAGTATAAAAAAAATTATTTATATTTTTTTATTATTAGCATAACAAATTAAATAAATATATAGGTACTTTACATAAACTCTCCAGTTAGAAGCTTATATTGATAGGAAATCTGAAATACTATCAGGTGGTAATAAAAGAAAATTATGTGTAGGAATGGCATTAATTGGCTCACCTAATGTTTAGTTTTTTGATGAACCATCTAGTGGATTGGATCCTATTGCAAAAAGATTCCTTTGGAATACCTTAAAATAAAATCTTTAACTTAAAGATGCATCTATCGTACTAACAACTCACTCAATGAACGAAGCAGAGTCTCTATGCTCTAAGATAGGTAAAACTTATATAGATGATGTGTGCAAATATATTTTGCTTTTTTTAACACATGATTGGAAATTAATATTTATTTTTATTTAAAAAGGTATTGTTGTTAATGGATAATTCTAATGTATGGGATCTCCTGAACATTTATCAAATAAATATGGATAAGGATATAGATTAAAGCTAATAAAGAATCCTAATTGTTTTTCTTAAGAGATCGATTCAATAATTTTAAATTCTTTTTAAAATGCAATTAAAATAATTGATTAAGAAAAAACACTTATTTACTAAATACCAACATAATATTTTATCTTTTCAAGAGTTTTCGATCTTGTAGAAAATAATCTTAAAAATAAAATTGAATAGTATAGTATACATCACACTAATTTAGAACAAATATTCTCATATTTTGCAACCTTCTAACAATAATTTATTGATCCACCTATTTCTTAGTCTGAAGTTTAAGTCTGTAGTTGTGAGGTAAAAATTTTATTATAAATTATAAGTTTTACAATAAAATTAAATAAAATAGGGTATGAATGCACTACGTTGGTGTACAATGTGTTGCTGTTGCTGTGTATGGTGAATAAATACTTTAAATAAATTAATGTTATTTGTTATAATTTTTATTGATAAATAAATTTTTTTCAACTTAATAAAATTAAAAAAAATATCATATGTATAATTAGTGGAATAGATCATTTAAGTAGAATTATTATAAATTTATTCAAAAGCTTGTTATTTTGTTTACTGTTTAAAATTTTACCTTAATTTCTCATTTTAGCTCTATAAGTATTTTACTAAGGAGTATTAAATTATAAATAAAATTGATAACAATTTAATCGAGTGGATTATTTCTTTACTTATAGAAATTTTTTTATGTTCAATAAATTGAAAAATTAATATCTCAAAAAAATTTTTAATTTGATTAATTTGATGATAAATCAACAAGAGGAACCATTTTATAAGTAAATTTTTAATTTGATTAATTTGATGATAAATCAACAAGAGGAACCATTTTATAAGTAATTAAATAAAAAAAAATTAAAGATTGAATTACTACAAAATTATTTTATGATAAAATATTACCCTCAACCCTCACCTTACATCTATTAATATATTAATTAGAAATATATACTTAACGATAAACCTAATTTAACTTAATTAATATGATTACACTCAACAAATTAAATAGAAAAACTAAGACTAATGTATAGTAATTGTAGCGGATTAATAATACTTAACATAACTTAATAATTATGTTAATAATAATATACAACTCGAAACACATCAGTATCGAACTTAAATATTATTATTAGTATACAACTAGTTTACCAGTATTAAAATTAATAACAGCAATCTTAATTGATTATTATAAGACTATGTACTTAATATTAATACTAAATAGTGTTAGATTTTGTCACTCAATAAAATATTAATCAAAAACTATAAAAATAAAATAATAACCAAATCTTAAAATTATAATATCAAAAGGAAAAGTCAGTGATTATAAGTCTATTCTTATATAACCAATAAGAAAAGCTTGATCATTAATCAAACAAGTCTACAGTGCTTATCAACAATAATTGGCACCATTGTATTTTAAATTCCTTATTACTCCACTTTGTTCCTATAAACAATAGTGTATATTAATTAAAATTTGTATATTTATTATAGTAATGCATTCACTTCTCATTCCCTTATAGCCATTTAAATTATTAATAATAAAAGTTGAAATTAAAAGTTAAGTTTGGAAGTAAATGTTCAAAATATGTTTGTCTTAATTAAAGAGGAATTATAGTGCATGCAATTTTTTCAAACAAACAATTTATTTTTTATATTAAATATTAATTAACTTTAAATTTAAAACTTATTTAATAAAAATAATATTAAATTAAATGAGATTGAATACTTTTTATCATTTAGAATTAATTAAAATATCAGGAAGAGGAAGGAAGTATCCACTAATAAATTTTTATTAAAAGAAATAAATAAAAGAAAGATAATAAAAACATATGACTACTGGTTATAATTAATTGTATATGATTTATAATTCTAATTTATTTCTAAAAAATAAAGTTATTTGCTTTAAGTATTTTAGAAATAACAAGTTGAAATTACTAATTTGTGTTACTAATTAATTATTAATACAATTATTTGGGAATATAATTTATTTGTACTTAATCATGCTTGAAATCTAATCAGTTATTACCATCCATTAATTAAAAAGTACATTTAATAATACTTTTCTCATAATTACTTTCAATGAATGAATGAATGATGTTTGTGATATTAGAGTATTTTGTTAATTAAAAGACTTATAATATTCAAATCTTAATATATTATATCAAATTCATTATTTTTGCATTAATTATTTACAAATTATAGCAATAATTAAATAAATCCTTTTTTAAATTTTGCTTAAAGTAAAAGGATAAAACATAGTTATTTTAAGGCAATTATAAAATAATTTTTTCATAATATGATTTCAGAAAATGCGTATGAGATATTAAAGGAAGATTTTAAAAATTGTAATGAGTAGTTTATTTAAATAGTAAAATTGTCTCCTCGTTATGTTTCTTCCAAATCTGGAAATAGGGATAAGAATCAACCACAAAAATAATAAACTTTTGATGGATCATAGAACTTAAAAAAGTTAAAAGATATTACTCCTTAATACGGATTGGAGCTTATCAACAGACATCTAAAATAATTTGAAAAAGTATAAGAATAGACTAAAAATGAACAACCTAATAACATTATTTTAAATAATAAATATGCAACAAATGAAAATGATAAAAAGATTAAAATAGTTAATTCTGAAAAAAGTCCATTAAATAAATAAATGCTGATCAGTAGATTTATTTAAAGAAATCAGAAGGAGCTAACTTAAAATTATGAAAATATAGAAGAGGATCTCAAAAAACCATTTGGTTTTAGAACTTAAATAACTGAGAATCCCTTAGAATAAGAAGTAGATAAAAGAATTGATACTATATCAACTGCTAATAAAAATAAATAAGGAGTATAAAAATAGAACGAATGCTTCTAAAATACAGTTTGTAATTTTAGAAGAAATTAAAATAATAATAACCATAATAAACCTTCAACTTCTCCAAATTAGATGGAAATACAGAATGATTTCAACATTAATAATAGTAGTGGAAAAAGAACCCCAAACTTGTCAAATAACAAAAGACCTGATGAAAATGTGTAATCAAGTGGACTATTTGGATGTGTATCTAATACAATATATAGTTAAAATGTATACAATAGGATTATTTTAAAGTAAACTGAAAGGAAAAGGATGAAACTTCAAAGCATAGGATAAATAAATGATATTAATTGTGTTCCTTTATAGTCCATTTAAGGTTTGGATGAAGCACCATTAACCCAAAAGGCTTCATAGACCAAATAAAATTTTTACATAAACACTAAGACTAAAATGTCTCATTCCTTTTATAACCCAGACAATAAAAGCAATGTAAAAAAGTAGCAGTCAGGAAATTTAATATCTTAGCCTTCTCAAAGTTTCTATTAAGTTGATTCAGATATTTCATTTAGTCCTAATAAATAGTAAACTTAGCGAAATAGACCTTAAACCCATTAATAATTTAGAAGAAAAATATATTCTTCACACTTAAATTAGAATAATTAGCAGTAGGACTCGTCATTTAATTTAAATTTAACAAGCAGGAATTCTAAAAACAGAATCAGGATAGCCTCTCCACATTTACAAAACAACTAAACTAGTATTAATTCAGTCTTAAATTAATAGAAAAATCCTGAATCACTCTCAAATATTCAAAAAAATTAGAATTAATAATGTGATTAAACTTTGTTTTAGATACATTCATACCACTCTTAAAACTCTTAAATAAAAAATAAACCATAAATAAATGGATTACTAACTTAAGAAGATGAGTCAAATTAAAAATAAAATAAAAGTGATTAAATTAGTAACTCCAATTTAAATAAAAAAAAGTAGGGGATTTTAAAGTAAATGAATGATTTTAAACAAAGAGTTAACAGAGAGAAAGAAATTAAACAACAAGAAGCTAAATTAAAGAAGAATATAAGTAAAATAGATAAAGAGCTTACAATTGAAGCAGTAGGATTCACATCCATAAAACCCTTATAAAATTAATTATTGACAAATAATAATCAACTAAAATAAATGACAACTATTCATGATACATTTCCAAATAGTTTTACCACCAATGAAGCAAACAATA